AATATCGTTCCTATATAATAAAGGAGAAGCGTATTACTCTACGCTCTACGAGGTAAGAGGGAGAGTACTCTATCGCTCTCTTAATAGAGCGAGAGAGCGGTTACGTACGTCGATCCTAGGGAGCTAATACGTACCCTACTCGATCCGTAATACTATCTTCGAGCTAGTAAGTCCGCAAAGTGCTAGTGCAAGATCTATTAACGGCGTAGGGGGTAGTTTAGAAAAAGCTAATTAAGGCTTTCTCTTCACCGGTATACTAACGATTCGTATGTACCTAGCTTTAAGACCTTTATAAGGCTCGGGTCTACTAATAAAGTCGCCTACATAGTACCGGTCTCGAATAGTAATCTTATTATTACCGAAAGATAATCTAATAAAGATAGACTAGAATACTATTATATAAGTTACGTTCGGTATTATAGCGACTATTACTTCGGTTATCGCTATCGTTATTATATATCGCTATCGTCGAGGTTAGTCGCTAATACTACTATTATCGACTTATATTAATACTAACGATTATAAAGATTTATATTCTATACTATACCTATCGTCGACGTCCCTACTCCGTATTTAGCGCCGGCCCGAAGTAAGCGACTAGTACTAGTCTAGACTTAAAGCCCTCGTCTCGTACTTCTATACTATATAGCGTTAGCTTTCCGCTCGCGTCCTTAGTCTTTCTACGCGCTTACTTATATATTTCGAATTATCGGCGATTTTAGAGTAGAACGACTTAGACGACGTATTATATATCGAAGTAAGCACCGGTAGTAATCTGCGAATAACGCGCTATATAAGGACGATATCTTTACTAGAACTTCCTCTCTATAATAACGATAAGCTACCCTATAAATAAGAACTCTCTACGCTTATATTATCGGAATACCTAATAAGGCTGTGTCGAGACATATCTATCTTCTAAACTGCGATTTAGGGAGTTAGGGGGGTATTTATTTTACGACTTAATCGAAATTAGCGGAGAGCGAGGGCGAGAATCGTTTACCTAGATCTATACCTAGTTCTCTTATATATAGTATTGTTGTATTTATCACCGACTTGCCACGAGACCGCTATTACGTCAAATGTTAGGCATGCGAGTGAGCCGGCCAACGGCAGTGGTAGTTGCAACAGACGCAGCTTTGGGCTACCGCAACATGAGGCCGGCCACAATTTTGCTCTTCAAGCACTAGGTTACTTTTGACGAGCGCTACCCGAAGCTGAGGCTGTGCACGCTAGAACATGTTGAGCAGACTTTCTGCTAGGGCTAGAGGCCTTTGCCTTGTGGTGCGCGAACTCTTTGCCTTATGGTACGCGGACGTCTCTCCCTAGTACAAGTACCCGAATTGCGAACCGCTTTTGTCTTTTGTGCTCATGCAAACTGTGTGGTTTCAACTCGCAGCTGCTACACCAGAGCTTCTATCATTGCCCCGTACCACCTTCAGACCATTTACACACACAATCCGGACCACATGGATCTGCAGACCGCGACGCAGCTTGCTTTCGGCGTAGTGGCTACCATCCTAGCCATCGTTGGCCTGATCGTTGCAGTCAGACATCAACAGCGTTGGTCTTTCTTATTGCACAATTGCATAAACTGTGCAGAGCGTTGTACATACTCTTCCAGCTTCTGACACAAGGCTGAGCCTAGACTTGCCCAGCGTCTCTCGACTTTTCTCGACAAGTCTTATCCGTCCCCGGCGGGCCGTTCCGGCCTCTGCCACCGCCACACTATCTTCGATCCACGCCGTCCTCACGTCCTTCCTTGCGACTTCACGCGCTGTTCTCGCCCGCTTGTACAGCCTCGTCGCGGCTCGAACGCAAAAGGTCTTCGAACTGATAACTGTCCCGGCCCCTCGACAAGATCTTCCGCCATCTCTATCGGGCACCCACTGCATTCGAACCAGTCGTCCTCGCCATACGCGCACGATGTCGATGCCAGAACTTCCTCTCTACAGCTATGCACAGCTGGAGGCGTGCTAGCGACGTTGCGTCGCGATCCAACGGCAAAAGAAACGTCCTCTGTTGCGGTTTGTCGATCAGTCGGAAACCGAGAAGTATAGACAGCAATGTGATCAGAGCACGGCGTCTTCGTGGGCTGGGCTGTGAGCATCCAGCGAGCCTTGAAAGAAGGATTTCACTTTATATGTATGCAAGACTCATGTACACAGTACGAGCGATGTGACTGAATACCAAAACGTCGTCATTTTGTGTGGAATTCTACCTCGAATACCTTCACTCGCAGATGCTTGAACGGATTGCCCATTATTGCGAGACGCACGACGTGGCGACAGTGATATATCTGGCTGCTGGACGACTCGATGCTACGGCAGTGGCGACGAATTTTCATGCGACTCACAGGGAATGAGAATGAGTATCAAGTATCACCGGCTATCTATACGACAACTCGCGGGGCACTTTGATTCTCTTATTATATCCCCACTTGTTGGCGGCGTTCCATTGCCATATTCCCTGGCTCTTGGTTTCGTCAATTAGAGGAGCTCATGTATGGAAGCCGATTTCTGACATAGAGTGCCGATGTGGTGTCTGATTGGTTGTCTTTTTCACGGCCCATCTGCAGGTTGCGCACATCTTGCGCACAGAGCCCGACATGGGCCATCATAAGAGCCGCCGTCAAATTCGCTTCAGCTTTCAAACCGCAAATTCATCTCCGAGGTCAACATTTCGGCGCCGAGAAAAAGTCCAACAAAAATGGAGCAGAACACTCTTACCCAAGTTGTCTTTGGCATCATAGCGACGATCACTTCAATCATTGCCATTGCCGTTGCCATCGCATATCGGCATCGTCGAGGTAAGTCGTTCTTGTCAACGTCGTTGTCGTTGTCGACTTGTGTCACTGCTGATAATTGGGAAGGTTCTGTCCCACATCATTCATCGACGAGTCTGCTTCCCCCATGCACTCACCGACGGGCGGAAACACGAGCCGGACTTAAAGCCGTCGTCACGTCCTTCTGCGCAACCTCATCCGCTCTCGTGCTTCGACTTAACAGCATCTTCAACGTGCCCTCGCCAACGTACATCGAGCTATCTGCGATACCGGATGAACCATCGGACGACCCCACGCCATCCATTGCAGCGCTGAACGGTCTTCCACGAGGCACCCGACACATGCGGACGATGTCTCTGCCAATGCTCCCTGTCTACAACAAGCCATCTCAGGACTAACGACTCGGCGCCGATACCATCGACACCTGCGAGATGCCTGGCTCGTAGGATGTGTGTTCTCACAGAGGCTTGTTGCGGAGGAGACAGAAAGTGTTTGCAAGACGAAAAAACATCCCAGAGCTGAAGGCTACGACGGCGTTGATTGTTTATCTGGAAATACATACTTTTACCTGGTATTATCATGGTGAGAAGCTTCGTATGTAACTGCCATTTCAAGCCATGAAACGACTTCCTCTGTCCTATCAGTTTGGTTTGGACCCGTATGATGATCCTGACCATTCGCGGGATCGCTCGAAGTTGAGAGTCTTATTAGCATCACATCCCAGGCCACCACATATTGACTCGAGGGTCGAGCTTGGTTAATTGGAAGTGTTCTCCTATCACACCCCGTTCTGTAAGCTAGTCCGCTCCTACGAAGTCGCTGACCGCAACAACTGAGTACAGCGCCGGACGGGCAAAGCAGGCTAGTTTGACCTATCCCGGCTTCGACAATATCCTTCCTCCTCCGTTTTTCTCAGAGTGTCTGGGCGGATTTGATTTCCACACTCTACCCCTGAAATCCAGAAGGAACGGCAATTATGCGCAAATTGTCGTGAATGGAGCGAATACTTATCACCCGCCCTTCGCAAACATCGAGCTTTCATGCAGCTGGGATGATCTATACAGTCAGCTCGACGAGCCTCATGGCATATCCACCAACACTCCGGGTATATGGCTCAAGACACCGCCTCCCAAGTCGCCTTTGGAACAAGTGCGTGATCTTGAACGGTTCGGCTACAATGCTAAGCGGTAAATCTAGCATGGATTACAGCTCGCAAAGTGAAGATTCCGGCTTTTGAAGCCATTCTCATGCGCAGGGCGATGTTAGCGGCATGGTGGGCGAGGAGGTCGGCATCAATCTACGCTGTCGAAAGTGCAAGGCAAGTGGCTGTAGGTTGATGACGTTCGCTTCTTCAAGGCGTGTATAGGTGATAGAGACAAGTACCCGGACAAGGGCCAGAGCAGCAGTTTTTCGGTGGTCTGTTCACGGGTCCATTCCCTTATTAACGATCGCGCCAGAGCCAAATGCTTTAGTATCATTGAGTATGAACGTGGTTGACCCACCAATGCGAGATCTGGGTAGTGGGCAGACGCCGGTCGGACTTGGGTGGGATGCATCGTGTGCTTGGTCGGATGGCCAGCTTCTTGCGAGCTCGCGAGCGACGTGGAGTGGTGCTAGTCATGTATACTCGGTCGGACCACGTCGAGCCTCGCTCGCATGCGCGAAATGCCCGCCGTGGAGTATGCTCGTACGCAGGCTTCCGGTCAGGGGGCGTGCGATTAAGTTTCGGGAAACTTCAAGTCGTGAAGGGTACTCCCTGGCCCTGCTAGCGTTTGATTACCGCTGCGATGCGGTTTTTTGGAAGGACAGGCAAGACACAGCCCAGATGGGCGGCCTCAATCCACCGCTTGTGGTCAGGCCCTCCCTTGTGCAGGACTGGCGGACAGGGGTACCAGCAAGCGCCTGAACAGCACTGGTTCTCGAACTGCGAACCATTTGACTTGAGTTCTAAAGAGACGCCGCTCACGTCGACGTTCGGCCGGCCAAGTGTCGGGTATTCTCTGGCCTTCCTCGTTGTCGTGCAACTCTCTGCACCACACAGATTGCTGTGGCAGCGGCCGCGGCGGCTGATTTGCTCCTCGCATGCACCTCTCGAAAAGGTTAGCGCTTGGCATTCTCGCAGCACGGCAAGCCTGATACCATGACCTTCCTTTACGAGCCTGCTTCGCCCGAGCCGACGGCCCGTCTCTGGAGCCGGAAGTCAAATTGCGCTCAAAGAAAGCTTTTGTGTAACCTCACTTCCTTTTCTTTGTATACTGTCACAACGTTCGAGCGCGAACCTTGGATTGCCGGCCTTTTCGACCTGCAATTCTGGCCATGCATCGTCTAATACCACCCACTGACAAGCTTTTTGAGATGCAAGAACGTCTCTGCAGACAATGCAACATAAAAACTAGTCAGTCTCGGGAGCGAGAGGAAAAGATTGAGAAACGTGGAAGTTTCACACTCTACCTGGCGGATGACAAGGTACTTGACGAGCAACGTCTACCTAAACGCGGATCTCCAGATCATCGGTACTCTCGAACTATCCTGAACCCATGCGTTCGTCGATTGAGCGTTGGGTAAGCGAAGAAGCTTGCACGGCCAATTGAGCAGGCGAATCTCAGTCGAGTCGTAAAAAATAGCACACCCTGCTCTGTACGCATCCTGGGGCCTTGGAGGGGTAGAAATTCGATGCTTACAATCAAATGTCAGGCAGGCGGGTGGGCTGGCCCGCGGCACGAGGAGCAGCGGCAGGTGCACTGCAACGTCTTTCCTGCGTAACACAACATCTGACAGGCGCCACTATAATGAGTAGACCGACAATGTCCCGGCCCTTTTAGCGAGAAATGAGCTTCCTGTACCCACCCCGCGCCGACTGTCAGTCCAGAGGCTGAGCAAGTCCTGGCCAGCCGCGCCCAGCCCACCTCCCCCTGACCATGTAAGCCACCCGTCAACGCATGGCCATGGAGTGCATATTGTGCGTTTGCGCTCGCACCAGAGAGGCAGACTTGGCTTGACTGGCCTTGCCCGCCGCCCTGGTGATCTCCTCCGGCTGCACTTCGGGGCCCATGTTCAGTTCACGCACTTGCCTCATCGCACTTTGCGGTCGCCGTCGTCGCCGCCGCCGCACTGTTTTGCCGCGTCGTGGCGCGGATAGCCAAGTCTGCTGACGGTCAACACCTCGTCGACGATCCTTTACTTTACATGCCATTTCCTCGACGTACTTAACCACGCTTCACCGCTCCCTACTCCGCTACTCTGACACATCAGAAAGGTCATCGCACACCAAGCCGCCTCACTGAATCCTCTTTTCCTTCACCACACGAACGAAATGGATGAGAATACTCTTGTCCAAGTCGTTTTCGGCACGTTGGCCATAGTCACGGCGGTACCCACGCTGTACCTGACGTACAATTACAGAGCCTGTACGTGATCACTGGAGTTGTCCCGCATCATTCGCTAACCAAGTCCGCTTGTTGATCAGATCTCGTCCCACAGCTTTATTATACCGAGCCCACCCTGCCACTGCCACTGCATGCGCAAAGGACCCACAGCCACGATCCTGGCGCACGACATACCGCGCCTCGGCTAGCAACACTCTTCACGCACGTCGCAGCTTTTTCGATGAGAGCCTTGCACTGTTTTTGTCGTCCTTTTGGTTCGGACAGCTTCACCCAACGCTTTGAACTGGACGGACAATCCGCGCCTGTCTCGATTACCATACAAAGTTCGGAACGTCCTGGAAATTCGCCATTCGCCTCAACAATCGACTTTTTGACGGCCGAGACCCAGTATCCAGAAACCGGATTCAGTTGAGGATACACACAGAAACCTTGGAGGTTCGGGCATTTGAGGATCTATGAAGGTCGACTTGTACTTGCCGGAGCATGATCTGTACGATATAAGTGAGGGGTGGGATTGACAGTATAAGATTTAAAGAGATGAACAACAGGGGTAGCACAGGCCCATGCCAGCAGGTCAGACTTCACGAAAGACGAAGCAACTCAACATAACGATACAGATAAAGACTAGGAGGGAAAACTGATTCACGGCTTGTTTGTTTACGCTGTGCTATGTAGTTGCTATTCGCGCCCACGAATACCACTCACTGCGAGCCGATATCACCGAACCTCTTTCTCATACCGATTCTGCTGTGTTGGCCCTGTGGATCTACGGGAGCCTGGACTCGGGTTTCTTTGTTGTTGAGAAAAAAGGGTACAAAACCACACAACTACGCCGCGCTCTTGCTGCATTGCATCCCTGGATCCATATCCGCAGTCGACACCGACCGCACACGGACTTCTCCTACGTGCCTATAAGCCTTCTTGACACTGTCTAGTCCCCGAAGTCGAGCTTGTACTCCTTGAGATCCTTCTCGTAGTATCTGAAGCGAGCGTTGATGTTGCCACGGCGGCAGTGGCATCCACGATTGGGACAGGCATCATGGTGGGCAATTGGCTGGTAGGCGTGGTGAGTGCAAGTGTTCGTGCAGATGCATGAAGGAGCGCTACCTCGAAGTTAGCACTTGATCATTCATAGTTCGAGCGTGTCGACTTACCCATTGGCATTGCGAATAGCCTCCTTTGCTTCGGTCATGTCGTGATGGACTCAGTTCTTCTCCTCTTTGAAGATCAGGTCCCATTTCATCTTGGTGCTGTTCTTGATGGCACCTGCGAGTTTGATCTCCGGGATGTGCTGGACGTATTCTTTGGCGAATGTCAAGATCCAGTCAACGATGGTCTTCTGGCACGAGGTTGCGAAGCCGTCTTGTTCACGATTGCCGTGCCAGTCGTGATACCAGTCGAGGTCATTGCGGTACTCGCCTGTGTAACCGAATGGGTCGTACATCATTGCGTCGAAGGGGGAGGTGAAGCGGAGGGTGATTGACTTGATGTGAGGGAGATCGCGGAGCGTGGCGGCGAGATCAGGGGCGCCGACTTTGCCGAACTTGTCGCTCATCTGTGGAAATGGTGGGACTTCGACCTTGAAGAAGTGCATGTAATCGCGATGAGAGAAATCCAATTCGACGTGGGAGAAGTTGTTGAACTTGTCTGGATCGCCGAGTTTGTGGATGAATTGGTTGAGGTTCGACGGCTCCGTGAAGCATTTGGATGTCTCGATCTCTAGGAAGCGGTCGACCTCACTCTTGAGTTGACGACAAGTGCCAACGACGGCGATGTCTGGCTGCGGTACGATCTTGTGGGTGGGATCATGCTTTCGGTACCGCTGCTGAGGACATTGCAGAAGCCGCTCAGAGCCATGTCCGAATGGTACGATGCCGTGCGCGTAGGTGACTGGATAGACGTCTTGAGGAATGAGATTCTCGTAGACTCCATCGCGAAGCTCGGCCGGAAGACCGAGGAAGTTGAAGCTCTTCCCATTCTTTGACCAACACGCCTGCTGTTGCTCGATGCCCTTCTGACCACGACGAATCTGGCCTTTGGGAGTCTTGAGGGCGGAAAGGTATGAGTCGAGACTCACCCAGTCTTCGCCGTTCAGGCACATCAGCACATCGATGCGAGCCTTTGGGCCTCGGCCTCGGACGAGCTTGCACTGGATGTGCTCAACTTTCTTGTGACGGACCAGTGCTAGGGTAGCTTCGTTGGACTCGCCCCTCTGATACTCAGTGGCTGCTCGGGTAGTCGCCTCAACTTGAAGCGGATTGGTGAAATGTGCGAGGCTCTGTCGGTTGTAGTTGATGATTTTGTTGCGTGCGGCTGTGTAGATTCGGTCGTATCTGTGGGCGCGGGGAAAGGAGGGAAGACTCGACTCGACTTCCGCTTTTGGTCCAGTGGACTCTGTCGCAGCGACATCTGCTGGTGAGATGGTGTCGCTTGTGAGTGCGGTAGGCGCCTGGCCTGGGTTCTCATGTGCCTGTATTTCTGGCGCGGCCTTGCGACGGCGCCGAGTTGGGACGACTTGCCATCCGCTATCAGTGGCCGGCTCAGCGTTGTCCGAGGACATCTTGTTCTTTTCTGTGAGAGTCGGAAGAGCGAAGGCTGGTTGCGAATGCTTGGGAAAGGTACGGTGCGTTGAGGGACAAGGGCCAGTGGCGAGGTCCAAAAAGCTTGGTGTGTGTTGAGAGGAGATCGAGGTTGAAGCGCGGTTTTTGAATGTCGCAGGTGGCTCGCTAAAGCACGGATCATGACGCTAGCGTCGCTAGCGCAACGGCGCAGGTGAATGAACTTGCCACGCTCGTGAACGCTCGTGAACGCTCGTGAGCACCCGTGATACACGGACTTCAAAATTTCTATATAGATATCATGATTAATCAACTGTGTAGGCCATACGGTACACTGCTTCTGAACAGGTGTTCAAGTCATTTGAGGGCTGGCGTGTTTGCCTTTCCAGACGCCAGTCTCACAACGCCGCATGTGCTAGAAGACACAGTAAAAGTAGCAATAGTAGACTCATACATAGCTCTAAATCTGCAACTACATTGCAAGAAGTTTATAAGTGCCTCAAAGGTTTCGTGTAAAGCCATTGCAGCGCCATTCTAATTTTGTTCCTTCCGGGCCACCCGCACTGCGCAGAACTACTGGGAAAACATGACACTATGAGTCTTCACGGTGAGATTCTTCTAGCTAGCATGCGCACACAGCCGCTTGGGTCTGTAACTACTCCTATATCCTCGTCGCTAAGATTCTCTTGGCCAGTCGCATTTGGTGTCTTCATCTCTTCCATGTAGGCAACGCAATGCAGTGTATCTTGTTAATCTACAAAGTCGAAACGACCAACGCTCATTCTAGCATTGTAGCACTGGAGATACGTAGAAGTTGTCAAGAGCACAAGATCAGCCGCAGAACTGGCGAACTTGAGCGCGCAACAACATGCAGCGTATTTTACAGTACCGCATTGTTGCTTTGACAAAAACGATGTCTAGACAATGAGCGCTGCTTTTTACTCGCGCATTCTTCCCTTTATGAATTGCTGGAAGGATCATTCTACCAGCTTAGGGCCGAGTTCATGCCTGAGGCATCAAAAAAGTTAGTAAGGCACGGACGTCTCATCCTTCGAAACAGCTTGCTTCTACTACCTTGCATCCTGTTTGTTACGCGGGTGACTGGATGAAGTGTCATACTCTGGATAGCTATAGCCTTAACTGACAGGTACGGAATAGACCACTGCACGTGCCCCCACCGCGATCCCGAAGAGACTGCCCATTGACTCTGTGTACAGCAATTCAAATTTGAACGCCACTATCGTCCTTCGAGTATTTCGATCTACAAGATGTGACTCATCAAGCACTTTCATCAAAAGGCGATCACTAGATAAGAGACTCTCTATGTCTATCAACGTGCTCCGACCTGAAGTGTTCATGGTCTTGCCATGAACTTGCCTCGTTCGCACGCTACCACTTGCTGAGTGCAGTTTTGCACCCCAAGCAGAATTTTTCACCGTGCCGGGAAGCCATTGTGCAGCCGCGGTCGAATGCCAGATCCACCATGATACCAGCTACCGCAATCGCCACCGGCGTGAACATTGGATGTCTTGGCATAAGTGCAGCCGCATTGTGCTTGTCAGCTATTTTCCGCTGGCGTGGACAGTCCGGTAGAGGCAAGTACGATCAATTGCCTGACAGCGACGAAAGCGGGCACATCGACTCCCCTTCCCATGGTTTTCTGGCGACTCATGCCGGCTCTCGAAAGTGGCATTATTTGTGCCTTGGCACAGCAATCGTGGGCCTTGCATTGTCATGTCTTCATGCCTGGGCGGCGAGCTTCCTTCTGCGATCAATTCTGATCGTCGCATGTTGGGTTTGTCAGTTTCCAATCCAAAGCACGCCGATGCTAATGCATAGACAGGGTGTGGCACTCTTGATTGCGGTATCTTTGGTGGTTCCGACAGCTCCACTGGAATCTTCGTTTAGAACTGGACTCTGTCTCGCTGTCGCTTCATTGGCAGGCGCATTGGGTATCCTCGCAGACACATTTTTACGAAAGAAGCCCTCTCCTACCGCCGATACAAGTACAGTCACAGCTGTAGTACTGCTTCTTTTGGAGGCGGGGCAAATATGGGGCTCTCTCTCCATTCCTCGCAGTCGAACGCAAACGTATCACGGAAAGCCAATCGATCAACAAATGACCACCTCTATCATCGGACGGTGAGCCTTCACTACATAGCAGATGTGGACTGTGGACTGACTGACTGTAGATATTCCTTCTCTTGGATGTGGCCTCTGTTACAACGAGCTCGTACCGAGGAAACTCTTGAGCTGGACGATCTACCCAACCTTGATAATAACACTAGGTCTACAGAGCTCCACGAGAGGTTCATTGACAGGGACATGTACTCTGCGAAGCAACAACTCTGGAAAGCGTTGGCTCTTGATCATCGTGATTCGCTCATTCGCCAATGGACAGTCGCTTTTATTGAAAGCTGTTTCATGATGCTGCCACCCCTCTGTCTTTACAAACTCCTATCTCTGCTTGAGTCGGCCCCTACAGACCATGGCTTGAATACCCAGGCGGTGTTTTGGATTTTGGGTCTTGTTGTTTCGAAAATGATTCATGCTGGCATGGATGCATGGTAAGTTCCCATTCCTTTGTCTTAACACGCTACCCAGACACTGACAGTGGCAGGGTGAATTGGGTCAGCTTTGCAATCTGTGCGACCCCAGTTCGCTCCCAACTTGCGGCACTCATCTTTGCCAAACTATTGAAGGCAAAATGTGGCGTTGACCAGACTGCTCTTCCAGCAGAAACCAAACGTCAAGATGCCTCCCCCACAGGCCTGGACGTCGAAGAGAGCCATGAAGCTGATGAAACAGACTCACTGCTCCCAAAAGACAAAAGCGAGGATGCTGACGAAGACAAAGCTGCAAACGGTGCCGTAAATCTGCTGGCGATCGATGTTCAGAGGATTTCTATATTCGCTGGCTACAACGTTGACCTACTTCGCGGACTGGTCAAGATCATACTCTCCTCGATATTCCTGGTGTTCATCCTCGGATGGCAAAGGTATGTCACCAGCAATGATTTTCGATGTAAGGCTTACAGTTCCATGGCAGTACTCTTGCTGGATTTCTTGTTCCCATCCTCCTACAGCCCGTGAGCAGTTGGGCCGCCAATCATTACACTGCCAGACAACTTTCTGTTATGGCGGCTCGAGATGAGAAAGCTTTCATAGTGTCTGAAGTGCTACAAGGAATACGACAAATTAAACTCACAGCTACAGAAGACTTCTGGGAAAGGGCTATCCTCAACGCCCGGGAGAAGGAGATCCGAGCACAGTGGAGTGTCTTCGCCTGGGCCATCTTCCTCACTGTGATCTGGATCACAATGCCGGTAATGATCGGTGCGACCTCTCTGAGTGTGTACGCTGTTCTTGGCCGAAATATGGTACCATCAGTTGCCTTTACAGCGTTGTCCCTATTCTCGTCCCTCGAGTTCACGATTGGTGCCATACCCAACACAATCACCGAGATGCTGGATGCACTAGTCAGCATTGGTCGGATAGAGCAGCACCTAAAGTCGCCGGAAGTTGGGAATGCTGTAACGCCTGCCGATGCCATCGAGTTCGAAAATGCAACCATCGCGTGGCCGTCGCCTTTGCCAGATCATATAAGCGGTCGTTTTACGCTGCGAGACCTGACGCTCAGGTTTCCGCCTAGGAAGTTGAGGTGAGTGCAAACTACTATCGATCATTCCATCTCGACTGATGAAGAACGCAGCGTAATCCACGGCTCCACTGGTGTCGGCAAAAGCCTGCTTCTTGCTGCCATCATCGGCGAGGCCGATCTTCTTGAGGGGACAATCAAGAAGCCAACAAGACCCACTACCCACGAGCCAGGAATACCATCTAATAACAAACTCGTATCGAACACATACGCTTTTGTTAGCCAGCAGCCATGGATCGAAAACGCTTCAGTCAGGTCGACAATACTCTACGGGCTTCCATACGACCGACAAAGATACTTGGCAGCACTGCATGCATCTGCACTTGACCAGGATTTGGAGATTCTCCCTGATGGCGACGAAACGGAGATAGGACCAACAGGTGTAAATCTATCAGGAGGCCAACGCTGGCGCCTCACTTTTGCCAGGGCTCTGTATTCATCCGCTAGTACCCTTGTACTTGATGACATCTTCTCGGCCGTAGATACGCATGTCGGAAAGCACTTGCTTCAGCATGGTATCTGTGGTAAGCTCGCCGCTGACCGCACGATCATACTGGTCACTCATCATGTGGGTCTTGTGGCGTCAGTCGCTGAATACATGGTGAATCTTGATGATCGAAGTATCACCACTGGTAAAGTATCACCAACGGAGGACCATCTCAGCCTACCACTGTCTTCCAAGGACGCCCAAGTGGTCAGTCATAACGAAGAAGACAAGGATGCCGAAGCCGCTGCTGCAAAGCAACCGGCTAAGACGTTCGTAGCTGCTGAATCTCGGGAACACGGCTCAGTCAAGTTTCAAGTCTACAGGACCTACTTCACAGCATCCAAGGGCCGGATATACTGGGGCATCGCCCTGGTCTTCTTCATCTTTACGGCCGTCACATCAGTAGGGCGTTCGACTTGGCTGGCGCTCTGGACAGATCAATACAAAGAACAGACGACCCCCGAGATGGAAAGCTCTTCCACTCGTGGCCTTTGGTACTACCTTGGCATCTACATCGGCCTTTCGGCCATCTCGATAGTGCTTGTGTTTTCCAAGATTGGCATCATACTTTTCGCATCCCTGCGGGCCGCCCGATACTTGTTCGAGATGGCCATCAAGAATGTGCTGCGAGCCCCACTCCGTTGGCTGGACACAGAACCTTACGGACGTGTGTTGAATCGCTTTGTTGGCGATTTCGCCCTGATCGACAGCAAGCTTGGTGGAGATATGATGTGGTGTGCAGAAGGAGTCTTCTCTCTAGCTGCTATCATCGCAGCGTCAATCTTCGTGTCGGCTTGGATGCTGCTGCCCGTTGCAGTGCTTGCTGCCATAGGTGTATACATTGCGTACCTCTTCCTCGACGGTGCCAGGGATATCAAGAGGCTGGAGTCGGTCTCGAAGTCACCAATGTTCGAGCTCGTTGGATCTACAGTTTCAGGCCTGTCCACAATTCGTGCATTTGGCAGATCAGACGCATACATGGAGAAGATGTATTCCCTGATCGATACGTACGCACAGACGAGCTGGTACGTCCTCCTTGCGTCTCAATGGATGCGCTTCCGACAGGGCATGCTGGGAGCGCTGTTCACGCTTTGCATTGCTCTTGGAGTTGTCTTGTTCCCAACAAGTGCAAGTCTCGCAGGGCTGGCGCTCAGTTTCGCTCTCGACTACTCTTCCGTTGTTGAAAATACAATCACCCGGTACTCTGGGGTCGAGCTCGACATGAACTCTGCTGAACGAGTCCTGGAGTACAGAGATTTGACGACCGAGCCCCTGGGCGGCGATGCTGCCCCTGCTGGGTGGCCTTCCCAAGGAAGAATCCATGTTCAGGATCTACGGGCAGGATATGCTGTCGATCTGCCGCCAGTTCTAAATGGTGTCAACTTTGATGTGCGTCCAGGCGAGAGAATTGGCATTGTTGGTCGGACCGGAAGCGGGAAAAGTTCCCTCACTCTGGCGCTCTTCAGGTTCATCCATGCCCGCACTGGTTCCATCAAGATTGACGAAGTTGATATCAAGAACTTGAAACTCCAAGATTTGCGAAGTAACTTGGCGATCATCCCCCAGGATCCATTCTTGTTTAGCGGTACGATTCGCAGCAATCTTGATCCTCATGGACGCTGGACCGATAAGGCTCTCCTGGATGCATTGAGGAGGGTTCGTCTCGTGGCGGGTTTCCAAGATGCAAGTGTTTCGTTGAATGGAACGTTGAGCCTTGAGTCTCCAGTGACACGCACGAATCTGAGTCAAGGTCAAAAGCAACTGCTATGCTTAGCTCGTGCCATGATCTCGCAGCCAAAGATCCTTATTCTTGATGAAGCTACAAGTGCTGTCGACATGACCACTGACAGCCTGATTCAAAAAAGTATTCGGGAGGACTTTGCTGGTAGCACCTTGCTTGTCGTGGCTCACCGACTTAGCACTGTAGCCGACTTTGATCGAATACTGGTTATGAGCAATGGCCAGGTGGTTGAGTTTGACACACCACATGCATTGGCGGGCATGCCGAACGGGGTGTTTCGCAGTATGATGGAAAGCAGTGGCGAGTCGCATGCCCTGCGGAATTTGTTGCAGAAGCAGTAGCTGAGAAATCATTACCATCCCGAGGGATACTGGCTTCAAAGTTTCACAATGCTTGCAAGAATTTAACTTACAGACTGCTAAGCATGGCCAAGCCGTCAGACCCAACGTGGGAAAAAGCAAGACTAAGATCAGAACCTCTTCCGGCGGACATCTCCACGTACTCACTCCCTGGAATGAGACTATCGTCAAGTGGTAGTAAGCTTGTGAGCATATGTGCATATAGGCATAGGATGGAATTTCTGCGATAGATGCGAAAGGGGCAAGGCCATCTTACCCTAGGCTGAGGACACGTTTCACGTAATGTGTGCTGGCTCGATTCATAAGCTCAAGGTCAAGGCTGCCATGTGAGCGTGGTTACTGAAGCATCTTGTGGTCCTCGGTTGCTCCAAACCCCTTTGCCGGTTGATGTCAACTCTCTAAATACCCGGATGATAATCCTGGCAGCCTCCTCCCTGAGTGAAGCTCGAGCGTGGGGCGGACTTGTTTGGTGATTACGACGTGGGGGCGACCATGTTCGACTCACAGCAATTCCAACTTCTCATCAATTTCAACCTACAATGCTCACCACATATTCCACAGGGAATTTGCCAGCAATATGGCGAAGTCAACATCAGCAAAACCCTCCGCGGTATCCGAGGCGGCACAAGTTAACACCCGAGATTCCTCGAGACGAACATCAGCGATCACTGAACAGCACATAAGAGGAGGCTCAGCCCCTGGCAGATACAACGCACCGGTATCGAGCAGGAGAGTGGCTTCAACCCAAGACGTACGAGCCGCTAGGGCATCGTAGCAAATAAAGATGCGACAAATTGTTCTTACCCACGCCGGTCAAGCAGTCTACCAGACCTGTCCATGCTCAGATCCGGTCCAACCTTGACAAGATTCTAGGGTCCTCGAGGGCTTGCGGTTTCCCGGCTCCGAGCGCATCAGAACAACCCAAGCTTCACCAGGTAAAATGATTTGGCAATCGATGATTTGTTCCGGATGCTGCTGGACCAGCTTTGCCTCACTTGGCCCTTACGACGAGACAATCTTCGAAGTTTGTACGGAGTTGAGCGGATACAGTAGCATCTTGATATCTCTAGAGTATGTTCTCATTACTTCTTCACGTCAAGTTCCTATTTTCGAACCATTGCTTCACTATACTACAAGTACCTTTGAACCATGGCGATCATTGAAGAGAAAACGAAATTTCCTTCCCAACACCTCGAAAATGGCCCTGGACTCAGGAGAACAACTACACATGCAAGCATCACAACAGCGCAGTCGAAAGCATCGATCGATGAGGCGCTGTACTTCCTACGACAGCATGGCGACGTGCTCGGAGAGCAACACATCGATCTCAAGCGACTGCGCAGGAAGATAGACTGGCGAATACTCCCTATCATGTATTTCTTGATGGGATTATTGCAGTTTCTTGACAAATACGTCTTCAAATATGCAATAATTATGGGTATGCCGGAGGATCTCGGTCTTGAGAAAGGCAACAGACTCAACAATGTTGCCTCCTCTATCTTCTGGGCCTATCTGGCTGCATCTCCGGTTGTTGGCCTCACCCTCAACAAAGTTCCGGTGGCCAAATTTGTGGGAATCTGTATGACCATCTGGGGTATTGTCAACGCTTGCATGGCGGCTGTTCAGGATTATCCACAGGTTATTGTCATCAGGCTCCTGATGGGCATATCGGATGCCGCCATACCTCCGTCTCTCATGCTCCTCAGCGCCCAATACTACCGCAAAGATGAGCAGGCTATCCGGTACGCCATATGGTTCAGCAGCGTTGGTATGGGTGACATCCTCGGTGGCTTCATCGCCTATGGCTTTTTGCACGTGCAGAACAGCTCATTCGAGGGCTGGCGTAAGTCCTGCGGCTCATGTTGGGACATATGACCTGCGAGCTGATCTCTTTACAGGAATAATGTACCTCGTCTTGGGAATCATCAGCGCCATATCTGGTGTCGTTTGTCTCGTATTCATGCCTGATACGCCTATGAATGCCAGCTTCCTCACTGAGGCTGAGAAGACGGCAGTCTTGCATCACGTTGCCCACAACAAGACTGGAATAGCAAGTCGTCATTGGGAGATTGAACAGATCAAGGAGTTCTTGTCAGATCCTCAAATTTGGCTATTGGCTCTCAACGTCAGTATCGTCTCTTGTGGCACAGGTATCACGACTACGTACGGAGCCAAACTCATCAAGAGCTTTGGTTTCACATCAAAGGAGGCAGCTCTACTCGGCACACCATCAGGAGCTGTGGGCATTGCATCAATCCTTTTGGGTGCATACTGTGTCCGCAAACACTGGCTACAACGCTGGGCGGTTTCCACCATAGGCTATACGCTCGCCTTTGTGGGTGCTGCCATGCTCGCTTGGGCTCCAAACCATAATCAAGGAGCCAAACTGTCAGGGATATACATGATCAGCTTCTCACTCGCCACAGTGGCAATCAAGTATCAATGGGTCGCCGCCAACGTCGCCGGACACACCAAACGAGGCCTCTCAGCTGCAATGCTCAGCGGAGCATTCTCACTCGGTCAGATCGTTGCGCCGTACGCCGTGCAGCAAAAAGACGCACCAGATTATCACACTGGCAAATCAGTCTTGGTGGCGACCAAAATCAGTGCGATAGTCATCATCATCCTTTTGGCTTCGTATTATTTCTGGGAGAACAAACGCAGGGATAGACTGTACGGACCTGCCGACGATGCGGTGCAACACGACTTGGCCCACAGCATAGATGTGGATGATGTCCATGGAGATCCCACCCCTGATAATACGTCTGAGACGTGGGCAAACTTGACGGACAGGCAAAGGAAGAGCTTCAGGTATGTGTATTGAAGAGGAATATGAGATGAGACTCCTCAGCAATGAATAGAGATAGAGAGAGTCTGAAAGCAGATATTAAGTCTGAATAAAAGTTATGTGATCACAATAAACCACCAACGCCATAATCGCAGTGCAGTATCACACATCATGTGTCAAGGACTCAAGAAGCCAACCCCAATGCAATGCAACAAACCATCCCAAACGCTCACATGACCAAGTACTTAAGCAAGCGCAATCTTGCCATCGCGGCATGCAGTACCAGCCGCCACATGAGACCAGAAATCGATCTTGCCGAAATTGCAAAGACCAAAGTAGTCGGCTCCGTTGCAGACAAGAGCGCCATCGACTGGGCAGGACTGTCCAGCCTTTGGGGCACCGGCGCTGCCTGAAGGCTGTGGAGAACCTGGTGCCGGGCAGCCACCATTTGCGGGAGTTGGGGAGCCTTGAGAAGACGGATGCTGTGGTACGGCACCATTAGGCGAAGTCGGGATGTTGGAGGGTGGAGCAGGACCGTTTGGAGATTGGGAAGGGCTGCCTTTAGGCTGAGGTACGGCTCCGTTTGGCGATGTTGGAATGCCGGCTGGGACAGCGGGAGTGTTTGCAGACTGCGAAGGACCGCTCTGAGGCCGCGAAGGGCTGCCATGTGGCTGAGCGGGCTGGCCTTGAGGTTGCGTAGGTGACTGGCCGGGCTGGTTTTGGGGTGGCACAGGACTGCCGTGTGGTTGTGTCCAGTTGCCGTGAGCAGGAGCCGTGATGTTCTGTGCACCGACTGGTGCTCCCTGAGGCTGAGATGTACTGGTGGTGTTGACGGCAACAGGGTGGACGCCGCCTCCTGGAACGGTGCCGTTGCCAATAACAGGGCCACCCTTGACGAGTACGGCGGTCTGAGATGGAGCTGGCTGTCCGACCGAGGTGACCGAGTGTGCGGGAGTAGGAGTCGAGGCCGCTTGCACCTGTTTGCTCTGAGACTCGGCGGCACGGGGAACGATTGCTCGAGCGGCGCAGAGACCGGCGAAAACGAATGGAGTGAAACGCATTGTGGTTGGGTGGTCGGTTGATTATTATGGCGTAGAAAGGGAATCGAACTGTTGCAGGAGCCGATAGAACAACGTACAAAGGAAACAAGGAAATATGAGAACGAATGAACTGTTGTTCTGGCTCTTGTCGCTGGAAATGTTACTTGTTGCTTGATGGTGGGCACTAACAGCATGCAGTGATCACTTATTATATGATGGCCAGCATGGCATCGGTGTTGGTTGTACGTGGAGCTGTCAGAGTCTGGCTGCTGATAAAGCCTATTCTGAGCGAGGCGATGTAAGAGAATGAAACCAAACTCGCCGTAGCGCATGAGCCGCTTGAAGAGTCAGCGTATCAAGCGAGGGCTAACATCGTCTTGTGGCTTCCTGAGTCGTTGAGGCTGGGGCGAGAATGAATCCTGCTATAAGACGCTTTCTGTGAAAGCCACATCTCTGACGCCGCATCCTCTGTGGAGAGGACGAATACGATGAAATGCCCGTACGTCGATGCCCTCGGTCTTCAACATCGAATAGCCCGCAGCCCGACGCCCCTCAGGCTTCGTCAAGGCGTGCACTGATTCCAAAGTGCCAGAGGGGATGAAATGCCATGATAATGTTGGCTGTCTCGATGGCACGCATACAGAGACTCGTCTGGTGAATCCCATCCATCCTGCTTGCCAGAAAGTGTTCTAGATCTTACCGTGTAGAATTACTAAGGAGAAGCGACATCACTAGCGCCCTTCGGCAAACCTCCAGCCTCACTGACAGATTCGGAAGTCCAAGTCCGGTATGCAAGCCACGCCAAGAATAGCTGTTCACACAGAGAACAAAGTTCAGTGGTTGTGAACACTTTGTCATCGTCGCTTTGTAGCAATCGTGGTCTCCAAGTTGTTTGCACAATGGCACTCCCGCTGTCTACGTGTAAGCTTCCAAGTTCAAGCCCACCGTCGACAGCATACTCATCCAGAGATTGCCGTACTTGTGAGCCGCTATGTAATACAATGGCAACCCATGGAGTAACAAGCATAGCGTGACACTATTCGAAGACGTTCGACCGCTATGTGGCGCTGACAGCCATATAGGATCCCGTATTTCGAACAGCATGTGGTGATCTCGTATTTGGAAACAGCATGTGGTCTACCGGGCAAACTTAGCTGGATGAATGGTCTTGAATAGTAGCTCTTCGATTAAAGGTCACCCAATTTTGAGGCTGGCTACATTTTGAATCCCATGTGGCATGAAAAAAGTCGCGGGCCTCCAGTGAGCGCGGCCCTGTAGGAGTTATATCTTGACACGTCCTTTGGCAGTCTCGCTGTGTTCTCAGCAGATCAACAGACGACACCATGAAACTGTCAAGGCTGGCCTGCATGAGCGATGTAGAATAGTACATCTCTTGGCTATCTTATACACTTGCTCCTCTCAATGTTCCCCTTCTGTCTTTACCTTCGAGATTCCCGCCTCCCAGGAATGATCCTCATTCTCACCAAAACGATATCTACTGGTGTCTTTGGTTGTTGTTCGACGCATGTCACGGACATACTTGCCACCATAGCTACCTGTGTCAGTTGCTCGATGGAGGGTAGCTGTATTGTCCCACATCACCAAATCTGTGTTGCCAATTAGTCGAGCTCTGCTGGATTCGCATTCGGCTACAACCTCTTACCTCCGTTGTTCTCCCAATAAACAGTCAGAACATACTTTTCTTGTGTCAAATGATTCCACAAGCGGTCGAACAGGGGTTTGCTGTCTTCCCATGACCGGCCATCCAGATGATGTGCATAAGTTGTTAGATAGAGGTTGTCACGACCAGATCCTTCGTGAGGTGTGACCAGCTGATATTTCGCCATCGGAGCGTCGAGTGGTTCGACAGATTTGAAGTATTCTGGGGAGCCGAGCTTACGATTATGCATTAACGAGTTGTGGGTAATGAGGCCGTTGATCTCTTTCTTTAGATCTTCCGGAAGCTCTTCGCACGCTGTTCGGGAGTCTAGATATTGTGTCTCGCCACCACTGCTTTTCGGCGGTAGTTCTACTGCTCGTAGCAAGGAGTAGAGCGCTCGGTGTGGATTGTATGCCATATCAGCATGCCACAGGAAGTTGCCTTTGTTGCCTTCCTTGCGCATCGGATCCGCTTCCGTCACAATATTGCCGTTGTTGTCTAGATTTGATACATCGAAGATCTCTGGCTGCTCGGGAAAGCGCATAGCTCTGCCAGCTTTGATGTGGGCTTTGACGTCGTAGAGATCTTGATGGCCTGCGAGCTGTTGAGAGAATGCCACATGTTCCTCGTTGTTCAAGTTGGCGTTGCGAAACACCAGAACACCTTCTCGATTGATGGCTGTTATTATTTCGTCCAGAAGTGTCTTTGGTACCGGTGACTGCGTCCAGTCCATGCCCTCGACCTCTACACCGAAGGTTGGATGTAGCCTCTTAAACGTCAGCTGCGGCCCTCCATCATCCTTGGACGGCGACATTTTTGCGATGGTGTTCGAAGATACCACGATTCTTTCTTGCTATGCATGAACGTTTCTCGTCTTCGAAATGAGGCACAGTTCGTGTGATCGACACCGTCTGATGTCACGGACACTGACAGCAAGGCTGTGGCTTTGCCCTGCCGGCTACATTTTCCGAGGGAGCAAGAGCAGCCATAGACACGTCAAAAATCGTATGGATCATGCCTTCTTGTGTTACTCGTGCATTACAGCACCCAGTCTAGTAGTATCATCGTAGACCCAATGGACCAACGGAGCGTACAAGACCGCGATTGCAGGTTGTGATTTATTGCTTACCACGCCAGTTTTGATCGTATATACATCACGAAATAATAAACCCGCAACATTTTGAATGGTACATGCTCCAAGAGATCCTTAGCCACTTGGCATAGCTCGTAACGTATCATGTCTGCAGCCCACTAGGTCGGTATGAAGCCAACAAGGATTTAGTTCTCACCACGACACTCGGCAGTGGGTCCTCGCGGTCGTCTCTTTTACAGGTATCGAAAACACGCACTTCCAGAGATTCACCACACAGACATCCAAGCAGGCGATTGCATGTCTCAATATTGGCGTGGCGTAAGACTTGGAGTCGCGGCTATCCTTCCTCTTCAACGGCTACCTTCTCCGACCATGAACTTCGCTTGCTCTCAAGTGTGGCCATGGATGCATGCAATGTAAAACCAGAGGTATAAGACATCTACAGCAGCCTATTCGAGTACTTGTAACCGATTCAATAATGGCTAAGTTATCCGTGACCGTCCTCGCCACCTTTCAGGGTAGGTAAACGCCAATGATGTCTCACGCAGAGGTCAAGTCTGTCGTCAAAGCCAACAGCAAGCATCTGTGACAGATCATTGCCCACAAGAGGAGTACAAAGATCAAAGTATAGGAAAACGCGAGCGCAATCTATAGATGGCTAGAACTCAGAGCCAGGCGAGGAGGCAGACGGCTGAAGTTTCCGTCAATGGAAAGATACAATGTCAGCCATGGCATTGCTCGTCTAGTTTGAGGTCAGCTGTTAACTCCTGGCCTGTATTTTCCCAGCCAGGTTGGATTCACGTTCACCGACCACCGCGCATGGAGCAGATTCGTGCATGATCTGCGTCAAATGGGCTTCTCTGAGTCGATGGCGTGGCCTGTGGCGTTCCTGCATTTATACTGTCAATCGCATTGCCCGTGTGTAGTTTCTTGATCGCCTGGCTCATACGCCTAGGGTGCTTTCGCGACGATGTTGGTGTTGGATTCAGGCTGACTTGACAACTATCTTGTCACAACAAGTGGCTAGAATAGGCACATGCAAAAAATTTGGAGCCATCGGCAGTAGAATGAAGAGACTCCTCGGAATACTCCGACCATGCCTAACAAACCCTGGCGCAGCCAACTCATGCCGCTGATGCAAGTGGTGTCTGGCAATCGACCTTCTGCGTTAGCTCCCCGTTAAACCTTTGGCACATGCGGGGAAGGTTCTCCATAAGCATAAATGATCAGGAAAGTTGCTTCTCCGAGTGGGCGATCATTCACGCCCGAATGCGCCATGGCTTTAGCGCGGCTTTAGTACGGCTTCAGCCTGACCAGGGTGGAGGTGAACATGCAACGCCCTCTGCGCCACCGCATCGCGCTTGCAGTCTTCAGAGTTCCAATGTACCTTTCCACCTTCAGTCTCGGCGAATCAGATCATCTTTTACGTAGTATCAAGTCCACGCGTCCATTCTCCGTGGTGGTGGGCTTCCAATCAGCAAAACTTGAGTCTTCGCATAGCTAGCAGACATTCTCTAGCACTTACACCCATGGTGAGACCGCATGCTGGGTGACTTTTACCCGGAAGAATCTTCCGTGCTAACGACTCTTCAACATGACCGAAAGAGTTGAGTGGCTTGCCATAGAGATAGTCATAAAATAGCTGTGCCTCCTCATAGTTCGCAACGGGTCCAACATCTCGAACACTATCCCAAACCTCAGATCCACTCACAAGCTCGCCATCATGATGTTCATCTCTGCTCTCGCTACTGCAGCTCTCGCCATCGGTGCGGTATCTGCGCAAGAATGCACCGCTGATCGACGTGTGTACCTTTCGCGATTCGTAGGAATCGGTACGTCAGCCTGCCAGACCGTCTTTGTCTCAAAAGCGCAAGAACTCACGAGTTGCGCAGGTTATAACGCAGAAGGGTTGGGCAATTCCAAGAAGGGATTCGACGAGGTTCCCTGGGGCTCCCCAGACTCGGCAGGGACATGTCTTACAACGATGTAAGTCTTTGTGTGTGAGAAGAATCAGCCCTGCGTTGTGGCTAATCCAGACATCAGCATACCGAATGGCTTGGGATGCGCTATCCCAGTTGCGACTACAGGTGCTGGAACCGAACAGTTTGCCCGTAATTCATGGCTCCACCTTTCGCTCTAGACAGGACGCTGATGTAAGATACAGTCGAGACACGACAAGTCTTCCATAAACTCACCGAGACTGCTGTCATCCGTAAGCCATCATAGCCCTCCTCCTCATCATTGAAGCGGACGCTGATCTCCGCATAGCCTTCGACAACGGCACCGTCCTATATAGCGTTGAAATCCAACTAGGTGCTCGAGAGATCGTGGGCGTAAGTCTTCCCGTCTTATCTGTCTCCGCAGACATGTGCTGACAAGTCCGACCAGCTACCCGCCACCTTCCACGGCTGGGTCTATATGGACTTCAACACCGACTGCAGAATCTACAGCGCTCGAGCCTACGCCAACGTCCCCACTTCGGTCCTTGGATTGCTCTTCCCGAACACACCTCTTCCAGATCTGATGGCAGCGTGCAAAGCGCTACCAGTGGGCGGTCAAAAGCGGGAGGCTATTGAGTTCCAGGCTTAGACAAGAGCTTCGAATTGAATTGTTATTCAGTTTTTGAATGTCGACGAGTAATCAAGTTTGATCGGCCCTTCCGGGGACGTGGATCTGGAGAGTTGCTGCAGATATGTCGACAAGGCACCCGGATCAAAAGCAGACATGTTTCATCAGCGGACCTTCCTCCTCCATCTCTCCATCTCAATCCTTTTCCAATTCCATTGGAAAACATTTCAAAAGGCCAAGAAATTTGTAGACCTCGTTTGCTTTCGGCTCAATCCGTTAGGGACTCATGTCCATCACGCCCGTCGTGTTGATTCAAACGAAACCCTAGAAGTAACGCCAAAGTGACACAAACCTCTCCTCTTGCAACAGTCAAGGTGTGCACGAAGCCGTGATCGGTTCTTTCAAGGAGTACGACCTTCGGCGCTCTGTCAATGGCAAGATCTCATTGCGACTGAGATCTTCTTGGGTATCCTGCTTTGTCGCAAGTTCCTTGTCCGTCAATGCAGTCGAAGTATTTTGAAAGTACATGTAGTCATCGACGTGTTTTATTTTAGACCGGTCAAATTTTACATCAGCAAGGTGTAGTCGGTTCCGCCTGCCCAACAAACCCCGGCGACCCCCTTTCCCCATCCAGGGATAACCCTACTCTTCCCACAACGCGGACCGCCAAACCTTATCTTATCAGGGAGGAAGTCAAACAGAGGCCGACTGCACCCGCCTTCTTACCTTACCTGCATCTGATCTCGTCGACTTCTCCAACAATACAACCAACCCAGAGAGACCGCAAGACACAACAATGACCGTGGAATGCCACACATGCGATCGGTGGTTCGTCCACATACCAGCCGCGATGCAACATATGGATGCGGTGGGCCACTGGCGAGACAACGCCAAATGCGAAAGTTGCAGCATTCACTTCTTCTACGAGGACGATGTATACAACCACATGGACGATGAGAATCACTGGGCTCCAAAATTCGAGTGCGAGGCGTGCACTGCGATGTTTACTTCGCAGCAAGCCGCTCGAAGGCACATGGATTCCACGAACCACTGGAGGCACCACTGGTGCGAAGATTGCGAGAGAGGTTTTCAAAACGCAAACAATCTACGGCAGGTACGTTCACCTGCAGAAAGTGCTCTCCAGAACTTCAGACTAAACCCTCCACAGCACCTCAACAGCTCCACCCATCGAGCTGGCAGCATACACTGCCCCTTCTGCAGCAAACCCCACACAACCGCCTCAGGAATAGTCCATCACCTCGAAACCAACAGTTGCCCCAACGCCAAGAACCTCAACCGTCAAAAAATATACGAAATCATCAACCGCTCCGACACCCGCGGCGTCATTACCAACAAGCAGCTCACGTGGCACTCGGAGCAGAATGGCGACCACATTGCCAGCACCGCAACTTGGAACGGGAGACAGTACGAGTGCTACCTCTGCCACAGGGGCTACAATACCTTGCGGTCGTTGAACCAGCATTTGGACTCGCCGGCCCACAAGCAGAAGATCTATCATTGTTTTGGCAGGGCGTGCAGTAAGCAATTCACTGCCCTCGCGCAGTTGTTCAACCATCTTGAGAGCGAGAGCTGTGGCGCTACGAGGTTCAATGTTGTGCAGCAGAATGCCAGCGATATCCTGACGGGGAGAAGGATGATTGCGTTTTAGAGATTGGCTGCGATCAATGACGAATTCAAGGACGTCAGAACAATATCTTTGTCGAAGAACCACGACCCCTTCACGGACTCTCGCAACCACCAAGTTGCGAGTTCAGGCAGAGATTGTTGAAGGACGCCTTGAGCTCGATGATCGACACGACTCGATCGGGAGAATCAACAACGGAAGCAGATCCATGCCCTTCAAAACGAGATAGTTCAGAAAGATGGCATGCACGCCAATCAGACTTGGAACATGGACTGATAGGACATCAAGCTCTTCGCTTGCAATTTCAGGGGCGACGTTACAATGCAGATCAGGCTATCATGTGGCTTCAAAAGACGCAATCACAAGGATCCGTGGGATGGTTATTTTCCAGTGCTCCGCAGCTTGACGGGAGGCGGCGAAGTGAAGAGGATGTCTGTGCCTTTGGAGGTCTAGATTGGGGGCGGTAAGTGCTGTGAGTCTCAAGAAGAGGCTTGCGACACCCAAAGAAGCGATCGTTGTCAAGTCGCCCTTCCCCCTGAGCGGCACGTGGTAGCGTATCTCTCACTGTCCTTGAGAGAACAAAGGTATTGATGACAGGAGCCGTAGATGGTTTCAATTCATGCTTTAGAACATCCCCCTCATCGATCACAGCCTTGCGACCTCCCCATCAAATCACAGCTTCAATCCTTCTTCACAACACTATCACTCCTCTCCACATCATCATCCGCCTCCCACTCAACCACAAGATTGACCATCCCATCCAACCCCTCCTCAACAGCCTTCTCACTCAATAACCCACTCTTGCCCAAATGCTTCAGCGCATCCCCAATCCACGTTTGACAAGTAACCTCCCGGTCCGCGTTGTCCACCGCCACATCCGCCAGCCTCGCATTGATCTCCTCGTCGTTTGTCGGTCTCGATAGCTCACCTACAGTGTACGTCCTGATGTCCTTGTTGCTCGACACGGGGTCGTAGTTCTCGCGGCGTTCGAAGCGCCAGTTATGGACGCTGCCGGTGATGTGGTAGATGGTCCGTGGGGAGTTGTCGGCAAATGTGAAGTGGAGGGCGACGTGTCGGGGGAGCTGATCGTCCTCGCGCTCGTTGAATTCCTTGAAAGCCATGATCCTCAGTGTTGCTGTAGTCGTGCTCGTGGTTGTCATGTGTCAAGAAGAGGAGTAGGGCCGATCTGAGGCTCTGATTGTCGTTTGATGACATGGAAGAGGCAGACCATGGTGGCCCCTTCTATAGCATCTTCGTTGATTGCTGCGAACTTCATGTTGACTGCGGACATCTTTGTCTGCTTGTTGGTGAAGCTGACACTGTTCCAGTGAAGATGTGTTCTGGTTCCATCTTGTCGACTGAACACAATGAGATGAAAGATTCGCCATCCTCCAGAAACGATACGAAGCTGCGTGGCTTAGAACCTTCTTCTCGATCACCGACACTTCCAGGGCAACAAGATAGAGAGTTGCTTGTCTTTCAGGGGGTGAATCGCTCTTGTTCGAAGATCAATAGCTTCAGATCACCACCCACATGCAAGTCTCAGCCTTCGCAGGCTCGAGTCAAGAATAGTCAATTACTACGTCTGGTACTGGCTGCTGAACAAATCGTCAAAGTCCAGGGCATTTCCAAAGCCCAATTGATCCGGGAAGAACTCAGAGAGCATCTCGGTCCAGGATGCATCGTTCAGGACCTCGTCAGCTGCAGTCGCAGGTAATAGATCAAAGCCATACGTCCTGGTATCTTCGCTTGGCATGGCCGGTGCGTCTCCAGCTTCAATAGTGTTTGTCTGATGATTGACAGCGTTCTGACGATGGGCTGGTGATTGTATGTCTCTTTGGGAAACGGGTGTTGGATGTCCGACTTGACCTCCTGCATCGACCTCGTTGACTGCGTTGCTTGTCCGCATAGCGTCAATCGTCTCGCGATTCTCAATTGGCCATGACATACTCTCTGTTTCATTACTCGATTGTGGGCGATTTCGTCTGATGTCTGACCCCCCGTCCTCCTTCGTGTCTTTCCTTACTTCCTTGAGCATGGATGATAACAAACGGTGTCCACGGGATGCCAGTACACTGTGTTTGCACCCGGCGAGCATGGACATGACCTTATCAACCAGTCGAAGATGCTCTGCATGTTCCGGCTCTGATTCTTGTCGGTGCATGGCATCAAGGCACAAAGTAACACCAGCTCCTGTGAGATGAGCTTGATCGTTCCAAACGCTGGGTCGTTCAGGATCAGCAAAAGATTGCTCGACTTCTCGAACAATCAGCTTCGAGGCTTCGATGGACGCCCAGCGAGTGTAGGCATATGCTGCGTTTCGAAAGCTAGCTCCCAAGAAGCGTCTGTGGAGGATAATCATCTTGTGGGCGAGGACGACGCGAGAAACGCTCTTCGCCCAGGCGAGCCAGGGGATGTGTGCAGAATCGGGGTGGACCTCTCGTGAGTCTATTCGTCTGAGCCTAGCATCATGTTTCAAGACTTGCTCATATCTGGCGTCGACGTCAGTGCATGCGACGGTTGCCATATGAAACTCCACCATAACCACGGCAACATCGAGGACGTGATTGGTGTAGTGTATCAATGCTTCATCTTCGGACGATTCTGCACCGGCGTCATGGTGGCTCCGAGGTCGTGGGCTGGTGAAGTGCTGAGGATGGATGCTGGACATGTCGTAAGACGAGATTGAGAACCAATCTTGCATGGCCAGGTTCCACCACACTCTTCTGCAAGTCTCTCTATGAATCCGAGTGTCTTCACTTGTACTGTCTTTTCCATCATAGGTTAGCCTCTGCAATCCCAAGCTCTGTGCCATCCGCACAGCTGCTCCAAGCATCATAAATTGCTGGTTGGAAAGGCCAAGAATGAGAGCCGATAGTGCAAGTATCTGAATCGTCTGAATCGAGTAGATGTGTGGCTTCGAAGCAAACTCTCCCAAAACGAGGCATTCCGTGGCAGCCTCATGCCACTTTTTGCTGTAATGCTGCTTCTCTTCGGTGCTCAAGTTCCACTTCTTCGCCTGCTTCTCTGTAGCGCAAGTAAGACTTGCGGACAGGACTGCAAACAGAAGCGCACACCATCGAAGGTCCAAGTCTTTGAACTGGATGTTGCCGTTGCCTGCAGAGTGGAGTACGCTCAGAACTTCTTTCTGGAACGTCGGCCCATGAAGACTATTGTGATGCCAAAGTAAGTACTTTTCGTGATACTCCATCAGCTGGAAGAGTAAAAGGTGATTTGGAAGACAGCCCTGAAGATAAGACATCTCATTGTGACGGAATCGTGCGTAGTGGTCGAAGTTGCGGACATCTTCGTCTGCAGTCGCTTCTGTATGAATGCCTGTGAGGACAGAGACATTGATGCTGTTATCGGCGATAGTTCCGTGCGGTCTTGAAGCCTGTCGATTTAACGGGCTGGTCGGAGTGCCAGGGATAGTGCGATGTTCTCGAGCTGTCACGGGGCTGGAGGACCGAGCCGTGGGTGAGTGGGATGCTGCAAGACTGCCATTGGGAAGAGTGCTCTTGGGGTAAGCTCGATGGATGCGAGCATCATACCCGCCATCCCAGGATCGTGTGCAGCTGTCGGCCTCGTTTGATTGTACACATCTCGAGCAAGGCTGCTTCCTATCGCACTTCTGTCTTCGCATGGAGCAGCGCGTACACGTTGTTCGTGCTTTCGGCATGGTCGTACCACCGTCTGTCGTGCGGTGAAGGAGTTGAATACCAGTTGTGCGTTCTCTTTCGAAGCAGGGGGAGGACCGATGGTGTTAAGTTGTTCGATGTTGATGTCGCGGATGCTTTGAGGTCATCGTACATTCGTCGTACAACGCGGCTTCGTACAACGTGATGTCCGACCAAGGTTGCCGGCCGAGACATTCCGGCTTGGCAAATGCTCCACAGTTCAATCAGCGCCGATGAGCTCTTCACTCGTGCAGCTCCTTCACACGCCTCGTACATCTCATCTCCGTCCTGAGCATTGCATCTCTAGGCCCTTTCGGGTCTTCCTGACACTTTCAAATGCTGTCAAGGGTCCCAAGGGACCACAAGCTCAAAGACGCTCCTCGTCGATTCGGACGGTGTCGCAGCTACAGAACGGCCTGAAGAGCCAAGGCTCTTCTATGGGCTGATATGTATCGCCACGGTATACAACAAGAATGGTAGAAATATCAGAATGGCGAGCTTTGGAGAGGTTCAAGTCTCGCTGCGAGCCTTGGCACAGCTCTCTTGCCAGACCTCACTCAAGCGCAAAAGCCCTCATCACTTCCAGGCAAGCCCAGTGGCGGGCATCGTTGCTGATCCTGGTGCATTCCGCGAGGCTGTTAGAACTTCATCTCATCTCGTCAGCCTGACGAAGAGGGTCTCAGCAGAGTATCGGACCATTACAATTTTGAGGCTGCAGCATGTGTTCGCGGTCTTCCCTGAGAGCAGAGAATCTGGCGTTAGCTAGTTGTTGCTTGTGAGTTTGCTGTTGGTTAACGCTGGTCAGTCGAGATCGGAATAAGGCCGATCTGCCATGATTGACGGTTGATGCGAAACAATGCCCTATTGCGCAGATGTGCACTCAGGACCGCCGATACCGGAGCTCACTCACGACACAAATATATCAGAAGAGCCAAGGCCTGGCTTTCACCTGCCTAACTGCTGCATACTCGCTTCGAACCATGTCGCCAACGATTGCGCTGACTCTCTGGTCCGGGTCGAAGATCTCATTAAGTCCATCGCTCATAAGCATTTGAAGCTGTCTACCTTTGCAGGTTCGCGGGAAATGCTCGGCCGATACTGACGAGTTGTTCGGATTTCCTCCACGGCAGTCGGCAACAGCGCTTGGCTGTCAGAAGATACTGTAACCCGAATCCCCAGGGGGGCCGCAGGAAGAACAGTGGAGGACGCAGCTGGAGAAGTCGGGACGTACCATCAAACGCCGACACGAAGACGAACCCGATCCCAGGCGCGAAGCTTGTTCCGAGCCAACGAGCTTGAAAGACGACCAAGCTTTCAGCCATGCACGCCAGCCAAGACGTCCTTCCTGACCAAGCCTTTCCCATCCAACGTCTGCTCTCGGTCAGAGTCCGCGCTTTGTCGTCATCCACGAAAACCGCAACCACACCTCCCATCAGCAGCAGCAGCAGGACGGGCGGGCTCAACAACTACCACGATGACTCCACGCACCGCTCCTCCGCATGATGACCCATCATCCCCACAAGTCACTCCCCGTGGCGGATTGCGCTTTTGGGTGGGACCGGAGGAAGAAAACCGCTCGTGTCGTGCGCTGTGATTTGCCATTTGCCGCGCTAGGTGGGCACATGGTGTTCCGCTGGGACCTCTTTCCGCACTCGCAGCAGGAGGACTTTGCGCTCGCTCCGCCATTTCCCGGGATATCGTGCTAAGGTCTGACTTATCTGTGGAGTATCTGACCGTTGGTTTAAGAGGACGGTGGTCCATGGATTCGTAAGTGTGTTGCGCTCGCTCTCTCCTCCGTTTTCTCACTTCCTCTCTTCACGTTTTCGCTGTGAGAAGCCAGCCGACAAGATGATGGAAATGCGTGGAAGACGGCTGCGTTTGACGCTGGCTTTTACTGGTGCGACTGTGAGTGGAATTGAAATTGGATGTATCAGAGAGCGAGAAGGCTGATCGTGGGAAAGGCATGGATTCTGCAAGGATACGACCAGGCACTCATGAACGGTCTTCTCACGCTGCCCTCGTTCTACAATCAATTCCCGTCCATCAACACATCTACGCCGGAGCTGGATGACAAGAATGCAACACTGCAAGGTAGCTGCAATCACCCGATATACTTTGAAACCAGATGCTGAAAAATTCCCCAGGAACCACTGTGGCATTATACGAAGTCGGCGCAGCCTTTGGCGCGCTCGCCTGTTTCTTCTTCGGTGAACGATACGGCAGGAAATGGACAACTTTTGGAGCAGCTATAACTGTCCTGATCGGAGTCATTATTCAAGCTACAAGCTTCCAATTGGCGCAGTTGATTGTAGCGAGAATTGTCACTGGTGAGAAAGTCGAGACTGCGAAATGAAAAGGGCAAGATTACTGATACGAAGCAGGTCTCGGCGTGGGAGCCTTCACAGCAACGATCCCAACATGGGTTGGTGAGAGTTCTGAAGCACATCAGCGAGGTCTGTTGATTACGCTCGAAGCCGGAGCAGCCATTTTCGGAGTCGTAAGTCACCATCTCGTACCAATGACAAACGCACCCACCATACTGAACGATTGGCATAGATGTTCGTCGGCTGGATCGAATTCGGCTTCTACTTCATCCGCCAAAACCAAGTCTCCTGGCGCTTCCCCATCGCCTTCCAAGCGGTCTTCGCCCTCATCGTCATGACCATGGTGCCCTTCCTCGAAGAATCCCCGCGCTGGCTCCTCTCCAAAGACCGCACGCAAGAAGCCGCCCTGGTCCTCTCCAAACTCGAAAACGAACCCGCCGACTCGGAGCTCATCGCCGCCCGCGTGCGCGTAATCCGCAATAGCATTGACCTCGACTCCCAAGGCCACTCCGGGAACCCCTTCGCGCGGACCCCGAACGGCCACCTCACCCGCACGCTCATCGCCATCGTCCTCAACATCCTCGCGCAGATGAGCGGCGTGAATGTCATCACTTTCTACTCCAACACCATCTTCCAGCAGGACCTGCACTACAGCGCCATCACCTCGCGCATCATCTCCGCGTGTCTGCAAACCTGGCAATTCCTCATGGCGACGTCGTCCATCTTCCTCATCGACCGCTTCGGCCGGAGGAAACTCCTCATGGCGGGCGCGTTCTTCATGTGCGTCGCCAATGCCGGGCTGGCTGGGTTGCAAGCTTACCCGGAGAACCGCACGGCCGCGGGGTGTTCGTTGATTTTCTACTTCATGGCGCTGGCGGCCTTCCCGATTGGATTGTTCCTCATTCCCTTCCTCTACAGCTCCGAAATCGCGCCGTTGAGGATCAGGACGAAAGTCACCGCCATGGCAGGATGCAGCAATTGGCTCTTCAACTTCCTCGTACGTCCCCCATCCCCTCCAAAACCACCACCCCCAACCCCCAACCCACACCCACCAAAATATACTAACACCACCCCCGCAGGTCGCAGAAATAACCCCCACAGCCTTCAAATCCATCGGCTGGAAATACTACCTCGTCTACGTCTGCACGAACCTCTGCACGGTGGTTTTCGTCTACCTCTTACTCCCCGAGACCCGCGACCGCACGCTCGAGGACATTGATGGGTTCTTCTTGGGGGCGAAGAACGCGCTGCAGCCGGTGAAGGTGGCGAAGCGCATGCCGGAGGGGTTTGCGGAGGAGTTTGATTTGAAGGAGAAGGTGGATCCGGGGAGGGGAGAGATGGTGGAGGATAAGGATTTGGAGGGGGAGGGGGCGTGAGTGAACGTGAGAGAGGTGAGAGGTGGGAGTTAGGATTTGGAGAGGGGTAGGGTGAGGGGGGGATGTAGAGAGAAAGGGAAGGGACTTTTGTTATAAAGATGTGAAACGAGTATGAACGACTGAACGAAGAACCTTCAAACTTCGAATTCTTCATTTCATTGGATATTATCCCTCACCCCTCCGTCCTCTGAAACCGAATCCTCCCCACCAAGCCCCCACCCCCATCCCCATCCCCATCCCCCTCTCTCTCCTTCCCATCCCCACCCCCACCAAAACCAACCCCCTCCAAAGCCTCCCTAACATGAAACCTCACCCTCGCGACCCCCTCCTCACTCGTCTGCCGCCCCCTAAACTCATCCCTCGGAACATGCTCCAGCGCCGCGACGAGCAACTGCGTCGAACTACGGAAAGGCCTCTTATCCCATAGGGACATGACGAATTGGATGAGGGTGACGACGATGCCGATGATGGCGACGATGGTGCCGAGGATGGCGGTGCGGGAGGAGGAGGCGCTGTAGGCCCAGACGTTCATGCGGGCGCTGCGGTGGAGGAGGGGGTGGGTTTGGGTGGTGGTGGAGGAGGATGTTGAGGGTGATGTGTTGATGTCGATTATGGAGAGGGTTTGGGCGATGGAGATCATGGTGAGGTAGTAGTAGTTGTTTTGGTCTGTGTCCGAGAGGGAGTCCGTGGAGGGATTGGGTTGTTGGGCCAGGGAGAGGAAGGTGTTCATGAGGTTGGAGAGTTGTTGGGAGGTAGAGTGGTCTGGGGATTGGATTGAGCCGGCGTCAGCGGAGAAGTCGGCGAGCATCCAGGAGGGATCGATGGTGATGGAGGTTTGGGTGTTGTCAATATCTTCGGTTTGAATGACTTGGGAGGGGTTGGTGATTGGTGAGGCATCCAGAGTGTATGTTGTGAAACCGAGGAAGGCGATGAAGTCGATGGCTGCTGTTACAGAGGTTGTATTTTGGCGTGTGGTCATTTCCATTGTGTTGACGTTGGAGCTGCGGTTTGCCACAGGTGAGGAGTGATCCATGGTGAACAGTCGATTGTAGTCGCAGTTTGTTCCGGTAGGAACAGTGCCATTCCTAAGACAGTCACCCGGCAGCCAGTCAGGAAGGACTCCATTCTCCAAAAACGCAGCTTTCTCCGACGAGAAAATGCTGATCTGCGTGTCTGGTCGCACAACTCGAGTAGTAGCATAGTCATACGTGCCAGCGACGGAGAAATTGGACATCTTGTTCGATGGGCTCCATCCCGTCCCGGTCTGTATGCACTTTGTGTAGTTTCCGCTCGAAGTCCCATCGAAGCTATCCAGATTATAGCTGTCGTAGCATCGAATTTGCTGATTAGGAGCAACCTCAACCACAGTGACAGAGGCATTGTCGAAGCTGATCCAGTTGTTCACAATAGCCCCCAGGATTGGCCCGTTGCGCAGAATAGCCAAGTTTAGACTACTGTTGTACTCGGCGTATGAGTTGTACGAATCCAATGAGCCGACATTCTGTTCCCAGGTCTTTTCGTCTACACCAAGGGACAGCAGACCAACAGCAAGAAAGTCGGCGCTGAGGTTCGAAAGGATTTCTCGATTCGGGGCCCAATACAGCGATGAGTTGTATCTAGCCGTCAGAGGCCCATCGGTGGAGATTGAGTACGTGGTGTTGATATTGAACGTAAGTTGATCCTGCTGTGTCACGCCTGGCGCCGTATTCCTGATGGACTCCAGCCATACATCGAGCGCTGAGCCAAATGTGGGAGCTGCGCAGGAATAGTTGAAGGTTTGAGCCTCGTTCGCGGTACAGTTCGAAGTTTGAATGAACCAGTTGCCAGCCTGGGGTGGGTTCGCGGCGTTCATTCCCACAAAACTACTGTTCCCAACATTTGCCGTATCAATCCATTGCAGTGTTGGCAGAACCAGAACGGCAGTCGCGGGGCCCATGAGGTTGCAGAGTGCGCACAGGCTGATGATCAGAAGCAGCAGTAAGTAGATTCTCCGCCGATATATTCTCGCAGATTTCGATCGTGCTTCACCAAGTCCAGGCGCAATCTTCCAGAGGAGTACATCGAACAGCGCAGGTAGTCGTGAGAACTCGAATGGGGTCATGAGGTATCCAATCGCTATGCCCTCCTTTTGGCTTGCAATCTGGAGAGTGATCAGGTATACCAGCAGGCCTGCTATGACTTCGAACCACACTTCAAGGGCTTTGGCGACGAGTTGCAGGGCTGCTCCAAGTTAGGACGCTGCGACGATATAGGTGTTGTTCGCGCTTCTTTACTTGCCTCCCAGCAAATTGTGGTCGTTGTGGTTGAACTTCCTCAGCTTCTCTTGGTGGGCCAAGGTGTTGAAAGCGAAGGTCTCCGCGTAGCAGTGTCTCGAGGGACACCATGCTGTAGGGCCGATGACATATCCTGGCATCTAGAGGTAAGTATAGTCCCAATCTCATGCCAGTGTATCACTTGCATCTACCTTTGAGGTTCAAAACCAGCAATGTGAGCATGGGGGCTATCCACGCCAGAGCAAAGATCTGTATGACAATGGTTGCCCACCATGGCCGATTGCTTGAGAGCTTCTCATCCTGCGCTGGCTCGACGTTCTCGGGCTTCGTCGGTTCTTCTGGACTATGGACGTCGCTGCTCCACGTGCTTGAGTGGGTTCGAAGGTTGTCCAGACTGATGTAGTTTTGACTGTCACGCTTGATGACCATCGTGGGGGCCAGGAGACGTAGGAAAAGTGCAGAAACAGAAGAGAAGAAGAAACACCTGCCCGTCTACACCCTGCCACTCGCGCTGGATACTGAAAGAGATCACATCCTCAGCTGCGTGGAAAACTCACCCACTTTGACTCTCGCTCAGGCACCTCATCTGTTTTCTATCGGCGGTACTGGGCTTGGCCTCGCACATGTTGCAGTGGTTTAATGGAAGCTTTGAAACGAATCGTTGGCGAGCTGGTTGCAGGTGAAGTGCAGCTAGCCTTGTCGAGGAAAGCCCGACAGGCACAACGTCTTTACATAAGCCGGAGTTCGTTCTGGGGCCAATCAATTGTCTCCATTGCTTTTTGCTCGACTGCGCATCAGGGCTGGCGAGGTTGAAGTTTGAGTTGTGTGAGCGGCTTGGGAAGAGCATTGAAATATGCAGTGCATACGCTGACTTTGCATTTTGTTGACTAGATGTTACATTTCCTCCACTACCACGGACTCTCACGGTGCCAGTCTACGCAGCATCGCCTCCCAACACCACGACTTCCCAGTGTCTTCAACCCTCCTTTACTAACTTGCCCAACCTGTCGAACAATGTTCCCTATCCTCCTCAGGATTAGTACCTATATGCTCGACTCTGCGGCGGCCGATGCCCGTTGGATCTCCCCCTGATTGTTTGTCGACCAGAAGAGGTGATTTTGAGTGACAAGGGATGTCTCTGGAGCATTCGGTGGTGGGCGTAAGAGAGCCGCGGGTCGATCTGATGTGGCCACTGGGGTGACTTCTCCGGTCGTCTGATTGTGACTTCGAGGGATGTCCCCAGCTGCACCATGCACTGGTGGTAATGTGTGGCGTAGAAGACGGCGAGTCCGATCGTCTTCTACATCGTCGACGAGTGGGAGGAGGATATGAGAGCTGTTCTCGTCTGACATGGTCCAGTGTCTCTCCGAGATTGGCTGCTTTCTGGAGCCCAGCTGGTATGGACGGTTGTCTTCACTTTGCTGGCTCGTCGTAAGGACCGAAAGCGGCGATCTCCATGGCCTCCATGACCCAGAAGCTCAACGTGTCGTAGACACCAAGCCACAGGTTTTGCTTGCCTTCAGCATCCAGTTCTGCTTCGCATTCGATCGCGCCGGCTTTCTGCTGAGGACTGGGAGTGGATTTCTCTTGGATAGCTCTCGAAGGCCTTCGACAGCTGGCGAGTTCTTGTTCTTGAACTCGAGTGTGATGGTGCTGCCGTTCTTGCTGCGGTAGCTGATCTTGCGTTTGTCGGCGGACAGGAACATGGGCCGTTCGGTGGCAGGTGTAGTGGCGCCCATGATTGCGATTCAGTCTCTCGAAGTTGGATGTTATCTCGATGTGTGCACGGCCAGTCTCAGCCAAGGTCGAGCAAGTGTCGGTGCGTTGAAGTTGCCGGGATGAATGCTTGTGAAGATTGGCAATGATGAGGAAACACGAACAATGGAATGATCGTCAACATACTTATATAGAGCGTACACTTAAGTTCGGTATTCCAACTTTTGTGGTTGTAGTAGACTGACGTAGTTGTGAAGAAAAGCGATGGAGGCATCGAAGCTACTAGAGAAAACGTCAAAGCCGCATCAGAGTGGGTCCGTTCGCGAGACTTAGGAGCTGGGGCTGGGCGCTGGTCACGACGGCACGCCAGTCGCCGCTCTGGAATGCTCGATCGTGCAGAGCGCCGCCGATCCGAGCAACAAAGCCTTTGCCGCTATTGTGTGAGAGAGACAGACTGATATTGGGGTGTGAATGTGAGGTGGTGGGGTGATATGGCGTCGTTAGATGAGCCAAGCCTGTGCTGAAGAAATTGCGGCCTGGATACCTGACAGTCGGCAGAGCATGAGGGGTCTTTCTTGTTTCATGCAAAAGTGGTGGAAATGGCCGATTGGATTCGATGCGGACGACACGATCGAGGCCAACACAGCAACGCGGCGCGTGACCTGCTGCTGGTGTGCTGGCGGGAGTGGGTTTGGGCGAGGCGAAAAAAGGTCGTGGGGATTGGATTGGGTTCTGCAGAGTTCGGCAGGGCATGGTTGTTCAGGGACGGCCGGTGACGTCGACGGCAAACAACGTTGAAACTTGCTGGATCACGTGCCATCAGGGGCAATCGATGAAGATGGTACTGCCAGCTGTCGAGATGAACGTACAGACTCAGGAGACGATGTTGATCTGCAATAAAGGGCGTGCCTTCCTCGAGGTGTTGAGACGGTGGATGCTCTTTCCTCGAGTCGAACAGACTGACCAGGAAGCTGCAGAACTAGCAGCGTGCAAACGCGACCAACTCGCGTGGGCTTTGAGTTTAAGCTTGCGGCAGAAGGAGAGACCCTGCTTGTTTTTGTGTGCATTGACCCTGCACCTTCCACACGCGTTGGACTCGACTCACGCCGCCCACGCACACCTCACGCCGCACGCCTTCTCTGCCCGCCAGCGATGTAGCAACGGCCACGCACGCCGACACATGTCTCGCCATCCTCACCACGACCACCATCTCACCAGCACCACCCGCTGCCATCGCTGACCGGCCTCTCGGCACCCGCGCAACCTCACCGCTGACGACGCGCGTGTTTTGATACTCCCATCTGCATTCCTCGGCCCTCCCTAGACTCGTCCACCCACCGCATCGCCGACAAACAAGGACATCCTTATCGACCGAGTCCCCGCCACCCTGCCGTGCCACTCCCGACACGCCCATCCTGTCGCCGCGACGCCCCGATCGATCTCAGCGACATCCGCCAGCTTGCGCGCCCGCCGCCTCATCAGCGATTGAATCTCGCTGCCTGTCGCCCGTCAGGCATCGCATCCCACATCGCCGCATTCCCCAGCAACAGGCGCCCCGCCAAACATCGCATATAACCGCGCCCGACCGCCCACCGCGACCGCTGACTTGTGCGACTCCCGCAACCTGGCGCATTCACAGCACGACCTGGGCTGATCGCGCGCGCACATGGTGATGGAGTTGGAGTACTCGCCGCGCCATTCGCCTGGCGGGAGCATGCACATGCTGTCGCCCACCCACGCTCACGGCACCGACGGCTTCAATACGATCCGCCAAATCCGTCGCTCCCTCTCGCGCTCGCCCTCGAAGCCTTCGCGATTCACCTTGTATACCACCAAAGGCGCCGCCACCTCTCCAGTTGCGCCCATGTCGCCTGCGCCCAGATCACCATCCCAACTGAGCCGCGCATTCAGCGCCGACTCCACACACTACACCAAGACCGCACCACCGCGAACTGGGGTCGTTCGCACGAGATCCCGAAGAGCGTCGCCTAACAGCCCACTCAGGCGCGCACTCAGCGACAACACCAACCAGGCCAACGCCACTCCCCGATACGCCACCCGTCGCTCTTCCACAGAGCAGGACCAGGAGAACGTGGACTGCACCGACGACGCCGTGAAGGCTGCGCCAGAGTCGCATTTCGACGACCCCATCAAGTTGGACTTTGCAAAGCCAGGTCCTGATAAGCTCTTGCAACCTGTCATGCGAGAACATGGATCACCCATGAAGTCCAGTCCACTGAAGAGAAGTGACGGTGTCATGAATCTTGAGGCGGCCAGCTTGGGAAGCCCGCGCAGCACCAAGCGCAGAAGCATCCATGGATCATCTCTGGGTGCCGACTTCAACATTTTCGACCAAGGCTTTGACAGCTCTCATAGTGACAATGGAGAGTCTTGTGAGGAAAAGGAGAAGGAGACTGGCCAGAACTTTGCCTGGGCTGCACCTCCTGCAAGCTCACCACAAAGACGACCATTCAGCCTGCGAAAGTCGACTTTACAGCAGCGTGCTGGGTCTGCACGCAAGAATCTCTTTGGCGAAGCTGGTCGCGAGGGTACAATGAGTCCCTCACTTTCTCGAGCTCGGTCACGAATCTCCCTGGACGGCGCACTGCCACTTCGCAGCCCTGATATGGACTCTTCAGTGCGGCGAGGCAGCTTGGGCGACCCACCGGTCTTGTTTCCACCACCTGCGCAGAAACTCTACCAGTCAGCGCCGAAGCCGCATCCGCTGTCTCACGCCTTGACCCCATCTTCGTCCACCTCTAGCGTGACTGCTGAAGACGACAAAGACGGTGAGGATGAGCCGACTCATATCGAGTTTAAGAGTATTCCCAAAGACCCTCAGCCCGACCTTCCCAGGCCTCCGCCTGGCTTTTCAAAGTCTCTGCCCATCGGCGCCATACGGCCTGCACAGGGCGGTAGTCAAGGGTCGCACGCCACACCTGCTGCCTTTAAGATGGCCAAACCTTTGCCGCAAGCTTTCATGTCCACCGGTCTGATCTCGAAGCGACATCGTAACATCGATGGACCACCGGCCAATCTCTTCTCGAGCACGCACATGCCGGACACACCGTCGAAGAAGGCACCTCATATCCAGTTTGGCGCCAGCCCAGCTCCTTCCGCGCTGGGCAAGGTGACGAAACCACTGCACGAGTTTGGCAGCCCGAGCACACCTTTCAATGGAAGATTGTCCAAGGTCTCCCCTGAATCCTTCGGCAAGGGCGTCAACATTTTCGGCTCGAAAGTCAACCAGCCACAACTCACTCGTCGCAGCAGTTTCCTTAGCGCAGATGGAGACGACCAGAGCAACTCACCTACACACCACTTGGTGGGTCCTGCGAACAACGATGATTTACCGCCAACGCCAACAAAGTCGACATCTTCTGCCAGCACCCGGCCACAATCAAAGGGAAAGAGCAACAGCTTGCGCAGCAGTCTGTTTGGGAGGAGAACTTCCCTGGGTCCCGACACGTTTGCCTCACCAGCCGACCGTGAGCATTCGCCGACACCAGGTGATGAATGTAAGTACATGGGTGCGTCTACGCCTTGTTTTCGAGCGGAGAAGAGGGACGCAGACTGCGCGATTGATGACTCGCCTATGCCGTTCATCACATTGACAGCCTGCGCAACTCCTTCGCCGTCGTTGTTTCGGAGCCAGTCGATGCATGAACCGCAACGACCGACTTCTCCTTCACCGCTTGCCAAGAGATCAGTTCGATCTTACCCCTTGTTGGATGCGTGCGATGATCCGCGTGCCTGGTCTGACTCTCTTCCAGCTCCATGCCCCTTAGACACCAGTGAGGAGCCACACAAGTACTCTCCTCACACTCCGCAGGACTCCTTCGTCCCACCGGACCCAAGCAACCTGTCGATATCTGTCGAGAACAAGTCATCTCTCTTCAACAGCAACAGCTTCCCACCAGCAACGCCAACTGGACCCAGAGACAGTCACTTCGGCCTTAGCATTACCCAAGGACATGGCTCATCCGGTTACTTTGCGAACGATGTCGACACTGCCATGACCTCCCGCTTTGCATCTGTCACCTCCCTCGGCATGGGCGAATTCTCCCAAGTGTACAAGGTCGAGAAGCCACTCCAATCGGGCCCTTCACCTGCCGATGTCAAGACGTGCGCATCCAGCAACGTCTGGGCTGTCAAGAAGTCGAGGAAGCCTTATACTGGCGTCAAGGATCGTCAGCGTAAGATGCAAGAAGTGCAGATTTTGAAACAGCTCCGCGGCAACGAGCACATTGTCGAACTGGTGGATGAGTGGGAGGCTAAGAACCACCTCTACATCCAGACCGAGTATTGCGAGAATGGCAATCTGAAGGACTTCCTCCTGTCCACCGGATTCAAGGGTCGATTGGACGACTTTCGCATCTGGAAGATCCTGCTGGAATTGTCGCAAGGCGTAAAGTCAATCCATGACGCCGACTTCATCCATCTCGACCTCAAGCCCGCCAACATCTTCATCGACTGGGAAGGCCTGCTCAAGATCGGCGACTTTGGCATGGCAAGCACGTGGCCAGCCCCTGCTGGCATTGACGGGGAAGGCGACCGCGAGTACATCGGCCCGGAAGTCCTTTCTGGTCGATTCGACAAACCCGCCGACATCTTCTCGCTCGGTATGATCATGCTGGAGATTGCCGGTAACATCGTGCTTCCCGACAACGGAACATCATGGCAACGCCTGCGTGCGGGTGACTTGAGCGACCTACCGAGCTTGACCTGGAGTTCGGACAGCAATCTTATGCGGGATGAGTCAGGCGATCCTGTTGAACTGATGCATGGTCAGTCGAATGAGTCCCTCTGCGCGTCGAACCAGGGCGACGATGATCTCAGCTTTTTGCGTCCCACCGGACCCACGATGGAGCGCAGCCAGGAACTGGTGAAGCCACCGAACTTCATGGTTGACCCGACAGATTCGGAAGCTCTGGATCGTGTGGTTCAGTGGATGATCTGTCCAGACCCTGACAATCGCCCTGTCATCGATCAGCTGCTCGCAACTGGAAGCGTACAATGGGTTGATCAGCGACGTCGCGCGGGAGCCACCGTATATGAAGGCAACTATGGACCAGCAGACGATGTTCTGAACCACGGTATGAAGGAAGACGATGTCGAGATGACCGACATATGAGGTCTATATCATCAAGGTCGCAGACGAAGGAAGGTGGTTACACCAAAGGGAAGATTCTGGTTTTTGCGCAACGCACCGCTCACGCACCTTGCTTGGACGGTCGTGACACATGCACATGCACAGACGGAGGGGTGCAAGGAGAGAACGCATTTCGAATTGATGGGGTGGGAGAGGCGAAGCAAACGGACAGTATTGACGGCATTTAACGAACTTGACGACCAACAGAAGAAGAGCATCACAAAGGCGGCGTTTTTGGGGATCATGGGGACTATGGGACACGGCACGGATACGGACACGGACGCGGAATCATACAGAGATGATGCATCGGACACGGCAGTATGGGAGGTTTACTTTTTTCTTGTTGGACGATGTTGGTGTTGGACAGAAGAGGGAGAAGATGGTATGGTCTGTATGGTGTGCATGGCAGCATGGAGTATTAGCATGTAGGGTTTGGTAGCGATGATACCCGAAGCTTTTGAAGTGAAGAGTCTTGATCTTGTTTCCTTGCTTTATTACTTTTGTGTTGTGGTGATGTGTTCTGCCTTGCTTGAGCACGCTGCTGTGATGAGTACGAAGAGTTGCAGCAGGCTGTTGTGGAGCCTGTCGTGTCATGCTGGTTTCCAATGTGTACGGCATGAGTTGGAGTGAGGAGGATGTGAGGGTGTGGGGTTTGTTTCCAGATTCTCGGGTCGTTGCATGTATGCATGTAGTCGGGATTTGGGGAGTAGGTGTGGTGTGGTTGTGCTGCATGATTGATTAGTAGTCGTGAAGATGAGCGAGGGAGATGGATTCTGTGAGCGATCCAGCTTGGTGGACTTGGAAAACTTGTCGATGATTCAAAGCGATTTGGCCTATATACATCGTTGTCGGTGATCACAGCACCGCGCAAAGTAAATGTATCTTTTTTGTTTCTTTTGGCTTCACTGGTGATGAAGATTTGCGGACACGCGCATCTCCTTTACGGACAGGCGATAAGCATCTGTGCGAGCGACTGCACGGAGTTGGAGGTGGGAGTGGAAGTTGGGGTCCTCGCCATCCCACGCCTTGTGATTTGGAAGACAGTTAGATTTTGGGTGTTGGTTCTTCTCGTTGTGCTCCGTGGCGGTCGACATGCGGCTGAGAGGGCGAAAACTAATGTAGAGCTGAAGTGAATGAGTGAGAATCTTGGATCCAAAAAGAAACGCTTCGGCATCCGAGATACAGATTTGGTGAAGGCTTCTTGTTCCTTCGTCTGTCGTTAGTAGGCGTTTGGTCTGCCACGTGGGGGTAACGAGGTATCCGTTCGCTTCTGGCCTTCCTTCCCATCACATCACATCGCCGGAGGAATGGTTTTGAGCCTTCGGTGTTGTTCGGTCGTTGCTGGAATTCTTTTTCATCGGCTTGATGAGATAGAGTTCACGTACGTAGACATGTCTCTTTTTCCGAAAACAGGAAATTTCCCTCTGCCCTACGACGGTGATAGGCAGGTAGGTAGGTGTTCGGTGTAGGGAGTCGATCGGCTACTGGGCCATGCACATCCGGCTCTTTCGTTGCCGCTGCGGCTGCTGCATGTGCTCACGAGACTCGTGTGGGAGACAGAAAATGCTCCGTCAGCGAGTGGTCTGTGTACATGTAGTGAGGCTAGTGCGGTGGCGCGGTCGCGAATGAAAAAGTGGCACGTCACCAACAGTGAGCCAGCGAGGAGACTTTTGGAGGATGCGTGGGTGATGGAGAGTGTGTTGTTGTTTCCTTGCTTGCTGCCTTTTCGCTCACCGCTGCCCACGCTTCGATCCCTCCTTGCGTGTGAGAGCAGCGTTTGTTGTGGTGCAAAAGCGTGGGCCGTTCGTGCGAAGGGATAGATGTGAGGAGTCGTTCTCGGATGAGACGGTACATTACTATGTCACGGCAGGGCAGGTCGGGACCTGTATCTGTTGCGTGTGGCGCTGGCAGAGATGCTGCGTGTTGGATGCTTTCACATGCGCCGCAAATGCCCGGGGGAAAAGAGGTGCAGATGCCGACGGGGTGCAACGTAAGCCTGTCTGGAGTGTAGCATGCGGTAGGATTGCTGTGACAAGTACTTTTCGTCTCGTCGCTGGCTCTGCTGTTACGTTTGCTTTTTGGCGGAGGGTTGTGTTCCTGGTCAGCCACTGACGCCGTACGAGCATCACTTTCCGACACGCACTAAATTCCTCGCGCTATCCTCCTTCGGGCGTCACAAACAACGCAGCCTGAAGCACTGGACGTTGTTCGGCACGCACCGCCGCTGCTGCTTCTCTTCACCTTCGCTCGCTGTTCTTTGTCCACGACTCGTCTGGTCTTCCTCCTCGCCCGACCACATACCACCCACCGCCAACCCTTTCCCGGCCTCCCTCCCACCGCCGAACCACACGCGACCCGAGCCCCGTACCTGAAGACTGCACACCCCTACTCCGCAAACAAACAGCACCACGTTTGCTGACGACCCGGTCTGCTCCTCTTCTCCACCGAGGCCTTACCCGGCTGCTATACGGCAAACCCTTGACCACCCTTGCTATTGCGACTAGCTTTTCTTTCCCTCTGCGTCACCCACTGTCACCTTCGTTAAGAGCATTGCCGACCATGAAGTCGTGACGCAGACGACCACCATCCCGACACAACACCATGGGAACTACACTTTGGAAGTTTAAAGACAGATCACAGAGTCGCTTGTGCAATGGCGAACAAAGATAGCAACACCGACTTCCGCTCCCTCACCGGGCAGGGCGAGACGGTGGAACCTGCGAACAACAGTAATGGCTCGAGTCCTACAGTCTCCAGGAAGGGTCCACAAAAGCCGCAATCCTCTCAATCATCGCAATCGACCACACCTACGCCCACTCCGACGCTGAGAAAGTCCTCGTCGAGCAACCTAGCACCCCAAACCGCATCGCCGCTGGCCGCCAGTCCACATACCTCGCGAAACACCTCGCCCATTCGAAAAGATAAGCCACCGACGATATCTGGGAATCTCTCCACCCAGCCCTCCGCAGCGGCTATTCAAAGAGCTTTGTCAGCGTCGAGCGTACCTCAATTGCAACAGCAACAACAGCAGGGAGGTGCAGTGACAGAGGCGGTGTCGAAACTGCCCAGAGTACCTAAGAGTGCCTCTGCGTCGGGCGAGAACACACCTTCATGGCCTGTGTCGCCGAGACTGAAATCGCCTCCACCGTCTGGTCCCACTTCTAGACGAGGTTCTGCTGCTGCGGCGGCGCAAAGAAGAGATCAACCTACCACTCCGAGCATCGAAGTCATCAGCTCAACACCGCAAAACAATCACAACACATCGCCAGTCGTTTCCAGACAAGCGAGTCGCGACAATCAACGTCCTGACCCACAACTACAACCACCTCCACCTCCAAAGGCATCGTCTCGCGGTGCAAGTGGAAAGTCCATGTTGGAGACCGTGCAGGAAAACAGCGCCGATGCTCAGGAACCCAGTCCTGCTGCAGTGCAGGCTACTGCGGACTTGAAACCACTCACCAAGATCTCTGACGACGAATCGAAGTCACCGAAACGAGAAGCACCGAAACAAGAAGGAGAGCAGAAACCCGCCCAACAGGGTGAAAGTGGCAGTGAAAGCGCTGGCAACAAGTCAGACTCGAATCAATCCAGAGGCCGCAGGCAGTCAGCATCTCAACCTGCGAGCAACAGCGCACAACAACGGCCGAAAAACACAGCACCAAAGAGCAGCTACTCACTTACGACGACAAAATCGCGCGCTGGTGATGGGAAGCAAGGCATGACGGTGGAGACGGAAACCGTTCAATCCATCCCGCAGTCTGGCCTTGCTCCTGCCGGTGAAGGCGCCAATCGTCTCAGGACTGACAACAGCGGCAGTATAAGATTGAAGGCCAGCAACGAAACTATCCGACCAAAGAAGGAACGCAAAAAGGCTGATCGTCAGAAAAGAAGCGTCAATCAAGGATCAGGTATGTCTTATACTGCTCATTCTTCCTTTCATCTGCGCAGGCTCTATGAGGATCGTCGATATGTCAGTGCGTATGAGTCGCTCTACTACAATGCTTTACGACAGCGCAAAGACGAGCTTGCACAGCAGCAAAGTCCTGTCCCAGCGTCTCGGGTGAAGCGGGCGAGATCGATGATTTGGCGCGAAGAGGACGACGAGAAAGAGATCAGCGTCTCCGCACTGCAACGGCCTACTTTCCCTCATGTTTTGAAGCACGCATTCTCGACTGGCATTCTCGGTACACTTTCTGACAGATTTGTGCGCAAAGCCACTTCAAAAGCCGACCTCTTCGAGGCCCGCGTGGCGAATGCGGTAGATGAGGCGAATACGTCGGATTCGGATGAGACGTTCGTGTACGAATCGAACCCACCCGAACCACAGCGAAGAGGTCGACACCATTCTAGAACTCCATCAGTCACGTCGTCACACAGTATGGCTGAGCAGCAGCCACGGGGAGCTATTCGAGGGTTTGGAGACGCCTTTGATGAGCGACGAGTTGGTGGAAAACGAAGCATGAAATTCTCCAGCAACCCATACAACGACGTCGATAGTCCTGAGAGCAACAGCGGTACGGTACGAACACATACACCACGACACATCGGGCGATTTGGCAGAGGCGGCCATCATTCGGCAACTTATGAGCAGGATTCACCTTTCACGCAAGCCTCGAAGCTGCGCCAGAACCATCAAAGATCAAGGCCTAATTCGCCCAAGAGCCCTCATAGTATGCAATTCCGGTCTGCTGGATTCTTTGCTGGCAATAGGAAACAGGAACCGTACGACTTTGATGCTGAACAGAATGCAGATGACGAGCGAACGCCACTCATGGGAACGGTACGAGGACCTCGAGGTATGCGGAACTCACGGCGGTTGCATAGCAGTGTCCATGAAATGGACGACGAGGATGAAGACGATTCGCGCTGGCGATGGTGGAGTGGACGGTACAGCGCTTGCTGTCTTACTACCCTTGTCATCATTCTGGTCGTTTTTTCGGCTATTGGGTTCGTCTTCTCCGCGAATCGGCCGCTGTATGATATTGAAATCCACGAGATCAAGAACGTCCTTGCCAGCGAGCAGGAGTTGTTCTTGGATTTGAAGGTCGGCGCGATCAATCCGAACACTCTGAGCATTAGTGTTGCTGATATGGACGTCAATATCTTTGCCAAGAGCAAACATGTGGGTAGTCACAAGCCGAAGGATGGCGCGAAAGAGAGTGGGCGAAGGGAGGAAAGAAGATCGAGTGGATCTGGGGACGACCGCAACCCCAACCCCATACAGGATCCAGACGGTCACTGGCATGCACCTGGCTCAGATGGTAAGGACTCTGACCTGGAGAAGGATGCGCAGACGATGCTTTTGGGGCGTATTTTCCACTTCGACCAAGCGCTGTCCTTTGACGCATCTCCGGTCAAACAGAAGAAGCACTACTCGATGGGCCAGGTGCGACTGACGAAGCCTGGCAACAAGACGGAGATTCGAGGCAGTGAAAGATGGGAGCAGGTCATCCAATACCCGTTCGAGCTGATCGTCAGGGGCGTCTTGAGATACCAACTTCCAATCTCTGCACGCATCCAAAGCGCAGCAGTCGGCGCGTCCGTCATGGTTCACCCAGAAGAGGGCATCGACGACCGAGGCAACATGCGACTGGAGCCGATCGACCACTCCGAGCACTGGCAATGGATTGACTGGCCCGACGTTTACGACGACGATCGAGTAGAAGGGAACAAAGTGGAGGAGATTGAATAACACAGCGAACATGGACACGGGCTACACATCGGTTTCCAACATCCAATTTGCATCATAACAACAAATTTTTGGAGCGTTCAAGCGAAAACACAAAACACCACCCACGACAAGGACACTGGATAGGAGGAGTTTACCAAAGCGCTTGGCATCTTAAGACCAAGGCGATGCATCATCGGAGCAAGGAAAGGAATGGCAGGGCATTCAAAGAGGTACTGGCATCACGGGCTCAACGCCGTCTTCTATTGTATTAGTCTTGATATGACTTTTGCTGCGAGAGACTTCAGATCCATGTATTGGATAGAAATTGAAAGCCTAACTGAGGCGGATTCTACAATGTCTCTTTGTTTCGATTGTTTGCGCGAACATGCTTGCTGGGAAGTTGATTGTCCTTTGTCTTGTGAACTCCAGTCTTGGCGCACGCTACGTTCCCGCTTCCCGTCGGAACGAGCCGACTCCACACTACAACACCTCGAGCTTGTGATCGTAGGAGACCATCACCACCACCGCGACATCCACCACCTCACTCGCAGTCGTCAGCTGAAGCACAAGCGACAGCCTACATCAGCGACCACACCTCACTCTCATATTTCTATCACCTCACTGCGCGACAACTCGCGACACTCCACTCACCACGCCGCACCTCACTTGCGCCTGTCACATGCTCGATCGCGAAATCCGACCCATGCGATGAACGCCCTACCGCCGCCATGAACCCCGCCGAGCTCTCGCTATCCACCATCGCCCCCGCGGTGACGAACCATGTCGGCGGCAAGACGATCGCGCAGCAAGGCGCCGCCGCGCTGGGTGGAAATTCAAAAGTCGAGCGCGTGAACTTGGAGCCGATATATCTGCAGTTGAAAGCCGCGCTGGGGGAGGGATGGGGAGAGTATAAACTCGCTTTGGGGCAGTTTGTGAAAGGATGTCTGAATCAGTCGGAGTTGGCGTGGGTGTTGCAGCCGGTGCTTTCGTCGACTCCCACGGCTGCTGCTGCGGCAGCGGATGCGAATAAGGCGCTGCCTGTGTCGACACTGCATCTGCATAATACCCTCCTCGCGGCGCTTTATGCGAACAGCATACGCGATCCTCCTCCTACCGATGTTGCGCCATGGGTTGTTGCGACGGACAAGCCGACGTCTACGTCGAAAAGCGCAGGCGCGGGGGCTGTTACGAATGATAAGTTTGAGGAGAGGCAGAAGAACGAGGTTATGGGTATGGCGCCGCGGGATCGCAAGAGGATTAAGGCGTTGAAGGAGGTTGGGAAGCCGGTCAATGATCCTTTCCATGAGATGCATCTCTATGCCAGCGAGCTGGTGGTCAAGCCTTCTTCGCAGACACAACAACAGGCAGAGCCGCAGAGCGCGACGGGCACGGGTCCAAGCACAGCGACGGCGACATTGGCGCGGTCGAGCCATGATCTTGAGATTCGGAGGCGGTATGCGCAGACGCTGGCGTCGGAGGCGCTGGAGTTTCCTGGTGTCGCGGATATGCAGAATCGGATCGAGCCGATTTGTTACGAGGAGGGTCTTACTGGAGGTGTGCAGCAGGGCGCTTTGCAGTCTGTTGCAGAGCTGGTCGAGCAAGCTGCTGAGGTGTTTGTTAAGGAGATGCTGGGTGGCTTTCTCGGCCATGCACGCTCTAACGGAGTGGGTGGAGAGGGCATTCATACGAACAAATTCCGGAGACAGTTGCGCAAAGAGGAGAATGATCTCGACAGAGGCATCCTGCAACGAAACGCGGCCGGTTTGCTTCCCATTGAAATGGAAATGCAAGCCAAGCGCGATCCCCTCGACATGCAAGACCTCCGCCTCTCGCTCAAACTCGCCGATCCCTACCTCGAGATCGACCACTTCCTCGACGAAACCGTCATGCTCACACACTACCCGGACATCTCCACCACACCCTACCTCAACGGCTTCGGCGGCGACCACGGACGGCCCCTGACGAACGGAGTTAAGCGCTCCTCGACGGCGCCTCCCGATCCTGACGCCATGGAGTTGGACTTGGATGTTGGCGGGTTCAAGGGTGTGGAGAAAAGGGATCAGGAGAATGTCCTCACCGCTCTGGATGATTGTTTGCTGGCTGCTGGGTAGAATTCAGAGATTGCTGTATGTGGACAATTCGTTCAGGGTGGGCTTGATGGCTTGGATCCTTTTGGAGGGGAGGGGATGGATCGGGTGGGATGGGGGAATTTCTTCTTCGGGGGTGAAGGAGACGGGTCTGGACTGGGAGGTTTTGGTGGCTTTGTCCCGGTGATGTCTGGTGGGCTTGGTGGGAATGCGGCTCAGACGCTCAAGGATCCGACTACTGTGGGAGAGCTCTTTGGTGAGGAGAGCACGCCGCAGCCTGACACCAGCCGCCGGGAGAGCACGCAACCGCGCACGAAGACTTCGAAGGCAAAGGTTATGGTTGATGAGGAAGACCTCGCTGAGACGAGTACGGCGCCCACCAACCGTCGAGAGAGCACGCAGAGTCGTAAGAAGAGTTCAAAGCCGAAGCCAATGCCAACGGTTGATGAGGAAGACGACTTTCTGCCTGACACGCAGGTGGAGCGACCTCCTACAGGACGTCGAGAGAGTGCACAGGGTCGCAAGAAGAGTTCGAAGCCGAAGCCGAAGCCCACGAGTGATGAGGAAGATTTTCTGCCTGACACGAATGTGGAGCGACCCCCCGCTAGCCGTCGAGAGAGTACGCAGAGTCGTAAGAAGAGTTCGAAGCCGAAATCAATCAGTGATGGGGAAGAAGATTTCCTGCTTGAGACGAATCCGAATCCCGCCAGCCGTCGAGAGAGCACGCAGAATCGGAAGAGGAGTTCGAAGCCGAAGACTGCGAATCAACTGCCTCCCGACGAAGACGACATCACTGTTGCGCCGCGGAGTAAGAAGAAGCGGAAGAAGTCCATCGGCTCAAACTTTGCGAGCGACGATGAAGCACCTGAGCCCGCTCCCGTGAAGAAAACCAAGACTGCGATTCAAGCACCCACTAACGAGGATGGCCCCGCCTACACACCCCGCGGCAAGAACAAGAAGAAGCGCAAGCTTAGTTCGAACTTCGCAAGCGACGATGAGGGACTAGCGCCGCCACCACCGCCTCCTCAAGTGAAGGCTCCAAAACGCAAGAAGCGGATTGAGGCGTCTGAGGGTGAAGATGAGGATGAGGATGTTATCCCTCGGGCACCGTCTTCACCGCCCCCGAAGAGGAAGAGGAAGGTCGATTCGAAGAGGAAGAAGCAGAGCCAGAAGGATGATGAATACGGCGCGGATAAGGCCAGCGAGAAGAGTAAAGAGTCCGACTTTCCCGCTGTCTCACTGACGAATCCTTATCAACTTCCGACTAAGACTCAGGCCGGGGTCCCGAAGAATGGTGCAGCGGCGCCGACTCCCGCTATACCTTCGCGAAAGCCATATCCAGTCCAGCAACCGGCTGGGAACAAGACCGCAAATGAAGCCATTCGAGACTCATCCCGCCCGCCCGAGGACCTGTTCGTCCCTTCAGACCGACGAGGTTCAGTCGCGCAAAGCCCTTCGATCTGGACTACAGCTCGAGCTCCATCAGCTCAGGCTGCGACTTTGAGGGGATTTACTCGTGCCCCGTCGATGCAGCCCACGCCTTTGAACAGATTTACTCCGACAGATGCACGAGCAAGCGTGTCGCGGGAGTTTGGCCAAGCTTATCATACTCTCCCTACGACTGCGACCCACGTCAACCAACAAGACTTCGATCGCACTGCGCTGTTTCAGCTGAGGCATCGTGAGCAGGAAGCAAGCGGAGCGGAGAGTGTTGGAATTGGCTTGCCCGCCAGCTTCGTACCTGCTAGCGGATACAGGGCAGAATCTGCTGCGAGCAGCGTGCCTGATAAGACCGTACCTGGAAACAGACAGAGTGCGGAGCCTGGGAATTCTGGCAGTCAGCAGCAAGCTCCAGCTGCAGGCCAGGACGACTGGGTAGCCCGATTCGGCGAGTGGGCGAACTCGGCAGAAGGCGTTGCGGTGTTCTCTGGCATCTCTGGCAATGGATCCCTGAGCGACACACAGCCACAGCAAGTGGGTAGCACCGGCCAGGAGGAGATCGATCAGTACTCTGCCGAGCTGGGACGGGTTGAGAAGGAGAGCGAGCGAAGACAGCAAGCCCAGAGTATGTCGAACACGCCAGCACCAGCGGTGGACACGGCACCTTCCCCTCCTACGCAGGCCGTGAACGGGAGGTCGAACAGCGTCCAGCCAGCGCGAGCAGAGGCTCCGGCGCAAGATCCGATGAATGACTTTCTCGACGCTCTGGGCGATGCGAGCCAGAAGGTCAGGAACAACGTGAGATCCCCTCAGAACATGGCGGCGCCGCTGAACGTACAAGGAGATACGGAAGAAGCCCATCGACGCCAACGCGGGTTGAGTTCGTCGTCTAGTGCGAGTGTCCACAGCGCGGTGACTCAAGGTTCGCATAGTCACCAGCGTAGTGAAAGTACTGCTTCCGATAGGACTTCGACCCGGATGCCAGCTCAATCGCCCTTGGATCGTGCGTCTGTCGCTCCTAGCAGGACTCCAACCCGAACTCAAGTTCAGCCTTCTGCTGCGCCCATGCTCCGTCGCATGGGTGGCGACAACATCAACACGTTTGATGGAGCCGGGGACTTCTCCGTGCAGCCTCAACAACGCCCCTTTGCACGAGGCCCAGGTCTCTTCACGCCTGATCAGAAGATGAGCTGGTCTCAGTGGAATAATGTCGCCGGTAGTCAATCCCAACAGATCATGGCCGGATACCAGAGTCCATTCTCCAATGGCATGAGTGTCAACCCGTTCATCTCAGCGCCGCCGCAGATGCTCCCACAGCAGGGCTTTGGCGTGCCTGTGCAAGCGTCTAGAATGGCTCGCAGCGTGTCAAATGGAAGCTCGCAGGGCTCGACGCAGCAACGTGGCATGAACGGCGGCGCAGGTCAAACTACGATGCCGCCACCTGCCAGTCCTATGCAAGCAGCAAGTCGCTCGTTCCAAGATCCAGCAAGTCAAGCTAGACGAGACAGCATCCTCAGTGCTTACGGTCTGCCAAATGCGAACAGTCCTCCCATACTGCTGAGTCAGTACCCACCTCAACAGGCATCACAGCGAGGATTCTCTGTCTCGCCGCCGAGGATGGCAATACCCATGCCGAATGGTCTACCTTCTATCCGAACGGTGCCTTCTCTCCCGCCTTTCATCCCTGGGACAGGAACTCCGGTAGTTGGACAGCAGGCGAGTTATCACGCCCATCAGATGCCTGGCTCTGGACTCCAGGGACCGGGCCCCTCAACGACGCCTCAGCGCTCGCCAGTACAACAAAGCCAACAGCAGGCCCGCACACCACCTCAGAACACCCAACCCCATCCCTCAACCCCTCAAACGACAAAACCCGCTCTCCCCAACATCATCAACAACAGCGAACCCCCCGCTTCGTCCCCACGCCAGGAAGACCTCCAGCTTTCGGTATGACCACCTCACCGCAGAATGATGCGAGTCCGCGTTTCGATGATTTCCAGCGGCATGAGTTTTGATGTCGGTGCGGACGTTGTACTGCTGGGGATGTGGACGGCGGTGGTGGAGGGAGTGGAGGTGGAGAAGGTGGAAGTGCTGGTGAAGGTGGTGGAAGCAGAGCCCCACCGTCCGTTTAGGTGATGACGCCGGGTGGACGGAGGAGCCAGGTTGTTGGGGTGATTTGATGGTTGGTTGGGATTGGGTAGTCATCCAATCTCATTCTCAATTCATCAGTGGTGGAGATGATGGTTTGGGCTGGGATGGGGGATTGGGGTTGGGTATGCTCATAGCGCTAGGAAGGCGTGCGTTGCGTGCCATCTGTATTGATTGTATGGACGAGCCGCGCTCAGCAGAGATTGCAAGATGCAAGACTGGTGCTTTGAGTGTTTGCATTTGAGTGAGGGAGCGGGAGGTGAAATGAGACGAGAAGAGACAGATAGATTAATAGACAGACATGACAGACCTATGCATTTCGTACAGCCCGCTGTTGTCTGTTGTCTGTTATGTCCTCCCCTGGTTGCCGGGTCTGTTTCACCGGCCTTTATAGATGAGCAGGATTTGAATGAAATAGATAGTAGCTTTTCATATACTATACATTCAAAGTCTACATGTCTACCATCTTATTCTTGACTCTTCCACGAATCAAGTCCAACGCAGCTCTCCTTTACGCCACTTTCTTCCCCTTCCCCTCCTTCCTCCCAATACTAACATCCAAACTCCCCACCACCCACGCCACGACAAACACGGCGAAAATCCCCGCCGTGATGGTGAGCGGCTTAGTGAACTTCGCCACGAAGGGATAGTCGTAGGTGACGATGAGCTCGCGGTCGCGCAGCTCGTCGACGATGTTGACGGCCGTGAGGGTCAGGGCCGTGCGGCCGATGGTGTCGAGGAAGGTGCGGTGTAGGGAGGTGGTGTTGGAGATGATGGGGAGGGTGGTTTGGAAGTGGACGTTTCTGGCGTGGATGTGTTAGTTTGAATGGATGCGGGTGGGGTTGGGGATATACGCACGTCGCGCCTTCGGGGAGGATGACTCTCGTTACGATGCGCTCGTACTCGATGCCCTCGGCCTGCTTTGGGCCCTCGAAGAAGGGGATTTTTAGGACGTAGCTCTCCCCGTCACCGCCTTTGACTTTGCGCAGGAAGTTCTGCAGATCGCCATTCCAGCCGACTTTGAAGCTGTAGTTCCATCCCCCGAACATGGGGTATCTGGGCTTGAGTTCGAGATTCGCCTCTTTCTTGTTCGTGCGGAAGCGGCTCGTCGAGACGTTGCCGATGTCGTCAGTGAAATATGCGTCGACACTTCCGACCACCAGCGGGAAGCGCATCTCTTTCAAGGCGGACGTGGGAGGGTTGTAGTAGCTGCTCTGCTGGTACTGCACGCGGTTGAAGTGGTTCTTGAGCGTCGCGGCGCGGTTCGTGAGCCATTGGCGTTCTTCTGTGGCGATGTTGCCGCCCCAGTGCGAGACTTCGATGTCCCTTTCGAGCAACTTGCTGTGCGTGAGAGGTTTCGTGAACTCATATCGCACGCTGACTTCTTGCGTTGCGCCCGCTTCGATCTCGCTGTATGGACCATAGGTGTACGACGTCCCTTGCTTCTGCGGGTCTTCTTTCCCCTCTGCGTTGAGGGAAGCGGGGAGGGTCACGGCGTCTGGGACGTCGGTCGTGGGGAGTTTGAGCTTTGTCTTTTGCTTGACGGTCGTGTAGGCCGAGGGTGCGTAGGCGGAAAATTTGTGCAGGACGTATTGTTTGTCGGTTTGCTGGATCTCGCGGGGAAGGGGCGAGAGGGCGGAGAGGACGAAGTAGGTTATCGAGAGGGTGAGTTGTTCCTTCGGCGGGAGGGGTGTTGGGAATGTGATTTTGTAGTATTCCGTGGTGCTGCCAGACAATCAGATGCGACCGTCTTCTAGCGGGATTGTTATTTCCATACCTGAACGGATTAATACCAACAACATCCACCGCGAAACCCTTCTTCTCCGGCTCCTTCTTATCTACAACCTCTAATCCACCAATCTGCCCTAATGACCCCTGTTCGAAGGGGATATAGTACTCCCTCTGCGCCGCCTTATCGATATTCTCAATCACAACATTAATCGTCTCCTTGGGATAGCTCTTCTCCAGGTTGATATTCCGCACGAGGTTGACATTGCGGAAGTGCTTCGGGGGCGAGAACGCCGACGAGAGGATATTTCGTGATTCGTGCGTGAGGTTCGAGTCGGCGACGGCGGTGGTGCTGAGGAGGCCCAGCCAGGCCCAGGATATTAGCGACCTCATCGTTGTGTCGGCATTGGGGTGTGTGGATGCTCTCAATGCTTTGGGCTGGAGCTTGGAGACGTGTCGACTTGAAAGTCGTCGTCAGACTTTCCTTCTTGGGAAGACGGGGTTTTCTTGGCATTACACTTCACCTGCATGTGATAGCTGCTATCTACTACACGTACCAAGACTTCTGACTCACCCCAGGAGGATGGATATAAAGATGCTTTTCAATTGAGACTCCTTGAGACTCCTCTCGACATCGACTCGAAAGGCCATCGACAGTCACATCAAGAAGGACGGGACAGGAAATCACTGTCAACCCGGACCATACCACTGGACGGTATTCTATCTCAGTCTTCGTCAGCATGGCTTCTACTTGGACTTGCAGAGCCTGTCGCTCGGCCTGGCGCTCGTCAAGACTGTCGAAGACCAATCCCATCCTTCGACGCTCGCTTTCCACCAACTCCAAATTCTTCAAGGTCTCAGAAGAAATTCTACAAGCCATCGCCGAGAAACGACCAGTCGTAGCTCTTGAAACAACGATATACACCCATGGATTCCCTTACCCGGATAATGTTGCTCTATCAACGAAACTAGAGTCGTTAGTCCGAGAGAATGGAGGTGTTCCTGCGACGATAGGCATTCTCGATGGCGTAGCTAGGGTTGGTCTTGATTCAAAAGAGCTTGATCAGCTCGTCTCATCACCCGGCTCCCCTAATGTCTGGAAACTGTCTCGAAGGGATCTTGGCTTCGTACTGGGAATGAAGGACGCAGAAGGCAAACCACTCAATGGCGGGACCACGATCTCTGGAACGTCCGTATTGGCACACATGGCTGGCATCAAGATCTTTGCTACGGGAGGTCTGGGAGGTGTTCATCGAGGCGCTGAATTGACAATGGACGTTTCGGCAGATCTGACGGAGTTGGGAAGGACTCCTATCACTGTCATAAGCTCAGGGTGCAAATCTTTCTTGGACATCCCGAAAACTCTTGAGTATCTGGAGACACAAGGCGTAGCGGTTGCTACTTTTGCGGCCGGTAGAACGGGGTCTGTTGACTTTCCCGCTTTCTATGCCAGAGACAGTGGCGTCAAGAGCCCCGTAGTGCTTCGAGATGAGATTGAGGCCGCGAGAGTTATCTTTGCGCAGAATTCGCTCGGCCTGCAGTCTGGCCTGCATTTCGCCAACCCGATTCCTGATAAATTCAGTGTGCCCTTCCAAGAAATGGAGAAGGCGATTGCCGAGGCCTTGGAAGCTGCCAGTGCTGCTGGGTCGAAGGGCGCTGCGATTACCCCTTTCATTCTGGATAAGATCAAAGAGGTTACGGGAAGTAGGAGCGTGGAAGCCAACCGAGCTTTGGTTGAAGCCAACGTCATACGCGGCACCAAGGTGGCAGTCGAGTTGAGAAAGCTTGAGCAAGAAGGTAGCGCGGGCGAGTAAGCTAGGCTCAATGCTATAGAGATACACAAGTGCTGACATTTTGTTCGCAGCTCACACAGTGTCATGACCGGACCCGCTGCAGCAAGCTTCACCAACGAGGGCGTGCCAAAGAGTTTCGCCGCGGCCGCACAGCAACTGGAATCGGAACCCAGAAGAGACGGTGCGGCAGATCAAGTCCCACTGTCAGAAACGAGAGCTGACGTTTTTGTCGCCGGTAGCTTAGCGGTCGACCTCGCCTGCGACTTCAGCCCACGACCAGGCTCACGTTCGCAATCACCGGAGCTGCAGACCTCGAATCCTGCTCGCATAGCTCAGTCATTGGGTGGTGTGGGACATAATGTCGCTCGGGCTGCACATCTAATGGGAGCCAATGTGCGTCTTTGTAGTGCTGTTGGCGACGATCTCACTGGCAAGGCTGCGTTGGAAGCTCTGTCGGCAGCAGATATGTCTACAGTAGGCGTCAAGACACTCTCAAAAGATAGTGGTAGCCGCACAGCTCAGTACATCGCCGTCAACGATAAGAACAAAGACCTTGTGCTTGCCATGGCCGATATGAGCATTCTCGAAACACCATCGTCCCTATCCAACGCCCTCGCAAACACATTCGACGACTTCTGGCTCCCTCAACTCCACGCTTGCAAGCCCTCTCACCTCGCCATCGATGGCAACTGGTCTCCTGGGTATCTCGCCCGCTGGCTCCAAGCTGGCAAAGACATCAACGCCCACATCACCTTCGAACCCGTCTCCAACGCAAAATCCATCGGCATCTTCAACCTGCCCCACCCAAACACCCTCTCCGTCTTCCCTTCCCCATCTCTCCACCTCGCCACGCCCAACATCCACGAACTGTCCGCAATGTACACCGCGGCTCGCGAGAACCAATTCTTCGACCGCGAAGACTGGTGGACCGTCATCGACGCTTTGGGGATTCCACAAGGCGGTGCGAGGGTACAACTCGCACTCGCTACGACACCAAAACTTGTCGATCAGGGCGTTCCGCAGCAGACGATTCAGCTGTTGCCTTTCATTCCCACTATTGTCACGAAATTGGGCAAGCAAGGCGTTCTCCTCACTCAAATCCTCTCTGCCAACGATCCTCGCTTGAGCAGCGGCGAGTACGCACCATATATCCTCTCACGGTGCGCGAACGAGACGGAGTCGACGCTAGGTGTTGGAGGGGTGTATATGCGTCTTTTCCCAGCGGTTGAGGAAGTCGACGAGGCAGATATTGTTAGTGTGAATGGGGTGGGGGATACATTTGTGGGGACGCTCATTGCTGGGTTAGCGAGGGAGGGGAACGGAGAGGGAAGGGTGGAAGAGTTTGTGGATTTGGCGCAGAGGGCGGCGGTGCTGACATTGAAGAGTGCGGAGGCGGTCAGTCCTGGGTTGGGGACTTTGGGGTTTTTGTTGTGAAGATGAGGACCAATTGGTGTTGGGTATATTTCAGTATGAATACGAACATCTTGGTCCGTCCACCACATCATCTCCCGCCACCTTTTCTTCTTCTTACGAGCACCACACCATTGACAGAGCGCCTTCCTGTGTCAAGGGCGACATACATTTTGTCCTCTTGAATTGAATCAGCTCCTTGCTCATCTTTGGAAGACACTCGCGTCTGCAGGTGGCTCTACGAAGCAATGCCGCCTGCGGCTGCAGGCAATGGTGGTACTAATGTCTGCATGATTGCAAGTTGCATGAGGGCAACACTCAGCTGGCTCGGGCCATGCGTCAACAGCCAATGAATTCCTTTCTCTGCTTCAAGCGATTGAGGCTGGGCTGCTGGGGTGTATACTGTGCCGGCGCTCAAGAATTGGGGCAGCGGAAACCTCTCATCGCTCTCACCCACATCTGATGTCCTTCCCGTATCGCATACACCACCAACGGTTCCCACCTCAAGTCACGAAGACACGCAAAGCGCAACACGGCGGATATCTCCAATCTAGGCACAACCTGTACACAAATCTTGCCATTTTTGGGACACCCTATGAATCCTCCAGAGTACTCTGAGGTCGACATATGATGCCCAAGGCACCGCATCCGTCTAAGAACGTTCACGATGTCCCCGAAGCGCCTGGCGAAAGAAGACTACACAGTTGGTTGGATATGTGCCCTTCCTGTTCCAGAGCTGAAGGCCTCTAGGCTGCTATTCGACGGGGAGGAGCATGAAGACGTATTTTTGGACCACAAGATATCACACCAATATGTGTATGGAGAGATGAACGGTCACAACGTGGTCATGGGCTGCCTGCCCGCATCACAAATGGGCAAGGCGTCTGCGGCCTCGGTTGCAACTGAGCTGTTCACCACATTTCCCGGGCTGCACTTCGCACTCATAGTTGGCATAGGAGGTGCTGTTCCCTTTCCCAACGACGTTCGCCTGGGTGACGTCGTTGTGAGCTTGCCAGATCTCGGCCGGCAGCATGGTGGTGTCGTACAGTACGATTTCGGTAAGGCCATGCACGACGGCAAATTCGTAAAGACAGGTCAACTCAATCAACCGCCCACGTCCGTTCTTTCTGGCCTTGGCAAACTCCGGTCTGCGTCAGCGCGAAAGATGAACTTTTGCCACTACTTGGACTTATACAAGAATGACTCCTATTGGGACCCTGGAAAAGATGACCGCCTCTTCGGCGCGACTTACAGTCATCTCGAAGGGCAAGCAACCTGCGAGAAATGCGACTTGGACCATGAGCAAGCCCGTCTCAAGCGGACAGCTTCTAGACCCTCTGTCCACTACGGTTTGATCGCGTCCGGTGATCAGGTCATGAAGGACGCTGTGAAGAGGGACGCTATTAGTCAAAAGCATGGCGGCATTCTTTGTTTTGAGATGGAAGCAGCTGGTGTTGCAAACATTCTTCCATGCCTCGTCGTCCGAGGGATTTGTGATTACTGCGATTCTCACAAAAACAAAGCGTGGCAACCATTTGCCGCTGCAGCGGCAGCCGCATGGGCAAAGGAACTTCTTGGTAACATCGCTCCAGTGCAGTCACGAGGTATGGATTACGCGAGCCAAAACTTCCTACATCATTAAACTATGGCTTATGTGATGCAGAACAGGGTCCCATTCACCAATACGACCGTCATAGGACAGCACAAGATGTATGGATGCAGAAGTTCGTTGGGCAGCTAACCACGACGAAGCGCTCAGGTAAGCTATAGTTGGACAATGGTAACAGAGAGTTCCGGCTGATGCTGGGTCTAGTGGATGATATACGAAAGCTGATCGGTCGAATTTCATCGTATGAGGCACGAAAGATCCTGAATCGAATTGGTCGCAAAAGGATGCAGGGTACCACGGAGTGGTTTACGCGCGCTCCAGCGTTCGATCAATGGGAATTTGATAGTGCAAACAGCAGCATACTGTGGTTGTCGGGTAAAGGTACGGTCATCGGGCACAAAGCACTACAGGGCGGCTACTAATCGTGTGTCGTCAGTCGGGTCTGGCAAGACAGTTGCCATGTACGGTTATGCATTTTTTGTTGCTATGAAGACTTACTGACATTCACAGGACGGCCGCTGTTCATCATGCGATGTCCACAGTCCAAGCTTCGCGGGATACGAAGGTCATCCATCATTTCTTTCAGTATCCCGACACGAAAGCAATGGACCTGTTCCGGAGCCTGACAAGGCAACTCATCCAGATCTCCATCGATGGCAACACGCCATGCCCTTCAGAACTTGTCCACGACCTGGACTTGTATTTTGGGGACTGCAATAGGAGCCCAGACCTGGATGAGATCATAGACGACATCGTGATACCACTGACATATACGATCAACAAATTGATTGTCTGTGTCGACGGCGCAGACACGAGTGATGAACACGAACAAAGGTACATTTGGTCTGGCTTGCACAGGTTATCAGAGCAGAGAACAGAACGACAGAAATATACGAGGATAATGATCACGAGTGAGAACGAGTCCCAACTTGCCACACTTGTTCCAGCAAATGCTTTACGGATCCGACTTGACGATGGTTGCAATTCGAAGGATATCGAGATGTACATCGACACCCGCTTGCAGGAACGCGCGGGCAAACGCCAACTCTTCCACGACCGAGGACTCCGAATCAGAGTAAAGGATGCTCTGCTGCAACGAGCTGAAAACATGTGAGTTTCAAAAGAAGCATCTGGAAAGATCCATGGAGTTGATCATGGGCTGATTGCTTTTCGAAGGTTCTTATGGGTGCACATTTTGCTTGACGAGATTTTACGTAACTGCACCACCGTAGCGGAAGTCAACTCGACGCTACAGGATCTCCCAAAATCACTCTCCGATCTTTACTTGCGGTGCCTGACGCGCAGATTGGACGGGCAACTGCTCTGCAATCCCAAGGTCCTGAAATGGTGCTCGGCGGCTCGAGAACCACTGTGCGTAGATGCCGTGAGTGACATGCTCGCCCTGGATCTGGAAAGTGGCGAGATCGACCAAGACAGAAGACCAGATCCGGATTCCGTGATACGGGCCGGAGTGAGTCTATTGGTTTTGGAAGAGACAGATTTACTCCTAGAGCCTGCGCACCACTCGATCCGCCAATTCATTTTCTCGAATCTACTCCGCGACACCCACTTCCTTGACGGCGACTTTCGGCCAGCCCTTCAAGATGAACTAAATATGTCCAGAGATCAAACCGAGCTTGAGATCGGTCAGCTTTGCCTCAGTCATATTCGAGCGAAGACAGGCATCGACATTCAAATATATCGGACAGTCAAAGCGCCTCCGATTTTGGGGATGATACCGCAGTTCTTGCAGAAGGGGTTGCGCCTAGGTCAGGGGAGGTCAGAAGCTCCCGGTATCCCCATCCAGCGCCCGACAAATCAGGATACAGCCTCGTTCCTACAGTTCGCGATCCAAACCTGGCTCTTGCATACCACGAAATTCGACAAGACAAAGACGTCATGGGAGAAGTTCGAATATGTGGCACTGCAGCCAAATTCGTCCTGGAAATTGCACCCCTGGCCAGCAGTCGGTAATACGCAGATCTCCCACCTGCGAGGGCTTCTTGGATATGCTGTCGCCCAAGGCCACCGGCCCCTTCTTCAATTATTAATGGACCAGCCTACATTGTTGCCCAGAAAGGTGTATGACGAGGTGCTTCCTGGAAACGATCTCCTGCCTGCACTACATGTTGCCGCCAAACACGGTCATGTTGATCTGATACCCATGCTCTTGAAGCTATGTTTAATCAACAGCTTGTGTCCCCAACACCGACGGACTGCGCTGCATGTCGCACTTGAACACGGGCAAGATCAGTTCGCTATTGCACTTTGTGCCTTCCCTGGTGCCAAGGTTGACACACTCGATGCACGTGGGGTGTCGCCTCTCGCCCTGGTAATTCGTAATGGTCCGATTGGCACGATCAAAACTCTGCTCTCTGGTAGGAGAGTAAGGCTTGATTCGAAAGGTAACGGTCTCACCTCGCAGGAACGTGAAGACTGCATTGCTTGGAAAGAGATATTGCTCAATAAAGTGGACGTTCACTCGAAGGATGTTGGTGGGTACACACTGCTGTACCGCGCGTTCCTCCAACAAAATCGTACTATGGCGAAGCTGCTTATCGCAAGCCAAGCAGATGTCAATCCGAAGGACAGAGTTGGGAAGACACCACTCAATCACGCAGCGTCTGTTGGGGACAACCCGATTGTCAAGCTACTTGTCGCAAGCGAAGCGGATGTAAACACGAAAGACAACCTGGGATGGACACCGCTACATTACGCCGCGTCAAGAGGAGACGAAGCGACGGTGGAGTTGCTTCTCGCAAACCAAGCGGACGTTCATGCAAAGAACAAGAAAGGACGGACACCGATGGAGCACGCAGCTTCTCAAGGTCACAAAGCCATTGTGAAAACGCTTCTGAACAAGAGCAAAACGACCTCGTCTCTGGTACGCTGTGAGCAGCATGATAAACAGGGACGATCTGTGTAGAGCAACGGCAGAAAATTCCGTAGTCGTTCTCAAAGGGAATGTGGGTTACAGGGCTTCGACGGCTCCGTTGAAAAATCTTGAGCCTCTTTATCAGAACCGGGCATGCTTGGCATCTGTTTGGCTCCTCTTACCGCTCTGTGGCACTTCTACGGCTGTCAGCATGGACACTGGTGAGCGAACAGTTGACAAGAGATGCTGTCGGATGGAGGTAGCTGCCATTATTGTTCTGCAAAATCTTTCCTTACTTCACTTCCGCTCATTCTCTGCACTCTACGACAGTCCTCCGTAGAAACTTCTCGTAATTTCAAGACTTCATTCCGCATCACTCGAACTCATACCCAGTGTTGTTGGCAAATCTACGCCACACATAGCTGGCTTACAACACTCACAACTTCACAATCCGGATTCATCCGGACACCAAATTCGGCCTGACATGCCCAGCCTCCTCCACAGCCTGATCACCCTTCTCACCAGCTGCCTTCGCCTCCCTCGCCTTCTCAACCGCCACCTCAAACACCCCCAACAAATTCTCCGTCCCCTCCAACCCCGCCGAAACCCTCACCATCCGGTCACTCATGCCACACTCCTTAACCCAGTCCATCTCCTTGTAATGCAGCGCCCTCACGTACGGCATCGCCGGTGTCCTGTGGGCGCCGAGATGGGGACCTTGGTGGACGTGGAGGTTGTCGTAGAAGGCTATGGCAGTATCGATAGATTCCAATTCGATGCTGAGGAGGCAGCCGTAGCCTGGGGTGAAGTCAGGGGTCGAAGGACGCATGAAGGCTTTGTAGTGCTGGGCGTCGGGGCCGATAGAAGGGTAGGCGATTTTGGAGATGGGGGAGTTTGGGTCTTTGACGAAGGAGTCGAGGTAGGTGGCTATTGCGTAGGCGTTCGCGTTCAGTCTTCGGGATCGTTCGAGGTAGTCTCGAGAGTTCTGTTCCAGAGCTTCGACGTCGCCGGTGAAGTATTCGTTTATGAAGCCTTTTCGACAAATCTCACTCAGCGAGTCGTGGTGCTTTGAATTGGGATTCAGAACGATCGAGCCTCCCATCACGTCCGCATAGCCTGAGAAACTCTTCGTCAAGCTGGTGATGAGGACGTCGGCGACGTCGACCAGATCCACGTTGCAGAATGATGATATCGTCTCATCTATGATGAGTAAGATGCCATGTTCATCAGCCAGAGCCTTGAGTCGTGTGAGATCATGTACTCGCAGGTTCGGATTCGACGGGTACTCGGTCCAGAGTGCCTGGATCGGGCGTCCTGCTTTTTGTTCACTGGCACAAAATGCCTCCAGGTTGTCGAGATCCTCGTTCCCTCTGCCGAACCATTTGAAGGCGGAGCTCCATTGTTTGTACACGTGCGGCGTGGAGTGGAACACAAAGCCAAAAAGGATCGTCGTGCCAGGGCGAACCCCAGAGTTGTTGAGATACCTTTGGAGCTGGTATATGGCGGCCATCCCCGTTGGATAGAGAAAGACATCCGTCGATGCCACGCTTCGAGGGCGTGCAGAAATAGGCGATCGGTTCAGATTTTCCGCTATGCGTGACTTCACAATCTCGAAGGCCGAACTGTCTGTCGAAAGTCGGTCTTTCCCATCTGTCAAGTCGTCCACAGGCTTCAAGAGGTGACAACGATCCAAACACTCCTTCGCGATCCTGGAGGAGATACCAGTTCCAGCGTCCTGCCAGAATGGGATGGCAGCCTCGGTCTTCTTCGCGGGAAATACCACAGCCCAGAGCCTGATGCGGAAGTCGAAGGCCTTCACATGCACTTCTTCACTCTGCATCTTCTTGTCCCCTCGTTTCTCCGACATGACAAAGTCCCGACAGGCGAGCGCAGAGTCTTTGCTCCCGAAGAGTAGACATCCCTGGTCTTTCTCTATGTAATCCGACGCCACGGCACCAGTAAGCTGTACAGCATCATCAGTACTTCTATTATTCGCCAATGCAAAGACTGAGCATACCTCCTTCACCAGTGCCCAAGGGCCGAAACGTGGATAGGTACTCCTGAGTGCTGCCATGCCCTTCTCAGGATTCTCGACCAGGTAGATTAACGTCGCCCATGAGTGTATGTGGAATGTCACTGAATGCGGCGTGAACGGTGGGATGGCATCGCCAGAAGGTGTAGTGATGAGGTTGGAAGCTTCCTTCGAGTCTCTGTTTGTATCTGTGCCAGCCATATCGATGTCGTTCTGTGTCAACTACGACCGCTGGGAGTTCTTCGTATGAAACGTGCGTCGACGGATCGTGCCTATGCGAGTATGGAAGCACTGTTCAATACGCTCTGCCTTTCAAGAGTATTTTGAAACACCATCAGCTCGTTGCTGACAAGTGTCTATCGCTCTTTCTACCAAAAATACTATGTAATGCTCTTCAAGAGCGGGTCCAGGCACATCAGCCCCAAGCTTCGGACCGCCAGGATTCTGAGTTCTTAGGATGCCGTGTGAGGCAACGGAACCCATAGCTAAGTTGAGAAGCTGACGTAAGACGCGAAGATAGGTGGCATGCCAGTAGAACTTATGATCCTTCGCTTCGCTTCTCTTCACAGTCTCTTCACTCTCTGCCAGATCAGACCAGCGGTGTCCTCCTGAGACAGCAAAGTCAAGGTGCCATCTCCCTCCTGAATGCGGACAGCAAAGTTCCCTCCGCTCTCCGACGGACCATGTTCATCGCGTGCTTTGAGTGAGTTCTGTCAGATCTTGTTAGCCGACACTACTCGTGAAGTGATCCAGGAGACGAAGACCATACCGTCATGCGCAAGTATTGCAAACATCGAAATCTTGACATTGTATTCTCCCAAGCCATTGTCCCGTCTCGAATCTGCGGATGGGCGGGAGGGTAGAATTTCTTCTCCAACTCCAGTCCCTTCTGGTACCAGGCCTCGATACACCTCGCAGCTTCCAGGAAGACGATGTCTTGGGTAGCTGGACTCTGCTGGTACTCCGACTGTTGGAAGGCAAGCTTGGTGGCCGCGTGGAGATAGCCTTCCGCCACGAGGTAGTCTGGCCATCCCTCCGCTTCCCTCAAGTTGGCGAGCAAGAAGTTGTATTCGATCTCCTGTGCTGGAGTAAGCACTCGACCACTCGGCGTGGGCTGAGGGGGCCAGCACACCCAGGATAGAGGGTGGCAGATGTCGAGCGGTCTGAAGTCGGGAGCGTTTTCGCCCTCGAGGGCATAGCTGAGGAATCCGATCAACTGCCGGCGCACATCGCTCTTCCAGCGTTGATGGGGCGGCCAGCATGCAGCACAACGGCATTCGAACTTGTAGTGCAAGTGGAGAACCGTCGCCCGCTGGCGAGATGTCATGGCCTCTTCGAAACGAGGCAAGTAGGAAATGGTGATCTCCTCGCCGGGTGCGATCTGCCGAATCGCCTGGAGGTAAGACGACTCTCCATCCTCATACGCAAACGCATTCGGGACACACGAATGATTGAATCGCGATTTCGTGAGGTAGAGCTCTTTGACGTGTTCATTGCCGAAGCCGTTTGCGTGGAAGATCCGTGTGACTTTGGTTTTGGCGTTGGGGTGCGAGCCTTCGTGCAGCTGAAGCTCACTCGCCTGGTCTTTCTTGCTCAAGTTTCTGAAGGCTTGTTCGATACTGGCGTCGATTTTCGCTGCTGTATCTCCGGGCGCGCATTTGAGGGCGATGACCGGCGACTCGCGGACGATGATGGTATAGCTTGAGATTGCTTTCTTCGCAAAGACGCCACAACCCTTAGTTGCGGTCCGTCTTATCTCGAAGAGGTCATCCATTGTGATTCTTGTGGTGTCCAATGTTGCTGAGAATCTGAAGGAGGATTGGTTCTGTTCACCTATGGGGCGTCAAACGCAACCAGCAAACATGCATCATGCAAGTACCAGTTCGATGCGGGCCAAGCACAGTCCGTCGATGTCCGATAAAAACCTCTGGCCAGCCGGAAGCCATCACGAGAAGATGCATGGGCCATGGGATGATTCGAAAGTAGACGATCATATGTGGAAGGCATGCGTCTCGGCGGATGAATTCGCTAGTGTGCTTCAGCTTGACTTTGCAATTCAGGGGCCCTTGACGGCAGCCTTGTGCTTCGACGAACCCTTTCCTCGTGATTACGTGCAATATCTCTCCAACAACCTCTAAATCACTCCCCTCCCCCTCACAACCCCCACAAACTCCTCCAAATCCCCCAACAACACCTCCGGAACCTCCAACGCTGCGAAATGCCCTCCACTCTCATGCTCCCGATAAAACACCGCATCCCGCGTCGTCTCCACCCACCTCCTCGGCACAGGCGCAATCTCCTTCGGGAACCAACTAAACCCCATCGGCTTGCGAATAAACCACTCGGGATTCTCATGCGCGCCGACGTTGCCAGGCGTGAAGAGCTGTCGGTACGGCCAGAGAGATGTGGAGATGGAGTCTGTGAGCCAGTAGAGCGTCACGTCCGCGAGGATGGTCAGGAGGGGGAGGGGGGTGTCTGTCCATTCGAGCATTTTCTCGCCGACCCAGGCGAGCAGCGCGATGGGGTTGGAGGCGAGCACGAGGGCGATCGTGCTCGGACGCGTGGCGTGTTCGAGGGCGTAGGCGCTTCCTTTGCGGGCGAATTCCTGGGCGCGGAGGAGGCCTTGTTTCTCGGCGGCGGTGTACTGGTCTGGAGTGAAGTTGCCTGGGTCTGACATGATGCAGAAGTTGAGGTGAATGGCTTTGGCGCGAGGGTGGATGCCGCCGAGGACGCGGGCGACTTTGCTGCCGACGTCGCCGCCTTGTAGCCTGCGTCGAAGCCGAGTTGGGCCATGAGGGAGTCGAGGATCTCGGCGCAGTCTTCCAGTCGGAAGTCTCTGTCAAGAGGCGGCGGGGAGGAGAAGCCGTACCCCGGTAGTGAGGGAACGATGATGTGGTATGGAAGGTCGGTGGGGGTGTATTTCTGCTTTAGCAATCTGAAGATCGGGACGAATTCCATGAAACTGCCTGGCCAGCCATGGAGCATCAGGATAGGGACTGCATCGTCCCGTTCCGAGAAGAGTGCAATGAAGTGAATGTCGAAATCTTGGCCAGCATGAGAGACGCTCGCCTTGTAATGCGAGAAAACATTGATCTCGGCCTCGACCTCTCTCCTGCACAAGAATCAGACAGTCGAAAGGCGTAGCATTGCATCTGCACTTACCAGTCAAATTCAAGCCAAGCCTCCTTGGCCTCCTGCAGCCACTTGTCATCGATACCATATCGACGATCTGCTTGTAGGCCCTCGTACGTCGTTGGACCGACTTTGCCCGCTGCTATGAGGGACTTCAGCTCGATCAGCTTCGAGTCGGGCACTTCAACCTTGAAAGGGGTCGGCGTTGATCGTGCATTCGCCGGCAGTCTTCCGAAATCATGAGTTGCAGCCATGTCGGCAGCCTCGACACCGGATATCCCAACAACGCTTTCAAGATCTAGAAGTTGCAAAGTTGTCAGTACCAAGCCTCGCTGCCATGGTTCTTATAGTGCTTGGGTCGACGGATCTCCTCACTCTCAGCCGTGTACATGAGCGGTGCCGTTGTGTGACAGTAACTGCATTGTATGTAAGCTGCAGCAATCGAGCCTACCGTGGCCAGTAGATTGATCGTTTGGAGATGCCTTGTACGTGGCAATGACCGAGACACGACAAGATGTAACCGTCTCGGTCATCAATCAGCTTACATCGATATTCTTGCTGAGACTCAGAAGTTGTAGAGGTCAAGTTGAAGAGACCTTCGGTCATGTCACCGCTAGAATCCAAGGTAACGCCGTCATGCGGCCAGGACACGCAAGACTCGATTGAAGAAACTAGGACAACGGTCTTGGGTTCGGAGGTCGAGATACTGGCTGGCCCAGCCTTTGCATACTGCTATCGTCAACATACATGTAGCTTCGTTTCAATCCGCCTGCCTTGTCAAATACCATGAGTAATTGTCCCAGTAGTCACCGGCCCCGTTCTAGGCTCGTCATTCCCGTCCGCGAAGTCTTCTGGAATGAGCACTTTTCAGTTCTGAAGAGCAGCGTCTGGTTATTCATAAGGAGGTCGCTGGTGACTCTTCGCAGGCTGCGATTGTGGCGCATTTGGTCAAACATTGACGTCTTGCGAGGGTGCCTTTCCATCGAGAGCTTGCTTGCATAGCATTAGCAGCATGGCATGTAGTAGCGGTACTACACATCATGATCGCACTGCTGCGGGATTGAGCAGACTATGGGGACGACTCGATTCAAGGGATACATTTTGTTCCTCAAGGGAGCTTCGGCTGTAGTGATCCCCTCAAAATAGCCCGAGAAGGTCTTCATTCGTCTTCTTCCCACCACCGCCGTTCATCTGTGTCTGCGGCGGCGGAGGTTGATCGTCCATGCTCATTCCTGCAAATCCGTTCATCAAATCTTGGTTGCCACCACTCGACGTGGCTGGGCCTGCATCACCCAGACCCATGAGATCTTCGAAGCCGCCCGATGTGGGAGGCTGCGTGGGTGAGGTAAGAGCTGGACTCTCCACTCTTTGTGGAGTGCCCGCAAGTCCTTCAAGACCAGATGAACCCATTGTGGGTGCCTTTGACAACGATGCAGGAGCGGCACCATCGAAGTCGATGTCGAGGAGGTTTTCGGCGTTGTTTTGTAATTGCGGTGCACTCGTACCAGCAACTGCTGCTGATACGGCTGCTGCCGCAATAGGATTCTCTCTCGCATTCTGTTTGGCTTCTTCGATGGCTTCCTCTTGCAACGCCGAACTACGACCTTGACCGAGGAACGCTGACGGTGGCTTGTGATATACTGATGAAAGCGTCGAGAGGTTTGGTAGCAGCTTGTCCAGTAGAGGCCCTGGAAGTACAGGTATGGTTGAGTTGATCTGTGGTCTTTGCGCAAGCACGATGTTCTTTGCCGCATTGGGATCCGCAGAGAGGAGTCGCCAGTAAACGTATGCGCGATCGCGGACGTCAGGATTGTCATTCTCGGCCGTTGCAGCCTGGAGGACTTTTTGCACCAGGCCTTGCGACTGATCTGGCTTTTTGAGGAAGAGCTTGATCACAGCAGTGAGGATTTGTAGTTGCGTCTGTAGAAGTCAGTAAACATAAGAAACATAGCATTCGGAAACAGCCTCACCTGTGTGAACTCCTCATTGAAGCCATCGACGAAACCTGCCAAGATGTCTCCAGCGTTGGAAATCTTCTCGGCATACTCGCCAACAATCCAGATCAAGCTGCCTCGCGCGTTCGGCTCGTCCAGGTCGTCAATGCACTGACACAAAGTCGGTATTATGCCTTCATAGCCGGGATACTTTCTGAAGATGTCCTTGATGACAACGATGACTTCCTGAACGACGTAGCCGACCTTGCTGTTGATGAGCTCCAGAAGTACGTTCACGGCTTTCTCTGCACAGTCCTCGATCTTGATAGCCACTTGGCCGATGGCACGAATAGCCTTTCGCACAAAGTCCATGTCCACTTCCAACGCGTATTCTTTCAGCTCTGCCAGCAACTGATCCACGTTCTGAGCGTTCGCTATCCGCACCATGATCTCCAGCTTTTGCAGTTTGAGGTATGGAGGATCGTTGTATTTGCAGAAGAACACTCGCATCTCTTTGTCTAGGATGCCGGGCTGTTTCTGGAGCAGGAGATCGATGTTTCGCAATGCAACGTATTGCACCTCGGGCTGACTTGAGACGAGTGTAACAAGAGGCGGAGACATCTTCTTGAGGTATGTGGCGTGGAGTTGCGTGTTTTCGATGTGTTGCATGTGGATGAAGACCGCCTTGACCGCAGCCAAGACGACTGCAGGATTCACATGCTGGAACTGCGGGCTCACTCGCTCGCAGATGTGCTCGGACTCTTTCGTGTCTATAGCTTTGTAGTCGGCCAAAGTCGTCAAGATCGTGATTCGTCCCCATTCTGTACACTCATTCAAAGCAAGCAGCATCTTTTTCAGTGTCTGGGGAGTCACCTGTAAAGCTCGCGTCTCTGGTGAAGTCTCGGTGATCTCAGCCAAAGCGGTCACTGAGTTGGCAACAACCATAGGATTACTGTCGCCAATCATCTCTTGTACTGTCTCCAAAAAGCCGTTCTCGATGCACAGAGTGGGGTTCAGATCAAAGAGCTTGGCCACGCAAAGTGCTGCTGTTTTGCGCACATATGGCGATTCATCCTTCAACGTCTTTCGTAACGGCTCTTCCATGTAATCAACCATCTTTTCCACTCTGATGCATCCCATTGTTCGTATCGCCAGCGCTCGAACGAGGGGATTAGGATCTTCTGAGTCCTGAACGAAGGTGTTGACCGCCAGAATACAGAGGTCTGGATGCGACTTGGCGTAGTTCATCAAGTACAGATATACGAGCTTCTTTTGGTCGAGATCTGGGGTCGCAATATTCTTGAGCACATCGGGAAAGAGGGCTGAGACGTCCTTCCCGAGCGTCATGGACATGATGGTCTTTTGTATCGACTCCTTTCGTTCCCAGGCATATTGTGACACCAGGCCCGCGCGCAGCTCATACGTCTCTCCTTTCCTCGCTGTCCCCAGCGCGCTCCGTAATCTGTTAACCGCCATTTTGAGCTCCTGTGGCCGCCGGTCAAGAGCTGTTGATGTTTGTCATGCACTGAAAGGGCGGCCAAAACGAGGGCGCAGGTGCAGTCGCAATGAAGTCGAGGATAGCAGAAACGGGCGTTGTTGCGGGTTTCGAGACGGCGGGATATTTTCGAGTAGGTGTGAGGTGGAGGGTGCGGTGTTATTGTGGGCAAATGGCGATGCCTGGCACCAAAGTTCCATTGAAGTCGTCGAGGTGTCAGCTCGGGCCACATTTTGCCAAGACCTCCGCCATCCCTCCGTCTCGCTGCTGCCCTGGACCACCAAGTCAACAAAGACATATCCACGAAAGGAGACCCATTAACAGCGTACCGTTGACTGACGGAGATATGGTATTGTCACCAATCTGATCACGATTGCTTCCAGTCCAGCTAACGCCATATCCAGCCTTCCAACCTCCCTAACCTACGACGCCTGTTCGTAGAGGCGCGTACGGAAGTCGAAGAGAGTGCCTATTCTCGAAACGCCGTACGTTCAGACCCATTTGGTACCCAAAATAGGTCCAATTACCTGACAATCTTGTAGTTCTACAATCTGGTTCTCTTCATGTCTTCGGTGGCCATCTTCTCTCTCACAGCCCAGCGAATGAACGGCCAAAGGTGATGCAAATATCTGGCATCCAACTTCTCTCGAACTTGCTCTTGATGGTGACGTTCCAGCATCTTCGGCATTATCGAATCACGATGTCTCATTCCCGATGGTCTTATTCGCCTTACGAGGGGTTTTCATTCTCCTGTCTTCGACTCTGATACAGCGCCGACAGGAAGGACTGTAAGGACCTATCGTCACCCCATGGCGGTTGCATGAAGCCTTGAATCTTGCGACCTGGCCAGGCGCTTTCCTGCTTCGTGGCTACGGCAGGCTCCGACTATGTTCCGGCTTCTCACCGTAACGCTACGATTCCATGTTCGACGTTATATCTAATTACGGGATACGTCCTCATGAAAGCGCGGGCAAGCACGTGGTGTTCGGTTTTCTGGAAACGCTACAATCCTCAACAGATTATTAGCAGTTGAAAGCACCATCCATTGCCGACGTTAGCCGCAGTGAGAGCGACATTATACAAAACGGAAGATTCAACCTGGAAAGGTTGCAAGAAACCCATGCTGCAAATACGACCTCAGGAACAGTGAGCGCCACTTTTCTTTGACAGGACCACGGATCTCAATTACAAGACTCATAACGATATGAGAGGACACCGCAATACAGCGTATGCGGGCCTGAACGCCGAGTCCCGCCTATCTCTACAAACGCGCAGACGCATTCCTGCTCGGCCAGTCACCGCTCAGGACCCGCACGCCATTTCACGCTTAGAAGCTCAGCTAAGCCGTTTAGCGGCTCCACGCATTGTACCACTTCACTTTGTTGATTTCTGATTTCTGATTTCTCACTCTCCCATTCAACCACTGTCGCCGACGACACTGCGAAGCAAAGGGCTGGACATCACTCGCGATGGCGACCACGGCAACCGTCGTAGACGAAGCGCAGCCATTGCTTGGAAACGAGTCGTTGAGATACGATGGCGCCAACGGCAAGAACAGACAGGCGGACATTGTCGACTTTGACCCCGAGGGCGACGAGGAGAACCCAATGGACTGGCCGACGGCATACAAATGGGGAATTGTAGCTCTGTTGGCATTCATGGCTTTCACAGTGTGAGTCAGCTTGTTGCGCCCTTCAAAGCTCGGTACTGACGTTGTCGACAGCACCTTCACATGCATCTCACTTGTGCCCGTGGCCAATGAAATCATCAAGGACATTGGCGGCAAGGAAAACAAGTCGGCCAGTGTTCTACTTGTCACCATTTGGGAGCTTGGCGAAGCTGCAGGACCGCTGTTCATCGCACCCCTGTCAGAAGTGTTTGGTCGATATCCCGTGCTGAACATCGCAAACATCGGCTTCGTCGGCGTGACTCTGATGGCTTCCTTCTCACCGAGCGTGGGTGTCCTCATTGCTGCAAGATTCCTCACTGGCCTGAGTGTATCATCCAACGTCCTGAACCCTGCGATCGTCGGAGATATGTTTATCAGCGAACACAGGGGTGCTGCAATGAGTTGCATCATGGTCTGCCCGCTGCTTGGCGGTGCTTTCGGTCCTGCAATTGCAGGAGCCATCGCAGATAACCTTGGCTGGCGACCCGTCCTATGGATTTGTGCGACAATTGCGGGCGTTTGCGAGCTTCTCCTCCTGACCTGCTTCCGAGAAACCTTCAAAGTCCCCATCCTGCGCCGCCGAGCCGCCAGACTGCGAAAAGAGACCGGAAACGAAAACCTCAAATCTAATTTCGAGATCACAAACCAGAACTCTACAGCTCAGATCTGGGAGTCCATCATGAGGCCAGTGGTCATCTTCGCCAGCTCTGGCGTCCTCCAAGCCATGTCTATCTTCGGCAGCGTCTCATTCACCTTCTTCTACGTGGTGTCCACGACACTGCCGGACATATGCAAGGAGTTCTACGGCCTCAATCCCACGGAAACGGGCTTTGTCTTCATCTCGTCCAGCGTCGGATCACTCATCAGCGTGGTAATTTGCAACCGCCTCCTCGATCGAATATACATCCACCTCCGTGACACACATAAAGGTGTTGGTCTACCCGAATACCGCTTGCCCCTGGTCATCGTCGGCGGTTTCACGATCCCTCTCTGCGCGGCCTTCTACGGCTGGGTGCCCGCGTTGCATCTCCCTCTAACCGCTTGCCTCGCTGCCGTCGCGCTGATGGGGGCAACGGGCATGCTAGGATTCCTGCCCGTCATGTCTTACGTCGTGGATGCCTTTGGACTGTACAGCGCGAGCGCGATGACTGCCATCATCGTTGTAAGGTGTCTGATGGGTACATTCCTGCCCCTCGTTACGCAGCCGCTTGTGGAGAGACTTGGATGGGGTTGGGCGTTTACGGTGCTTGGAGCTTTTACGATGTGCCTTGCGCCGATTCCTGCGCTGGCTATGAGGTATGGGGCGAAATGGAGACAGAGGAGTAGCTATACGAAGGCGGAATGAATGAACACCGATGGGAGGTATGCATAACGAAAGGTTGGCGGTCAAAAGCGTTTTCAGCGGGCGTTCGGCGGTACGTATGAGGTTTATGATAGATATGCTGATAGATGTACATAGTGTGTACATTTGAAAACCTTCAGATCGCCGTCTCCGACTGTGGTGTCAGACCCTCTCTCTCCTGAAACTCGACCATATCAACGAGTCTCCTGTTTGCGACTTTTCACTCCCTCCTCGCGGACCCCTGGCGGGCGATGATCGAAGACAAGGTTGTACCCACCCTTGAGTCTTTCCGGCAACCAACCAGGTCCAATATTGCAGCGAAAAGAACTCGACGACCTGCCGCTAATGAGAAGCAGCGCCAACATCCGTTGAAAGTTACGACAAAAAACGACGGCATCTGAGTTTGCAAAAGTCAGCAAGCAAGCACTCCTTGCGATACAACAATTTCAAACCTCACCAAGGTCCGTCCGCCACCCGATGGAACCTCGCCCCCCGGACATCCCAATTCGCAACGTGTGGACCGAGCCAATTCTGGTCAATGTCGAGTTCCATGCGGTAGGCCATGCGTTGTAGGGGCTCGGTTATGGGCAAGAGGGGAGGGTGTCGATTGGGGCGGCGGAACCAACCTAGAAGGCAGTCAGAAAGCTTGACGGGGAGTGATTGGGTGGGGTTGCGTGCGTTTGATCTTGTCCCACTCGAGGGCTAGCATGATTGAGGCGAAGAGGAAGGCGCAGAGGCCGAAGAGGAGGGTGAAGACAGCGCTAAGCTCCATGGTTGGCGGTACAGGAGAACTTCTGGGCAAGTCCGGTCCCACAGATTGCTTTGGGCAGCTTTGAAAGACGAATGTGGGCGTTGCTGATGGATGTTGAAGCGACACTCAAGGGTGCATACAATCTTCGACCAGGTGGGCTGCAAAGTCCAAAACAAAACCAAAGTCTGGCGAAGTGTTGATTTTGGTCCTTGATTCCGAGCATTTCGAGCCGCGATTTGTATCTTCTGCTCCTCAGACACCCAAGAGAGGCGCAGTACAATCACCGCACAGGCTTGGCAAGCAGGCACGTTGTTCAGGAGCCAAGAGGCAGCACTCCTACGGCTGGCGAATCACTCCTCTTTCCGCGTCCCAAGATTGCCGGCCGTTGGAAGTGCACGACTGTGAGGCTGCGGTCGCTCTCGACGCTAGCGTCGACTTGACGCCGGAGTGCCACACACTGCCGGCGGACGTTGTCGCGAGAGTCGGGGCGGCTGGAGTCTTGGAGGACTCCCTGCGTTTGAGAGTTTGTGACGCGCTGAATTTTCGCACCCTGGTGGGTATGCAGGGTATACGTGCCCTTCGCAACGCTCAGAAGCAAACGCATGCACGTGTTTCAAAGTAGGTGTTTGGAAGTTTTGTTCTTTATCAAAATGCAGCCCCCATTGATGCGTTGTCTTAGGCCATCGGAGCCTTTGTTTTTGCCAAGATGAGATATGTCGCGACTCCGCAATGTCGAAGCAGTGAAGATGGGGTGGATTTTGTGGAGGTTCGCACTAGTAAACTCAAAACTGAGATGAGGTGAATGAATGGGATTTCGTTCATGTCACGGTGTGTTGTGAATGTCTCCACAATGCAGCTTCTAGGCCGCACTCCAGTATCTTATTCTTCTACTCCCTGTGCCTGTATCCCTCGCTGCGACTTACCGCTGTCTATAAACACCGTCACCGGAATCTATTGTCTGGAGTCGAGGTTATTCGTTCGAGACCTAAACGTTGCCTGATGTCGCCATCTGCACTTGGTACAGATCCAGTCTAATTTATTCTCTGTCCGACACATCCATGGATAATCGTTCGATACACGACGGCCAAACAGTCTCAACGAAGGCCCTCCAGCATATGATGGAATGCAGCGCCTCGAACACACCCCATGGAAGCGGCCCACAACGAAGCAGTGGTTATCCACCAAACTGGGGAAGCTTTCTCTGGCCTCGAAGCCCCAGCGATAATACCCCGTGGTCCCCATCTCGGTGCCTACCGAGATTCATATCAGATTGGGCGTGATCAAGTAGTATCGGTTGCTCGAAGTTCGAGCAGGAGGAAGCATACTGGAATCCATACCATCATATATTCGATCGTTGTTATTCGCAGTTTCGCACATGATATGCCTTGAGTCAAATCTATGAGGCCGCTTGGCCCCAAAAGCTGACGAGGATATAACTTACTAGCGCAAACTCAAATCGCAATCAAGTGAATGAATCGTTGCGCCATAGGAGTGTAAGAGAGCTATGTTCGCTTTCCTCTAGGCACTCGCCGTTCCAACTGCTATAGGCTCATCCTTTATTTCGCCTTATGATGATTCTGAATACATGGTACTTACAATACAAGTATGATCGATTAGCTGTACTAAGCCATTTCACGCAAACTTCATCGTGGAAGGTCTGCCGTCGTCAAGTCATCAATCGCTGCCGTCATCGCCGCTGTCGCCAAAGTCGACGAAGCCCTTGGGCAGCCTACGCTTTGGCGGACCATCAGCCTTGTTCTCTTCGGCTTCCTGTTCGCCATCGGCTCCGCTCTTTTTGTCGTCTTCTTCGTCATCGTCATCGCCTTCGCTCTGACCCCAACGCTCGTTGAACTCCTGAGCCGCTTCGATTTCTTCTGCCAGCTCTCGAGTTTCCTTGATTTGCTTTGCCTTCTCGTTGCTGTACCGCCCACTCATGCCGGCGTCGTCGAGCATGCCCTTCAGATGCTTGATCTTCTCTTTTGGCGTCGAACACTTTGCGAGCTCGAGGTGCCACCGCTTGCGGATACCGCATTTGACGAGCCAGCCTTGAAGTCTCTTGATCTCTTCTTCGTCTGGCGAGGTCTCCTTGCCCGATGACTTCGATTTGGTTGCCTTTGATCCTTTGGCAGTAGCTTTGGACTTGGTCTCAGATGATGTAGTCTTCTTTTGGCGCTTCTTCTTTGGTGGTGGGTCATCGATCAACGAAGACATATCGCTCTCGTCGTCGTCTGCCGGCGCAGATTTGCCATTGGCTTTAGGTGCGTCCTCTTCAAGCTTGTCGGGGACATCAGAGAGCTCACTCTCATCCTTGGGTGCGGTATGTCTAGACTTGCTCTCTTGTGGTTCATCATCATCCTCCTCCTCGTCCTTATCTACTGATGGCTTCTGCTCCTCATCTTCGTCATCGCTCTCAACCTTGGCGGTTGACCCTCGCTTCGCAGGCTTCCTCGCAGTCCTCTTCGTTTGCTTCTTCGCTGGCTTCACATCAGACTCCTCGTCATCGTTGTCGAGTTCGGGCTCGGATATGTCGTCTTCAGACTCGACTTTGGTCGCTTTCTTCTGCCGCTTCTTGGTGCTGTTCTCTTCCTCGTCAGACTTTCGCTTCTTCCCAGCCTTCGCCGCAGGCTTTGCCTTCGGTTTGGCCTTTGGCTTTGGTGCGGGTTTCGGAGGCTCCTCTTCTTCGTCCGCATTCTCCTCCTCGTCGGCAGTGTCTTGAATGAGCTTCTTACTCCGGTCCTTCCACTCTGAAGTGTTTTTCAAGAACCCTTTGTCGAGTCCCAACTCTTCCTCTGCACGCGAACGCACCAAATTAATGGTCAACTCTTGCGTCTCGTCTTTGACGAACGCTCTGGTGACGCGTTCCAGGCATCGTTCGATCTCGCTGTCGGCAGGGATGTTGGCGGCGCTGGAGAGCTCGGAGTCAGACATTGTCATCGCGCTCAATCAATGCAGGTTTGCTCAATGTTTGCAGAATGACCCGTCTGCTGTCAACAAAGCAGTGTGCAGCTGGAGATGTTCGGTTGCGCAAGATCGACGCGATGGGCTCGGGAGGGGCCGAACGAAGCGAGCATTTGAGTTTAGGAGAGGATGAACCTTGAGCAGGCACGCCACGACACCTCTGGGGAAGGAGCATAGCATCCAGTGAATTGGAGATAGTCGTTGTCGTTGTCGTCGCCCGCCAGTAACATCCTCCCAAGAGTCACACGCCTTTGCCTTGCCTCTCCCAGTCGCTCGTTGGCCAAGCTGGCGTCCCCGAAGGCTCCTGTCGCAGGCATTTCGTCATTGGAGCGTCGGGTGAGCATCAGAAGAACAAGATCCTTGGAACAGAGTGGAATCCTGGCTTTTCGCCGGGACTTGTTCGCTCGCGCCCACTGAACTGCTGCCACGAGCAGTACCACCTAGAAAGCGGCGGAAAAGTGGCCTGCGTCCTTCTATTTCACATAGATACTTCAGCCCACGCCATCTCCATCCTGCGTATACCACCAACACCACCACTACGCACGCTCCCCGATTCTCTCGCCGAGCCTTGCAGCTGTGACACGCACGGCTCAGACTGCCCAACGCTGCCCACGAGAAACGCATCCGTCTTCACAATCGGTTCTTGGCCAATTGGAAGCGCGCCTCACCATCTCGAGACGTCGCAACTCTTGCACGTGCTGGTCCGGCATCAAGCAGTGTTCGTGCCGCATCACCGTTGTTTGCGCAACGAATCAGGAAAGCGCCAACCCGCGCCTGCGACTTCACTGCGGCAGGTACTACTGAGCTAAATCCAAACCTTCTCTCAGCTGTGAGTTCCTCCTTCTCCCCACCACCATCACATGACGTTCGCATCACAGCGCATGCGAAGAAGAAGCACATCGCCTACGACAAAAACCTCGCTTCTTCAACTGAAAGCACTCGGTATTCTGCTCCAGCAAATCAAACATTCACTGACACCTACAGCAGCACCAGCCACAGCCGGCAATATGCCTGCATTCGACGAGCCCACCACCCCAAAGGGCCGTCTGCTCCTCGTATCGAACCGACTCCCCATCACCATCAAGCGATCAGACGAGGGACACTATGACTTCTCAATGTCTTCAGGCGGCCTGGTTGCCGGACTCTCAGGACTCTCCAAGACGACCAAGTTTCAGTGGTATGGCTGGCCAGGTGTTCAGGTGCCCGAGAACGAGATCTCGCACGTGAAGGGACGACTCTTCGACGAGTACGGTGCTGTGCCGATCTTCATGGACGATGAGCTATCAGACCGTCACTACAACGGCTTTTCCAACAGCATCCTCTGGCCGCTCTTCCACTACCACCCTGGCGAGATCACGTTTGACGAGTCTGCTTGGGATGGTTACGTCGAGGCCAACAGACTTTTCGCCAAGGAGATCGCCAAAGACGTCCAAGACAACGACCTCATCTGGGTCCACGACTACCACCTCATGCTTCTCCCTGCCATGCTTCGAGAAGAACTCAACAAAGAAAGTCCCAACCGCCGCAAGAATGTCAAGTTCGGTTTCTTCCTTCACACGCCATTCCCATCATCCGAGATCTACCGAATTCTACCAGTCCGCAACGAGATCCTCCAAGGTGTCTTGCACTGCGATCTGATCGGCTTCCACACCTACGACTATGCTCGGCATTTCCTTTCATCCTGCGCCCGCATCCTAGGACTGGCCACTACACCAAATGGCGTCGAGTACGAGGGCAAGCTGGTCACTGTTGGTGCATTCCCCATTGGCATCGACCCGGAGAAGTTCTCGCAGGGTATGGAGAAGGACAATGTCATCAAGCGAATTGATACATTGAAGAAGAAGTTCGAGGGCGTCAAGATCATCGTCGGTGTTGACAGGCTCGACTACATCAAAGGCGTTCCTCAGAAGCTGCATGCCCTTGAAGTCTTCCTCACCGAGCACCCCGAATGGATTGGCAAGGTAGTGCTGGTGCAGGTCGCCGTTCCGTCGAGACAAGATGTCGAAGAGTACCAGAACCTCCGCGCCGTCGTCAACGAGCTCGTCGGCAGGATCAACGGCAAGTTCGGCACCATCGAGTTCATGCCCATCCACTTCATGCACAAGTCGGTCAGCTTCGACGAACTCACTGCTCTCTACTCAGTGTCAGACGTCTGCTTGGTCAGCTCCACGAGAGACGGTATGAACCTGGTCTCGTACGAATACATCGCCTGCCAGCAAGATCGCCATGGTGTGCTCATTCTTTCCGAGTTCACCGGCGCCGCACAGTCTCTCAACGGTGCTCTCGTTGTCAATCCATGGAACACCGAGGAGCTGGCTGACTCGATACACGACGCTGTCACCATGGGCGATGAGCAGCGTCTGCTCAACTACCAGAAGCTTGCCAAATACGTCAACAAGTACACTTCGGCCTGGTGGGGCGAGAGCTTCGTGTCAGAGCTCACACGCATCAGCGAGGCAGCCGAGAAGAAGTTGAGGATTCACCGGCAAAGCACCGTCGAACCGGCCGACAGCCAGAGCCGGCCTGAAGGCTTGAGACAGACATTCAGTCAACCTCCCGCTATCGCTAATGGGGTCGAAGACAACCAGGCGAGCAAGAGAGAAGACTTGGATAAGTAAGATAGCGTCCACTCCAGGAGCGATGCATTGTTATCTACTCATTCGAGCGTCTGGAAACGCAATACTAATGTGTTCTTTCTTGAATAGGGATGATGAGCATGAGGAAGACGACGGATTGATGATGAGTGTGCGATCGAGGGCTGACTCTCAGGCTGTGATGTCCGATGATGATCCGATTTCGCAGGACTAGCAGGCCATTCGAGGGAAGGATACTCATTAGGGGATCACATCTGGTGCATGGAAGTGTACTGAAGTGTACGTGTGGTTAAGTCAGGCATCAGCGAAGCAACTTCGGCGTTTGGAGAGGACATCATAGAGTGGCTCAGGCCTCATTCGAGATCGATGGGATGGAGTGCGATGCTGAAGGCATGATCAAGATAGAGTATTTCGAGGAGGCATGGAATAGATTGCTCTACTCTCCTGTGCGTATTCCTTGCTCTATGCTACTTTAGTCTGTGACTTTTCCATCACAACATGGTCATGATCGAGCCACGGTCGGGCTCCATCCCGCGGGGCGTAAGTGCTATATCTCCTGATGCGTGTATCTTGTCAAACTCCCGTATTACTTTGGAAAACCCTCTCAAAGAGTAAATATGGCAGCCTCGTGAGCTAGTTACCCTACTCAAGGTGGAACAAGTGCAACCATGAAATTGCCTCTGCTGATGATTGAAGCTACAACCCCAGCGAGGATGGCACAAGTGCATCGTGTTGTTGGGTATGTGTCCTTCGGCTCGAAGTGGAGCGCCTCATTTTCTAGTTTCTACTGGACTTTGAGAACGACCAGGCGAGCGACCATGGCATGAGTTGGTTGGATGGTCAGGTGGCAAGGGAGATGAATGCCTCGCTCTACTTAGAGTGAATTTCTCAAGTTCGACCTCGTCTTTCCGCTCGAAGTGCTACCGCAGTTTCCCTTCCCTTTTGTGAGGACTGGACGAGCGAGAACATTGCGGGCTCATAGCATTGCTATTGAGCGGTAGGGATGCTGTGGCCTTATGCTGGTTGAGCGCTGCGTAGAGTAAGTTACATTCACATGTAACGTTTGCTGGGACCTGTCACTTGTGGAGTCGGATTTCGACGTTAAGTTAGAGGCTAGAACTGAAGTTGAAGTGATCTGTAGTCTCGAAAGGAAGTGAGCATGCGCCACGGCATGTGATCAACGTTAAGCTTCCTTTTTACTTCTTGGGAAGGCTTACTTATGCTTTCACTACGAGGATCACTTGCGCTTTTACTGTAGCGCTCACTTGTGTGTTTACTTAAGATCTTACTGTTGCTTTCATTCGAGTGCTCACTCTTGATATTAGCGATAACTTTACTTTTACTTCACTTGAAACTTCACATACCAGATTTCCGGATTAGGAAGGAGCGTGAAAGTGAATAGATCTCGGTAACGATTGCGCTGCAGTGCGGTTATTCACCTGCCTACTTGCTCAGCTTTTCATTTGTGACAAAGTTCCGTCAGTAGTGTGCTGCGCTTGCGCTACGATTGCGTCGTTCGTGGTGAAGTTCTTCGACTGACGATGCAATCATGCATGACAGGCTACTTAAGAATTCCCACCACCTTCCGCGCTCCAACTTCGAACAAGACACACCACACACCTTGCAGCGCCTGCACATCCTCGCACCGCACCGCAAGACCAAGATGCAGTACCCTCACCTCCTCGACCTCCCGCTGGAGGTGTACGAGAACATCTGCCGCCGCACCACCGCCCGCGGTCTGAGAAGCCTCCGTCAATCCAGTCGCGATCTCCACCAGATGACCGAGGGCGTGTTCATCGAACGCCACTTCAGTGCTATGGAAGTCAATCTGTCGCAGGAGAAACTCGAGTATCTGGATCGGGTGTCCCTGACCGCCAAGTACGCCGGCGAGGTTCGCGCCATCATCATCGAGCCGAGGAGGTTGAAGGGATACGATATACCAGTCAGCTCTGAGTGCTTGAAGAAGATCGAGAACAGCTGGAACTTCAGCAACCAGGGTGGGGATGTCACGATGCTTGCCCGTATCCTGCCGCGTCTGGCCAACCTCGAGCGTATCCAGGTCGCCCATTACCTCGACCCTCGTTACTTCGAGAACCACCGTCTGAGGCCTTTGCGTTGCGACACGACCGGCTATGTCGTCCGTGAGAAGTCCACGGCTCTCTCATACGCCTTCTCCGTCGTCGACCGTGCGATGCAGAGAGCTGGTCCGACTGGCATCAAGACCCTCCGTGCAGGTGCTCGCCCGAGCGCCGGACAGCGCAACTCAATCGGCCATCTCAGCCTCGAGCGGCCACTGCCCACACCTGTCTTCGCTACCCTCGAGCACATCCACCTCGTCCTTGAGATCACCCCTGGCACCTTTGGCGGCAGCGGCCAGACACTCCTCTCCGACTTCCTCGCTCAAGCTCCCAACCTCAAGTCCCTCCGCCTCGAGTTCTGGGGCTCCAGCGGCGAGTGGCTCTCCACCACCCTCAACAACCTCACCTTTCCTCAACTCGAAACCCTCCACCTTGAAGGTAAGTTCAACCAATGACAGCCCCTTGAAACATCCAAAGACCACGGCTGACTCCCTCCTCCCAGCCGCCCGAAACCTCCACGCCCCCCAACTCCGCGCCTTCCTCTCACGCCACGCCTCCGCCCTCCAAGCCCTCTCCGTCGTCAACCTCACCTTCGCCAACAACGACCTCCTCTCCACCTTCCCCCTCATCTTCAAGATCCCACACCTCCACCTCCACGCCATCCGCCTCCAGCAGATCGCCGCCCGACACATCGGCCTCCTCCTCTTCGACGCCCAAGGCGTCATCACCACCTGCGAAGCCTGCAAGCAAGACCTCGACGCGAACTGGCGCTTCGTGCCCGGTCCGCTGTGTCCACGCGGCAATTTCGAGGTCACCGAGGGCGAGCTGGAGGCTGCTCGGAAGCTGCAGGAAGCGTTGGGCCAGATGACGGTCTTGCCGTGGTCTGTGCTTTGAGTAGTGAGGTCCATATTCCGGGTTTGGGTATTAACGGCGTTCTTGGCGATCAGAAGCGGAGCGAAGGTAACCTGTTGTCACGTGCGGGGTTTCTGGATATCAGCAGAGCGCGAGCAGAGCGCAAATGGGTTGTGTACGTTAGCATGGGCGTTGCGGAGATAGTCGACGTACCGTTCACAGACCGATTGTTCTCTCTCGTGTGATTAGTGCTTGACAAAACTGAGCAGGAGAGTTCGCGGGTGGTGAAGCGTGTTGAATGCTTTCATTTGGGTACAGCTTGCCTTCAACGTGCCCTCATTTGATGGCAAGGCAGGTATCGTACTGCTCTTTCTTCTTTGGGTGGTGGTCTTCGTCAAAGCGCTTTCCTTCAATTTTGACTTCACTTTATTCTTCGCTTTCGCTTGAGTCCCACATCACTTCTCCCTTCACTTCCATCAACAGCTTGACCGCCCAAATCATCATCTGGATTCATTTTCACGTCACTTCATCGTCAGCTCCCGCCGACCTGCTGAACTCTTGCCGCCCTGGCGATTTGAAACGACTCCCACTCCCGCTCCACCGAATCCCTCACCCACGGTATCGCTTGGTTCGAACGCCTTTCATCCCCAACTTATCACATTTAGATTTTATTTGCGAGGCGGCGTAGCTGGCGGCATACATGGCGGGCAAAGGTTGTACATCTGCTGCAGGAAAACTCGCGGGCGCCAGCGCTATGAAGCTGATGCGGACAGGTTGCTCTCTTCCTGCCTTTCGGCCTTCTCCTTGCCTATCGTCTCTTCCTTTTTCTCATCCTTTTTTTCTTCATTCTTCGCCGCTAAGCCATTATTCAGAACCTCAGTCGCCACCCAGCCCATCCTGCGAAATGCTGTCGGTGGCTCCTGGCCTCGGACCGGAGTTTCAGGTCCAGGTAAGATCTCCCTCATCAAAGTGTTCACATCGTTGCCGGCGTCTTTGGCGTCTTGCCACTGCCGCGGGTATCCCAAACTGACTTCTTCGAATCGCACGCCGTCTATCCAGTCGGTTCTCCTCACATGGAGATGGCCAGTCACTACTACTTTGGCATTGAAGCGCGTGTGCCAGTCATGCGTTTCCTTGGTGCCACACCATAGGCTGAAGCGGGGTACTCGAGGGATGAAGACTGTGTCCTCTCTCAACGGCCAGTGATTAATTATTATCAGCGGCAACCCAGACTCTGCGGCCTTTTCGAGCTTGGCCTCGGCTTCTGATACCAGACGAGTGCACCATGCGTCTCGGGTGGCGTACGGATCCGGATGCAGCAGCTTCTCATCAGTGGCCTGAATGCCTTCCTCCATCGCCCACTCCAACGCCTTCTCCCGGGGGATGTGCTCTGGCCTGAAGCTGTAGTCATACAGCGTGAATATGGGGCATATCAGAGCTTTCTCCTGCTTGCCTTCCGCCGAAGTGTACGTCCAGGTCATATAATCATCCTCGGGAGTTAGTACACCATAGTGGCGAGCGACCTTTATACACGCCTTGTACTTGGCTTCGCCCTTGAGCTTCCGTTCTTCTTCCCGTATATTCGGCGCAGAAGAAGTGTACAACTCATGGTTTCCTGGCACCCAGAAGACATGCTTGAACCGCCGGACTGCTTTCCGAAAGGCGATCTGGAGGTGCTCGATGCTCTCGCCCACTGTCCAAGTCAGCGGTCATTGGCACTTCACCGCATCAAAAGCACGAAAGCATACCATCGCCTGCCAAAATGAGACCGTCCTCACTCCTGTGCTTGAGTTTGGCCCACTCCTCACGATTGCTCTTGAATGACAGGTGGATGTCAGCAATGGCCCAAAGCCGCATCTTGGGCGCAGCACCGCGACGAGACAACGACGCTCTTTCAAGACAAGCAAAACAAAAATATTATCAAGCGACCATTTTCGGCAGGTGGGAATGGTAGTTGTGTCGGGTTGGTGTGCCTTGTGCCCACCACCGCTGCTGTGGTGAACATCGGACGTCGCGGAGAGCGAAAAGTCTACGAAAGCGCGGGCCAGACATGACCGTTTCCCCTTCCTGCGGCTGGCCCAGCTTTGTGAGGGATCGATCTGTCTGTTCCACGAGCAAAGCTAAATCGAGGCAGCTTGGCACGACGACCACCACCAACATTCTCACAGAAACGACGCTCGCTAGGTGGGTGTTGTGCAGCAGCAGCGTGTGGGAAAATGTGACCTCCCGTGTCTTCTAATACGCGCCCAGTCATCGTGCTGCGTCGCGCAACACGAAGCAGAGGCATCGGTGGCGTGAAAGAAACGCCGATGCCCTTGCGTCTGCTCTGTGCTCCGCTCTTCCTTCTTTCGTGGCAGCGGCTCGGGCTCATCCGCCTACTGGCTGGCACCAAAGACGCCACGAAAACCCTCCGACGAGCTGCGCCCCCGACAATAAGCGCGGCCGGATTCGCGTGGCGCATGTTGAGAGTTTGCGGGTGTACCTGCCAGGAGAAATCACAACAGAGCCTTGTAGATGAGATGTGAGAGGAGAGGGACATCTGGCTTGGCTCTTGGGGGGGGAGAAGAGAGAAAGTGGTTCTTATTCACTCCGTCTGTCGACCACGCAATATCCCCGTGGAGCAGAGGTCCAGAACCATTGAGCGACTCGGCTACCTACCGTTCTAAGAAAAGAAGGAACGTGCGCTTGGGTGAACGCGACAGCAACGTCAGCCAATCAAGCGAGTGAATGACAGAAGTGGAGCCTGGGCACTGCTGGCAGCCGACCCTCGACGCCTCACAGCTCAAACAGAACTTCGACTCTCGTATCCTCTTCGTCAGCGTTGCATTCGACTTAGCGACGACCTGTCTATATCCATATCTATCTTGTTGGAAGCGTCATTCTTGTACACTCGTTTTGTTGGACCTATGACACCGTATTCTTATCCCGACCTTTCTTTGTGGATCTTGCAACAGGGGCCCCTTTACGCCAAGTTCTATCTCGAAACACCGAACACACGTCTGGAACATCCTGTGAGCGACCAAGTTCTAGGAAGCGATCGTCGCTCCTTCCTCTCTGTACAACACGACGGTCTTTTGTATTTGCATGTTGGAGTAGCACCTGCAACACCCACTCGCCTGGACCAGCGCACGCCCGAATCCCCCGGGCGGAAGCCTACCTCACGCGACCATGCGGTCAACCTTTCGCTACCTCCCTTTGGTCCTGCTCAGCTCGCTGCCGGCCAGCGTGTTGGGCGGCGACATCCTCAGCACGAATGGCTTCTCCATGTGCTCGACAGACCCTACGATCAAAGTTCAGACGCTCAATGTGGAGTATAATCGGCAGACGAGGAGGGTCACATTTGATGTTGCTGGGAGCAGCTCAGAAGAGCAGAAAGTTATCTTGAATCTGGTGGTGAGCGCGTATGGGAAGGATGTTTATACCAAGGAGATCAATCCTTGTGAGGCGTCGGAGGAGTACAATATTGATAATATGTGTCCGAGTATGTTGCGGTCACAATTGGACATGTGGATGAGTATGCGCTGACTTGGATATGCAGTACCTGCCGGAACCTACTCGTCGAAAGGCGAGCAAACGATCCCGGAGAAGTACGCCGACCAAATACCTGCGATTGCGTTCAACATCCCCGATCTCGACGGCTTGGTGAAGCTGGAAGTCAAGAGCGCCGACGGTGGTAAAGATCTGGCATGTATACAATCGAGCGTATCGAATGGACACACCTTCCAGATGAAGTCGGTCTCGTACGCTGCCGCCGGAATGGCAGCTGCGGCTCTGGGGCTCTCTGCTGTCACTGCGCTGGCATCTGCTGGTGCTCCTGGTGCCAGCACTCCTTCGCCTACCTTTGGCGAGGTCATTGGATGGTTCCAGACCATGGCTACCAGTGGAATGCTGAGCGTGCAGTACCCGAAGGTCTACCAGAGCTTCTCGACGAACTTTGCATTCTCCACAGGTCTTGTGCCTTGGGGATCGATGCAAGAGGCTATCGATAATTTCCGGCAAAGGACTGGCGGGAACTTGACGGACAACAGCTGGCAATACCTGCGGAATAATGCGACGCTCGTGTTCGATGATGGTCAGACCAATTCAAGTTTGAGCAAGCGCGCACTGGACACGGCTGTGCTTTTCATACGCGATGGGACTACGGTCAACGTGAACGGGACAGAACAGGACGTCGGTGGAGATTCCAGCGGCAACAGCACCTCTTCGTCCGACAGCCAAAGCAAAGACCAGCACTTCGTGAGCGGAATCCAGGCCTACGTGGAGCAGCTTTCTATTCCTCAGGCCAACACCTTCATGACGATTCTCCTGGTCTGGGCAATCGTCGTCGCAGCTATTATCGTCCTCATCCTCCTCGCAAAGGCCATTCTAGAAGCCTGGGCCATGTTCGGCAAACTTCCCAAGGGTCTCGAATCCTGGCGAAAGCGATACTGGTGGAGAATGGCCAAGGCGATTGTCAACCTCATCCTTCTGCTTTACGGCGTCTGGACCCTTTACTGTGTTTACCAATTCACGAATGGCGACTCTTGGGCGGCTAAGGTCCTCGCAGGTGTGACCCTCGGTGCCTTTACCCTAGTTCTGGCTGGTTTCACGTACAAAATCTGGAGCATGGCGCACAAGTACAAGAAGATGGAGGGCGCCCCGGATAAGCTTTACGAGGACAAGGAGGTCTGGATCAAGTACAGCTTGTTCTACGACAATTACAAGAAGAGCTACTGGTGGATCTTCGTGCCCGCGATCGTGTACATGTTCGCGCGAGGCTGCATCATCGCCGGCGCAAACGGCCATGGCATGGTCCAAGCTGCGGGTCAACTCATCGTCGAAGCCCTCATGCTCGCTCTGCTACTTTGGACCCGCCCTTACCAGCGCCGCTCCGGCAAGTGGATCAACATCACTATCCAGACAGTACGCGTCATCTCCGTCGTCTGCGTCCTCGTCTTCGTCGAGGAGCTCGGCCTCAGCCAAACGACCAAGACCGTCACCGGCGTCGTCCTCATCGTCGTGCAATGCGTCCTCACAGGCATCCTCGCCATCCTCATCGCCACCAACGCCATCATCACCTGCATCAAGGAGAACCCCCACACGCGGAAACGCCGCGAAGCCGCCAAGATGAACCGCGACCTCGACAACCTCACCCCCCTCGACGCGAGGAACAGCCTCCTCATGGACCCCATGGTGCAGAAAGACGGCGCAGACACCTCGTACAAAGCACCACTCGTATCAGCATCTCCCTTCGCAGACCAAAGAGGACGCTACGATCCCGTGCACACGAGATCAGACTCCCCTGGTCGGTACCACGACGAGGAACATCTCGTTTCCCACGCGGCGCCTTTCCACACCCGCGATCACTCGCGGGATCCGTCGGCTCATTCGAGGAGTCCGAGCGTGGAGTCGAGGCAGCCGCAGTTGCCGGATTTGAATTTTGGGAGGGCGTATTAAAAACGACCTTCGCCCCTGGTTTCTGTTGTCGAGGAGTTTTTTTAGCGTGTTGTTGTTGTGCAGAGAAAGCATTTTACTACTGTTTAGGGGGGACAGAGGAAAGGAGTTCATGGGCGAAAAGATCTATCATCATCATCAGACCCCCCGGCCTGTTTGCCTAACCCGCGCAGAGCAAGGAAAGGAGGGGGTTTCGAGTCACGGCTGTCTGCTATTTTTCTGTTGTTTGTTGTTCTCTTCGGCCAAGTGTTCATAGATGATTGTGTTGAGACAAAGTATATCCCTGTAATAAATGAAGTGATTGAGGAAGAAGAGACGAAAGACAAATATCTCACCTGTATCAGTTACACGGCGTCCCGTTTGGTGGGAGAGTGCGATCCTGCCTGCCCTCTCCAAAGATTGGGGCTGTCAGTGAGTGAATGAATGAGTCGCAGGGGTCCACTTCGTATGTTATAGAGGAGAACAGAAAGAAATTTTCATTATTGTTCCCACCTCGAAAAACAGGCTATGGTTCAAGCAGAGATATCATAAACCCGCTCAAAAAAACACCCTCAATGCACCCGTCCACCCATCATCACCACCCAGCGACCAGCGCCATCTTCCCCATCCCACCCACCGCCAAATCACTCATCCAACTCCCCCTCCCCATCATCCTCCCCATCCCCCTCCCCTTCAACCTCCTCCTCCTCCTTAACAACCGCAACTTTCAAATCCTTACACGTCGAATAAACCCTCAGCCCCAACACACACAACGCATTCCAGGGGTCATCGCCGAAAATCCCTCCGTTGCCGTTGCCGCTGCGTTTTCGTTTGTCTGAGCCGCCTCCTGCGCTACCGGGGGAGGGCAGGGTGGTTTCGAAGTCGGAGGAGAAGAGGGGTGGGTCGCTTTGGGGAAGTGTTAGTTGGGTGTGGTGGGAGGGGGAGGGGGAAGGGAAGGGGGAACGTTACATTTCTGGATCCCAGTCGAAGTCGTCGTCTGCGAGCTCGGAGATGGGGGAGACGGGGGAGTCGGTGTCGGAGTCGAGGGGGGAGATGGGGGATTTGGCTGTGGTTGTGGTGTTGAGGGTGAGGGCGGAGAGTCTGCTTGAGAGGTCGGGTTTTGGGGGTTGGGGTTCTTGGTTGGGGGCGTCGTTGGAGGAGGTGTTGGGTTGTTCGTCTTGTGTAGTCGAAGGCGGATCTTCCACGGCAGGCTTGGTGTCTTCTTCGTTCGTCTCGGTTTGGACGTCAGCGTCAGCCTTGTCCACTTCCACGGGCTCTTCGCTAAGTGGGACGGATTTGGCGTCCTGCTCGCTGCTCTCGACACTAGGAGGCTGCGCTTCGGTCGACCCAGCTTCTGCGCGATTGGCTTCTCCTCTCGCACCATCGCGCTGCTTTCGACTCTCCTCTTTCTCTCGCCTCTTCGCCTCAAAAGCCTTCCTCTTCTCCTTCATAGCATCGCTGACCCGCTTCTTCCTCTGCCTCGCCCGCTCTCGTTCCTGCTTGTTTAAACCTCGGATCTTCTTCATGCTGCTCAACTGCTTCTCACGCTTTTCCTCTTTCTTCTCCTTCTTCAGCCTCTCCTCCATTCCTTTCAAGTCACCCTTCGATTGAGCGTAATCGAATCGCCGGCCGACATGTAGCAACTTCTCCTTGCGAGAGTCTGCGCATTTGAATATCACTTCTTCCGCTGTCGAGGCGGCGTTGGCGCGGACGGCGGTGACTTTGAATACGACTCGGTATGCTCCTGGCTCGAGGTCGACTTCGGCGGAGACGGACCGCGTGTAGACTGTATCTGCGCCGCTGCTGTGCATTGAGCGGACGATATAGTGCGAGTCGTCTTCGACTTTGTAGAGGCGGAAGTGGAGGCTGTAGATGTAGCGGCCTCCTAACCCATGATAGAAGCGGTCATCAGGCTGGCAGAGGACGATTACGACGGGGCCTTGTTCCGTGACGGTGAACTGGAAGTGTGTGTCTAGGTAGTCGACCGTCCAGGGTACTTGGACACAGGTCCATTGTTGGCTGACGGACCAGTTCTCGTCGAAGAGGCGGACGCGGTTGATTCTGGCGAAGTGCTTGAGGAAGTCTTTGTAGCTGATCCAGAAGACGCCGTCGTCGCCGAACGTATCTACAGAGAATTAGTTCATGGTCTTCATGTTCCAGAGAAGGCTTCTCACGTTTCAATTTGGTCATCATCTCAGGAGTCCACAGCTTCGATCCATCAGACCAATCGCCCTCCCATTCCGTATCGCCCCAAGGGTTGCGAATCTTGAGAAGTCGAAGATCGCCCTCCTCCCAAGCCTCAAGCACGGCGTATGCATGGCCGCCAATAAAGCCCTTCTTATCCCCTTGCTGGCTTCCTCCACCGAAGAGATATCTCTTGTTGACGTTCAAGAGCTGCTCTTTCCAGAATTTGTCCTTGTCCATGATGTCTTCTGGATTGAGAGACACCGCGACTCCACCCGTCAAGTCTTCGGTGCCCTCTGATGCGTAGCCACCCTCTATTGCTGCGTAGTCGCCATGGGCTTTGGCGTATGCCTTCTCAATCAATGGGAGCCAGGTCTCGTTCGATTTGCAGTGGCCAAAGTATAGTGCCGTCCCTCCTTTTTGAAGCACGTCCTTGAGCTTTTCGTCGTCGTAGGCGATTTTGGAACCTAGCTTCTTTTCACTGCCAAATGTCAGCATGGAATACAGGCAAAAGAGCCGAAACGATTGGCTCTTCGAAAGATACTCACACATCCCAGTCTCTGACAACATTTAAGTCGTCATCGTCGCCAACTCGAAGGAAGAGTTTGTCGTCTTCGAATGTCAGTAATCCATGGCCTTTGAACGAGCACACAAAGCTCATACTCACCGATGACCTCGTGTATCCACTCGCCGTCTCTGTGGAATACAAACCCGTATACTCCAACTTTCTCGTTTTTGGCCACGCACAGCTTGTCAACTAGTTCCTGTCCTTTCGCCGCAATGGCCATGCACGCAGCTTTCATTTGGTCAGTGCATTCGGAGTAAGACCACCATCGATCGCTTCATACCCAGGAACCAGCAGTCGCCATTGCTTCCTTGATGGACATCCGTAGCGTCTGCGCCATCGATGAAGAATTGTGGCTTTTCGAAGATGTCCTCTACTCGCTTGACCCAAGGCGGAGGATCTTCATCATCTGCAGGCATTGAGTACTCGTTGGCCACTCCAAATCACCACCTTTGACCTACCGACTGCACTGGGGCTTTGCAGAGACACCTTCGTCAGCATGTACTTACAACCCCGCTATGGTACTACTCACTATCGGCCATTCAGACTTTGCAGGCAGTTGGGGCCACCTTCCAGATCAAAGTCCCTATCACGATACTTCTCATTCAGTCGTTCGCATTCTGCAACGATTGCCTGGACTTTGGCTTTGCACTGAGCCGCAGCCTCCTCCCAAGACCGAGCCGCATTCTCCTTGACTGCCAGTCCACCTTCTGGCGACTTCTCCACGGCCTTTCTCTCCGCTACTGTTGCTCTCGCTGACCTCGAAAGCTTCTTCGCTCTCTTCGGCTCTACAGCCAAGAACTTTTCCCATGGTGCGTAGAACTCATCGTTGCGTTTGACGCCCGGGAGAGGGACATTGTCTAGTATAGAGGTATCCGGTGGAGCAGGCTGGTCGGCGACGATCTTGATGGGAAAGGGCGTAGGTCCTGGAGCTGGCTCTGGATCTGCTCTTTCCCTCAGGCGATAGAAGCCCGACTTCATGGTGTGATTGATGCTGTTTCTTGTGCGGCATGTGGTTCTAGCGACGAGAAGGAAAGAAAAGATGCCGGACTCACGAAAATAGACACATGTACCAGGAGCTTTTAATATCAGACGACCACCTTGCAGCTCAAGAATGACCAACCCCGGTCATCGCAGACGCCACTGTACACGGCCAGGCGGCCCTCGAGCGCTACTGGACGCATGAGGCTGGACACCACAGGCAGAAAAGAGGCCGCCACCGGTTTGCTAGGCACGGAGCCAGTCGCTGGTGGCAGATACGCTGTGGAACAGGCGTGATCAGACACGACCGGTGAGGCCCCCAAAGTACGCGGGCGTCCTGCAGCTTGTGGCCGCCGTTGACTTGACACGCCTTGCTTGCTTGGTGTTGATGGCGGGTGTGGTGCTCGTCAGCTGCTGCTGAGAGAAAGCTCCAGCACGCCATCCCGAATTTGGAGCTCCAGTTCTGTGCGGCTGAGGAGGTGTAACAAACATCACGCGTCTCAGCTCTATCTGTTCTGCAAAGTACCTCATCCTTTACTTTTATAAGGCTCTGTTCATCGGGTTGTGATAAACTCCAACAAGGCTGTGGTTTTCGCGACTCCTGGACCGGGCGGCATACCAAGCCTTCAGAACGATGAGGAGCGATTGGTCGAGGAGCAAATGGGAAGAGCAGACTATCGAGAGGCCGGATCGATAAATGAGGAATATATTCGGTGCTGTGAAGGGGCGCCGTGAACAATGATTATACAAAAGTCTGGGATGCAGCAAAGTGCATGCCCAGTGTGTGGGCTACCTCCCCATACGACAGTCACCCAGTCGGCGATCTTCAAACAGAGGCTCGACGGGACTGTCTGCTGTTTCCCCTCGAAATGGTGCAAATGACAAATGTGACCAAGATGGCAAGATTGAGCGCCAAGAGGACTGACATGTACTGCAGTATAGCCTTATGTGGGATGCGCTGGAGACAGTCATGGAACTTATATGATCCATGCCGAGCACTGCTGTCCAAGAGCAGCTATACCACCAAAACACCCTTATCCTTCAGCGCCTGACACTTCGGTCCCAAAGTCGTATCCAATTGGTTGTCAGAGACATCCAAAACATCCAGCTCCAAAGCGCAGAGCTCTTCCGGCACAGTACCCGTCAATTTGTTTCCCAAGAACAAGACCTCCTTCAAACCCTCGATGTTTGCGAAGCTTGCTGGAATGGACCCTTCGAACTTGTTGTTCGCCAGGGTGATGTACAAGGTGCTGATGTTACCAGCCTCGGGAATCTTGCCGCTGAAGTTGTTGTCGTTCAGAAAGATGGTGTCCATGTCTGTCTTGGTGAAGAGATCATCGGGCAACTCGCCTTGGAGTTCGTTGAAACGAAGATCGAGGAAGGTGAGTGGGGCAGAAAGAACGCTTAGAGGGAAGTTGCCGGTAAGGTGGTTGTTGCTGAGGTCCAACTCGAAGAGATATTCCAGCCTCGACACGTCTGGGACTGTACCAGTAAAATCGTTGCTATTGGCATGGAAGAACGTAAGATCGAGAAGCTTGTCGAGGAGGTCTTTCACTCGTAGATTGGCGCCGAGGTTGTAGCCATTGAAGTCGATGCCGGCTACTGCTTGGTAGCCGTCTGGGTGCTCTGCGCAGGTAATGCCCTTCCAGCTGCAGACATCGGTGCCAGTCCAGGATTCGATGATGCCTTGAGGATCAGATGTCACAGTCTCGCCGAACTTCTTCAGAGTTGCCGCGTCTCTGGCGAGATTGTCCCAGGTGGCTCGTGGAGTTGGACCTGCGGTGACTAGGCCAGAGGAGAGAAGTGAAGAAATGAGAGTCTTGAAAACGAATGGACCCATCTTGACCGGTGGGAGGGTAACGAATGTTAGACCGAGAACCGCTAAGACAAGGTAAGTATGGAGAATAACGTTGGCAACTACCTTTCTTTAAGTACTCTTGAGCGTCAAGTTGTTCCCTTGCATACCTACCGTAACACCGGCTAGCTCGTGAGTATACTTAGTCCATGATCAAGCTCAAGAGTAAGCCGTAGTACTGTAAGATTAATTCTAGAATGTCAAGCGCGAGACGTGCCGAGGACGGGGCGAGAGTTCTATCATTTGAGTGAATAGCGTGGCAGATGATGCTGTATAGGCGGTTGATGATCTTGAGCTGTTCAGGTGACAATCCCGTGCGAGATAGACTGTTCGATTAGGTAGCTCTGTACGCTGTGTTGTGGGGATGTGGACTCGTGCTGGTGATACAATAGTGAGAGTTCTGATCGACGTCTATCGAGGCTCTCTTGTTGACACTAGTCCATCGGTTCAGCTTAGTCGAGGCATCATAACGGTTTCTCTACGGCATAATGGTGACCGTAATGAGCAGCACAAGGATTCGCGTCGCCGACGAACAACAGCAAAATCGGGATCGCACTGTCACATTGCAGCGTGCCACTTCGTGCTGCTCGTCAGACCAGAGCCCTTGTAGAATTCCTCATCGCTTGATAGGGGTCCAAAGACGTGGAGACGACCAACAAAAAGGCATCAAGTCGACATCCAGACCTTGAAGAAGGGGTGGCCTGACCATTTTACGCCAAGGGACAGGGTTTCGCAGGGGCTGCTTAAACCCCTGAAATCGTTCATGCTCCCTACTATTGCTGGTTTGGTGGAGCTTGATACTTCGTACACCGACACGACGAATGCAATGCAATGACCTGGATGCAACGTCGACTGCTAATCGATCACCGATAAAGGGGTTGAGAGAATGGATGCGATAGACACATCTAGAGACACCTACCCCAATTTCCACGTGGGATCATACTCAGCCTAGGACTCTCGAGCACTAATGGCACACGAAGCGATGGCATGGCAGCATACACTTCCAAATCCGGACGGAGCGTCTGCGGCGATCGTGAAGTGAATGAAACACCCGTATGCGAACTTTACAGCACGCTACTGTTCAGCATCTCGTCGCACAACCGGAGCTCTTGCACATCCTCGAACCCCACCCCTGCTCTCGCCTCCACCAAATCAACAAAACACAACGAAACAGCAAACACACTCTACGAAGGCCATCATGACATCTAACCTCTCCCTCTGGCTCGTGCCCAACGAAAACAGCCCATTCTCAAAGACCGCCCAAGAGCTCATCTCGGACACGGTTCCCCGAAACTTCGTCTCGCAAGACGAGATTCAACATTTCCCTCCCCACGTCACAGTCACCGGAGAACTCAATGCAGGCAAAGCTTTCGGCGGAAAATCACCACAAGAATGGCTCGATAGCATCGACTTCTCGGCCTACAAGCCCGGCCAGAAAGAAGTCGTCCTCGAGCTCGATACGGTCGAAGCCGAAGATCCTTTCTTCCGGAAAATGAACATCTCCGTGAAAGAGAGCGAGGATCTACGACAAGTCTCAGCGACATCTCGCCGAGCAGCTGGATTGGATGAGGCGTGGTCGAAGAACGAGTATCGGCCGCATCTGAGCTTGTTCTATGGGGATGTGGCGACGCAGCAGGTCAAGGCGAAAGTCCCGCTGATTGAGATGAAGATTGGGTTTGCGCTGGGGGATTTGTTTGCTTGCTGTGGAGGCACGTTGTGTATGGGTGGGTATATCGTGGTTGTGGATACCAGGAAGCCGATTCGGGAGTGGAAGGACGCTATTGTGGCGAAGAGAGAGACGCCGTGGGCGATGTGGAGGGCTACGAGGAATTTGATTTGAAAGGCGTGACAGGACGGAAAACCGGAGAGACTAAGATTGAAATGTTTAATGTGTTCTATCCTTTATGAATGGCGAATACCGAGATTGAGGACATGTTACATCGTACAAAGATTCATTTTTCTCAGCGGAATCGTGCTCGACTTTATAGCATCATGAGTCGACAATATGTCGCGGCTCGGCCTGTCAAACTATTGCAAAGCCCTCGAAAGCAAACCCTGCTCGTGGTTCTAAGTCCTGTCGAGCGGTCCCGCCGCAGAAGTCATTGCTGGGACAAGCGGATCGTCAGAATCCGGACTCGACGAATAGACATCGCTGTCGTCCGTCTGTTTCGAGTACGCATTCCTCGACGTAATGTCTTGACCAGCATGTGACTGGCCTTGGACACTCGTAGTACCGTAATTTGGTGGTTGGACACGCTCATCAGGATCGCTCTCAGGCACCGTGACAAGCAGTTCCAGCGTTCTCGGACCAGTGTATTTGTGGCGAGCACCGGCCCACCACCAGCCGAGAGAGAAGACGCCCACGAAGGCGGCTACGACGATCGCGTAGTTCATGTTCGTCGCCGTGATGGGCACAGAGGTCGGGAAGAATAGGATGACGCTGATGAAGCTCACCCATGCGATGGCCGTGATATTCAATGGCTTGCTCATCCAGCCAAGCTCAAACTTTCCAGGTCGGAAGGGTGCTACGTCTTCGCGACCAGCATACCACAGTCGCGCGAAGATGACTGCGATGTAGCTGAGGTCCAGACAGGGCGCACAGAGGTTGAAGATGGCTGTGATTGTCTCGGTCGAGCCAAATCCGATGAAGTTAAGACAAGTGCAGAAGCCGACCACGAACCAGACGGCATTGACGGGTGTATGGGTATGTTCGTTGATCTTACTCCAGAACTTTGAAAATGGTAGAGCTTCGTCTCTGGCAAAGGCGTAGACCATTCGAGCGTTGGCAAGCATGGCACTTGCTCCCGTGAAGATCTGAACTAGGATGACGAAGAAGAGCATAGCTGACCCACCAGCCTTGCCGCCTGCATTGAGAAAGATCTGAGCAACGGGGAAGCCTGTTGGAGAACCGACGATGGAGTTCATGTAGTCCAGTGGTAGACAGAACGTAAGGCAAACATTCAGTGCCAGGCCAAGTACACCGGAGGAAAGAACGGCGATGAGAATGGCACGCGGTCCCTCGACGGAAGCATCGTGCGTTTCTTCAGACATGTGAGTCGTGCCATCGTAGTCGGTCATAACCCATGCGACGTTCAAGAAGCCGAGGAGAAAGGAGAACCCTCTCGATCCCCATCCTGAACCGTCTCGAATATCTGTAAGGACGAAGCTCACATTGCGTTTGTCGTCGGTCAAGGCGATTAATGCAACGCAGATCCCGACCGTTGCGAGGACGTTGATGGGTGCGAACCACATGATCGTGCGATGCAAACCCCTTGTCGTTAGAGAACAGACTGTGCCAAAGATGAAAAGCATGGCTATTGCCACTCCGACGATCATTGCCGGCGTGCTGTAAGAGGTCAATTTCTCTGAAAGCGCCCACGAGGCAACGTTGTTACTTACGGCGAGAATGCATATGAGCCATCGGAGAGTTCCGTGTTCATGCTGACCAAAGCCAAAAGCATCTGCCCGATTGTATATGCGAGAGATGCCACGCCAGCTGCTTGACCGAGGAAATTGCACCCTAAACATGATCAGCGCATGAAGACAAGACTCCCAATCCACCGTCAAGCTCTTACAACCAATGATCCAAGCCCATATCGCTACATGCTTTTGTGGGACGACATGTTTGGTGACAAAGTACATGCCACCCGCCGTGGGATAAGCAGAGACGAGCTCAGCCACTACCAAGATCAGTATATGCGCAAGCACAAGTGTCCAAAGACTTACCCGAAGAAGCAATCACCATTGCCATAAGGGATCCAATTAACCATGTCCACACCGCGGTAGCAGGGCCGCCAACAGAGATGGGTACTCCATACGTGGCAGGCTGGGAACCCAGTACACCTAGGACTGATATTGCGTAAGATCTTGTAGACCATTTGTTGAACTCTCGTCGAAGTTCCTGGACAATGTCAGCGGAGATGCTCGTTGAAAGCTGTCACTCGGCCTACCTGTTTGTAGCCGATCTGTGCAAGTAGTCGTTCGTCCTCATCGTGTATGGAAGCCATGTCTAACGAAGGCTGATCTGGTGTTCGCGCCGCCTCGACATCCACCCCTGACTCAGGGCCTGGCTTCTCCGAAGGGTACGCTGCTTTGACGTCTGCTGTACTCATGATGGCGGTTAATCGTGTTCCTGATCGATGAGAAAGGAAAGGAGTTCTGGGAAGTATATGCAGTTATCCGCAACGCCACCGCTATTTCAGAGGTGGTAGCACGTGGTAGGGCCAGTCCACATCGACGGGTGTTGGCCGTGACACCATACCGGAGGTGCTAACGCAAGATCATATGGATGCGCAGCCGTGGTTCACCAGCCGTGTCACGGCAAGTCATGATTATGGAGACGTAAGACGAGGCACGACGCCCGCGGACTGAAGGGCAGACTGGACCGCGCAGGTGGGTGAACATCTTGCCAGGTTCCTGCGCCAATGCTGCCCTCTCCGAAACTCTCCCGGAACCGCAAAGAAAAGATGGGCTACATACCAGTCTTTGCGGTCAGGAGGTGGTGGATAGGCGCGACGATTGGATGCTCCAGACCCTCACATCCGCGAGGGCGTATTCTCTATCCTCAATCGGCGAGCTGACGCGAGGCAAGGTCCAGTGCGTTGGGCGCACTTGTCGATCGAGACACGCGCTATCCATGCAGAGGGATGATTGCAGGAGTCGTGAATACTTGGTGATGCTGGATAGAATTCGTCGCTAACGCCGGCAGGATCGTGTTATGCTTTGTGGGTGCCGAAAGTTACTGCATCGTGAGCAATGAGGTGCTCTGATTGAACCTTGATGGCAGAGGGTGTGCTGGGAGTTTCCCGGGAGACGTCGTTGGGCAGAGGCTGAAACGACGTCGACTCAAGACGCTAGAAGCATTCCAGAAGGCCGCTAGGAAACCCGTAAAAGAGCATCCGACCCATCGCTCGACGTACGTGGAGCCGGCTTCACGTTGACGAGATGTTGTGCAACACGGGGATGTCGAACGAAAGCCCAGAAAACATATCATTCACACCTACTTTGTGAAGTCTCGTTATCGTGAGCCATGTGGCCGGAATCAAGATTGGAACGCCCCCTCTCGGCGGAGGGGACACAACGGCGAATGACCCGTGTCCCGGCCAATATCGGCATGAACTGATATTCAGCGGTGAGCGTGGTTGGACACGTCGTCAGGCATCTGTCCAATCGATGAAGACAGAGCAACAAAAGCATGGCTTGATATGATGTGAGCGGCGAATGGTGGCAAGTCTCGCTATGCGGCGAGTGTTGCATGCATCTGCGAACCTGAAGATGCCATGTATCGTCATTCGCCGGTATGCATTCCGCAAAGAGTAGAGCCATTGAAGACAACACCATCTTCTGTGCCGTGCGAGTATATCAGCCTTCACACTCCAATACCACAACACCATCATTGGCCGACAAAGCTCTTGCAATGGACGGTGACAATCTCAGTACCTAAAGTTTCTGACGCGCTGTAACGATCAGCGGCTGATGATGACATTCTGGGCTCCGTTGATGCGCTGGCAGGAGGCGCAACGTGACTGTTGATCCTTCGGAAGTACAGAGCGAGAGTCGACGCCCCAGAGCACGCATTGGCATAGGCAGCAATGTACTCTTGGCCCCTTATCACTTGTTTTGTCCTGGACACCTCGAGGCCGCGAACCGCTCCAGAACTGCTTGCGCAGGTCTAGCCCATAGTCCTTTGCGGCTGGCAGTTATGTGAATGGACTCCAGGCTTCGAGAGCAGGTCCATCTGGCCCCCTCATTGCATGCTGAAGGGAAATGTCGACATCCTTCATACACTCACGTCGTGCCAGGTGATAGTCGGTGAGCGCTGCTGTGTACACCATTCCAAAGCTCATTCAACCACCTGCAAGGACCTGGGCTGCTACTCAAGACGAGACGACGATGAAGAGGCAGACTCATCTGCGGGAAGAGAATCTGAAAAGAAGCTGATGTCCACACCTGTTCTCTGTGCTACCAGAGTAGCTAATTTGTACAACCGGGAGAGGCGGGCCGCAACTGAATCGCTGGGACGGCGACCCCAAGTCGTTCAATGCAGGTGTCCGACTGGACCGATCGCTTGGTAGAGTCCGAAGGGATGGTTCTGAATCCACGCTGGTGTGTCGTGAACGCAAGGTGGAAAGTGGAGAGTGTGAACTTGTTTCGCAGCTGCGGCATCGGTCATCCCTTGTGTAGCAGGCACCGCCATATCGAAATGGTTTCACTCGCTGAAGGTTTACATGATAAACTGGAGCGGTGAGCGGATCGTATGCAAGTGCAGGTAAGTCATATTACGTCGTAATTCCAGCTTACGCTCAGTCTTGACTAGGATCCTCGTAGACTCGTAATCTCATAACATTTGTGAAAGCATCGCCGAAGACGGAACAAGGCCATTCACCCATTCTTCAAGTTGGTTTCCAACTGTCTCGCGCTTTTGTAACGCCATTGGAAACACCGCAACACCTTCGCTTCCCTGTGCCGGTCAGTTGAGCCCGATGTCCTCGAGTGTCAGCGACGCTTACCAAAACAACATTCACAGTCTGTCAAACAAATCACTCCGGGATTGCTCCCAGATCCTCATATTGAGAGTTCAAGTACGCCAAGATCTGCGACTCGTACACTTGCTGCAGCCTCTCTTCCGACTCTTGCTGTCGCAGTTGACATTGCGATTCGTGCTGATGATGGAGCTCACGCAGTGAGCACTTCTGTGGTGACGAAGTCCTGCGCAGCGCATGCGATTTGAGGTTGGATTTCGACACTTGGATCCTGGCCTTTATGGTACTCGATGAGCTTCGCGAGCTGAGGGAGCCTGAATCATCCTCCGAGACGTCGCTCTGGGCTGTGTAGAATGAGCAGTCTGAGAATGGCGTTGCGGTACGTAAGATGGCATTGCTCGCTTTTTCATGCTGGCAGTTATGGTCTTGTCCGTTGAGAAACGAACACAAGGAACAGTGATGGTCTTGAGTCGCAGCCATGTCGTTGATCAGCCGAATGCAGACGGCGGGTGAGTAAGCCGGTGAGTGCTCCATGGTTGTACGCTTGAATGGTTTGGTCTCTGGTACAAAGGTACCACGGCGGCGCGATGGATGTCAATAGCAGAGACTACTAACATATGATTGAGAAGGAGGTTGGAGAGTACAATCGCGTGGCAGGGTGGTCATCAAGGATTAATGAGTGTGGCCAGCCGAACAGCCATGAGGTCACGGCACTCTGGTCAGACCAGTGAGGAATCTTGCCCTGAAAGCGACCACACAACCCGGCTGGGCCGATTGCTGTAAGCTCAGAGTTGCTTTGTACTCTGCAAAGGTAATATACGAGTTGCAGTGCATCGTGGCGGGAGCAGCCTCAACGACATTGGGAAATTTTCCAGGCCAGGACGCAGTCGTGAGCCTGCAAGCGAGCATTTTCACCGCGCTGATTCGTTGCGTCGTGCAGAAGCTGGTATGTTGTAGCTATGTTAGTAACGCATCGTCATATCGATCTCTTGGTCGATAGTCAGACGAGGTTGCATGGCTAGTAGTACGAAGACGCCTGGGGTGGCTCACAGCTCGCTGACCATACAGAAGCTGAAGAGCTCTTACCACACCACTGCAAGTCGAAAATGGTCGAGCCTCTAAGCTGCTGGATGCTGTTTTGGGCATGTTTGGCGACCAAAAGGAGGTGTAGGAGGCTCAAGTAAGACGCATGTCGTGATGAAGCTTCAGTAGTTCCGCTCAGGTGAGGTTGGCGTGCGAGGTTGGTCGGTGGCTGGGCTCCAACGGCTTTCGAACCTTCCACTCGGGGCGCCTGTCAAACGAGCCGGATGCACCCGGTTCAAACTCAATACGCGACGATTCGACACTTCACTCGTGTTTGTAGTCCTCGATGGCGAAACTCGCAAGCGTGGAAATGCACAAACTGAGCAAGTTGGACCGTTCTAGAGAAGCCGGTGAGAATTCAAACAAAGTGCCACCATTTAAAACCCCGGAGCAACACGTTTCCTCACAGGAACGCTTCATCAGAAGAGCAATAAAGCTACGCCTGAAACATCGACCTAATTGCAAAACCGCAGCTGAACCCTCTCGCTCTTCTACATGTCATCGTACTCCTCCCCCAGATCTCCTGCCAACTCTGCACCGAGCCGACCCAGAACTGACATTGGCGCTCGGCGCATTTTCATTGCGATGGAACTCGCAGGAATCGGCTTGAGGAAGTCAAGAGTCTCCTGCTTGAGGTTGTCCTCCATATCATCGTACTGGTAGAAGACCCGCAAGTGCCTGATCCAACGCGCGTTCTTGCCGATATGGCTGAGCGACTCGCCAGCTGCATCCAACTGGTCGATGTATCCGGTCCCGTGGATCTGAAACTCGATGTTGCCGTAGTAGACGGGAAGGGCTTCTTTGCGGACTTTTCTTGAGACTTTGGTGATCGCAGGCTGGAGCCACCACTTGGTGTCGTTGCAGTAATCTGCGCCATACTTGTCGGTTCCCTCGCTCTGCAGAATGAGAACCGGCGTCCCATCGACCCATCTGTACTTCTCTTGGTCTTCCTCATCGTCCGCATCGGGCTTCATGACCAGCCAATAGATTTGATTGCGGACGTTCTTGGGGAGGGTCATGAGGCTCATGCGATTCTTGGACGCCGCCATGACTGGCTGCCTTTGGAACATCAGCTGAGTTGGAGGCAATGTGAGAAGATCAGACTCACTGTACGAGGATGCCCAGCATCATCTCAGCTTTGCATCGAGAAATGATTGCATTGAGCGGTGCCGTCTTGATGTATCGATACTCCTCGCGAAGCTGCACTCGTATGGAGTCTGCAATGCGTGCAACGCTCTCTTGCATCTCGTCGTAGTCGTCCATGGTGTTGCGTGTGCTGGCAGCGGGTTCGTCTGGTTGTCGGGAGTTAGTGTTGAGGGTGAAGTTGGGATTAAAGTTGAAGCTTTGACGCTAGGCACATGCCAGCGCTCGCTCGTGAAGAGGAAGGAGCCAGACCGCCGAGGAAGGAACAACTCAAAACAAAAAAGTCAACGAGCGAGGTTGACAGGAGCAGATCAAAATGGAAATGATATACTTCACCACTGCCATGCGCACACATCGGATGTATTCAGCCTCGGGTGTGGCTCACATTTGAGCATTCTATCAACTAGATGGCCTCAACAACTCCCTCTGCGACGCCACAAGCTCCTCTGTCGTGGCGAAGATAGGCACATCAGGCCGACAAACCGTCCCCTCCGCCGGCAACTTCCCACTGACAAAATACTCCCCCACGGCATCGATCGTGCATTTAGAGAGTTGCATTTCCGAGGTATGCTGTGATGAATGTAAGCCAGACTCAGGACATGCTTGGGAAGAGAAAAGAGATGTGATGGGATGACTTACCCCATACCCCTCATGCACCAACAACCGACTCCCATGAAACGTAGCAGAAGCATTCCTTGCCGCATCCAAACTCGTAATCGGATCGAAGACATTCCCGACGAACAAAATCGGTTTGCGCGTCTGCACGTCAAAGGCGCCGGTGTATCGCTCCTTGGCGACGAACGGCCACTGCGAGCAGAGCAGGGGCTGCGCGAAGAGGACATAGCTTCCCAGTTGCGGGGATTGGCGCAAGAGGGTTTGGGCGATGGGGAGAACTTGGGAGACGTCGGTGGCGCGGAGGGTGACGTCGGAGCAGCGGATTGAGGGGATGGATTCTTGTTGCGACATGTCGTTGAAGGGAGGGGGAGGGGGAGTCGGGGTCGCGGCGATTAGGGCTGCGTAGGCGGTGGCGTTGCGCGAGATGATGGCGTCGATGTTTGCCGCGAGGGCGGGCCACCCGGCGGGGGCGTAGAGGCCTTGGATGATGGTTTGTTCGAGGCTGGAGGCTGTGATGAAGGCGGAGGGGCTTGGGCCGTAGGAGAAGGGGTTGCTTTGGAGGTATTCGAGGCCTTCGGAGAATTGTTGCTGGAGGTTTCTGATTGAGGTGGAGCGGGCGACGAGGGGGCATTCGGTGGGGCGGGAGAGGCAGGCGCTGAGGAACCCGGCGAAGACGGCGTCTGTGCTGGCGAGTTGTTGGTAGTCTCTGTTCGAAGAGTCTGGGTCAGTATCGAGCAGACTTCTTGTGCGATATTGTGGGTGACTTACAATCCAGCGACATACTCGTGCGGGTTGAGCACACCGTCGAGCACCATGCTCTCAACTTTCTCAGGAAACATGGCCGCAAAGATCATGCCCAAGGCAGTGCCATACGAGGCCCCTTCAACAGGTCAGTTATCCCTTTCCCTCGCTCACTCTTCATAACAACCCACCATAATACCTCAAAAGCCCGTCCTCACCCAAAGAATCAACAATCTCCACCATGTCCCTCGCCACATATGCACTCCCCAGCAAATCCCCTGTATCTTTCAACGCGGCTTCGCACGCCTGCGCAACAGACCCCGCGACCCCAAACGCCGTGCGGGCGCTGCTCTCGAAGTTCGACTCGGTGATATATGGAATCCTGTCGAGAGCTAGCTGTCGCTCTGCTGCCGTCGCGAAGCAGACAGCGGGGATTGTGGTCCCCGTGCCGCGAGGATCCCAGGTGACGACGTCGTATTCGAAGGCTGTGTAGCTGTGGAACATCCTCAGTCTGTACATCGCCTTGTCAAGGATTACAGAGGACTTACGCGGAAACGATGGCGGCAAGTTGACCATGCTGCTGCACCAATGCCGTCCGGCCACTATCACCTGGTCCTCCAGGATTGAAGAGCACACTGCCCTTGGCTGGCTACTTGGGCGCCGGATACCTGAGCAGATTCAGCTGGAGGGTGTTGTTGCCGCCCGCAGCTCGCTGGTAATCAAGCGGAACGTCGAGGGTTGCGCATTGATAGACCGAAGACTCATTCCCGGGAAGACTTTGGCATGGACTCCATTGGATCTTGGAACTGTTCGAGCCTTGTTGAGCCAGGACCGAAATGGCTTGAGCCAGCAATAGAGTCGTGAAGCCTCTCATGATCGCAGATTAAGTATTGCCAGTCGTTGACTTCCAACCTCAAGCACGGCCAAGCTCACAGATATATCCGACCCTGCAACGAGCACAGACGAGTCGTCTAAACAGCAAAAACATCGTCATCGTCAACACCGCGCCACGCGATCCTGGCAAGACTATGCCATGAATGTCATAATCGCAACTGTTAGCTCCATCGCAGCGGTCTTTTCTCGACGATCAATCACGCCGTCCAGGCGATGAAGCCACTCAAGAAGGAACAAACACTCAATTTCTGTTGTAGCGCGTGGCTCTCAGCCGCAAGTCATGCAGGAACAGGCAGAAGGACGAGGTTCGCTTGAAGTGATCGACAGCGAGAACGAATACGGGGGTCGCGCTTGGGCTGGGCTGAGTGGAAAATTGCACCTACGGCCGTCGAAAAGTCGGGTTAGGAAATACTTCGCACTTTGAGTAGTTCTTGGAATTAGTGTCTTCGCAAACGGCTGGTTGAAAAGCGGATTGGTACGTAGACGAGATTGAAGTTGGTGCTGTGCCTCATTTATCGTGTTGTGTGGGCGAGATGTTGGCGTTTGACTGATGCTGCAATATCGCCTTTCTCTTCAGGTCAGCGCAGATGCCAGTATATAGTTGAGTGAAGCGGCCAGACAATCTTTGGACGTGAAAATGACCTTTCGAACGAAGATTGTGCATAGAAAGCAAATCAGCGAAAGGTACAAAAATGTCAAAAAGTTAAAAAAGTAATACGAAACAACATTCAGCAGCAGCAGCAGCAGCAGCAGAGTAAGCTCCCCGTCTCTGCGCGCTCAAATCCCATATGACTGTATTCACAAAATGTCCCAGAAAGAATCAAAGAACGCCGGAACAGATCTCCCCTTTTTCTTCCGCGCTGTGGTCAACAAATGCAATGCCTCGTTCTACGTCATACATGTATGTCGTCGCTCACTCGTTTAGATAACATTCAAATGCGGCAGGCTGCGCACTTTCACGCCGCCGGCAGTCGCCGTGGGGAGCGCAGAGGTTGTGACGGCGGATGGGGTGAAGACGCCATTGTTGACGAGCCAGGCGGCCGAGTTGAATTCGGAGTAGAGCTCGCTGATCTGGAAGCCGAAGGAGTTTTCGGCGGGGACGACTTTGAGGAGGCCGAGGCCGACGACGGGCTGGAAGGATATGCGTTAGCTTGGAGGTGAGGTTGGTAGAGGGGATTGCAGAAGACTTACAATGTCGTCAGACTCATTGGCGTTACCGGCTCCGGAGCGAAGAGTTTGCCATTGGACGGTGGTCGTGTCGCAGCCGTGCCATACCTTCAGGGTGTCGAATGGAATCGGAGGCTGAGTGCCGTGGCCTGCAACGAACTCGGCACGGTTCTCGAAGGTGAGGGCGTTGACTGTGAAGGGGTAGTCGTTTCCTCGGTTGCGGATGATGTTCACGGCGGACGAGTAGTCGATGAAGTCCTCGGTCAGGACTTCGAGAGCGAGCTCGAGAGTGTAGCCTGAGATGAGCTGGCGAAAGATTGCGGCGATCTCGTCGGCTTGGTCGTCGGTGAGGCAGAATGAGGGGACTTCAGGACAGGTGCTGTTGCCATTGCCAGGGTCTGGGGTAGGAGTGGTGCCGTTGCCATTGCCGGGGGTGCCGTAGTCCTTTTGCTTGTGCTTGCCCCAGCCGCCGTAGCCTTTGCCATTCCAGACGTTCTTGACGCCGTGCTCCCAGCCGGGAGATGGTGCCGCGAAGGCGGTGGTTGTGAGAGCCGCAGAGGCGAGAGCAATCGCAGTGAAGCGCATCTTGTCGGGAGAGTGTGGCGATGTGATTGGGTGGACTTGGAGAGCTGTCTGTAGGAGAGCCGAAGAGCCAAGAAAGAGGTCTGAAGGCTGCTGCTGTTGTGTAATGTAGCGATTGAATCTAGGAAAAGAACAGGATTGGGATTATGCTTGGTGGTTGCGAGAGAAGCGAGTTGTGGTGTGGATGAGAAGATATGAAAATGACGGACTCACTCGCCTGTTATACTCTGGCAGAGACTCATGGCACGGGGCAGTCCCCTGCTGCAAATAGAAGTGGGCTCATCCACACGCAAAGGGTGTGGGCAGCCCCATCTTGGCCAGGCCATGATGCTGGCGAGGAGAATGCCATTTTCAGCAAACCCAAGAGTCTGACTTGCTTTGCGATCTCTGTCATGCAGCGACCCGTAATAGTCGATCAATTCTCCGATGCACAAACCCACTCAAATGCGCCTGGGCAGGCATCCCGGACAAGATGCAGCATGTAGGGAGGGCCGGGATGGGGGTCTGAAGATGGACGACGTGCATCTCTCAGCCATGCTGTGATGCAGTGGACGTCTTGGCCGGATGATGGCATGCATCGCGCGTGGCCCGAGTCGCGAGGCGGATGATCATAGGAGCGCATTCCAGCACGAGGAGTTGAGAGTTGAGGCTGTTTGTGGAGGCGGCCATGTCAGTGATGATTATTGCCCAGACCGGGTCTCCATTCTGCGGCGCGGCGGGTGAGGCATAGACAGACTGTCGAGGCGGAGCGAAGACATCGAAGCGTTTGAACAGACAACCAAGTGGACTCGCCCAGCATTGGCAGGTGAGCCGCCAAGTCGTTTAGCCAATTATAGGCGGGCGCGCGCAGCAACAGAGACGATGTCGCAACAGAAGCCACAACGGTGCGGGCAGCCTCAACGGTGAAACCGAGGGTTAGCAGTTCTGTGACGTTGTACGTGGTAGAATTGATTGTTGCCATGGCGAGAGGTCCAGGGAGGGGTGAGGACAAGGCTGCGGTGCGAGGGGGTCGAGGGCGGCAGATGGAATGCGTGCCGCCAGCGTGCTACGGCTTCCTTCATCGCGCATACGCGAAAATCGGTTCGGGGAGCGTGTCAGGCCGGATGGAGAGTCGCGTGCTGCTGCTTTCAGTCACTCGGACAGGCATGCTGCCGATGCCCAGCACGCAACTCATGGTCGATGGGCCAGGATACGGGCACTGCAGCACACGGAGTCCACGCTGTGGCGCTCGCGTTGTCTGGGCGGCGCCCTCCCCCTCGCTGGCCGGGTCTGGCGGCGGGCTCGTCGTTGCCATCGCAGCGGTCATGACAGCGCATACCGGCAGCCGGCGCTGCAGCGACAAGGCCAGGCTGATGTTAGGGATGGTGATGTGGGAGCGAAGGTGAAGAGTGAGACGGCGAAGGTTGGCGGAGAACCGTCTCGGACTCGATTTGACTCTCGGCCGCTCCCGGCGCCGCTCAAAGTTTGCTGGCGACTCAGTCGACGTCGCACCTTCAAACTCTTCGTACAACACACGTCTCTACCTGAGATGTGCATTTGTGCAGTGCGGAGATTGCCAGGACACACGCGGTGCACTCACCCGTCCTTCCATGACTGCTCGCATTGCACGCGAGCGTCTCGCCCGTGACCCGTTCTGAGCTTGTATGGACGCACCACCCGTTCCCCTTTCTCCCTCCAAGACGACAACACGAGGTCCTTACCAACGATTCCTCTTGTTCTGTCCAATTGCTCCAACATGGCCAAGCAGCGCAGTCGCGACGACGCTGTTCTTCTAGCCCTCGCGACAGTCACACCAATCTCGCTTCAGTCTCGAGCCGCCTTCGCTTCCGCACACTATCCAAAGCGCAGGATGAGAACAATGCGGTCTGCCAAGCCGACCATCAATGCTCTGCACTCTGCCCTATGCTGTGCATGTGTGTCGTGAATGTTTGGTTCTGGTACGCTGGGCATGCCGAATTTGCAGCTGACATACAGCTGTGAGGGTGTGAGGCTCTGCCAACTGAACCCATGTCCACCGCTGTGGCGCTGCCCTCTGGGGCTGAATCAGACGCATGAATGGAATCTCACATAACAATTGCTTTCTCACCATGCAAACCGCCGCTCACTTGCCTGATGGCTTCTGCCCAGAACTTACCCCAAGGCTGGTGGTCTACAAGATCATCCCTCTGATGATATTGATCATCTCGCTTCGAGCCATGTGGCAACACGGCGTCGCTTGGCTGCCAACAGATAGAATCGACATTCTCGCAGACGACCATGGTTGATCGCGACGATTCGTCTACTGGAACCACTTTCGGAAGGAGAAAAGCTTCATCAAAGTGTCCCATGGGAATGCGCCGACCTTCTGACTGGTTGCTGCAGCATCGCACAGAGCTTGTGAGCTTGTACGACGATCGTCAAAGATGCTGCCACGTGTGAGAAACCAACACGGAAAAACCGAGGATCCGACGGGAATCGTTCATGCCCTGTGATTACTGGTCACATGCATCATTCACCAGCAACATGTCCAGAATCGAGAATGAAGGGCGGAATTTGAACTTCGGAAGTACAAGCTTTGCAAGTCGGCATTGACTTCAATACAGCGAAAGCCAAAATGTGACGGGCTTTGGCCGTGCTGTAGCTGCAAGCAAAGAGTCGAAGCCCTTCCCCTCCTTCGAGAAGGTCTTGGGTGTTTGGTAGCATTGGACCATTCCATACCTCAAGCATCAAAGTGCTGGACCGCCTGACATGTAGGTTACCAATTCAAAGCGAACATTGCCGTTGTTCCAGACGTTGACGCCTGCAGTTATATCTGGACGACTTCGAAAGACTCTACTTGGAAAGTCAAAATCTCCTGCTTCCGCATGGCCTGCGTGCTTGTGACCGTCCATCGGTCTCAAAGCTCCAGCTGGAGCACCTGCTGGCTTTGAAACCGTCCTTTCAACACATCATCACCGCTCATGGCATGCAACTCTTCATCGTGGACCTGCGCTTTCGACCTTGGCCATACCGCTCGCCACTGTCCTTCAACCTGAACCTGCACTTTTCGTTCATCCGCCGGGATCCAAGGCAGCTTGAGCTCCACCCCTGCAGACACTGAGCTTCGAGGCAGAAGTTCGACCAAGTCCTCGTGCGATGGCGGTAACATCCTGCTCACTCTGATCCTTGGACTTGCAATCTCTTTACCAGTGGCCGCGTCGTGGATTTTGAACACTCCGCTGTTCAGGGCTGTCGGATCGAATGGCGAATCCCATTTCAGAAGCGTCAGTGTGTTTCCTGGGTTCTTGTTCTCGATCGTCACTACGACACTGCTTGGATTCTTCGTTCCACCATCGGCAAGCGACACAACCAGATCCTTGGTCGAAGGATTTCTGTCTGATGCTGAATCTTCTTTTGATTCATCAGAGGTTGCCATGTCGCCGGAGTCTCGAATGTTGTTCTCAGTCTTGGACGCCGTCCGGACGTACAAACCAGCAAACAGAATGAGGGCAATGAATAAGATCACTTCCCGACGACCTGCCATCGATGTCTGGCTATGCTTTGTTCAACATCAGTCGCACGACACTGTGTTCAAAATTGCCTTGGCCAAGATGCCAGTGTTGAGCACAGGCGAGATCCGTGCGCGCCTGAAGAGCAAATTAAAACCTCCGCAACCTGGCCGGCTCAAGTCGTGACGCCAAAAAGCGGACCCATGCGCTATGTCGCACCTCCTTGTTGTAGGTACTCGAGCCAAGATCGGCTTTCTTATCGGACACTCCACTTGCCCTGCCAAAGAAGGAAGGAGCACCTGGCTTGATCCGCTGTTACGTGCACACAGGCCGCACTCTATCTGTTGAACACTCTATTCACTCCACATCCACTACCGCTAGCGGCCGAAAGTCTATCATTACTTCTACCTCACCCGTCTTGGCCCGTCTTGGGATTGGGGCGACACCACACTCGACTGGTCAAGACCGCGAGACGGACTCGATGCAATGCAGAAGATAAATGAATACGAAGCGCTTGGTGTTTGCTTACAAGACCTTCCTCTTCGAGTGGTGCTCCGTGCACCGAAACAACGGCACCTCTATTACAACTCAACATCTCAGGGGGACATCGACAATTGAACGATGTTCACAGAGCTAAACTGATACCTTGAGCTTCACCTTCACGCCTGCTCGGACTGGGCTCATCTCCGGACGCTTGCACTTATCACGGCCAGCAACCTGCTTCAAGTCGAGACCGAGGATTGGCATTTGTCTCATGGAAGATATTGATCTATTTGACCCTCCAATCAGGACGTCTCAAACGGCGATACCTCGCCTTGGCGTCGATCTTTGGAGGATTCGTGGAGCCGTCTAGGCAAGCCATAGTTTCGAGAAGCCTGGTAGAACATCACGTAAAGAGAGCCGAAGCCTGGATGTGAACCCTGGCATTCCTCGGGACGAACCTTCAGCGCTGCGGGTACTGGATTCTATGATAGGCTGTCGTTTTGTATTGCATGAGTATTCCAACGTCAGGTATGTGATTGAGTATGATTCGTTGTTGGAACAATCCGCCATATACCACTGATATGCCAGGAGCGACCAAGTTCGCATATGTTGACAAGAGGCATCCTTTTTCATATTCCTTCTCCACTCGATTTCGAAAAGATCTTCCGCACCAGGTCATGTCATGAGAGTTCTGCCATACCTATGCAATGCGTTCTGCTGGGGTGGGGAAAGCACTATATTGCCGCTGCGCTCGGTCTTGCCTTATCAGCCACTGACACTTCGACGTTGCTTGTTCGACTACCAAGAACGCCTGTACAAGAGTCCAAGCGACATGCACCAAGCAATACCTCTATATCGTTCCTGTCGAGAAGACGTCCTTGAGACGGAGTCATTTCCCACAACAGAAGGTGAAAACTGAGGTGCGGGCCATCGTTGCAATCGGCAGTGGAAGCATGGTGTCTCTAACTGCCAATGTTAGGATACTGTTTGCTTGAGATCGAGGTATAAAGGATGGTGAAGCTCTCTTGTATTCTCATCTCATCACAGCAGCATCTTCTGTCGTCCTCGATCACATAAACACGCCTCTCGCTGTACCAACAATCGATTGTTTCACGGTCACGTCTTCGATATGAAGTTCACTGCAATCTCTCTCGCGGCCTGGGCTGCTCTGGTCAGCTCCACCGCCATCGATGTCAACAAGAGAGCTTCTGCTCTAGAGGTCACGCTGGAGGCTGTTGGCAACAGCAAGGTCAAGGCATCTGTTACCAACACTGCCTCCCAAGGATACAACCTCTTCTACAAAGGGTCTTTCCTTGACAGCAGTGCACCCGTGGACAAGTTTGTGGTTTCCAGCAGCTGTGAGTGTTCCACATCAGTACATGTGCTACTACAATAACCACTAATATACGCAGCCGCACGAGCTGCCTTCAACGGCGTCCTCCTGCGAGTAGCAACCTCTGACAGTGTCCTCACTGCCGAGAACTTCGTCGCCATTGAAGCTGGCCAGACCATCTCCACCGAAGTCGACCTCGCCGAGCTCTACGATGTCGAAACAACAGACTCCTACACCATCCAAGCCCAAGGCGCCCTCCCCTACGCTGAACTCGGTGCCACCAACCTCACCGGCTCCGCTCTCCCCTTCACCAGCAACCAACTCGCCATGACCATTGACGGCGCACAAGCCAAAACCGTCGCCTACGCCATCGCAGCCACCACCTCTCTCGAGAAACGCACCCGTCTCCAATCCTGCTCCTCCTCCACCCGCCTCTCCACCCTCCACACCGCCCTCTCCAACTGCGCCCGCCTCGCCACCACAGCCGCCACCGCCGCGACCTCAGGCTCCTCCTCCAAATTCCAAGAATACTTCAAAACCACCTCCTCATCCACCCGCTCCACCGTCGCGGCCCGCTTCCGCGCCGTCGCCTCCGACTGCTCTTCCACCTCGTCCGGCAGCACCACGACCTACTGCGGCGATGTTTACGGGTACTGCGCTTCAGGAGTCCTCGCGTACACCATCCCGTCGCTGAACGTCATCGCTTACTGCGATTTGTTCTATACGGCTCTGCCTGGTTTGACGGGTACGTGTCATGCGCAGGACCAGGCGACCACGGTGTTGCATGAGGAGACGCATGCCCCTGCGGTGTACTCGCCCGGGACGGATGATTATGCGTATGGGTATTCGGCGGCGCAGCAGTTGAGTAGTGCCCAGGCGGTGTTGAATGCTGATACGTATGCGCAGTATGCTAATGGTATGTTTCCTGTTCTACATTTCTCTTGGTTGAGATGACTGCTAATGAATGACTACAGCGCTTTACGTGGGGTGCTAGACAGCTACAAGTTCCAAATCAACAATGCAACAGACAGTCGGCGAGCACACTGAGTTCACGCAAACCACACAGACAAAGATGGACATTTTAAAGGCAAGGAACAAAAGATGAAGCAAAACGGGTTGGAAGTGGGGAAATGAGCTTTCTGCGCAGTTAAACCACGCATTCCCTAGCACCATAGACATAGAAACCTCAATTCACGGCGTTACCACGAGAACCACCACTCCCCGGACTTTAATTCCACCCATCAAGCCCGGAGACAAATTCAAACACGTCTATCTAGCTGACATACTAAGTTCTATAGCTGCGAACCTCGCCCGTCGTTCCGAAACGGAGAAGTTCACAGCCAGCCGTACGTACGAACAACGGTCCACGGAGCTGACTGAACGATGCCCTGATGCAGCTGAGCGAGGATTCGAAGGATTTGCACCCTATCGTCGTTTGTACTGCTGGTTTTGGAGATCTAGTTTCTGACGTACATACAGGTACAATATTGGTGATGCTCGGCTCTGTGGGGGTTTTGTTCAGCTGGGAGTGGTAGGTGGTGGTTAGTGAGGTATAAGAGTTGGGGTGGTGGGGGGTTTATAAAGATCAGTTGGAAGCTTCGCTTCAAATACCCTCACACACTCTCTCTATCCCCCTACAAACATGTCCTCCACCACATACGACTACATAATCGCCGGCGGCGGCCTCTCCGGCTGCGTTCTCGCCTCACGCCTCGCGCAAGCCCTCCCCTCCCACAAAATCCTGCTCCTCGAAACAGGCCCCGACTCCCGCAACAACGACGCCATAGCCTCCCCGGGAAACGCCTGGATGATCACCCCGGACTACTACCACAACTACGAGACCCTGCCGCAGAAACATCTGGAAGGCCGTCGCGTGGCGCTCAAAACCGGCCGGGCTCTTGGGGGAGGAAGTGCAGTGAATTATGGAGGTTGGACGAGGGGCGATCGAAGCGGGTACGATGAGTGGGCGGATGTGGTGGGCGATGAGCGGTGGGGGTATGAGGCTTTACTGCCGTATTTCAAGAGAGCTGAGACGTATCCCCTCCCGGGCCTCGAGGCGCAGCATGGCTACGACGGGCCGATCAAGCCTAGTCGGGGCGATAGGGGGTATTTGCTCAAGGAGGATGTTCGGGAGGCGATGCTGTCCACGGGGGTTGAGGTGAATGAGGATGCGAATGGGGGGGATATTCGGGGTGTGGCGCGGCTGGTGGAGAGTTGGAATCGCAGGAGGCGGACGTTTGCGGCGGGGGATTATGATTTAAGTAAGGGGGAGGTTTTGACGGGAAGGACTGTTGCGAGGGTTGTGCTTGAGGGGGGCGTGGCGAGGGGGGTGGTGTTGGGGGATGGGAAGAGATTGGAGGCGAGGACGGAGGTTATCATTTCCTGTGGAGCGCTGAGGACGCCGCAGGTGTTGATGCTCTCCGGTATTGGCCCTCGATCTCAACTCGAGAAGTTCGGGATCGAAGTCATCGTCGACTCCCCCCAAGTCGGCGAGAACTTGCACGACCACGGCATGGTCTCCTTCTGGTACAAACTCCGGCACCCCGAACAAGGCCTCGCCATCGGCTCCGAGAAATTCATGTCCAACCCCAAGAACCTCGAAGAAAACCCTATGGACTGGATGATCAACACCGGCCTCTAAGACGAAGAAGCGGATAAAGCAGCAGGAATTGATGGCAAGAAGACCGCACGACGGGACGATATCGAACTCACATGTATATACCTCGCCGCACCGACGAGTCCATTCGAGGCGCCGCCCATGGACGGGAGCCATATTACGGTCTCGGTCATTGGAATCCACGCCACTTCACGCGGCAGCGTCTCCCTCGCAAGCACCGATCCTGACGAATTACCGCTCATAGACCCAGCATACCTCGCCACAGAACACGATCGCGCCGTGATCCGCACCGGAGCGAAAATCGTCGCTCAGATGATGGAGTCGCCGGCTGGGCAGAGGATCTCCGTAGGCGAGACTCCACCAGGCCCTTTCGCACCCTTGACGTCCAAGACATCGGCTCGTGAGATCGATGAGCGGGCGAGGGCGTGTATGGCTACGACGTATCATCTGGCGGGGAGTGTGGCGATGGGGCAGGTCGTGGATGCGGAGTGTCGGGTTAAGGGGGTAAAGGGTCTGAGGGTGGTGGATGCGAGTATCATGCCTGTGTCGATTGGAGCGCATCTGCAGGGGAGTCTGTATGGGATTGCGGAGAGGGCGGCGCAGATGATTATCGATGCTGCTGAGAACGCATAGAGATGCAAGAGCGATTTCAACGCCATCCCATCGCAATCAACAATCCCAAACCCTTCCCCTTCATCCACCAGTACATCCCATCTCTCAAGGCAGCGTATACCCCCCATCGATAATAACATCACTCCCCGTCTGATAACTACTCGCGTCACTCGCCAAATACAAAAACAACCCCTTAATCTCCCGCGTATGGCCCTGACGGCCCAACACCGCCATGCGATACGCTTCATTCCGCACCTTCGGCGCCGCCCCCAGCTTCGTGTCGAAGAAGCCGGGACTCACGACATTCACGCGCGCGAAGTCCCGCCACTCGCGCGCGAGCGATTTTCCTAGATGTGAGATGGCCGCTTTGGTGGCGTTGTAGACCGGTTGGTCCACGGGGACGTTGACGATGTGTGCGGAGATGGAGGAGGTTATGATTAGGTTGCCGAAGCCTTGGGATTTGAAGATGTGGCCGGCGAATTTGGCGCAGTAGAAGGTGCCGTCGACCGTGTGGTGGTAGGGAGACGTCAGTTGAGAGATGTACTTGAGGAGGATGAGTGGGTGCACATACTGTTCACGTTAACGAGGTGCTTGTACTCCTCGATGGACTGTTCCAGGATGGGTTTGCTAATCGCCGCTCCTGCGTGACAACGATAGATTAACATTTGAACTTCAAGTGTAGGGAAGGATGAACGATACTAACCCGAATTCGCCACAAAAACATCCAACCGTCCAAACTCCCCCGCCACCAAATTCACCACCCTCTCCACCTCCCCCGGATCCGAAACATCCAACCGATACGCACTCACCTTAACACCATGCTGCTTCGCCAGCAGCGGGGCCTTCTCCTCAGCGGCCTTGTTGGAATTGTACAGCAGGGCCACGTTGCCGCCGGCCTCTGCGATGGCTTCGGCCACGGCGTAGCCGATGCCGTCCGAGGCGCCTGTGATGGCGACGACTTTGTCTTTCATGGAGAATTGCTGTAGGACGTTGTCGGGGGTTGGGGGGAAGGGGTTGGGGGCGCGGGGCGCTGCTTCGACGTCTGCGAGGGACATGGACATTTTGGCGGGTGGGAAGTGAATGGAAGCACGTCTGGAAAGAACGGGCGATGTTGAAGAGGTAAGTGTGATTTTTGATTTTGGCTGTATACGTTTTGTACTGTGATGTCTTTCATCGCGTGAGGTGGACTGTCGACCTGAGGAAGGTTCGGCGATTGGAGGAATGAGGTGTGGTTCTATGTTCGATGTCACAAGTTTTTCCGTCAATCGCCGAAGAGGCATCTAAAGGTGTGAGCGTCGCTCTCACATCGGTCTACATAGTATGTACGACTCGTGTGGGCATTATTGCTACCAGATTCCAGGCCGTGGAAGTAATTCGTCCTTGATGCTCACCGCTGGCCTTGCCGCCTTGTGGAGAAGTCGATCAGACACCCTTGGACCACGTCGATTGTTCGTATCATTCTTCTACAAACGCAACTTGCTGACAAGGTACGATACGAAGTGTAGAAACGCCAGAAGAGACCTTCATCAGCAATTAGAAAGCAGTGTTGCATCTTATATTACAAATTCAGCCCTCTTCCGCAATACATCCGGGTGACAACTAGGGACGAGTAGATGTAGGATGTATATCTCGTCCGAAAAGGGCAATCACGTCCATATCGTTAATGGCGCCATTGACATAGAATTGTCCAGCAACTGCAAAGCCTCGTAGTATAAAAAGCACGTCTGGGACGCAAGGCAAAGTTTCGTCGGACTCACTGATCTGGCTTTCCCCTGAAAACAGCAACGATAATGCCTCCAACAAGACAAGTATACCGCCGCAGCCCCAAAGTCGCAGGCGACGCCACCTCCGGCTCCACCTTAATCCTCACAGAAGAAGAGCCCATAACCCTCACAGACCTTCACTCCATCCTCATCCGCGTCCACGCCGTCTCGCTCAACTACCGCGACGTCAACATCATCCACGGGACAAACCCCTGGGCCGTCAAAGCAGACGGAATTCCCTGTTCAGACGCCGCCGGCGTCGTAGTGGAGATCGGAAGTAAAGTGACAGACTTCCAGGTCGGCGACAAAGTCTCGCCGATTTTCGACCAGCTGGCAATCAATGGGACCGAGCAGAGTCGGCAGTGGTTGGGAGGAGAAGTCGATGGTGTTCTGGCGACGCATGTGGTGTTTCCCGCGGAGAAGTGTGTCAAGTTCCCGGAGCATTTGTCGTTCGAGGAGGCGGCGTGTTTGCCGAATGCTGGTATAACGGCGTGGAGTGCGTTGATGGGGACGAGGGGCGAGTTGCAGGTGGGCAAAACGGTGTTGATCCAAGGAACGGGTGGTGTGAGTATGATGGCGGTGAAGATGGCCAGGGTGGCGGGGTGTAAGGTGATTTTGACCTCGTCGTCGGATGAGAAACTGGAACGAGTAAGACGAGAGTGCGAGAATGAGAGTAGGCCGAAAATTCAGGTTGTGAATTACAAGACGAATGAGAGGTGGGACGAAGAAGTCGTGCGGCTGAATGGTGGGAGAGGAGTCGATATTGCGATCGAGAATGGTGGGAATAGTACGCTGAAACGGACGATGGGGGCGATGGCGAAGAAGGGCGTGATCGGTCAAGTCGGGTATCTGGGAGGCCAGTCGACGGCTGGGCTGGACGGTATGCTGTCGACTTTAATCGACAAGACAATCACTTTGCAGTAAGTCAGCATGGATGCCAAGTTGTTGTTAAATGAGACTGACCATATGGCTTCAGAGGCATCAACGTCGGTTCGAAGCTGGACCAGGACAAGATGAATCAAGCGATCGCAGCCAACGAGATGCGGCTCACTGATGTTATCGACCGAACATTTCAGTTCGACGAAGCCATCGCTGCGATGGAATACTTGTGGTCAGGACAGCACGTTGGCAAGGTCGTGATCCAAGTGAAGCAGTAGAATTTCATCATTTTGCTTCCTCTCTGGAGCTCCAGTGCGTCTTGAGACTTTCGGCTATGCGGTGCAAAGGCCAGCCTGTCTGCTTTCTTGCGCCTGCCAGCCGTCGCAAAAGCTCGTCCTGAAGTGGCCTGCTTCTGAGATATCTACAGCAGAAGCTGATGGGGCCGAAGGAGTTGACCAGAACAGCATCTGTATCTGCGGTAAAGGCAAGACCACAGAGGCGAATGGCGAGGCTCTCCAAGTGTCTGACGGCCTCATTTTGGACTGTAGTGGCAGATGCGAGGACGCTCTCGGTCACTATGCCATATTGTATTGCAGCCACATGCGAATCGTGCAGCATGTAGATTCTTGGAAACATCGAGACCAGCTTGCTGTCACTAAACCAGTCATGAATTGGCTGGAAGTGAGAAGGCAGTACCCGCTTCCAACGATCCAGCTGGTGGAGAACTCCCTTTCGCACAACAGGACTATCGTCGCCGAAACATGCGTTGATACTTTGACCCAGTATCAGAGTCACGATGTTGAGCTGGTCTTCATCAGAGACTGACGTGTATTCCCCTTTCAGCTTCTCTGGGTCGATCTTCAGAGGGCACTTGTTCATCAGCGCAAAGGTGATGTCCTCGCGAAGAAAATTGAAGAAGGCAGCTCGGTGCAAAGAGGCAGATCGAAGGTCAAGACTTTGGCCAGAAGCGATGGCGTGGGCACCGCTCAGATGTCTGTTCGGGTCGAAGTCTTCGGCCAAGATCTCGTACGAACGAAGAAGGCACACTGCCGCCAATGTGACATCGCCCTCAGACTGGACTGCAGTATCGTCGAGAGAAAGTAGATGCTCCACACAGGACGAATGGTAGAACTCGGCGGTCGTTCGCATCGACCCAACGGCAGTACAGGTAGAATAGATTGAAGCAAATGCAATGACTGCACTGAAGAGTAGGGGCGTGGTGAGCGCCTTCCGTGGGATCAGACGCGTGAAGTTCTGCTCAGCATCGCTCAAGTCGTACCAAGGGGCCAGATTTGTAATGTAGTGGTGGAACAAGTGTGCAAGGACCGGATCCTTGAGAGCATCTGCTGGACTGGACGGGTCTGGACATAGACCATGGACGGGTTTTGGACCTTCGTAGGGTTGGAATTGGATGTCTTGAGAGCGTTCACAGTATCGATCCGAGAGTTTACAGCGGCCACATATCGGTACTTCCTCGTCGCCTGCGAGCGATTAGTGAGTTGATCCGATATAGAAGTGGATTTGGCTACATTTGAGCTTTCGTCGGCGACATGTCAGGCTGTGACATGGTATCCGAGCGTCAGACAGACACGGAGGATGCGTGGCAGAGTACTGTCATACCACGCGTCAGAGCTCAGTATTCGAGGCATATCTCCCGACAAGGATCATGCCATGTCCCCACGCGATGGCACACGCTGCACCGCCACAGACACGTCTCCCTCGCCTCCCTCGAAGCATTCGCCATAGGCGAGGGATCACAGAAGAAAGGCAGATGGCCGATGATTTGACGATGGCCGTGAGGGTTGCAGGACGGGAGTTGCTCCGAGGTCGAGCAAGCCGGCTGTCATCGAACGGCAGTGGCGCTTTCCCACGCGAAAAGCGGCAGCCATTCCACATCGGGAAGTGGGGATCGGCACGTTAGAGGCTCGGCTAGCCGACCATGAAGTCACCGCGCTGGCGACATCCCTGCCTTTGGCGAGCGTCCATGAATCTGCCATCGAACCGCTGCGTCCCCCAACAGCGCTGGACGGCGATCATGTCGAGGGCGGCGTCGTCAAGGTGAGGGCATCCAATTCCAATGCCAGTCGTCGTCCAGTCTCCTTCGCGGCCTCTCCTGCTCCCGTACGACTATCCACCCAGTTTCTCACAAGCGCTGTCACACTCCCGTACCTGCATTCTCCTCTGGCGGTGGCACTGATTGTCCTGCTCGGTTGCATGCACCAACGCCATCACCGCTGCTTATATACCCCTTCCTCCCTATATCACCGCTATCTGCCTATCATCTTGGCAGCTATTGACGTAACCGTCACCTCCTCTCAATAACCGAACAGCACATCAACAACAAGACTACTCACCAGCACCGGTCTGTCTGTACACCCTCCCATCCGACCAGGTGTGAGCATAAGCTGCTGCGTGGCTCCTCGTATTCACCTACCTGGACTGGCCCCATCCGCCTAGCTCCATCCGAGGCTCGCGCTTTTATTAGACACCTCAGGTCAGACACCACGCCATGGGTACCTCTGTACGCCGGAAGTCCATTTTTCAAGAGGTTGGCCTGGACGATTTTGACCTTGACCCTCCTGTTCGCCGCTCGACATCCATCTCAGGCTCTTCTGGACGAAAACGACCCTCACCTGGCGTGCGCTTCCGAAGTAAAGACGATGTTCGCGTTGTGGAGCGACCTAAAGATGAGCATCTGATGGGTGGCGAAAGACACGAGACGTCGCTGCAGCCAATAGCTTCCAGAGCTTCGCCTTCACCACCTCTGGCCTACTCACAGTCTCCACTTCCTGGGAGGACGTCTATAATGTATCGCTTTGGTGCGGTATTACTGTTGCTTTGCGCCGCTTTCCCCTTCCTACATTCTTCGCCTCTATCGGGACGAGCATCGTTACCTCTGCAGCCCGTCAGTGGAGGACCCATACCTGAGGAAGCAGCATCGCATGGAAGTGTTATACTCGATCGAAGGGCGGACAGCCCAACTGATGTCTGTTTCAGATGGGCACAGCAGTGTAGGTGGGATGAGTCTGGGTGTGACTACCAACAACTAACGATCAATCAGCTGCCCTCGTAAACGGAACTCTGTATCTCTATGGAGGCGAAGCAACGACAGAACCGAGTCAAGACTCTAATACCTGGAACAACAACTTCTTATCGCTCGACCTTACCAAGACATGGCAAATAGCATCTCCCTCTCTGACCGGCTTGCCCCAACCATCTGGCCCACCGAACGTCAGTCTTGGATATCTCTGGAACTCACATGGATCATTATTCCTTTACGGCGGAGAGTTCTCTTGGAAACCGGCAGTGTCTCCAACAGCGAACTCATTATGGGAGTACAACATCGCATCTTCATCATGGATCGAGCACAGCAACCCTCAATCATCGTCAGGCGTGAGTGCTCCAGATGATAATGCATCTATCCAGCGAGCAGCAGAGGGCGCAGGTGTCACCATTCCATCTTTGGGACGTGGCTACTATTTTGGGGGACATCTCGATGGATACACGACCGAAGGCTGGTCGCAAAGCGTTCCCAGGCTCTACCTACAATCACTGCTCGAGTTCACGTTCCCAGGCTACTCAAACAACCAGGTTACTGCGATATCCAACACCGAGGCTGGCTCAACAGGAGTCTACCGCAACATAACACAAGGAGGACTCCAAGCCGACGCAGGTTTCACTCAACGGGCGGACGGCCTTCTTATCTACGTGCCCGGCTTTGGCGACGAAGGCATCCTGCTCGCCCTCGCCGGCGGCACCAACGAAACCTACACCCAAATGAACAACATCAACATCTACGACATCGCCAACAGCTCCTGGTACACGCAAGCCACATCAGGCGAAACGCCGAAAGTCCGCGTGAATCCCTGCGCCGTCATTGCCGCGGCGCCGGATGGCAGTTCGTACAACATCTACATGTTCGGGGGCCAGAATTTGATCCCGTACGGCGACCAGACGCAGTATGATGAAATGTGGATTTTGACGCTCCCGTCGTTCACGTGGATCCAAGTCGATCAGAGCGGACAGAGCGTGCCGTACGGACGGAGCGGGCATACCTGTAATGTGTGGGATGCGCAGATGGTCATGGTCGGTGGGTATACTGGGAACGAGTCGTTGAGTTGCGAGACGCCTGGGGTGTACGTTTTCGATCTGAGTGCTGCTGAGTGGGTGAATCAGTTCACTTCGACGAGTCCTGGCGCGGACGATAATGACTCTTCGAATGATGGTTCCAGCTCTGGCGATGATTCAACTGGAGCGAACAATCCGTAAGTCAAGCATCCCTCCCAAAGTCCCCCATCATCAGCTAACCTCTCACTAGATTCAACCAACAACTCGCCCAAAAATACAGCTCCTCCTCACCCGGCGGTCTCGAAGGTTCCTATGGCTACACCGTCCCACAAGTCGTCATCGACGTCGTGGGCGGCGACATATCCGGCAGCGCAACCCTCACCACGCCCGTCAACACCGCAACCGCGGGACCCCTCGCTACAGGGAAACCCGTCACCTACACCGTGACGAACCCCGACGGCTCAACAACAACCGCCACGACAGGCCCCAACCCGAACAACCCCTCCAACAACGCCAACGACTCCGGAGGCTCTGGCGTGAACGTCGGCGCGATCATCGCCGGCTGCGTCGCAGGCTTCTTCTTCCTCCTGGCCTGCTACCTCGCCTTCTGCGCCTACCTCTACCGCAAACAACTCCAGCTGTACAAACGCCACGTCGCCATGTCGCAAGCGCAAGCGCGCGGGGAGAAACTCCCCTCCATCCCGGGCCTCTTGGCGACGAATAAAGGCTCCTCTACGACGCCCTCTTCCACGCAGCAGGCGGCGTCTCTGAGACCGTGGATGACGGATGGAAGTGATGAGCGGAGTACACGCAGCGGTGCTGGCGGTGGTGGTGTCGTGGCTGGTGTTGGCGGTGGAGGTGGTGGAAATGGATACAGTTCCGTCCGTCGAAGTAGTGAGGCGAGCGAGGGGGATGCGAATGAGGATTTGTTGGCCGGGAGGGAGCCGACGTTTGTGGGGGTTATGTTGAATCCGAGGAGGAGTTTGAGGGTGATTAATCGGGATTAATGCTGAGATGTGAAGGGAGATGGTTGAGATATGATTCACGGCCGAATTGTTTGAGATGATGGTTATTGCTTGTACAGTTGCATGAGGCGTGTATGATAGGTGTTTGGGGAGCAAGGCATTTAGGATAGATACCCTTTTCTGAGATGGAATGTTTCGACGAAGAAAGAGAAATCGCCCACCCACTCGCCCTTCTCAGTTGAATTAGACGCAGCACAACGATTGATGAAAAATCCAATATTCAACTCACCAAGTCGAAAACCCGCCTCACCTCACCTCACCACGATCGATTCCAAACACCCGCCTCTCGCATTCGCCATTCTATTTCCCTCACGGTATATCCTATTCCGTCTTCAGTCCATCCACATACGAACGAAACGGACCCCGGCTACATCTTCAATCGTTCGCCGTCCACCTCTCGAAGAGCCGACAATCAGCCGAGTCCGAGATCCTCACCTCAACCAACAAAGAATTATAATCAAGCAGCCTCGCCCACCTAACACTCACAACAAATGTTCAATAACCACAAAATGCTCAACTGGGACGATGACGCCAGCGATCCATCCGGCGGGAAATTCCCGCTATGGATGGAGGTGCTTGCTTGCTACTTCAAGGCGCCGGACATAGCACAGTGCAGAGGAAAAGTGGATGACAGTATCAACATAGCAACGGAGACTCTCCCCGGACTTTGACCTTGCGACTTGCGGGCTCGACACGGCCTACGGCATGCAAGAGCTGACGAGGTGCATGAGGCTTCGGCCGGGCTGGGCCAAGATTGGCGAAGTAAGGGGAGATTCTTTTTGCCGGTCTGGGTCGTAGTCAGAGGGAGGAAGGAGGAGGGCTTCGTGCAGAAAGGACCCTGCAGATGGGAGCAGTGCTTGGTAACATCGTTTTGAGTCTTGCAAATAGGCGTTTGGGGTAGTTAATGGGGTACGCGCAATGCGTGCCTGGCGGCTACGGGTTGTTGGGCATGTGACTGGTTGGAAAGTGTAACCGTCCTCTAGGTCCGATGCTGTCGCCCGAATCCTCCCCAGCGTTGGCGGCAATTGCGTATCGCATGGTGCGGTCCAGGTCAGGCTCCAGCTGCAACGCATGGCCTGCGGTCGAACTCGCATATCTTGGGCTTATCCAGTGTCCATCTCGAGGGTTAAGATCGAGAGATCCAGTAGTGACGATACAGTCATCGCAGTGTCCGGCTGACGTCGAGATTCCGTGAACAGCAGCCAAGCCATGTCGGGATTCTCTCGCGCGAACGCTGAGTTGGACGGCCAGTCTTACGGTGCCGTTGGCGATGGGTCTCACTTTGCGCTTCCGCAGCAGCAGGACTTGTTCGGGATGGACTTTGGGTCGACCAGTGTCTGCAGTTCATCGACCGATGCGTCGACGGTATGTTGCATGATTATGAATACTGGTGTCGAAGAAGGGGGTGGCTGATATTGATGTTGTCAGGAGTCGCCTCCTACGCCCGTTTGCTTGGTGAACAATCGCAGTCCGATCGACGGCAATTTCGTCTGGACACCAGGCTTGGATTCCCGGCGACATGGTCGTCAACAGTCGATGCAGAGCTACTTCGATGCCTTGCCTGGAAGGGCGAGTGTTGGCGACGCAGGCCTGAAGATAGAGCCGACGCTGTTTCACAAGGCGGTGAGTAGCAGCACCTTTGATGTTGACGTAAAGATCAGTCGATATCAGTTGTAGCAGGACGAAAGGCTGATAACCGCACCAGCGACGACGAGAGCAGAACCGCATTGCCCAACGCGCCTTCCGTGAGCGCAAGGAATACCACGCCAAGCAGCTCGAGGACAGCGTGGCGGCACTTCGCGAAGAACATCGTGCGCTGCAGAAGAAGTACGACCAGCTGAGGGATGCCCATACCAGGCTCCAGGAAGTGATCAAAGTGTTGCTGCAGTCGAATTATGTTGCCGTCGAGGAGAAGGCGAGAGATTCTTCCATGGCGTCGGACGGTGGATGATGTTGACGGTGGTGAGAAGTCGAGATGTTTGCTGTTTGTGGTGATAGGCCATGCTTCGTCGCTGTGGAGTGAAGAGACGACGCTGGGTTGACGCCCAGAAGTGAATGAAGAAAGGAAATCGTGTTGGTGGAAGGTGGGCGCTGGAGGTATTCTTCTCGATTCTGGTGAGGAAGGCGCAAGGCGTAAGGGCGTCTTTTGCGAAATGAAGTATCCAAGATGAGTGAATATACACTCACCTCAACGTTCGTTGACATTCAGCACACAATTTGGCAAGGCCTCAAGTCCTCGAGCATCTTTACCCATAGCCGTCAAGTTTGACGTCTTCATCTTACCCAAGAAAGACCTTACCTGAGGGAGCCTGTCGACGCAGACATAACCATCTGAGCTTGGCGCATACCTTGGACCGCTACTACAACATCTCTCACCACTCAATACTCATCTGCCCGCAGGTATTTCGATGCATCCATGCCTCTCACAACCCTTGCCGCTGCTCAACACTCTACCACGCCCAGCGACATCAAGTCGCCAGGTCGCACGTCCACCAAGCGACTGAGCCAGTGCGTGAGGCGGGCAGTCGTTACGCAAGCCAGAACCTCGAGCATCATCGACAGACTCTGTGACCAAGCAAGAGGTCGTCGTACTGCTGTACGGCGCGGACGACGAAGATGAGGAAGACTAGACCAGCCGCATCATCGTCGTCCGGTGACCTTGATCGGTACAGAATCGCCGTCTCGCCGGGTCTAAAAGCTACCATGCCGACGCCCATATCGAGTCGCTCGCGCAAGATGGAAAGAATGTCGTTCGCATGCCGGGCTGAAATAATGTCCAGCGGCCTCGGACATTGACAAGGCCCCGTCCTCCGCATCCTCAGGTTGGTGTTGGAAGACTGTCCATGAACGCGCTATCCGCGAGCGAATGCGAGCCACTCCCTATCTCAGCCTCCTTTGCGTAGAGTAGATGCATCTGGCGAAGTTGATGAAGTGAGCTTGTGCCTCGTAACTATGTGTCGATGACATTTTCTCCGTATCCGCAATCGCACGAGAACGTAAGAGCCAATGGAGAGAGGGGGGGAGAGAGAGAGGGAGAGGGAGAGAGAGAGAGAGAGAGAGAGAGAGAGAGGGAGAGAGAGAGAGAGAGAGGTCATAGCGAGGCTGCACGCATTTAAGATTCAGTCGTGCGCTCTGCGTGAGAATATTCCTTCTGCATGCTGGACTGTGAGGGCATGGCGTCGGATGACACGTGGATGCACAATCCAACTGGTCGTCCGAACAGAGCAGTGCATCTTCTTCTTTCCGCATGGATATCACCCTTCGTGCGACGTTACCGACTTTCTTGCTCCATTAAGAGTTTCATGTAGAGGGAAGTGCGGAGGAGGTGCAGCTCCCTGCATTGTCGTGCCGTCGTCGTGCAGTGAGGGGCAGTGTAACCACAATGGGCCATTGTTGTTGTTGTGGACGGGGAGAGGAGGATGTCTGAGATGGTGTCTCTCCCGAATCATCGATGGAGAGAGCACGTCAATTGTGAGAGCAACGTGATGTAGCCGCCCACGCGATCTGTACAGGGCGAAATGATAGTGATCGACAGCGCTGTCCATCACCAAGCAATCGGAGACCGAAGTGGACTTGCCATACGAGGGAATTGGAAAGAAAGGCAAGAAGAAAAAAATCCTCACGTGAGACCGCGACCCACGTCGGCCGGTGTACCAAGCAACAGGCGCGGAGGAGTTCGGTAAACAACGCGTCTTCCTTGAACACCCAGCAACGGTCATCATTCTGCCGTCAGCCACGCACCAATCCCAGCACGACCACACACCGCAGCGGCAACGGCCAGGAAGACCCTGGAACCTGACGATGTGACTGGTGTGCGAACCGCCGTGATTGACGGTCGCGTAGCGCTGAAAAGAGGGAAAGGAAGAAAATGCTGCTGGCGGCATTGCGTTGCTTGGGGCTATCTTTTCGGACAGGGCGAACGGCGTGGTCTGGCCGCGCGGTGCACAGACGGGCTCAGCTCAGCCAACAGCAGCTTGGCAGAGGTCAGGCGTTCTGTCGAGGCCCAGGGTGGGAGGACTTGGGAAGCTCAGAGACACACCGATATCGTGGTGATGAAGAGTAAACAATGCTGGCCAAGCGAGCTAAGAAGGCGACGGTCGTTTCTCAGAATGATATCGCAATCGTCTTATAAAAGCAATCCCATCACCTCACGATCGCGAATCTGCAGAATCGGAGAATATGACGTATAGTATCGTGGGAATCGAAGATGAGTGAGGTTGCCGCATCGAGCAGGAGGTGGGTGATCGAGGCAGAGGTTCGCGCGAGTCTGGCTTCCACCACGCGACGGTTGGGCGAAGCCACACTCTGCTCACGAGCGTCTAGGCGTGACCAATGGGTGCGGACGATAAGAGAGGCTTCAGCGCGAACGATGATGTGCGTCTGGAGGCGAGCGGGCGTGGGCGAATAGGCGGGCGGAGATTGAAGACGTTGGATGTTGTGGGCACGGCGGCTGAAACTTAATGACGACAGCTTGGGCGAGTCCATGTCGGCCATGCCACGAGATATCGCCATGGGAATGGGGCGAGAAGCCGAGCCATGTTATTGCAGTAGTAGTGCAGTGATGAAAGGCATTGTTGTAGTTGTGAAGAAAAGTGTCTGTGACAGGTCGAGACACGCGATTCATGAGACCGGGTCAGAAAAGGTCTGTGGACCCGAGCCCTCGCATTTCAATTGTTCCTTGCAGGACGTCTTGGTCCTCGCTCGAACTACAGTTGGCCAGGTGAGGTGGTGGTGCTGCGGTGGAACGCTCCGCAGAATGCAAGGCACACGTTGCGCAGCGAGAGCAGAGGCCGGATTGCTGGTGCCGGACATCGTCGATGCAGAAAGGAAAACCAGGACAGCGCAGGCTCATGCCTGATCGGACGTCAGCCCGAGTCAATCGGGCGCAGTAAACAGTCGATTATCGCGATGCCACGCTGCACTGCCTCTCCCATTCGTCTCTCGCAAGCGCTGACTGACCGGCCGCGGTGGAGTGCTGCGTCTAGTGGGTGTGTCTGTACCAGCAACTAGGTTGGTGCTCTCGCTTAAGCCGCGCTGTGCAACGACCGGGGTGGGGAAAGACGGCAACCCGCTACCTCAGCAACCAGCTGAGCACCACTGGACTCCTCCTCCACCACCGCGCCTCTTCTTCTCTTCTTCTTCACGGCCCGCCTTGCCAGCTGCTCGTCCGGACTCCAGTCTCTCGTTCACCGCAGGCAGGCAGGCAGTCGCCAGGAAGCAGGAGAAGAAGGGAGAGCGCTGCATCACCACCATCCATCACCACCCGCCTCGGCTTCATTCGCTTGCAACGTCGAGACGAGACGAGACGACACCTCCAACCCACCGCCGCACCAACCCTGACCGCCTCCGACACTCCTTCACACGAATCCCTCCTTTGCACGCCGACATATACTGCAGGGATATCAGCCATTGGACACTGCCAACGGCATTGCATCTCTCCGCGAGCTCCCTTAGCCGGCAACCCATATCGAACAGCGGCAGCCACCATTCTCCCACCGCATCTCACGACAACGGGCAGAGGGACCAGCAACGCCCCTCTCCCTCTCACGGCATACACTACCACCCACCATGGAATACTCGTCGCCCTTGGCGGCCATTCGTCCGCAGCCGCACTCGCCCTGGGCCAGTCGGAAGGACGTTCCTGAGAGCCGCGCCATGTACCACGGATGCAACACCATTGGGCCCTTCGACTTCAAGGCCATGAGCATGCACCAGCGCCCAAAGAGGAACGACTACTTCTCTCTGCGGCCGGTGCGTGGCTCGTCGCCCACCGCCAGTCTGACGGCCGATCTAGACGCCAACTTCCATATCGACAAGAGGTAATTGATCGATCTACATTCCTCGCTACTAAAGTCTCGATCCTCACTTACACCTCCTCTGCAGCCCTCAAGCGCCCACGCCAAGACGATCATTGTTCACCGCAGATCTGTTCAAACCCCGCGAAAATGCCGGTATGTGCAAGAATGCAAACGCTGTCATGCATGCAGCGCCTTCCAGAAGCGCACCTTCTTTGACCCTCCGCAATGGCTGACCATAGCAAGCACCAACAGATACATTTACGCCGCCCATCGAGATCGAGCCTGCCACGACCCCGCCCATTCCATCCTCATCACCCTACTGCGACGCCATGGACATTTCGCCGCTGCCACACAAAGCCCCCCACTTCGTTGCCCAGGTCACGCTGCCGTCGCCATCGCCAGAGGAGACGCCTGATGTAGCTGAGATCTCACCTGACCTCCTCTCTCCAGACGTTCTGCCCACCCCTCTGGCACCAGCCGTGCAGCCACCAAGCTTTTTGGAGCTTCCCGAGTCAGTGCCAATGCCCTTTGTCATGCTTGTCTGTGCTAACTTCCCCTGGCAGACGTCGACGACCAGTCACGCGACCAGCGTTGTCCCGAACGAAGGGCCACTCTGCCAGCAGCATTCCGCAGAGACCGACCACTGCCGAGACCCAGCTCCCGCCGTTTCGGTTCGGCAATGTCGCCTCCTCTGGCCTCTCGTGCTCGTCGACGCCCTCGCTACTAGACAGCTTCACCGAATCACCCGTCGACGACCCAAGGCCGTCCGGCACAGGCTCGATGCTGCCGCCTCCGCGTAGGACGTCGGTGAGCAACGCCAACCGTAGCAATGGTTCGCCGGCCAGCCATGTCAGGAAGCCTTCTGCCGGACGGCCAGCCTTTGTGCGACCGCAGAGGAAGTTGATCCGCCGATCGTTGAGCATGTTCCAACACCCTGATGATGTGATGAAAGAGGAGCAAGACACCTTTGAGCCTAGCTCAAACTTGTCGTCGGTCATGGACATTGAACCCGAGCATGTGCCCAAACTGCCGCACTTCATCCCTGATGGCGAGCCTGACAGCTTACCACGCATCACGCAGGAGACCATGCTTGAGGTTCTCAACTCTAAATACACTAACGACTACGAACGCGTCCTGGTCATTGACTGCCGATTCGAGTACGAATACAGCGGCGGTCACATCGAGAACGCTGTCAACTTCAACGACAAGCAACACCTGGCAAGTGAGCTCTTCACCGACAGTTTGCCCTCCAACACCCTCCTCATCTTCCACTGCGAGTACTCGGTTCACCGTGCCCCTCTCACTGCGAAGTTCATTCGGAGTCATGACCGCAACGTCAACGCCGCGCAATATCCCAAACTCACCTTCCCGGAAATGTACATCCTCGATGGTGGGTACAGCAAGTTCTTCACCGAGCATCCATCAAAATGCTATCCACAGAACTACGTCGAAATGAACGATCAGCGCCATGAACAGGCCTGCGAGCGCGGCATGGCCAAGGTCAAGCAGCACCGCCAGAAACTTTTCCGCAACCAAACGTTTGCCTTTGGTCAGAACCACGACGAGATGGAAGACTCGCCCACTGCTCTCGGACGCGGAATGGGCCCTCGTAGTCAGAGCACCTTTGCTGTCGGCACCGACGTCGCTGCGGGCATTGGCCAGTCCTTCCAACGTCGCATGGCCTCTTACTAGAGCACGATTATGTCTTTGAGCTTTTGCACTGCATGGCGACGGCGTTTCTGGGATGCGGGAGGCTTTCGACTTTTCCAGCGAAGGGCTTCTCTTGCGGCGTTCAAGCGGGCCGACTTTCCACGGCCACGTCTTTTTTCACACGCCCGGCGAGGCGTTGGGAGGGCATCAGATCCATACCGGCTTTTGTTTCTCAGCTTCTTTTCCTTCAGGTTACGTACCCTTTTCACGATCCACAGCAAGACCACCGAGGCATTCCACCATCCCGGCACAGCAACAACGATACCCAGGAGACCATCCGACCACATCCCTCTCACCAAGACCGAAACCTTTCTTACACTTTCCAACACGCCGACCGACCATCGATCACCATTGGCATCCCAGTCCGGCCATTCACGCCATACGTCCGTCTCCTCACGATTTCACCAAAGAGGCATCGAAACCACCATTTCACCGCCATCACAAAAGACCACATTCATCGCATCGAAAGGATTGCACCACCATCCAGCAAAACACAAACCATTTCCTGCTTCAGCGCCCCTTGTTTTCGACACTCTTGTATTACTGCTTTTCCAAAAAAGGATGAAACCATCAGACTGCTACTCTTGGGTTTTGTACATACTATTGAACAGCACCGACTCTGGATTGAGCGGGAATGTGCCAGAAGATTGTACATACTAGGGGACTGGGAGAGCGGGATTGAAGGTGACAGGATTAGCAAAAGCAGTTTGATACACGCGTTGTTGGGAAAGGCATGCATTGCATTGCAGAGGAGAGGAAGAAAACATTGACAGTGAAAAGTCGACAGGTTTGGGCTGGAGGAAAGCGATTGATCAACAGATGCATGAGATGAAGGGTGATGGGAGAAGTAAAAGAGTGAGGTGGTTGGTGTAGCCTCTTTTTGATAATGTCTCAAAACACATTCAAAACAACTGCAAGCAGTCACAATACTACTTAGCCACTCACCTGGATAAGATGGATTCTCAGTCTCACAGCAAGACTTGTCGGTGAGCTCTGAAGCTGCAGTGGGAGCGTGCGCATTGAGTAGCTTTGGTCGCACTTGCCTCATCGCATGTGACAGGGGTCTTGGCGTTCTTTCCTTATGTCCTGCGGTGAACTCAAGCCGACTTTATTCCAACCTCACCTCTCAACATCCATCACTGCCTCGTGTCATCTCTTGGGCGAACTCAAATTGCCTCAACAACACTCTTTTCGTCACTCTCCCCGGTACACGGGCGAATGCGGGTGTCGTCTCATCCATATGCAGCCACGGGGCCGTGGCGTTTCGTCCGAGTACTCCTCTCGCCAACACAGGCCTCTGATCAGCTTCTGAATGCAAGAAAGGCCCCGAAGACGTCCTGCGACTGGCATATCCACTCCTCGCCCCGTTCATGAAGACGTCACTCATCGTTTATGGTCCAGGAATACGCTCCCAAGACGGTAGTCCAGCACGCGACCTCGTCTTTGAATGGGGTGGGTGGAGGAAGTGCCGCAAATGATCATGGAAGCGTCCGAGAGCGTTGGCGACCAGGCTCCTGTGGTCCGACACGGCATTGGGATGTCATCGCACCCCCTCAGCTAGACGCCACTCTATGCGCCTGGCCAGGGTATCGGTATTGCTCACGCTGCTGTGCTCGTCCAAAGCGGGCAGGTATGACAGACATAACGCATCTCCTGCACGTCCAAGGCTGCAAGTCACTCCTCGCAGCAGCAAAGCTGTGTCTCCAAGCCAAGCAAAGTAGCGCGCGATTCTCCTCGTGCTCCACGATGTTGGCTCTGCCCCGATGTCATTCGCCGGGTGGCCAGCTGGTTGAACCATCTCGCTTGCGTGGAGTGCATGAGAGCGGAGCCGGCCAGGCATGGCAGTGTGGAGTTCTGGTTTCACACGCCACGAACGAGCGCAAGCACATGCTCGTGAAATAGTCGCACTGGATCCATAAGCCGACAGGAGGTGTCACCAACGGAGAAGTATTGAGGGGTCTGGGTCACCTTCTACTGGCACGTTGGGGACGTGTCTCGGTATTGAGGCACACACACGCGGCTGTGTCGAGGGAAGAAGGTGTCATCAGAGCTGGTACAAATGGCATTGAAGGTGGTCTTCACATGCGCCGAAGGAGCCTCAACACACAAGGCGACGCCACACTCCCTGGTCGTCGGCGTCTTTGCCGGCGTGGCTCCCATGCACATGTCAGTGGGATTGACAGGGCCGAGCTGCGACAGTGTCCACTCTCTTGGCTTTCACATGCTGCCCTCAGCACATGTTGAGCAGGGGCGAATCGCAGCGCAATTTGCTCCACGGTATCAAGGCAATCCGGCGCAGTGCAGTTATCTCGCGGGCGCTGGCGAATCACGCCCACGCCTCGACTCAGCTTCCGCCGCGATCGATGATGGGAGGAGTGCGACAAGACCTGTTCGTGAACAGCTCCTCGAAGGCAACCTCGAAGCTTCCCGCCCAGGTTGAAAGTCTGTGTGGCTGAAATCGAGGGACTTGGCCACGGGGCAGACAAGCGCGGGCCCCTGGTTGGCTGCGCGTGCAGGAGGCGAAGCGGGTGAGGTGGCATGTACGTCACCCTGAGTGAGGATTGAGCTTCCCTACCCTCTCTGTCACATGAAAATGCGACTTGGGTACAGCGCGCGCGTTTGTGCCGTCCGCCGGCAGCAGTGAGGTAAGAACCGACGCACATCTCTCAACAAGTCTCCCATTCTCTCAGCTTCATCGAACAAAACCCACTCTCTGCTGTAGCAAATTCTGCTCCCGTCCCCTCAGCATTCCAGTGTATCACAATCGTGAGCTGACCGCAGATACCCGACTCGGAAGCGCAACACAAACAGCTCGTACGTCTCGCACTCTGTTATAGCTCCAGGATCCGGGCAGCAGCATCGCTGACGGTGATTGCACAGGAAGCAGCGGCCGAGATAGCATCACAACCTCAGGGTAAGCACTCCACAGCAACCTTGCTCATGCACAACTTTCGACCTTCCCCCATCCCGCCCGTCGTCTCAGATCAAGATCGCACTCCTACTCCACCAGCAGGAGCAACAGCGCCCAACCACCACTGCTTCATCAACTCTTGTCCTCACGACCAAACCACTGACGGACGACGACGCAGTTCACCACCACCACAGATCAAGATGCCTCACGCAACCGAGACCTTGACCAACGGCGAGAAGCCAAGCTCGCAGTTCATCTCTCACCTGACCTCCTACCCTGCCGTCAACGACAGCATCGAGACGTTCAAGTCGAACCCCTACGGCAAGAAGTCCATTGAGCTCGCCGATGGCGTCTACAGCCGCTTCGGCAAGCCTGTCGAGCCATACCTCGAGACCCCATACAGCTACGCCAAGCCATACGTGCAAAAGGCCGATGAGCTCGCTGACTCCGGACTGAACACCGTCGAGAGCCACTTCCCCATTGTCAAGGAGGACACCCACACCATTGTCGACACGGCCAAGAGCTACATCTGGTGGCCATACAACTACGTCTCGGGCGCCTATGAAGGTACGAATTTACTTGCACACACTTTATCGATTTCCCCCACGCGTTTGCAGGAGATCAGCTCACTAACAGTCACACCACCCAACAGACGAGTACAACAAGACAGCCAAGCACAACGAGCGAGGCCAGGGCATCACGACGACGATCTTGGCCATCGTTAGCACCGAGCTCCGCATTGCTTCTGACTTCTTCCACGCCGTCGCCGACATCCTCGGCCCCAAGTACGAGGAGTCGAAGAAGAAGGGCAGTGAGTACATCAAGGACCTCGAGAACAAGGCCGAGCACTACAAGCAGATTGGTCAGGATAAGGTCAATGAGTACACGAAGCTTGGACAGGCCAAGGCCGACGAGTACACCAAGGCTGGGCAGCAGAAGACGGAGGAGTTGAAGAAGCAGGGCGAGGAGACCAAGGAGGAAGCCAAGAAGCAGGCTCAGGGCGCGAAGGAGGAGGCGCAGAAGAAGACTCAGAAGTAGAGCCTTCCCCTCCTCCCATTGCTGCCCGGAAACTACATTGGAACATAGACTGTTTGTGCTAACGGCGAATGACACACCAAAGGGAGCCGACGACCAAGGGTTGGAGAGAGATGACGCATCGGATTCTCATACCTCCCGGCTACGACTCGAAGAAAAATGACACTGGCGATGATGGAAGGGGTGACGGTGATGGTGTTGCTCATAGCAAGAAGGTTAATAGAGGTCGAGGATAGGGTGGAGTGGGCTTGACGACTTGCGTTTTACATTATGACTTGTTGTGAGCGATGCTGCTGCTGTTGTTGTTGATGTTGTTGTCGCGTTGGCTTGGTTTGGGACTTTTACTTCATCATCACTGTCACGAGCGTCTTAGCAGATCATTATACCACTCATCGTTTATCATGGATCATCGTTGCTGTCATCTCATCTTTCAACTATACATCACCGCTTGTTCCCCTGATCATCTCACCTCCCTCTCCCTCTCCCCCACAACCTCCAACACCCTCCGCGTCTTCCGATCCCTCTCCCCCGTATCCACCCGTCCATACGCCTCCTCGGCCTGCAGACAAACCTCCTCCTGCCACGTCCCCTCCCCCACCACAATACTATTCTCCCGATACCCCCTCTCACTCTCCCCCCAACACATCCCCACCGTGCCCCCAATCTTCTCCATAAAACCCCTCAACCCCTCCTCCCCACCCCCGGCATGATAGGATTTAAACGGCCCCGCGACGCTCCACCGCGGTCCCATGGACGACGTCACGATGCTGTCGAGATCTTTGACTGACACGACGCCGGAGGATACCAAAGAGCAGGCTTCGCGCAGCAGGGCGAAGGCGAGGCGGTTGGCCACGAAGCCGGGGGTTTCTTTTTGGAGGGGGATGGGGACGCGGGCGAGGGAGGTGAAGAATTTTTGGGTGGAGGTTATTGTGGTGGGGGAGGTGAGGGGGGAGGGGACGAGTTCGAGGAGGGGCATTATGTGCGGTGGGTTGTAGGGGTGGACGACGAGGAGGCGCGAGGGGTCTTTCATTCCTGTGCATTGTTGCGAGGCGGGGATGCCGGAGGTGGAGGACATGAAGAGGGCGTGTGGTGGGGCGTGGAGCTCGATTTGTGGCCAGAGGGTGCGTTTGAAGGGGAGGTTTTCTGGTCCTGGTCATTGTCAATCTCGTCTGCCTCTTGGTGGTTGCTGTGATATTGACATACCCTGCTCCTGCACAACGTCCGCCCTCTCAACGGCGTCTTTCAACGTCGGGGCTATGTGCAAACGGGCCAGGCATTGCTGGACGTCGGTGTTGACCAGGTAGGAGGTTATGTTGGCTTGGATGTAGGCTTGCAGGCCGGGTCGCGGGTCGTAGATGATGACTTTGGAGTGTGGGTCGCGGGTTAGGTGCAGGGCGGCGAAGGAGAGGCCGATGGTGCCGGAGCCGATTATGGCGATGGTGACGGTTGTTCCTATGCCCATCTTGATCTCTGTTGTTGTTGTTCTTGCTTGCCCTGTGGGTGTGGATGCAGTGGGTATATGGGAGTCGAATGGAGAGAGGCTGTCGAGAGGGAAGAGGTACAGACTGAGGAGATATAACAGTTCGAAAACTTAGCTTTCAGTCTTTCAGCTGTCAAAGGTCTAGCAGTGAACGGCTAGACGAGCATCCACTCTCTGCATTCCTCGGGGTTAGGACGAAACACGAAGACATTTGCTGAAAGCTGCAGCTTCGAGCTTCTGGCTGTCGACTTCTGGCAGATCTTGGCCATGCGTCCCACGACCAAAAAGTTGAGCATCGGGCGACATCAACCTCGAAACTTCTTCGGCCGTTTCCTCGAGAAAGCAACCAAACATCCACCGCAATGGCAACAGGCAAGAAGCGCCCAGCTCCGCAGGACGAAGACGTCGAGGTCGCGATCCATCCATCTCGCAAGCGACGGGTTGAGAATGGCCAAAGCCAAGCAGAACTTGCCAAAATCATCGACAACCTCAGAGATGAAGTTCCCCAAGTACGGATTGAAGCTACCAAGGCATTGATCAAGACGCTTTCCGCAAAGTCAGACGACCGGTCACAGAATCTGGACTACAGTCTCAACAGACTCATCAAGGGCGTCTGCAGTGGCGCGAAGGCCGCACGACCTGGATTTTCTATTGCCTTGGCTGAGGTTTTGAGATTGGGATTCACTGCTTCGGAGTGGAAGCTTCCCGGCATCGTCGACAGGATCATTGCCTCCACGAATCCGGACAGCAAGGCTCATAGCGATGAGAAGCGAAATGATTTGATCGGCAGACGGTTCGCTTTTCAATCGGTCTTGCAGAGCGGTGTCTTGGCCAATGCATCAGATAACGATGCACGATATCTCTTCGACGCTGTTACGGAGCTTGCTTCGCAGAAAGAATGGCTTCGTGGCGAATGCGGTGCTATGCTCTACGAGTTCCTCAAGAGTAAAGAGGGCAGCCAGCTGAAGGATGAGACTGTTCGCAATCTGATCAACTCGTGGCTTGACAAGGGCCTGCTCAAATCTCCAGAAGGCGTGGTTCTGTGGTTGACTATCAAGAAGGCATTTCCGGACGTCAAGCTACCGAAGGGACAATGGCATCACAATGACCCTCTTTCTTCTCAAGAACGATCGACTCTTGGCAAGATCTTGCAGAAGAATGCTGTCGAGGCCGGGGAGGAAACGAACGGGGCGGCGAAGAAGCAGTCTGGCGCCAGACAAGTCAAGCCGAGCTTCGTATGGGACGTCATCCTCGGATACCTCTACAAAGAAGGCGAGAACAAGTTCTCGCAGTTCTGGGATGAATGTGTAGCTACGTCGGTCTTCTCTACGGCATCTTCCACGGAACGCAAAGCCCTTGGACTGCAAATTTTCACCAAAGCCATTGGAACCGCCCCTGCAGAGCTGCTCCAATATGTGGTACATCCCAACATTGTTCGCTGCATCCTGGACCAACGAGCCAAAGGTGATCGAGCGTTGTTTGAAGCTGCTAAGGTGCCGTTGAATCAAATGGTCAATCGAGGGAGGAACGACGATGGCTCTGATGCTGCCCAAGCCATTGTCAGCAAGCTGCTAACGATTCTGCCTCCAAATGTGGACAAGTTGACCAGATCGACAGTGGAAAGCCTGCTTGCTGCGATAGATGAAGATGATGACCTCGCCAACACTGCTGTGGGGGTAATCAGTCTCATGCGAACGCCTGGTCTTGAAGACACTGCAGAAGCTGAAAAGAAGCGCAGAATGCTGGCAGATGTGCTACTCACAATCATTCGAGCACGACGCGGAGAGCCAGAGCAATTTTTCGACGGCCCCGAGTCAACTCAACTGGCGGAGTGGCTCTCTGAACTTCTGAAGGGGTTGACGAATCTCGGATACAGCACCTCTGGCGCGAAAACAATTCCCTCGTTGACAGCGACATCCCAGTCACTGTTTCGAGATAGGCTGATGTCGTGCCTTGGTCACCTGGTAGACCTTCCACTCAACCGTGCGCTTCTGGCACCAACCTTTGTCGTAGAGACTCTGCGTGAAGCAGAAAAGAGCCTTCTCGACAAGCTCAGTGATGAAGCCTTGGCTGTGTTGAAAGACGCTCGCAAGAACCTCAAGGACGCAACGAAGAAGAGTACGAGTACGACCAGCGGCACGGCGACGTACATGCAAGCATTCCGACTGCTACTTGCTCTCGGTATGCTTCAAGTGTACAAGCAGGAACCCGACAGCATTGGTGTGTTGGAAGACATCAATGCATGCTATCACAGCCCGAAGGAGGCTGGCGATGCGTCTGAGATGCTGGTGGAGCTCTTGTTGAGCTTTGTATCGAAACAGTCTGCGCTCTTCCGCAAGCTTGCTGAGCAAGTCTTTGCAGCTTTTGCATCAGAGGTGACCGAAGATGGTCTGCAGTCTATGATTGACATCCTTTCGCAGAAAGAGAGTTTGGCTGGTCAACAGGAACTGTTCGATCAGAATGATGAAGATGAGGCCGATGGCGGTGCCGAGGAAAGTGATGAAGAGGACGGCGAAGACGATGAAGAAGAAGAAATCGATGTGGAGGACATGTCGGATGTCGAGCTTGTCAACGGCGAAGTCGTCGAGAAAGAGGACGACGACGACGACGATGACTTGAACAGCGATGAAGACTCGGAGGGTGGTGAAGGAGACGAAGATGAAGAGGCTGCGTTCGACCGCAAACTTGCCGACGCCCTCGGCACTGCAGGGATGGACTCCGACGAGGATGAGGACGGATCAGATATGGACGACGAACAGATGATGGCTCTGGAACCTCACCTCACCAATATATTCAAAGAGAGGCAGAAGGGCTCAAGCAAGAAGCAGGACAACAAAGACGCCAAGGAGAACATTGTCAACTTCAAGAACCGAGTTCTGGACCTGCTCACGGTCTTCGTGAAGAGCCAGTATGCCAAGGACATTACTCTTAACCTCCTCCATCCTCTAGTAACCCTGACCCGGACGACCTCGAACCAAGCAACCGCGAAGAAAGCACTCGGTGTTCTGGAGCAGTACTTCGACACCTGCAAACGATTCAAGACCGGACCAAAACTAGACTCTGCGTCTCTGCACTTCACTCTTCTCGACGCCATCCACGAAGAGATGCGTCAAGGCGGCTCCAAAATCCATGCTGGCGCTTGCAGTCGCTCAAGCCAATTTCTCGCAAAGCTGTTAGTCGCGAAGGATGAGAAGCATTGGGAGGCTGTCGCGGGGAGGTATGTCAAGTTACAGGCGGAGTGGAGGAGAGATGGGGAGAAGAGTAAGATCCACCCAAGTGTTTTCAATGAGTGGCATAGCTGGTCGATGCAAAGGTAGCGTGGCTCAGCAAGAGGTAGATCTTTGACAGGCAAGTCGCACGGTGTTTCCAGGCTTGGGGTCTGACTTCCAATACGGAGGCCTGACAGCTGTCAAAGTCCAAGACAGGACGTCCCGACAACGTTATCCGCAAAGTCGACTCACAATGCTTTGCAACCATTTCAGGCACCAGACATGTATCACGGCACCAGAACGTACGAGGAGAATCAGTGACACTCTTCAAACAACATCAATGGCACAACTTGTCGCGAGAGATGTCACGCCACCATTGTCCAGCAAACCAAGCGGAGTTCTCGCCGGCCTGTCGGGCCTCGCCGTGAACAGGGGAAGGCCAACAGCACGTGAATCCCAAACACCAAAACGCAATCCGGCGGAAAGTCGCTCTCTCGTGATATGTATCCTGTACGACAAACGGTGTCGTCGAAAACAATCCGTAGCCCACGCAAATAGGTAGGAAGCTAGACATTCCTTCTCTATTGATCTTGTTTCTAATATCTTGCACTCAACGCACGCTGCGCTACGGAAGAGATTCAATATGGTACAACCACAAGGACAACGATCTAAGAAGGCATCAACGATCACGACCCATCAGCCACAACATCAGGCCTCGCATCTAGAACACTACCTCGACCTCGTCGCCAACGCTCTGCAAACTCACAAACCGGCGGTGCATCTGTACTTCCTCAACAACACCACGACCAGTCAACCGAAACACCCCACCACCCGACCATAAAATCACCATGTCCGCCCTAAAAGGCCTCTTCCTCCTCGGCGGCTTCGCCTCCCTCCCCCTCACAATCGCCTACATCTTCACCGCAGACCACTCGAGGTACCACTCCCCACCCCCCTCACCCATACACACAAAAAAACTAACACGAGGTCCTTGTGGTGTAGAATGACAATCGGCACCCCGGCCGCCGGTCAAATCGCCAAACGCTTCTCCAACTTCGACGAGAAGGCCAAGGATTGGCACCACTCGCCTGAGGAGATTATGGAGGCGAGGAGGAGGAGACATGCGTTGATGAGGGGGGAGGGGGTGTGATATCTTGAGGGGTGGGAGGGGGTGTGGAATTTGGAGATTGATTTTGTTTTGGCTGGCGTTTGGTTGGAAGGGAAAGGAAGGGGAAGGGGATGGGGATGAAATATACCTTTTGGAGCGCTTGATTGTTTCGACTTTGGAGATCGAGCAGTAGGCGTTCTTGATTATGCTCATGGTATGAAAGGGGCTTAGAATTCTTTGGGGGTTTGAACGAGCAATATGATGGATTCCAATAGGGACACATACCTTGCATGGTTGGACAACAGTATTGTTCCAGATCGCTTTCAATTGGACGAGTTTACGTTGAATGGGAGTAATGGAATCAAGTAAGGGTACATAGTTAAATGTCACATGATCTGATGACTATTAAAACGGCTCCCAGCCATCTAAACCCAGGCCTGTTTCCCAACTCGTCCCAAGTGTGTATATCCTGCCGAACTCCTCAACCACATAACGCCGTCCAAACACGAGACTGAAACCAAAATGCTGACTCCTACTCCTGCAACCCATTAAAGATCTTCTCCGCCAACATCTGCGCCGTCAACAACGGGCCCATGAAATCACTCGTCGGCACATCCACGCTATACGTCCCAAACACCCAGTTCCTCAACGCAATCCCAATCATCGAGTCCATTCCAAACGCCACCAAGGGCTTCGTCTCGTCGAAGTCCTCGGCGGGGATCATGAACGTCTTGGCGAACTTGTCAATGACAGCCTCCAAGATCGAGGGGAGGTCGAGAGCCGCGCCACCGGAGGACTTGGAGGATCCGCCCGTTGACATGGTTTTTTCTTGAAGAGACACCGCGAGAGGACCGATACGTGGCTGCGACCAGAATCGGAAGCCGGATTCGAGGGCATCGGGGGAGATCTTGGAGGGATCGAGACCGGAGACGAGGAAGACGTTGGCGTTGGCGTCGCCTTTCCACGAGGGCTTGGGGGCGGGGAGGATGGCGGTTTCCATCAGTTCGATGAACTCCTTCTCGTTGATACCGGGGACTCCGCCGCGGGCGATGCCCTGTTCGATCTTCTCGTCTTGGGAGACGAAGCCGACTTCGAGGACCATGGTCAGGCCGACCGTCGTGGCAGGGAGGTCGTGCTGGCGACGGTAGCGCGCGAAGAAGTCCATGAAGGTGTTGCCGGCGCAGTAGTTGGACTGTGTGGGCGCGCCGGTCATGGCGGAGATGGAGGAGAGCATTATGAAGAAGTCGAGCGGGTGGCCCTCGAGAGCTGAGTGGAGGTTCAGCGTTCCTTGGACTTTGGGCTGCACGGCGTAGTTCCACTTGTCGAGGTTGAGTTTCGAGAAGAGGTAGTCTTGCAGGGTCATGGCGCCTTGGACCATGCCGAGGACGGGGACGCCGGCGGCTGCTACGGCGCGGTCGACGTCGGAGCGGTTGGAGACGTCGCCTTTGACGATGTGGACGGTTACGCCTCGGGCCTCGAGATCTTCGACGAAGCGGGCGGCGGCTGGGTTGGAGGCTCCTGAACGGGCGAGGTAGGTCAGGTTGCGGGCGCCGTTGTCGACCATCCAGCGTGAGAGGCAGCGACCGAGGCCACCCAGACAGCCGATGAGGAGGTAGGTGCCGTCAGCTCTGAACTTGGCTCCTTTTGGCTTGTCTTGGACCTGGGAAGTGTTAGGTTGTGCAAGGCTGATCACAGGAAGGTTGCTTACAGTCAATGGCTTGTTGTCAAAGTTGACGACGACTTTACCAATTCTGTTGCCATCTGAGAAGGTCTCAAAGGCAGAGATGATCTCGCTGGCGCTGTACGTGAAGAGTGGTGCCAGAGGTATGATCTTGCCCTCGCGGTAGTATTGCATGACCTCGCTCATGACCTGGGCTGGGATCCAAGGCTGCTCGCTGGCGACGGCACCAAAGTCGAAAGCGCTGAACGAGACTGCTCGCTTAAAGACGTCGAGATCGAGAGTGCCGTAATCGAGGATGTCAGTACGTCCAATTTCGATGTGGCGACCGCCGCTGGCCATGAGGCTCCAAGAAGCATGGAGAGACTCGCGGACCAAAGAGTTGAGAGAGACGTCGATGCCGTAGCCGTTTGTGATCTTGCGGATCTCATCGGCGAACTGTGTGCTTCTGGAGTTGAAGACGTGGTTCTCGTCAAGGCCATAGTGCTCTTTCAACCACACCTTCTTGTCGTCTGTTCCAACAGTCGCGAAGATCTCGGCTCCGACCATCTTTGCGATTTGGACTGCCGCAAGACCGACACCACCAGTGGCACTCTGTATCAGCACCTTTTCGCCCTTGCGGAGACGTCCAAGGTGGAGAAGACCATAGACCGCCGTCGAGAAAGCCAAAGGCATCGAAGCAATCTGCTCGAAGCTGTCCGTGTCGGCAATCTTGTGCAAATGCTGGGCACTGAAACGTTCGACGTTGCTGAACACTCCTTTGCCCATCCAGCATACGCGATCGCCGACTGCGACGTTGGTGACACCTGGTGAGACACGGCGGACGATGCCACTGCCTTCATGGGAGAGGGACTCAGAGTTGAAAGTGCCGCGGAAGGTAGCAATCTCCTTCATGTTGACGCCAACGGACTTGACTTCGACCTCGACCTGATCATCTTGGAGAGTCTTGTCTCGGTCGTCGGATGTCCAATGCAGGGTATCCAGAGCTCCCACACGACCAATTGCTAGGCGGACTGGCTTCTCGGCGTTGGCTGGCTGTGCAACAGGCTCGTTGGCCAGCTTCGCGCCGTAGGCAGAATCCAATTTCTTGTCCTCTGAGAATCTGCTCACGTAGTAGATGCCATCGCTGACGATATGCTCTTTGTCGCAGTCTCCGCCTTGAGGGTCGAAGCTGCTGACGATGCGGGCCACTTGGCTGGCTCCCAGGGTGGCGTCTTGGTGATCGAGATCGATGTGGAAGAAATGCAGCTGGGCGTACTCCGTCTGGAGAGTTCGTCCAAGACCCATGACGGTCGCAGCATGGGCGTTGGTGTTGCGCAAGAGGTTGCCAGTTGTCACCCAGAAGATGCTCGACGCGGAATCAGCAAGGCTTTGCAGGTTCTTGAACTCTGTCTCGCTCAATGTCTCGAAGAAGTTGTCGCCAAACTCAACGAGAGACAGATAGGCGGCGCCGGCTTCAGGCACAAAGTCGGCGTCGACCAGAGCAGCGATGGTGGCGTTGACGGAGGCATCTCCAAGGACTCCGACGAAGGCGTTGGCAGTCTCAAACTGTGACTGACGAGACAAGATCACGCAGCTCGCAGTCTTCTGCTCTGACGCCGACTTCTCAGTGAGGAGCGTCCAGCCAGAAGGCCCAACATGGCTCGACTTGACACCAAGCTGCTCCTGCTGAAGGGCAGCCGACCACTGGTGAAACGTAGGGTACGAAGCAGTCTTTGCTGACCCAAGACCGCTGACGATTGTCTCGAGCAGGCGTCCCGTGGCAGCGTCCAGTTCCTTGCGACCCTCAGCAATGAGCAAGCGACCACTCTCCTTCAGGTTCTTCTTCAAATTCGGAACCACCTCTGGCGAGCCAACCACTGAAGCTGGTTGAAGGAGAACGACAAGATCGTACGTGGCATCGTCATCCTCGAGGATGGCCTTCTCTTTGACTGTGACATGTCTGAAGTCGGCAAACTTCTCGGTCAGCGCCGGCACGGCACCACCGTTTGGAGTGACGATTTCGACAGTCCTGTATCGCTTCAAGGACGACTTGCCTCCGAGGGTGTGCTCAAGAAGGCCACTGATGTCGGTGTTGGTGCCATCAACGTAGAACATGATGTCCAGACCAGGTTGCTTGTGGGCCACGAGATCAAGCGTGGTCTCGAAAGAGCTCGGGAGAGCCTCGCCGGCAGTGGATTGATCATTCGCCAGGCGTTGAAGGATGCTCAAGCAGATACTCTCGAGCTCGAATGTCTCCTCGCCGACCTTGCTGGAGCTGAGATCCAGAGCCACGGCTTCACTGAACTCGTATTGATCGTTTAAGCTCTCCAGGATGACCTTGGCAAGTGGGTTCGAGGCGTGGGCCTTTGCAACACTGACGAGACCAGAAGCCCAGACCTGCAGAAGCGAAGCAGGCACATCATTCTTGCTGCTCAATGAGCTGGAGTGCTCGATATCCTGCTTCCAAACGACACGGATGTAGGGATGACGATCGGCTTTCTGTCCGCCGTTCAAAGCTTCAGCGTAGGCAATGGAGTCGACCTTCTCAGCGGCGAAGATCGGCCTTCCTCGCTGGTCGAAAAGCTGAACAGTGCCGTTCAGCGCACGCAGGCTGCTCTTCTTGCCGGTGGCGAGGATGCGGCCGTCTGCTTCCTCAGGAGCTGGGATTGACACACCATCGTAAGACCAGATCATGACGTTTTCCATGCTGACAGGAATGTAGGATTGATTGAGCTCCTTCAAAGATCCGCTGTGTGCACCGATCAGAATGGCTTGCATGCAAGTGTCGAGGGTGCCTGGGTGGACGGGGTAGCGGGAGTCCTCGACGTCAATGTCCGTTGGCAGGAGCTTGGACAAAGCTGTCATATCAGTACCCCATGGATCGACTCTGATGTCTGAAAGACCATTGAATGCAGCGCCATAGTTAAGATCAATGCTGGAGAAGCCGCGGTACCAGGTATGTGCGGTCTTCGGTTCTTGGAGCTTGTCCTCGCTGAACAGAGGTGTGAGATCTGACTCGCCTTGTCGAACTTCAACGCTGCCAATGGCATGTTCAGTCCAAATACCATTAAGGTGAGATTGAATGGCGAACGTAGCCTGGCCAGATTGGATAGAGTCGGAGATGTGCTGGAAGCGAATCCGTGTCATGATCTCTACTGGAGTGCCAGGAGGAGGAAGATTCAGCGCAGACTTGACCGTCATGTGAGGGAAGACATAGCGGAAGCTGCCCTTGAGCTCCTTGAACTCAGCAAAGAACTGGCGAGCTGCTTCTGTTGCGATGACCAGGTAGCCTACAGCAGGCAGCACTGGCTGAGTGGACAGGCGATGCTGGTCAAGCCATGCGAGGTCGGCAATGTCGAGCATATTCCTCCACTGAGCCTCGTTGCGCATGGTTCCAGGTACCTTGGACCCGAGCAGGTCATGGCGAGGGTACTTGCGCAGGCGATGCTCCTCAGCGAAGCGGTTGGCAGTTCGCAAGTTGGTGCCGTTCTTGTAGTTCCAGTTGTATCTGGGTAGATCGACAAGGGTCTTGCCAATGAACTTTTGAATGGTACCGCCGACTTTGCGCTCAATGGCGTTGACGTTCTCGAGATTGACTGAGTGCCCTTTGATGAAGAGCGACCCAGCAAGATCCAGCAGGCGGGTGGTGGCGTTCTCACCCCGAACCAGAGTGGCGATGTAGTCCAGGTCTTTCGAGCTCTTGCCCAACTTGTCTCTGATCTGGCGGATAGGACCAGCGAGAGCCGAGTGAGGCCCCACCTCGAGAATAGTGTTGAGTGACAACTCCTCGTTGTTCAAAAGTACCTCGAGGGCTTGCGTGAAGAGCACCGGGGATTCCAGGTTCTCTTTCCAGTATTCTGGGCCTGGCACGAAATCGCTGTCCATGATCTTTCCATAGACTGAAGAGGAATAGACGACACCTTCGACCTTTCGGGCATCCTTGGATCCACCGTGCAGACGGAGAGCTCGCTCCAACGATTCCAGATAGGAACCGCCAACCTCTTTCATGTGGTGAGAGTGATACGCTCGGCCGCTCGTCTTCACAGCACGCACGAATATTTTTTCCTTGTCGAGCTTGGCCTGTACACGAGCAGCAGCATCTTCGTCGCCACTCAGGGTGACGCTCTGGGGCGAGTTATGGCATGCTATGCGGATACTTTGCTCGACATATGGCTCAGCTTCCTCTGCTCCAAGGCCGACAGCCAGCATGGTACCCTTGGACGTAAGACCGCTGACTGCAACACCGCGAAAGTAGGCGTAGAGAATAGCTTCGTTCTTCGTGACTGATCCTGCAGCGTACGCAGCGGCGATGGCTCCCGAAGAGTGGCCAACCGTTGCTTTGGGTGTGATGCCCCAGCTTGTAAGCAGGTCGACCAAAGCGACTTGCACGGCTGTGCACAGCGGCTGTGAGAGATGGACCTGGTCGATGGCGCTTGTAGCCTTTGGCTTGAGGAGCTCTGTTTCGATCGACCAGGTAGGAGCATCATCGCCGAGTCCTTGGAGAATGCTGTCAAGATCTCGTATCGTCTGGAGGTAAGATGGAAAGTCCTGCATAAGATCGCGACCCATCTGAGCAGTTTGGGCACCTTGTCCAGTGAACACCATGACGATGTTGGCGCCGCTACCACGCTTGCCGAGGGTGGTGGCTTGCTCTTCGAGATCGTCGCTGACGGTCTCCTTGTCCACAACAGCAAAGCCACGATGGAAGAACCTCGACCGGCGAGAAGCCAAAGTGTACGCAAGATCCTCGGTATCGTATTCATCGGCAACTTGTCTGATGCTGGCAATGTTGGCCTTCAAGGTCGGCGCATCGTGAGCAGAAAATGGTAGCAAGAACTGAGTCCTCTCCTTGGTCTTGTACTGAGCTTTGCCAGATCCCATCGTACCGGTCTTGATGTCGAAGTCCATGTCTTCTCGGCTCGTCTCACGAGTCTTGAAGGACTGATAGCCAAGGAGCATCGAGGAGACAGCCTCCATAATGACATGACCGTTGGCGCCACCGTAGCCGAAGGAGTTCACACTCGCGCGGCGAACTGTATACTCCTCTGGCCAGTCACGGGTGTTCTGGACAACCTGAAGCTTGCCATCTCGGAAATCGATCTTGGGATTGAACTTCTCGATTCCAATAGTAGCCGGGATTTTGCCCGTCTCCAAGGCGTAGGCCACCTTCATGATGCAGGCCATTGCAGACGCCGCTTCGGCGTGACCGACGTTGGGCTTCACGCCTCCGACCAGGAGAGACTTGCGTTCGGTGCCTTCTGGGAGGAAAACATCGGCAATACCCTTCAGCTCAATCGGGTCACCCACAGCAGTACCCGTGCCCTGCGTATCATTAGCAAACCACTCAATTCGACTGTGATTGAATGACTTACGTGAGTCTCAAAGTAGCTCGTCTGGTCGAGGTCTTTGATACCGGCAAAAGTCGTATGCCTGGCGAATGACAGTAGCCTGGCCCTTTGCACTGGGTTGAGTGATACCACTGGTCTTGCCGTTGGCATTGGCAGCTGTGCCTCGAATGATACCTCGAATCGGATCGCCATCTCGAATGGCATCATTGAGGCGTTTGAGGTAGATGGCCCCGATTCCTTCTCCACGCCCATAGCCATCCGCAGATGCGTCAAAGGTATGACAAGTTGAGGTAGGTGACAGAACACCCATCTTGTCGGTACCCAGATGGATCTCGACCGCCTGGATGAGGTTCGTGCCACCGACAACGGCACCATCAACTTCACCGCTGGCAAGTGCTCGGCAGGCCATATGCGCCGCGTAGATGAAAGAGGAGCATGCGGTGTCGAGCGTAAGACTTGGCCCAGTCAAGTTGTAGACGTAGCTCACCCGGTTGGACAAGATGGTAACACCCTGGCCAGTCATGCTGTACGGCTGAGGGTAGTCGGGGTCTTTCAGATTCATAACACCATAATCGTAGTTGAAGTTACCAACGTAGACACCCGTATTAGTGCCTGAGACCTGCTCAAGCGGGATGCCTCCGTTCTCAAAAGCTTCATGGACGCACTCGAGCAACTTTCGTTGCTGAGGGTCCATGGCCTCGGCCTCTGGCTTGGTGATTCCAAAGAAGGGAGGGTCGAAGTCGAAAGTCGTATCGGAGATGAAGTACGCGCCGCGAGGCTTCAGCCCACCGGGGCGACTCTTCTTGGTGTGGAAGCCATCGATATTGAAGCGCGACTTGGGTGGTTCAGAATAGCATTTCCGCTTCTGGAGCAACATGTCCCAAAATTGGTCGGGCGTATCCGAGTCACCTGGAAACCGACATCCTTGAAACCGGTCAACTCTGCATCTCTGAAGATACCGTTGATGACTTACCCATTCCCACAATCGCGACAGCTTCGGCTCCAAATTCATTCGGGGTGCGGACGCCGCTTGAGCTACCCTCAGAGCTCGTCTCCTGCAAAGGCACATTGTCGACAAGACGACCTGGAGACATGGTGATGTGTGGAATATTAGAAGGGTATGAGGAGATGATTGAGAAGTTGGATTGTGGACAATGGTCGAAGGCCCTTGGTTTGGTATTCAAGTCAGTACCGTTTCGGGCGCCTGTTACATATACATCTTGTCTTCCGAGCACGTTGCAATATCACAGCAATGCTCAAGGCGGCGCTTTGCGATAGTGAATCCCCGCTCGTTGTGAATGCGAACCGCATCTCGGGAGGAGGAACGTCCACAGCCGCAGCCTTGCCCCATAATCATGAAAGCACGGCGAGATGGCAGCGGAGAATCGAGGCCACCAAGGCGTTGAAAGATTGTGTTGAAAGCTGCATGCAAGGTCAAACTTCCCGTGAACTTCCCATCCGCGGCAGGTTGGCACGTGGGGATATTCCAGAGGACTGGTGCAGGGTGACAAGGGTGCCATTTCAATATCCCGAATCCACCGCTTCTTCGTGGCTTTGGGTTGGGATACGGGGAGTTGAGGGCATGGGTGTCCGACAGGGACTCCAGCGGTGGATAAAGGCCTGCCTCAAGCAGTCGCACAGAATCGGCATAGCCGGCAACATGCGTCTACTTTTCTTGCACGGGTATCAGCAATCGCCCTCCATCATCCAGGAAGAGACCGGCTTCCTACAGCCGTTGCTGTCGCAGATTGTGGGGGAGGATGTTGAATTTGTGTATCCGGCGGCACCTTTCCCATCCACGCCACGGGATACAGGCGAGCCGACGTACTCGTGGTGGCCCGAGGATGGAAATGAGGCGTACCGCAAGACTTTTGCCCATCTCAGCGACATTCTGGACCGAGATGGGCCGTTTGCGGGAGCCGTGGGCTTCAGCCAAGGAGCTACACTGGCTTCCCTCGTGGCAGCCCTACTGGAGAAGCCTCAGGCTGAGCGGCCTGAAGAGTTGACATCGACCCACGCGCCTTTCCGGTTTGTGCTGAGCTTTAGCGGGTATCAGGAGGATGACCCGCGAGTGCAGCAGTACTATGAGCCCGGCATCACCACGCCAATCCTGCACTTCATCAACTCGACGGATCCCATATTGGCGGAGGATAGGTGTATGCGGCTGGTCAATTCGTGCATTGACTCGGATGGGCGTGTGGTGAGCTATGCGGGCGAAGGCCACCGCGTGCCTGCGACCAAGAAAGCCAAGATGGCCTTGGGTCGCTTTCTGGAAGACGTTCTGGAACTGTAGTCCAGATGGACGAGATGGATAGGGCAGGACTGGGCGATGGCTGAGGTTGGACGATGAGGGCAACGTGCCACATGCAGTGGGAGAACGGTTATCTCAACGGCCAGGGGTCGGTAACGCTGGAAACGGCTAGTTCTAGCTCGGGGGATGATTACCGGTACGAGCAAATATCCTGAGCATAGCCGGTATAATTATAGCGAGAGTACGAGTTTGCTTGACAACCACCTGCACCATCACCACAGCCCGCCATCCCGTCGCAATGATGGCCTCATCTGCGACTATGCCTGTTCCTGGCCTGCACGTGCGACCACGATGATTGCCATCATAGCCAAGCCTCGCTGCAGAGACGGCGGTGGCGACGAGGGACCGTGGACCTTGTTCGCCACGCTGTCAATGTGTTCATCCTCATACTCACCATCGCCACGCTAACCACTGCTAAACCGTGCGGCTCTGCGGAGAGAAATTGAAACCAGAGCCCGCTGGCATCCGTGGGCGAAGGCAGCGCGAGATCACCGCCACCTGCCACACATGGTCCGAGATTTTGGTGTGGAGAATGCCAGAACAACTCCTCGACCGTCGAAGAAGTGCCTGGTAAGCGCGAACGTGGTCGCTTTCCGATCATTGCCCGCCAATGCCCTGTGATATGTTTGTCTCTCAGAGCAAGCACCCTGGGTGGCCTGTGTGTTGGGCCATCAATCAAGTAGTTGTAGTGGCCTCGCGCCTATCGAGCCCCCAAACAACTCCCTACTACAGCCTCAGAGACAGCAACGATGAACGCACGAACAACCCGCGCAAACCGAACGGATAGTTCGAGTGGCCAGCCACCACGGCGGCAGGCCAACGCATGCCTGCGATGCTATGAGAAGAAGGTTAAATGTGATATGGACAGTGTTGGCCAGCCTTGCACCGGCTGCGTGACCGCTGGGATCGAATGCCAAAAGAGATCTCGCAAACCTTACCCGTCAGTCGAGTGTGGTGCATGTCAATGTACAGGACAGGCTTCAAGCTGACCCCACGGACAGGCCCCGGAAGGACAGCAGCACGCCGACTTCCTCCGCATCCGAAGCACCTCCTCCACCTACAGCAATCTGCCAACCAGACAAGCTACCAACTCCGCCGAGGAGCGTACCTTCGGAATCACTGCCAACGCCCCTGTTCAATCCAGAACCATTCGACTTCTCTCTGGGGTTTCCAGATGGAGCGGCGCACATGTCAAGCTCGGCGCCCATGACCACGTGTGACGATGCCACGATGACGGGGACTATGCCGTTCTTCAGCGGTCAGTATGAATGATCTCGCAAGCTAGATGCTCACTGACGAGTGCGAAAGGTGATCCGCAGGGCTATGGCTATATACTTGACATTTGCAACGCAGAAAGAGACTGGACTGCTCAGCATTATTTCATACCGCAGGCGACCGTAGACACTCTGGATCCCGAGTCATTGTCGTATGCTGAGGCAAAGGGCTGCTTTTCACTGCCCAGCCAAGCGCTTTGCGAGGAATTGGTCAAATGCTACTTTCACTTTGTGCACTCCACACTGCCTATAGTGGACGCGGAGGACTTCCTATCTCAGTATACCCAAGGCTATCAAAACCCGAGCTTACTCCTTTTGTGGAGTATGTTCTCCGTTGCAGCTAACGTAAGTCCAACAAGCTAAGATCACGATGCGGAGGTGGCTAACTGGACAATTCATAGTTCGTGACCAACCATCACGTCGCTCAATCCGGGTGCAAGACCCGTCAAGAGTTCAAGAAGTCCTTGTACAGCAAGGCAAAGGTATGTAGATCTCTTCTCCACGGCCCACAACCCCACTGGCTCACGACATCCTTAGTGTCTCTATGATATCGGCTATGAGCAGGACAAAATCACGCTGATACAGTCCTCTCTTCTACTCGGCTTCTGGTACTCCGACCTTCAGGACAATGCACAGTCATGGCATTGGACCGGAGTGGCTATATCGATGGCCCATGCCATAGGCCTGCACAGAGATCCGGACTCGAGGAACATCAACAGCTCGATATCACCGGCACGTCGCAGGCTGTGGTCCAACATCTGGTGGTCCTGTTTCTTCCGTGACCGATGGCTCAGTTTTGGCTACGGTCGCCCACTCAGGATCAACGCAGATGATTGCGATGTCCCAATGCCAACATCTGACTGCATGTATGGTCCTGAACGACTTCCTCAGCCATGGAGGAAGTACGTTCCAAATGAGCTGTCACAGCTCGTGCCCATTTGGCTGGGCCTACTCCAATTGACAGTGGTGCTTGGCGATGTCTTGACTGCCAACTACCAGCCTCGAAAGTCGGCCATGGACCCAAACACCCTCGATCAACTTGATCGACGGATCTCGGAATGTCTGCCAGACAAACAGGCGCCTCCAATGTATCCAGAGTTGGTGCAATTTTTTGACTCGTACGCGCGTCTTCATGTCGAGTAAGTCGTATCTTCTTGCTTGAGCCAACTCTATTCTAATCGATCTTCAGGTCAGCCACGATCGCACTTTACAGGCCATTCGCATCCGAGTTTGTTACGAGTAGTCGCACCATGGCTTCGAATTCGGCACTGTTACCCGCTGCCGACATCAAGATAAGAGCTGCAGCGACCCGAGCCAGCTGCATTCTGGACAGAATTGTGGCAACTGATACTCTTCGCTTTGCTGGCCCAATGATGTACGTTGAAATTATATACATGTTACTTGCGGATGCTGACATGACACCAGGGTGCCTCTACTTGTTCCGGCCATGACCATCCACCTACTTCAGGCTCGATCTCATGATCACTTCACAAGCTCGTGGAGCAAGAACCGCCTAGAACTGTCGTTGCTGGTGCTGAAGAGACTCGAAGAGAACTACCCAGCGGTCTCTCTGGTCTACGAGCTATTTGCCCATGCACAAGACAGGAACTCCTTGCCATTTGGCATCTCCCGACCCTGCTCGACCAGCTATCTCACCCGATCAGCGAGCAACCACAGCTCACCGTGGAGTGAGATATCACGAGACTCGTTCAACAACCCCATGAGCGCGTCAGGTCTGAATGGATGGACGAGCCCTGACCTGGGCCCAGGCATGGAGCTGTGGAACATGACTCCACCAGAGAAACTTTTCTTTCCGTTTGATGACCTAATGAGCAGACTTTGAAGCAGAAATACAGAAGTGATACCACCTAGAATAATGCGAGATTACGTTCAGGAATACTACTCATACGTTTCATCCTCCAGAGTACTACTTGATTGAAACGCCACTTCCTTGGGATACTGATCTTCCTGAAGAAGAGGAACTCGCGTAGTTCTGGCGGATACGAGGCACGTGTTGCCCTATGTTTGAGATACCCACTAAGTTCAGCAACTAGAAGACATGGCTAGGGAGCCTTGTCTGGGTTCGGTCTCGGCGAAATTCTGCATTGAACCGGCGCCTCGCAGCAACCTCTGAAGAAATCAGTACACCGCCGGCTGAACTCCCAATCGCCCACCGTCAACTACCACCACATTCCCATTGAGGTATTTACCACCAACTCCCGCCAAGTACAGAATCGCAGCCGCCATGTCCTGCTCATCACCAGGTTGTTTGAGAGGAATCTCAGCCTCTGGTATTTGAGGTGGCAGCTGGTTACGGTTCTTTTCGTCCATCGTTGCCGGCCCCGCGGACATCTCTGATGGGAAAATACCGGGGGCTATCACATTCTGCGTGCATATTTTTGTCAGCATTTCTGCGAGATGTGAATCGCAGTCTCTGCCCACGAATGGGTTCGAAGACTGAAGGAGCACAACATACCGATCGAATTCCCCATTGCACGAAGTTCGTTGCGAGCATCTTCGCCAAAATGGTTGGCCGCTGCCTTAGACGGATTGTATGAGAAGCTCGTGCCCAACATGCGGATGAACGCCCCAATGCTGCCCACCGTTACAATTTGACTCTTCTGAACCACATTCCCCTTTTCATTTCCCTTGCCCAACAACCCCAAGAACGCAACAGAAGTGAACCAGATCCCGCTCACATTGACGCGCAGGATTTTGTCCCAGTCTTCGACTTCGTCCTTCCAGAGGAAATCGCGGACTTGGTCTAGGCTGCTGAAGTCATGGCCATCAGCAGATTGCGTCCATTTGCTGTCCAGTGGTTGGAAGGACGCAGGGCGAGGCAGAACGTTGTGACGGCGGCCGAGAGTGCCTGAGTTGTTGACTAGAAGGTTGATGTAGCCCACCTCTTTCTCGATTCTGTCGACTGCGGCTTGGAGGGACGATTTGTCGCTGACGTCGGCTTTGATGGGTACGATCTTGCCGTGTTTCTGTTTTGGAATTGTCAGACTTGATCCACAACCGGGTGAACACATCGGCCAGTGCTTACAGCATTCTGTCGTGCAGCTGTTTGCAAGACTTCCTCTCGTCTGCCAAGAATATATACGGTTGCTCCATTGTGTTCCAGGGCGGTTGCAATCATCAGGCCTATGCCAGTACCGCCTCCTGTGACAACGGCTACAAGGCCATTGACGGAGAACAACGACGCGGCGTCGAGAGAAGACATTTTGATATTGGAGATGCGATATCGAGAGAACAGAAACTAGATCTACTGCGATGTTGGGAAATCTTTTTTCCTCTGTCTATATACGCGAACATGCCATCAAGGCAACAGGACTCCGTCCTCCGTCCAACGAAGCGACCGGCACCGAACAAGTCTGAGTGAATGTGTCAGCCCTCCACTGTCTGAGCGGCTGCGATTATGACCAGAAGTCCGGCAACTCCTGCCATCGCCCTCGCCCGGCCCTGCCTTGCGGTTTCTGACGGTGTTTCGGTCCCCTGCACGGAGCTTTTGTACCCCATGTCCCTATGAATATCTGCCGTGACGAAGCTAGTGTCGACCAATGCAACTGGTCTGCGCCCCAGCGATGTGGACCGAAATTAAGCTCCATGGGGGATTTGTGGCAGCATTGAAGCGGCAGATTTCTTGGTGGGAGGGATGGCGAGACCATGGCGTGCTTGGTTGTCGCTGATATATTGTTGCTTTGAGTGAATTTCATCGAGGGACAAGAAGTGACAAGCGATTCTAGATGCGTCGCGAGAGTTCTGGGGGCTTGGTGGTTGTTGGCAAGGCTGAGCGTGTAAGCCTCGCTTCCCGCGGACAGGTGCGCTCAGTGCTGTAGAGAGTAAACACAAAATGGGCCTTAGGATCAGTGTTGAATTACTGTAACATAACGCTTGATCTGTCATTGGTATCGAAACTTCCCCCCTACGCTCTAGCCTCAACCGCCAATTTTCCCTCAGTTCCTTGTCCCTTCTCCCAATCGCCCTTCTTGAAGGTGTCTGCGCGTCCCGCCAATGCCCTTCTCATAGCCCATTCTTTGAACGTAGGATACTGCTCCTCACTGTTCGCCGCCGTGATCTTCCTCCCCAGCGGCTTCATAGGAACATCGTGATTCGGTCTCGTGAAATATGCAAGGCTGTATCTCGCCCACTGTGCTTGTTCTCCAGGAGGTGCCACCACGCGGTGGATGTTGCTCTTGAACTCGCCATCACTCCAGCTAACCATGGCATCGCCGAGATTGACGAGGGCGGTGCCACGCTCGGGCTTTACGTAGTACCAGCCAGCTTCCTGATCGGGCCCGAGCAAAGACTGTGGGAGGTACAGTTGCAAGCCACCCAGGGCATTGAAGAGAACAGTCAAGGTTCCCCAGTCAGTGTGAGGCTGGAGGTTCGCAGCTTTGGCAGATGGTCGACTGGGACACTTGAGCAACCGCACGTGCGAGCCGGAGTTCTGACTGTGAGAGTGGAGTTTGGGGAGGTAATCCGGTGAGTCGGCGGAGATGCCAAGGACAGCAGCGAAGACCATGAGGAGTTGATCTGTCATTTCTTTGCCTGTGTCTTGGAAGCTTTTCATCTCATGCATGTGAGCGTTGAGCACGTCGTTGTAGATTGCGCGTGAGTGGCCTTCGCCTGCGATGTCGCCGCAGCCGATCCAGTATTGTTCGTTGTTATCGCGGGTACCATCTTTGTCGACGACAGATGCTCCGAGCCCTTTGTATCTGTCGGTATTTTCAGAGTGTGGCATCTAATTCACTCCGGTGATTGACGTACCCAAGCAATGCATCGCCATGATTTAACATGTTGTCATTCAGCTTCACCTCAGCAGGCAAATCAAAGGTCTTCGCTGCCAGCTTGAACATCTTGTCCGCGCCATCGAGAAAACGACGTCCAAGCTCTGTGTCTGTGAAGTCGATTCGAACAAAGCCGGTCGTCCTGGCTGAGCTGAGTAGGTTCTTCAATTCCTCAGCGTCTCCATTGAGTAGTCTGGCGTGGGAAATATTGTTGACAGATGCGACAGGAATGTTCGTTGGGAATGGAGGGAGGCTGTCCCAGCCATCCAAGGTGCTTGGAGCGGCGTCGTTCTCAACAACCATTATGGAAGTGTAGATGCTTCAACTGATTGCGTGTGAATGGTACGGCCTCAACAAATTGCTATATACGTAGAAGGGCGGTTTCACTCCTCGACTTGACTTACACATTTGCCATCGTACTGCAGATCGTAAGACTCTAACTCGCCGACTCGATGATTGAGTACCTATTCTCCATCATGTCCATCAAGGCAACTCTCGGTCTCGTGCAAATCCTCCGCAAGGCTGTGCGTTCGTCGGCAAATTGAACCCCAGCGAACGCTCCAGCCGGCAGAAGTCGACCACCGAATATCCCATCGTCTCTCCAACTGCGATCAATCACGGAGCTACTCGAGATCCGAGGCCGAAAGCGAAGCCTTCATGTGACAGGAAATCTATGGCGATCTTGCTGAGGATGAGATTGCTCCGTGCGAGGATCCAGGAGTAAGGCGAGAGCTGTTTCGCGCCCGAATAGAGCGATGACAGAAACGAAACAAACAAAGCCGGCGTTCATTGGCAACTTCCTACAGCCTGTATAGCTCACTTAGAAATCGGCCGTCTCTTACAGATTCAAAGATGTCGAGACCAAAGACCGTTCTCATTACAGGGTACCTTGTGTCCATCCACATCTTCTCACAGAACATCGATTGACAAAGCCAACAGATGCAGCCCAGGCAGCATCGGCGAAGCCCTCTCTCATGAGTTCCTCCAACGAGGCTGCACAGTATGCTCCACAGGCCTTCCCTCAGAAACCCTCCCCGAGCTCGAGCAAGCCGGCGCACACGTCTTCCCGCTCGATGTCCGAAGCGAGGAGAGCGTCAAGGAACTCGAACAGCATGTCAGTAAGGTCCTGGATGGAGAGCTAAACATCCTGATCAACTGCGCGTAAGTCAACCTTCATCCCAACTCTATTCTCTTAACTGACATTTCAAAAGTGGCATGTACTATGTGATGCCCATCCTCGACATTTCTCTGCCCGAACTCCGCCGCACCTTCGACATCAACCTCTTCGGCATCGTGCGAATTGTCCAATCCTTCACCCCTCTCCTAATCCGCACCCACGGCTCCATAGTCAACGTCTCGTCTCTAGCTGCCTACGCCCCCTACGTCTTCGGCGCAGCTTACAACGCTTCCAAAGCCGCCCTGCTCGCCCTCTCAAACACTCTTCGCATCGAACTCTCCCCCTGGGACATCTCCGTCCAAACGATTTTGGCGGGTCCGGTTGTCAGTGGTCTCATGACGAGGACCGAGAGGCATCTTCCGGAAGGGAGTTTGTACAAGCCAATTGAGGGCTTCTTTGAGCAGAGGACACAGCACGCGAAGCATGGGGTGAAGGCCATGGGGAGGGAGGACTTTTCGAAGGAGATCGTGGAGCAGTTGCTTGCGGGCAGTGGAAGTTTGAGGAAGACGTATTGGATTGGGCCGTTTAAGTGGCAGACTTGGTTGTTGGAGGTCTTTGGATTGCTCTCGGTCTGGGGATTGTTTTTCCGGAGGAAGTTTGGTTTGATAAAGCTGAAGTAGGATGTTGGAATGGGTGTTTTCGTGTACAATGTTTAATGCGTTCCATCGCGACCTCATTCGAATAAAGAAGGTTGCTTTCCGATGAACTGTTGCGATATTAGACTTCTTCGTCTGCGAACAAGATAAACTTCTTTGGATGTGAGAGCGTTATCTGTAGTGTCTTTCGTTTAATCGTATACATGGCAAATCGAATCATAGTCAAACGAAGTTCAAAACACCCAACCATCATTACTCCTGCGTCTCCTTCGCGACATTCCCAAAATCAACACCCACAGCCTCACCCCTCGGCTGGTGGATCATCGCCTCTTCATCTCCATTCCTCATCCAAGCAGACATACTCCTCAACTTGGCGCCATAGCGATACACCAGCGCAGGCACCGGGATCAGCACTATGGCAATGAAACCCAACGTTGCGTTGCCCCAGTCGAGACCGAGTGCATCATCTGTTAAAAGTATCAGTACGACATCAAGCACGAGGTCCCCAGAATATGGAATGAATGGGTACTCACACAACCGCGGCCCCGCCAACGGCAAAAACGTCCCCACAACATTCCGACTACTCGCCAGCGCCGCCGTGCTGCAGGCCGCATACACGGGAGCCGCATCAATGAGATAGGTCTGAATGGGCAGGAAGACCCCAATCATGCCGATAGCGAAGGGCGCCAGACCGATGATGGGCGCTGCCCAGTGCGTGTCGTAGTTGGCGGTGAAGCCGTACCAAAAGAAGGAGACCGGGATGAGGAAGGAGAAGTAGATGCAGAGTTGGAGGCGGCGTTCCGGAACGAGGACGCCGTTGTTGCGGGCTTTGTGTTTGGCAATGTGGCGATCGGTCGTGCCGCCTATTATGGCGACGGCGATGAGGAAGCCGATTCCCTTGGGAGTAATGTCAGGGTGTGTTGGAAGGGGGTTCACAGGGTAGTGGTGCTTACAAGACCGATGTACGCCAGACCTGCGCTGCCCAGTGTGAAGCCGTACACGGAAACGAATGTCGGCGTGATGGTAGTCAGGAGCAGGTAGAGAAGGCCGTATACGAAAGCCGCATAGATGCACAGGAGTGCAACAATAGGAGCTGTGAAAAGCATCTGGTAAAACCCCTGTCAGCCATTCGAGCCAACTTCGCCTCATTCAAACATACCTTCCACGGCAGAACCATTGCCCTCAGCAACTCCTTTTTGGTGACACTCCGATCATCCTCGCCTCAAATCCCCCAATCCAGCGCTTTGAAAATACGTTGTTTCAAAGTGAGTTGCCTGACATCGACATCCCTTCTCCGTGAAAGAATCTCTGGATTCGTCTCGCGATTCAAGGAGATCAAGCCGATTAACGTCAATCCGCTGAGAATGAAGAGAAGCCAGAAGATCTATGCTACAACATTAGCATCGAGCCTGAATTTCTGAAAGTCAAGTCAAGTTGAGGATGATCGGCTGGAACTCACCCATCGCCATCCACGATTCTCCGCCAAAAACCCACCCGCAATAGGTCCTATCACAGGCCCAATGACAGGCCCTATAGCAAATAAAGCAGTCGCACCGCCCCTCGTGTTGTCATCGAACAAGTCAGAAATCACACCACCGCCAACGGACAGTGATGCAGAAGCTCCAAGACCCGCAAAGAGGCGGAAAATGAGCAGTGAAGTGACATTGGGAGCAAGGGCGCAGGCGAGTTCCCAAAGCCAGAAGAGCGTGGTTGATATGTCGAGCACCTGGCACCTCTAAGTCAGTGCATGTTTGCGTATGGGGATGATGAAGACTTACGACCTTGCGTCCAAACATATCACTCAACGGCGCAGCGATGAGGGAACCAAACTGTCAAATGCTATCAACCTCGCGCAGCCTTGACGTCAAGTCCATCGTTGAAACTTACCACATAACCGAAAATAAAGACCGACACCAAAAAGGTATCATAATCCTGCCCTTCATACTGAAACTCCCTCCGGATCAAACTTACTGCCGGCGCAATCATGGAGCTTGCTAGCGGAGAGATGAAAGCCAGCCACGCAACGAACAGCGTCGTCGTCCACTTCTTGCCTGGGGCCCAAGTCCTGGCGAGACCGTCGATGTGGTCATCGTATATGCTGGGTTCCTTGGGTGGTAGTGGGATGGGTGTTAAACCAAGATTTGGAACCGGGGAGAAGAATAGTGGTGGGAGGGCGGTTATGGTCATGCTGCTTCTTCTATTGTCGCCGCCATGTGTGCTCGTGGACCAGCGCGAGCGGTTGGTGGCTGCTGTGCCGGTGTCACGGCTTATCGTTGACCAGCGCCAATGGCTTCGTGTGTCGACTGAAGAGACGGGTCTGTGGTTGCCGTATGCTCTGCTGGAGCGCTTGTTGTGTGATTGAGGATGGGCCTGGGGCGAGGTGAGTTCATCGCGGCTATCATGGCGGGTGGCTGACGATTCGAGATCGTTTGTAGTGGTGGTTGTATTAATTGTCGTAGTTGACGGCTGATGGGTGATTATGGATTGGAGATGCGATTCGTTGAGAAAAGAGGGACATGGAGAGCGCTTCTCGTCTTCCATCTTGATACACAGGTGAGGTTACTTGGAAAGGATGAGAGCGCGAGGGCCATGTGATAGACAACCCCGCCCAGAGTGAGAGGATGTAGGGATAGCAAGGCCAGCCTGACCAGCATGTACTACCCGAGCAGTCCTTCTCTCAAGCAGCTGGGCGCCTATTTTCCTCTACGGGAGCGGGAACATGTTCCCTTTCCATCTCTCCCACGTGCATGAAGGCACCATCTCGCAAGGCGTCGCGAGGGTACGATGCTTGAAATCGCCATGCCTTAGCACGTGGCAAGAGATAGGAATATTGCTGTTCTGCGCCCATCCACGTTCCTGCATTAGCATCACTTACGGACGGAGCGGAACGATGTGCGTCCGAAGTTTGAATGGAACTTTGAGCTGCCATTTTGAATCGATATTCGAAAGTCTTGAGAGGCTGATGGTGGTGTTGGCATGGCCCTGCAGTCTGTTTGCTTGGTCTCGGATTTTGATGCCAAGCCAAAAGCCCGGTGTGAGACTAAGTCAATACCGGTTGAAGGCGCTACCTACCACCATCAGTTAGCAGTAGCCGGTGCACCATGTGGTCAGGGAGACTGGGGGATGTTCAGGCCGTGCTGCGGGTAGGGGATGCGTTGAGGCTCCCTCTTTCAGCTGCTGGGAAAGATGATATTGCTCGTTCAACGAATCCGTGGACGTGGTGAATGGTCGTGTAATTTACTTCTTGGAACTTTTCAAACGATTCCCATGCCCACTCTCATATCTCAACTCTCGTCAATCGCATCGCCGCTTCTTTTCGTCAAGTCGTGGCTCCCGTCTACCTTTGCATTTTCCCTGCCTGCTCTCACGATACCAACTTTTCTGCCGTCGCCATCAAGCTGCCAATGAAGGTGACAATCAATCGCGTCCGTAAGTTCGTGATATCCTCTGGAACAAGCCAGATAGTGGCACCCATCTTTCGCGCAATGGAAATGGCCAGCTTGGCGTTGGCATATGCCTCCTCGTCAGTTCGGCCCGCCGCCACCAGGTCGTAATCGACATATGAGCTCTTCATGCCATTGAGCACGTCCAACAAGAAGATGCCAGAGGCGATTTGTTGGTCCTTGAAGGATCGTACTGCAGAGGATCGGCCGCCCTTCTTGACAGTGTTGTTGGCCCACTGCACCATGTCCGAGTCGCTGATTTCACGCTTGCCGAGTCGCTGCGCAAGGGCTGAAAGCGTGTTCGTGATGTCTTTGCGCATGAGCTGCCAGACCATACCGAGCGTGAGTGTCCGCTGGCCATCTGTGATGTCGGCGCCCTGGATTCCAACGAGGGAGAAACGGTTCTGTTTGCCAATCTCGACTGCATAGTTCGTGTTCTCCACAGCTTTGAATCGAGACATACCTGACTTGATAGTCAAATAGGCCTCATCTGGGTCCTGGCTGGCTGGAGTGACAGCATTCGCTGGTGGCTTGTTGACGTGTCTCCAGTTGACACTGCCTGGGATGACCTTGTCGTATGCTTGTAACAGAATGATGCCGTCTTTCAGATCGTCGAAGAACGAGACAACCGTGGGCTGTACGTTCATGGAGTTGAGCCACAGCGTGAAGACACGCGCCTCACGCTCGCCTTCTGCGTCGAAATCTTCAATCTCTTGCTTCTCTTCTTCAGTGATCGGATCCAAGCCAGGGTGGTTGTTGAACAAGTTGGCGACGAATGCAAGATTGAGCTTGGGGTTTCCGGCGGTGAGCGACTTGGGCGTCAGGAACTTGCGACAAGGCGGGTCCAGTCGATCGGAGTTCTGCAGGACTTGCTCGGCGCGCTGCATGAGATCGGAGGTTTGAAGAGGTGAGCGGGAGCAGACGTTCGGCGCGAGCTGGTTGAGGAGGACTGTATAGTTCTCGGCATCTTTGACATCGTTGGAGAAGTTCTGTACTCTGCGAATTGTTAGCTCGATCTCCACTTGCGCGGACGTCAATTTATCATACCTCCGGTGCCACCCAGCATTCTTCAGATGGTAATTGAACCAGCGCAGAAGAATCTGCTCCGGCGGTAGTCGCAAGAACTGCTCCAGAGTCTCTCCATCTTCCAGCAGGCGGTACAGTTCAGGGTGCAGCTTGATATCGATCTTGCCCAGCAAACCCCGACGAATAATCTGCCAGATTAAACCCAGCACCAAATGCTCTCTCACTTCAATGATATCTCCTGAGCCAATGTTGACCACCGAACAACCAATGCCCTTGGCAGACTCGATGACAATGTTGTTGTTCTCAGTCATGTGGAAAGCGTTGAGCTTCTTGATCTTCTTTCCTTCCCTGTTCAGCACTCGCTCGTCGATGGTGTCGGGGACGCTGTCGTTGATGAGCTTGGCCAGTACGAGACCGTCGCGGCAGGAGTCGAACATCTCGAAGGTGTCGAGGGGGAAAGGGAGGAGGTGGCCAATGTCGGCATCGCCGGCAAGGACGGCGTTGATGTGGGAAGTGAAGGCAGTGCGCTCGTCCTCGTTGATGGTGTGCTGCGAGCTGGCGGTCGACCCTCCAACAGTGATTCTGCCCGCCTTGGGTTGCGCGCCGCCGCCCACGCTGCCTTTGCTGGCATGTCCTGGGGACGGCGCGGCTCCTCCGTCCGGTTGGGCGGCGTTGCTGAAGCCGCGCGAGCGCTGCTGGGCAGGACTGCTCTCTCTCAGGCGGGCGATCAGGTCGACGTAGTCGTCCAGTTCCACTCGCCGCGAGCTGTCCAGCTCCACCTCTTTCAGGGCCTGGCGCACGACATCGTAGGGCTGGCGCTCCGTGTTCTGGGCGCCCTTGATGGCCGTGGCCTCGTCGACATAGCCCTTGTCGTCGACGTCGAGCTTGCGGAAGGCGTCGGACAGGCCGTAGATTTCGGACTGAGGGAATTGGGGGTATTTCTGGAGGGCGGTGTTAGTTTGGCGCCTTTCCAAGTGCTCGTCCGCCCGTCAGCATCTCAGCTTTACCTTTTGCAGCTTCAGGACGTTCATGGTGAAGGGTGCGGTGTGGTGTGGAGGAGAAGAGGAGGGCGGCGTCTAGCCAGACGATATCATCCAGCAGCGGGTGCGGTCAAAGTGCTGCCTGGGGAGTGTGCCCTTCTCTGACGGGAATTGCGCGTCGTCCAACTCGAGCAGCAGCAGCGCAAGAGCATCCCAGCATGTGACGTTGTTTTCCAGCCACAACACAGCCCCGCCGCCAAGCATTGCATCTACCGGAGTTCTGCCGCTGGCCCCATTCACCTACCTCCTTCCCCTCTGGACGTGAAGCATCACTCTCAATCAGTATCGTGCTGCCTTGACCGTGTACCTCTCAGCGTACTACCCCTAGCATTTGAGAGACTCTGGCGTCAGCTCGATTACCATGTTATCCCTCCTGCCGACCTCGTCCATCCGAAAGCGTCGCCGGAGGGAGTAGAGGTGTGGACAGTAAGTATATGTCAGTTTCCAGCTCGGATGCCGATTATGGAATACGACGCATATGGTCTGGCTCTGGTCGGGCTTCAAGGAACACTCGCCATCATCGGCGCCTGGTATGATGTGGATCCTCAGCGACGTCAGCTGGACCGGCTACCACATCGCTGAGTGCCATCACACAGCGACTTCGATGTCTTCCATACTTCCTACCGCCAGCCTCAAGACCAGGTCAAATATAATCCTGCGGTATAGGTACATCGTTCCGCCATGTCGTCTCTCAAATTGGACTATGTGGGCCTCGACGACATTCCCACAGTGGCTCTCCTGGACCGCGAAGCTTTCTACAAAAATGAACACCCTTACATCGAAATCATGCATCCAGACAGCGAGACTCCCGAGGGGTTCGACCGCAAAGTCGAGCAGTGGCGAGAACGTTTGAACGGTCTTCTACCCAACGAGCATTTCTTCAAAGTCACCGATACCGCCACAGGAAAGATCATCTTGACTGGGACCTGGTATACACCTTGCAAAAGTGAGGACAATCTCGCAAAACTTAGCCAAGAACCGAAGATCTCAGGTCCGTATTGGAGATCCGAGGACGACCTTGCCTGGGCACAGTATCTCAGCATCCGCTATACCCAACGTCGAAGAGAAGCTTTCCTACACTACAAAGGCCAGCTCTTCGCCATCAAGCATCTCACTGTAGACCCAGCGGCGCAAGGCAAGGGTGCGGGTGCAGTCTTTATGCAGTGGGGCATTGAGGAGGCCGATCGAGAAGGACTGCAGTGTGTGGTCGAGTCCAGCATGAGATCTGAAGGCTACTATCGCAAGTGGGGCTTCGACCGAATTGAGCATGTGAGATTCGAGATTCCACAGGAAGAAGAGCGATGGTTAGGAAAGGGTGTACAGGAGTATGTCTGGATGTTGAGATCACCAAGATCTTCGACGACCTTTTGATGGTGCTGCAAGACTACCGCTCACTCGATCTGCTGCCGCACGACCGACTCAGAAGTTCTTGGGTCCATGAAGGCCTGTGAATTCCCAGATTTTGGTCCCAACGCTTCTTTCGGTACCTTGATCGTCCAAAAAGCTTCCTCTTGCATTTCAAACGGCGTGAACTCGTCCTTCGGCATAATTCACAGTCCTGGACTCTTGAGCCGAGAGAGGTAGATGGTAGGCTCCCAGCAACGCATGTGGACGAGAATTTATAGCAAGGTCAACATCAGCATGTCTTCCGGAATTCTGGAAACCTCACATGCAGCAACGCCTTATTCTCCGACTCGATTCCCGCTTCATCGCTCATCTCCTTGCAGTTCTACCAGAAGTCGTACTCCTCCGCACCCTCAACAAACCTCGCCCCTGGACTCTTGTCTGCTTCCTGTCGACTACCCGCAAAGATCGGCACGTACTCTCCCTCCCCTCCCCGTGACTCATTCCGACCCTTCACTCTCTCTTTGCAGACCCGATCCCACAGCCCTTCAGGCTAGTATCTGGAGTTTCGCTCCCTCGAGAAGACTGGCATCGCCAATAAGCTCGCTTTCACATGAGAACCCAGCGCAGAAGTCCACATCACCACGCTACCCGCATGTCCACCACTCAAAGCGCGATTTGGACTGACATTTAGTCACGGCATCCGAGTGATCGGCCGCGTGAGTGAAGAATTCACATTCTGGTGCGGGCGTGCCTGAGAAGCTGCCTCAGGACCCCCTCAGAACCGCCCCATCGAAAGTCAGAAACTCGAGCTCTGTTTTCGTCGCCATGTTGATCAATCCACTCTACAGCCAGAACTCAGCTTTCACGCATCTTTATGCCTCCAAGGTGAGGACACTGCGCCAAGATCTTCCTGCCTGACCAAGTCGATACTGATTCCTAAATGTAGATGCAAGTCCTACATGGATGTGCTCAAGCACTTGCACATGCATGTAAGCAGGCTGTACTGACTAAGAATGACTGACTAAGAGGCTAAGATGTATAGGCTATGAGGTAGCTCTGCGAACACATCTCTTTGCAGCGATCTGTAACAGAGCTCTCTATGTGGAGGACACTCCCGCTATCGAGCGATGACGGCTAAGGAAAGTGACCATTCCGTAACAAGCGTGTGCGGCTCAAGTCTATGGAATCATACTCCTCAAGGTCGCACGTTAAAGTGCGAGTGTGTGTCTCCAGCTGAAGCAATATCTCGAGTCGACCCTTCATCCTCAGCCAGAAATCTGCCAACACCCATTTCCCCTCAAACCACAAGCTCTGCAACCAACATGCGTCCATCCCAGAAGTTCAACCTGCACCCCTCCACGCACAGCGCCAAAGACCTCGAAACAAAAACCTTCGACGTAATCTGCATCGGCTCAGGCTGGGCAGGCCGCCAACTCGCCGCTCAAGTCTGCAAAGCCGGATTCACAGCCCTGGTCGTCGAAAAGGAGCTTTTTGGCGGTGAGTCGACTCTCCGTCTGGTGTGAATCTCATTCTGATACCTAGCACATAGGTGATTGTCCCTTCTGGGCCTGCGTTCCTTCCAAAGTCCTCTTACGTTCGCAGGACGCTTTAGACGCCGCTAATGCTGTTGGAGGGGCGAAGGAAAGAATTCTTGACGCAAAGGTTGATGCCAATGGTGTATTTGCTCGCAGGGATGTGATCACCGCCAACAAGGACGACACTCAACTTCTGGTGCCCATGACTGAAGCTACTGGTGCTACTCTGGTTCGTGGGCAGGCAAAGTTGGCCGATGTGAAGAATGTTCAGATTGCTCCGTTCGAGGGTGAGCCAGTTGAGGTCGAAGCGAGACTTGCGGTTGCAATTTGCTCTGGGAGTGAAGCTGTTATACCGGATGGTGTAAAAGCTGCTGATCCTTGGACACCGAGAGATGCCACGAGTGCGGATTATGTGCCTGAGAAGCTGATCATCATGGGTGCTGGTGCAGTGGGATGTGAGATGGCTACCGCTTATGCTGGGTTTGGTTCGAAGGTAGGTGGTTGAGTAGAAGTAAGTGAGTGATTTGCTGACCAACTACATTGCAGGTCACCCTCATCAGCTCTTCTGGCAGTCTCCTGCCTTCGATCGATTCCGAGGCGGGGACAATTGTCCGTAAATCTCTCGAAGAACGTGGCGTAGTCGTGAAGCTGGCGACGAAAGTGACCAAAGCAACACGCACAGACTATGGTGTAGAGGCCGTCTTGTCCACTGGAGAGAAGCTATCTGCCTCAGAACTCCTCGTGGCATCAGGGAGGAAGGCAACACTGGACTTTGGACTGGAGAAGCTCGGTCTCTCGTCCCATGGCACTCACATTCCTGTCAACGAGTCCCTCTGCGTGAAGACCTTTGACGGGAATGATTGGCTATATGCCGTTGGAGACGTCAATGGCAAAGCTCCATTCACTCATTCTGCGAGGTACCATGGGCATGTCTTCCAACCCCAACAATTACCTGTTAGGACGCTAACGATCTGCAATTCAGTCGCATAGCAGGCAACGCAATTATCGCCAAAGCAAGGGGTCAGACGCCCTCGAACATCACCCTCACGTTAGGCGACCGCAAAGCAATCCCCCAAGTCACCTTCACCTCCCCGATCGTCGCCTCCGTCGGTCTAACCCGCAAGGCCGCAGCTACCAAGGGTATCCAAGTCCGCCAAATCACCGCCCCAGCAAAGACAATCGGCGGCATCCTCCATTCCGACACCATTGCCGACGGCTGGGCACAGTGGCTCGTAGATGAGGAAGAACGTTTGGTGGGAGCCACGATTGTGGGCACTGACGCCGCAGACTTGATCCATGCTAGCACGGTGGCGATTGTGGGTGGGATGAAGTTGGAGCAGATGGTGCATGCTGTGCCTTGTTTCCCTACTATGAGCGAGGTTTATTTGGGGTTGTTGGAGGCGGCGGGGTATTGAGCAGAAAGAAAGAACCTCCTGACAGCACGCTGCAGGCTGAGACGCCTCAAGGGTTCTTGTACGCTGAGATGCTCCAGTGCGCGGGCGTCTGGATCATAACGGATTACCATCGAGGGCTGCCGAACCTCACGACGCTCATGGCTGAAGGACGCCTAGCTGCAGGAATTGAGTGGCTGGTGGAGCCTAAGAACTTTCGAAGATGAGCGTTTCATGGAGAGTGTGGTCGATATCGAAGCTGAGAGTGAGGTCTGTCCACACGAGCTACCTGTGAATAGTCAGCATAGGCTCTGAAATCAACGAGACGCCGAGCCACGTGCCTGGTCCTATGTATAGCATCTCAAATGGGGAATGAATCCTCCTCCCATCACTCACTTCATTGTTACCGAATCTACTGCAAGCGCGAGTAGGCTGCTCGATACCGATCGTCCACCAAATTCATCATATCGCACATTCCCTCACTCATCGTCACTCGGCAGCCGTCATCTTAAGTATCGAACTGCCACTTCTGCAATCCGCCTCGATGGGTGTCCGTTTTCGGTGGCGCTCTCGAGGCCATGGTCACTCCGTTGGTCTTGAAATATTCCTGCGCCAGGGCTGCGCATACCTTCTTGTGCTTCTTGGTATGCGCTTTCTTGCAATCCCGTGAGCAGTACAAAACGCTCTTGCAGGAAATACACGGCTTCAAATTGGGGGACTCGGTTGGGTCTGGAGAGTCTTCTGCCTTTGAGCAGTTGGCACAGAGCTTGTCTTGTGCTTGTGATTTGGAAGAGCCTTGAAAATGTTAGTGGGCTTATCGAGTCTGGCCAACGTCGAACCTACTTGAAGCGTCGCCTATTGATCCAGCCTCGTTCGGCGCACCGTTTGACGACTCTTCTCTTGAGTTCGCCATGGCGACGATAGTGGCAACGATGTTGTGTTGTGGTGTTGGGAAGTGTTTGAAGATTTCGAGGTGAAGCTTTCGGAAATGATGTGTGGCGGTTGATGCCTTAGGCACCAAAGTTGGGCAAACACGTGAAGGCATTAACATTATATGCAAGCTCTAGTGTCTACTGTTCATCATTAGGCATGTGATACTTCTGCTGTCATATCTCTTGATCGTCCTGTCGTGATTTCATATCATCCAAATGGCATTATAGGTCGTCATGTCGGCCTGCTTTCCAATTCTCATCGTAACATCAGCTTCATTTGCCCGCAAGGTTCCCATCTCTCTTGAGAACACAGTCAACTGTGCCATCTTCGTTCTCGTGGCATTCCGGTGTATCGTTGCAATGTTGTTCATTGTTCTCGTCAATCCAGCACTGTCGCTTCTCCTTCTCAAGACTGGTATCCCTCTTAAGCACACAGACTTTGGTTCCGTCCTCGTTCTCATAGCATGTTGGTCGGTCATTGCAGTGCTGCTCGCCTTCCTCGTCGATGTAGCACTGACGCTTCATCTTGGTATCTCGCTTCAGGACGCAGACGGTGTTGCCGTCGTCATCCTTATGGCATTGAGGCGTGTCGTTGCAGTGTTGTTCTCCGTCTGTATCGATCCAACACTGGCGTTTCTGCATGTCTCGCTTCAAGACACATACAGTGTTCCCATCTTCGTCTTCGTGGCATGTCGGCGTGTCGTTGCAGTGTTGCTCGCCGTCCTCGTCAATCCAGCACTGGCGTTTTTGATTGAGATCTCGCTTCAGAACACAGACAATGCTCCCGTCATCCTGCTCGTGACATATGGGCTCTTCATTACACTCCTGCTGTCCGTCTTCATCGATCCAGCACTGACGTTTCATCAAGCCCTCGTCTACTGTTCGCTTGCTCACACAAGTAGTAATGCCATTGGAGTCTGTGCTGCATGTTGGTGTATCATTGCAAGTTTGTACGCCGTCTGCATCATAGAAGCATTGCTACTAGTCAGTCAGCGACTGTTGGAAAGTAGGCTCATGTATTTCTCCTTACCCGTCTCGAGATTGGCGCTGCCGTAGCAATGGTGGCAAGTAATGCAGCAATAATAGTCGCCCTCATCTTGTCTGGGATTCGAATACGTGGATAGAAGGAGATGGGAGATTTGTGTCCTCAGCAAGAAGATTCCAGGGTGATTGAAGTCTTGGACGTGAAGATCATTACGCATGCGCATCCACCATTGATATATAGATCTTCTAACATCTCTTGGCAGGATTATGCTGCTGCTTCGCCTACCTCGCCCCGACTGTAGTCGCCCGTATTCTTTTCTTGCATTCAGGCATCTCTCACGTAACGTGAATCAGTCTACTTCTCGTCTGCTGTTGCATCATAGTCGTCTTCCCTGCGGCTTTACGAGGCGTAGCAGGACGCTTGCGTTGCCAACGTTGCATTCGCAGTGGCTAGTGACCAGTGACGACGTGCGGTTGACCGCACAAACTGAAAATAGATGGTTAGCGTGTTGCGGTCTTCGCCGACCGTCTTGAGACGATCGGAGCATTCCTGCGGTCTGTACATGCAGTGCCACAGGACCTGGCGATATGGCACGATAGAGGGGATAGCCACATCTCGGGAGGATGTTTTTGCTTCTTCCACTGCACGTCGATGTTGTGTGCTGCCGTGATCTATCCTCGGCGTCGTCGTCCTGGAATAGAATTTGACCGGGAAGAACGGTTGCCAAGAGCAGGGATGATGGACTCGGTGAAAAGCGGCTCCGAGCCCGAAAAGGGGCTTCATGTCGAGTATGCCTTACCACGCCCTCCTCGACAACGACCCACCAGATGATGCCCATTCTCGAATAATCAACGACGCTGAAAGACAACCGCGGTCGATGATCAATGAATATTACAGCTACAGTGGACGCTCTTCTGGTCAAGCCTTTGATCTGCACTTGCGCTGCCGGTCTGGATACAAAAATGTTTTCGACAATATCTGCTCGATGCCCTTCTCTTACAGCCTTCATAAGTGGTATAATGTACAAGAATGCTCTCAGTCCCTGGCTACTCGGCACACATGATCGTGCCCGCCCCTCCAAAGCAGCTGCCACCATTCGTCATGGCGTAGGCATGCTAAGACAAGCTATGTCAGCGCCAGATGTCACAGAAAACAGGACATCGTGCTCGGGGCTTCGACTCACGAATTTGGAGTTTTGGAACTCGTCGTTAGTGGGGTCGCCGCAGCAGAAAGTGTCTACAGATCGCAAAGTGAGTGCCCGTCCTTCAAAAGCGTTCATCCAGGTCTCCTTACAATATCCAGCGGCCTCGCAAGAACCATCGCCACCCCATCCTCGGTTGCAATAATCAACATGTTGGCTCCATCCCATTCCGACCTTTAACTTCTGCGGCACTGCAAGAGCCGTGGTGAAAAGGGTGGCGACGAAGATGATGAAAGAAGTCTTCATTGTGGCTGTTTCTGTCTTGGACACTGAATACACTCATCATGAGTTGAAGAACCCATGGACTCCTTATATCTTGCACCCTGGCTGACTTGTCCACAGTCCAGATTCGGCGGGCAAGTCTTCCGAATTCGCCATGCCGGCGTTTTGCATGAGAGGCCTACGTTTTACCGATATTTCGTATTCGGGAGGCCTTGGCTCTACCACATAGACGGTACGGATATTTGGTCTCGTGCTATAGAAGGGGTTCTTGATTCGATGCTTAACAATCTTAAATTGGACTTGTCTCATAAGGTGTTCGACAGTCATCTCGCCAGACATGTTAGTAAAAGACATTTGCATGGGTTGCTTCTTCTCGACACGGTCCAGTTGAATGGCTTCCAGGGGCGTTTCCCTCCTGTCGGGCGCCGGTGAATCTAGACCACCTCCAATCATGGAACCAACGACCCGGACAATGCCACCGGAGATGGACAGTATAATCCCACCTGTCGACTCGAACAGTCGTCTCTCATCATCTCGTAATGTTTCAGTACAGGCACACTGCCTTTCTTTTGCTGCAGTTCTGGTGTCGAGACGGTCGCGGGATGAAAGAAGGTGGAAGAGATGAAATGCCTCTGCTATGTGATGGCAACTTTCAAACAGGACTCTAATGCGAAAGCTTAGGGATCCTGCAGAATCCTTCGCATCGACAACTCCATGTCAGGAATGTTCTGAAGTCGACAGGACTTGGAAATGTCGTCCGGTGCTGACTCTCAGGTATCCACTTGCGTGCCTTAGCCGAGGACTTCCAGTAAGCCGAAGAAGCTTGACATGAGCGTCCGTGACGGTATATCCAAAGGTTGCAGCTTTTATTCGCATCATACAAAAACGTACACTGCTCGGCAACACGTCCCAACCCAAGCTATGGAAGTAGCACTTGACGAAAGGTTCAGCTCCGCACACAGGATCGACCCAGCCGGAGGATTTGACCTTGGCAAGCTCCGAGGCAAGACTGCTGTAATCACAGGCGGAGCAAGCGGAATTGGAGAAGCCTCTTTGCGTGGTCTCGTTCAAGCTGGGGCCTTTGTCGCGTTTAGTGATATCTCCCAGGAGCGTGGCGACGCCCTCGAAAAAGAGCTGGGCTCCGAGAATGTGGCTTTCGTGCAAGGAGATGTTACGAACTGGTCTGATCAGAAACGGCTCTTCAAAACGGCAGTGGAGAAGTCTCCGTCGGGCTGTATCAATGTTGTCTTTGCTAACGCCGCGATTGTCGAGCCCACGGAGCCCGACATGGATGTTGCGGACATTGGATTTCGGGGTGTTCTTTTGACAACGAAGTTGGCCGCACACCATTTCCGCCGTCAACTGCCAAAGGGGGACAAAGACCACTGCCTTGTCATCACCGCCAGTATCGCTGGCTACTGGGACCAATGATCAAATGGGCGGCTCGTGGGTTGATGCGATCTCTGCGGAGCTCCATGCCCGAGAATGAGATGCGAGTCAATCTGATGGCCCCATGGTAAGATGGTCTGCTCGACATGTGTCCTGTACTGAGAGAGCGTAGGTATCTGCGGACGAACTTGATTAGCCAGAACGCTTGGGATCATCTGGAAGACAACCGCGGTATCATACTAGCTGAGAAAGAAGACGCTGCAAAGGCGGTGTTGCATCTTGCTTCTGATGAGACTATTCACGGTACGCTGCCATTTGACATGTCGGAGCGCGACTAACATGTACTACAGGTCGCAGCATTATGATCATCCCCCGTAAGGAAGCCGCTGAAGAATACGTGGACATGGACAGAGATAGTCACGACTTGGAAGTGTTGGGACGGGAGAGGTTCTCTGAAAAGTAGGCAGGCCCGCCCGATATGCGGAAGCAATGCAAGAAAATCCAACTCCTCTAGGCCTCCATGGATTTCCCGCGGTCTCCTTCTCTGCTTCTCCGTACTCTCCCCGTTCCGGTCAGTCCGGCTTTCCACAAGCGACTGCGCGTCCGTTCACGTTTCAGGCAGATCAGACGGCCTGGGAGAGATGGGGTTGAACGACCGCCGACGGAAGGCTGACTGCGTGCTGTGCGGCGTATCGCGCAACGACGAGCGCAGAGTGGTCTTCAGAAGTGAAGCAATAAGAGCACGGCGGACACGCAGTAGCGGTGGAAGGTTGTCTACTGACTCCAGGTCGCCCAGATGCTTGGGAGACACCTTTCTGCGGTGATCACGGCCGCCAGTCAGAGGGGTGGAGCCAAGCTGTCCGTATTGCAGTGTCTCGTCGTACGGCTCAGCCAGAACGTATTCAAGGGGTTGCGGGCGTCCTCCAAGTCATCGTCTTGCTGAATGACCTACCTGCCCTCAGGGTCGAGTTGGTCAAATCGTCGACCTCGTTATCTTCTCTTCTCCTCTTTCCCGTCGGTCTCGCACACAGCGCGATGCCACAAGTCTGCACCGTCTCTTCGAGGAGAGGGGGCTGCGAGGCCACGGCTGAAAGAGGAAAAGGCGGAACGATGAATGATTCATGCAGAGGAGAGAGCCCCGTACAAGGGTGAACGCCCCCAGGTTTGTTTTCGAGGAAGCGCACCCGCACATGCTCCAGCGTGACCTCCGGCTGCTGCATCCTCCCCACATTTTAACGTCTCAGAGCCCCAGACCGGAGGGCTGTCCGGATGCACGGTCAGATTGTCTCGAGTGCGTCTGGAAGAGGTATGGGTTCCTGACGGTTGGGAAGCGACACGTCGGTGGAGACACGCAGCGCTCAGGCGTGCAAATGGACTAGACGAAGTGATTCCGCCCTGGATTAGACTTGCACTCGAATGCGTTTGTGTTCAGGAGTGGTGAAGCGGAGTGTTGCAAAGCGAGATTGACGTTGATACAAACGGCGGAACGCTGCCCATCGTTGTCCCAGTGTCTTGATCCCGAGAATGGGCCCATTGGCATCGAATGAAGATGCCTGGGCCTAGGCACGCCCTCGTTGTGATCCCTCCAGCTGCCAAGTCGCTATCTCGCAGGCACTCAGCTTCCCGTCGAGTCGCAGATGCAGATGAACGGCGAGATGGGCATGCCGACCGCGCGCCATTGAAGAACGTTTGGCGGGTGATCGCTGACCTTGCCGCAACGTTCGAGCATCTTCTTCGTGCCATCCGTCTTCCTGCCACTGGTGCTCAAGCCACGGCCAGCCTTGGGCATGTCCTTCTGTAATGCGAGTTGCTGCTTGGCAAAGTTCTCTTCGGTGAGGAGCTGGGAGGCATCAGAGATCGCCGTATCTTCCTGAACGCCGTGGTATCGGCAGCCGTTGCCGATGGAGGTGTTCATTGTAGCAATGCACCACGCGTTGCCTGTTCGTGGCTCGCAGAGCGCAGGGAGCGCACTTCTAGACAAGAAGCCGAGAATTGGGCTGCTTCGAGCAATAGACTAGCCTCCTTTAGCGTACTTTGGCCTTGCCATCTAGTTGCGCAGCCTTCCTAACGTTCGCACTGTTCCTCTCGTGCGTTAGCGCGTCTCCTGTACTGCTAACACCCCTAGAATGCTCAGACTCCAGTCTCTATGCCAGTCCATGCCAGTGTCGCCGTCGTCTTGGAGACCGGCGAAGGCTTCGACAAGGCCCTCGCCAATGCCGCTCAAGCCGCTCATGCAGGCCCACCATCAGGTATTCAGGACGCCCGCAGGGAATCGCGATGCCTGCAAGATACTGCAAATGTTCCATTCAGGTCACATCATTGCCCAGGAAATGGCATATCCGGTCTGCCATACATCTCGGACCTCGAACGCTTGCGTCTCCATTTCCGTCTCTGGCTGGATCACCCCGCCGCGCATCGCCAACCGCCCAGCAACGGTACTTCGTCAAGTGCAAAGCGAGCTCCGACGTGATCAGGATCGCCTACGAGGGCATCGAGTCCAGGAAGCCTGCAACTTCGACTTGAGGCAGATGGCGGCGTTGCGCGCAAATCACGTCGAGATTCGATATCATCGATGAGGCGCCGGGGCAATGCTGGCCTGAGCGTCGGTTGGAGGCTCTCTTACGGAGTCGTGTGTGTCGACTCCATCTTCGCCATGATGAGAGACTCTGTCTTTCACATCATCATACTCAGGACTTTGGGGATGCGAACTGGCCGGCAGCAGCAGAGACATTCTGGACACATCTTCCTCGACAACTCGATGCTCGGCAACCTACACAAGGCTTTTGAACCTCACGCAAGCACGCCAACAAGAAAAAAACCTCCATCCTCCGCCGAGGAATCCCCCTGCTGAGCGGTACGACTTCCCTCCGAAGTCAAGCCCGAAAGGCAGTGCGACACGACGGATAAGATCGACACAGTACCAGCCTGTCGGGCTATCAGTCAGCTCAGCGCTCGAGTTGGACAACGTGGACAAGCCGACACGTATTCATCGAGTACCTGCAAGCCAACTTTGAATCATGGAGTGATCTACCGTGGGGCCAACAATTACAAACTGAGCCAGCGAACCCCGTCACGGCGACGTCCAAAACCAGTACGTATCAACAGCGCACCTTCGCTCGGGATCAGTCCATCGACGCCAACGTGCAACCGATGCGCAACTACGGTCAACACTGGGGATCTTGGGGAAGCCAACGCCATCGGTGCTTGTATGAAGGCAATATGCCCGCATTGACATCACCAAGAAGACCACGGTTGACGGCCGCACCAAGCATATTGACCTTCGATATCACTACATATGCGCCAATGCGAAAACCATGCCAATGCCCACCGCCACAGGCGCCAGCCTTGTGAGTGATCCCAGCATACAGCCTCGCGACGTTCGCCTCGAGCTGCTCATTCGTGTTTGCCACGGAGAAGCTCTATACAGTGTCCGCAACCGTGCACATGTGCAAAACCTACCGTCGCCAACCATACCCATGGAAGAGCAAGCCAGAGTACCACCGGCCTGAACTCCGAAGAAGCCTCGCTTGAGCTGTGCAACCGATAGACCGGACACGTCAGTTAGAATTTAAAAGAACTCGCGGCCTTAATAGAGAGCCCAAAATCCCCTCAACCTCCACGGCATTCATCTTGTTCCCACGGAGGCTTGTACCAGGATTCGGAGTCCCGCACCGGTAGTTACTTGATACTCCTTGTCACCAATGCACGCTTGCCGTCGTTGCTGCTGGGCCGCCGCCGCCACCACTGGCACATAGCTCTCGCTGTCATTGTATACGACCATCGTCATCGTCGCAGCCATGTCACACATATAACCCGTCGATCACTCCTGACACGCAAATCAAATGTCGTCGTCATTAGTCTCATCGCTGCCGTCGCTCTTGCCCACTTGCCCGTCATCCCAACACTTGCTCAGTGCACAAGGCATCGTTGGCCAGAAAAGAATTTACTGCAAGTATTTAGCCCTCGCAGGTATTTGCAGATACCTGCAGGTATCTGGCTCGCGCAGGTACCTCGGATACCCACAGGTATCTAGCCGCAGGTATTTGGCCGCAGGTATTTGGCGGATACCCGCAGGGAACGGGGATACCTGCAGGTATTTGGGGTGCTCGCGGTTATTTGGGCAGTTACTAGTAACTCTCCGCAAATATTCAGGAGAACTGCCGGGAGATTACAGGCGCCTGCCGGTATTTAGCATGCTCGCACGTATCTATAGATACCCACAGGTAAATAGAATCTCGCAGGTATCCCCAATACCTACGGGTATCCAGCCAGATACCTGCGAGCCAGATACCTGCAGGTATCGAGGTGTTAGATGCCCGCAGGTAAATAGGAATGGCCGCAGGTATCTAGAATACCTGCAGGTAAATAGGAGCTCGCAGGTATTTGGCCCGCAGGTATTTGGAGATATCTGCAGGTAAATAGGAAATACCTGCAGGATACTGCAAATGTTCCGTCGGTCTCATATTCTTGCATAGGCGTTTACAAATGGCATATCCGGTCTGCCATACTTCCAGCTCTACACTTTTCACAAGCACACATAGTACATTTTATTGGCCCAAAACGTCTGCATCCGTTCTTCCATACTATCCACCCCCGTTCAACCCCTGCCAATAACACCACCCCTACCCCTCAAGTCTCCATCGCCGCCGTACTTGAAGCGATAACTGATGGCGACAGCCACGCAAGCAATCAGTCCAATGCACAACCCGGTCGGTCCCCATTTGTCGTGATAGCTGACGGCTTTGCGCTGCTTGATTCGATCGACACGCCACAAGAAAATGGCCATGGAATAGAACAGGGCAACGATAGCCACGATGGTGAAGGCGATGGCTGCAGCGAGGGAGATCTGGTCGCCAAAGTTGAGCAGAGTCGCAGCAATGGAGCCGAGGATGATTGAGAATTCGAGCTGGAAGGTCGTCAGTCACGAGTCCAATGCATGCCACACTCCACACTTACCCAAGCCAAGAACGTCCTTTCCGCGGCGAACGAGACCTTGGGCTCGACGCGGACGGGCACGTGAATCTTCTTTCCTGGTGGAGCCTTGAATCGCTTCTCAGACACAGTCGCAGCTCCAGGTATACCCAGACGGCCTTCTCTCGCAGGGATCTGCGTCGGCTTCGGGAACGGAGTGGCGCTTTTGAGTATGTCCAGCAGTCTGTCACCCGCGAGGTTTGTGTGGCTCTTGATGAGTTGCCATCTATAAGCCCACGCACCCTTCTTCTTCGCGACCGCCAGTGCCTCCTCCTCATCGTCGGAGTCGTATAACGGGTAGTCGTCTTCGGCACTGATGAGCGGCTTGTGGGCCATCCGCTCTTCTTCATCCAAAACATTACCGTCACCATTGGCAGCACTCATATGTCGTTCAACTTCGTGCTCCTCCAACGCATCCCTGGCAGCACGAAGTCGTCTGATGTTCTCATCTTCCGGATCGCGGTCGTTCAGAGCTCTGTCGTCATCACCCTCAAGCTCATCTTCGGTATCATCATCCAGGGCGGTGCTCGTGCTGGCTTCGGTACTCTGGCCCGGTCGCTCGATGCCAAACTTGTGGGAGACGGGCTTCCGAATGTCGGTCTCCATTTGCGGGAACCAGAATGGTAGCAGGTGGATGCGGTTGGGGAACATGGTTGCACAGCCGTGGATGAACTTTGAAAATTTGGGCACAGCTTCCACCAGATGTGAAGCGGTGAGCTCGCGAATCCATTCTGGAGGTTCTTGACCTGCGGCAGTCTGGAGTTTGACTTCCAGCACGCCATATGGAAACCGTTCCACATCCTCCGGAGGAAGCTGCGAGAAGGGAAAGTCGATACCAATGTCCATACGACGCCAGTTGTCGCCTGACCTCTTGCGTCCATCCAGATTGTCCTCCCGAACCATGGTCAACTCCGTGTCGAGTGAAATACGCACACGAGCATCGCCAGGAAGTTGGAAGGCTGTTCTGTTGTAGAAAGAGCGGCATACCGGCTCGAGCTTCCTGCTGATGACCCGGAATTGGATCTCCTTGGCAAGCTGCTCCAGATCGTTGATCTCCTTCTCGCTCTTCTTGCCCTCTCGTCGCGCCTTTTCAAAGACTTGCTCGGTGGTCATGTCACCCTTCAAGAAGGCATTGACGTTCTTCTCTTTGAGCGAGAAGCGGGCCTTGACAGACTTTTCACCCGTCCAGTCTTCGCGATGTGTCTTCCTCTCCACGAAGATGGTGTCCGTCTCCATACCACCGTACCATCTCAAACGAATAGCTTCTGCTCCTTCCGTCTTTTTCAAACGGCCTTCGTACAGCTCCCAAGTATCGGTATTGTCGTAGTAGATGGACGAGATGGCGGAATCTTTCTTTTCAAACTCTTTGCTGGGGTTGAACACAAGGACGGGTAGATGCTTGAGGACGATGAGCTTGAGCTCGGTGATGTTGTCCGGATGCACCCAATACTTGGTGGTCTGGCGGACAAAGTTCTGTTGCTTTCCACCAGCAGAGGAGTCACCAGTGACTGGATGACCCCGCGTGCGGACACGGTCGTAGAGCTTGGAGAGATTGACAATGGTGGTGTCGTAGTCGTCTTTGAAGAAGGGGCGGGCGTTGAGGCGGGCGGCAAAGACTGGTTTCAGGTGCCAATGGGTCTGCTTGTCGTGCTTCTTGATAATCTTCTGGAAGCCAGTGTAGTTCAGCTGGGTGAAGCGAGCGAGGTCATGAACATCGGCGATGATATCTGAGACATCCTCCTCCAGCAACAGGAACTCATCTTCGGATGGGGCATCCTTCTTGGCCTGGTCGTTGCCTCCCACTTCAGCAGCCTCCTGCCGGGCAATGACATCGTCGACCTCAAGCTCGGTGGTCTTGATGCGGCGGGTAATCTCCTGGCTCTTGACTTTCTGAAAGGTGAAGACCTTGTCCAGCTCCTGCTCAAGCTGCCTCACGAAGCGGGCCTCATCATCCTCGCTCCACGGCGCCTTCTGCTTGTGGCCTTGCTGGACGAGGGGGGTGTGGTCGAAGTCGGTGCGCAGGCTCTTCTTGAGGTCGTCGTAGTTGATGTAGTAGTGGGACCAGTCCTTGATGAGGGAGCTCTTGAGCTGCTGGCCGAATCTGAACGGGGCGGAAAATTAGCTCTCCGCTGTGTGTGGCGGGGCAAGCAGACATACCTCATGGTGCGATGACGGCCGCCCAATGGCTGTGGAATGTGTGGTGAGGACCTCGAACGGAAGGTGCAGAGAAGGGGGTGAGTGAGTGAGTGAGTGGATGAACACAAGCCAGGTGGAGAGGTGTTGTCGTCGTCTCGGCCGCACCCACTCGCCGCACCCACCGTCGACCCGACCCAGAGTCTTCGGCTGGTGATGGAGCTCGAGCTTGACACCAGAGCTTATTTGCGCACGGTGGTCCATTGACCAATCACACCACCCTGTACCACCACGAGGCTACGCGCATGAAGAAAAAAGAGAGGCTGGCTAGCAACACTCTTCTCTGCAACCAGAAATCACGAAACTGGCTGTACATCTTCTACCATATTCCAATCGTCAACTTCAAGGCACTGCACCTCAGTTGCTGTGGGGATCAATGGGCGTGCTGCCACCGAACCTCGAAGCGTATCCGGTCAGCAAGTCCACAGTACCAAGGTAGAGCATGCCGCTCTCGACCAGGGAGCTAGCATTAAGCACGTGAGCTCTTTCCCTAACCGACGTCTTCGAAACATTGACAGACACACGCAAGGCCGTCTAGTAGATGATGTGCTGCGAATGATTCGTTTGCTCACTATCGGATCTATAGCTGGACTTTCTTGAAGCAGAAGTCTATCCTCCCTTCGACCCTTCGACCCTTCGACTCTATGCAGAAGATCGCCCTGCGAGATGTCAGCCCTGCTCTGCCATGAATCAGGATAATTTGACTTACATTGCTGGACCTCCTCCTTGCTCAAGTGTCGGATCTTGTTGATGGCAGGAGTCTCGCCGGTAATGGCACCTTTGGCCAAATCAATGGCACTCTTGACGATGTTCGTGCGGCTGATTGCGTATTGGATCGTGAGAGCCTGAACCTTGATGAGGGCAATGCGAGGATCCTCGGGGCCACCATCGTGCTTGCCGTCGCCGAGATCACCTAGCCACGCCTTCAGGGCTGGTGAGTAGTACTCGCGGACCTTCGATCGGTCCGTCTCGACAGTCGCCTTGCCGGATACGGATGCCCATTCGCCGCTGGCAGTGAGGAAAGCTACGTTGACGTCTGGGTTGGCCTCAAGATCGTCCGTCTTGCCAGATTCTGTGTTGGTGTGGTAGAGGATATCGACGCCATTACCCTCCTGTTGGACTGTCAATGACCCTCCCCTTCACACGTGCCGACGACGTACCTTGGCGGCAACCGCCATGCATCTGCTTGCCAACAGACCGTCTTGCGTCTTGGTAGTAAGCATGCTGAATTTGGCCTTGTCGACGAATGCCTTGAAGTCCTCCACCTTCTCTTTCAATGACTCTTCCTCAACATTCTTCTGGGTGTATGGGTCGGCTGGCTTGGAGCCAGTGTCGGTGTTGGAGAAGGACGACATTTTGGGTGAAGTTGGTGTGGTGATTTGATTGAACTTGAGGTTCCTGCAGACAACCTCAGCATTGACATTTGAGAAGCGCCGTCGTTCTCACGGTGCTCTCAACCGGCAGACAAGGCAGGGGCGGATGGTGGTTGTAGTCGCTGATCTGAGGGGTGGAACGCGAAGGACGACTCTGGACATGATGGAGGACTTACCAGTCGAAGAGGAGAGTCGAAAAGTAAGTGTATTGGTAGGTAAGTACCGCTGTGCTTGCGCGACAAGATCAAGACGACTGGACTTTATGTTGCGACCCCTCCTGACGTCAACCATCGTCAATCGTGGGGCAGTCGCAGCTCTCGCGTGATGAGTGAGATGGCGTCTTGAATCTGTGATCGCCTGAGCCGCAGGAGTCAATCTGGAACTGTATTTTCGTCTCACTTCTGCATCATCGGCGGCGTACCAGGACGCAATCCTGACTTTAAATTCCACCATCCACGCCATTGTTCTTAACCACGAAAAGCCATATGATTCCATGGCCGCTTTCACGTCAATCCGACAACCCAACTCACTCACTGAGACTCTCTGCCCTTTTCTTCAACTCTTCGTTGAATGATAAGAACCCCTTGGGTGCCTCTTCACTCGGCGACCAGAATGGCTTGATCAGGCTAAGCACTGGTCCATGCCATTTCTCCTCATTCACAAACGTCGTTCCTCCAGGAGTCGTCTCACTCGGTTGAAACTTGAACGAGTGATCGCCGTTCAACAGACCCCATAGACTACCTCGCCATTGGAAGACTGACGGATCGTTTGCCTGGTAGAAATGTCAGACCGAGATTGAGCCACAGTACAATTGGAGGCGGTTGTCAACGACGAACCAAGACGGTAGGATTGAAGGTCATTCCCGGCATCACGACTTTCAGCTTGTCGCCTTTCTCGATCGACTCCTTCTGTGGCGCCAGTCTGTCGACAGATTTGAAATGAGTTGAAGCCCATTGTGGCCAGGACGAGAACTCGAGGAACTACAGAACGTGTATGCCGTTAGCCGTGTTGAGGACAGCCGATCTCGCCGTACTACCAAACTCACCACCTCTCGGACCTTTGCAGGCGATCTCGCAATCTCAATCCTTGTCGTTTGCAGAACCATGTTTGCGAACTGAAGAGCGCATATACAATCTTATCGCGGGGCTTTGGGATGATCGAAGTCGTGGGTGGGAGTCTTTGCGAGAGGGCGGAGTGTGAGGAGCCGCGGAGCTGGCTGAGACGAGGCAAGACAACACTATATGTACAATCCTCCTTATGTCATCAGCTGAAGCTGAACAATCGCGCGTGTACAGTGCGATCCGTGCACGATATCAATCACGATAAGGGTACGAAGGGGATGGCAATTGCTGCATTGATATTCATCAAAGGTAATGTAAAACGCGAAGTCCCCTTGTTCTCAAGACACTTAGGCCGAAGTCTCTTCCAGACCCCATACGCATTCGACGGTGCTTCGACCAGTTACAAAGTTGCGCCTCTGCAGTCGCTGCCAGGCTCTCCATAACTTGACAAGATCTGGACAAGCCGGCTGATATGGTTCATTCCTCTCCCCTCCCTCCTAACCAGCCAAGGTCACAACACAATGCCCCCATGCACGCGCCTCTGCATTCCATCAATGATCCGACTCTTGTTGAACACGTGTGTCGATTCTCGCACTGTAGTACATCCAGAATATGGGCTCCACAAGAGCTTGCATATCATATTGATCGAGTTTTGGGCACGACCAGTAGCGTCGGCGAAGGGACTGTCGGTCTCGAAGGTCATGTCGAAGGATTTCCAGAACTCTCACCGAACCGGCAAATATTCAATCACTCCATCTCCTCAAAATTGGCATCTGCTGGCTTGTCCATGAACTTCTCGTAACCGTAACCTCGCAGTCTGACGCCTTCGCCATCTTTCATCGGCACATGCACATCGGGCGTCCACGCAACCTCACCATACCCTTGTATCAGTCGACGAATATAGCATGATGTGGCAGCTCGTGTGATATACCGGCTCCGAAACGTCTCCAGCGAGTTGGCGATGACCTTCTCGGCTTCGTCGGGATGCTCCAGATACCATATCACTTTGTCCTCCAGATCACTCCAGTCCCGTTTGACAAAGACGTAGTTTTGTTGGGGTCCTTCTTTGACCAACAGATGCGAATAGTGCGTCTCGTAAGCTGGCTCATGGGCGAAGAGCAGAGATTGGCAGTTCATCAAGAACTTGAGTCGGCCCGAATACGTGACTCCCTCGGTGTAGACAGTCATGGCGTACTTGCAGAACTCGTCGACATCAAACCAGCTCTCAATTTCATGGACCGACGCTATATCCGCCCAGTCCTTGCCTTTCGAGACACTGATCAGACTTCCTCGAAGCTCAGGATTGAAGTCTGGGTTGCCTCTCCATACGATCTGTGGAATCTTACTCGTGAACGCTGCGTCGCGTTGCATCGCATCACGTTTGGCATCGATGAAAGTTCCAGTATGTTCGTAGTACCAGAAGTCGAAATTTGGCATTAGCCATAGCCGTTGATGAGTCTCTTTGGTAACGTGTCGTGCAAACGTCCAGAATGAATGCGACTCTCCTGGATCGGCATCGTCCTGGAAGTTGAGAACGACTTCCACAGTGGGAAGTCTTTCGCCAGCCGCCATGGATGCGTCCAGAGCGCGTTGAATCAGATGGAGAACGCCGAGTGCTCTATCAGGCGCGGCCCTCATGGGATCCACCGACTGCTTGCTCTCCAAGATTCGAAGCTCATTTTCGTGGATGAGGATTCGAATAGCCGCTCGTGAGTGGCTGATTTCGATGTCTTTGGCCGTGATGGTATGTGATTTCTGTTTCCAGTACGCGACCGCACGGTCGATATCCGCATACAGGTCAGGGAATTCCGCCGCACATTGTGCATCAGTAAGGCCATCTATGGCTTCGTTATCCGCTGCCGCACTCCCGAAGTGGTATGATGATGTGGTCGGCTTGGAAGATGAATGTCCCGGGCTTCGCAAGAGCGGTATGGAGGCCTTATGCGGAAGGGCGTTAATGAGGAGCGTGAGGAAGAGGATGCCCGTCAAGAGGAAGCAGGCCCGTCTCCACGATAGCCATGGCTCCCGGTTGCCAGTAATTGCCATGTCACGGAGTCGTGGTAGAGTTGTAGGAGAACATGGATTGCCTTGGGTGCGTGCCCCCGTCGAAGCCCAGCCAGCCACTGCTACTTCGCTTTTCGTGGCGTATTATACCTTCGGTATCGCATCTCGTTCCGAGGCACATGGCAGTCCTAGTGAGGCAAGGTAAAATCAACGATGTACTCATGGCATTCACCATTACCAACCGAGCACAATAAGTTATGTGGGACCTGGAGCAGTTCTCATGTTTTCGCATTCTTCGAACATGCAGTCATCTACAACAACTTCTCCTCGTCAACCCTTACTCCCTCAATCTTACCGATGTCCTCCCCAGCAGCCTTCCTCAAAATGTCTACCAACGTCCCTGGAAGTTATCAGTATCGACAGCGTCAAACACCGGCCACGATTAGAAGCGTATCACCTCACTTACCGACTCTGTCTCCCAAGAACGGACTGTGGCCTCCAGCCATCCTGACAACCTCTGCTCTGACGTGACTGTCCCGGATCATCATCTCAGCAAAAGCTGGAGGAACAGCGTCGTCCTCATCACATATCACATATGTGCATGAGATCGCGTCCCAGACGGCTGGAATTCTCAAGGGCGTCTTGGTAACGGAGTTGACCATCGGGAGCAAGTACTTCAACGAATCCTGGACAACTTCGTCTGGGAGGCCGTTGTAGAACTTCGCGATAGGCTCCTTGACGTGATTCAAATCATCCTAGTCACACATCTCCTCAGCATTCTCAGCATAAACCGAAGATGGGGAAGTGGAAAGACCGACCTTGACCTCGTAGATAGGCAACTCTTCGACCCCCAACCATTCGCACGAACTCTTGCCACTCGGCTGGATCCACGATGCGAGATAGACAATGTGCTTCACATTCTCCTCCAACCCTTCCACCGCAGCGCTCCCTACAAACCCGCTCCAGCTGTGCAGCACCATGATGACATGTTTCCCATTTCTGATCTCGCCTTCGACGACCTGGCGTATGGCTCTGACATCCTTGCTCATAGCATCCTCCACGACCTCTGCGCTCGTTGACGGAAGCTGTACGATCTTCACGGCGTATCCAGCACTGTGCAAAGCGTCCTGGAGGAAGCGGTAGTGGTAGGGGATATGATGCGCTCCGCAGCCGATGACGATGGTCAGTTTGCCGTTCTTCGACATGATGCGAGTACCACGACAAAGAGCCAGGTGTCGAATTCAGGAAGATCAATTCTCGGCTTTCGTACTTAGTCAGGGTGAGAAGAGTACATTGCAAGCTGAGAATCCAAGCTAAGATGATCGTCTTGAGTAATAAGCATCCATGCCTCCCGACTAACAGCAGTCGAATGATTCTAAATCTGGCAACCGCTCCAGAGCAGTCAGCTGGACTTCAGCTCGCATCTTGTGCCTACCCAGGGCGAAAGTAACGTGAGAATTTCCGTTGCTGCTTACGTTAGGTTGCACCGAAGCGAAAGACGTAATAGCAGTGATATGATACAATCTGTCTGTGTATAGGCTTCCTCGCTAAATAAACACGACGACATACCCAAGAGTTTGGTACTCAACTCGGTCACGCCTTTAGCGCTTCTAGTAGGCTGCCCGGCACTCAGTCAATCTTCAGCGAGCCATAGATCCGATGTACAAAGATCCAGCATGCGAAGAATCCTATCGAACCTGCAAGGACTGTTAGAGTCGCTCATGTCAAGAACATCACCAACAGACTTACCACTCAGACAGAACCACAAAAAGCTCAACAGGATCGAATACCCCAGATACAATAGCCCACCGGTGAAGCTGCTGAAGCTGAGCATCCTCGCCCAGTACAGCAAGCTGTAAACAAAGACGTAACCTGCGCTGGCGCCGCTGCTAGCAAACGCTCGCCACTGCCAGTGATAGTTCTCGGCGCAAAGCAGAAAGTATATCATGAGGATCGTGACGGCTGCCGAGGTGACGATGAGCAAGCCGAAGCTGAGGAAGAGGAAGCCGAACATGTAGTAGATTCGGTTACTCCAGAGCGAGCTCATGATGAAGTAGAGCTCGACAAAGATGGCACCGAACGGTAAGACGCCGACTAGCAGCATGCTGGGGACAAGGCGCAGATAGCCAGTTGATGGGGGAATTTGACGGGGGATTTGGTTCGTGCGTACTGGTGGATCGTGTATCGACTGGCGGAATCCAAGCCAGGAGCCCACAATGGAGAGGGGGACTGAGATGACGAACCAGATCCCGACAATGACAAGCATTGTGGTGAAGGGTACGGCTCCAGAGGATTGTCTCGCCCAGACGAAGAGGTTCAGCAGGAAGAAGACGCTGAAGACGAAAGCCGGTACAGCCGAGGGCGTGAGGATGAACAAGTGTTTCCACTTGGTGCCCTGGAAGGACTTGTAGACGCGTGAGCTTGCGTATCCTCCAACAAAGCCAAAGATGGTGTAGAGCATGATCATGACAGTGGCGAGACTGCCACGATTGCTGGGAGATAAGAACCCGACCACAGCGAAGACGATTGTGAAGCCAGCCATCATGAAAAGCTGGGCACCGTTGCCAACAAGGACAGAGAGCGCCAAGGAGTGCTTGGGCGGGCGGAAGACGTCGCCGTGGACGAGCTTCCAACCACTGTCTTCCTGAATTCCATCTTCCGCGCTGTTTCCATTCAGGTCGTCCAAGCCCAGCTGATCCAGTCGGTTATAGCGGGCAATGTCCTTCCTAAGGGTTCGAATCAGAATGGTGCTGACCATGCCGATCAAGAACATGACAATGACGGCGCTGTTGATGAGGGAGAACCAGTGGATTTTGGGATCAAACACGTGCAAGTACTTGTCCCATCTCGTGGCAAAAGATGTAGCAGAGGGTCTCCAGTAGACGCTGTATGTCCAGGTAACCTTGGTGCGGTCCTTCTCCGAGAGCACCATGGGCGGCCCTCCTTCACCGCAATCCGCACTGAAGTCCTGGTTGCCGCGTCTCTTGGAGTCTCTCCTTGACGCAGGTTCCACAATAATCCCAACCACCCTGTACTGATTCTTCCTCACTTCATGGTAGTCAATGTAGATATCATAATGGTTGTTCAAACGCGGCTCTTCATTCTCCACGGAACCCAGCAAGAAGCCTGGCTGGAGGTATTCTGTGCCACTTGTTGGATCGAAATACGGCTGTGCGGCCGGCAGACCATCGACGAGCCAATTCACAATGTAGTTCTGCCATATGCGCCTGTTCACGAATTTGGCGTCGCGCGGCTCAAACTCTTCGGCATTGCAGACGGCCTTGCACGTCTCATTCTTGCCCATGTGTAAGGAGAAGGGCGAAGTTTGGATGCGGTCGCCGAAGAGTATGCTGCCCAGGGACTCGGAGACATATTTGGGGCCGCCCTCGGGTTTGCAGAAGTGAAAGTTGGAGTGGTAGTATTCGAAGGAGAAGGCGGAGCGGATTTGGGTGTCGCGCGCGGACTGGGCGGGAGTGAGGTGGTTCACGGTGAGGGGCACGAGGTCGCCTTCTTTGTAGTTGGTGGGGGTGATGCCTACAGGATCTGCATGAGTGAATGTCTCACAAGGAGATTGGAGGCAATGGGTGTTGTTGCGAACCGGGGAGATAGAAGCTCTGGGCTGCCGGCGCAGATGCCAGCAACAGCAGCAGCGGCGTGGGCAGCTGGTCGAGCAGCCGCATGGTGGGCTAAGGGCAGTGGTCGTCGCAATGCCACGCAAGAGGCGAGGTGAAAGTTGTGGTCGTATTCACTTCTCAGGAGCCGCGACAGCAACAATCCGACCAGCCGGCGCCGTCTGGAGAGTTTGGCTGGAGATGAGGCTGTCGTCAGCTTGGCGCGGGAGCTCTGGCCACGTTACGTCGTCCGCCCGCCCTTTGTTGTTCCGCCGTATCCAGCTCGAGGCAGTAGTGAGATGGGATTATTATTTGGTATGGAGTGAAGTGAAGAGGTGAGACGTGAGAAGTGATGCCTGCCACTTGCCAGCACTGCCGCGGAAGCTGGCAGGCAGTTTTGCTGGTGAGCCACATGCTCGGGATCGACTTGCGGTCCGCCAAACTATCCTTCTATTGCCTCAGGCACGATCACGAGCATCTAAGTACCTCCGTATTGGACTCCTAAACGACCTAAGTTACCTGTGGAAAGCACGTGTAGTGAGACTGGCACGCAGACACTTGTGCGAAACACGAGCATGCTGTCATGGCTTCGTATATGCAGTATCTATACACCACTGGCTTGGTCTTAATCATTTTCCTAATGGACCGTTCCAAAGATCAAGCACCTCGCAGCCCAAATGGCCGCCCGTGTCTGTGATCCTGTACCCTTTGCTCAAAAGATGTGTCTACAAGAATCGAATATTGAAAGCGCCATGTTCATCAATCCCCATTCCTGTCCAATTTTCCTCCAACGCCGATCCATCTGTAGAGATCCCCCGGTCTACTACTTAAGAGGAGTAGGTCTTGTATGTGCTGCCATAAGTCGACGGCTCAGAGCCACTGACGAGGAGACCCTCGGAAGCCATGTAGTAAGCATAGCCGGCAACACCATCGTTGCTGTCCATCCAAGGCATCACTTCCTCCAAGAAGCTGTTGATCTGGTCATTCGAACCCGTGGCCCCAATCTCCGAGATGTAAACGGGCTTTCCGCCAGCCAAGCTGATGGCGTCCGTGACATGTTGCTTGAAGTAGTCAATGTTGGTGGCTGAGTCGTACCAATGGATGTTGAGACAATCGATCGTACAATCCGTGCAGGCGCTGAGGAACTGCTTGAGCCACGTGAGACCCATGTTCTCACTGGCCGGGCCGTTTGTGACGGCTGGAGCGCAGAGCTTAGCTTGGCCAGCGAATGGGTTCATGTGAGTCTTGTAACCAGTGGCAGCATCGGCAGGAGACAGGTTAGCCTGGCTGCTGATATCTGGCTCGTTGAAGGAGAAGAGATGGGTGGAGCCGCTGCTGATGGCCGACTTGGCATTCTCGCTCCAAGAGTCGCAGTAGGTAGGAGAGGTGCCCCAAAGAGTTGGAATGTAGGTGAAGCCGTTAAGACCTTTGGCCGAGGATTCCCAGTTGTACGCCCACGAGATCTGTTCAGAGCCACTGAAGCAGTCGAGGAGACTGGCGTCGTTGTACGCGAGACCACGCTTGCCAGAGCTGGAAGTAGCCGAAGAGCTCGAAGTAGCCGGGGCAGAAGAAGTGACAGTAGCAGCCGCACCTTCGGCACCCTTATCGGCAACGGAAGAGTAGGCTGTGGGGACAGCAGCTGCGCTAGAAGACGAGGCTGGGGCGCTGTCCTTTGGCACCGGGACGGAGATCGAAACCGACCCAGGAGCCTGTTCGCTGCTTGAGCTGGAAGCCGGCGCCGACGAGGCTGGGGCCGAGTATGCTGGAGCGGAAGCCTGAGAAGTCGTCTCGGGAGAAGCCTCGCTGCTGCTGGATGCCGGTGCAGAGTATGCTGGAGCAGAGCTGGCCGGTGCGCTCGACGATGCAGCGGCAGCCTCAGAGCTGCTGGAGCCGTATCCGCCTGGCGACTGGTAGGTCTGGGTAATGTGGACGGTCGAGGTTGGGCGGCCAGAGGAGCTGCCGACTGGCGACACGTCGGTGCTAGAGGAGGCGGCCTCTCCGCCCGTCACAGTCACGTAGACCTTTTCGGTGCTGGTAACAGTTGAGACGCCGCACTGTTCGCCCTCGCCGCCGGCAGCGCTGGACTGGTAGGCCTGGTTGGCACTGACCGTCTGGAAAACGGTCTGAGTCTGGATGGTTTGCTCGGTGGCTGTCTCTGGCAAAGCTTGAGAAGAGCTGGAGCCGGTAGGAGCACCAGTGCCTGTAGTTCCCCAGACACTCGTTCCGTTGGCGGATGGGTAAGGGAAAGGCGCTGCGGTACCGGTGAGATGCCTCTCATGCAGGTGCTGGTGGCCGTGAACATGGCCATGTCCAAGGCCCTCGTGTGGAACCGCGAGAACGGTCGAGGCGAAGGCCAAGACGGAGAGCTTGTTAACTGGAGACATGGTGGCTGGTCGAAAGTCGTTCCAGGACGGTGTTTCGAGTTGGACGGGATAGGCTCGAGAAGGGTGTACACAGAAGAGCGGCTGCTAGAGCGCTGGGTGCGAGATGCCAACCAGGGCAATTGCTAGAAGGTGAAAAGGAACGAATGTGGTCCAAAGGGCCAAGCAGGAGGGACAGCAACGAGCAGAAGGCTCCAAAAAACGAGAGTGAGAGCAATTGCGGTCCAAGGAACGTACGATGCAGAGAAGAAGAAGAAAAGAGGCAGACGGCGAGGAGAGTTGTACGTTACCACGACATGGCCTGGCGCACAGAGCCGCGACAATAGGAGATCTTGCCTATTCGTGTGCTGTTGACGGAGAAGGGCTGCTGTGGGCCAAACGCAGCGGTTTCACGACGTCGGCATGGTCGAGTGCTTGCGTGGCAGTCGAACGGGTGGCAGCAGATGGCAGGGGCCCGACAGGAGAAATATGCGTCGCATCGCGTCAGCGTCGTCCGGATCAACTCCGCCAGACCCACTGTCGTCGAGAGCTGAGTGGGCGGAAGGCTGAAGATCTGCCCTCGCGTTGCCCTGTTCCTGGCCAACGCCGAGCCAGAAGGCGACTTGATGCGACCAGATGTCTCTCTTCGCGACAGGTGTCGATTCGCGTGCGCTGGCAGGTGGTGGATGTGCGTGTGCGAGGCTGCGCCAGGGCGGCAGCGAAGCACAGCGAAAGATGAGCAGCGGGAGACGTGGTTGGCGAAGGTCGAGGGAAGAGGTCGTCGCCGGATTGGTCGCTAAGTTTTGATTAAGGGCCCATTCCTGCAGTGGTGGGCGTGGCTGAAACGTCGCCAGCCGAGTCTCGATCTCTTCTCTTCCTGCTCTCCGACCTCTGGTCATCGCAGCAGCAGCAGAAAACTCCTCGCCGCCCCATCGTGACGATGCTCCCGACTTTCTGGCTGATCAGAGACTTCTCGCGGCTATGCACATCGCCCACCCAGCGACATGGTTCCTCCCTGCAGCTTTCGGACCATGTGTTTACCTCTGCTCCCCCAGCGTGTGACACGCGGACAAGAGCGATCCTCTTTCGCCGGCAGGGCGCCTAGTCGTACACCAAACTCCGCGTTTTCAAACTCTTGAGTGTGCCGTCGAACTGGTCGTGGGCGGTCCCAGTGAAGCCAGAGCCCGGGAAGCGCTTCCGTCAGATATGGTGAGAGGGAGTCGTGTGGGGTCGATGCTGCACCTGCCACTCCTCTGCACTCCAAGCAGCATCTGAGAATGAGGCACGAAGCAGGCCACGGAAACCAAGTTAGCCGCGACACGAGAAAGATTGAATGTGTGGTGGAACGGAACGCTCATTCGACTCAAAGGAGCAATGGCCATCACATTCCTCCATCACAGCTGCCAGAAGGTCGAAGGAGTCCCAAGCAGCCAAAGCAAATCGAAGACAAGTCCACCTAGGGAACATCAAGCAACTATATATATTTGCCCTGGTTCGTCTCGTTTGCTTGTAAGTTACCTTGGCCGTCCAGGACCCAATTTTTACGCGCCCAGTATACATTGCGGCACAGCCCATCTGTGCTGAACCCAGTAGACATTGCACATAACGGCGTTTAGGGGCATGTCTTTAAGAGTAAGTTCCAACATGCCCACGCTTCAAGAGCATCTCCATTTTGTGCCTTCGCTGCACGTTGACGCCCAAGGCTTGCCATGCTGTCCTCTAAGTCTGTCGTTATCCTGCGCCTATTCTCGTTTCTCCTCTTCGCGGCACCTACAGCGGCTTCTGCGACTTCCAACGCAAGATACGCGGAAAGTTCCACGAGAACGATTTCGAGCGACGTAGCTGCAGTGCGTTGGACGCCACCCGTCGGAGGATACGTCGCCTCTGGAATTGGCATGGTCTCTCGTGGCTCTGCTATAGCATCTTCGCATGCTGTCTCCACTGACCGAAGAGCCTCGACCAGCTCTGTTGGCCACGGACCCCTTCAGCAAAACGGTACACAGCTCACCGATGAATGCTGGACACAGTGGTCCCATTATTGGGACTTGAGTTCTAAAGTCAAAACCATGTACACCACTTTTACGACGGAGAGAGTGTACAATTCGGTAACAGGATGGTCCATCCCGGCGTGGTACAGCACCTCTGAAGTGACCACCACAGTCACTAAAGGGAGAGGCAACTTCCCTACAAAGACCTATGTCACGACCTTCATAACATCCGAGAAGATCGCACAGACTTTCGCCACAACGGAAGCGAACACTACAGACGTGGTGACTGATCAAATATCCACCACGATCACGAGGCCTACATGTCCGCTTCAATCGTACGTGCCCCAGTGCCAGGAATCCTGGATGTCTTGGGGAAGCAATGGAGCCGTATCATATGGCCAACCAGCATGCACACAAGCCTCCATTTCCGGGCCCATGTGCAGCAGTGTCTTGTCACAATGGCTTAACTATCAGCGTGCGGAACTGGGCGAAATCAGCGGCAAGATTGGAATGCAGTGGCTTCCGGAGACGAACAATGGCACGACGGTCTGGCCGTCATCCACCACGAACTACTACTGGCCGACTTCGAGTGCTGTTGCGCCAGGTTGCACAGTAGGTTGTCAGTCCTGTCGAGTGAGTGGAAGCAGCGTGAAGCTGCTTTACTGGCCACCAGTGACGAGTGGACTGCCAAATGTAACCCATTTCGCTGGCACCGGGGGCAGCAAGCACACTGTCACTGCCACTACAGACGGTACCACACTCACAAGCCCAACAGTGTACATTTCATTCGATAGGCTTCATGCCTCCAATTCCTGCAGCGTTATCGGCAAGACCTTGTCCAACATCATCGTGGCGGTCACTAACTCTGCTACACTATCGAGTCTATATGGCTGGGATCGCTATTGGGGCCTGCAACAAACAGCCTCATTCAACTTGACCGATCTATATGCCACTCCCGTGCCTCACAACATCTATATGAGGTAAACACGTCCGCGTCGTTGGCAGCAAATCTTTTGGACTGATGCCCTTCACAGTCAACCGCGGTGCGCATCATCATCCATCTCACTGGTGTACTCTTGCGCTCCGCTGGGGGCAAAAGCCCCAGCTGCTTGCGATACCTCCAACACGCCTTTGCTATGCGCGACTACACTGCCATATGAGCCCGTGATCGCCATCCCGAAAGAAGTACAGCAGCTGCAGCCAGAGTGGGATAACTGCATCGGGGGTATCATTGGTGTTTACGAGTGAGTAGGAGTTCCGGTTTTTTCAAGGTCAAATCAACATGCTAACATAGACCAAGTCCACCACAGGCTCTCCATGAGGCAGCTTCCGCAGCTGGTGTGAGTCTGCCGTCAGAGCCAAAGACAACCGAACAAAGTGATTCGAGTCCAGATGCTACTACGCCCGCAATACCTTCACCAACGATCTCGAAGGCGCCTCCTCCTACTCTAAAGCCGACAACTTCGCACCCGCCTTTTCCAACATCGACAGAGACTTCACACGATGATCAGACTGAATTGTGGTCCACTGAGGACACAAACACCCCTGCCAGCAATACTGTGGTTTTGTCACAACCAACTGGCGCCGAGGAGAGTCAAGCAGGCTCGAGTGACATCGCCTCAACCGACCCGCGAACAGTATTCGATCCAACGTCCACGAATGCCCTTGACATACTGACAGACGCGGAGGCACAATTCTCCAATGAGCCTGGTCTTTTAAGTACCGCGCTAGGGTCGTCAGAGGCTGCGAGCATGGCATACACGACGGCTTCCGTGCCTACCACTAACGACGCCGCGAATGGTGCGAGCGATCCGACACTCTTCACGTACGACCCCTCGACGGTTGAGGAGCAGAATACTGCTGCCTCCTCGTCTACCTTACTCAACGGGCCCCTAGGTACCACTGGCAACTCACCCCTATTCACATTCGACCCTTCAAACCCCAGCGAACAGACAGCATCTACAGTCCAGCCGGAACCAAACTTCGCAATCATCACAGCAAACGACCAAACACTTAGCGCAGTTCAATCAGGAAGCCACGTCTTCATTATCGACGCAAGCAACACCAAAGTCCTAACTCCAGGACAAGAGACCATCATTGAAAACTCTCAGACGCTCAAGCTCCAAGACTCCCAAGGCCTAGTCATGGGAGACTCAACCGTACCCCTGGATCCAGCTCCCTCATCACCCTCGTCTACCACCGCCGCAGCGGCAGCATGGACAGCGAGTGACGACCAAACCTTCTCAGCCATCATTCAAGGAAGCAATATCATCCTTGCAGGCGCAGATACCACAGCGACTCTCAACACCGCCGCCACAATTCTCGCGGGCCAGACTGTCAGCGCACTTCCTTCAAACGCCGGTGTCGTCGTCGATGGATATTCACTGCCCATCTCGACTCCTCCCACTGCAGCGGCATACACCACAATCTTCACAGCATCCAATGGAGCCATAGTCTCCGCTCTCCCAGGCGCAGATGACGGCATCGTTCTAGCAGGCTCAAGCAGCACCTTCACCCTTGCCCCTGGCGAGAGCACAACATACCAGCGACAGACATTCAGCGTGGCGAGTGGAGGAGGTGCAGTCGTTGTCGATGCTTCGAGGACTTTGGCAGTCAGTAATGTCTTCGTGGAGACCTCCTTGCCGGCAATCGCCATAGGGACCAGCAGCACGACCACCCACAGCGAAACCGCTACACCGAGCAGTCAGGAAGCCGAGACAGCTACGTCCCCACCTAGCACTGCCTCCACGGCGAGTAGCACGGGTTCGAGCTCTCGCAAGATGCCAGGCAATATTGTTTGGCTTTTCATCATACCACTGCTTTATATAGCATAGCATGCAGCTTATGATAATGTCTCGAACAGATCTCCAGTTGATTGACTTTTCAATATCTTTCCGATTCGCATTCATTGGGGTATCTACTTTTTCATCGCTAGCCTGCGAGCAAACGCCCCTGAAACGAAGGTAACTGCATCATCACTCATCGGATCGTCCCATGCCCCAACCAAGCTCAAGCACCGCGCTGTTTTACAGATCCTTCTGTCACCCTATTCACGCCTCTTCCAATGCAAGATGCTGATACGCCCCGTCTGAATGCTTTCCTTTCCCTGTCGATTAGAACCAGAACGCCAAAGCCATGCAATAGCGACGCCCAATCTTCCCTGGTTAAGCTACATACTTGTACGATGGGACTGGTGCGTCTTCCATTCGCTCGAGATATTCGCGCTCGATCAGACTCTCGATGCGCTTCTTGATCATGTTGACGTCCGGTTTGAAGCGAGACGACAAGACTGAGATGGTCTCATTGAGTAGCTGCGCGTGAGCGAGCTCCTTTCGAGACTTCATGATCCGCACGACGGCAGCCTCGATGACGAAGCCACGGCTGTCATTGTTGCGTTTCTCGGTCTCCTTGCGCTCCCTGTCGCCTTCGACCTTGTTGCCAGCTGACACGACACCAACTTTGATCTTGACAGTCTTTGGTAGGTAGTCGTCGTTGAGGGAGAATTTGTCGCCAGGGTTGACGTCTCGGCTCATCGGCTCCTTGGTCAAGAAGCGCGTCTTTGGCGCAACAGCCAGAGCTTGCAAGTTTCTCGTCAGAGACTGCATGGGAATGTTGGTTTGAGCTTCGATCTCCTCCAGTGATAATCGATCACCAGGCTGTCGATCGTTGAAGAGCAAGAGGATGAGGGCAGCATAGGTCGAGCAGTTGACCTCGTGCGTTCTCGTCTGTCCACTCTTATTCTTGAACAACGCTTTGATGTCCACATCTCCCATGTTTGTCTGCCACGAAAGCTTCCGACCAGAGTGCTTCTCGGAATAGTACCGCTCGAATCCTTGGCGGACCAGGTCGAGAGCAGGAGGGAAGATGATTTGGGATCGCGTCTCGCCGTCGTCCTCGTTGGAACTCCGGAAAGCTTCTAGCGGCCAGGTCATTGAGGTCAAGACATTGACGCTCAAGTCCACTCGCTTCCTATCAGCATCACCCAGACCGGCGACATGCTCGCGGTAGCCACGAGTCAGGTCTTCACTCAGCGACATGTCCTTGAACATGGCCTCGAGTTTGAGTGTGAAGCTATTGCCAAGCTCCATCTTCATCCGGGCGATCATCTGCTTCTCCACATCGGTACTCTGGCTCTTCTTTAGCAGCAGACGCTTGCAGAGATGCTTCTTGTAGTACGTCTCGAAGATGTCCTTGTCCTGAAGATATCGCAGCAGTACAATCGCCTTCTCGAGGATCGCATCGACTTCTTGATCGGTCTTGTCGCGAATGCCCTTCTTCATGTGGTCGTCGATGAAGAGCGAAATGTACTCGCTGCTTCTGTTGAATGAGTTGATGTTTTCGGACATGCTTCGGGTCAGCGCGGTCTGGATGGTCTGGTCTCTGCCAAACGAGATCTCCCAAATCTTGTCGAAACGATCCTTCAGGTCCAAGATGTCTGCGACCCATTTGAGTGCGGCTTGAGTCTGCTGGTTGATCTGCTTGTCTTGTTTCGCCTTTGACTTGTCGCCCTCGCCGTCGTCCGCAGCTGGAGCTGCCGTTGGTGGAGCTTGCGATGTAGCAACTGCAGCTTCGTTGATCTTGGAACCCATGTCTGCAATGATCTGCTGCAAAGCTTTGGTGAGCTCCGGCTTGCGGGGATCCACGCGTGCTTCGAGGTCGAACACCAGATGAAGTTCGTTAAACTTGTCGTTGTCGACCATGTAGAGAACACCGCTGTCCATCTCAATCAAGCCCTTCATCTTATGTCTGATGAGCTCATCCTCCACCACTCGCTGGATCTTGGGCGCGGTTGACTCGGACAGAGTAGACCTGCACCGATCACTCTCTTCGTCAATGCGCCGCTTGGCGTGGTGACAGTATGTCCCAGCATCCGACTCTTTCAGTAACCGCTCGCCTTCTTCACGGTAGAATTGTGCACTCCTCTGCAGAAAGCTCTCCTCGAATTCTCGCAGATACAGCTTTTCGTCTTCCACCTCTTGCTCCGACTCGTACAAGCCTTCGAGCATGTACACATTTGATTTGATGAGGTAACGGTCGATTGATTCGCCATCGCGGTCCATGGAAATCTGGTCGAGGATGATGCGGGTGAGGATGGTGATGATGTCGTCTGCGCCTTGCCGCACTGGCGTTCGTAGGATCTGGTCGCGGAAGAGGCCCATGGACTTGGCGAAGATGGATGGTTGGCGGTGATCTGTGCAGTAGACTCGGTCCTTGTGCTTGTGATTAGTCAAACCAGCTCCAAGGACGGTGTGAGTGCTCGTCTTACCATGTACATGAGCACATCGGTCAACATGCTCATGCAGACTTGGTGGTCCTCCCATGCCTGCTTGAGAGCCTTGAGCACGCCCTCGCCCGCCACACGTCGCTCTGCCGAGGTCGCAAGCGTCCGTCCAATATCGTCGTTGAAGAGGAAGGGCGCTGACAGCAGCCTCACTATCCGACTGCGCACTGTCTCGCCCAGCCACTTCTCCTCGAACTCGGCGACTTTGTTGTACAGCTCATCGCCCTTCTTCTTCAGCACAATCTTATAGGCGTTTCGGTATAGTTCCTCGAAGGACAGTTGAGAGGCGTTTTTGGTGTGGATTTCGAGGAATGCGCGTTCCAGAACTTGCCAGGTGGTGTCAAAGTCCACGTCGGCACCGTTGAGGCCCTGTCGACGAGGGTTAGCCATGGTCGCGGTTCAGGTAGCGATGCGTGTGTTTGAAGCCAGCAAGCCTTGTAAGGTGGGCTGCCGAAGACGCAAGGTCGCGGTTTGCGACCAGGAACAAGCGGAGCAAGGCGGGGGTGGGAGTGAGAGGGGGAGGAAGTGAGTGAATGTGGCCGAAGTGCACGTGTACTGACCCGTCGTGGAGCTCTGATTTTGGCACGGCCTCTGCCTGCGACTGAGGACGAGGCCGCCATGGCGCGGAACAAAGAAAGAGCCCGCCCACCCTCAGCCCGCAGTGCTGGCTGGCCGTGGTGGGGTTTGTGCGGGCGTCTGGAGGAGGCTTGTGGTGTAGCAGAGGTGTTGTTGGTCGGTGAGGTGGGTATCCTATGGCGGCGGAGGGTCTACGACCGGATGCGGCGGAGATGTAGCGCTGGCATGTGGCGGTGGTGGGTGAGTGCTGAGGTGCGGTGGGCAGTGGTGGTGTCAAAGACGGAAGAGAGACTAGTTCAGCATTCATGTGGCGCCCCATCAAACTTCGGCCAGGGTCCGCTCAGGAACGCAGCCCAGCGTCAATCCGGCAAGCTTCGGTTTTCATCATCCATTGTTTGTTTCCTGCACCCACATCTCACCCAACATCTATATCCATCTCATCACATCCTTCTCGTAGCAATCAATACTGTTAAAATGGGCTTAATCAAAAGTCCACGCCACCTAAGTAATTGATTCAAACATTGACTGACAGCGAACCAAACATCAGCCGCATGAAGCAGCCACCGACGGCAGGTCGCGTCTCGTCTCTCCTATTCTTCTAAAACATCACGCCAGCTATACCTCTCCCTCTTCCAATACTCGTCCTTTCATATGCGATTCGTCGTAGGCTACAGCATGTAGGACATCATGTCTACTACAATCCCTGACAAGGACTATCTCAACAAAGTCTGTGAGGGCCTGCCTCCAGATCACCCCCTTCGCAACATCACCACCAATGCTCAGCCTCAGCGCCAGAAAGTCCTATATACCTGTCTCAATGGATCTACGATTGCTTCACCGAGCCTTCCCCAGCTTCTCCAGCAGCATACCGAGACCGAAGCTCGCAATCAGATCGCTGTCTGCTTGGTTGAGAATATCTGCCACGAGTGGGTAGCTGCCCTTGGCACGGCGTGGAATATCGACCATACCTTCTTCTTCGGCCATGCATCGAATCCGATTGGAGAGTCTGTCTGGGAAGCGCTGATGAATCCGGGCGGGAAATGGGAGGATTGGACTCCCAATAGAAGCGACCCGACCATCCACCACATGGGCCACCTCCACGGCTTCTTTGAGCATCTGGGAGAAGATAGCCCGAGGCCTCAAATAGATCGGTTCCCTCGACGTCTCCAGCGCCATCCTCGCTGGGGTCTCCAAGGCAACTCGAAAATCTCATACTGTAGGGTCTCACCATGCCTTTGTAAGTCCTCGTATCATAGTCTTGGTGCAGAGAGTTGCACGTTACTCAAGTACTTTCCCAGATCTTATTCTCACCGATCTACCACTTCGAAAGTCCACCGATGTCCAACTTCGCGACAATCCCCTTCACACTCATCTCTGCTTCCGCGTCCCGTTCTCTCGAAATTATGGAGGACTGGCCATTCCACAGGAGTACGATCGACCCGAGTTCTCGGCGCTGGACATCTTCGTCAATTTCCTCAACCACGCCTGGCATTGGCGCATCCTATTTGCAGAGCATTTGCAGAACGGTGCGGTTCATCCGATGATTTTATCCAACTTCCTTGCAGCATCCATGTGGAGGACCAACTTCTTATCTCTCAAACAAAACATCCAATCAATTGCGTTTAGAGACGTCCGCCGTCCAAGCATCCTCATCAACGACCGTCTGCACGACGCGAGGCAAGCACTGGCCGGATTGCAAGCCGAAGTCCAGTCTGCGAGGAAGTGGATGCTCACTGAAGACCTGGACGACTTTCTCAAACACATCCGAAAGGCTCAGCCAACGTCACCGCATGCCGCGCTGGACCAGGTCTTGGAGGAAGCCGAGCATCTCTACCAATTCCTCATGGACACTTTCCAGCTTCTGATGGGATCGATCAGCGTGCTTGACTCGCAGACCAGTCTTGAAGAGGCCAAGCGAAGCACAACTCTCACACAACTCGCGGCCGTATATCTTCCTTTGTCTCTGGCTACAAGTATCTTCGGCATGAATATCAAGGAGATCAACGAATCTCCTCTGTCCGTCTGGGTTGTTTTCGTCGCGCTCGCTATCTTAGCGGTTGGCACGGTGCTTCTGCTGCTTGGAGCCACTGCTGTCCGAGCAGTCTCTCTCGGTAGAATGCGACAATGGGCGAAAAATCTACACCGGTCCAAAAAGAAGTCTTCTCCTAAGAATGATGCAGCTGTAGAAGAGCAAGCCGTGGAGCAGACCAAGTACGGTTGAGATGCGTCTTTATTGTGTTACTTACATGCGGCGCGACAAGCAAGATGTCCAATTCCAGGCCGTGGCTCACCGAATTTGAAATTTTGATCATAGTCATAACGAATCGTACACAAAAGATCAACGTCGGACAGACCGTCCTAACCAAGCAAATACCAGTGGACTGGAAGTAACTGAGCTCAATGTCAAGGATGCCTTCCCTCATAACGCAAAAAGACAAACCTTCCAAGGATAAAGCAGGCAAAAGGGAAAAAAGAGTGAGAGAGCAGGTGTGCTTGCTCGCGGCTTGATTTGCATCGGCCGGGACTAGTATATATCAGTAACATGTTACTTGAGAATAAGCTTGGTGTTACTCACATCGAACCCGGGGCTCGTCGAACATGCAGTGCATGGCAACGACGACTAATGAGTCGATTAGTTCTTGCTCAATCCCGACCATGGTTGATCTGAGCCTTACATTTTACCTGCAAGGTAGTCAATAATTGCTTTGGCATTATTAAAGGCTACAGCCACGGACCACTAAACCACCAATGCCTTCGGCTATGAGCTGTGATTGGTGGATTGCTTCAAAATTGTTTATAGCTTTAATTTGGACCCCGGCAGAGATTCCGCGAGGTCAACAAGACCCACTCGAACTGAACCGATGGCCAAGTAGCCGTCAATGAACAGCCATAGCACAATCCAGAGGAGAAGAGAGAGCCAGTATAATCTTCTCGGTTGCCGTTGCCAAAGATATGGCCCTTGACAGAAGTTCGAGACTGCAATGAGGATTACCTTCTTTCACTCCAACTCTAGCTTGACCACAACGAATCGATCGGAACAAGCATCTGAAACAAGGCAAGCTCCTTCGAACCCTCGACAAGCACAGGGTTGGCAATACAAGGGAAACAGCCTGGGACGGCTGCGTTGTTGCCGCGAAGCTTGCTTATCGGGCTCCTCGCGATCTTGTCTTAGCTATGGATGATCTCTCAAGAGGGGTTGATGAGGTGGTAAAGATCTCGAGATAATATTTGTTGCTCTTATACATGACCACTTATGCAGGAGCGGAGGGGCGAAAGCTCTTCTCATGGTCACGAAGAGCGAGTTGGATTGTTGGCTGAATGTGATGGGGAGGGAGAAGACGTAGAGATGGATGACTTTAAGCAGGGGTAAGTCAAACCGAACATTGTATTAATGGCATGTGCAGTACTCAGCATGCCACAGACCAATCTACCATCAAGATGAAGAGAACGCCCGCCAGCGGTCTCCCCTACAGACAAGGAGGAATAACATACCCAGCGTTTCAACCAAGAACCCCCTCCACGGAATTCCAAACGACCAACTCCTCGCCAGCGTCAGAACCTTCGTCCAAACCCACAGCCTGGATGCCGACCTCTCCATCTTCCTCAAAGCCGCCCTCATAGCCCAGTCCCCAACCTCTCTCCCCGAACTCACCAATGACGAACGCCTCATCCTGCAACGGGAACAAACCCACCGCTGGAGCCAACCCTTCATCCTCTACCTCACCATTGTGATGAACTCCCTTGGAGCCGTGATCCAAGGCTGGGATCAAACAGGCTCCAACGGAGCGAATCTATCCTTTCCCCAGGAGTTCGGCATCGCAGATACGCCCCCTTATTGCAGTGTGGCGACGGGGGAGTGTGCGAGGAGGACGTGTTTGGTGGGGTTCGTGAATAGTGCGCCGTTCATTGCTATTGCTTTCTTGTCAGTAGCACGTCTTACTTTTCCAATGGCACCCGCTGACGATTGCGTGGGCAGTGCGGCGTGGATATCCGATCCTCTGAATGAGCGGGTGGCACGACGAGGGACCATCTTCATCGGGTGTATCTTCTCGTTGCTGGCGCCCATTGGATCTGCATTCGCGCAGAATTGGGGACAATTGGTAGCTTGTCGGATTCTGCTGGGGATTGGGATGGGTAAGAAGAGCCCTTCCTCTATCCCAAAGATCTACTGACTTCCCTTCAGGCCTGAAAGAAGTCACAGTCCCTGTCTACGGGGCCGAATGCGACCCATCAACAATCCGCGGCGGCCTCGTCATGACCTGGCAACTTTTCACCGCACTTGGCGTCGTTTTGGGTCTTGCAGCCAATCTCGCAGTTCACAAAGTTGGAGGCATTGCATGGAGGCTGCAACTCGGCAGTGCGTGTATTCCTGCGGTACCTCTGCTTCTCTTCGTCTACCTCTGCCCTGAAAGTCCGAGATGGTATCTCAAGAAGGGGAAGGTCAAAGAGGCGTATGGGTCGCTGCTTCGGCTGCGCAATACCCGGCTTCAGGCTGCTAGGGACTTGTATTACATCCACGCTCAGCTGGAGCAAGAGAAGGAAATGATCAAGAAGTCGGCGGTAGCAAGTCGAGATGATCTAGTTACTAGGTTCATCGAGCTGTTTACGGTTCCTCGCATTCGACGAGCCACTCAGGCTTCTGGAATCGTCATGCTTGCTCAACAGCTTTGTAAAGACACCCTTGTTCAATCTGTGTGAGATGAACTGACAGACAGACTCACAGGCGGTATCAACGTCATCGCATTCTACTCTTCGACCATCTTCGTCCAGGCCGGCTTCACCATAACCAATGCGCTGGTGGTATCACTCGGCGTAAAAATCGCTGGCTTGATAACAACATGCTTCATCGTCTTCATCATCGACACGTTCGGCCGACGAGCGCTGCTGAACTTTACGTTTCCAAACATGTCAGTCTTGCTCAAACGATAGTCTTTAATTGGCCGCTCACGAACTGGCAGGACATGGACACTCCTCGCTACAGGATTGTGCTTCTTGATCGACAAATCATCCAACGCTCGGCTGAGTCTGATCGCCTTGTTCATCTTCATCTTCCAGATCTTCTACTCGGCGGGTGGAGGGCCGGTACCTTTCACATACTCAGCAGAGTGCTTCCCCTTGAGCCACCGAGAGATGGGCATGTCTTGGGCCGTGGCGACGAACAACTTCTGGGGTTCGATCGTGACATTGACATTGCCTCGTATCTTGGCTGCTTTCAGTGAGTGAGGAGACACAATACTGCGAGCCACACTGATGATGAATCCAGCTCCAGCAGGCACATTCGGGTTCTATGGCGGCTTGAACACGTTGGCGCTGGTATTGATCTTCTTCTTCGTACCTGAGACAAAGCAGCGTTCGCTTGAAGAGCTGGAATACGTTTTCGAGATCTCGACTTCGAGGCACGCAGCCTTCCAAGTCCAGGAGCAATTGCCATGGTGGTTCCGGAGATGGATTTTGCGGCGAAGAGGCGAAGCAGAGCCGCAGCTGTATCGTCCCAAGACGCCGAGACCGATGATCTGATACGTACAGGATGGAAGTTATCAAATATAGAGGTCGAAAGATCAAGACCATAATCTGAAGGCGTGGACAAGATCGAACCTCTTCTTTTTGCTCTTCGTCTCAAAACTCTGACTCTGCCCCAGCTAATGCGGACGGGAGCCAGACTCAAAACGTCACAACGATATCGCCTTCACGCATGACCTTTGGGTCCAGGTCAACATCGACAATGTCCAGATGACAGACGCTCCGCTTGTGTTGGCCTTTCGCGGTGCTGCAAGGCTTGACATGGTCTCAAACGTGGCTCGTAGGCGTAACGCTGGGCATGTGCTCAAAGCCAGCATACGTTCCTGTCGCAATTGACGACCTCAGGGGGTCGAAAAACGGGCGGGTTGCTGACATTCTGACGGCGATGTTTGGACTCTCCCATCCTGCCCACCCCCAAACCTGCGTAAACACAATTCGGCGCCCTGAGAGGTGGGAGTGTTGGAGGGCACTCGAGATTCATGAGAAGACGAAGATGAAGTGAAGACGCAGTTCGACGAAGAGGGGAGGTCAGACGCGTGACATCGTGTCGAGAATCGGTGACGTCAATATCGCGTCTCGCGTCTGCGATCGAACTGTAGAGGACTGGACGTCCATCTCAACATTAGACCCTCGCGCTCCTCTTCTCTTTACCCTTCAAACACCTTCAACATCAAAGAGCTACATCGTCCCAACCATACTTTACACAACAGCCGTCGCACCCAACCCACATCGATTGAGAACAATCGCTTCACTTGCCACCCCTCGTTCACAATGGCAGGCACTCGCTCCTCAGCCCGTCAGGCCGAGAAGAACTCGAGCCCACAATCGGCCGAGAAAAGCGGTGCCAAGCGCAAGGCTGGCGACAGCGCCCCTACCGAGGCCAAGAATGATCGTCCATCCAAAGGACAAAAGACTCTCGAGGAGACCATGCAACCATCTGAAGATGTTGACGAAGGCGTTGACGAGACTTTCGATGAAGAGATGAGACAAGCTGAAGCTGATGCTACCGGTAACAAGAAGGAAGAGGAGACCAACGATGAGAAGAAAGCCGAGGGGAGTAATGGCAGCAAGAAGGAAGATGAGGGCAATGCGCTTGAGAAAGTCAAGGCTGACGAGAAGGACGCTGGGAGAACGAGCAAGGTGAGTCGAATCAACTTGTCGAGGGATGGGTAGCGAATCTGACAATTTCACAGCCCGAGGAGAGCAAAGAAACCGCCAATGGAGATACCAAAGGCACCGCAGTAAAAGAGGACAAGCAGCGTGAGAAAGCACAACCATCGAATATTCTCGAGAAGGGCATCATCTACTTCTTCACCCGCGGCAGAGTCGGTGTCGATGATCCAGATAGCGTGCAAAATCTCCAGCGCACCTTCTTCGTCCTTAGGCCTCTCCCTGACGGCGCAAAGCTCACCGAGGGAGCCATCCAGGACGTTGGAAACAATCGCCTCATCGCTTTACCAAAGAAGGTCTTCCCAAAGTCAGGCAAGGACAGATTCATGGCTTTCGTTGAGAAAGGCAAGACAAGCATGGACGAGCTGAAGGAGTCGTTCTTTACTGGATCCGAGTATAGCACCAAGACCACTGGCACTCGTCATACTCCAGAAGTGACCCCACTTGGCGAGGGAGTCTACGCCATGACATCGACTGGCGAGGGACGCACCACCACCCACCTCGCGTACATGTTGACGATTCCAATGGAGATTGGCGAAGTCCAGAAGGATGTGGGAATTGCCGACAAGGGCAGTTTCGTGCTGAGCTTGAAGAACCCAGAGGCATCAGGTCCGGCGAATGCGCAACTTCCACAGAAGCCAGAGTTTCCAAAGGAGTTCATCGACGAGTTCCAAGGACGCGGGTGGATGCCAATTGAGCCGAAGCATCTCGACTATGCCAACGCCCAGATGCTGCTGATCGGCGAGAGCTTCGATTCAGGCAGCGCATTGGAAGCAAATCCAAATGATGAGAAGAAGGAAGAGAAGGAGGTGCCGCAGGAGGAACTTGAGAAGCTCGAGGAAGAAGACGAACACCGCATTGAGAACCTCAAGGGTGACGACACCATCTTTGAGGATCTTGGCATCTCGTCGAAGGAATACCCCAAGGTCAAGTCGACGTGGTAGATGCGATGCATGCAATGCTGGCCATCTACACGAGTTGATGTGTGTGTTGATGTGAGTTCACTTAGTGTATTGTAGCTCTGGGGCGTTCGGTGGAAAGACAGGTTCGAGCATGGGAGGCGCCATTGCTTAGAACCATGAAAACGGTGTCGCGAGGCCCGCCAACGACGTGTAAATTAGCTTACGACCAAGACAAAAACCCAGCAGTAAATACTCATCCAGACATGATATCTCAATCCAAACTCAGTGGCTGGCGATGTAATGGCTCACGGAGATGCCGATGTCTCTTGATCCTAGAAGTTGGCAGTACGATGGTGGCTTGGAGATGAAGGCATTCGCCACGGCTATATGCGATAGTGCCATCTGACAGAGTCGCAGAGTCAGTCAGGATCCACAAGCCTCAGTGCAACGAACATCTCGGCGTCTGTTGGATACCAAGAGAGTGGCTCTTGTCCAGGGGGTGGTCGGCCGCAGACTGGCGGCCTTGCACAAGCAGGGAGGACGAGTGAAACAGGCACGGCCAAGGCTGAAACGGCAGCGCACCGCCTCAACGCGGCTGTCGCAGGGTAAGAATAGGCAGGATGATGCTGTCGCGACGAGCCGAGCGCCTCGCGGGTGTTGGCTTGGGCAGATTCGTCGGACGGGTGTGTGAACGAGTTGCTTTGGGGTGAGATGAAAGGGCGGCAGTTGGAGGGCCAGCGACGAATCAGGAGGCGGGGCGCCTGTGGGAGAGGCGACCCCACCACAAACGGCGGTGTTGGATGTGAGCGACGGCGACGATTGACTCTCTGCCATTCCTGAAACTCTTGAGACGCTCCTATTTTGCGCACGCTGGTGTCGAGCAGCTTGGGATCGACGACCCGAGCTTCTTGCCTACTTCTCTTCATCCTTCTGCTCGTCGGTTGCTGGTACAGTAGTACCTCTCTCACCAGCTCCCTCCTCCGTGAGCACCACCACTTGCCGTGCCTAGCGGGGACCCTGTGCCTAGAGTCACGATTCTGGTGAGTGATGAGCCTGCAGTGTCACACCCATGACAAGTGGCTCCAAGCCTCGCTGCCCACCTTGCACCTCCCACCGTCGTTGGTGAGACGAGCTCTGTTTGACGCTGTGTATTGATCGAGCCTCAGGTACCACCGCCGCCGCCGCGATCAACCTTCTTCCTCCTCCTCCCGTTACCAAGCATCCGCCAGCGGTAAGCTCCAAACCTCGCTCGGCGTGGACAGCTCGAGCCTCGCGGTCAAGAGACGAGACGAGAAGAGACCAGAGCTTCAAGAGCAGCCGGAAGGAGGTACGTCCAACAGCACCACCCGCGTCGCTCATGCGTGCCTGAGGGATTGCAAATACATTGCCCGATGCATGCGGTTTGTGCGTGGGACGCACGTGGCAGAGCACATTCCAGCGCGGCCAAGGCATTGTTCATGCCCATTGACGGAATCGGAAATCAGAACGCTGACCTTATGCGACGCCTGCAGCAGGAACACGAACACACCTCTTCGACCCGATCCACGAAAAAGAGCACGCTGCTTCCGGGTTTGGTTGAGCCGCAACCGCTCTCTTCGCCTCGTTCGCCCATTCCGCATCGCTCTTGCCTCCCACCGCCAGACAGCGCACCTTCCTCTGCGGGTTGCCTAGCAACGACGACATCTTGACCAGCTCGACCTCTTCGACAACCTTGGAAGCTCTCGCGCTCCGCAACACCACACACACATAACCGCCACCATGTCTCGAGCGCCCGCCCAGCAGGGAAGCGGCTCCCGCAAGATCTCCTTCAACGTCTCGGAGCAATATGACATTCAAGATGTGGTCGGCGAAGGCGCATACGGTGTCGTTTGCTCCGCTCTGCACAAGCCCTCGGGCCAGAAGGTCGCCATCAAGAAGATCACACCCTTTGATCACTCCATGTTCTGCCTGCGCACGCTGCGTGAGATGAAGCTGCTGCGCTACTTCAACCACGAGAACATCATCTCCATCCTCGACATCCAAAAGCCACGCAACTACGAGAGCTTCTCCGAAGTCTACCTCATCCAGGAGCTCATGGAAACCGACATGCACCGCGTCATTCGCACTCAAGAGCTATCAGACGACCACTGCCAGTACTTCATCTACCAGACCCTCCGCGCACTCAAGGCCATGCACTCGGCCAACGTCCTGCATCGCGACCTGAAACCGTCCAACCTTCTGCTGAACGCTAACTGCGACCTGAAGGTCTGCGATTTCGGCCTTGCCCGATCAGCAGCCAGCACCGAGGACAACCAGGGTTTCATGACCGAATACGTGGCGACTCGATGGTATCGTGCACCCGAGATCATGCTCACGTTCAAGGAGTACACCAAGGCGATCGATGTCTGGTCTGTGGGATGCATTCTGGCTGAGATGCTCAGCGGCAAGCCTCTCTTCCCTGGCAAGGATTACCATCATCAGCTCACACTCATTCTTGATGTTCTTGGCACGCCGACCATGGAGGACTACTATGGCATCAAGTCGAGGCGTGCGAGAGAGTACATTCGGAGTCTACCATTCAAGAAGAAGATCCCGTGGAAGGCGATGTTCCCCAAGACGTCCGACCTCGCACTCGACCTGCTGGAGCGACTGCTTGCATTCAACCCAGTCAAGCGTATCAGCGTGGAGGATGCCCTCAAGCATCCATACCTCGAGCCATACCACGACCCTGAAGACGAGCCGACGGCAGATCCCATCCCAGAGGAGTTTTTTGATTTCGACAAGAGCAAGGACAACCTGTCCAAGGAGCAGCTGAAGCGTAAGCGGAGAATAAACGAAATACAATGCAGCGCTAACAAGCCGAACCAGGTCTGATTTACGAGGAGATTATGCGGTAACGGACACCATCTACGAATTTCCTTTTTTTCATTTCCTTTTCTACTATCAAATGTAATATGGATCATCCTCTCAAGATACCGCATGCTAATGTTTTTCACAGCAACAAATCGTTCTCGAGGTCTACGGTCAAGAAGCCTCCCCCACCACCGCCAGAGCCGGCCTGCAAGAACAGCACGCTTTCGCCAGACCGTTCGTCCAAATCGACGCCCAAGTTAAGTCCATCAAGCGGAAACACCACCCTCTCCTCGAGCAGCGGCGACATTCGCATTCAGCTGGATCCGGCGCTGCGGCCAAAGACCTGCTAGGGGTGCGCGGATGCGGCAGAGCGCGATGGAGCCAAGTCAACTCCGTGGTACATCACGTGTTGGCGCTGGCTGAATGGATGACTTCTTCTGTTCGACTGTATTGCTCTGCTGTATCCAGGGATAGGCTCTTTGCGTTCGACTTCGATTCATCATGACTCTTCAACAACATCAACGGCCACTGCTGGGACTAGATTTGTGCGACGGCTTTTGATGGGATGACAGCGGCATGGGAAGAGGTGATTGCATTTGCATTGGCGCTGAAAGTGTTTCTTGTGTGGATGGATGATGGATAGTCGTGGCACATGCGTCTGGAAAGGATACTCATCTGCTGCTGCTGCGTTTACTACCCAGGGCTAGACGAGACTTGCTGTTTTGTTTGTCCTTGATATGCAAAATGGAGAAATGGAAAGTTGACTGGTTCATGTTGGTCTGTTCTCTTATTGTTCTTCTCTCTCGGACGTCGATTCCGATCGGAAGGTGCCCTGGTCGTCATTACCCTTTTCGGGAGACCATGCAGAATGACATGGTATTGATTTTTCCCCGCACAACCTTCTTTTTGGAGGCTCAAAGCTCAAAGACGACCTCATCATTACATCCACTCTCCACTTCTCGAGCGTGTAAAGGCGACGAAGGCGCAAAGACACTCAATCTGACGCCCACAGACACATTCGCATCCGAATGTTGTCTCCCGCTCCATAGGACCGGATATGAGCCTGCAATAGAGAACCCAGATGTTGATTGACTTCGAATAATTGTCATTGCCAAGTTACGCCATTGCGCGATCGACATTCAGTCTGATCCATCTAGCCTCCCTCGATCTTGGAACAGCACTTTGATGGGGAAGACGGCCACTGGTTGTGGGCACATGTGCTGCAAGGTACCGGGTGCCTGACGTAGAGGACGCAGTGATGCAGTAGCATCGTGTCGAGGTAGGACGAGCTTCTCTTATTATTCTTCCTTCGTCGCCCGGTGACAATCCCTTTGACGTTTGGTTTCTTCAACTCGGGTTTTCTTTGCTGTTGGACGAAGAGAAGCAGTTCAAGATGCGTCAAACACAGATACTGAGCACTTTGCTCGCCTGCGTGGCAGCTCAGAGCGAGCGGAATTGGGAGAAGCAAGGCGAGATTTTTTACGATACTGTCAAGTATGGACCGGAGATTGAGCTGGTTCATTTGTACTATGATGAGTTCCCAACTGGTAAGTTGCAATACGCTGGTAGAGATGGAGAACATGCTGACGGTATGGCACAGGCATTGCCGTCTCCTGCGAGGGCAGGAAGTTCAGCAACTATCCAGCTGGCTTGGACATGAACAACACGAACAGTGGATCGAATGGGAAGTATGGCATTGCAGAGTTGATTGGGAATAAGAGTGAAAGAGCTTGGCCCAGTGCAGAGGTAGGCCCATATCATCAGGAAGTAGAACAGAACAGACCTGACATTGACATATGGTAGATGAATAATCCTCCAGGCGGATCGATCAACTACACCACATATCCCCCATCTGGTGCCAACTACCAGCAATACATCATCGCACCACAATCCATCGTCGTCGACGTCCTTAATCGCGCCTGGATCCTTGACACCGGCCGCTCCCAAACCCCCAACGGTACTCTCGTTCCAGCCTCTTACGGCGGGCCCAAACTCATCGGCGTCGACCTCAACAAAAACGACACCATCATCCAGACCATCGTCTTCCCCACCACCGTCGCCTACGCCGACAGCTACCTCAACGACGTCCGCTTCGACCTGCGCCCCAACATCACAGCATCAGGAAAAGGCGTCGCCTACATCACCGACTCCTCCGTCGAAGGCCGCAACGGCATCATCATCGCCGACCTAGGCACCGGTCAATCCTGGCGCCACCTCGACGGCTCCCCAACCGTGCACCCCCAACAGCAAAACCTCCCCTACCTCTGGGGCATCCCTCTCTACGGCTTCCAGCCGGGAGCGCCATACACGCACATCCCCTTCGGCAGCGACGGCATCGCCCTCTCCGCCGACAGCGACACGTTATTCTGGAAATCCGTCGGCGGCCGCTACATGTACAGCATCCCGACCACGTACCTCCGCTCCACGGCCCCCAACTCGGACCTCCTCGCGCAGCAAAACGTCCACAACCTGGGCCAGAGCGGCATCTCCGACGGGATGGAGACGGACTCCAACGGCCTCGTGTACTACGGCAATATGGAGCAGAATAGCATTGGAGTGTACAATCCCAAGAACGGCACGCATGGGATTTTCGTGCGGGATCGCAGGTTGAACTGGTTGGACACGTTTAGTGTGGGCTGGGATGGGTATTTGTATTTCACGAACAATCAGTTGGTGTTTGGGGCTGCGACGGTGCCGGGGACGGATCGCAGGCAGAGGCCGTTTTCGCTGTGGAGGGTGAAGTTGCCGGAGGGTGGGAGGAAGACTGGGTTGGGAGCTGCTGGGAATTCGACTGGGAGGGGGTATCAGTTGAGATGAGTGATGATAGGAATGATAGGATGAATAGACAGACAGGTCTGTCTCTTAAGAATGATCTGATGCGGCCAAGAAAGACACGCAGACATCGCTGAAGACATTATGCATTTTCCTCACTGTTGGAGTCTGTACACTTCAATTACATCTCATCACTCATAGAAAGATCCAAATCTCATCAGAGCAGCTGCCAGAACAGCATGCTCACAAACGCGAAGAACGTCAAGCCAGTATTGACGCCCAATGCAGCAGCCGCGCCAGTATCGTTGTTTGCACTTCCATTCACCGCCGGCTGATCTCCAATGCCAAACGGCAGACCTTGATATCCAAAAGTCAAGTTCTGGGGGATGGAGGTGTTGTAGCAGGTGTTGCCCGCAATGTTGATGTTTGTAAGATCGTCGGCGTTGACGAAGAACATGTACTTTTCTTGAGGAATGTCCTTGAAACTGTCGGTGTTGTACGGAAAGCGATCGCTGCTGTCGGTCGCGGTGGTGTTTCGGAGGAAGATGCATTGGACCTGGTCGGGGTTGGAGTGGTAGAGGCTGGATCGAGGTTAGCACAGTAAAAGACATGAAAAAGGGTACTCACCCAGGGTAGTCTCGCATCACATCGCTGTTGGACGTATCCGCTACAAGGATGAATTTTCTTTGCGGGAAGGTCTCGAACAGCTTCGTGAGGAGGAACTGTCGAATGCTAAGCGTAGCACTGACATCGCTGAAGTTGAGTGGACGGGTATCGAAAGAGCCAGCTGGGTAAGTGTCGTAAATGAACTCTTCGTAATTTCGTGTCACCTGTTCAGGAAGCGTCGTCAAATAGTGGAAATGCGTATTCGGCAAGCTCTGCGACCAGTTTGCATAGATGTCCGGCATGTTCTCCCAGGCCACATATGGACGAGCGAAGGAGTTGAGCAGGCCTTCTTTGGGGTCGTAAATTTTGGTGATACGCAGGATATCGTCGATATCTGACACAACAGTCAGACCCTCGTTCGGGACTAGATACGCGGTTGCGTTTCCCTCGGTTGTGTTGGTGACCCATGTTGCAAGCTTTTGGATCTCCTGTGTCTCGTTGCCGTTCCTGAGACCATTGCTGTTGATAGGCAAAAAGGCGTCGAAGTCGCCTTCTGGTGTAGTCTCGTATGGGAGGGTGATGTTCTGCCCCTCACCGGGTCCATTCTCGAAGGGCTCAACACGAATGGCGGAAACATTGACATCCCCTTGCTGAACCACAAAGATGGAAGCTGTCACATTCCTGGCCTCGTCCGCCTGATCTGCTGGCAACTCTTCAACGCTCGTATCGATCAAGAAGACGTTTGCCAGGTCATTGAGCTTGCTCTGGTTGATGGTCGGCTGTTTGTAGATGTTTCCGTGAAATCGTACGTTCCAGCCTTGATCGGTGAAGTTTGCATATGGGGGGATGTTCAGTGCTTGTGTCGGTACTGCTGCCAGCTGCTCATCGCTCAGACCAAGTGAGCTCACAACTGAGTCTCCCGTAGGCAGGTTCTGAAAGTAGTCCGGTACACCACTGGCAACGTATGAGGGCACATTCCCGAGGGAGCTCAAAATGCCATCGACATCCGACTGTATGCCATCGAGCAGGTCTCGCCTGTTCTTATATGTCTTGGTCGCGTCTCTTCTCGCCGGTGAGGGTGTTATCAATGGGTCACGAGCTTCGAGGACTGGATTCGGGGCCGCAGTAACGAGAGCTGCTAGGAGGGAGGCTGGCAGTAGGAGACTTCGAGTAGTTAGGCGTGCCATGGTCGGCGTAGTGGGTGGATGATGGTAGGTCTGCTGGCTTGAGTTCTGTCCTAAGGCTGGTCGAAGGTAAAGAAGAGGAGAAGCTGTGAGGAACAGTGTACCTACCAGGTCGCGTGAGGCGGTTGCTCGTGAAGAACTTGGCCAGGTTGGATAGAGTTCAGCTGTGCCTGTTTACCGAGTGACGTCAAGTCCGTATTGGAGAGCGCGATGCCTGGATCGGGCAAGCGTCCGTCTTCACGGCAACAGGCAGGCTGTCCTTGTTTTCGTGCAGCTCATCCTCAACAACGAGGGCCACATACATGCATCTCAGAGATGACTTGGAGGGAGACGGAAGGATGAGGGAGTTTGGCAGCACAAAGTCTGACCACCCCCCGTGCCAACCGTGCCAATGGCCGCCAAGCTCTCCGCCGACCACAGCGGCCCGACGGCACGTGCGAGCTTGATGCTACTTCACCTCAACTCCATCAACCGCCCCTTTCACTGGTGACGCGGTCTTCCCATGTGGCGATATACTGGCAGCGACGATATGTGCATCTCCTTCCTGGAAAGCTCTCGATTCCGATGTGCTGTGCTACAGTCCAGTCGACATCCTGTCTCCTCGAACATTCCTGTGGCCTTCAGTCCTTCGGTTCTCTAGACCGGCAAACGGCATTATCGTTCAGCCAGGTACATGTTTGTTCGACGCGGCGTTCGGAAGTGTGATCATCTAGCGATACTCCACGTGTAGAGTACTCCAGGCCAGACCGCGGGAGGAGAAGCTGGTAAGCAAACTCTGGAGCTTCTATCCTACACGAGCCTGAAATGGAGACCAGCGATGTCTGCGCCGGTGCAAAATGCCCCGTCGATCCTATGTTTGTGGGCTATTGCAGATGGATCCGCATATCACATCCTGGTTGTACTGCAGGACGGGCGTATCAAAACTGACGGTCCATCCACTCACCAGCAGTGTAATGGGCGCCAGCGTAACCACTGCTTCTCCGCACCGGTCATCCTGGAACGCAGCTCATGCTCTGACCAAGCATTGCGGTTAACATGCGGGACATATATGTACCATAGCAGGACTTCGATGCAATCACAAATAACGCACCCATCACATCCTTATCGACCCATCCACGAGAGATTGGAGACTGCACCATGCATTTCATACTATACATTGCTCTCTTAACAACAGCCATTGAGGCAACATACATTAAGAAATAGAGTCTTGGAGGTGAACACATGTACCCTCACGTCAGATCAAGAGCAGCGCTAACCTTGTGGCAATGCAGGATGTGGTAATTCCATCTATACTCGCTGCAATAGACTTCCTGCTGGACGTTGCTGCACTGCGAACAACCCGCCATACAATAGAGGCAGTTTGGCAATTGGGAATCTTCCGCACGATTACGACATTGCTGTGCCATACAATTCTGCCCTTCCCCCTCCATGCGAGAGAAGATATTGCGGCCGTGTCCGCCTTCAAAACGTGCAATTTGGGGACTTGACCTGTCTCTCTAGCAATTTCCTAGGCACAGGACTGTGGTTCCCATGCGGTAGCAGATTTTCCGCACAGAGATGCTTGAACATTCACAGCCACCCAGGAAAGAGAGGCGGGGACGAAGACTTCTGGAACTCTAATCTGACAGCGCTTGGCGAGGATCATCCAGGTACGTGGTTCTGTGATATGTCCAGCTCCCGACTGTTCTACTAACCTGGATCTGCAGGCTACATCGACGAAGAAGAGGCCGCTCTACCCGAGATCTCTTACCACGATGCTTACGACAACCTCATCACTGAAGAGGAATGGCACTGCCTAGCCAAGCAGGAAGTCGAACATGAAGCCAATGGAACGTTGCACATCATGTACCCAGACTTATACCCGGCACCCGTTGGCGAACGATCGGAACAGAACGCGAAAAAGAAGAAGATCGACCTCAAGGTCTACATCAACCAAGGTTGCCATGGCGAGATTCTAGCCAAGGTCACAAAGAAGCACCACTGCTGCAACACCGTCAATGGAGCGGTTCTGGAGCTGAACAGCCTTCCGGAGAAGTGTGCTGCCGCGGTATATCGAGACCTGAATTGTCAAGGCTCACCTCAGCTTGACATTGACAACGGTGCAAAGCCGGGTTGCTTTGATTCTATCAACTTCAGCAGCGTGCTGGTGAGCTGTTGAAAGAAGGTTGTAATCTCCATGACAGTGCACCAAGTCAAAATGGATAAGAAATACTACTACATACTCGCCAAGCAGCTAGAGCTGACGTTTTGTCTGCAATTTAAATACTTACATGCAAAATATGCGTTGGCCTTTACTGGTCGCAGAACTTTCGTAGCGAAAGGCTGAGTTGCGTTCCTGAACACGACATATCTTCATTCCGACTTTCAGCTTGGACACACCGGTTGTCGGCTCGCAAATTAGAAATTGATGATTCGATCGCTTGGCTTTAGATGCCGCCAAGTCCTGCACTTGCACAAGATCAGCTGAGGCTGCAGGTTTGGTGCAGTAACACCTTCAGCCGCTTCACTTCGTCACTTCTCGACATTGAGTACATGTACAACGCCCAAGCATCATAACCGCTCGATGGCCAAGGACCTCCAGCCTGAATGGATGGCGCGGCTAACGGAAAGGACGACGCGAGAGATGGCCTCAAAAGGCGCGCAGACTCCACTGAGGCGCCCAGCCGAAGAAAGCGCCGATTGCCTGCCAGGTCTCTACCGTTGGAGTCCTACTTGGTCGGATGGATAGTGGCTCTCGACGATGAGCTCACCGCTGCATTAGCCATGCTCGATGAGCAGCACGCTGAGCCAGAGGACTTCGAGCAACCGCAGAATGACACGAATACGTATCGTTGGGGGCACATTGGAGCTGGGTTGAACTACCACAACATTGTGATTGCATCTTTGCCGGGGGTCTACGGCATTGCGAGCGCAGCGACGACCGCCAAGGAAATGAGCATATCTCATCCTCACATCCGCTTTGGTCTTTTGGTGGGCATTGGTGCCGGCGTTCCACGACCAGATCACGATGTTCGACTTGGTGACATTGTGGTCAGCCGTCCATTGGGTACTAGCGGTGGAGTGATTCAATACGACTTGGTAAAAGCCAAGACGACAGGTTCAGAACTCACCGGACACCTTGCTGCCCCGCCAGCTGCTCTTCAGAAGGCGGCCATGAGTCTTGCTTCCCATCACGCCCTTGAAGACTCGGAAATACCTGAAATCATCGAGGAAGTCTTCGAAAAGCGTCCGAAGCTTGCCAAGTCTGGCCAGTGGGCGTATCCAAAGAGTGAGCGAGACAGGCTGTCCGCAGAGACTTACCTGCGAAGTGGGTCGGAGATATCACTGGCAGAGGATCGCACAGACGCTGAAGGTGATGTTGTTCGGGAAGGGCGAAAAACATTGTGCCCTGAGATCCACCTTGGCATCATTGGCTCAGGGGACACGCTGGTGAAGGACATTGCACAGCGAGAATCCATCCTCCAAAGACTCCCAGCGGAATGCTTGTGCCTGGAGATGGAGGCTGCTGGCTTAATGAATGCTTTTCCATGCCTGGTGATCCGTGGCATATGCGACTATGGCGACTCAAGAAAAAACGACAAATGGCAAAAGTATGCTGCACTTGCCGCCGCTGCATATGCGAAAGACCTGCTCGACAGCATGAAGGTGCGAGAAGTGTCGAGAACTCCCAAGGCCGTGGCAGCTTTGAAAGCCCAAAGTCAGTAGATTTTTTTCCGGATTCAGGACGACGTAGTTGACAAAGCCAAGTTGAGCAGATACATGAGAAGACTTCAGTCCTCACGGAATTGGCCAGCGAGCAGCATCATGACATCGTCTTGGACTGGTTGTGTGGTGTTGATTACTCCGTCCAGTTGAATCAGCATCTGGCCAGCCGTAAGGATGGCACTGGACAATGGCTATTGCAACATACGACTTTTGTGAACTGGGTATACACTGACGGGAGCGCCAGCCTGCTCTGCCAAGGAAGTCCTGGCGTTGGAAAGACAACCCTGATGTCTTTGGTGATCGATCATCTCACCAGTACCAAACACACCTCCGACGTACCTGTGTTGTACCTATACTGCGATTATCGGCTTGAAGATGAGCAGAGTCTTTCATACTTTCTGGCAGTACTCCTCAAACAACTGGGTTCGTCCGATGGTGCAACGCTTGACCGCATCAGCAAACTCTACATTGAACATCACGCCAAAAACAAAAGACCGTTCGAAGCACAGTTGAAGGAAGAGCTATGTGAAGTTGTCGAGTCTTTGAAGGGTGCTTATATTGTACTCGATGCTCTCGACGAGTGCAAGCGACATGTGCGGACGGAACTCATAGCCTTTATACGCCAATTGCAAGCCCAGGGCCGACTCAAGCTGATAGTATCTTCCCGATCTATACCAGAAATCTCGAGATTGTTTCAAGCAGACCCTTGCCTGCCAATACGAGGTAAAGATGCTGACGTACAGACTTACGTGTTTTCGCGGGCGGCTGAGCTATCCCCGGCAGTTCATGACACTGTAGGTTTGGCGCAACGAGTGGTGGAAAGGATCATTGACGCTGTGGATGGCGTGTAAGTGCGAAAGGCGGTCGCTCACCAATGGACGGCCAACGAGCTAACGTTGGAGTAGCTTTCTTCTAGCAAGACTGTATGTCGATTTGCTTCTAGACGCTGTCACGGCGCAGGACGTGGAATCCACCCTTATCAACTTTGCAACGAAGGCAGATGTTGAATCTGGGATGGCGTACGACATAGCGTATCGAGCAGCTTTAGCCCGAGTGTTCAGGAACAAAGGAAGGAGATTGCAGCTTGCGAAGGCTGCTTTTGCTTGGGTCACCTTTGCCAAACGGCCCTTGGACAGGACAGAGCTACAACACGCGCTGGCTGTCGATAGCACCAGCACCACGCTTAACCTGCCAGACATCGACTATGTTCTTGGCTTTTGTGCGGGCTTACTGGTCTCTCCTGGCCTCAGCCGTCGAAATGAGGGATTCTACCATGTGACCTTGGTCCATGAGACTCTCAAAGAGTATTTGGTGCGGAAACAAGACTGGTTCCCTAGGGTCCTCTACAATCTTGCGTTCACAAGCATGAAGTATCTGTCTCTTGACTTTGAGAGTCCAAAGAGTGCCAATGAGAAGCTATTCAGCCCACGACAACTCACATTCGTGGACCATGTGGGTCCACCGGAGACGTACACAGGCTGTGAGGCCAGACAGTGGCAACTCATGGGCGCTGGTCTTGGCGAGTACGCCCTCAAGTGGTGGCTGCTTCATGTTCAAGACGCAGTACGAGCTCAGCTCGCTGATGCTGAAACACAATGCTTGCAGCAAGTCGCAAAAGCACTTTTTATGACCGGCGGTCCATTCAGCTTACGCAGAGGCTGGTATCTCTTTTGGGAGACACCTTACCATGTCGTTGCAAGGGGAGGTTTGTCGTTGTTCTGGGACGCTGCGGTCGCATCTGGAACCGACCCTGGCGAGATCGATTCTGGTGGCAGGACGCCTCTTTCACATGCTGCTGAGTATGGCCGAGCGGCCTTGGTTGAACGACTGTTACAACTACCATCAGTGGAGCCGAATCATCAAGATGAGGAGACTTTGTACACGGCTCTACACCATGCGGTATTCCAGAGGCACGCAGCCGTCGTGAAGACTCTTGCCCCTTGGGTGGATGTAGAAGCCATCGATATGCATGGCAAGACGGTATTGGCTCACATCTTCGAGGCGCGTTCATGGAAAACTGGGAAAGAGCTCTTCCCCTACGTCGACTCGAGTCAAGTCTTGAAATTGGCCGTGTGTGGAGGTCACGACTCGATTGTGGGCTTTCTGGACCAAGAGTACTACCGCCTAAGACTCGTGAGAGCAAAGGGGTGGACTGGAAATTACTTCTCCAGTCAGCTCTACAGTCCGGGTCAAAACGAATAACCTCACACCTTTTGAATATTCTCCAGAGCGCCCCAGACTTGGGCAACGAGTCAGTCAAGGGACTCTATGCGGAGTTTCGGGCCCAGTTGGCGTATGATACAGCAATCAAAGTGCAGCCTGGGTCCCAACGCCTACTCCCTGGACCAAGTGCTGGAAGCAAGCGTCTGGAATGGACTCCTGACACTGCGCCCAAGCTGGAACTTCTGAGTGTTTCTCATCCGAACTTGGCGCGAGACCTCCAGGAGGAACCTAGTCACTATCGACTTCTTCTTCAAATGAAGTACTCGGGTCTCAAACGCAGCCTAAGAAACAATCTCTTGCCAGCGGACATTAAGGACTTGAAATGTGCCGCGCTGAGGTCCCTTGAAGAGGATGAGCCCTGGCTTTGCACTTCAACGACTGCTGGTGTGGACAATGGACTGTGGCCGCGTGATTGCGGGATGTGATTTGTTTTGATTTTCTTTCATGCCCCCGCCAGATTGGCCGCACAGGCAACGAGTGCGACTGAAATCTCGGGCTACTTGTCGAAAGCGAGAATGGGGCAGTCGTGGCCAAACGATCCAAAAGATGCTCCGAGATGACGACAGGAGGCAGGAATAATTTGAATCTTGAGGACCCAAGGGAGCGATTGACTGTCTCTGGCAAGCATGAAGCGGTATGACCGAACTCGAAGCACAGTGAAAGTCCAGCTCCCGGAACCGAGAGCCCAGAAGTCGAAAATGGCGCGGTCATGGTGGAATCTCAGAGAGACCAGCAGATTTTCTTCCTTGCACTGATCTCGGTGTCATCGACGATATTCGATCGATCTAGGGTAAAAGACCACTTCTGTCGATATGCAAGCGCCGGTTTCTCGGAGTTCGGGCCAAGGGTCAAGATATGTCTGCATACAGCCTGGCAATCGTCGCCTTGCCTGAACCAGTGCCGGCGCTTCGAAGCAGACCAACGATGACGGAGCAGAATATCCAGAGAGGGAAACACCACAGGTGCTTGATTGAGAGTTTGGCCTCGACATGACTAACTAGCAGCAAGGGACCTTAGTCACACCCATCTCAAGATCCACCTGCCACGACAGGAGCAGCCCTGAGCCCTTAGGACCTAATCCTCCTCTGTTCACCACCTATCATCAAGGGCTCCAGCGTCTCCACCAAGGCATGTGTAGTTGAAGGAGTCGTTGGCATCGTGCAGAAGCTCGACTGCGCGAGGCGAGGGCTAGCCTGTGGGGCGCATACCAGGCGTTGAAGGAGTCGAGGGAGTTACGTCCCCCGATACGCCACTGTGGTCCTTGATCTGCAGGATCGAGGCAACCTTTTGGCCCCTATCACGTTGTCGCTGATCGAGCCATTGGCCCGCAGCCGGCAGGTTATGTAGATATGGTGGTGGTGGTGGTGGTGGTGGTGGTGGTGGTGGTGGCACGAGGGTCGGCAGCGAGGAGATTGATCCAAGAAACTTTATCCTCGTGGCTCGGTATCTACGGACAAGGTAAGAGCGAGTCCTTCATGTGGCACGTACTGTGAAGGTTAGTGAACGTCCTCGGGCCCAAGTGGAGGAGCGAAGAGTGTACGCTACAGTAGACGCTTCGACGATTGACACAAGTCACTCAACATCAAGCATCTGGAGATGACGGACGAAGGATGGAGAAGGGGCTATTCAGTCAACAGGGCTTGCTGACCAAGGCTTCGTATGGATATGGGCAATGCAGCAATGTCCCAGTGTTATCGCAACCGAGCTTGTCTGGTCCCCAAACCGATCCCTGCCTTGATGAATGCAAACCACTATGCTCCTGCAAAGGCTGGAGAAGTCGACAATGCTGGGCTCAGCATCGACTTGTAGCAACATCGAGGGCACCGGCTTGGTTTCTGACCTAGGCTGTTTGCCAGTGCTGGCAACTGTGTTAAAGGTCTGCACTACCAAGCGTTCACGAGATCGGTTCCAACAAGCTTGAGTAGACGACTCAGCGATAGAACGATTCTGTGTGCCTTTTTCCCATGCTGGCGTATCTCTGACAGCATGGCGACCGTATGGTGGAACGGTCTCGAACATTTCAACAGAGAATGCCCGAAAGTCCTAGAATATTGCCTTGGGCACGTTTGGAAGCTATGCTGAGTCCTACACTCGAATGCAGGCAACGTGCTGAGGTTCATCCATTTTATTTCCGACAGTGTCTGAACGAACTCATTGCTGGAGCACTCGAGATCTATCATCATCCGTCGAATTGACAAGGATTGTGTACAAGCTCGGAGAGATGAATTCTGTCAAGCCATCGATGACTGCGCCTTTTCTCGAAAGTGTCACCTCATCCAACACTACTCTCGCCCTCAACAATTCGAACTCTGGCAAACGTTGTCCTGCCTCCGGAGGTCGCTGTGCTTCTCAAATTTTGGCTTGTTGGTAGTATTCGAATCGTCTCGTTGGTGAACGCTGATTAGACAGGCTAGGGAGGCCTCGACGACGCTGAAAGTTAGGACGGTGTAAGTAGAAACGCGAGAGTACGCAACAGAGCTGCTTTGGAGAAATGGTGGTTGGAGGTATTCGGAATGATGCCGTGAAGCTTGTCATGATACCGAAAGGCAAGCCAAATTTTCTCTACCGTCATTTCTTTGTAGGCCGCGTATACACGCGGTGCTGGCGGTGCCCGGCGATTGCAGGGCGTATAGTCTTGCGATTCGTCACTGCAGGCGGTGTCGCTGGGGCCTTGGGTATAGATAGAATATATCGATACGTCGACAGTCGAGGCAGTGTACGTCTCGTTCGCGTAGACGTATACGGGAGCGCGTTCCTCGGACAACGGGTCGACGCTCGGGCGAACGATGAAGCGACGTCCGCTCTTCTGCCAAGCAGTCCCTTAATCATCCTCAACGTCCGCAGGATCGCAAAGGATTCGGCCAGCCCGCGTGGTTAATCATCCTCGAATCCTCGATGAAAGAGGGATAGTGTGCGACAGACAGACTTCGGCGAGACTTCGCCGGGACGAACCTGCTCGCAACCGACAACTCCACCTCCTGGCCAGGACCCGACGCCGACATCCACATGATACTGCCTCCAGCCGCTTTAGTTACGTGAGGGCTGAGACCCGGGGTAGTGGTTCAGCGATGGGGGCAGTGAAGCCTGCTGTGCCGCAGATCTGCTGTTGGGTGACGAAGGCCAGAGCCCATATATTCATAAGCCATCTAGCCATCTCGCGCTGAAAATGAGCCTCCAACTTCAATCGACAGCCTTGAGTGCAGCCTGATCATGGCTCTTAAACGATTTCACACCAAATCCCGTCTGGGGTGCAGTCAGTGCAAGAGTCGCAGGATCAAATGCGATGAGACGCCGCCTTGCTGCGGAAACTGTGCCAAAAAGGGCATCGAATGCGACTACCAAGACCTCCAGCCTGCTATTGACAACCTCCAACTCTTCACGCCAGCGACCTTCCCCGCCAGCCTGCAACGACCGAGAAAGGCATCCTCACCCGGATCGGTGTCGTCTTCGAGCATTTCCTCGCGGACGTCCAAGACATCGAAGGCGTCCAGAACATCCAGGTCGACGGGGTTGTCTGGTCTGTCTGGAGTTTCGGCAGTTAGTGGAACGGCATTCAGTCTACAGGACTTGGGTCTGCTTCATCATTTCACGGTACAGACGGCTCAGACACTACCCGCATTCGACTGCGAGCAATACCGCATCATCTGGCAGCATGAAGTCCCGCGGCTCGCTCAAACCCATGGGTTCCTCATGCACGCCGTCATCGGCTTCGCGGCAGCACACCAAGCAACAGTGAGCCACGAGCAATCGAGTAGAGATGCAGCACGCCATCATTATGTCGAAGCACTCAAGGCTTTCCGCAACCAAGTCGAAGCGATCACCACGGACAAGGCTGATGCTCTGCTATGCTTCTCCATCCTCGTCTGCTTCCTCACGCTGTACTTCGAATCCGAGAAGCCACCCGAAGCGCGAGACCCAATCACCGAATTCATCAGTCTCATGCACACCATTCACAGCTCCATCGGACTTCTTTTCCAAATCCGTGATACCCTACAGACCAGCACTATCGGCTACCTGCTACAGCACACGTGGAACCGACAACATCATGCTATCGCCCCAGAAGTCAACGACTCGATCACGATGTTGGAGGGCCTAGCTTTACAACACGCTGACCATCCCTCCCCTGTACTCGATTCGTCCGGCACGGGCGAGGCCATCAGCAAGCTGCGCCGTTTTTACACTCTTTCCAGCCCCAGACCGGTTGACTGGGTCCACATCCTGTCATGGCCCATATCTCTGGACCCAGACTTTTCGTTGCTACTGGAGGCACGGAACCCTGTTGCACTCTGTACCTTGGCACATTGGTGTGTTCCTGCTTGCAACGCGCCTACCAAATGGTGGGTGGGAGACTTCTTCAACGGGCTTCTGTCGGCCATAGCTCTGCATCTCGCCGGGACCGAGTTTGACGACGCCATGGCGTGGCCCGTCAGTGAGACTTTGAACTTGGCAGCCATCGACCCCAATCTTTGAGGGTTCTGATCCTGCCGCCTCCACTAGAGGATACGACGTAGGGCACTCGCACGCTTGTGCTGGCATCGGCTGCAGGCAGCTCGAGAAGGAAGAGTTGCATTTAGTTCAGAGAGCGGGATTCAGCGCTTGGGGTTGCATTGATAATCGGCATAGCAATCAGTCATCAACACCATCCATCGGCATGCGCATGTGTCACTGTGTCATTGTTGGTTTCCCCATACAGTATTTGATTGTTTGCCCAAAGTAGAGTGATCTGCCAAGTAAGCCGCTAAGTGGCTATCAGACTCATCTAACTATTGCAGCAACTGAGATTCCACCCCAACCCATCTTGATCCCGTCATTTACTGTACTTCAAGAAAATACAAGTTGAATGTCATGTTGTCCTTCTAGTATAGTCCGCACGGACCACTTGTGGGAAATGACGACCTTGGGGCAGGAATTTAACCCGATCTAGTTCGTCCCTTCGTTCTTCAACACCTCATCAAGTCTTTACTTCTTGAAGTTCATCACGACGACACTGACCAGAATGTTGTCATCGTTCAAGACTAAGGATTCTGTTCGACCGGCCTATTGCACGTCGACTTCGGGCAGAAGTCGCACGCCAAGGGCAAGGAGTTGTAGTTGCGGCCGAGCTCACATAGGGCAAGGTCTTGCGATGCCACCAGGAAAGCTGCATTCATCGCTCTTGCGATAGCTTCTGATCCAGGAATACCTTCGTCAAGATTGCAATGCCAATAACTGCGATGTTTAGCTATCCGCTGGTCGCCGGCAGCGACGTTAGCGATCCGTGCAGAGCCGCTGAAGGCGAGATGATGAAAGACCTTGACACGAAGTTCGAAAAATACTCTCCCCGACATGTTTACTTCGGCCGGCAGAATGAACGACCTGACATGCTTGAAGCCCTGATTAGTGGGTTTCGACCCGCAAAGACATACACGTCTGACTGACCAGTTCCCAGCCTACGAAAGTGCCAATAACGACAAAGACTGGTCCAGCGAACGTAAGGAAAGCGTGGAGAAAAACAATACTGAAGCAGACGCAAGATGTCATGTCGAGTTGAATCCTTACGACGACCTGGAGCAGGGTCTCAATTGTCCTGTCACCGAAGTAGCCACGTTCTATTTCTCTGGGGAGCCCCTAGCAGAGTATCTCAACGTCTTTTCTGAATTCCGCGCCGCGGCGGCAGACGAGAAGGGCTGTGGTCTACTTGCATCGGCAGGAGGCATCGCAGAGGAAGAGATGGAGTTCAACGGATCGAAGGGAAAGGCAGCAGTATTCGTTGCAGGCTGGCGGTCTGTGGAGGCACACAAGGACTTCCAGAATACGAACACGTTCAAGGAACATATGCCCAAGATGATGCACTGGATTGGGAAAGTCGACGTATGCCATGTGTCGTTCCGGCGACGGGTATGAATTCTTTATCTTCCTCACGACTGACGAGACACTGAAGCCTCAATCTTTCCTGTACTGCCGATTAGTTTGTTCGGACAGCTTGGAAGTTCATTGGCTGCTGTTGACATGGTTCTTTGCAGCAAAGGAATACTCCAGCCGTGAACAGCGGACTTAAGCGGCGATCCTTCATCGTCCGCATATAAACTACCGTAATAGGCAAGTTGGCACCAGATTGACCTCAATGAGAGCGAGAATTGAAGGTGAAGAATGGAATTGACAACGGAATGCATGAGGGGTATAAAAGCCTGGGCGACCGGCGATATTCGAACTCATCAAACCATTTCGTCTCTTGATCAAGACTACAACTGGCAGAACATCAGATCTCATCGTCATGTCCACGAGCTCAGCTACCCATCGTACGCTGGGTAAAGATGGTCCGTCAGTGCCACCATTGGGCCTCGGACTCATGGGCTTGTCTGGAGGCTATGGCAAAGCACCTCCCGATGAAGAAAGATTTAAGTTTTTGGACAGAGCTGTTCAACTTGGAGCGACTTTCTGGGATACCTCTGAGTGAGTGCCAATGGGAAGAAAGGCTTGACAAAACGCTTACAACACCCAGCCTGTATGGAGACAACGAGGCCATGCTCGGGAAATGGTTCAAGCAGACCGGCAAACGCAATGAGATCTTCCTTGCGTCCAAGTTCGGAATTAGCATGAAGTCTAGGGATGTCGCCAGCTTCGTGATTGACAGTTCCCCTGAGAATTGCAAGAAATGCTGTAATGGTAGCCTGGAGAGACTGGGTGTTGACTGCCTTGATCTATGTTCGTCTGTACGGAACATCATTATTCACTTTGGGTGGCTGACGTTAATCTAGACTACGCTCATCGGGTGAATCCTGATATCCCTATCGAAAGCACCATGAGAGCTATGGCCGAGCTCAAAGCGTACGTCCCACCAAGCGCCCTTCTGAACCTGCACTTACTGATGGAAATCTATACAGAGAAGGCAAAATCAAAAATATTGGCCTGTGTGGAGTGAGCTCAGCAACTCTACGTCGAGCCTGCAAAGTCGCTCCAGTAGCTGCAATCCAGATGGAATACTCGCCCTTCTCTCTCGACATCGAACAAGAGAAAGGCACCTACCTTCTGCAAACTTGCCGCGAGCTTGGTGTAGCAGTCGTCTGTTACTCACCTCTGGGCCGGGGCCTCCTGACCGGAGCCTTCTTGACACAGGAGTCGGTCAGCGGAGCAGGCGACAACCGTGCCAAAGTCTTCCCTCGATTCAGTGAAGAGAACATCGCTGCCAACGCTAAATTGGTCAACCAATTCAAAGCTCTCGCCGACAAGAAGGGATGCACCACGTCGCAGCTTGCACTAGCTTGGCTCCGAGCACAGAATGGCATCGTCATACCGACCCCAGGGACCAAGAAAATCAAGTACTTGGAAGAGAACTGGGCGTCACTCGACGTGCAGTTGACAAGCGAGGAGGAGGAGGAGATCCGGGCTTTCGTCAATAGTGTGGAGGTCATGGGCGGCAGGGAGCCTCCATCGGGCGAAGGGTATGGCTTCGTGGATACTAGAGAAGAGGCCTAGCATGCACCGAAGAGTAGGTAAGCATAGCGAGCATGAGGTAGCAAATATGACAAAGGTTTGTCAGCCTTGGCCGTGGAATCATGGAAAGACTATTTACCGCATGAGGAATCGCTGCAGCCTGGTCGTGTATGGCGGTGCCGATATGACAAACAACGCTGTCGCTCAGAACGGCAGTCGACAAGCTTTCGGAATTCCTCTGGCCCCCACAACAATTGGAAACTACGTTCGACGAATAGGTTGCTTGATCGAAGCGGTTATCGCCGACGGACATGCAATGTGCCCGCCCTACTACGTCTACTTTACGAATCCTTCATCCTGCAAGGTCTCCTAAAATCTCCACATGCAGTATCAGCCAAGATGCATGGGGTACCCTCACACATCTTGCGCCGGCAGGAGTGTGGACGGTTCCTGGCGAACTTCATGCTGCCCTAATCGGTAGAGTAAACTCTAACATACCTGACGCTAGTTGCTTCCATCACATGCGTGCATGGATGCTCTCCTAGGCTCGTCTAGGAGTGACGTTCTATGGTCGCGCTCCTGTGAGAGGTCACGCCTCGTGGCAAGAGACGCCATCGAGAGTGGGCACCATCACAAAACCATGATGTCGTGGACATGGGTGAGCAATATTTCACTTCACTGGTCTGCTTCGGCATCATGCCGAAGAACCAAGTCCGAAAAACCGCCCTTGGCCGACAGCTGAAAGACGACCCCGTCTCAAAACGCCGGGAGGCAGAACTGCATCGACGCCGTGTCACATCAGACTTCACGATACATGTCGCCCTACGCTCAAGCATGCAGCTAAATCCTCATCGTCGGCTGGTGGATCAACCAGCCATCCGAAGGCTTTACCTCGACGCTCCTCCAACACCGCATGCACGCATGTGCCCACCGGGTCCTGAATCCTTTGGCCCGAACCTTTTCGATCCACGACATGCTCTGCATGATGAGGCGCAACCCAATGAGCTCGGGGTCCACTGCACCGACGGCAAGGCCGCATGATGTGTGATGTGAAGGAGTGAATCGTAATGGATGAAGTGTCCGCGGTCCGGCAAATTACCACACGAGGCTTGTGTGGTACTGCCCGGAATCTGACGATCTTTCGGACCCGCTCCGATTTCTCCTCCGTTCTCTCTCTCGGCGCCGAAGTACTTCAGTTCGAAGTACTCGATACAAACAAAGCAACAGATCAACGATGAGATGCTGATTGATCCCTCCTAAACCAGACAGAGCCTTTGCAATCTTCGGACCAAGGCCGAGTCCTATCATTTCGGTGCCGAAGAATGGGTGTTGTCAAAATTGTTCACTCCGTAGGATCTCATACGCAGCGACGATCGCACAACAGAGCCAAGAATGACGACGAATCCTGAACTGATGGTTCTTCAGGCGTTGTAGGGCAGACAAGGAGCGGAATAGCGTCGACACCGCATGGACCCCTGGTTGATAATGAAGCCCTATGTAATGCGATGGGAAGTGTCAGTGGATGAAATTGGCGTTGGCATTGATGATTCGTCTAGCATAAACTTTTGGACCACAGGTGGCCACCATCACTCTTCTACGAAGAGTTCGAGTTGTCGGCGCAAGACCATGGAGCGGTGCGATCCTCCGAGTTGATAATTCCAACAACGGAGCCGTAGGTGCCACCAATCATGATGAATGCGCCGAGAACGATCATGGCGATACTCCAGGAGACGCCGAACGTCCACTTCCAGTCGCGCTCGGACTTGCTTCTTCTGTAGTTGTCGTGCAGCCACATCAAGCCCCTATGGAAGCGTTAGTCTCAGTCCACACGGTTTGAAGCGAAGTACTTGCATTGGAATGAAGCTCATGAAGGAAGCCAACAGGGCACCGATGAGGGAGATGAGGCCATCGAAAACGGGAATGCCGGAGCCAATGAGGTATCCGATTATGGTTATACCGCCGGTGCAGCCGAACCAGACCATCCAGTGGATGGGTGTGTTCGTGGTCAAGTGCTTGGTGCCACGCATGAAGCGCATGAAGATGCTCTTGGCCGGCAGGTGGACGAACAACATGCACGAGGCGACCAGACCGGGCAGGGCGAGGCCGTAGCAGACTCTCTTCATTGTGACACCAGCAGATCCGAGAGCGGGCGAGGCAACATAGGATCCGCAGTAGTAGTAGACGACGATGCCGATGATGAGGTAGACGAGAGCGACAGCCCCCTGTGCGATCATGAGGGACTTGGTGTAGTCCCTTGGATTCCTCATCTCTGAGATCACCGAGAAGAAAGCCGGAGAGCCAGCAAATGCGAAGACAATGGTCGCGACGGCGGAGATGGCTTCCTCAAAGGTTGGGTCTCCAATGACCTTGAAGTCGCTCTTGAACGGGCCTTCTTGTGGAGCAGCGGCAGGGCGGTCTTGTACACCAACTGCGATGGTCAGGGAGAAGACAGCGGTAAGGATACCAGCGACACCCGCCCAAGCGATCCAGGAGACCTTTCCGAGTGTCTGGATGCTGCCGAAGGAGAAGCCGATGATGGCGGCGACCGCAACGAAGATGGCCGTGCATGCGCCGTGCAACGACAGCGAATTGAATCCGATGGAGATACCCAACATTGCAGATGCTGCGAGGAAGGTAAAGTCTTTATGGTGTGAGTTTATTATTCTCCTTCAAAGATATGTACTGATGCTTACAGATGTTGAACCCCCAGTACAGAATCTCCTTGCCAATGCGCCCTCCAACGATTTGACCAGCATCATCGATACCGTAAACCTGAGGATGCAGAAGCTTGAAGACACCGACCATCCATCCGGACCAAGTGGTCATCGCTGCGATGAGGCAGATGATGATGACACCCGGGACCATGCCAAGTGTATGCAAGGCTGAAGGTATACCAAGAACACCCAGTCCAATCTGGGTCTTCATCATCAACACGACCGTCCCCATCCAACCGACCTGTCAAGATTCGTTAGCACTTCTTCGGTTTGCCGATGATTTTTCACATACATCGCGATAGTTCGGACCGTCCTCGCTGATCTCACCGAACACTGCGTCCTGGTTGACATCGTCAATCTTCGGCAAGTCGTCTATTTCGCCAACGCCTCTGGTCTGAACCGGCGGGAGGTCCTCTCCGACCTTCTTTTCTCCGTACATGATGAATTGATTGTCGAGGAGTGCGAAGAAAGGGTAGAGGTGATGGATGGTTGTCGCGTGGCCTTCAAAGAGGGGAGAGAGACGCCTTGAAATAGAGTGTCCGCCGTTCGCACGTTGCCCACGGTATCTGAACTAATTACTTGATAGTTTTTGCATGCCCATGGGGGCGGCTATTGACGGATCCACGGCAGGACTTCCTCGATGAGCAGAAGCGGCGATAACTGCAGCCTCGCTGAGGGTTCTTCTGCTTCAGAAAGCGATCTTGTTCGTTCGGTGTTTTGGGGTGGAATGCGAACCCATGTTCGACCCATAGTGCAGCCGATGTGGTCCCCGTATAGGCTCCATTCTCCACGCAGATATTGCGACACAAATCGCTTGGCAGCGAATCGATACCGCCGCGGTAGATACGGTTACCAAGTTGTCGAATCGTTTGGTAAGAATGCCATGCTTTGATCGCTCTGCGACATTTTTGGGAGCACGACCGGTCTGAATCTAGTGTGTTTCTGATGCTTCTAGAAAAATGCCGCACGGAGACTAGAAGGCCTTAGAGCGTGTAGTGCAGATTCTAGGCGATGGTGCCGATGTTTTACAAACGTCAAAAGGTGATGTCGTTGTTGTTCATTGCTGTTTTCGCTATGCTTATTGTGCGATGTGATGGGAACAGGCGAGAATCGGTGTTTTGGTCTCAGACTGGAGTGAGGATCGGTCTTTGCTGTGGGAACGCGAGATTCTCGGGAGCATTTGCGGAATTCGCAGATGTGTTTAAACCGTCGGTCTACGAGGAGCCGGATAGGGCATGTAAGCAATGGCTGTGTAACAGCATCATCAACAGACTGGGCGGTACAGCTTACTCGAAACCGCGTATTCGATGCTCGAGGTCCCCAGCGGAGCAGTGAAGTGTCCTTTCCCGAGCAGAGAGATGTAATGCCAAGGTAAAAGGCAGTTGAAACGGCATAGTGACATGGCTTGGCCTACATAACTGCCGCCACGATTCCGGTGGGTATGTGCGATTGCCGAAATGTCATCGATTGTGGAACACACGTGAGACGTAGGGAAAGGCTTCAAGCGCGCGTTTGAGGAGCCCATCGAAGCGGCAAAGATTCGTCGACATGGCACATTCGGAGCTTCAAGACGGCCAGTGAACGGGGTCCCGACTTCGACTCGACCGACTCACGCTTGCGATGGTCCTCGAGCATGCTAATCCAAACCAGCCACGTCGATGGATTTACACAGCCGGATCCAAACTGAAGATGAGGTTCGAGGCGCATGTTTGCAGAAGGATTACCCACATGAACTCAGATAGAAGAGTGTCGTACCGCGGGACGATTGTCGAACCCAGGGATCCAGAACCATTGTGAGCCAGAGTGGTCTTCACTATTCTTCGAGCACGGCCGACCATTGCAACTTGAACTCTTCCAGCTTTGTCAAGGGTGGCAGCTCTCACGTGGACATTCTGGGGCGTAGTCGTCCCAAGTGTTGGGTTGATTTCGACGACTGCTTGATGGACGGATGTATGAACGGCTCGTTGACTTGTTTATCTGCAGTTGACTCCAGCTCTTCATCGTCAGCATGGAGTCTTTGCGGTGCCAGACGGAGCAAGAGTGACGAAAGTCAAGTTGCCATCTACTCACCAAAACAAACACCATGGGTTCGAGGCTGACTCATGACTAGGGTGGAGGACTGCAAAGAGGAGCGCACAGTTGTGGAGCGTGTCTGACCAATCATCTGTTTCCTTTTCCGAGCAAGCGAATGAACATTCACTTACATTTAGCCAGATGCACGGATATAATCCTTTGGCCCGTTCCCAATTGCGAGATAACACTCATTCGAGGCAAGCATCGCCAATATCCATAATGGGTTACGTGGTATAGTCGTCGAAAATGTTCCTCCAGGAATGTCGCCCGTCCTTTCACGATCGTACGCGGAGCTTCGCCAGCATTAGCATACACACATTATGGTCTCTGTGCGCGGAAAATGTTAGCTGGCCCTATCCAGTATCATCGAGTTGCTTGATGAAGCTTGGTTGGCGTAAGACGACTACGGGAAAACGCCAAATCCCCGAGGGTAGCTGTTCCGTGTGCGCGTAGGACTCTGGAGTAGGCGATGATCGGCAGAGTATTCGATCTCACCCATGAACAAGACATCCTTGCACGGTTGTCATCCGCATTCGCTTTCCAGTGCAAGCGCATGGAGTTCTCCTTGCGAATGCCACTCGAGAGTGTCGTCCTCGTTGTCCGCCGTTCGTCACTCTCTCTGCCAGCCCACTTCGTCGTTCCGCAACAAAATGGCAGCAGAACCGCCGAGCACATGGACCCAATTCTTTCCACCGAAAGCAGCTTTCACTGACAAGGACATTCCAGCTGACTTGGCGGGGAAGGTGTACATCATCACGGGAGCGAGCTCTGGCATTGGAGCAGAATTGACCCGGATTCTGTTCTCAAAGAATGCAAAGGTCTATCTCGCGTGCCGGTCAGAAGAGAAAGCGAAGAAGACCATCGACAATGTCACTGCCGCAGTGCCGCATTCGAAAGGCAAACTCGTCTTCATTCACCTTGATCAAGCCGATTTGAGCAATGTCAAGAAGGCAGCTGAAAGCTTTCTCGCACAGGAGTCGAGGCTCGACGTTCTCTTCAACAATGCTGGCGTAATGACTGGGGAATCCAAGCCGCCAAAGAAGACGGTGCAGGGGCACGAGTTAGCACTCGGCGTCAACTGTGTTGGGCCATTTCTACTCACCAAGCTCTTGACGCCTGTGCTCAAAGCGACTGCCCAGCAAGAGCAGTCTGGCGCTGTGCGTGTGGTATGGTTGAGCTCTTATGGTCTGGTTGCCTACGCCCCGAATGAGAAAGGCATTGACATGAGCAACCTTGACTACCATGTCCCCAAGACTGGAATGGATCGCTATGGCATCAGTAAAGCTGGTGACTGGCTGCTATCCGCTGAATATGCGAATAGGCACAAGTCCGATGGTATCGAGAGCGTGGCGCTGAATCCAGGGAACCTTACCACTGAACTGGCCCGGAACCAAGGCTGCATGATTAAGCTGATTGCAAGTGCGGTATGCTACCCGCCCATTCACGGTGTTTATACATTATTGTTTGCGGCCTTCTCTCCAATGATAAGCAAGGCCGATTGGACCACTGAATGGGGTAAGTGACAGTGTCGTTGGCTTGCGCTCCAAGTACTCATTTCGCTGCACAGTCATCCCATGGGGTCGTCTTGCCCCTTTGCGAAAGGATCTTCCGGTTGCTGTCAAACCCAAGGAGCAGGGCGGCAATGGAAACGCGCAGGAGTTCTGGGAGTGGAACGAAGAGCAGGTGAAGGACTACCTCTGAGGGCGTCCCAGTTGAGGAACATCATGGTCTTGGGGCCAGGAAGTGAAGCGTATTCAGTAGTGAGAAGTAACAACGGCCAGCTCTCAGCGAAATTGGAACGCTTGTTTTGTGTACTCTGAAGCTTGCACGCGATCCCGTTCGGGTGAAGTGAAGGAGCTTTTAGACTTCACGCCAGCGAGAGCTTGGCATCGACGTCAGGCTGACTAAAAATCGAGTTCGACTTCGCGCCGAATAGATGTAGACTCCAGTTGCCACAAACATCTTACTCCCAAACCTCACCATCACCATGAAGACGACTAGGAGCATTCGATCGTTCCAGCGAACCTTCGAACAGGCATTCCGATCACACTACGCGCCATTCAGGACACAACCACAAGCCCGAGCTTTGCACCTCCCTACTCCTACGACCCGCCTGGCAGCATCGCAAAAAGTTCTCCAGCCAAGACGACACCACTCCACCGACGCCGAGTCGACGCAAAGACCTCTGACCGATCGCGAAGCAACGAGCACTTCAGACGCCGACTCGATCGCCCTCCGCAAAGCCCTGTCTCCTGCATACCAGCTTTGGTTTACCTGCAAAAAGTGCCTCGAGCGCAGCGGCCACACCATCTCCAAGCAGGCCTACCACTTTGGAACATGTGTCATTAATTGCCCCAAGTGCAAGAGCCAACATTTGATCAGTGATCATCTGAAGATCTTCTCCGACACGAGCAAGACGATGGAGGATATCGCGAAGGAGCATGGAGAGAAGTTGAGGAAGGGGAGACTAGGTGCTGATGGCGATGTGGAGTTCTATGATGATGCAGCAGACGAGACGATAGAAAATGAGATGAAGAAGGGATGAGCAGACGGTGGGGGATAAATTTGATGGATGAAAACTCTACTCTCAAAGTTGACAGTGCGGAAGTGGCCAGCTCGATGTTGACGATGCCCCTGGAGCAGGGCTGCGCTTAGCAGGACAGGCCGTACTGGCTCGAGCCTAGGACAGCATCGACCCAGTGACCGGTCGAATCCGACACATCCTTCAGGGCTTCATTATGAGACATCGCTACACGAGCGCGCACTGGCCGTGCGACCACCAAGTCCGGCAACATGCTGCTCATACACAAGACCCCAGGCATCTTGCTGGACTGCGCCTCGCCGACAGGTTCTGCCTGACCGCCGAATCTGCGATATGTGTCTCGCAAGACCTGACGGCATCCGTACACGAACAATAGCAAGCCCTCTTCAACATGCAGGGCCATTATGCAATCCCCTTGGTCTTCATCGTCCAACATGACCTGATTCCATTCAACGTTTGCCTTGATTGCTGTGCCTTCACATGGCACTCGATGCTGATAATCATCGCAGGCCTCGGAGCTCGAATGCTGACTTCTGCTGCACAATGTGCATTGCCGCAGATATTCGACAAGAACCATTGCGAGGCCTGGACCTATCACATACAAGAGCCAGAAGTTCTCGATAACTACCCTCCTCGCTCTGGTCAAACTGGAACGTATGCGGTTGCCATCTCTCCGATTTAAGAAGCGACTGCGCTGCTGATTGCACCTTAAGCTTCTTTGACGGCTTGGGAGTAATGGGGATGAAGATTCCACTTTGAGCGGAACACCGAGGGTACCTCAAGTCTGCAGACTGCAACGCACGAGCCGATTTGTGGCTTGCAGGATCCGAGCTTGTTTGGAAGGCTAATCTGATTAGGAAGCAGGTCTGCATTAGTCTCGACATCTGGCTATCGACGTTCAGCCTCAATGCAGTCTATATACATTCTTCCCCAACCTGCATGCAGAAATGCCCCCACATGAACTCACAGGAACTCACTTGCGTACGATACCACGGCCATGCAACGTGGCAGCGACTTCCTCTTCGTGAACTGCGATGGCCACCAAGCCCGAATTCATCAAGGAGAAAGGAAAGATTTGAACCGACATGTCCAATACACCTGCCGCCGCCATGATCCTCGGCGATGGACGACAGCCACTCCTCTACCTCGCCAGATCAAATTCAGCAGTCTCTCCCGAAGGAGCAATAGCCCTCGCAAACGCAAGCGAGTGCCAGAAGCCTCTACCGTGGTGGAACACACTGGACCAGGCCCATTAGATCTCGCCTTACCTCTATACCAGTGGGAGAGCCCGACTGAATGCAGGTTTTACGATTACTACACTAAAGTAGTCGCTCACAACATCTTTTGTGACAAGTCGAGCCAGTTCTGGCAAACCTACATACTCCAGTCCTGTCACCAGCTGCCTGTTGTCATGCAGTCATTGATCGCACTCAGTGCAGCTTTCAGAGAGACAGATGATGCTTACGCACGGCCGAGTCATGTTCCTTCGAAGCTCTCGGAGAGTCCGTCAGCTGCATTGTCGAAAGCGATCAGCATGCTGAGAGCATACATCTCGTTGGACGGGAGTCCCTCACATGCCGTTGTGCTGACGTGCGCCATTATCCTGTATGCGTACGCCAAGGTGCTCGGCGATCAGCAAGCAGCATCTACTCACCTCGAGAGAGCTATCCACATATTCGACACATGGGCAATGTCGTTCGCTGGACGCGAGAAGCCAGACGACTTCAGAACAATCTGAACTGTACTGCTACTGGTGGACCTTAGTGCAACGATCGAAGACAAGACTCGTGTGCCCACCATTACCCAACCTGGAGCACAACTTTGTCGTTTCCATAGCTTGGAGGATGTGGTGCATGGCTATAGCGTGGTGTGTCAGGCGATGATGATTTTTACCATCTGCAACTACAAGCACATTCTTGCAGGGTATGCATCCTGCCCCATTGAAATACTGCGAGAGAAAGAGAGCATTGCAGAGAGCCTCGCACAGTGGAAATCAACAGTGGACCATTTTGTTGAGCAGCGCTCACTGACAGACCGTCCACTCTCTGCCAAGGAAGAAGAATGCCTATCTGCCGTCATGCTCCAATGGATCGCCGGCAAATGCCAACTCGACGAAGTCCTCCCCAGCTCAACTCCACCCGTCTCAAGCTGGGACCTCTGTGCAGACCAATGGCTTTTCTACGGCAACCACATCCTCGATCTGAGAAGAAACGCAACAAAACGCGAATCACCAACAGGCAGAAGACGGTCTCTGATCCTGAGCTACGCACAATGCATGCTGATCTTCGCCGGTGCGACCAGCCTCCAGGAAGCGAAGTCGATGGCTTTGGCGATGGCTGCTGAGGCTGCGACTTATGATCAGCTTATTCTGCCTGTTGACTTGAGTCATATTGCCAATGGGAGGGGGCATAGCGATGCGCTGTTGGCTATGGAGCAGAAGCAGGTTTTCTGGACGCCGGATTATATCGCGCATGACAGTCGAGGCTTTCAAGGCACGGTGTGAGGGTGTTGTGTAAGGAATGAATGGAGTGGATGAAGTCATAACACTGACCCTTTTGGGCGTTTGGCTGGCCGAAGCAGGAAGATGATCGATGTGAAGTGAGAAGGTGCTATACGAATGTGTGTTCTGGTCTTCGCTATCAGGCGCTACAGCTGGCCATCAGTGGTTGCCAAAGTCTCTGTCATACAGGTCATCTTCACGCCAGTCCCCCGGTTCGCCATGAGAGCCATCAGAGATGAGATTCTCCGCCCTGGACACAAAATGTTCCCTTGTGCAGACCACAAGCACCATCACCGGCCGGTGGGCGAGGAGGTCCGAAGACGGGCTTGCCAGCAATGAAGCCGATGGCAACAGGAGCACCGTCAGCGACTGGACGAACATTAGCATATCAGATGGTACAATCAAATGTGGCAGAGATCGAGAACACATACCTGGATGTGGCTGGGCTCCCAGGTCGTCACTGCTGTGGTTGACAGAGGCAGCAGCAGTGTTGGCGGCATTTGCAGCGTTGGCAGCTTGAGCACGCCAATGTCTGTCGTACCGATCCACCTCCTCCTTGGTCGGACTTTGCATGTACTTCGCCTAGTGAATGAAGTCAGCGTTGACTTTTTCATACAATACAAATATTGTTCACAATACCATGACCGATGGCAACTTGGCGGGAATCCTCATCATCCGCTCGTACAAAGCCCTCGATTCAGGATCGGTGTCAGGAGTCACATCGAGTCGCTCGCGGGCGAACTCGGCGAGGCCGGTCTTGGCTGCTTCGTACGTGTTGGCGGCCACTTCAGCCTTTGCCAGCTTCTTCTTCATGGCGGCGCCATCAACAGCCAAGACACACGACAACTCGTCGATAAGAGGCTGTGGCACATCGCCGCGGACGCTCACATCCTCAGCCACCTTCTTGAACTCACGGAGCGGGGCGAGAACTTGACGGGCATCAGAGAAGATACGCTGCTCCGCCTCACCACGCTTGATCGTGGTGAAGCGTCCTCCGACACGCTGCAGCATGACAGGGCGCTCTGGAAAGCCTGGCTTCGCCGGGCCTTCCAACTCGTTCCTCACGCTGTCGACTTCTCCGCCGAAGCAGCTCCAGTATCTGATCTTGAGCGTCTTGAGCTTCAGCTTCACTTCACCCAGAATGCTGATGACAGTCTGCAGGTTTCTGTTGAGGGCGGACTTCGCTTGCTCGATGGCTTGGTCGCGGTCGAAGCAGGGGTTGGAGACGATGATGAGGAGGTGCTTAACTTTGACTGCAGTTTCGGGTCTGTTCGCCGTGTCAGCTCGGGTTTTGTAGCCCTCGAGGACGATGAATGTACATACCGGACGAAGCAAGGCGTCGTGACAGGCTGACAGCCATACGAGTCACAGCGCCAGAAGCACCAAATGCGCTCAAACTCCGGCAAGACCACGAAGAGGTTCTTGCCAAAGAGAACCGTCGTCGCCTCCTCGTAGATCTGCTTGTTGGCCAGCAAGATGCCCTTGTTCTTGCCAATGAATCTGGAACCGTAGTTCTGCGATCCACCGGGCATAAGACCAATGTCCTGGTCGAGGATGTCTTGAGCTTTCTCGCGGCCATACTCGCCGGCGTACGATTCGGCTCCGCCTTTCTCTTCATCCCACGAGTTGGCCATTTCGGGAGTCATTTTGACGATGAGGAGTTCTTCGTAGATCTTGTCGCGGATCTGTAGATGATTAGCTTCGCATTGACGGAGACGTTAGGGAGTGAAAGCAAGGCGTACCTCGCGCGGGAGCTTCTTCATGAAAGGCGAGTTGCCTGGAGAAACATGACCTGGCTTGATGGGCTTGCGATCAAGAATCTTCTCCTGCGTGACATTTCTGCTGCTGTTGCCGATGATGGGCAGGTTGCTCGTCTTGGTCGCTTTGGCCCGCTGCTTCTTGGAACCCATTTCGACCGGTTTCTGTGATTGACCTGGGAGGATTTGAGAAACTGGAGAATTCGATAGTTGAGATGGAAGGGACGGTGTCTGGACAACAGCGTTTGTCTGCAGCTTCCCGCAAACGGTGACGTGACTTTAGAAGGTTGGCGCTGGGCGCTGCCGCATGTGAGGCTTGGCGCGGGTTCGTGCAGGTGAATGTGCAGAAAATGACCTGTCGCATGTTGTTGATTGCGGATTACCTGGATGACAGGAATAAATGCCGTCGGTGGTGCTTTCCTTCAAGGCTGGAGATTCCGTGAACCTGAAGACATCGCACTTTCCCTTCAGAGCTCGTTGCATGTCTTCTCATTTGCCAGTGAATCATTTCATCCTCATGGCCTCCATGAATGCTTCCTTTCTCCCTGGCTGAAAATCTACCTCTGCAACAACATCTCCCATTCCTTCGACTTCGACTACGCCAGTCCCATGTCTGAACTTCCATTCTTCGCCCTCAAACTCTGAACGAACCTGAAACGCTTGCCAGTTCTGTGCCTTGAGCTCATTTATGTGCTCGTGAACTATACGCAAAGGTCCTGAGTATACTAGAACGCCAGGATAGCCTGGTTTTGTGACACCAGATATGGACGGCCGCGATGGTGAGAGGCACAACTTCCGCTTGTTGGTGTTGAGAAGATGATGGAGGAAGACGATGATTGTGATTTTGGTATCGTCTTGCGTTGGAGATTCAGAAACATCGACGCTAATCGGTTCGCCGGTGGCGAGGCTTTCCACCATGTCGTTGAAACTCAGAATGATTGAGTCTAGTACTTCTTCTCCTGGAGCCTGGCCGTTCACACTTTCCTTTACGGAATTTCGTAAGTCCTGCTTGCCAGCGTTGGCAGAGAGAACAACAGGAAGAGAGTCGACAAGATATCCATCTGTGAGCCGTAGTTGGAGATTTGAATTACCGGTCGTGTAGCTAAGCTCCTGTGTTTCGGGAGTGAATGTGGCCTGCTCTGGATACATCGATTCCAGCAGGGCGATTTCTGCGGCCAGCCGTTGGTCCCTTTCTGATGCCATGTCGGTGGCGAATCATCCAAGTAAAGATGGTTTGTGTGATGTCCCGATCATGGAGTAGCCTCGATCTTCTATTCTGTCGCTTGCATTGTGATGGAAGGCACTCAAGCCGAAGGTTTTCGAGATGGGCGGGAGTCAATGGAACCTGGAAGCTCTCAGGTTTGAGTCTACGCATCTTTCGTCACACTGCGTACACATCATCATTCAAACAGATGGGTTTTCCGACCTCACTCGCGTCGGGTCCTTCCACATTCGCGTCACCAACTCTCCTCATCCCCATCACCATTGCCTGGCCATTCATGAAGACAGGCGATAGACCATCATTGGATGGCTCCCAGAACAACGCGCTGGCGATGGCCCCTTCAGTTCGACCAGCACACGATCCGCCTGCCTCGAACACACAGATCTCGGATATTCAGTCTCCCCACCTCGGCCGAAGAACGATATATGTATATTGAACATTTCGCCGTGCAAAAATTTGTAGCCGGAAGGCCTGGGCTAGCATGAACGTGGGCATGTCTCCGTCTCAGCGATTTGGGAGTCAGGCCTTGTGTTCCCCTGATAGCTGACCACAAGCACGGCGTATGCGGTGCCACGGCAAGTGCGAGAAATGGCATCTTTGCGCAACATCAACCATGCGTCGTAGTCTATCCTTGGGCGGTATGCTCTACGGCTGCGAACAGTCCTCGGTCCAGCCAGCTGTTCGGCCAGGCATCAAGCATCACCGCCATCCCAGCATGGATCAGCGAGCCAAGTCCGATCAAGATCCCGGCTCGCCGTCTCGATGCATCACAGCAGCCTGTGAAGCTGCTTGAATATGATCTCTGGAGCATATGGTAGGTCACTACGGAGGCAAGGCATTTGACTAATTACTGTCAATGTGTGGCAGTCGACGCACCGGCTTCCTTAGCCTTCTCGACGTATTGGCTGATATCAACCTCATCACTCGCCTTTTCTCGCTTCATCTGTTCGATATTTTCGAGAACTCTCTTCCAGCATGAGGCTAAACATACTTACTGGGTTAGTTTGCCATGTAGCAAGCCTTTGCAATGCCAGACCTGAATATGTATCCCACGACTTCGATGTCCTCCCACGATCACATTCTGCTCGCGGGTTGCCAGCGCAAGGAAAGAAAGGCGTCTTGCTCATGAACCGCATTGCCCCCTCGACTTCAACGCTTTACATTGCCAATTCCGACGGGACGGGTGCGAGAAGACTTCTTGGAAACGAGTCAAGATATGACTACCACGGTATGAAAGCCTCAATGATGCTCGAATCATGTCTGACGCCAGCAGCCTCGTTCTCTGCTGACGGCGAGTGGGTGACTTTCACGAGCGAGCGCAACGGCGACGGCAACTCAGACCTTTACCGCATACGTGCCAACGGCTCCGATCTGCAGGAACTCATTGCGACGCCCTCGGTGGAAGATGCTGGCGTCTTGTCCCCGGATGGTACCAAACTTGCCTATGTCTCGACCGCCAATGGGTACAAGACCAAAATCTGGGTCTTGGACATCACCACTGGTGTGAGCTGCAATCTCACCAATACAGATGCTGTCAAAGGCGTTGACTGGTGAGAATCTTCCCGTCTTGGCTTGATCAGAAACTTTCTTACCTATTAGCAGGTCACCTGATGGCTACTTTATGCCCAGCTGGTAAGGGAGTGAAAAGTTCCAGCTTCATCGACTGGTTGCTAATGGTACATGGCAGGTCGCCTGGCGGATATTGGATAGCTTTCTCTTCCGATCGCAACACTGCGTGGACTGGGCATGGCAACGGGAGTGGCTGGGAGCACACCCAGGAGCTATCGATCTATGCTATTCGTCCAAACGGGAGCGATTTTCGGCTGGTAGCGAAGAAAGACGGGTACTGTCTTGGGTCGTGAGTAGCAGACCCCAAACTAATTTACTTCAAGCTGACAATGCTCAGCCCGAAGTGGTCGCCGTCCGGGGATCGCATAGCTGTAAGTTCTTCAGGGCATACAATATATCGTCAGCTGACAACCTGCAGTATTATGAAATGCCGAGAGAATATACCTGGAATGCCCATCGGCCGGAAGACCTCAACTCTACCGTTAGTCAAATTGTCTCTGTTGACTTTGCGACTGGTCAAGACCGCCGACAAGAAACCAACACATCAACCCTCAAGATTGCTCCTCAGTATGTGAGCGCTGACAACATAGGGTATCTTGTCAAGGGGCCTACAGACCAGACTGGCCTCCACTATACGTCCGGAAACAACTCCATTATTCGCAGCTTACGATCACCAGCATGGTCTGCCGACGGACAGAAGGTGGTCTACGAAGTTACTGGCTGGGTCAATCGACCTATGGAAAAGCCTCTCTACAGTTGGGATGACGAATGGGACTACGTTTTACGGACGTTTTTCCAGATTTGCCTCAGCAAGGGAAGCTGGCCATAACGCAGAAGCAACTGGGCAACTCCTCTATCGTGAAAATGAACCCGGACGGGTCTGACCTGGAGATGGTATTCGACGTATACGCCACAAACCAGAGCGATGCTTCGTTGGTCAGCCAAGGCCTGGCTGGAGCATTCCAGCCCTCTTGGTCGCCTGACGGGGAGTACATCGCTTTTGGCCTGGGTGCCTGGTTCTAAGAACGAGCCGAGTATTCTGCATGGGTCTACAGAGCGGCGTCAAACGGGACTTGGTATGAGCAGCTAACTTTCGGTTCCCTGAACGCCGGATTTCCGAGCTACAGCCATGATGGCATGCAGCTTGTGAGTAGTGTTGTGCCTCTGGTGAAGGTCGCTCTGACATTGTGCCCTAGGTCTACAGAGTCTGGGGATCAGAGTATGGCCTGCGTGTCATGAATCTAACTGATAAAAGCGTACGAGTGCTCACGAATAATACTGGTGTCCTTAACTCCACTGGGAATGTCTACGATAATCTGTAAACGACTTGAGCACTCGTGAACTATCTGAACTTCGCTGACCTACCTTGTGTGTTCACCAGGCGCATGAACTATACCAACTTCGACATCTGCACCATCCGTCCAGACGGAACGGACCTGAAGGTTTTGACATCGAGCGGAGCCAACGATGCTCATGCAGTCTGGAATTATGACGGTACATCGTTCATTCCGACGTTAATGATGCTGGTCACTGATGCCTCTTAGGTCGAATCCTGTGGTCAAGCGGCGAGAAGGGCTTCAGGGCGGAAGCTGCCACTTACGATCAGACATTCCAACCGTATGGTCAGGTATTTGCCATGGATGCTGATGGGTCGAATAAGGTAATGTCTAGTCTACAGAGAAATATCATGGCTGACTTGATCTAGCGTATACTCACGGACAGCTTGTGGGAGGATTCAATGCCGTTATATGTGAGGAACGAGTTCTTGGAATGATTTGAAACACGCTCGTGCTTGAAGTATCTACGGCGAATTGCTCTATCTTAAGATGTTCATACATCGGACCAGTCAAGACGAACCTGAAGCAGGCCAGTCAATGTAGTCTTCCTCCGGACTTCTGAATGGGCCATAATGGACATGGTTACCTCGATCGTTCTCAGCCAACGGAAGTCCTTTCTCAATTCTTGTCACCAGGTCTGGATTGGGAATGTACAGTCTCCCAAATGCAATCAAGTCGATCTTCCCAGCCTCCACAAGCTTCTCTGCTTCACCCGGAGTGTAGCCATCATTGACCATCAGAATGGTCTTGCTGCCAGCATTTTTGACCATCGGGCCAAAGATGTCGACAGGATCCGTTCCAGCTGGCAAATGAAACCCATCAGGTCGACGACCAAGAAACGGCTCGACTGCTCGACGACTCAAGCAGATGTATGCGATCTGTCTTTGCACAAGTTGTTCAACGAGGTACGTGAACGTCCCCATGCACTCTTCGTACGTGGCTGCCGAGTCGTTGTAGCAGTCGAATGGGCTGATCTTGACCCCAACTCGACGTTGGCCGTAGACCAATATCATCGCATCGACGACTTCGAGCGGAAATCGACAGCGGTTTTGGACGGAACCACCATATTCGTCGGTCCGGAGATTGGCCCTTGAGTTCATGAAGCTGTGTACGAGGTAGCCTCCCAGAGCAATCACCTCCACGCCATCGAAACCTGCGTCCTCGGAAAGAGTTGCGGACTTCTTGTATTGCTCGACCACAGTCCTCGGATCCTCGATGGCGGTCAAGTTCTCGGTGTTCTCCAAATGTCCTCCATCTCCAGTCCTGAACCTCCCTCCCACTGCCTTGACTTTACTCGGAGCCAGAACGCCCGGAAAGCTTCCATCCTGCTTCACCCACTTCATCTTCTCATTCTGCGCTCGGCCGGCATGCCATATCTGCATGAAAATCTTGCCACCGGCATCGTGAACCGCCGCTGTTACTGGCTTCCAGGCTTGGGCGTGTTCAGCCTCGTACATCACCGGGACGTGTTCCCATTGAGTGGCTTGTGGGTATATGTGCATGCCTTCGGAGATGATGAGGCCGGCGGAAGCTCGTTGAGTGTAGTATGTAGTTGTGAGCTGCGTGGGCTTCATGTTGTCGATGTTGCGGTTGCGGGTCATTGACGCCATAACGATGCGGTTGGATAGGGGGAGGTCATCGCCCAGGAGGACCGTTTGGAGTAGGCTTGATTTCTGAGAAGACATGATGGAAACTTGCTGGAATGGAGTATTCGATAACATCTCTCAGGGGGGTACGAAGGCCTCCTTCTTATGGTTTCTTGCAACATTGGCTAAGGACTGCGGACCATAGACTAACGCATAGACAGATTGGCATACTAGACACAAAAAATGATCCTTGCGAGCCAAACGCGATAACATTGCCCACCTTCATCCACCATCTCACGAACGATTGGCCTAAAACCCATGATTGATCCGTTCATAGCGGCCGAGGAGTCGGAAATGAGCATCATGTCGTGGTCTTTGCAACATGCGAGAAGTCGGCCAGCAGTCTTGTTAAGAATGTTATTACACCACATTCCGAATTGGGATTGTGCTGCTTTAGGTCTTCACGTGATGGACCCTGGGCTGACAAAGTCGCCCGGATGAACTTTCACTCGAGCTATGCTGGAGCTCGCATTCGCGTGTGGGCGGTATAATGCTCGCCGTGGGCTATGTTGCCACGAATTCGTACTGATGCAATTTTTTCAGTCCATCAAGTCGAGTTCTGACCGTGCTCGATCCGCCTAACATGGCTGTTGCAGGGCTGCGAGACGCTGTGCCACGTTTCACGACTCATGTCAGGTCGGCCTTCGAAAGCTCAAGCAAGCTTCGACCTCACCGCCAACTGCGAAGGGTCCCTCAATGCAGTCTCTTCACAACTGCAGAACTTCATGATATGTAGACCTTGGTTAAGATTGAAGTAACTGCGATGTCTCTCATAGATCTTCTTGCGGAATTCAAAGAGAAGGAGGGCGAATCTGATATCCTCAAAGCGAACTGGTACACCATTGCGGTAAGAAAAGATGACAGTGAAAACCATTGCCATGACTAACCTTGAAGCCCTAGACGACTGCCCTCGCTGCTTCATCTGCTGGCCAGGAGGTCGTGAAGCTCTATCGCTTTGCGACCAAGGACTTGGACCTCGAGAAGCAGAAGCTAGTCCAGCGACGTATCAAAGAAGCCGTCATCAAGACCAGTGTCTTGTATGGAGGACCGAAAGCTTTGCATGCGCTGTTTCCGCTGTTCAAAGATCTGAAGGAGGAAGAGATCGATTCTTACGGTCCAAGGTCTGCTATCACGAATGCAATCACGAAAATGAAATTGACATCAGCAGGTACGAATCTCTCAACGACCCGAACGCCGCAGACAACCGCAAAGAAAAAGGTCGCCGTTTCTTTGAGAAACTCTGGACTCCAGCAGCCGCCCAAGCGAATCTTGACTTCAACAAGAAATACGCCCCTGACCTCTACCTGATGACTTTGAACAGCCTGGAGTGGTACGTCTCTGAAGACGCTATCCTCAACTTCGTCGAGACTGAATTGGTCAACGCTGCGGCTCTGACGTGTTCGAATTGTCCGATGCAGGCGATGTGGCATACTCGCGGTATCGTCAGGCATGGAGGAACGATTGAGCAGGCGAGGTTTGCACAGGAGGTTGCGTTGAAGATTGCTGAGATGTATGGGGCGAAGACGGGGGAGATTACGACGGTGGATGAGATTGATTTCGATGATGAGGGATCGCATGCGGAGATGCCGGAAGGGTGAGTCCATTTGAGCGAACACAAGATCGATGCTGATGAGTTTCTCGCAAAAGAAGATAACCACTGGCAAAATGTATGCTCACGTACTTGCAGGACGAGGATCAGTGACCTTCAGCTCATGCAAAATTTCAAGGCCCAACCCTCGATGCCGTTCTCGCTTCTCTGGACCATGGGAACGCCCCTGAAGGTCTACAAAAAGTAAAGTACTCAATGCAAAAGCAAAAAAGAAATACTTCGTGCCAGACTCGAACAGGCGACCTTTCGCGCACAAAGACAGTGAAGTCCTGTTAGGCGAACGTGATGAACCAACTACACCAACGAAGCTGCTATTTGATGAAGAGATTTGAGCCCAAATTGATTATATGGCTTGGTCTTGGCGATTTTTGGCGCTAACATGTGAAAATTTTTGAAATTTTGCGGAGACTTGTCGGCGAATATTCCGTCCGTTGACTCATTGGATACAGTCTTGCATTCTTCCGATGCCAGCAGTCGAAATTCTGAGAGATCTCCAATATCGGACGCTTGACATCTGTTCCAAGTATTGGAAGACGCTGTCTCATTGAAAACGACGGCAACGATTGACATTTGTGTCCTGGGCAATTGATCGTCATTAGTCAACGACGACATAGCGGACGACTCTCGTTAACGCAATCAGCTTTTGGATTTGGATACTTCATATGCCGATGCCTAGACATCCAAACTGACCACTTTGTACTGTATCTTTCAACCCATCACTTATTATACAACGTCTTGCGTTAGGATTACCAGGGATCACCTATCGAACGTACTTAGTCTGAGTGATACGAACTTCTCGTATCTATCCTGAAGACTCGTGTCAAGGTCAACTGTTCGAGTTCAATACCGACTCACGGTAAATACTCGGGAATAGGCAAAGGTCAGGCACTACGCTAATACGCAGACAACAGTCGACGTGGTCAAGTTTCTTCAGTTCATTCGTCATTGCTATCCAAAGTTGAGCTACACCAAGTTAGATAGAAGATCCAGCATCGACTGGATTCCTGCGAGCAAAGCCAGAGATCACTCCTGATTCTAATGATAAACACATGACAGCAGCAGGAATGTGTAAGCCGATATATACTTTGGAAATAAGACACCAATACTGCAATTGATCGGATTGTTTGTGGAAGGATCAGGAACCTCCAATCCGCTTGGCACCAAAAATTTAGCAGTCATATTCAATTTGATAAACTTGGCACCCAATCACATGATTGCGCACACCTCGCTTAGCTCAGCTGGAAGAGCGCAAGACTGTAATAGCCATATCTGTTGATCTTGAGGCCCGCGGTTCGATCCCGCGAGCGAGGAGTTCATGTTTGGCTTCTTCAGGTCGTTCTAGCGTGTCTTTTTGACCTGGCAATCGTCCAAGATTGATGTTTGCGCATCTTGGCCGTGTTTGAGATCATTGATCCTCACAAGGTGCAAGACAAGACCCGACTCCTCTGCGGATGGTTCGCATCGTGTTCTCGAAATTTTTGCGAAGAAAATGGATATCGAATGATCATATATGCTTTTACAGAAGAGTGATCAGTCACTGTGAGAGGTGATAATTTCTCAATGGTGTAAGGCTGACACCGATTTAGCTTTCGCCAAAAGTCTTCGCATCTGACCATCTTCTAGGTCCTCGCGTCCTTGTGGACTCCATAAAGGAGTTGTTCCTAATTTGGATGATCCAATTACGAAATACAGTCAATGACTGATCGCGTTGACTAGGAAGAGTTGAATGCATGCCCGTGCATCCCACACCGCGAGGCTTGGTTTTGGTCCAGCGACAACAGACATCGATACTTGACGGACATCACATCGACGCAATGGCCGCGAGGTAAGTGGCAAAAGCCCTTCATAAGAGCATCGTAGAGTTATGGTCATCTACCTTGAATCACTTCTCACTCAAATCCTCAGGACTCTCCACATCCCTCGCCTTAACTCGCCCCTTGTACTTGCTCTCCTCAATCAAGTTCAGCTCATCCTCCCTAGCATCCAGATCCTTCCACGTCCACCAGAAGCCAACACCACCGATGAACGCCAGGATAGACACAGTCGTGTAGTTCCAAGTCAAGAGAGGGTCCTTGGCCAGCGGCACGAGCGCCTGTCCAATGGCAGCGGAGAAAGCGTTCTGCACGAGGTTGACACCCATGACCAGGCCGCGCATGTTCTCGGGAGCCTTGCTGAAGGCGTACTCCAATCCTGTGATCGAGGCGAAGATCTCGGAGAAACCGATCAGGCAGTATGGCACGGCTTGGACCCAGACGTTGATGGGGGCCTGGCAGCCCTCATCCGGGTCGCTGAGGAGGTTGTCCGGGCAAGGAGCCTCCTTGTAGATGTAGTACTGGATGACGGTGCTGCTGATCATAGCGGCGGAAGCGACGAAGAAGCCCCATGTGATGCGCTTGATCGGGGTAAAGTGGAAGCCGAGTTTGCGGATGGTTGGGTAGACGAAGAAGTCGAAAATGGGGATGAAGATGACCAGCGTGACGGGGTTGAGGTTGTTGATGAGATCGTTGGGGACGCCGTTGAGCTCCATGGTGGCAGATTGAGAGGTCAAGTTGTTGACCATTTGGTTGTAGGCGAGCCAGTACAGTGGCAACCAGGTGAAGACCTTGCAGGCGTTGAATCCTCGTGCGACTTGGTCGACCCAGACGTCGTCGACGCCTTGCAGCCATGTGGGTGCGCTGTCGCCGAGAGCGCTAGGCTTGACACGATCCCAGAAGTCGGCACGCTGTTGAAATGTTGTCAGCTTCAATCGTTAGCTGTGTTATGGATGGAAATGCTCACCTGAAAGTTGCGGTAAGTCGAGACAGGGTTCAATGTCCAACATCCCTTGCTGGCAAGACTCAACAGCTTGAAGGACTTGGAAAGCACGGACTCGGTTGGAGGTGCCAACTTGTAGAATCTCTTGCAGCCGATCAAGACCACTGGGGCGAGGAAGAACAAGAATGTTGGCAGAGCATATGCCAGCCAGAAACCAATGTCTCGCTCTGCATAGACCATACCAATGCTGCCGGAGAGGGAGCCCAAGTTGATCATCAGGTAGAAGTAGAGGAAGACGCGAGAGTATGTGACTTGAGGATCGCGGATCACACGCTCGCCGGATTTGAGGGTGATGACAACTGGTCGGGTCTGTGGGATTTGTTCCGCGAGGAGAGGCGAGATGTTCGACTTGAAACCACCAGTACCAATACCCATGATGACCAGGCCAACAGCGAAGCAACCAAGAGCGCTCTCGGGGTTGTCCATGACGCTGGGGATCGAGGAGACGATGAGGATGGTGTGGCCGACGATGGCGGCAATGATCGAGAGTTGGATAGTCAGGTATCGTCCAAGGTAGGTATCGGCGATGTACCCTCCGACAAGAGGCATCACGTAGGCCCAGAATTGGTTGAAGGTCTGCATAGACTGTCAGTTCCGTGAACGTACGTCTGGGGTTAGAACTGCTTACAGTAAGACCAGTGGAAGCTTGCTGACCCTGGCCGAGTCCACCAGCTTGCAGGCAGTTATCCTCGCCAATGGCATCGTAACAAGCCTGGTTTGGCTGGATGTTGCCTGTACGAGATCCGAACGGACGCGGCTGCTGGAGGAAGTTGACGAAGACGGCGGTCGTTCCGTAGTAGCTGAATCGCTCGCAGAACTCCACGAATGTGATGGTCATTGCCTGCCATGGGATCTTGCCAGACACTCGGCGCAGCGTCTTCATCTCTTCCATAGTCGGCTCATTCTCGTAGCGGCCGCCGGTTGAGGTCGAGAGCTCTCGGTCCTCTCCGTGAAAGCCGGTCTTCTCATCAACAACCACACTGGGTCGGCGAGCTTCCGCCATGACCCCGAGGTCTTGGTCCAATGGGTTCGACATGTTTGTAGACAGCAATGTCTGAAAGAGTCAGATGGACGGGTCTGTATGTGGCGGTCGAGGACGCGCACAAGATTGATGGGACAAAGACCGCTGGAGAGAGGCGCTGATCACATGGAGGGGATGGTGGTAGTTATACTTTCTCGTGGCACGACTTGCATGTGGTGCTACATGGTGAATATTGCGCGGGATCACCGACGAGGATTGAGGAGGCTCTTGGCGCGACTTTGATAGTGGAAGCGGTTCGCACGCACGCGATCTTATCGCCTCGGTCGGGATTGGTCGCAGGAGGGATATGAGGTTGTCAGGATTCACCTCGTACATCCACCACGACCAAATAGCATGCTACCGTAGCATGTCGTCCGCCGCCCGTCGCTGGCCAAGCCGGAGGGCAAACCACGACAGGAAGGTCGACAAGCATTCACTGATAGCAGACGCCTTTCCAAGCCGCCACGGTCAATGGCGACAGGGACGCCCAGCGCCTGGAGAAGAATAAGATCACTGATAGAGGACTGCCCAGCACGCTAGAACCCTTGGCGGTACTCGACCTTTCGCTTCGCCGCGGGCTTTGACACGGCGATGCTTGTCATTTCAGGCGCGCAACACGCATGTTCGCGGTTCAAGGCTTCGTTCTGCCGCTCGCGAGGATTGCGATCATATCAATCATGATAGAAGTGAAGTGGATTGAAAGACGCTGACTGCGGGAGCCAGCTTCCTTGGCGTGAAATTGGCGGCCAAGCTGCCGCGCCAATGCACCCTGCCTCCCTTCCGAGCATCTGGGGTCTGGCGAACGAGCCGCGAGTTTGCTCGTTCACATGGAGAGCACATGGACGCGAGGGTCCTGCACGCCGCAGCCCTTGTACAACGACCTTCCAGAACGATAGAAAGAACGATCCTTTGCTTGGTACGCCAGTCCACGCCACTGGATCAATCAGCTGCCCATTCTCTTTGGCGGCACAGCAGCGTGCTTGGTACAGGTCCAAGTCGGGCAATGAGCTTGTTGGAAGACTTCTCTCCGGCAGCATGGCGAGTGGCAGATACGTTGTGCCGCTTCCATCATTGCTCGACCTTCTGTATCGTGGCCAAGCCATCCAAGTACTCTAGTACGATCCTCCTCGTGTTCAGTCTCGCGAGATGAACATGTGCACCCACACTTGAGAGAGCGCGCAGCATGGCAACACATCCTCTGCTACCGAACTGATAGATAACAAGTAGACGCCGAATAGAAGAAGTCGAACAGGGCCTTGGTACTGTCGGTTGAGCAACCGATCTAAGCATCACTTGGCCAGAAGCCCACCGAACGCCTCTGTCGTGCAGGCATAGGAAGCTTCGCTCTCGCCATGGGTCAGGTCAGGTCAGGTCACGGTTGGAGTGGAGGGGTGGTTTGCTGTTCGTGTGCCGATCCATTTTGCTCTGGCGTTGTGTTGCAAGTCGACATTGGTGTAGAGAGACACTTCATGGAATCCTTCTTATCGTTGTTGTTCGTCCATCATTCGACACTTGGTGAGTCCTTGAATAAGCGCCCATACAATCTCAAGATGAAATCCGGGAGGACCGGCACTCTCAGCGACGTTGCTCCTTGGCGTAATGCCTCTCGTCCGGCTGCACAAACGCGGCCTTAGCATCGACTTCGTACGGGCGTGATGTAGGGAGAAGTGAAGTCTACGCAAAAACACGAGTACGTGCCTCCCAACGCCCCTATCTCCTGCCCATCTCAATGACTAACGATGCGAGACGATGCGAGACACCACGTGGAAATCGGAGCGGAGTCCAATCCGCGAGGTCGCCGTTCCCAAACTCCACTCAATGGCATCATCCATCAAGTACCACCCCTGGTGTTGTTTGGGGCGAGTCAATTCATAACTGTCAGCCCGGCATCATAACTGGAGTGGTCTGCTAGAGGTCAAGTACATTTGTCAGCTCTCTTGATCTTTCTTAAATCTCACGATCTTGCTCGAATCTGTCTCGTACCTATTCTGTACTATTGACTGCCGGAAAAAATGAAAGAAGCGGTTGTCTCAGTGGGCCCGAAGGTCACCATCAAGGACTCGCCAATTCCCAAGGCGGGTCCACGCCAGGTCGTTACCAAGATCGAATACAGTGGCAGCAATCCCAAGGACTGGTAAGGGAGCGCGCATAATAGAGCTATCTTCACTGTTACTGACACCGCCTGCAGGAAAGTCGCAGAATGGATGCCAGATACCCCACCGACGAACCAGGGCGATGATATCAGCGGTGTTGTCCACGAAGTAGGAGAAGGAGTCACAGAATTCAGGAAGGGAGACCGAGTGGCAGCGTTCCATGAGATGCTCAAGCCTGGTGGGAGTTATGCGGAATATGGCTTGTCATGGGAGCACACAACGTTCTTCTTGCCGAAGGACATCAGTTTTGAGGGTGGGTTATACAGATTGTGGTCAGGCTCCATATATTGACTTGTCACAGCTGGTGCCGCTATCCCTCTGGCTGCTCTGACTGCCGCCGTGGGCCTGTTTGGGGATGATACCCTCAACTTGCCGCAACCCTGGTCTCCAGCAGCCCATCCAATCCCTCTCGTAGTCTACGGTGCCTCCTCAGCCGTAGGCTCCTACGTCCTTCAACTCGCAACCCGAGCAAACATCTACCCACTCATCTGCGTCGCCGGCCGCGCCCAAAAGCACGTCGAAACATTCATCGATCGCTCTAAGGGCGACACCATCGTCGACTACCGCGCCGGCAACGAGGCCGTCTCGCAAGGCATCCGCGATGCGCTCAAAGGACAAAAGCTGGAATATGCATACGACGCTGTGTCGGAGAAGGGATCGTACGAGAATATCTGCAAGGTGCTGGAGCCAAAGGGCAAGATCACGCTCGTCCTGCCAGGCAAAGAGTATCCGGGGATTCCAGAGAGCGTGCAGAAGAGCATCACGCGAGTTGGCGATGTGCATGGCAGTAAGAAAGATTTGGGATTCGTGTACTCTCGGTACATCACCAGGGGCTTGGAAGAGGGTTGGTTCAAGCCTCAGCCGCAGGAGATTGTTCCGGGAGGACTGGGTGGGATTGAGAGTGCTTTGGGGAAGTTGAAGGATGGGACGGCTAGTGCGGTGAAGTACGTGTTTAAGGTTGCGGATACTGAGGGCCTCTGATTCAAATGATGGGCACCGTTGAGGGTTTCATGGTGCACTCGGCACCTGGCAACGTCCTTCAAAGCTACTTCGTTCTCCGAATAACAGCAAGAACATGATCCGCAGCCCCAAGCGTAGTGTCATCCGCAGCACTCTCCAACACAACCCCAAGCCACCTCTCAAAGGCCTCCTCACCCAACGACGCCAAATGCGACGCATGCCCAAACCCCAAGAACCCCTCACAAGACACCAACTTCAAGACCTCACTCTCAACCCCCTTCTCCCCACCCGCCCTCTGCAATCCCTCAATCAACCCCCGTATCTCCCCAATCGTCCCATGCCACATCGGCGCTTTCCCTCCCCTCGCATACCTCCCATCCCGCAAATACCCCTCATAGAACCCCCACTCCGTATGCAAACGTTCGGGGTCTCTCGTGGCGACATCCCGCAAATGCGCATTCTTCGTCACAAACGCCGCGAGCATGAATCCACCGGGCTTAACGGTTTCTAAACCTGCCAAGAGGACGTCGGAGCGGTCGGGCCCCGACAGGATGTGGTAGACGGGGCCGAGGAGGAGGACGATGTCGTAGTGGGCGGGCTTGTAGATCTCTGCGTGGTAGCGGAGGCAGCGGGCATCGAGGCTGAAGGTTGTTGTGAAACGCAGGCCAGCGGCGCGGGCTTTTTGGTGGGCGAGGTGTACTGAGGAAGGGGAGATGTCGCTGATGGAGAGGTGGTGGCCGGCGCGGACGAGAGGGATGGCTAGCACGAGATGATCAGGCGTTGGATCCGCTTTGGCTTCAGGCTGTGAGACGACCTACCGTATACTCCGGTGCCACAGCCAATGTCTGCGATTTTCAATGGGTTGGTATGTCCCTCTTGACGCTGTATGCAGTCAATTGCTTCTCGGATGTAGTGAAGCGTCACTTCATACTCCAATCTGCCCAAAATCAAACGTTTATCTTCGAGCTCGACGTGGTCGTTGTACCACTGCGATACCGTTTCACCGCTCATGTTGGAATCGCATGCTAGACGACCAGCGAGCAAAGGCGTCCCCGAGCAATATCTTAGGTCTTTTGAACGCGAAAGCGAGCACTAGTATTAAACAGGCAGCTGGCTTTGGTGTCGGCATGCCGGACCGGTGAGACAACTCAATGATGGTTTTTTTGGTCTTCAGATAGTGCCTGGCAGTAAGGGCCGAGTAGGAGTGTAACGCAATCTACGTCTTGTCGTTGTCTAGATCCAAAGGCTTCAGAGCAGGGCCCTCGAAGCTCTTTCGTCCTCCTACAAGGTAGAACAGGACTGCTAGCAGCATAAGGCCAACGAAAATCACAGATGCCCAATTGAACGTCGCTGCATCGAATTCAGGGGTAGGTGGTACTGCAATGAAAGCCAAAATAAGTAGGCCGTACAACGCAGCGAAGATATTGATGGGTAGCCCAAGTCGCCCCAACGACCAGCGTGCCGGAGGCAGGGAGCCGTTGAGGCGGCGCCATAGGAGAACATATATGGCCAGTTCGTATCTTTGCTTGGGTGTCAGAATAGGCGGAGAAGCATGGTGGGAATGGCACTTACGTCCCGATGAAGGCGATGATCGTCAGACTGACGATTGCCTGGAATGCGACTGTGCTGCCTAGCGTGATGAGATTGAGCAGTGCTGAGAATATAGCGACCACGAAGACAGCATTGATGGGGTATTTGAGACCAGGAGGGATTCGTGACACCTACACAAGGGTGGTCAGCTTCACTCCGTTGTCTCCGAAGAGGTACTCACCCATCGACCGAAAGGGACACCGCCATCTCTTGCAAATGCCATCAATTGACGGCTAGAAGCTGCCACGAAGTTGTTTATGCTGAGTAATGTCAAGATGATGACAATAGAGGTCAAGCCCTTGGCACCAGATATAGACCCAGTAACGACTAAATTGACGCCAATGAAAGCGTAGCCGTAGGTCTCGCTGGTTATAGCTGCTTCTTCGGTGTAGCAATAACAGAACAGAATGAGCATTCCCAAGCCTGAGGTCGCACCAAAAACATATGACCAGAGCATTCCTCTTGGAGCGTTGAGTGAGGCGTCTCGTGTTTCCTGAGAAATGTGAGAAAGATATACGACCGAGTGGCGAGAATCGCATACCTCAGCCATATGTGCGGCACCGTCGTTGCCAAACAGACAATATAGCGCAAATGGATGTCCGGTGAGAACAGCGAAGCCAGTATTGCCCCAGCCTCCTCCATCTTCAAACGTGTTGAAGACAGTAGTAGCATCGTTCTTCGAGCCCATAGCAGCGTAGACGACAATTGTCACGATCAAGCCGACACCAAAGACGATAGCAGCGGTGACTTCAAGTGCTGGCAGAAATCGAACGCCGATGTTGTTCAATGCTGTGCATGCTGTGATGCCCGCAAGTGTAATGAGGTATACCTGCCACGGTTGTGAGACTTGATCCAGGTCTCCTATCATTGCTGTCGTTCTGATCATGGAGGCCAAAATGAACATTCCCGAAGCGACTCCGCATGACCATGATAGTGTCAATAGCCAGCCCGCAGTGTAGCTCAGGATGCGACGCCATCTGTCGCCATGGTAAGTTGCTCTGACATTTGTGGCGATTGAGTATTATGATACCTCGTTGTAGCCAGGACAGAAACCCAATGATAAGGCCCTCCAGCCAACGGGATCATGCTCGAAAGCTCCGCCATGGACAACACGATCGACGTGTACGACACCGCACAGCAGATGTAAATCGTGATAGTGCCGCCCGTTCCAGCCGCTGAGAGACCGATGGAAGCCCCATTGAGAACATACGCCCAAGAAGACATCGCAATAATCATGAAGAAGGCCACTGTGACAGCGTTGAGACTTCGACGAAGGCGTCTCGGTTCCCGAATCGCTCCATTTCAGACATATCGTGTGCGGATGCATTGTAGCGGTCTGGGGCGTCTTTCTCGTTGCCGTTCTCGACATGCTGAGCGGTGTCTTTGGTGTCCATTGGGAATGAGATGTTTTGAACGGTCGTGACTCTGAGTACGATGGAGAGAGGTAGAGATGATTTTGAGATGAGATAGATCGAGACACGCCAGCGAAACCTACCGTCGTTGCTCTCGCGATTTCGCGAGGCCTCGAGTATTGGTACATGAAGGGCTTTGGCCTGCAGGCACTCGGCATCGTGAATCTGACCACAGTGGCCAACTATAGGGACTGAGCAACTGCAGCATCCTCTCGACGGATGCAAAGCTGATGATGACAGGGAAATTGTTTACGAAGGAAAGGAGGAGATCCGACGACGTTAGAGATCTCACGCCGATATTTCGCTGACTAAGTTTTGGCCGAGCGCTAACCCTGAGTAGCAAGGCTAGGCTATCGCAACTCCAACTTCATCTCTTCCTTAACATGCTCATCGAACGCCGGAATCTGTGTGCGTGTGAGGCTCAACGGTCCGAGATGAGATGGAAGTACCAGCACGTGTTCGCGCGGACACCTCGTGTCGCGCGTAACGACCGTGCTGGGTTGGTGATAAGAAACGCATAACTTGACAGCAGTCTGATTCATCGACACCCCTGGCAATGCAGCAGCATTGCGGCATGGTGTCTGTGCCTCCAATGCTGCCTGTGCCCCACAGCCTCACCTCACAGACAAACGACGCCATCCCAGCGTTCTCCTTTCCTCTCTCCAGCCCCTCTTTGCTTCTTTCATCTCCGTATACCTGCCTGCCTCGCATCTCCACTGCCGCTGCTTGATTCGGATTGCTTGTCTTGCGACATGACTGCACTTGACAGTCTCTTGCCAGTGGCAAAGAACAAGCGTTCGTCAGACGACGACAGTGACCTCAACGATCTGACCAGTCCAAAACGCTCCAGGGCAAAACCAAGGCGTGCTCCGCCACTCTACAAGGCCAGAGTCATCGAGACTGCCGACTCCTACTCGGTCCGGGTCCACGGGTCTACTGAAGATCTCGATGAGAACATTCTCGTACGCATGAAGAAGTGCCTCGCTCGTGCGAACCACCCCGAGACCCCAGAGGCCGAGGTCAAAGCTGCGCTGTTCATGGCTTCCAAGCTGATGACGACGTACAATGTGACGACTGCTGAAGTGCTTGCTCACGAAACGCCAGAGGCTTAGAGAAACTACGCGGGAAGCAGCACTGTTGCCATTGAGCGCCGTGACGGCGACCTGTCGAAGAAAGTCCTTCACAACGACTACATCCCCGTCCTTTGCCTGGCAATGGAAGCCTTCTTTGGCTGCGATTCGTACACCACCAAAACTGGTATGGGCTTTTTTATTACGTTCTACGGCATTGCCGAGAATAGCGTCGCGGCTAGCAATGCATTTGAAATGGTCTACAATCTCATCGTCGAATGGGCTCGACCATACAAAGGTCAATCCGGAACGAATAGCTACTGCCATGGTATCGCTGAAGAGCTTTTGGGCCCGAGCTAAGAAGGAGCAACGAGAAGAAGAGCGACGTGCAAAGCAGGCAGAACGCGATGCTAGATTAGCTCAGGAGAAGCAAGAGCATGTTGACGACCAGGCCAGACTCAGTCGACTTCATGAGCTACGGACATCGGTCGAGGATGAGCAAGAAGCCGAGCTGTCCGGTACACCAGACACGGAATGCCATCAGGCCGTACACGATACATTCGGGGAAACTCAGGACATGTTCTCGTCCGGTGACGAGGACTCTGCTGGCGACGATTCTGAAGAGTATGAGGAGTGGAACGGCTTCAGTGACGATGAAGATGAGGAGCCGAACGAGGCTGGAATAGATTATGTCGCTGCCGACTTCAACGACGACGACGAACACGGCTATGAGAATGTCTGGCACGGGGACATTGACCAGGAAATCGATCGCCTGGCTTCTACGATGATGCCTGCCGATGCCAAAATACCTTCAGCCAACCCTCTTGATATTCCACACGAGTCTGAAAAGACTGCTGCTGCCTCAAATGATACTAGGAGGGGTCGAAGAGCTTCTTGGGCACCACGCCTGCTCAGTGCACTTCTGGTGACTAGCGTCCCCATCCTCGTTGTAGCAGAACTTGAACATGTTGGAGAAGTTCGTCTCGATGAGGATGTTGCTCTCGCGCTTCTCGACGAAGAGAGCCCTCACGTCCCCTTTGTACTCAGCGCACATCTTTTGGCCATGGTTGTCGTGGCTAATCGAGATCATCAGCGAATGGTTGATAATTGAAGAGGCCCGAAGACTTATGAATTCTCGGCCGTCACCAAACATGAATAGCTGAGTCGGGAGTTCGGATAGGAGGCTCTTTGAGATGTCGACTGCGTCCCTGTAGCGATTGCATGCCATCTCCACACGGGTCGGCGACGCCCACACGAAAGTGTAGAGTGTATTCCAGTCGTCCATGTCGTATTACCACAGTATGCGCTCATCCTTGAGAAAGTATGGGTCCCCTTTCGAAGCCCACTGCCTGACCTGTTCCTGCGTGACCTGCGTGAGTGATTTCTTTGCTTAGAGAAAGGAGCGCGGAAGCCGCGCCAGCTTTTATCCCGCAACAACGATCCCCAAAAACTTTTCTCGGACGCTCTCTCCAATAGGACAAAAGACGGCATAGTAGTACGGCCTCGAATGGAGATCGCTGGCACCAGTGAACTTTGGAGCTCAATGATATACGGCCTCGGTCCAGCGAGAATCCACCTTCGGCTCGAGGCGACTCCTCCAGTCAGGCTTGGATGATGATCCGTTCCGATTTCAAAGAGGGTGTTCCACAACAAGGGAATGGTATCTCCGCGACTTGTAGTGGAAGCAAAATGCAATGCTGGCAGCTGTCGGCGTGGTCAGTAGCTGATTGTTGGGGATGAACCGAAGTTCTCGGGGGCTGCTATAATCGTCCCGCGTCATCTCCTGGGCCACAGTTGATCAATGGAAAACGCCACCTGGGATTTGCGTCGCTCACTCGTTCTCATCATCCTTCCTGAGGTAGGTACGAATGGCCGTCGTAGCAGCGTCGGCATTGTACAGGTCTGCAGAATCCGGAAACGTGGGACCATCACGCACTACGTCGTACCCAGTCTTGGTAGCCCAGGAGTAGGTCTCAAGGTCGCTGGAAATCTCGTTGAAGTACGGGATCGTTACAGTCCGACCAGCACTGATCACCCAGCTTGGTACCTTGATGGACAGCTCCCGAGGCTCAATCCGTACCACTACGGTCACTTCGACCAGGGCGTGGAATGCTCTGGCATTTTCAAGAGGCGCATGAGATATGTCTCCACAGCTGTTGTAAAAGTTCTCTAGACACTGGACTATCTGGAGTACAATGCCTTCGTCAATGCAGATGTCGGCATGATTGCTCGGGATTACATTGACATTGGACTTGGGCTCTTTGGGTTGCAACTTACAATACTTCATGCTGCGCTGTGTGGAACACTGCCTGCCTCCCGCAACTTGGGCAAAGGAGTCTTCGTCTTCTGCTTGCACATCTCGGCGTTGTATGTCTTCTGCTCACTAGGTACCCTAGGATCGAGCATGCTGTCAATCCTCGTCTGTAGGAAGCTCATTGGGCACCCGGCTGCTCGAGAGTCGATCCGGAATTGTCGAAGCTTCGCCTCGATCTCTGCAGATTGGGACAAGTTTCTGTCCCGACGCACTCCCTCGAGAAGATCGCCGGTTGTCTCGTCAAGCGCGGCTTTATTGAAGTTGTCGGCTACGTAGGCATCCTCGTCATTGATGATGACCTCTGGAGGTTCTATATCACTTTTAAATCGATACACTGTCTGCACTTTCGCCGGTAGCTTGAACTAGCAGCATTCAGCTTGCCCTCGTTGTCAGACAATTCATTCCGACGCAGACATTTGGTGATGCTAGATATACTGAGGTGAGGAAAAGTGAAGCAGTCGAAATTTGAGCTCGTGCGTTGACTACTAGCGCAGTGCACGGATCAAACGCTAACTCCGGCTGCCAGATGAGGAAGGAGCGACCATAATGCCTGCCCGCGCGGTCTTTCATCTGCGAAATTCGTCGCAATCGGCCCAGCATTATCCAAACAACAACACCATGCCGAACAAAGAGATCAGCGAGACTGCGAAGCTGTACGCCGCCTTGTTTAAGCAGGTCCGCGAGAAATTTGATGCCGAAGAGTTCGACGAGTGCGACCGCCTTGCCTTGTGGCTGCTCACCAAAGCCGACTTACCGGTCATCATTCGCACTCGCTGCCACATGATGTTGGGTAAGTTCAATGACCTGAAGCCAGGATCCATTGCGACTGACATGTTTGATAGCGAGTGCATACGCACAAGACACGCGCGAGAAGATGGAGCCGAAGGATTGGCTCGGCCATGCAGATGCAGCGGTGGAAATCCGGCGGAAGGCAAGGGAGCAAGGTCTTGTGGTGAAAGACAAATCCATCGAAGACGCCGAGAAGATTCAAGAGCGGGCTAAGCAGTCCTACCAAGAGCTAGTCGATGCTGGAGCGCATCAAAAGTCGGATCGGGGGGAATCGAGGGGGGAAGGTTCAGAAGGGGCAAATAATCCGGGAAAGAAGGACCTTGCTGTCCCTGCTCTTCGGGAGGTCAACATTGCCAGGGTGGCCAGTGGCGGAGGCGCCGAATGCAAGCACAGCGGAACATATGAATCAATTGCGGTTAAGCATTAGAAAATCAGCTCCTTGACCTCACGTCACAAGTAAAGCCGGGCTTAACTTATTTCACATGTGTAGCATCGTCTTGTGAAGTCAATGCATGTGGTGCTGCACCGCCACGCACATGCACGGGGTCTGGCACATGTACACGGGAGAAAGATTGCAAGGGCGAGGTTCTTCTTGAAATAAGAAGCTGCTCCGTATAATTATTCTCTTTGATCGTAAACGCTTATTTGTTCCTATCCCTTTGAACTTCTACTTGCAGTTACCAGCTCTCTACGGGTCTCCCTAAAGTTTCCATTCTGGTCCTACTGACTTTTTATACATGTTAGAGGCTTCTAGAAATAGCTTGTCTGGTATAGATCCCCTACAAGCAAATTACTTCCATGTTGCCTACTTCCTGAGAAGCGATACCTTTTCTCGTAGACTAGTAACTCATAATTTGAACGAGTAAGTAGCGTCACTCGACAGCAAGATGTAACAGTCGCCGAGGGACATTCCTTGCAGGACATTCAGTAGACTTTGTGGTCTACATCTTAGTTCTGGGCGTCAATAGCGGTTGTGGAAGCACACCGCCGTACGGAGGTCGAGAACCAGGGGCGTCTGACACTATGTTGAGAAGACTTGAAGTTGTAGCGCACGATGAGTTGATGATTTGAAGGTCACCGACATGGAGAGCAGGGGCGAGAAGTCATACCGACCTAGACAATCACTACTCCTCGATGCCTCTGTCAATAGAGTTGGAGCCAAAGTGTACGCTCCTTGAATTCGGGACAATCAACTGACTACGAAGTCTGAAAAGTATAGCGGAACAGGAATTTGTAAATTACATTGCTCGATACTGTCTCGAGCTGAATTCATGGTCGGCTCATGCTAAAATGAGGATGCGAATCTCAGAAAGAAGGTAGCATTTGGCAGACAACGATTGCTCGACGCCATGGCTGGGAGAAAGCGTCTTTTACAGCTTCCATCATGGTCGATGTTCGACCGGCAGCTAAAGGCCTAAAGTTAGTAAATGTTGCACATCCCACGCTCTTTACGGCAGGCCAGAGATGAACAAGAGCTCGCGGCACTGACTGGAGAGCGCCCTTAAATTTGAAGTTGGGAGCAGTCCTACTTACCTCTCCTGCAGCGGTCATTACTCGACTTGGAGGTTAGACGACGAAAGCCGAATGTGTTCGTTGTTTTCACACCTCAGCGACAAGGTCCAGAGGGCTCAACGCCCGTAGTTTCAAGCGTACAGCACCCTCAACGTAGATACCTGGAGCATTTGAAAGCAAGGTGTGCGATGGCTAATGCTTAGTAGCTCAACTAATGATTTTGATGAAGATAGCGATTATTGACAATTTTTACAGAGGAATTTGAGATTTCCCGTCTTATTTTCATTCCAGGTATTCATCGCATGCATCGAGACACTAACCGGTCAATCATGCCGAGTTATGGCTCAAGTAGTGATGGTCAGACGAGGCGTCGACATGTCACGTGTTATGTCTTGGCAGCTGATTGAATGTTCAGAAGATCCTATCAAGTCCAACATTCCACTCAACACTCAAGCACGAGCGCAAGAAGAGAAAAAGCATGATTTTTCTATTGGAGTAACAGTGGTGGGAAGGCAGTGGTAGATGGTAGGGACCAAGGAACATATCTTGACAACTGTATTTTGACCTCTTGGGGTAATTATCGTATAAATCGTTCTCTCATGACATAACACACGCTGATGCACGTCACATTCCTCCCATCAGTCCTCTCTCCATAGTTGCAGAGGCCGTTGACTCAAATAACCGTCTAGTAGTTGGTGTCTGGGCCGGTTGGGCGGTAGGTGTGGCCAGGGTACTGGAAACTTGTTAGCAATCGATCTAGGACTCAAAAGAACGGCAAATAGCGTACTTTGTTAAAAAGAGTTTGGTCGAAGGCGCCAACCTCTGGGCAGCTAAGGTCGCCAGCAATTGGCGTCAAGAAGTTGTTGATCAGGTCGGTGACTGGGGTGATCTGCTGGAGCGGCAAGTTGGCGAAGTCAGGGATGCCAGCCTGGGCAACCTGGGCCAAGAAGCAAGCACCCTGGGTGCCCTTAGGATCAAGAAGGGTGGTCAAGTTGTAGGCACCGCCAGTGAAGTCGGCAAGGGAAATACCAGCGTAGGTGTTGACGCCTGCAGCATATCAGTCAGAAATTGCACAAAAGCCTTCGAAGACGAATCAGAACTAACCGTTGGTATTACCACCGAGCTTGAACGAGCTTGGGTAGGCAAGGAATGATGGGATCAAGTCGGTGAAGACGTTGGCAGCGTTGTACTGGTTGGTCGAGGTACGACGGTACCAGTTGTCTGGGATCTTCTCCTGGCCGGGCAACCACTTGAAGTCGGCTGGAGAGTCACCCTCGATGGCGAAGAAAGTCTTGAACTGCTCGCCATCAAAGTAGCCATTGGGCTCCTCGGCGGTGTGGTTGCTCATGAAGTTGATGACGAAGTTGTACGCAGCTGGAGACACGAGAGTGGTCGAGAAAGGAGCGGCGAAGAAGTATGGGTTGGTCGCGACAGACTCATCAGACTTCTTGGCGAAGTTCTGGGCGAAGGAGTCCAGAGTGTAGCGGCCTGGGTAGCGGGAATCGGTAGCGGCGTAGGCATCCCTGAAACGATCAACGTCGAGGGAGTGGGCGTCACCGTTGTTCAGGTAGGCGTCTGGGCGAGCGATCGAGCTGTCTCCCTCGTACAGGTTGTGAGACCAGGAGATCCCCTGACCTTGGCCGAGAAGGCCCTTGGTGATCTGGTTGGTTGGCAGCGGGCCACCAATGGACCAAGTTCCAGCGACTGGGTCGCCGTCGAAGATGATACCGTAGGCAGCAAGGAACCCAGCAAGATCCACGCTCATGCCGTAGGCAGCACCGAGACCCTCAATGGTGTTCTCGATGGTAAGAATACCAGATCGGCTGAGGTAGCCGTGGTTTGCGGCAGCATTGAGGCCGGGGCATGGTCCTAATCGTTGTCAATGATGCGGTAACGTGTGCTGGGCATTATAAAATACAAACCTCGAATCTCATCTGCTGCTGGGCTGGCGTAGGCGTGCTCGCCAGTGTTGGAAACGTACTGCTCGGTGGCATCGAAGACTGTGCAGGGAATAACACCGCAGTTGCCACGAGCCTGGCTGAGTGCCTGGGCGGCAGTTGGGTCTGGGAGCTGGCGCTTTTCCTCCTCAGCGCGCTTGTGAAGCTCGGCGGCTTGTTCCAAGTTACGAGCCTTGAGGATGGCGTCCGACATTTGCATGACGGCCGGGAAGGCTGAGGCCGAAAGGGCCATCGAGCCCAAGAGAACTGCTGAGTACTTCATGATGAAGACATGGACCAGGAGCTTGGATAGAGAAAGTGGTTGCTGGATGGAAACGAGGTCGCGGAAGGATAGGAGCAGCTCAATATATGTCCTCCAAGGCCAAAAGAAACAAGCTAGGAGAGGGCCAAATGTTACATAGAGACAGACGAGCTGAACTCACTCCTCCTCCGCAATGTGATCGAGCGGCAAACGTTGAATCGGTACAAGGCAGCGTCGTAGTAGTGTCCTGCCTCGCCTGTGGAGCTGGCCTAACCCTCTAGTGTCCTGGAATGCCGATGTCTTGATGAGGGATCTGCACTTTGCACCAGCGCTCCACTCAGATCATCCCCGATGCTAAAAGGAAGGGTAACTGCGTGGCGCTCCGCTAAACTGTAGGCAGCGCCAAAGGCGTTTGCTTGTTCTTGTTAGCGGTCAAATCCTCTCATATTACTTACAAACTGGTTGTTCTTGGTGGAGTCGTCCAGGACCTTTGAGGGGCCGGTCCAGTTACTATTCCGCTCGCCGCAACGCCTCCCACGATTTTTCACCATTCTGAAGCCAACAATTCCGGTTGAATATGCTGGGTGTACAAGACGTGCAACGATTTAGGCATGTGCCAGATCGGGTTCCCATCTCACGAATCTGAAAGTACCCCAGATAGTATTCAGAATGGATCGGCAGCAATGCGGTCATGCTCGTTCATGCGGAGCTCGTGGGGGAACGTTTTGCAAACGCAGAAACGCCACTCGCGTATGTGCGGAGGTTCTCTGGGGCACCAAGAGTTTGGTAGGTGGCTTGCCCTGAGCAAAACGCCCGGAAGAACCGCATTTACCGTCAGAGGGGATACTCAGCAAGAACAAGACGTAGTCCCATTGGTCAGGTCGATTGCCATTTCCCGATTGACAGTGCGAACACTGTGATCGCATGCATGCGGCTCGCAGACCACCTCTTCGCGAACAGATTGTTTTCTTGGTCCTTGAACTTGTTGGAGGAGTTTACTGGTCCCAACGTTGACCATATAGGGGTATGACCTCGAGCAATCTAGTTGGATCATACATTCGCAGGAGGCGGAAAGGCAGCTGGACTTGGTATCATCAAACCTCGTGATGTAATCCTGGTTAGCCGCGCGCCGCTTGTTTTGTGAAGCTTTCGTAGTTGAAACTCACAGCATGGTATGCATCCGCCCTGGCGTGTTGCTGCTGGATCCAGCTCCGTTTTCTGGGAACTTCAATCATCGATGCCCTGCATTGACTCGGCTCAAGCTGGACGTAGTATTGCAGCGACGTCCACACTCCAATCAGACCTCGCGAGTCAATGCAGGCCTTCATGTGTTCGACCTCTCGGCTTTACCAGCCAGGCGAACGGTGCTACAGTACTCCTCCGGCTCTAACGCTGCCGAGTGCCATTGGGCATACTCTCGCCTCTCGCCTCCACTCATCAGCCTCATCACGACAAGCTCGCATTAGCGTCAATATCCTTAACCCTTTTTCAGCCATGATCGACACCAGATTTCCTATGCACGCATGGCGTGCTCGCCTCCCCCATGGGGTACATTGAATAATTACCATCCCCAGAGTTGGTCATGCTTTTTTTCACGGTGTGGGATCCGTCTCCCCAACGATACCCTTGTCGAAATTACCATGTCCAGTCTATTGCCACCCAATCAATATATTTCAAATGACCAGTGCGGTCTTCGACCATGCCACGTCTCCGGTGGCCACGTCAGGCTCCACTTCGTCCGCAGGCATGCATCGTTCGAAGGATCTGCGGACGAGCTTTTTCCAACTTGCCTATTCAGGCCTTTGCCGTTTCTGCTGTTGCTCTGCGGATCGAAAACATGCACCGATTCCTTTTCTGTTTGGATGCGTGGATGCACCCCAACCTTCGATCAACATGATTGTCAGGCACGTCACTGTCGAACTTCGATCTCGGAACTGGTGACCTGTGCGAGATTCCTTACTCGCTGTCAGTCGCTGACCTCTTTTTTTCCTTGCCACCTGCGCGTTCGCACAAACCTGCTTGCTTCACACCGTCCTCATCGCGAGGAAACTACCGACTGCTCGTAGATTCATGTTTGCTTCTTGCGGTATAGGAAAATGCCGCAGACGCCGCAGTGAGCAGGAAGACCTATCGCCACGAGGCAGCTGATCGCGCTGCAATGCCGCAAAAGCCTTGGCGATTGTGGTACCAATACTGCCGACGAGCCTAGAGTTGCTTCCACCACTCGTGGTTTGCCTAAGGATGCCAAAAGAGCTTCGCTGGTCCGGCAACCAGTCAACATGGATACGAAGTGCAGGCTTTGGAAATCAAGCTACATGACCCAGCAACGCGGTTGTTCCATAAGGCTTGACAACCCGCATTTCCGCCAAATGGCATAGTAGCAGGCTATTATTTCTCTGTGTGTTTGACCGAGAGACGCTTGACCTGCCAGCGCGAAATGGTTTGCGTCCAGACAAGAGTGATGGCCGAACGGATTTGGGCCCAGACCTTGAATTTCTATTACAGAGTCGGACTCGTCGAGTTCCCTGGAAGCCTTGTCACTCAGGGCACATGGGCCAGACATTCAACCAAATGGAAGGCGCAAGAGCTTCGAAGCATTGCACCTCAACGTAAATTGTCTACGGCTTGTCCATCTTGTAGTCTGGGATCTCCGTCTCCAAGTACATAGAATGGCCGATTTCCCCGTGAGTTGGATCGTGCGGAATTGGACACGGGGCACTGATAATACCTGTGTCGTGAAGAGCCCTTTTCCATGGCATCGTTGCTCGACGAGAATAATGATAATCAGGTCGACTACTCCTAGCTTCGATGCGGTCTCAAGGCCTCAACTCCCCAGATTTGGACACATGGCCTCGAATATGGCTGAACCGCTATGCGTGTAGTGGAGACCGTGTTGTGTGGATACTGTCGCCCGCAGATATGCCCGCAATTGCCGTCTGTCAAGGACTTTGCCAAAACCTTCATTGGTGGGTAATCAATATGATACTCGCCACCTGACGTTTGTTGCATTCTCGTTGCCTCCACAAGGTTGTATTCAGGATCATATGGACAACGCCACCTTCCTAACATCTCGAACCCGACGCAGTCAGCTGCAAGGAAGTCTCGCCGAGGACACGCGGATTGCGAGACGTATCTCTTTGGTCACATCAAAAGCATGCTTTCTCCGGTTGACGCCACATACAGCATGGTCGTAAGGGGCTCGGTGAGCGAGCTCAATTGGACGAGAGACGAATGAGATCCCGACGTTCTGTGCTGACCTCCAGTGTGACAGCGTGGAACGTACGACTGAGGGTGCTGCTATGATTTCCGCGTGCTCTTGAATGTGCGCGGACTCTCCAGAGCAGCAAATGGCCTGGATGATCTTGATTGGCAGGCTTCGCCTGGAGTCATTAGAAAGGCATCAATTCGACAATGGTGATAGCGAGAATAGCTGATTATCGAATGATCTGCCCGCGTAAGTCTGTTGCCGTCAAGGTCTGCGCACTGTTGTCGTCGTTCGAAGACTGCAGCGTCTTGCTCACTCTGCTAGAAACCTTCCCAAGCACTGACTCTTGCGCGCTGTCCAATTCGATCGAAACCAAGACTTCGAGGATGGCGACCCAGGTAATGCTTCGAGACCCACGGGTGCCAAGCCAGGAGAAGAGTTGGATTATGGAAGGATCTCTCTTGGAAATCATAAAGCAGGTGTTGCGGTGTCGAATCGTCATGCATCCTGTCCATACCGTCTTGACCATGGCAGACTTCTGTGACCAGGTCTTAGTCAATCATAGCGATTCACGCAACGAACACCCATAGTCATCAGCCACCAAGCATCGTGTCTAGCATCGGCATCAATAAATCGTCCGCGACAGTGAAGTCGACATTTTGTCTCACAGATCAAAACAACATGCACAAGGCTAGTCTGTTTAGGTTACGGATCAGGGGTCTGATTGCCCCGTGAGATAAGTGTCCTTCCTTTATCCTTCTCCAGCTTCGCAACGCTGAACAACAACATCACACTCAGGCGTAACAACTTACTCATGCCACCGACTTTCGATCGTCGTCATCACCTATATGCCACAAGCTGCTGGTCGTCACCGTCGAACGCGCCGTCCTGACAAAAATTCCACCAATGGGCTTGCCACCTCGCCGACCTGTGCTACATCGCACATACGATAAGCGTCATCAACATGGCGTGTTCTCTTAATCATCTGCGTTTAGGCATGTGGTGTTGATATCAGTGCAACCTGATCTCGCTTTGTTGTTATTCAGCAGCATTACACACTCATTGCAAATGCACAAACTCGCCTACTCGGAGGTACCGCTGGCGGAGCCTGCAACTCGCATTGGTCGTCGACAGCCACAGCTGACAGACTGGAGTGGTATATTTCTGGGACCAGTCCATGCAACACGAGGTTGTGGCGCACAACAGGGATGCAACACCATGTCGACTGCCAAAGACAAGCAACACGGTGTGCTTGCGTTTCGCTTGTTCTGAGGTGGCGCCCTCAACTTGTCCGCTTTTATCTCGTACAAGACTCGAAGCCAAGACGTTGAGCAGGGAAGACTGATTCGACTAATTACCTGAAATGGCTGGGTCAAAGCTCAAGGTGTTGGGACCTCCCAAGACTTGTGCAGAATAAATACGACGAGGGCGGCCCATTGACCTTCGTCTTTGGCGGCCTGACCAACCCAAATTACACGAGCACATCATGGAAGAAGAAACGACGTTCGAGCAACTACCTCCGCCAGACCTTGCAGCATTTCCCGGGAAAGACGAGCTGTGGTGGCCCTCTTGGCAATCACTCTTCGAAGATGGGCGACCAGGCACTGGGTCCAGCGCCTCATCAATTGCACGCCATTTAGACACGTCCTTCCGACACATCGTGCGTTCAGTGACCCCTGATACCGATCAAAGCCCAGCAGAGTCAACTGCCGTTTTCTCTCCATCTATAATCAGTCCTGGCAAGCACAAAATGGAGCCGACGAATGACGGCAGGGTTTCGAAGCGTAAAGCCCAGAATCGAGCTGCGTATGTTGTCAGAACGTTTTTCTACTTTCATACTAGACTAATTGGATCGACTGCAGTCAACGCGCCCATCGAGAGAGGCAGCGAGAGCGACTTTGTGCCCTTCATGACAAAATCGAGAAGCTCCAAGAGCGCTGCCGGCAACTACAAGCAAGGAATCAACTGTTTGAAGCAACTTTCCAGAAGTTCCTAAGGGATGCCATTGTTCTGCTAGGTTCGCGTAACAGCTCAAGGACTGTCGAGCTGGAGACAGACCATCGATCGTCTGACGAAGAACTTTTCTCTTCTGATTTACGGAAATGAAAATCCTACGTGGGAAAGACCAGACGTATTGCCGGTAAAGTACAGCAGCTGTTCTTGCCATCCCAGTGTGAAGCCGCCATCAACAGCAAGAGCCTGGCCAGTCACCCATGCACTGCAACAATGTCAGCAATTCCAAACACTTCAGCATCTCAAATTCTGGCTACTTACGCCTCATCACCACAGAGGAACAGAACCGCATCTGCCACATCTTGTGCTTCGCCGATAGTGCCCCATGGATGCAGACCCTCAAAATGGGCCCTTATCACTGGATCATCCAATCCCCTTTGGACCAACGGCGTTTTGGTGGTCCCAGGGCAGACACAATTGACGTGGATCCTTTCTTTGGCGTAATCCATAGCCATCTGGAAATGTATGTGAGAAGTACGCGGTGGCCAAATTATCATACCGATTCTCACCTGCTTCGTCATGCCTACAATCGCAAACTTGCTCGGCACGTATGCAGGCATTCTCGCCGCAGCAACTAATCCCTAGATTGTGCTGTTAGCAACCTGTCGAAGGTATGGACTCGAGTGACGGTTGACATACTATGCACACGTTAGATCGTGCTAAGCCCGCATATGGAGAGACTCTCAAGACATACCCACTGCGGATGACACATTTATGATCCAACCTCTGGTCCGCTCTTCCCTCGCGTTGGGCTCCATCGGCTCCTGTCCCATCATTTGTTGCAATACATACTTGCATCACACCCAGATACCTCTTGCATTCAGCGTCCACGTGCGATCGAAGTCGACCGTCTCCATCTCATGCACCCTGGGCAAGGGATTGTACCCTCTCTCGAAGGACGATCCCGCTGAATTGACCAGTACATCCACTCGACCGCCAAAGTCGACCGCCTGCTGGACCAATGACTGTATCTGTGACTCTTGTGTAACGTCGCAGTGAACGAATAAGGCCCTGTCTTTGCCGTGTGAGGCGATGATTCGCTCGACCACGGTGCCTTGCTGGATGTCTGCCACGATTACTCGAGCGCCGGCATCCGCGAACTTCAAGGCCGTGGCTTCACCAATGCCAGATGCTCCCCCGGTGATGATGGCGATGCGGTTATTGAGTCGTAACGCCATGATGTATATTGTCAATGATATTGTGTAAAGAGTCCAGATAAATCCCGAAGGTCATCTTGGGTGGTGCAAAAGCTCACGTTGCTAATACCGACCTTTAATCGACGATTCTAGCACATGTCGCGAGCCATGCAGTTCCTTCGACCCATTATCCCGGAAGATGTTGGTATGAAATGCGAAGCTGACATGTTTCGCCAGGTCGTTCTGTGCACGTGCTCACATCTATCCTCCGTATGAGCTGACATGGTCAGCATTCACAGGCTCCGACGATGACGTCAATATTCTCCAACACCTACCGCATTGGGAAGCTGGCATGGCAAGTCTTGACTCTACATGCAAGCACCTCTCGATAGTTCAGCTACGAGTGTATTGGAGTACACGTCAGAGGTCTTAATCACGCAGCTCAAGACGATAGCAGTCATGGAACCACGCTCTCTTGGCTCAAAGTGAGCTCCTCAGGTAAGCTGGACAACAATGAATAGCCGAAAGAAGTAGGATCGTTTCGAGTCTACGAGCCACCCAAAATCTAGGCCAAGAATCTTAGACTTACTATCAATAGAGCCAAATCGACAGAGGCCGACAAGTGGAGCACAGCAGAAGACCGAACTGAAAGTCAACACAACCTCGCCGGCCCTAGCAGTCAAGCAGATCAACCAGGATCTCTCCCACGGCCAAGACACTCAAGTAGCACACAGCAAAGCTCTACGATCTCGCCTCGTGGTCGGAGATTCCCATCGCCGCTGTCCACGCATCCCGACCATCTCGACAGCAGAGTCAGATGCAACCCCCAAAACAAAGAACCCCACCCAAGCGCAAACTCGACCCGACTCCCAACTCACCGGAAACGGCCTCCCTGACGCAACGACCCAGCATCGTCGTCAAAGACCGCCAACGTCAGCGATGCGCACCCATCCAATGGATCCCTTCTACGGTGGTCACGTAGCCTCGTCTACTCCGACAAGCACGCTGCACTAGGGATCAAATCCGTGCACAGATGCAGCATGGGCATTGTAACAAATCTCCACATGGCAGCCACCCAAGCAGCCGCGGAGCCACAGCATCATGTTGCTGGATGGGGAGAAGAGGCCGTGTGACGGGTGCGATTTCTTCGTGGGCCTTTTGGTGACAAAGGTGTGGAGTTGCTCGGGGGGTGGAGATGCCGTGTTGTGGGAGTGGTATATTAGATGGGGTACTCTGGTGGAAGTTGAAACGTCGGATCTATCTTGTTCAAGTCTTGCCTTGCACGAGAATATCCTTAACCCACCATGCATATCATCAACATCGTTATCTGGGCCCTCCCAGCGGCATTCGCTCTGCCGAATCCCGCTTTGGAAGAACGACAATTGTCTTACCAGCAGGGTGCAGTCTACCACCACAACCTCCACAGAGTAAGGCCACATCCCCTGAACCCGAAAACTTCCCCCGACTAACATCTCTCAAAGGCCAACCACAGCGCCCCCAACCTCGTATGGGACACCACCATCGCGGCGACCGCCATGAAAATCGCCAAAACCTGCAACTTCGCCCACCAAATGCATCCCTCCCTCCCCCTCCCCCTTTCAAACCCCCTGACTGACCCACCCCTCCCAGGGACATCGACGCCGGCGGCTACGGCCAAAACCTCGCGGCCGGCATCCCGGCCACCAACATAACCTACGTCGTCACAGACATGTGGTACAACAGCGAAGTCAACGCGTACCTCCCCAGCTACTACGGGAGCGAGCCGTCCAGCAGCGAATTCGGGAAGTACGGCCATTTCAGCCAGGTGGTGTGGAAGGGGACGACGCGGCTGGGGTGCGCGACGAAGGATTGTAGTGTTGATGGGTTGAAGGGCGTGGGGAGGGGTGTGCCGCCGGTTTTGACGGTTTGTAATTATAAGGGGCCTGGTGAGTTTTTGTTGGTTGGTTGGGTGGGGGGAGGGGAGGGGGGTGGTTGTGTTGATTTGTGCTGATTTGTGTGATAGGGAATTATTTGGGACAATTTAAGGATAATGTCCTTAGGCCGCTGAATCGGCCTACGGTGAATTGGTCGGCTGTGCCTTGAGCAAGATCTTGGACTGGAATTGGGATTCGGACTGGAATGAACGATCGCTACGACTGACTTGAACGACATCTTGGAAGTTTTCTTTTCGGGTGTATCCACTTGATGCTATCTCGGAATTTTCTGGACTCCAGGGCGAACAGGCCCTTTGTATATACACTCTCTTCTTGAATTCGGCGTGGATAGGCTATCGATATCATATTCAATATGTGAATATGTGTTTCTGACAATCACTTTCCCTCCAGGGGTGGCCTCCTTACGCTACGATTGTAGAAGTCTAAAGCCTTGTGGCTCTGATGATATCCCTCAGGAACAAACAATCAACACCACCCATCTCACCCCTGTAAACCCCCTACCCCTCAAAAAACCCCCTCACCCCCTTCTCAATCCCCGGCAAAAACAACCACCCCATCTCATCCCCATGGCTATCCCTCACCCTCCCCTCCTCCACCAACTTCCTCCTCTCCCCCTCCGCCAACCTTCCCACATTCGTAGTATTTTCCGTCCACTCAAAAATCTCATCAATCTTCCCTTGTCGCCACTTCTGCCATCTCCCCAAAACCTCCAAAAGGAGTCGCTCCGGCGCTTCGACTTCGTCCGTGCCCTTCGTCTGTGGCTGCTGTCGGAGTGTATCCAAAAGCAATCCCAACGACCACGCATCCTCCAACGCCTGATTCACCCCCTGCGCCGAACTAGGCGGCAACGCATGCGCCCCATCCCCCACGAGCACGATCCGCCCCGTCTCGCTGAACCACCTTGGCAAAGCCGGCATGCGCATAAACGGCCAGATGAACAAACTCTCCTTCCGCCTCTCCACCGCATCGATGATCCTCCTCGCCGTCTCGCCCCACTCCGCATAACGCTCCGTGAAAAACCCCAGCATCCGCTCGGGACTCGCCTGGAGGTTCTCGAGGTCTTGTCGCGATTGTTCGGGGAAGTGTGCTTGCGTGGCGAACATGGCTTCCTCGCCTGCGGGGTCCTCGGCAATGTAGAAAATCGCGCCGGCTTTGCTTTGGAACGTGGCGTTGCGGTCGATGGGGTGGGTTTTGTCTGGCCAGTCGATCTCGTCGAAGCGGGCGTGGCCTGCGACGGCGGTGATGCCCGTGTAGGAGGGGTGGATGTCTGGGGCGAGGTATTTGCGGACAGCGCTGTAGATGCCGTCGGAGGCGATGAGGAGGGAGGCAGGTTGGGTAGTGTCGTTAATTTGGAAGACGACACCATGGGGTGTATCGGAGACGACACCATTGAATTTCGAATCGAAATGGATAGGGACAGACCGTTCCTCGAGCATGAGACGCATTTCAGCCAGCAAAAAGTGACGCCAAATGCGGTGGTTCGCGTAGCCGTATTTCTCCTCGCTATCGATGCTGTCTTTCTTGGTGATTTCGTCGTTGTCGTTTTTGAAGACGCGGTGCGTGGGGATGTAGCAGCGGTCTCGGATACGGGGGAGGACGCCGAGCTGGTCGAGGACGTGGAGGCCGTTGGGGGTCAGGAGGACGCCGGATTGCATTGAGAGTGCGCTTGCTGGACGTGCTTCGTAGACTGTGACGGGTATGTGTTTTTGGGAGAGGGCTAGGGCGATGGCGCAGCCCTGTTGTTCGGTGTCAGCTTTTCTGTCACTGCAGATGTGTTTGAGGTGATACACATACCCCAAGGCCAGCACCGATGACCGCCACACTGTCGAGGTATGTATCCATTTTATCCCTCCCTCTCTCAGTCTCGACGAATACTCCAGCAAACACAAGACAAAAGCAATAGAAAAACTTATACACAACACCACAGGAACACAGCGGCGCTCGTCTCACAGGTCATATAAATAACAAGCTCGAGAGAACAACCCTCGTGGAAATCCCTTGCTCGTAGCGCAACAGAGCTCCGATCCAAGGCAAAGATATGCTTCACCTAGGATGTCAAATCACACCAGGTTCAGGCTCAATTTTGCTCTGCACTCCTAATGGTGCCAGCAGTAGGGAAACATACCTCTCCTGGAACGTGAGATCCTTCTTAGCGGAGATACGCGAGACCCGGATGCGTTGCTAACGTCATGCCACGATTTGAAGACTGTGTTGTGATGTCCTGTTGTAGCTGAGAACTTTCTTTTGCGTCCGACTGGCTATGCATTTTTACCCCTGTCAGCAATATCTTGTCCATTTGCTTACGGCAGACAAACTGCCATCAGCACTCGGTAGTCTCAGCGAACTTACATGAGATTCTGTCTTGTTGCTCAGCCCTCGCGCGCACAAATTTTCTCATCTGCTGGGTTGGTAAAGCCGGAAGAGAGGAACCCCGCCGCGGGACCAACTTTGAGTTGCGTAGAGCTTGTTAGTGGGTTTGATGATGGTCTGAAGTGGAGCAAGCAGGTGGTGAAGTCGTTTTCGACATTATCATTCTGGCTCTATCATGTTCAAGTCGTTGACGGACTCTCAAGCGCTCATTGCGCATTACTGTTTCGTGTCAATAGTGGAGAGAATCGCCCTCTCTGGAAAAGAAACAATACTCGACCAGCTTACAATGCAAAGCTGCCCTCCAGCTGGCCGTCCAACACGCTCTTGCCGACGACGACCTGGTAATCCCCCTCTTGCAGCAACCATTGCTGTTCAGTCGTGTCCCAGTTGCTCAAGTCTCTTCTCCTCAATGGGAAGACGTACTCCGTCGTCTCGCCTGGCTGGAGCCAGTGCTTCTCGAAACCTCTCAAGGCACGCTCAACTCCGCTGTTCGGGATGTTCAGGTACAATTGCGCTACCTCAGCAGCCGCGATCTTTCCTGTGTTGGTTACCAAGACAGACACCGTGGCAATGATCTCGTAAAGGCTGGCGAGACCACCCTCAGAAGGCTTTTCGTCCTTGTCCGGAGGAGCGAGAGAGCAGTGGTCCGCGGTCTTGGAAATTTTCAAGTTGGAGTATGAGAAGGTCGTGTATGTCAAGCCGTACCCGAAGGCAAATCGAGGGGTGATGTTGTTTTGAAGGAAGTGGCGGTAGTCGATGAAGACACCCTCGGTAAAGTTCGATTGCGAGTACTGGGGATTCTCCTCGTCCGGTTGACTGGGGTTGAGCAGAGCGCCGTAATCGGACTCGTTCTTCGCAACGGTGTATGGCAGTCTGCCTGAAGGCGATTGGCGGCCGTACAGAACTTCGACAAGAGCATCGCCGGAGGCCTGGCCAGGTAAATGGGCAAGGAGAGCGGCGGTGACATTAGGGTTGTCGATCCATCTGTCGACGAGACGAATACCGGCATTGTGCACGACGACGATTGTGTTGCTGCACTTTGAAGCCACATTGGTGACCAAGGTGTCAGACCATTCGTCTGCGAGCTCACTGCGGTCGGCAGCTTCGGACGATTGAGCGTTGATGAATACAAGGCAAGCGTCGCTTGCATTCACAGCCGGGTCCTGTGAGACAAAGTCCGTGTAAAGCGTGGTTCCATCATTGGCAGCCTCACGCTGGAGTGCGTCGTACGGGGAGACCATGGATGACGGAGTGATGGCACCTGAACCAGCACCAGTGATCATCGTTCCGTTGAAAGCAACTTCAGGGACTGGTCCCTGCTGGATGGAACCTGCAAGCAGAATGTACTGCAAATCGCCGAATTGTTGACCGTTGGTGTAGGCCTTGGTGTTGGCCAATCCAAGGGAGTAGAGAGGGGAATCGGTGCTGGAGGTATTGAATCCACTGATGGCGTCGTATCCGAAGATGGACAAAGTCTTTGGTGCCTTCAATGGTAGAGCGTTGTTCTCATTCTTCACCAGAACATGGCCCTCTACAGCCGTTTGGAAGATGATCTGATCCGCGGCAGCAGTTCGAGCATCTACACCATGGTTCGCAGCGACACCAGGAGTTGTGAAAGGAGCAAAGCGATACCAGGCTGCGAGCACTCGAGTGGCCATGTCGTCCAACCTCGTAGAGTTGACCGATCCGTTTTGGACAGCAGTAGCCAACTGATTGAAGCCCCACCATGTACCGGATGGCATCACCAGGTCAAGTCCGGCATTTGCGCTGGCAATACCCGTGTGTTGGCCGTACCAGTCAGAAACTACAAAGCCTTGGAAGCCTAGCTCTGTCTTTAAAAGCCCATTCAAAATCTTGCTGTTCTGGCTGCCGTAGCTGTTGTTGACACGGTTGTACGAAGCCATGACTGATCCTGCTCCAGCTCTCACGGCGTCGTAGAAGGGCCAGAGGTATAGCTCGTGCATGGTCCGGTCGTCAATGTTGGACGATACCGAGTTGTTCAGGTTGATGCCAAGAGGAGCGAGGAAGCCCTGGAAGTAAGGATTGCGGTTTGTTTCCTGTTCGTTGGCAATGAAGTGCTTCACGCAGGCAATCACCGACTGCTGCATTCCTCGTACTGACGGGTCAACCAGGGAACCTGCCAGGTAGGGGTCGTTGGAGAAGCCTGGTGTCAAGTTTAGCATGTCACATACCGCAAACGTTTAAAGTGTCTTCGCACCCTCCCAGTTACGCCCTCCCTTGGCGACACGGCCCAAAGGTCCAACAACGGGTCCAAGCGCGACGTTGATGCCCTTCGCCTTGAATTCTGCACCAAGATACTGTCCTCTGAGATATGCCAGCCCTTTGTCCCAGCTTGCGCCCACTGTGAGAAGTGCTGGGAACCCGCTGACCATCTCGTGGTCTGACGTGCGGACACCACTCTCAGCATCGTTGAGGCAGATGCCGGAGAAGTTGAGTCTTGGTACACTGCCAGTAAAGCCGGAGCAGCCGACAAAGTTGATTGCAGGAGTGAGGATGAGGTTCTTCTCTTCGTCAGTCATTTGAGAGAGCAGCTCCTTGGCGTGGCTGTATGCCGCCGCCCAATCTCCATCTCCAGAACCTTCGGCTGGGCGATGTCAGTATCAGTCAACCTCCAACAATCGAGACATACGTGAAGGGTAGACCGGCGGCGAATTGCCATATGTGTAGTAGAGCTCGGGGTCATTCAGCTTCTCCGGATCACTCCCAGGTTTGGACAGAGCTTCGATCAGTTGGGTTTGAACAGCGTTCGCTGCGGAGGCGACATATGTTGCAGCCACATCGATGAGCGCGCTGGGGATGTAGCCGGTGTCAGCGAGGACAGTCGCGATGGGCGCTGCTGAGATGGATGGAGCTGAGAATGTGCTGTTGGTGGTGTTGGTTTCGCTCTGAGCCAGGGCGAGAGGAAGATAGCCAACTGCCGCGAGGCTCCAAAGCCTGAGCGCCATCCCGTCGCAATATACCTAATATCGGTACCTAAGAAATGCAGAGGAGGAGATGGGGATGTACCTATACCGCCAGCTGAGCTGTATACATTATTATTGTCGCAGGATCAGGAACAGGAAGGCAGGTGGGACGAAGGTTTGGAAGGAAGTCGATAGTAGCGCACATGGTGTGCCTCGCACTGCAGCGCCATGCCGCATTCACCGTTAGCCAGGCGGGGAAGGCGTCGAAGCGTTCGTGGGAGATGAATGCGAAGATCGCAGCAACCACCGCGGCTGAACTCGACCCTTCTTCCTCCTCTGCGGCTTTGCGGTGGCTGGACCAGGCATTCAATATTCGCCGTGACTTGCTGCGAGTTGCGGACATCTTGATGGAGCTGAGAATGGATGTCTGGACTCAGGAGAGCATGGCTAAAGCTGGTGGCGAGCAGAAAGAGCAGTTTTCCTGGGAGTGAGACAGTTTGACAACTCTCTCGACGGCGCTGAACCAAAGCTGTCGGCCGCGGATTGGCGATGCTGAATCATCGCCGTCGTTCATCCAACGATTTTCGGGGTCTGATGGGCAGTGGATGGGAAACACGATTGATCCTTTCGTCGCTACCCACTTCGGTTAGCGCCAAGGAATCTAGCCGATTGGCTCAACTGCCGAAACGTCTTCCCATCTCCTCTGGCCTCCCTCTTTGCTTCACGCAAAGCCACATCTCCATATCCCAACACTCAATCCGCACGGCGAAGCATGTGATGCAGCTGACCGCACCTCTTACCCAAGCAAACCACCACCAGCAACATGAAAGGAGGTTCGCTGAGCTCGATGTTCTGAGTCTGCACGGCGCAGGTTGGCAACGAGTGCCGAAATACATCTTGCTCGCGAACACGCACCGCACTATCTTCCCGAACCGGTCTAGATGCGCACATGTAGGTACGAGTGCGCCGTACAGATGAGTGTCATCACATAGAGTGTTCAGAACTTGCCATGGGCACTCTTCCTACGACGACGCCATGGAGCTATAACCTGCACGCCTCTCGGTGTCATTTTTGGATGCCCCTCTTTGCTCGAGCGACATGGAGAAGCAGGGTTTGGAGACGACACGATGGCCCCGTATGGCGCAGCACTCCTACGATGACATTATTTCCCGACGTCTGTTCGAATACAAACGAGCGCAAGGTGTAGAGTTGTCAAGAATCTCTGCAGAAGAGAACCAGCTCTACACGATGTTCAACCGGCACTGCTGTCCTCAAATCTGCTACTACATTCACAACAGACTGCGGTCCCTGAAAGTCGACATTATGTCAAGACGACTCCAGACTTTCCGATGCGAGCGCTCGATTGAACTTCAGAGGCGAATGCTTCCGGCACGTCCGTCGACCATCCGCCTAGTCTTGGCCCATGAACCGGACGCTGAAGCATCTCCGCTGGGCAGGTGAACCTCATGCTCAAGCCATGGCCTTGGTCGTGATGAGATATGCCAAGGCCACTGCCAAACTGTCCGTGTAGCCGCACTGCTACCGACACTGTCTACGTGATGTCAAGTGAGAGGCAAAGAGGGCCCCAAGAAATCTCTCCACGTCTCGTCGTTCTCGTCTTCGGTGGCTAGTCCCGAACTCAAAAGGGCGAAGGGAAAGGTGAGGTCGACTTGAGCACCACTCATGTCTCACCCACACAGCTTTGTGCCTCGGTACCTGCAAGCCATTGGCCTAACACGACAACGATCAACATCACTATACTGCATTCGAGCAGTGCGGTCTTGAGCAGAAGACAATCGGGTAGGCCGCAGAATTCTTCACCATTGGCAGAAGAAGCACTTGGCAGGGTTAAAGATGAGTGAAACGACCAGAAACTGGAGGCGTAAATGTCTCCTGGCAACAGCCTGGCCAACCGTGCCATCCAGAATATGTTTGCCTGCGGTAAGAAAATAGAGCTGCCTTACGGAGAACCAGACTCTATCACATGCTTCGGTGGGCGTGAGCATTCCGAGCACGAGCGCGTAAGTGGCGATGAGATATATCTTACCTGACCAGACTCCTCTTCCATTGCTACACTCCACCATCACAACACTCCTCTCCTGTCTCACAAGGAACTCACGACCGGCGCCATGGGCGCAACAGGAGCAAACCCCAAAGACTCCATGAAGTCGACATGGCGTGACAGCGACCGTAAAGACTGGGGGAGACACCATTATCTCATCGAATACCTGGGCCTACAACCGACCAACAAAGGCCAAGAAGTCCCCATCCACCAAAAGACCGACAAGATGCCATACCTCCCCCACTGGCAAGCCCACATCTGGATCCTCCTCCACGCCTCCTGGCCCCTCGTCCTCCACCAACTCTACGTAAACTACACCCACCACGGTCTCCACCCCATCGCCACGTTCATCTTCTACTCCCTAGCCTTCAAACTCAACGCCATCAGCGAAATCCACATGCTGCGCAAACTCGGCCACCGCTACGGCTTCCTCGACGGCGACAAACACGCCCGCGACGACGTCCCGGACGCCGGCGTCTCCAAGACCTTCCACGCCCTCTCCTCGACCTCCACCTTCCGGCCCCTCCTCTCTCTCGTCCTCGCCTACCGCACCCGCCTCGCCCCGAGCACAATCTCCTACTGGACGCCCCTCGAACTCGGCCTCTACGGCATCATCCTCGACTTCTGGTTCTACTGGTACCACCGCCTGATGCACGAGTACGACGGCCTGTGGAAATTCCACCGCACGCACCACCTCACCAAACACCCCAACCCGCTCCTCACAATCTACGCGGACACGGAGCAAGAAATCTTCGACATCGCCGTCATCCCGCTCCTCACCTACGGCACGCTCAAACTCCTCGGCTTCCCGATGGGCTTCTACGACTGGTGGATCTGCCACCAGTACATCGTCTTCACGGAGTTGTTCGGCCACTCCGGCGTGCGGGTTTTCACGACCCCGCCGTCGACGAATTCGTTGTTTTTGAGGTTGTTTCGGGCGGAGCTGGCGACGGAGGACCATGATTTGCATCATCGGAAGGGGTGGCGGAAGAGTATGAATTATGGGAAGCAGACGCTGTTGTGGGATCGGGTCTTTGGGACGGCTGGGGAGAGGATTGAGATGCAGGAGCATTTGATTGATTATCAGAATCAGGCGAGTATGTTTTGAAGGGAGGTGCTTGAAGTTGTTGTTTGTTAGGGAGGATTGGTTGTTGAGGTTGATTGTGTGAGAGGCGTTTTATGTGGAAGAAGATACCCAAAATCATGCAGAGGCGCTCTTGAAGATGTAGATGTTAGCATTTCCTTGAGTATGAATCCAGAAAGAATCCAAAAATTTCAAAACAAGAACCCAGGCTTCATTTCCCAGACGGTTCGTGTATTTACTAGACACTATCTTTACATTTTCTCCCCAAAAGACCGACCTCACGACTCTGCGCTCCATCGAACTCATCTATACTCCCCCCTTCCCCCCCCCAAGCCCTGCTTTCCTCTTTCCAAAATGCCCTATGCTACACAACCATGCCCACCGACGCCAAACTCCTCCAACCCCTTCCTCCCTTTTCGCTATCATACAAAACTAGACCTACAACCCCACCACTCCCTAAATCCTACAAAACCATCAAGAACACAGCCATCACCACAAACGCCAAACCCCTCCACAGATTCGCGGGCAGGATTGAAACCCCCGAAGTTGTAGCGGCCGTCTGGGGTCTCACAACGGTGCCTTGCTGATGCGTGATAACAGGGCTCGATGAGCTCTTTCCGCGAAGTGTGACGGATCCACCCCGAGTAAGCGTCTGATCGCCGATGATCAGCGTGCCGTCTGCGCTGGTGTAGCCCATGGTGTTGCCGGCGACTGTGATCATGCCAGTTGCTTCAGAATCTGCGCCTGAGACGGTTGTTGTCACGCCGTTGACGATGAGGGCGGAGCCGTCTGGGGCCATTGCGAGGGTTAGTGGACTGTTGTTCGAGTTTCCTTTGCTTGTCATGCCTAGGACGCTGGCGATGACATCGCCGATGGCTTGCGAAGAATGTTCTGTCGGCTTGGGATCCGTGTACACAGTAGCGACAGGCCCATTCGACGGCAACGTAAGACCCAGACTCTCCGGTAGTGCCGCCACAGTCGGTTCACTCGTAGTCGCTGCGATGGCAGTCGGATCCGCATCAGTAGGAGTCGTATACGCACTATTCGCATGCGGCAGCGTCGGTTTCGCAGCCTCGCTCGCCTCCGTCAAAGCCAGAGGCGGATCGAACAGAACCGCATCCTCATTGAAGATGAAATTGCAAGGATTATCATCCCCATATATCGACCCAGGCTCCTGAAATCCCGCCGGGTTGATCGTCTTGAAAGCCTCAGGAATCATGAGCACAGGCGCGTAGTCGTTCCAGATCGTCGAGCAGAGATTTGAAGCGGCTTCGGAGATGTACGACTGTTCGATGGGAGTCTTGGTAAGCGTCGTGGATCCCAAGTCGTAGGTGTATGTGTGGGTGACGTCGGTGTAGGTGAAAGGCATAGGCTCCACGTAGCAACTCGGTTGGCAGCGGTAGACGTCTGCTGGGACTGGCTCGTTGAAGTCCGCATAGTTGACTTTCCGAGGCGGTCCATATCCACCACCAGGCTTCCCGCAGTGAGAGGAGACTGCATCCGCCTCTTGTGCGACGATCAGCGTCTGTGGAGTGGAGAACGTCGTCCCTTGGCTCGTGTACGCCCAGGAGCCTACAAACTCGATGTAAACCGTGGGGCTAGTCAGAGTCGTATTGAGCGTCTTGAAAGTATTCGGCTGTCCCGATATCGTCGGTCCCAAAGTCGTAGTCGGACAAGTCGCTCGTTGACAGGAATCACATGTACTCGCCACAGTGACTGGCCAGTACAGTAACCGCACAGAAGCCTCCTGCATTGCACAAGCCGGCTTTCCCAGCGAAGCCGTTACTGGAATCAAGGTCGCAGGGCCACAGATTGGACTTGAAGGATATGCCATGGTAGGATTGCCTTCGGCGTTCAAGGACGTGAACACATCCAAACTCCTCGAAAGGTCACTTCTCAGCCGAGCACAATCATCAGACTCAATGATACATCGCGGCGGTGGAAAGCTGCTGTATACCGAAGAACTCGTCTCGATGGTACTCGTAAAAGGCGTCGTAGTCGTAACAGTCAAGATCGTCCTGGAGCCATTGATCCTCGGGTACCCATCACACAGGGTAAAAGGCGCGGCATCATCGCTCAAGAACGTCTTGGTCGTGATCGAAGTCGACTGCCCGAGCCCAGTGAACGTAGAATTGTACGTCGTTTCGGACACGAACGTCCTGCCTTGGGACTTCTGCCAGTCCTGCTTGGCGGCATTGCAGCGAGAGGCGTAGGCACTGCCCGTTCCAGTTGGAGAAAGTTCTGCTGCGGTGGTTTGCAGACATAATAGCGAAAATGCCGTCCAGAGAAATTCCCATGCCCCTCTCGTATTCATTTTGCTGCTCGTCCGGGGACGCCACTCGTGCGGATTAGCCTGTCATGCCTGTGTGCACCGACAACGCCATTGCTCCCCCTGGACAGAAAAGATACAGATCGAGCGAGCGTCCGTTGCGTGTAGCGTGGCGGTGGCGATGGTCGTGGTGAAGTCTTCGAAGTCATTGCCGAGAAGTGTTGACGTGTGTTTCCAAAAACTCCAATGTTCTAGGTCTGGCCGGACGAGGCGCCGTCTGAGCCTATGCCAATATAATACACTGTATCCCTGTTCGGGAGCAGCCGGCTACCGAATGGCCTCTCACATGTCACAGCCCTGTCGCTTAAGGTTTGGCTAGTGTCATGGAACCCAGGTATAGGGAGAGTTCAAATACGAAGACGTCAAAACATCTTTCAGTCGTCACCAATTCTGAATATCTTTGCCTTCCACTGATCACTCGTCTGGCCAGCAGGCGCCCACACCGCCATCCTCATGGACGCTCAACACCACACTGCCTTCGCCTCGTAGCGGATTCCCTTCCCAGACAACAAAGTCGCCAAGTGCGTGGCTCGAGGGTTTCAGTTTGGTCGATTTCAACCGAAGAATCTCTTCGATATTCGTCGATACTAGAGCAATAGCATCTGCTTCGCCGAGCCCTGCATATCGTGCCGCCCAGCCAGCTTCGCTGGCCAGGTTGTGGATGTGGGAGTCGCCTGCGAAAAGTCAGTAAGATGTCATGAAGCAAGTCCATGATCTGTAAGTGTGTGTACCTTGAATTGCCAGACCGAACTTCACACCCGCTTCAGCGAGAACACTGGCTGGGCTTCGCGTCAATGGAGGACCGCTCAAGGCGTCTCTCTTCTCCCAAGTGTCCGGTACACCCCGATTGGCGGTGAGGATGACTGAGATATCAGCTTGGGCGAGCTCTTCTGCAACCTGGTGTAGAGATCAGTATCGCAAGGTGAAGAAAAGTGGAGCGACATACCAGCGGAGCCCCATGCCCGCCGAAGATAACGAGGTTGGCATTTGGGAAGTCCCTCTTTAGCCAGATGATTTGGCGAATAATGTCCTAAGAACCAATCGGTTAGCAGATGATCCATATTAGATGTTGTCTCCTTACAGTATTAACAGCGTGAATGACCACAGGCAAGCTTCCATTACATGCGCGTGCGTAAATGCCTGAGCCAGATGGGTCTTGCGACAGTATCGTGCGAAGTTGCTTGATAGCTGCCGAGATGGTCGATACTTCGCCAGCTGCCTCAAAAGTCAGTGCATACTTACTATCGCCTGACACTCTTCCACTTACCCTTAGAAGCCTGGCTCAGCTCAAAATGCAGCGCAACATCTTCTTGGTAGATGCCTCCATCGAGTATGCTTGTCGAATTGCTGGTTCTAAAAGCCACGCTCACACCTCGCAGCGTACCACCACGTAATTGAGGTACGGTGACGGCTTTCGATATACCGCCTAGTCTGGCTCGCTCCAAACCCCGGCTGTCGCTGTGTAGTCCGTATTTGGCGAAATCAATGGACTCTTCGCTGGCCACATGGGCTTTTGGGTCTACGGTACCGTCGCTAGTGGAAGGCTCTCCGGTGATGTCAACGAGACCAAGCGTTTGGCTAACGGCCACTAATCCAGGCGTGACATGTCCATCTTTCAGATGTATGAGAACACCATCATCTGCGGAAGAGGCACATTTCTCATCAAGTCCGAAGCAGATTATCTCGCCTCCATCAACAACGAGCGTGGCGTTTGCGAGATTGTTGAAACCCAGTGCCTCATGTGGAGAATAAACCTTCTGGATTCCAGTGAAAATGAGTCTCTGGGGTCGAGTTGTCATTTTCGAGCACAGCGAGTGCCTTTCCTGGTCAGACACTTGTGGTCGCGCTTTGGGCTCTGCAGCCTTTGAACGTGTTTGGCCTGCCTGGAACAAGCTCTCGCTGACCACCTCCGGATCGAGCACGGAATGACCATCGATATACACCTGAGTAGCCGTCGCTCCGATCGAAAGTGGGTGGGAATCCCAGACGACCAAGTCAGCATCGTAGCCGGGTTTCACATAGCCAATTCGATGGTCTTGTTGGATAGATCGAGCTGGCACAGACGTAATGGCTTGTAGTGCCTTGTTGGACGCCAGACCGAAGGAATGTGCCACCGCTGCTTGGTGTCTAAACAATGGCTTAGTGTGGTGTGCATATGCCTAGGAAAGGGAGACGTACAGTAGGTACTTTGCGTTGTTGCCCTCACCAGTATGGTCCTGGTAAAAAGATTAGAACGTATTCGAGATGCACAAAGTTGCAACGTACAGATTTATAGGCGACTGCAACACCATGTTCCGCGAGTACCTTGCCTGCACGCAGACTTGCGCCGTATGCTTCGGCTTTGAAGAAGGCGTTCTCTGCAAAAGTCGCAATTGTGACGTTCCTATGTATTCGGTCAGAGAATAACACGAACGTTGCGCAATTGCATACTTACTGTTCTTCCGCTTTCAGCAGTTCTGGCACCTGCCATGCTTCTAGTGCATGATGGAATGCTCGAGGATGAAGGTTGAACTCATGTAACACTGCAAGCATGCGCTCGAGGTCCTCAGGTTCATAACAATGGATGTTGATGTTTACTTGGCCGCGCAGCATGGCAATGGTTGGTTCATATTCCAAGGGGTCTGGAAATCGGCCTGCCGATTGTACGAATTTGTTCACTCCTGTTTCAGACACGGCTAAACCAGCTTGGCACCACTGGTCCTGCTGCTGTTGAATCTCTCTGGCCTTGCTGAAATGCTCCCTCAACAACCATACGTTGCCTAATCGAGTGTGCAGATATGTGTGTTTGGGGTTCTCTCCACAGGCCATCTTCATATACCTGACACGCTTAGCCTCATCAATGCCGTGGTCTAAGAGCAGCTCCTCCACAATAGGTTCGTGATCGGGACCGCTCCGTGCCACATTCTTAACGACATAGGCTTGGCCGCCAATGATGTTTGCGGAGCCAGGTAGGATCAGAGACGATGTCACTCCTCCGCCAGCAATGACTTCAATGGCAGGGTCATACGGCTTAAACCCATCAATAGACCGTACAAAAGGCGTTATAGGTCCAAGCAGGGGAGTCTCGTTGACGTCCCGAGTAGCTGGAAGAGAGTGGAATGGCCAGACCAGATGGTGGGAGTGCATGTCCACCAGCCCTGGCGTTACGTAGCTTCCGCCAAGGTCTACTATTTCAACCTCATCGTTGATCAGGCCGTGCAGGTCTCCAGTCTCTTTGACGTCGCTTATGACTCCCTTTTCCAGGCGGATATCGACTCGGGCTGACACAAAAGCCTCACCATCAAATAGGGTGGCATTGCGAAGAATGATGGCACGCTTTTTTCCAGGTTTCGCGATCCACCTTGGATTGCTTCGAGTAGATGAACATTCCTGACCGATGAGGGTTTCGATTTTCGTACACTTCTCCAGGCCGTCACGCAGTTCTTCAGTGCCGTCTGGCAATATCAATGCATCGCCGCTGAAGTTTGGATAACGCCGAATGAAGGCCAGAAAGCCGAACAGAAGTCCTAAACAGGCGATGACTTTGGATCGGCCATATCTCTGTATGTCCTTTGGGGTTGCTCGGTCGTAGGCTGTGTAGTAATGGTATGGCGGAGGCGCGCTGGTAGGCAGTTCGTCCAAAGCACTCATAATGGGCTTGAGTTGCCGTCTTGGAAGAAGATACTCAGTCTGATATGCCGGAGTGCACAGCGTGCCATATGCCAAGCACGAACTACACGGTAGCCTCTATTGCGCTTCCGACAAGGCGTATGGCATCAGCGGGCTAGACATTGGAGTGGAACAACTTACATACTGATGAGACCAGGATGTTGCTCCGGCCAGAAAAGTCTACAGATTGAGTTGCAATGTTTCAATACGTCTAGTATTTTCTTGTAGATGTCAGCTTAAAGCGGCTGCTGATTTCACAGATAATGCTGCGATGCTATCCCAAGCCACAAGATGTTGTTTGATGGTTGGAGAGAAGGAGAAGATGAAGCAGGAGCACGGCACTCGGAGGTGTCGCGAATCCCGCTTGTGGTCCGTGCACGTCGACATCCTTGACGACACGCCCTTCTGGTTTCTCTTTACTGACAACGATATGCCGCTTGTATCTGCCACCATATCTCTGCAGGGGACCTCTCCATTCGGCTGAGATGTAATTATTATGCGTGACATCGTTGCTGCATCCGAAAGGCCAATGACAATCAGAAATGCCGGGCTAGGACCCGAAGGGACAACTCCAATGCAACCCGCGATAAGAACTGGAGACTCTAAAGACCAAGAAGGGTCGCCTATGTACGGTTCGCCCACCTTCGCCTACGAGCTTGTCTCGCTTGAACTATTGCATGGCTCTGTCGATCACATCTGCTGGAGACGGCGGCTACTTTCGAGTCCACCTGGTGCTGTTCGGGGACCAAGACCGACGAGTTGAGAAAAAATGCAACCCATTGATCTATCTATCTCCCGTGCCAAGGCCGATCAGGAGCCAGGTTCATTCTGTTCTTGGTGGCAAGCACCAACCGAGACGGGCGTCTCCCTGAGTTGGATCCATTACCGAGTGACAGTGGAGGGAAAGATCGCAGGCGGTGCTTTCTTGCAACATTATCTATGTCGGTCGCGTCACTGGTGAAAGCACGGCTGGAAGATTTAGCAAAGTGCATATAGGCATCGAATCCGTGCTTCACTAGATGCTTCTTTGATCTTGTGAAGAGGTAGACGGGCCGTCACTATGTCGGAAGTCAAAGGAAAGGACACCATCGAAAGCGTCACCACGGCGCTTGACGGCGATAGCTTGGACGAGAAGCGTGCTGTTCGTGCTCATATTGAGACCTTTCAGCCATTCCCCTAACTTGTCGTATAGCGCAGTCCACGGGACGTTCCCTTCGGTCATATAGTGACTGCTAAACATGCTGAAGTGTCAGTAAAGCCGCGAGCGCAAACTTGGTATCCCTTCGCTGACGGAATCCTAGAGCACTCAATCTTACCGAAGCAGACTTTCTGTCAGCACAGAAGGAGGCTGAAAAGCTATCGCTGCAAGATGTTAAAGAGGTACGATAACAGTTTGACTCTGCCCGAGTATCTGCTAATTGGATTTACGCCCCTAAGATCTTACGCCATGGTTATGACCTTCACGAATTTGACCCGAATTTCCCTTCGAAGGTTCTTGGAAAAATAAAAGTGTTTCTCGAAGATAATCAGATTTTAGAAACGCCCGAGAAGCACGCCGAGCTAATCGAGGAGATGCGCCTGGAGGCCGCCATTCTGACTTCCAGCAGTCCGTACGCCGAAGTGCGGGCTGTAGTGCACAACGGAGACGATGTTAACATCCCGTGCTCGACGATTAGATCTTGGATCATCGGCTTGATCTTCGTCGTGGTTGTGGCCTTCATGAACCAGCTCTTCTCGGTCCGACAGCCCTCTATATCTGTTGGTCCTGAAGTCGTTCAGCTGTTGTGTTATCCTGTCGGAAAGGCGTTTGAGAAATTTCTTCCCGACATTGGAGTGACGCTCTTTGGCGTCAGGCACAGCTTGAACCCAGATGAATTCTCCCGAAAGGAACACATGTTGGTAGGACATCCCCGGTATTCCCAAATAAAGATGTGCTAACGATGCAGATTACGATTATGGCCACCGGCGGATCTGTACTCCCTTCATCCCGGTATATCATCTTCACGCAATTTCTGAAGAAGTATTTCAACCAACCCTATTCTGGCTCCTTCGGATACCAAATACTTCTTGCGCTGTCAACGGATTTGATGGGATACGGCCTGGCTGGCATCATGAGGAAGATTCTGGTCTACCCTTCATACTGTCTCTACCCGAAGTCCCTTGTGACAATCGCGCTGAATAATTCACTGCACCGAGGTATGTCGACTAAATTTGTGCGAGGATTGTTCTTCACTCTAACCCTCGCATAGACAAGAACACCCCAGTGCAAGGACCTGCTCAGAAAACGTGGACCATATCGCGTTTGCGCTTTTTCATGTGGGCGTTTGTATCGATGTTCATCTATTTCTGGTTCCCCAACTACATCTTCACAGCGCTGAGTGCTTTCAACTGGATAGCATGGATCGCTCCCAACAACATTGACTTGTCTGCTATCACCGGCTTTTCGAAGGGAGCTGGCATCAATCCACTGCCAACATTCGACTGGAACATCATTTCCTCCAAGGGCGACCCTCTGGTCATTCCTTATCGAGCGGTCGTTAACAAGTTCTTTGGCGTTCTGGTTGGTGCTTTCATGGTCATTGGGATGTGGTATACGAACGGTAAGCGAAACTCCCAGCCAGAAATATATTGACGGACTTACTGATCATCCTTGTACATCTACAGCATTCCACACGTCGTACCTCCCGATCAACACCTCAACGCTATACACCAACAACGCAACAACTTACAATGTATCAAAGATCCTGGATTCACGCGGTTGGCTTGACGAGGCGAAATACCAGGCCTACTCACCGGCGTTCATGTCGTCCGCGAGCTTGACCATGTACTACTGGTTCTTTGCGCTGTATGCTGCGACGATCACCCATACCTACGTGTACCATCGGAACGAGATTGTGCAAGGGTTTAAGAACTTGTTCAGACGTCTCAAGAGCTCGAGCCTCACGGATGATGTCCACAATAAGTTGATGAAAAAGTATCCTGAAGGTAAGTAAAACTACTGTATATCTTGTTGTGAAAAGGCTGACTTGTGTGCCAGTGTCTGAGTGGTGGTACCTCGGCCTCAATCTTATTGCCATAGCGCTCGGTATTGCTGTCATTACTGGTTGGCAGACTTGTGTGAGCGTTGTTTTATTGGTCCAGATTGATTGTGTATGCTGATTTCCGGTAGACAACAGTCGGCGTCATCTTCTTCGGAATCCTGCTGTCCTTCGTCTATATCATTCCGGCCGGTGAGCAGGCATCTATGAAATGGTATTCAACCTGGCAACAGCAACTGACAGAGCGGCGCAGGAGTAATCTATGCTACAACCGGTATCGATGTCGAACTGAACGTGATAGCAGAGTTCATCGGTGGAGCAATCCAGCCAGGCAATGCTTTGGCCATGAACTTCTTCAAATGTTATGGGTAAGCAAGCTCGCCGCCAAACGCCTCCATCATTTGTTTAACACTGGTCTTCGACAGATACGTCACGACGGCACATGCACTGAATTTCGTCAATGATCTCAAGCTGGCTCATTACACCAAGATTCCTCCCCGTCATGTCTTCTGGGCGCAAGTCGTTGCCACTGTCATCTCGGCGCTGGTTTGCACGGGCACGATGAACTTCCAGCTCAATAAAGTCGAAGACATCTGCGAGAGGTATGCAAACCGGGCTAAGGCCTCTTTGTTCCCCAAAAGCTGATACTTTGCCTTCAGCACCCAAGCTGCGAGATTTACTTGTCCTGGCGTCAACGTCTACTTCTCTGCCGCCGTGCAATTCGGCAGCATGGGCGCGAAAAAGGTGTTTGGCTCTGGCGGCCAGTACACGATCCTGCTGTCTGCATTCCCCATCGGTCTTAGTATTCCGTTGATTCTCTACCTCGCTCAAAGGAAGCTACCAAAAGAGCACTGGGCCAGAAAGATCCACCCGGTGGCATTCCTGAGCGGTGGATTAGTCTGGACACCACCAGTAAGTTACTTCCTAAGACAAACCCCCACGACCGTCTTTCGCTGACATTTGCCAACAGTACAATGTGTCCTACATCTGGCCAGCAATACCTTTCGGATACCTCTCCATGGTCTATCTCAAGCGCAGGTACCTCGCCTTCTGGTCCAAGTACAACTACGTCCTGTCAGCTGCCTGGGCGATTGCAATCGCCATATCCGCCTTGGTGATGTACTTTGCTTTGGAGTACTCTGGCATCGAGCTGAATTGGTGGGGCAACGGCGCCAACAGTGGCTGCGAGTCGAAGGCTTGCGTGAGGATGAAGCTGCCAAAGGGAGAGTATTTTGGGCCGAGAATTGGCGAGTTTGCCTAAGCATGGGAGACTGGTGGGTTTCGGAGAGGATGGTGTCCTTCATTCGGCTCAGCAATTGATATCGTTTGTAAGGACTGACACTGCACTCCTTCATTTGGATGACGGTACATGTGGGACGGCATCAACGACAGACACGTCAAAGACAGAGCAAATAATGCAGGCTAGCTACGAATCCTCGGATATGTTTTCCACTATCGTCACGGCACAACTCAGCACGTCATCCTGTCGTTACCAGGTGACAATAGGAGGTAAAAGCCTCCCGCGAGCACTGGTCTAGGACTGCTAGCTATATGGCCTTGACATGCGCTGACTCCGACGCTATAGGATATTTCCTAGTCAGCCTTGGAACCAAGTCTCCGATTGATGTGAATATCCCTCATTCGGGACCCTCTGCGCGGTGCTGGGTCGTATAGCCTTCCAGGCCATTGCTTAGCACTACCTCGAACGAACTCAGTTCTTCAAGCGAGTCACTTTGAGTAACCACCATCGCGAAGAATCGAATTGCAGCTCTTGTTCCGTCAACCGAATGCATTACTCATGCGCCCATGCTTCTGCCTAGTTGCCCTTGATGTTCAAGATTCAGAACGGAAATGTCGGAAGGATTCAAAGCCTTGCACGGCAACTCGATCGGGTCATCCTCCCGAGCCTGAAACGGACAACACTGCGTCGTGAGGTATCGTCATGATTGAGAAAGAGCAGGTGCGTCTCTTCTTACGAGTTTCCGCTTTGTTGAGATATAAGAATGAACAGAGATCCAGGAGCAGGCTGTCGAAGCATGCAATTCGCAAGGACACCAGAGACACGCTCATCAAAATGCATCTCCCTCGCACCGCAGTGCTGGTAAGCACATTGACGTGCCTTGCTGTCAGTGCAACATTCTCAAACGACATGAACAAGTACCTAATATTTTCCACGGCTCGCATCCCCAAACACCACAACCACGGCACCGCCCTACACGCCCACCAACGCTCCCATCTTCCAGCTAAGCTCAGACCCCCAATTCGCCTTCTACCTCGAAGAAGTCCTCGCGCTCGCCAACAACGAAGGAGCACCCACCGGCGAGGTCCTCCGCATCGCCACGAGCATGATCCCGCACGACTTCGAGAGCGCGTACAACTCCTTTTATCCGATGGCGCAGGGGATCTACGCGCAAGCAGAATCGGGTATGGCGAGCAACGACCGCGTTTCCGCGAGAGAGGCGTATCTCCGCGCTGCGAGCTACTATAGAGGAGCGGACTTCTTCCTCATTGGCAATTGGAGTGATCCAAGAGTCGATCCCCTGTGGGTCCAGCAGCTGGATGCTTTCGAGAAAGCCGTCGCCCTGATGGAAGTCCGCGTGGAGGACTTCACGCTGAAAGCACACAGTCCGAATATGCCCGGCGGGGAGTTCAAGGTCATTGGAAGATTCTACAGGGCTGCGAATGCCATCGGCAGGACGCCGACGATTGTCGTCGGGAACGGATATGATGGCTCGCAGGAGGAGAGCTACCATACCATCGGGCTGGAGATTCTGAAGCATGAGTATAACTTCGTCACGTATGGAGGACCGGGCCAGCCGACTGTGCGTCGACAGCAGAAGATTGGGTTTATTCCGGATTGGTATAATGTCGCTACTCCTGTGGTGGAATACCTCAGTAAACGCTCTGATGTCGATATGTCCAGATTGCCATTGATAGGGCTTTCGTTCGGGGGGACACTCGCTCCAATTGCTGCGAGCAGAGAGCATCCGTTCACGAAAGTCGTCGCCATCGACGGGTTGGTCTCTATACAGCAGGGATCGAAAGAAGAGTGGCCGAAGCCGATCATCGAGCTGTACAACAATGAATGGCTCCGTCAACGAGTTCAACGCCGTACTGCATGATATCCAGGAGAATTCCACTTATCCCTCATCTCTCCGCTGGTTCATCGACCAAGGCTTATATTCCTTCAACACCACCAACCCATACGAATGGTTCAGCCGGTTGGGAAACATCACCATGTCTCCAGAGGTGGTCAAAACAATGCCGCGGCCTGTTTTCGTAGCCAAGGGCCAGGACGATACGATGTCCCTGAATCAACCTGAGCTGGCCTATGAAATTTTGGTATCTGGACGGCCGAATGGGAAGAACTTGACGTACTTTCATGAGTTCAACACTTCTCTGGGTGCTGGCGAGCATGTGGCGATTGGTGCTATGAAAATCCAAACATCGACGCCACCCCTAACGCGAGTGAAGAGCTATTGAGCTTGGTCTGGGCCGATGATGAAGTTACCTCCTCGAAAAGCGCTCGAGGAAAGGCTGAGAAGTCTAGACCGCTGGCGTTCACCAGGCTGTGATTGGTGGGATTTCTCTAGGAAGCTTCTTGACGCCCATTCGAAAGACCAAGACTTCGTATCCGACTTCACGCTTCACTCTACACAGTGGCCAGTTAATTTTGCCTGCGCGGTGATTGCTCGTATCTGTCGATTATCTTAGGATAGGGACGCTAGTTGTCGGTCGTAGGTATGGGTCGGGCAGAGCGATCAGCACAGCCTTCGTCATTTGAACCCTCTCGCGTCTGATGGTATGGGCAGGGAGTGGTATATTCAATCTTGGCTGTTCCTGCGTTTTCAAAGTCTTGACTACTCCTGGCATTGCTTGTGTACTTTAGCTGAAGAGCAGGGCTCGCATTCTTCGTCCCAAAGCCGTTCCCAATCGCAATGGCGTCCTTCCTCCTCACCCTCTTAGCAACCTCAGCCTACGCGGCCCCAGCAGCAAGTTCCCAACCGCCAGCGATCCTGCTCACATACAACTACGGCGGCTACCCCCGAATCCAAGCAGACATCGCCTGGGGAACACCTGCGCAGAAGACCGTTCCTACAATCTTCGACACCGGCTCTTCGGGTTCTGGGTATACGGTCCTAACGCCACGATTAATGACGGATCGCAGTATCACTACACCGTCGGACCGTGCAACAAGACCGTGACGAACTTCTACAATTGGTCGGTCTCGAAGACGCATTCGAAGCTGGACACGAAGAAGGGCTACAGCTTTTCGTATGGCGGCAATGGTGGGTGGATGTTAAAGGGCTTTCGTGGGTCGTTGCTGATGGTGCTTGATGACAGGCAAGATCGTCCAAGCTCCTTCATCGATAAACGATTCTTTCAGCTTCGCCAACACGAAGTGGCCAGCGCTGCTTAACAATGAAGTCGCCTTGTCAAACTGGACCGTCGTAACACAACTTGACGATGGTTGCCAAGTTCCCGAATCGACTTTCGACCATAGTATCCTCGGTCTGGCCCCAATCTGCCCGGTGACTTCTGGGCCATCGTTTCGTGCGAATCTGTTGAGTCAGGGGAAGACGAAATCGTCGTCGTTTAGTATGTGGTTCGACAGGGTGCCCAAGTCCGTGAAAAGCTCGTACCAAAGGACCGCGATTTTTGGTGCGGTTCCATCGAAGTCGAAGTACACCGGTGAGCTGGTTCGTTTGAAGCAGAATCCGCCGCAGGGCGCGTTCGTGGGATACTACGTCTCCACGCCGAAACTGACCGCGACATCGATTACGAAGCCTGGCAAGGGGCAGAATATCGGTCTGAGCGACAAGTCCGTCAAGCAATGTCTCCTCGACTCCGGGACTGGACAGGATCGACTGCCGTTCAGCCAAGAAGAGGCTCTGGGCGTGACGGGTCTCATCAAGTACGACAAAGACGCCGCTTTCCTCGCGTGGAACGGGTCTTGCGATTCTATCCCTCCGACAGCGACGCTCAACTATACATTCGCTGGTGCCACTGCTGGGAAGAGCGTAACGGTTGCCGTACCGATAAGGAGCTACGCACGTGGCGAATTTGACGAGATCCCTGGTGTGGACACGAGCAAGATCTGTGGGCTGAGTTTATCGTTGGATGAGTATGGCGACTGCACCTTTGGTGCGCCGTTCTTCACCGCGGCTTTTGCCGTCTTCAACGATGAGAAGAAGCAGGTCACTCTTGCGCAAGGTGGTGTCTCGACTGGTGCTGCGGATGGACCTAGTGGACTTGGACCGATCACTGCCATAGAAGCTGGGCAGGATGTTTCTGGTTCAGTGTAAAATAGATTCTGTTCGTTTCGATATCCCAGGCATGGCCATTGATCGTTCTGTGAAGTTTCTGACGAGTCTCCATGAAGGAACTTTGAGTCGTCTGTGAATCGTGTCCATCCTCAGAACTTGCAGGACATCCGCCTCGAAGTCGCCACTTTCCGAGCTCCATTGTGCCGCAACACCAGTCCACCCTTTAGGCACGAGTCCGGTTCGTCTCCCGCCAGCTCCACAGGCGGCACTGGCGCTTCGTAAACAACATTGTCATTCTGCTCAACCCTACAGAACGGACATCGTTGATAAAAAACCATCGGCGGAGGTGCCTCATTGTAAGGCTGGTTCTCACATCCACGCAGCAGATCTCCAGCCGTTTCGTCTTCAGCAAAGTCGTTCGCTTGATTTGCTTTGGTCCTTCGCCGTCTGCGGTAGAAGAACCATCCAGCCAGGGCACCCAGAACAATCACCAGAGTAATGCACACTGCGATAGCCGCGAGAGCGGCAGTCGATATTCCTTTGGAAGCATCTTGAACCTCTGTAGAGGACGCAGAGGCTTGCGGTGTTGCGGTGGTTAGTTGCGAAGTTATTGTAGTCTCTGGCAGATTGACGTATGTCAAGGTGCTCGTGATTGTTCGAGCACCATCTATGCTGGTGGATAATGCGCTCGCCGGTGTCGGGGAGGTGGTTGTTGTAGCTCGTTTGCCGTGTGCCATTGTGAAGAGCGTCGTGGTCGGCCATCCATCGCCATGCTGAATGTCTCTGAGCATCGTCATGTCGAGAGTGGCAGAACACAGAGTTGCATGTTGAATAACGTGTTGAAACGGGTTGTGTCTCATGTGCCACTTCTGTGAAAGGATAGGGCGACGGATTCGCCAGAGTATCAAGTGAACGGGGGCCGCACAAGATTGTCTTACCAATGATCTTCGCAGCAAGTTGCAGGCAATTCTTCAGCTGAAATGTTGTGTAACCATCGTCAGTCCAATGACACGCGCGAAGGCAAGAGCAGTGCCTGGCTTCTTTCCACTCCTCGCGGTGGAGAGAACAGGTCTGGATGTACTGACCAGACTACTGTGATTGCTGTTTTCTATTATAGAAACACCAAACACGATGCCTTCCAGACAAGAAGGCTCGGCTAGGACTTGCAGTCCACAGCTGGACGGGTATTTCACATGCATTGCACCGCAGCGTCGTATCGTGGGGGCCGCCAGCCTTACCAGCGATATTTTGAGGTCGTTGTGCAGCACACGCCCTCGCTTGCTGGGATTCTCAATGCATTGTAAAACCGATGGCACAGCTGTCGCAATAGCGTACAATGCTGCCGCCGGAGGCTTGAAACCACCTGCTCTTTCACAGCCCCTCGAGCGTCGCTTCGATCCATCTGTTGTATTCTTCCTCGACTGCTTTTAAAAGTGAGGAGCGACGAACTTTGTCCATCCACAATCGAGCAAGAGCTCTCAACTGCCGCACCATGGACACTGCTATCTCTGCCGAGACCACAGACTTCAGCGCAGCCTTCGCTTCGTCGACACAATTCGAGCTTTCTGACACATCACTTGCCACCGCGCCCTTGACAAGGCCGCCGCAGTCCTCAACGACCGCAACGATAGCTACGACAATCACTTCAACCAGGGATGACGGACAGCTCGAGACGATTCAGTCCACGGTCTACCAGGTTGCAGATCCAACTGCATCGCCTGCCACAAATACAGAGCTTGCAAGTCCAGGGGGAAGCACAATGTCTTCGGGGGCAGTGGTGGCTGTGGCTATCTGTGTGACGCTGGCAGCAGTCACAGGGCTCTTGCTGACCTGGCACTTCGTGCGTCGACACCGCAAGAGGAAAGCCAGAGAAGCTGCAGAAGACGAGGGACAAATTGCCGAGAAAGACGGCTCAGAGAGGTCAGAGCTTTGCGGCGCCTCAAGGCCACATGAAGCACCGAACAACATTGCCCATGAGATGTATGTTCCGCCATATGAGATACTTGGGGAACCGATTGAAGGCCCAGTGGAGCCCATGAAGCTAGTGCCAGACGTGGAGTACTCTCATACATCTGGCGATTCGCAAGTAGTAGAGGATGGGTACGCGAAGTCCGTGTCGAGTGACGGACGGTTTTGGAAGCGCAAGTGGCTCAATGCACTCCCATGGTTCAAGAGGCGGTCCAGGAGCAGGTGAAGTTCGAATGCGGGATGGTGAACCATGCAGAGTAGTAGCCAAAGTGGCGAGCGCAGGAGCAAGCGGGCAACGATCGAACATTGAGCTGGAGGCAGATTTTGGTGCCGGCGTACCCATACTCCCCAACGACTTCATCGCTAATGAGGCTTGCGAGATGAATGCCATCGTAGTGGCTCCGAATGGCGACGATGATGACGGTACTTCTTTTCCTTCGTGTTGGCCATGAGAGCGCCTGGGCCGAATGTTAGCTTGGCCTCCATAGCAGTGAATTCGGAGCTTTCGTAGTCGTACCGAGCTGAGACTGTACCAACGCATTCACTGAACGCATAAGCCATTCGTAGCCTTTCGGTCAGCTAGAAGCCTGCAAGAGATCTTGTCTTTGTCCATGGACATCCTCGATCTGCAAATGCGCCGCCTGACGCTGTATCAGATCCTCGCCCATCAATCCCTGCACATTGTCATCTTCAGGAGGCGGATAGTCAGGCGGATATGTGGGCTTGTAAGGAATGCCGGGTTTCAGGTACAGAATCAAACGGTAGGCAGTGTTGCCATTGAGATAGTAGCGATGTAGGCGTTTCGTCCTGATGAAGCCTAGTCTCTCATATATCCGTAAAGAGGGAACGTTGTCGACTTCGGTTTCGAGGGCGATTTCATCGGCGTCTTTTGCGATCATAGCGTCCACTGCCATTCGGACGAGTTTGGTGGCGATGCCTTGGCCGCGATGTTCTTGCTGGGTGGCGAGCATGGCGATGTAGCCTCGCATGGGACCACCTCTATGTGGTTCGAGCTTGCATACAATGACTCCGATGAGGTTGTCCTGTTCATCGAGAGTCTGGTGGGAAGGTTGGTAAGTGGATGGAAGTGAGAAGTGGGTGGGCGAACATACCATAAAACACAAGTCACTCCATTGGTACAGAAAGTACCTGTACACGTAAATGCTGTATGGTTCGGACAAGTCCTTGGAGATCAGCTGCTTGATGGCGGGAAGATAGGGCGACTCCTTGTCGTTTCCGTAGCAGACGTATCGAAGATTGCTCGCAGACCTCTTGTGGGTGGTGGCATCATTGTGATGTTTCTCGCCCATGGTCAGGAAGTGCTGATGCGGTATCTGTCATGCGAGACACCAGGTACGTGTATCTCCCGCCAGTCGGACGTTGTTTACGTGAGGGAAGAAGACAGGTCTGCATGTGAAGATGGCGGCCCTGCAGCGTGCCGAGCCGCGCCGAGCTTGTGACGTCGCGCCGTTGAAACCTTGCTGCGCCAAACAAAAGTCAACCTCGAGCTCCAGCAGGTTGCAGTCTTCGAGTTGGCCATCTACATGTCCAACACCGCTAGATCCAGCCATGTCGACGCTGCGACGGCGAATATTTGGCAATTCTGGCCGCAATGACGAATCCTCCGACTCGTCGCGCGACGCCAGCCCAGCCCCAGCACCGCAAGAAGCAGGCGGCGATGCATACCGTGTGATTCCCAAGGAGAAGCTCGAGAAGCTGCGCGCCGGCGTCAAACAAAAGGGCAGCAAGAGACGGAATGCCTGGATCTTTGGGCTGGGAGGTCTGTTTGGCCTCTTCCTGGCTGGTTTCTTCGCCAGCAGCAACGGCAGTCTGGACAAGCTGGTCACCATGGCCGGGCTGGAGGACATGAACCTCGACTCGATATTGGACGTCTTGCCGGCGGGCTTGATTCGGGAGGTTAGGGACCTTCAGGTATGCTCAATCAATACTGCATTCAATCTTAAAACATCGACTGATGTTGACTGAAGGCTTTCGCTCCTATAGTCTCGTGAGAAACAAGCCGTCGACTACGATTCCTTTGCCGTCGGTCTCCACGCCCGTGCCGAGGGCATATCAGCCAAGTACCCCGTGATCATGATTCCTGGTGTCATCTCGACTGGGCTAGAGAGCTGGGGTACTGAAGATGAATCGAGACAATACTTCAGAAAGAGGCTGTGGGGTTCATGGAGCATGATGCGCGCACTTGTCCTGGATAAAGCGAGCTGGAAGAGGCATGTCATGCTGGATAAGAAGACGGGCTTGGATCCCCCCGGAATCAAGCTGCGAAGTGCTCAAGGCTTCGATGCTGCGGACTTTTTCATCACCGGTTACTGGATATGGAATAAGATCCTGGAGAATTTGGCTACCGTGGGGTACGATCCGACGAACGCTTTTACGGCAGCTTACGACTGGAGACTGAGCTATATGAATTACGAGAAGCGCGACCAGTACTTCACGCGGCTAAAGAATCACATCGAGGTCGCCAAGCATGTCAGCGGCGAGAAAGTCGTGATGCTATCTCACTCCATGGGCTCGCAAGTTCTGTATTATTTCATGCATTGGGTTGAGGCCGAAGGTCACGGCAACGGAGGCCCATCCTGGGTCGACGACCACATCGAAGCGTGGATAAACATATCTGGATGTATGCTGGGTGCCTTGAAAGATCTTCCAGCTGTCCTCAGCGGAGAAATGCGAGACACTGCTCAGTTGAACTCATTTGCGGTATATGGGCTGGAAAAGTTCCTCTCCCGAGCTGAGCGTGCAGAAATCTTTCGAGCCATGCCTGGCATCAGCAGCATGCTTCCGATCGGTGGCAACGCTGTATGGGGAGATGAAAATGGCGCACCTGACGACCAGGCAAACCAGTCCGTGACGTATGGCAAGTTCATCAACTTCAGGGAGATCAACAACACCAACACGCCCGGCAACCTCACCGTGTCAGAGTCAATACCTTTCCTATACAAGAACACCGAGGACTGGTACGTCGATGCGACACAGCAGGCATATAGCCACGGCGTTGCACATACTCGCAAGGTCGTCGAGGACAATCAATTTATTCCAGCCAAATGGATGAATCCCTTGGAGACTCGTCTCCCTTTGGCCCCGAATTTGAAGATCTTCTGCTTCTACGGCGTGGGAAAGCCTACTGAGAGGGCCTACTTCTACCGAGAAGATAAGGACATCAGTAATCAGACAACACTCGTGATCGGTATGCCAGGTCGTCAACAATCTCAGTTCACTCGCTAATATATATAAACAGACACCACAGTTACCACTCCCGATGGCACCGTCGATCGAGGCGTCGTAATGGGCGAAGGCGACGGCACAGTAAACCTCATGTCCACAGGGTACATGTGCAATAAAGGCTGGAAAATCAAACGCTACAACCCCGCCAACGTCTCCATCACCGCATACGAGATGCCTCACGAGCCCGACCGCTTCAATCCTCGTGGCGGTCCCAACACTGCCGATCACGTCGATATCCTGGGGCGAGTATCCTTGAACGACCTCATTTTGAGAGTCGCAGGTGGCAAGGGCCATCTCATCCCGGAGACGATCGTGTCCAATATCAAACAGTATGCCGAGAAGGTGAAGATCTATGAAGAGGACGGCGACGACAGCGAAGGCGCAGAGCCCACGTATCACCACGCCGACGGTTCGACAGAGCACTAGGAATGGCCGCGAGGCATCGGCTGGCGTTGTGGGATGACTGTCAGGATGTTGCTTATGATACCACTTCTGGGGGCGTGTATCCTGATTTCGAGCGAATAGCGGAGAAGAATGACCCATAGAATCCAAGATTTCCCTTCATCTCGCAGTCCAAAACGGCGGCCCATCCTTCGGATCCACCATCGTCAAATCCCTCGCCATCTCAATCGCCCTCGCCCGTCTCAAAGGATCCCTCCCAACCTCGAAAGCCTCCCCCCTCCTCCTCTCCAACTCCTCCTCAATCCCCCGAATCTCCCCCTCCAACCACCCCTCCCTCGCATCCCCGCCCTCAACCACCGGATCCGGCCCCTCATCCCCATCCCTCACCGCCCTCCCACCCAACTTCCCCTCCCGAAACCTCGCCCACGCCTCCAACTCCTTCTTCAACTGATCCACCTCCATGACCAACTCAAAGTACCCTGCATACCCCTCCGGATCCTCGAAACACACTCCATACCCATCGCAGTAGCAGATCCTCGGGTCTGGGCAGTACACCGCTTCGGAGAGGAAGATGTACTGCCAGAAATACTCGAAGATCCTCCCCGTGATGTAGTCGGACAGCGGGGTCTGCAGGATCCAGTCGCGGAAGAGGATGTATTTCTCCACGGGATGTCTTCGGATCGCGGTGGCGGAGACGGCGAATTGCGAGCAGCATGGTTGGGAGAGGACAGGAGGGAGGGGTTCCTCCGGGAAGAGGTCCGTCCATGTCGCGGCGATGTGTAACTCTTCGGTTTTGGTTGAGTCGAAGGCTGTGGCTTGCGGGTGCAGGTGGTCCGGGCAGCCCGGGGACCAGTGGCAGCGGAGGTTGACGTAGCCCTCGCGGAGGACTTTCTCGCGGTTGAGATGTCTTATCATTTCTGATGTCGACATGTTCAGCAGATGGTTGTTGTGCCATGCGGAGGGGTGGCCGTGGAGGAAGATGGAGATCTCTGGGAGGGTGGAGTAGAAGTCGATGATGTATGAGAGGTAGGCGAGGCTTTCGTGGCCTTTGTTGGTGGGCGTGTGGAGGGGCGCGAGGGGGTTGTCGACGACGTAGATGGCTGTGTGGAGGTTTGTGGATGAGCCGAGGAGGTCTGATAATTCGTCGGATATCCATTCGTTGTTGTCTGCGGCGAGGGTCGCGAGGACGAGGGTGGTTACGGGGTGGGTGGTGTTGAGGGTGTTGGGATTGTCTGGAGGAGATTGGTCTGTGGTGCCATTGGTGCTGGAAGCGTTGTGGTGGCGGATGGCGGAGAGGTAGTCGCTGAGATTTAGTTTCGTGTTAACAGTCCATGGGTATTGGTAGAGGCCGATTAGTAGGAGCAAAGAGATAGCAGCCGCTATGGATACGAAAAGGCAGAAACGATGGTACATCTTCTTGTTGTCGAGAGGCTGCTCACCGTGCCCAAACACAAAGAAAAAGAAAGCATATTGAAGACCGCGGAGAATACTCACATACGCTTCAACTACTCTACCACGCGGCCATTGAGCAATTGTCGGTCCTCTAAAGAATCTGCTACACTGGCGGACAAGACGTTACGTGTATCTGCCCCATCGCGGATTGCGTACGTCGTCCCCAGAGTGGTCCCGAGTGGCTTCTGACGCAGAAATCGCCGTCGACCAGATTCATGCTCAGGAAAATCATATTTAGCTCGCTATTCCAAGAGAGTGACACCGGATGATTTTGCAAAATGTGAGGTTGCGAACTGATGTTCCTCGAAAGAACATGTTGTCAGAGACTGCGAGGGTGATGTTGGACAAGCTTTTCACCAGGCGGAAGTGGCTCCGCTCAGAGGAGGAAGGTGAGACAGGGGTGACGTTTCCGTTCCATTACACTTGGTCCTCCTCTTTCTCATCTTCTACCGACTTGTCTCTTCCAGACATCGACTGTCTGTTGATTCGCCAGCTTGCACAGCTCATTGAAGGACCATCCTCATGATGTGTGGGAATCGACAATACCAGCGGCCAAACCCGTACTCTGCTTGCCTCTTGCCGAACCTTTCCCTCCACCATGATGAGGGCCATTGTGACCATGCCTAGGGCACTGCGTTGCCTGATGTTACTTCCAGACCTGGCATGATAGCCTGCAAGAACCCGCTATCAGAATTCACCACTCTGATCTTGCTGCCTCTCGCGGTGAAAATGTCTCAGCAAATTGTTCCACTGCATGAGACCAGCAAGCGGTACGACGTATATATTTGGTGACCACATCTGCTTCCTGGTCAGACTCTCATTGACCAACACTTACGAAAACGTCTTTCGAGCAGGAATAGCAAACACGATCAGCACGACCAGCTACGACGACATCCGAGCCCAGGTTCGTACGAACCTCAAGATGTGCGGCCACGCAGATGTGGGCAGACTTGAAGTCATCACTTCATCAAGCATGAATCACTTTACGGCATGGCTGGTGGATGGTCCCTCTCAATACCTTTACGAGGCTGTCATGAAAGGCCCACCACGCGCGACTCGAGAAGAAGCATTTGACGCACTGCTGCAAACCAGCTCCGGGCTGGTATCAAAAATCAATCCTGACCTGTTCATGCATTTTCATGCGCAACGCAGCTTTCCGGTCGGTGATGCTCTTGTGCTGAGGAGCTTTTATGATGAGATGAATGCCACCAAGTATGCCAGATAGGACTCGCTTTCCAGCATAGACGAACAAGTGATCACACTGGAACGATTTGCGTGATGAAAGTGCTCGAAATAGATCAGTCGAGTCAGCACCACTATGGAGTCAGCCAAAACGAGCCCTGAGAGCCGTTCAGATTCAAAAGCCTTGCAATGTGAGGCCTGAGGCACCACAATGGTCATGGACACGGCAGCACCAATAAGCTGGGAGATAATGGGCAATATATGGTGGTTTGTACGGTAGCTTCGAGGGGGAGAGCTTGTGACGCCGCCCGCTTGGAAGCTGTACAGCGGGCGGCTGCAGCTGGAGGCTGGGACGACCTCTCGTCCCTCTCTCACCGGTCTCGACTCATTCTTACAATCTCGGCCTCTGCCTCTCTACATGTTCGCTTTTGTCACACACGTCAACTGACAATACTTCCTCTCAACAGGGGATCACTATTCGTCGCGGCTTCCTCCGTCAAAACAACTCCTCAAAGCAACAAACAGGCCCAGGTGAAAGGAATGCCAGCGACCAGCTCATTGCGGGACTTTCGCTTAAAGGGCCACTTCCCTTTTCACAATTTCATTCTTTGGATTGCCAGACTTTTCCATATCTCGAGAGCAGATCACAAACTGCGCACCGACCTCGTCGTTGACAAGCCTGCTCCCACTGGAGACGAAGTCGAACCCATGTCATCCGAGCACACAGTAGCCACGGGCCCTGCCACCCAGGACGAGGCTCAAAACAGCCCAGAAACACCTCCAGAGGAGACGATGACTCCGCCAGAACCGTCACTCCTGGGAATCCCCGGCGAGCTCCGCAACATCATCTACCGCTACGCCCTCCTCCAAGACACCATGATCAAAGTCTCCCCCGCAACGCCATCCCAACCCTCCCTCCTCTGGACGACGCGCCAAATCCGCACCGAAGCCCTCCCCATCTTCCTCGCGGAAAATACCTTCAAAGTGGACGCGTGGGACATGGAGCTCACGATCCCGTCCAACTACACCGCGCACTGGCTGTCGAAAATCGCGTACAAGAACTTCTTCATCACGATGCGCGGGAAGAAGGACTGGGGGAATCTGAAGGGGTGGTTGGGGCGGTATGCGAGGCATGAGGTTCCGGGGTTGGCGGCGGGGCAGCCGACGAGCGAGGCGGAGATTTTGGCGCAGGCGTTTGAGTTGGTGTATTGTTTGTTGCCGCATTGTGGGTTTGAGGAGATGGAGGGGGCGATTCGGGCTTGGATTAGGAGTGTGGAGTTGGCGGGGGTGGAGTTTGATTTTCAGTGAGAGTGGGCGGTGGAGTTTGTTTGGGTTGGTGAGAGGGTGGGTGGATGGGGTTGGTCTTGATGCCCAGTGGCCATGGGTCGATAGGGGTTCGTCAGCCGTCTGTACGATCGATGATAAACGAGCCTTGCCATGCCAGCAAGACGTTTCACATATCATCAGAAGCCTCGTGTGCTACTGTGAAAGGGCTAAAGCGTCGATCAGCAACCTATGCCTCCACGGATCCTGCCCGGCAAGGCATAGGCTCTGCTGGTCCAGGAATACCATGTGGTCTGCTTCCAATCACACCAACAACCAACCTCAAACTTACCATCCAACCAACCCCAAGCTATGAAAAGAACTCCGCAAATTCATAGACTCAACTCCGCAGCATACGGAGTCAACCATGCCAAGGGCACGCACGCTTCCGGACACCGCCTAGGTACGTATGTATGTACTGAGTCATGCAAAGAACGTTTCAATGTTCTATGTCCACCAGTTTCTTGGTTATAAGACCTTCTCGCTGTTGTAATGCCCTGTCGCGAACCTACTCATTTGTACCCGATGTGGGAGTCACTAGATTTCTTCGATCCTACTGCATGCATGCTTATGGGACTGGGACGCCCTGTAGAGTACATACACGCTCTTGTGGAACTTTCTTTCCTTTTGGCCCTTCATCTTTCTCGAGACACTGGATCTGTTCGTTACCTACTTAGAGAAAATCAAAACGACAGTTGAGGAACGTCTTCAACGAACATATCGTACGATTCGGCATCCACGAAGAGTCTAATCATATATACACATCTACTCTACGGTCATCCCATCGTCAATCACAAGAACCGGACTATCGCCCGATCAGCTCCACAAGACATTGAACCTCCTCCACCCCGTCACCGGCTTCGGCGGTGGCTCAGGATTGTTCTCCGCGATCTCAATGAACTTCATCACGGGGACTTGATCCAGCGGGATGATCTTGGTCTTCTTGATGAACTTGAAGCCGAAGTAGAGGGTGAAGATGATGGGGATGTTGATGTAGGATGAGACGAAGGTCTCGGTGTCCCATCTGTGGATCACATTAGAATATGTGTATGTTGCAGCGGGTTGAGGGAAAGACTTACTGTCCGTGGATGAAGGTCGTGTACCCTCCAGTCAGGAGCAGGAGGATGAAGGCGAATACGCCGACCCACGCGAGGTATGGCTGGCCGTAGCCTTTCCAGGGAAGACGATCCCGGCTGATGCCCTGCTTTTTCATGGCGTAGAAGAAGCGCAGGTAGACGGTGCAGATGATGGTCCAGTTGACCAGGGCTGACACGCTGACCAGATCCTGGAACCATCCGAACACGGTTGAAGCGGTGTTGGAGAGTGTCATGTATCCCAGGCAGATGAACAGGCTCAGGAACGCTACGGAGACGTAGGGTATGCCGAAACGACTCGTCCTTTTGAAGATGGCGGGCGCACGCCCCTCACGGGCGAGACCGTACAGAACTCTTGAGCCATTGAGCAGGCCTGAGTTCCCGGCAGACCACGCACTGGTCAGAACTACGGCGTTGATGATCGATGGTACGACCTTGATGCCAGCCCGGGTCGCGGCGATAACGAATGGTGACTGGGCCGCCGTTCCAGTCGATCTGAGGAGGTCGGGATCGTTCGATGGCACGAGCAGGCCGACCATGAAAATCGACAGCACATAGAAAATTCCGACTATTTGAAAATAAGCTCACGGTCTTGCAACAGGGTCGTCGTTCCAACTCACCTCTCCAGAAAATACGTTTAGCCGCAATGGGGATGGCCCGGCGAGGGCAGTGTACCTCTGCGGCGGCCACAGAAATATTCTCGACACCAGAATAGGCGTAGACGGCATTACTGAACACTGTCCAGAAGCCGAGGAAGCGCCCTAACGACCCGTCTATTCCGAGATACTGGACAAGAGGTCCAGGGTTATGCCAGTATCGGAAGCCATATGCTGTATGGTCGGGACCACCGCCACAAACGACCACGAGGGCCATGATATCTGGAGTCCGAAGTGTTAGCATTACGACTCGGGCCTCGATGAAGTAGCACTTACTCAGGCCAATGATGAGCATGATCTTGAGCGTTGCGAATCCGAACTCAAGCTCGCCATAGATCCTGACGAGGATGATGTTGCTGAGGACAAGCAGCACACCGAAGACAGTGATCCAGACGCCGTTGTTGATAGTGGTCCAGAAGTCGACGATGACCGCTGCGGCGACGATTTCAGCTGGCAAGGACACCATGGTGCTGTATACCGAGTTCCAGCCATTGGCGAAGCTCAAGGCCGGGTCGACGAAGTATTCGGCGTGTCGGATGATACCTCCCGATAAGGGGACCAGAGCACTCATCTCGGCGACGGAGAAGACAGGAGCAGTCACGAGCATGCCGGTGAATGTATATCCGAGCAGCGCGCCCAATGGACCTCCACGAGCGATGGCTTTGCCTGAGCCAAGGAAGAGACCTGTACCGATAGCACCAGCCAGGGCGATCATCTGGATGTGACGCTGGTACAGGCCTCGCCTTTGGAGAAAGAATGCCAGAGTCAGCGATGGCAGTATCTCATGCCCGTTGGGACCAACCTGAGCTCAGCCTTCTCCTCGAACTCGACGGGCCCATCCTCATCGTAGTACGACTGGACCTGAACGACATCGCCATGCTTTTCGGAATCGATAAAGCCTGGCTGCTTGGAGCTAGTTGAGGACACTTCTTCCGCCATGATGGACACACGAGATCAAGACGACAACGGGAGCGAACAAGACGACAAGACTCTTGGAAAAGCGTCGCTTACAAGCTTATATGGCGAAGATTTGAAGGGTGATCTTGGATGCTGGAGATAGGCAGACAAGGACCTGCCTTGTTGGTCCACGCGGGCGTACCGTTGCGTGGAACACTGTGTCTTGGCTCGCTCCTCAGACAAACAATCGCAGGGCCTCTATGGTTCGAGGGGATAGAGTTATCCAAGCCTGCAGCAGGAGGTGTCTTGATCCGGGGCCCAGACTACGCAAGCACCGGAGCACGCAAGCAAGCCACGATAGCAGGACGAGGTGGAGGATAAGAAGAGTGGCTCTTATCCCTCATGATTCTTGTGCCGGAGTGTGCGGTGGCGGCGATGCATGATCGTGTGGGTGATTGATAAGGACGTCGAACCCGTAGCAGCCATCGGAAGGCGTCCATCGGCACGGGGTGAGAGTTTCCGCCACGAAGAGTCGTTATCAGCGTGCTGCTTCTTCAGCTACTATCAAGGATCGCCACATGGTTGGAGTTGGAGAACCAGACCCTCGGAAGCGAGATGTTGCGATCAAGAGACTATCTTCACTCCATTGGCGATGTCTTTTGCCCTATCTCTGCCTGATGTCTGGAAGCCGCGTGGCGGCCGTGGAGGAAGAATGGCTGGCAATGTTGCAACATGGTGGCAGATAGCTACGATGGAGTAAGTGAATGAAAACGGGTTGAACTGCCAAGCATGTCGCGTGTTCACGCCAAGATTCAACCTGTTCCTCTGTCTTCGGCCAAGAGAGCTGGAAGGCGAAGTGTGAAGAAGCGAAGGTGAAGGACAAGAAGTCGAAGCTGGGCGGAGGCGGTAGCGAGCAGAACGTGGCAGGACTGATTTGATTGGGATTAATCGAATTTTAGCTAAGATTCCTGAATCGTACTAGCGTGCATCGGCGCCAATGATGCAAAGTCTGTTGACGACGTGAATGCCACGACCAGACAAAGTATACCACCGCACAGAATTTTCACACGGCCATGGCGGACCAGTCTCTCGCTTTAAAGAAACACATCGCGCTCCCAATGCTTCACAGAAAGACTCAAATTCGGCCTCGCCATCGCCTGTCGATGACCTGAACTCACCCACCCACGATACGAGTAGGCAGGAACAAATCTTTCAACAACCGCGTTAGATCACACGACAATACACAGCTATATCGAATCTTTACGAAATTTTGAGTTCTGATCATGAAGTACTGATCATCGTTCCATACGAGGACTGTCTACAATTGAGACAGATACACACCAGAAGATGTCAAGCCAGATAGACACCAACCAGATAAAGGACTGGCGATCCATTATCACGCTGATCGTCTTTGTCATCACGAGTAAGTGAATGTTCATGTACAGCTTCGATGCCCATACTCACAGCCGCCACGCAGATGTCATCGTGCTGTTCCCCTTCCACATTCCACTGTGGCTCCCCCGTTGGATGTACAATGGCTTCTTCGATTTGCTCAGCTATATGCGCATCATCCCACCGAGGGAGCCCCTTGGATACGAGCATCATCCAACGTTACATGACAGCCAAAGCAGATTTGGCCGAATGTTCATCAAAGTGCGGTTCCCGATGGACCTCGTCACGGCACCGCTCATCGCCGACTTGTTCCTCCTGGCAATACTGGCAATTGGTCGCGAGGAGGTCCATGATGGCACCGTTGGGGCGGACAGCATTCATCCGGTATGTATCATACGATTTATAGACAGTGAGTCTGTTCACTGATGGTTTGGGGTAGATCGATGTAATGGTTTTCTTCATTACACTAGCATACATCGCCATCTCCATCGATGCTTCCGGCCTGATCAGATGGCTGGCATACAAAGTACTACAGCGAGGTGGTGAAAATGGTCGAAGATTGTTCTTCTACCTCTACACATTCTTCTTCGTTCTGACGGGCCTGGTCGGGAACGATCCGACTGTACTCTCTGGAAGCCCCTTCCTGGCCTACATGACGAGGGTATCAGCAAACATCAAGTCTCCACGAGCTTGGATCTTTAGTCAATTTGCCATGGCCAATGTTGGATCCGCCATTCTGGTCTCCTCGAATCCTACCAATCTCGTCCTAGCCGGTGCTTTTGGCATCAAGTTCATTCACTATACAGCCAACGTGATTGTGCCGGTCGTGGCCACAGTCATTGTTTTGTTTCCGATAATGCTCTTCATCGTGTTCCGCAATAAGGACCTGGTACCACCGAAGATCGAATTGCACGAGCTACCCGAGGAAGCCAAGCTCAGAGATCCAGTGAACCCAAACATCCCGAGGAACTATGTGATCAGCAGTCGTGACGGGCAAGATGAGACGAAAGAACAGAGAGAAGAACGTGAGCAGCTAGCTTCACTGGAGGAGATCATGAACCCGTATCTCGACAAAGTCAGCGCGACTGTGGGGGCTGTAGTCATGGCCGCTACCCTCATTACCATTTTGGCACTCAACGCATCGAGCTCGTCGGGAAGTGAAGTTCCAGTCTTCTACATAACGCTGCCTGCCGCGGCTGTCATGTTGTGTTGGGACCTGACCTTTGGCTGGATTCATCGACACGAGACCCGCGCGATTGCGAGGGGAGGTTTGGAAAAGACAAAATTCGATGAGAAAGACGTGGCGGCGTCTGCAGATTTGAGCACAGCATTACCAGAACCACCAAAAGCTCACGTGAACGATGGCGACGACAAGGAAGATATTCAGAACGAGATCGGCTGTCGTACCGAAGCCACCGAAACACGACTTTCAGCATCGAAGAAGGTCGGTTTGCAAGAGAAGTCTCTCGACCAGGAAGCAAGACCAACGCTCCAGTCGAAAGCAATCGAGTGGTACAAGTGGTTGCAAGAGACATTTCCAACTGCCATGGCAGTGCTAAGCCACCTACCCTACAAATTGGTCCCGTTCGCATTCTGCATGTTTGTCCTGGTTCAAGGATTAGTTACCAAAGGTTGGGTGCCCGTCTTTGCTCATGGCTGGGATGAATGGGTCAAGAGGACCGGTGTTGTTGGCGCCATCGGTGGAATGGCCTTTGTCTCCGTCATCTTGTGCAATGTAAGCGCTCTCGCAACTCCTGATGCCGAGAAACTCAAGCTGACTTGATCGCGAACAGTTCGCGGGCACCAATATTGGAACAACAATCCTCCTCTGCCGCATCATCCAAGCCTGGGTCGAAATTCGCCGCGCAGACGCAACCCCGATCAGCCAAAGAACCTTCTGGGCCACAGTCTATAGCATGGCCATCGGGGTGAACTATGGCGCTTTCAGCATTGCTTTCAGTGCTTCTCTTGCTGGACTACTCTGGAGAGACATCCTCGCCCGCAAAGGGATCAAAGTCGGCAGTCTGGATTTCGTTCGGATCAACGTGCCGATCATCACAGTCTCGATGATCGTTGGCTGTGCTGTGCTCGTGGGCGAGGTGTACATTACGAGAAACCAAGACCCGTATACTGGCTGAGGATTCGATGTCTCCCGGTCCTCCACATCTACCAAAGAAACCCTGCTTTTCTTTGAATGGCTTCACCGTTACATCGGCCATCCATTAAAAGCCCTCGACTACGCAAAACGAGCTGTACAAAGGAGGATCTAACACCCGATCTACTGGCTAAGGGCAGTGGCGGTCAGCCGTTGGATCGATCTCGCAGTCTTTCTCTGGATACACAGCCTCAACTCAATCCTTCCAGAAGTCTTCTTCCGACTGGCGTCACTGCTCCGGCTTGTAGACTGGGTCGGCATCGGCATACCACGCCAGAAGGAACATCCGGCTGAGAAATAGAAGATTCTTGGCTTCGTATTGCAGCGCTGCTATGAATAGAAGCATGGCATGACGCAGATCGGGGTTAAACTCTCGGCCAGGCCCGACGGCAACTCCTTCGTGTCGATCTTTTATCCCCGCCACGCTGGAAAAATCTCCGAAGAATCGACTACATTCCAAGAAAATATGCAGATGAAGAGATCTATGCTGCCGTTGGATAAAGACTTTCTGCGAGGACATGACCGGTAGTGTCAAGCTCTGCAATGACGGCAGTTGGCTCGACCTTTTCATGGCCTGAACCACTCCCACAAACATCAGAACTCTCGTCGGTCAGGTGGTCTCGTGGTCTTGTACCCTGATCGTCATCCGGATACGAAGGGTAGTAACTAAGTTCGCAGCAGCTTGCGAGCCGGTCCCAAGCCGCTATGTGGAGGAGGGTACTATCCTACGCTCTCACCACTTCGTATGATGGATGGCGTCCAGAAATGGCACACGACAGGATTGACAGCCTCATCGGGGCATGCGAGCGTGCTACACTACGTCAGAAATCTGTTGCTATGAGCAGCTGGGTTCGTATTGACATCAGGGTACCAGCGAGGCTCGCAGGTCGATTGAATATATAAGAAGCTGCTCGATGCCAGTTGGATACTCATCTCATCAACACAAACAACCACACAACAACAGACAACAATAGAACTCACTCCACAACTCTCCCATCAACAAACACCACCACCAACAACCATCAAAATGCAGTTCACCACCGCCACCATCGCCCTCCTCGCCGCCGCCGGCAGCTCTCTCGCAGCCCCAGCCCCAGCCTCCGCCGCCGGCAAGTCCATGATGGCCGACGCCTCCACCTGGACGCTCCAAGACTTCGTCCGCACCTGCGCCTCCGGCAGCTGCACCTACGACTACAGCATCAACCTCAACGACGGCAGCGCCGCCACGCACTGCAACTACCAAGTCACCGGCAACCCCGCCGAGCAAGCCGCCTACCAGAACGTCGCCTGCGGCCCCTTCGTCATCGGCAGCACCTGGTCCGGCCAGTTCGGCGCTGGCCAGGGCTTCCAGACGCTGTCGGTTGTCAAGGATAGGCAGATCATCTTCCCGGCTTATACCGACAACCAGCTTGTTAGCGGACAGGTTGTCAAGCCGGATCAGAGCTACACTCCTCAGAACTTGCCATAGATTTTTGATTGAAATCTAGAGAGTATGGACGGGATGATTACGAGGCTTGGGGACGAATTGTAAATTTATCTGATGATGACGACAGCATAGCATTGGGCATTTGCATCTGCATATTTTGTACATAGAGGCATTGGAGGAGTTATGATCACGATCCTTACTGTAGTGTAATTCCTAAAACAAGAAAACCCTCATGAATCATTGGCCTTACCTACCACTTTCATGGAAAGTCTGGAAAATGTGCCATCTACTCGAGCTACTCCTTCTGGTAGGGAATAGTACAGCGTGCATACTCGATTCACCTTCAGAGAAACTCAGCCTTCACTTCTAGACCTTTCAATCACGAACTCATGATTTCATCGACCAAACGACCACAAACCAACAACAAACTCAATACAATGCTAAAAACGAACAACCACAATTATCTACACCCTCCCCCAACCCTCCACCAACGCAGCATTCAGACTATTCCTCTGCTGCTGAAGAGCCGCCCTCGCAGCCTCCGAAGTCCGCGCCATCTCGTCCTGGGCATGGGAGAGTGCGGTATCGGCGTTGTCTCGCTGGTGGGCGACTTCGGCTCTGGCGGCGTCGGCGCCTCTGTTGATAGCATCTTCGGCATCATGTCGTCTGTCGGTGACGGCGGAATTGAAATTATCTCTTTGTTGGGCAACGCCATCCCTGGCGGTGTTAAGGGCGTCTTCCGCGTCGTGGCGTCGATCGGATACTGCGGAGTTGAAGTTGTCTCTCCCTTGGCTCACGCCAGCTCTGGCGGCCTCTGTGCCCCGGTTGTAGGCGTCTTCGACGTCTTGTCGTCTTTCTGCTGCGGCGGAGTTTAGGTGATCTCTCTGTTGTGCAAACCCAGCTCTAGCACCGTTGTATGCCTCTTCGGCATTGTGCCGCCGTTCCGCCACCGCAGAGTTGAATCCATCCCTCTGCTGTGCGGCCGTAGACCTCACTCCCTCCGCTGCCCTCGACATACCCTGCTCCACTTCCATTTCTTTCTCCGTAGCAGCCGCCTTAGCTTTCGCCTCAATCTCCTTGCCAAGATGTGCAACCTCCTTAACCGCAGATTGAATTTGCCCGAACATGCCATGTTTCTTCTCATCGACCATCTGATGCCCCTTCGTCTCCATTTCTTTCTCCATGTGTCCGATTTCTTTCACCTTGTCCTCAAGCACGTCTTTAAGATGCGTCACATTGGAGAAGAGGTTCGCCGCCGTTCCCTGGGCTTTATTCACAGTCATACCAGCCTCCTTCTCCTTCTCCGACCACGCCTTCCGGAACGACTCCGTGCTAAACGACGGCTGCGGTCTCGCCAGCGACGGGCCAGGATTCTGCGTGATGGGCATCTTGCCCATAGCACTGACACTGACGAACCGATCCGGTCGATTGCTTTCGATATCCGCTTTGACGATCTCGTACATCTGCCGGACTTTGTCGACTTCCTCATACGGGTTCAGGCCGTGGCTGTCCAGCATGAAGTCTCGCTCACGCTGTTCGATGTATTCTCGGACTTTGGTCCATTCGTGTTGGAAGAATTTGAGCCGCCCGGGGAGGCCGGAGCCTTTGAGGTAGGTGAGGAAGCCGGCGATGATGGTGTTGATGGCGCCGAAGACTGTGACCTGTGGAAAAAGTAAGTACTTACGCAAATTCAGGCTGTGGATTTCATCAGTCATACCGCACTGCGACTTCCATTCGCTGCACCCAAGGCTGTGAGCGCTGCCGCAACGACACTGCATGGAAAAATCAGTGAGTATTCCAACGTATATACTGCTTTTATGGATCTTACATTTGAAGCCCAAGACACCCATTGATCAGTCTCGAAAACATCTTGTGATTCCTCTTGCACTTAATCTCCGAATCGCATACAGTCGTGTAAATACCCATATTCGGTGCCGGCCTATGATCAAGGCCCGCCTGGGGACGTCGATTCGGAGTAAAGCCATGAGGAGCTCGAAAAGTCTTGTGCTGATAGATGCCGACCAAAAGACGAAATTCGTTTAAAGGATTCGATTCATTCGGGCTCAGAGGCCATGTCGAAGGACGGCGATCTGCGTTTTCGACTTCGCTGGGAGCTTGGCCTTCTTCTTGACGGTGCAGGTCATTGAGACCGGAGGGATTTCGGAATTGTTGCCACGCATGGCGGGCGCGGGATGCGAAGTCTAGTGAGGCGTCCATTGGAAGACAGACTTGCCTTTGGTGTCGAGGACCAAGTCACAATATGAGAGGAGGCTAACGCTCTTCACGGCAGACGAGGATTTCGGCGGCAGGCAGCCAGTCCTATAAAACGGAGCCCTCGCATTGATAATCATTCTGATAGGCATTCGGAGATTTTCGCCAGTGTGCAGACCAGCAGCTGTTGAGAGCTCGGAGAGAGTAGCCAAAAGCTCACATCAAAGCGCCAATGCCATGTACATGCACAGCTTAGAGTGCCACCATGCGAACTCTGTGCAGGCGTTGATCACACCCTCGTGAGCTTGAATGTGTCGACAGACGTGCGAATCCGCACGGGACTGGCTCGGCTCGACGCAGATGGTCTGCCGGCAGACTGAAGATGTACGACTAGAGCGAGCTGTCAGATGAAGTTGAGCTGAGTTGGCGTCGGGCGAGGCCGTCTGGAGCGCTGTGGCTGGCGGGATCACAGCAGTTCGGTGCACGGCTGGCGTACAGGCCGCGAACTTGTGAGTCGGGACGCAGCCTGATTGGCCGTGGAGCAAGCTGCCAATGCGGAAGAGGTCAAGGGAGGATGCGTGCAGCTGGCGCCACACTTGAAGTGGAATATACACCATGTCTCTCCACTTTCGCTTTTGGGAGAGTGCGCTGCGATCCAATGCAATACCATTCCCTCAAGTGCTGCTGGCTTCTGATAACCTTTGACAATTCTGCGGTCAAACTGGTTGAGAGCTCCATCTCAGTCCCGGGCCAATGGTCGACTGCATAGACGGCATCGAAGTTTGCATATGTATCGAAGATCCGCCCGTTTCGAGCATGTTCACCGGCAACTTTTTCAACTGAGCCTCGGTAGGCTGATAACCAAGTGCCGCGCTTCAGGATAAGTCGCGTGCATGCCCTCGAAGTGTTGTGGGGACTCGAGGCACTGGGAATATGCCTTGTTGTTCAAGTCACCAACGTGGGACTTGATAGTCCTCTTTCCTGCACAATCTCTGCGATGGCTTTACACCAATCCATCTTGGCTCGATCCTCTGTTTTCTGATACCACTCGAATGCAATCCTCAAATGACCCGTCACGGCGGCAGGTCCAGCGAGGCCATGTTCTTGAGCGCCGCAAAGGTACGCCATGGATAAGCAAAGGTCATCAGCACACTCCGTGACGTTGTGGAGTTGTCTTGCGGAGGGCCTTTCGTCTGGTATGACCGCGGAACAAAGCTCTGCTGATGTGGATCGGATGAGCAGGAGACAGGCCCAAAACCTCGAGTGAGTCGCAGCACTTGCGAATGAGGGAAAATCCAGTGCCGATGGAAAAGTGTCCAGCAGCTTGTCGGACAAGTGTCGCTGTAGGAAGAACAAAGAGCGAACTGGGACTGGACGATAAGGCAGCTGTTCCGTGGAAGAGTACCAACCCTGCAGCCAGGCTTGCAGAGTCGTCTCCAAGCCGCCCAGTTCGGCCATGAGCTTCATCGCCCGTGTGCAAGCACCTGCGCGGCCATTGAGATTCTCTGCCCTGATTTCGGCACACGCGTTGTCGCATGCCTCTAGAAGTCCAGGCAGTTGGAAGGCTAGGCTGTTCAGTTGCGGGAAGTAGCGAGGGCCAGCCGAGCTACGTTGTCTCTCCGCCCAGGCCTTCTCGAGTCGTCTATCGATTGAACGCCGATGTATCATGCCCAGGCGCAGAGCGTAGTGCTGGTAGTCTTCGAGGAGCAGCAAGTCGAACTCGGACGTGAACGAATCCAACCCTCTAGCCGTCATCATGTGCCCAAGGCCTCTCATGTGCATATAAGAGCCCTCGTCTCCATTGCCACCAAAGGTCGAGAAGCGCTGGCAAAACATGAGGGCATGACAAGTGGCCAGCAGCTTGCTGTCGAATTGCTGGGCATCAATGGCGGATTTCAGTTGTCTCCGGAACATGCCCAAGGCGCACTGGTAGTGCTGAGTTCCACCGTATAGGTATGCCTGGCTCTGCGTCACGCTGCCGAGCTCAGTTAGGCACACAGCATCCATAGCGTGAGAAAGCGCCAGGTTGGATCTCAGGTCATCGTCCTGTTGGATGATTGCGCGAAAGGTCGATGTCGCCGGAGTCCTGCTCTTCGGGTAGTATATCTGGGCGAAAGCTGCTCTGATGGACATTCGCTCGAGTCCTGGACTTCGTAGCTCTGCAAGTTCCCAAGGCTCTGCATGCTTCCAGGACGAGCGTTGGCGGGAAGCAACTGCAGACCAGTTTCGACCGACTTGCCGTTGAGCATTCCGAGCATTTGCCGAGCCTTCAAGGCTAACTAACTGGCTTGACCCTTCGATCTGTCTGTCGTAGCCACCGGTGTCGACTATCTCGATGAGAACATCATCAAGCAGTCTAGTGGCAGCTTTCAAGGACGAATCCCTCTGCGGCCTGTGTTCCTGCATCCCAAGAACCGTTCCATGGAGAGCTTGACCCGCGGATCTGCCGTCCGCGTCTGACCTGGAACCCTGAGGGAGGGCGGCGTGGAAGTCTTTGGGGCCAAAAAACAAGCACTGCAGTGCGTCTTTGTCTGAAAGTCGTCGAGCTTCTCGTAAGCACGTGTGGCGCCAGTCAGACTGCCTTACATAACGACTTGGGTCGCAGAAACGACCACAGTGCGATCGAACGAAGAGAGGCGGACGACTTGCCCTGTGCGAGTCAGGAACAGGTAAGTGATGAGCAGATCGAACACAGTGATTCGCTGCGCGCATCCCCCACGACTCCTCACCATTGCGTGACATTGGCATTGTCTCCAAATCACGTTCAGAGTATCCAGATCTCCGCGGCGAAACCCGTCAACTGTGAGGGCGCATCCATCCTCAAAGTTGGTTCGTATGATTTCCTAAGCGTTGCTCTTGCGAACTTGCAAACCAAAAGATCGGATCCGAAACCGGGTACATTCTGTGATTCTCTCAGTATATGTAGACAAACTCGTCGTTCTTCCTGTCAGTCAGATCCAGGAAGGCTTGGTCACCAATTCTCGCTTGATGAGCATCTGCCTCGACGTCGTCACTTTCAAGCTGCTCGTCTGCATCATGATACTCGGTTTCCATGCTTCGGTCTTTGATTGTCGCTGGCTTGCCGTTCGCGACTCTTTTGCGCTCTTGGAGCTTGTTCAGGAACACCAGATTGAAGGCTTGCAAGACGGTGCATGCTGCCAATGCCACAAATATGGCAAGGACCGATCGTACACCGGGCTTGTACTGCGGAGCATCCTTGGAATTGAACAGCAGCGGGCCGATGATGTTCCCAGCTGATGAAGCGGCGTTATAGACACTCATAACGGCTGACTTCTTGGTCGTGCCCGCTGTGTTGCCCACGATCCACGAGACGATGATAGGGTTCCCGCCAAACAAGAATGCCAGGAGGTAGTATCCAGCTAGGAGAGCACCTTGGTGAGATGGCGTGTGGCTGAGGGTGTAAAGCATAGCCAAGCCAGCAATGACTGGGATGGTCAAGGCCACCAGGAAAATCGACTTGTTTCGAAATCTCTGTACCACCCAGGACGCGGCGATGATGACAATGAATTGCATCGCACCAAACGGCATGTTGAGTAGGGAAGTCAGGTACTTGTCGTACCCGAATCCGTTCAGAATGAGTGGCCCAAAGGTGTTTGTGACTGATGCTCCCACGTTCAACAGGAGGGAGAGGCCGATCCAGAGATAAGTCTTGGGCTCGAGTGCAAGTTCTAGAAGATGTGACCATTTGAATTCGCGTGAGCCTGTCCCTGTCTGGTTTGCTCTCAGTCGCTCGATAGCCTTTGGTTTGTCCTCTTCAGAGAGGAACCTTGCCGAGGGGATGTCGTTGTCGAGCTTCCAGTAGACGAAAGGCGCGGATATAACAGTGACCAAGCCCACAAATAAGAAGATGCTATATGCTCGTCAGTCTAACCGTCATGAAAATGGCGGACTTTAACATACATTTGCCATGACTCCAGGGACTCAGATGGGATATGCCCTAGTCCATAAGACAGAGCACTGGCAACGATCGTAGCCAAGCCGTTGGTACCGTACCATGCAGCAACTCGAAGAGGCTGTTCAGATCGTCTATACCACTGTGATGTGATGATACTGAATAGAGGTAGGCATCCTGCTTCGAAAAGACCCAGGAAGAAGCGAGCCGCCATTAAGCCACCGAAGTTGTGGCACGCTGCCATGGCCGTTTGCGCAATGCCCCATCCCAGGCACAGCGAAGGCATCAGAATGCGATGTGGTACTTTGACGATGAGGAAGGATGAGAATGGTTGCCATGCTAGTTGTGCGATGGGTGCGATGCTTCCAACCAGAGAGTACTGATTTCCGGTAAGGCCAGTGGACTCCTTCAGTCCAAACGTGGCTCCGTATCCCAGGACTGACTTGTCAAGAATCTGACTACATTAGCCGGTGTTAGTGAGAAAAGTGTTGGCTTTCACAAACCTGCAAAAAGTAGACCCAGACAAGAATGGCGAGTATGACCCTGTCTGTCTTGCGACGAATCCGCTTGTTCTGTAGGAAAATAATTAACCCACGAGCGATATTGCCTGCCCTTTGGCGGCACTCACATCTTCCTCTGTCAGGCTAACTCTCTCATCGCCACTGTCAAGACATGTAGTCAGCTCAGTGTGCCTTTGCAAGTCTTCGCCTCAGTCATACATGATGGCAAGAGCTCTGTCTCCATGACGAGCAGCATCTACACCTTTTGCGCTCGCCACACTGAGCTTTCGCGGCTGTCCGTATTCCTCTCGGACATCGTCCATAACATTCTTGTCATCGGTCGCCATCGCGTCATCCGTAGCCTGTGAGCGGCTTTGACTCTGGAATCAGGTTCAGGGAGGGTATAAGTGGCAGGTGGCAGAAGCATGCCATGACGATGGAGAAGATCCCGAAGACCTAATGATCTGCAGAGGGGCGACAACGTGTGGTGCAGATGGCGTGTGGTGCCACGCGGAGAGGGGAGTTGTTCATGCAGGCCGGCGCTTCTCCGCTTTCTTGGCGCATTGGGGGGCGGACGGCGGGGGCGCTTGTGGGGGTCGCGAAGTGTAGGTTGGGGGTTCGTTCAGACCCCTGTCTTCTTCCTTCGTCTTCTTCTCACCTCACGCCATTGTAACAATGTTAGCCTCGTCACCTGTTGCAACTTGACGGAATGCATTCAGTGGAGTCCATCGTCGGCGAGATTGGTCTGGATGTCGGACCGGAACACGCCTCTATCATTTCGACAAGCAAACAACACGCATAGCGAAGCGGCTCGACTTCTTTCACCTTACCATAACCAAGCAGCTTACAACTTCGCATGATCATACTGTATCTTCGTCCACTCCTCTTCCCCAATCTCCGCCAAATTCAACACCTTATAACTCCCACCCATCCGCCCCTGCACATCACTCCCATCCCTCCCCACCGCTGTCTCCGGCCTCCACCTCCAAACCTTCCTGAACCTCTCATCCATTCTCCCCTCCAAACAGTCCACAATATACTGTCCAATGACCGGAATGTGTTTGTACCCATGACCACTGCCTCCAACACCCAATATGAGACTTGGATAGTCTGGATGAGACGATATCAGAAAATCCCGATTGGGCGTGTCGGCGCACCAGCAGATCCGGGCAAAGCTGAAGGGGCGGGAGGCGAGGTGCGGCATCGTTTCGCGAAGGAAAAGCCTCACTCCCTTCTCGGACCGTAAGGGGATCTGATGTTTCGAGAATGGCGTGGACACGCTGTGGTCGGGGGTCGTCCAGTTGCAGTACCCAGGATGCTCATCACAGATTTTCAGTTCATGGGCATCTTCATCTGGTTCCATGAAGAAGCCCCGTTCGACGTTGAAGAGCACGGGGAGGTTCTTGTAGAGTTTTACTTCCTCTGGAGTCATCTTGATGTGAGCGAGCGTCCACGCTGTGGGGCGGAGTTGGTCTTTCATATCGAGCAGCTGGGGAGCATTCGCGCCCGCGCAGAGAATCGTTCGGTCTGCGCGATGTTCGATACCGTCTACAGTCCTCACTCCACGCACATCTCCATCTTCGAAGATCAGAGACGTGACCGCGCCTTGAGGGCTCCCCGTAACAAGCTTCACGCCCAACCGCTGTGCTTCCCTTGCGGCCGCTTCCAATGCCTTCCTCGCATGCACCCAGCCACAGCCCTCTTTCTTGAACCAGCCTTTCCAGCCTGGAAAATCACCCGTCAGAACGCCTTCTGGCATCGTCTTGCGAAAATCTTCTGCTGATTTCAGCTCAACGAAACCCTTCTCGGGCGTGGGCTGTTCCTCATCGTACAGGTCCTTAACATGTTTCTCCTGCGTCGCCGCAATCACATAACCTGTCTCGTGGTAGAACGGCTTGAACAACTCGTCTTCTTCCCACGCCGCGGTCGCTTCCTGGGAGACTCGGTCCCTGACATAGCTTTCGTCGACGCCACCGCCGGATGAGTCGTTGTCTGCCCAGCCTTTCTGGCGTAGATCTTAGCGAAATCTGAATCGAACATGGCTTTGATGAGAGACGTACTATTTTGTTAATGTCGTTACCTGCTGAAATGGCTGACGGTACTTCATATGGATCGAGAATGGTGACATTCTTGTATCCTCGTCTAGCGAGGTGAAGGGCTGTCGAAGCTCCCCAGGTCCCGCAACCGATGATCAGGATAGAAGACGATTTGAGATCAGCCATCTCGATCCGCAAGATCGCGAAGTGCAAATTATCGACGGGAAGTGGAAAGGCTGACATTGGTGAAGGAACGACAAAGTGATGTGAAGAATACGCAGGGATGATGAGCAGCCCCACAGTGGAGGCGCCGGAGCTATCGTGGGCATTGTGGACGATACTCTGAACTCATTACGGCATCTCCATTGTTGATATCTATCGAATCTCTACGCACTAGCCTCAGCCTCAGCCTGCCTACTCGCAACTGAGCCTCCCTTCCAACTCTGCTTCGGATCTTGCCTCCTCAGAGCCTCGCTCTTCTTCCCAACGGGGCCACATCCACCTCCACCAGGCGTCAACACCTTGATCCTCTCACCAGGCTGCATGGGGACGGAATTCTTCGCACCGAGCGAGATCTCTCGATACTCTTGAACTTCCTCTTTGTGTCCATTCGTGACGCCGTTCACACCATTCGTCTTGGCATCCGCGTCGCTGCCCTTCACCTTGGGCACTTTGCGGACCCAGATGTTCTTGCCGCAAGCTGCGTCTTCGCCTCCTGCCATGCCGTAGGGGTGGTATACTCTCCGCTCGCTGAGGATCGATACTTGGACTGGAATGCGGAACTCGATGTCTCGAACGACACCGTCACCTCCGTTGTGCTGTCCTTTACCGTGCGTGTCGGGGCGAAGGGAGAACTCTCTCAAGATGACTGGGTATCTCCGCTCGAAGACCTCGGAGTCTGTGATTCTTGTGTTGGTCATGTGGGTGTGCACTCCTGAAGTTCCGTCCCATGTTGAGCCAGCACCTGAACCACCGGCCTGTAAAACGTCAGCAATCAACACTCAGTTGAATGTAGGGAAATGAACGTACAATCGTCTCATAGTAGCCGAACCCCTTCTTCGCCTCCTGGCCAGTGACATTTCCACCAAAACCAAAGGTCAAGTTGTTGGTGTCACCTTGTGAAGCTGCACATGCTTGGAACGCTTTAAGGACGACGTCCGTGACCCTCTGGCTGGTAAGCACGTTTCCACCAACGACAGCAGCCGTTCCCGAAGGAGACAAGAACGATCCTGGCGGTATAATGACTTTCACTGGTTTAAGGCAGCCCTGGTTGAGAGGGATATCTTCGCTAATAAGGCATCGCAGGCAGTAGATGATCGCAGAGTATGTGACAGCTTCAGGAGCGTTCGTATTGGCGTAGACTTCAGGTCCAGTACCGGTGAAGTCAAAGACTGCCTGACCATTCTCGGCATCAATGGTGATTTTGAGCTGGATCGGGCTGCCATCGTCCATATAGTCAATCGCAGAGAGATCTTGGCCTTCGAACCGCTTCGAAACGTCCTTCAGCAGGTTCTTGACGCTTAGCTCAGCATTGTCCTGGATGTTGTGCATATAGAATTGCACAACTTCCTCGCCGTAGTCTTCGATCAAGGTTGAGATCAGATTGATACCTTTCTGGTTGGCAGCGATCTGTGCTTTGAGGTCGTTCACATTGTCGGCTAGACACCGTGTTCCACTGCAGCCAGGGTATTTTGCGGGTTCATCAAGCAACAGCTCTGTGATGCGCTCCTCGTTGAAGTGTCCCTCAGACACAAGCTTCTCGGTCTTGATGTGGGCTCCTTCTTGGTAGAGTTCTTTCGAATGTGGTGGCATTGATCCTGGCAAGATCCCGCCAATATCCGCGTGATGTGCTCGGGAAGCAACGTAGAAAACGATCTTGTCGCCACTGAAAGCTGGCGTGATGACTGTGATATCCGGAAGATGGGTTCCGCCGAACATCGGGTGGTTGGAGACGAGAACATCGCCCTTCTTTAGCTTGCCGCGCCAGATCTCGGACTGCTTCTTAACACAGGTCGACATGCTGCCCAAGTGGACAGGCAAGTGAGGCGCATTGGCAACCAGGCCACCCTCTGCATCAAAGAGCGCGCATGAGTAATCGAGCCGTTCCTTGACGTTCGTACTGACACTGGTCTTTTGCAAGGCACGACCCATTTGCTCGGCGATGGCCATGAATCGATGGGCGAAGATGGAGAGCATGATTGGATCAACTTCTTTGGTGGTGACTTTCTTGTCTTGGTTGTCAGTCTCGCCAATGTTGATGACCACATGTGTGTTGATAAGAAGAGCAGACGCTTCTGGTGTGACCACGATCGTTTGAGTGCCATCGGCAATGATTGCTGGGCCCTTGATGCGGTCGCCAACGTGCAAGTCCTCAAGCTTGTAGATGGCAGTATCGTAGCGGCCGCCTTCGAAGTAGACCTGTTTTCGTCCGTACACACGGTCGTCCTTACTCAGATCCTTGGGCTTGATCTCCTTCAGTTGCTGATCGACGGTCTTCTCCAGACCCTCGAATGTCTTTCCGATACCACGGGCTCGAACGTCGTCGATGATGATGTCTCGGTCGGGGAGCGTGAAGCCAAACTCTTGCTCGTGCTGTTTGACGAACGCCTTGCCAAAAGCCCAATCGTCGCCGTCGAATTCAGTCTTGGCTTCCTCTCGCGTTGGCTTCACTATCATGAGTGCTGATTCTGTGCCTCGATACCGCATGTTCAAGTATTCCTCGAAATGAATCTGGTCCTCTTCGAATCCTTGATCCTTCAATGTGGTTGTCGATTTCTTTTTCAGTTCCTCCATTTTGTTCTGCAAGTACTTCTTAACTTCAGGATCCTTGCCAGACCACACTTTAGATTCAGGTTCCTGTCTTTCATCCACGACATCTGCTAATGCCATACCGTATGCTGAGAGAACGGAAGAGTAGCGGTGGATGAGGATCTGGCTGATACCAAGCGCTTCCGCAATAGCAACAGCATGTTGACCACCCGCGCCGCCAAATGTGGCGAGTCGATGCTTGCTCGTATCGTGGCCCCTTGCCTCAGTCAGTGATCGAATAGGTCTCGTCATGGTCTCATTTGCGATCTTGATAAAACCATTTGCAACCTCGTCAATGCTCATGTCTTTGCCTTGCTCCTTGTTGATCTGGTCTGTGAGCTCCTTGAAGAGCTTCTCGCTCGCACTCTCGTCAAGGCCCTCGTCTTCATTCTTGCCGAAGATTTTGGGGAAGAAATTCGGTAGAAGTCGTCCAAGGAAGAGATTAGCATCCGTGATCGTTAATGGTCCTCCTTTACGGTAGCATGCTGGGCCTGGATGGGCGCCTGCGCTCTCTGGACCCACCACGAAAAGGCCGTTTCGGAAGAAAAGTCGCGAGCCACCTCCAGCTGCAACTGTGTTGATGTCTAGTTGTGGACTTTGGATCGTGACTCCAGCCGTCGTCGTCTCAAAGACATGGTCGTAACGACCACTGCCGTATCTTGATACGTCGGTGCTGTGGGATTGAATATGTTAGCAAAAACGAAGACAAACTCGATTGCCTTGTTACGCACCTGGTACCTCCCATATCGAAGCCGATGACTGGTATTTTGGTCGCTGGATCGTATGAGGTCAAGGCATATCCCACTACACCTCCAGCCGGGCCGGACAAGATTGCTCTCAGCCCAGAGAAAATGTCGACGTCCACCAGACCTCCGTCAGATTGCATGAACTCGCATCTTGCACCCTTGGCACCCTGCTCCTTTTTCACACTCTCAGTACCAAGCCCGCCTTCGAAGCCCTTTTGGAAGCCATCGATGTACTTGCGGATTGCAGGTGTCAGATACGCATCTGCGCATGCGGATGTTGCTCGTGGCACTAGTTTGATCATGGGCATGAGCTCGTGTGATAGCGAGACGTGCTCGAAGCCGATCTCTCGTGCAATCTTCCCCACCAACGCCTCGTGTCTGGGGTATGTATATCCGTGCATCAGACAGACTGCAACACTCCGCAGTCCAGAATCGTAGACCTCTTGGAGCTGCTTCTGTATTTGTTCTTCTTGTGGCCTTTGCAATATCCTCACTGCCTCTCCGCTCAGACCCTTGACAAGTTCTGCCTCCTCGCCTGCCTCTTCGATAGATTTAGCCTCAGTTGCATGTCGCTCTGGATCTTCAGCATAATCCTCCAGTGTCACTCTTTCGTCGATCTCAACAACTTTCTTGTAAAGCACCTCCGGTTTCCGTATGGCCAGATCGAAGATGTTCGGCCGACTCTGGTTGCCAATCTCCAAACAGTCCTTGAACCCCTTTGTGACAACCATAGCGATATCCTCTCCTTTTCTTTCTAACAGGGCATTTGTGGCCACTGTTGTACCCATTCGTATGCTCTCAATCTTGCTGGTGTCCAAGGGCTCACCACGAGGTATCTCTTTGCCTTCGAATTTCGAGAGTAATCGTCGGATACCTTCGAGAGGGGCGTCTTCGTAGTTCTGTGGATCGACTGAGAGGAGCTTTATCAAGACGTCGTCCTCCATCTTGCCTGTGCCCGGGTTGCCAACACAGTCTGTGAAAGTCCCGCCTCGATCGATGGCAATGCGGATGCCGCGGCCGGTGGTGCCATTGGTGGTCGCCATGGTGAGTGAGGCAACTCTGGAAGAGATTGTGAGAAAAGAAGGTAGATATCTCAGAGGAGGGGAGGAGCTATGAGACAACAATGAAAGAACCCGTCACCATGCAACGAGGACTTATCTTCTTATATGGACGAAGACAATGTGGATAGCCCGAGGACACCAGTGCTTGGTAGCATGGATATAGATAGGAATTATTCATCGAAAGCTATCACGAGCTGCGATTAATCGGACAGACAATGGTATAGTCATTGTCATTGGAGGTCATGTGTCGGAAAAGCTCCTTGACGCCGACCGGCCAAAGTTGAACTCGCCGAGTGGGGCCAGAGACCTCACGCCCTTCCGACAACAACAACAACGAAGTCCCAACCGCCCAAATGCATGGCGTACCCATGAAACGAGTTGTTCGTGAAAACATCTTTTGCTAAACCTTTGGAGGCATCTGTATCCCTAAAGGCAAGTGGGTAGGTTGCAGGTTGTTCTTATCAAGAGTTTCGTATCCCCTCGATCAGTTTCTCCTTCTGTTCCCCTCTCACCACGTTCACTTAGCAGCTCACAAAACCAGCCTTTTCAGCATGTCTTCGTACAAGATCCGCTACCTGGAGACCGGAGAGGAGCAAGAGCGACCATGGATGCTTGTCAACGAGCACGAAAAATCTTCCTGGAATGTGGCTAGCCAAACGGATCCTGCAATCGAGCCTTTCCATCAGACATTGCCTGACTACAACGAAACCAAGCTACATGCATTGCCAGCAGTTGCTTCACAACTTGGACTTTCTCATGTCTTCATCAAAGACGAGTCTACCCGGTTTGGACTGCCGGCTTTCAAAATCCTCGGAGCGAGCTGGGCTATCCATAAAGCTATCTGCCAACGCCTAGATATCCCTGTAGCTTCAGCATTAGACGACGTGCGGAAGTCTTTGTCCACGGCTCAGTCATCTGGCAACGCGATTCGACTCGTGACTTGCTCAGAGGGCAATTGGGGAAGGGCGACTGCTCGAATGGCGAAGATACTTAGCATACCTGCGACTATTTATGTTCCCGGTTTCATGAGTGAATATACGCAGAACTTGCTGCGTGGGGAAGGTGCAGATGTCAAAGTTCTGAAAGATGGCTCGTACGATGATTCTATCTCGGCTACCAGGCACGACGCTGAAACGACTGGGGCGTTGATGGTCATGGACACAAGCTGGGAGGGCTACCAAGACGTGCCACAGGTGAGCCACTGAGTATGATGTTTGATAAATCGTGTACTAATGCTATCGAACCAAGTGGGTCACCCAAGGCTACAGCACAATGCTGACAGAGACCGACCGGCAAGTCGACTCACTCACCGGTGGACTGAAGCCGAACACGCTCTTTGTATCCGTAGGTGTTGGCTCCTGGGCTCATTCAGTCGTTGCACATTACAAAGCAGCAGACGCTACCAATCGCATCATCAGCGTAGAACCGGACAGTGCTGCCTCGCTCAAAGAGTCGTTGCACGTGGACAAGCTGACGTCGATTCAAACTGGCGAGACAATCATGGCTGGCATGAACTGTGGCACTCCCAGCCTTATCGCCTGGCCTGTCCTCAGAGATGGAGTTCGCGCCGCGGTCACCGTGACAGATTCTGAGGCTCACAAGGATGTGGAATATTTGAAGAAGCAAGGCGTCAATGCTGGGCCTTGTGGAGCGGCGACACTTGCAGCGTTGAGGAAATATGCAGATACTCTGGATGCACAGGAACGGGCGAATATGATTGTTGTGTTGTTCAGTACTGAGGGATGGAGACAGTACAAAGTTCCAACCGTCAGTATGTCTTCAACATCATGAATGATCCTGCTAATCAGGGGACGCAGTGATTGCGAAGACAACCCGTGCCACGTCCTCCGCCGGAAGCCGCAACAAGGCGAGGCAAGTGATTTCGGGGGTAAACAACAAGAACTATCGCAGCCAGTCGCACATACCTCACATGATCTTGCCACATCTATTCTCCGTCTCTCTGATCTGACCACATGCATCGTACAAACATCATTTCCTTCACAGCATACCAACATACACACATTGAATACATTCATTGCCCACACCACTATCGCTTCCAATCAATCATTCCGAAACATCGCAAACACATCGCCGTCAGACACAGCTCTGGTCGAAATGTCTCTTCCCGGACCTTCTGCCGAACAAGTGGACAAGATCCTCTGCTTCATCGACGACACATACTTCGCTGAGGACTTTCAACTTCGACCCCAGCCCTACGTCCAAAATCTACTCGAACCCGAAAGAGATGCATTCCTCACGCAGAGAGGCGGTGTCGACCAGCAAGTCGAGAAAGCAAAGTGGACTGTAGTCTTTGCACCAGAACCCCGTTACACGGTCATTCTGCTCCATGAGCGTGGCGATTTCCCTCAGAGTCTTGCGAAGCGATTCTTCAAGACTCGGATTGGCTGGGATCTGCGGGAACACTGTCCCAGGTAAGTGTTGCCAATAGCTAGCTGACAACATGGTCATGCCCAGTTTCTAACGTCCCTTCAGCATCAAATGGGTTTTCCCCAAAGCCCCGGCGTCGCTATATCAATTCGGTAGACCTCCCATGTGGTTTCCGGATCCCAAGTCGTCAGAGTATCGGCATGCAGTCGAGTACAGTAAGTTTGGAGAATGAGCCCCCAAATGTATAACCCACAGAAATTGTGACTGACAATATGACGTCTCGACAGGCGCTGCCTATCTGAACTACATCGTCGAGCAGGAGGCTGCAATGCTAGACCGCGGCACCGGCAGAGTTTTTCTCGGCGGCGTGCAACAAGGCGCTGCCATAGCGATCTACTCGCTCCTCAAACAACGAACTCCTCTCGGTGGACTGGTCTGTGTAGGTGGCTGGCTTGATCCTAACCTGATTCCCGAGATTACCAGCATTGTACCTCATCCGGGCCGTGGGTTGGAGACGCCGGTGTACTGGCTCCACGACAGACTGGACCCAGTCGTATCCGTCAATGAAGCACATCGAACGGTCGGAGCTTTGCGCCAGCGTGGGGTGAATGTTAGTTACATCGAAGCGTTCGCCGGCAGGATCCGAGTCTTGAGAAATCGCCAACTTTTCCATGCGAGCCCAGTGGCGACGCAAATCATCAGGACTCTCAGCGGATTGCACAAGATCGAGATGCCGAGCAGCAGTCAGAAAGATGGTGGTCTCGCGCACGGGCAAGAGCTGCGTTCTCGATATGAAAACAGACGCAGGCCCAGTCGCTTGTGTTCGAATCACTCGGCCCCTTTTGGCGAACTACCTCGTCCGGGAGTTATCGACTACTCTTTGGGACGTGTGCCATTGGATATGGCGGGCACAGCGAATTCGAATCACCCAAATCCTCACCAAATTTGGGGGCGACCGGCGCCAGATGCCTAAGGCCGCGTCTCCAGAACATGCGGCAAGCTGCGGGAAGCTCTTCGGGGATATGGAATCGTGCAAGAGGATGCAGAACTTGATTCTGTGGTTAGCACAAAGCAGAAAGAAAAGCCATGGACTTGTGATGTTGGTCCAAGCGTCAGTGTGAAGTGAATGACCCGGTAAACGGCAGGCCGAGCCATCCTTGGCTGTCCAAGCTCACGGCCGTGCACAAGGGCTCAACCACACTTCATCTCATGTGCCGGCTGAAGCAGACGTTGCCTCCAGACCTTCCCCAAAGCACACGACGTCCGTTCCCCAACCTCCCGCGTACACCAGCCATTCGCTTTCTCGTATAACAGTCGTACCGGCTACCAACGTCAAGTCTCGCTTGGTTCCAATTCCCCGCAGACGCCTACACGCGATCGTCAGGTCGAGCTTCCCCATGGCGTTAGGAAAGCCTGCGAGCTTGAACGCCTCGGCGAACCGTCAGGCGTTGCCAATGACCTCACTTGCCCCGTCTGGAAGGCGTTGCATCCGGCGCGAGCATTGATCTTTTGTCGTGCGGAACGCCTGGCGACGGCGTGCGTGGACGGCGAGTTCGTTCAAAAGGCCATGTCTCGCCGCGTGTGAGGTCTCTTCTTTCGCTATTCCTACTTCCCTGCTGGCAGCGAATCGACGTCAATATGAAGGTCTCCAGTCTCGTCTCCGTTGCTTCTCTCGCAGCATTGAGCGCAGCGCATTCGCATAATAAGATCACTGCGTTGCTGCGTTTGCCCAACCACTCCTCCGTCGACGTTACGCCGCCGAGTCAAGATCCGTGGTATACAGCACCGGCTGGCTTCGAGCATGCGGCACCGGGAACGATCTTGCGGATCCGTCCCGCGAGAGGAAACTTGACTACGATCCAGGCGAACTCGAGCGCGGCGTACAATATTCTCTACCGAACGACCAATAGTCGATACTTGCCAGACTGGGCTGTCACGACGCTTTTCGTGCCGAACAACACAGTCTTCAACAGCAACGACAAGCTGCTCTCGTACCAGATTCCGTACGACTCTGCAGACGTTGACGCGAGTCCTTCATACTCGCTGTACAGTGCTGGAATCGGAGACATCACATCCTCCCTCGGCAAGGGCTGGTTCGTGAACGTGCCAGACTACGAAGGCCCTACCGCCAGCTTCACCGCAGGCGTGGTATCCGGCCACTCCACACTCGACTCGATCCGCGCCGTTCTGTCCTCTGGCTTCGGTCTCGCACCGAATGGAACAAAGTACGCAATGTGGGGATACTCCGGCGGAGCACTCGCGAGCGAATGGGCAGCCGAATTGCAAAACCAATACGCACCCGAGTTGACCTTCGCAGGCGCAGCCCTCGGCGGTCTGACACCCAACGTGACGAGCGTGCTGGCCTCCGTAACAGGCAGCATCGAAGCCGGCCTCATCCCTGCCGGTATTCTCGGTCTCGCAAGCCAGTACCCAGAACTGATGCAATGGCTCGGTGACAACCTGAACATGGAGGGCCAATACAACGCCTCCGAGTTCCTCGAGGCGAAGAACCAGACCCTGGTAGAAGCCATCGGTGCCTTCGTGGGCCAGGACATAACCAAATACTTCAAGAATGGCGTCGCCAGCCTCTACGAACGTGTGCCCCAGTACGTGATCAACAGAGATGGCCAGATGGGATACCACGGCGTCCCGCAGATGCCTGTCTTCGCGTACAAGGCCATCATGGACGAAGTCAGCCCCGTCAACGACACCGACAAGTTAGTCGATCGGTACTGCACCGTCGGAGCCACGATTCGCTACGATAGGAACACTGTAGGATCGCACACGACCGAGTCGTCGAATGGTGGTCCGAGGGCCGTGCAGTGGCTGGAGAGCGTCTTCAGTGGGAAGTACAACGTCACCGGATGCCAGATCCAGACCGTGACGGTGAACGTCTCGGCGAGTGCGGTGTAAAGGATTAGACGCTGCGACGGATTGTGACGGCTGAGAAAAGCAAAGATTTTTGTTGACGATGATGATCATGACTCCCTTGGAGAAACGATGAAATCTATGAAAAGACAGAGTATCATGTATATATGTATGACTTTTGGATGTAATCATGAAGAAAAAGACCTTTTGGTGACGAGCTTGCATATACGGGTGAACAAGAAAGATGAGGAAGGGGTGGAGTAAATCGAGAAGTGATGAACGATTGTCATTGCTTCATCCATCATAAGATCGTGAGGATATCTAACAGCCTATAAAACTCCTAAACTCCCCCAACCCTTAAATCACCCGGAAAACAAATTTGAAGAAGATCAATAAGTCCTCAAAGACACCAACCCAAGATCTAACTCTTCTCCGAGAGAAATCCGCCAGCCATCCCAAACAACAGCGCGCTCAACCACCCTAGAAGCCGGTCCTCACATCACACTCGTAACGCTCCTCAACACCGCCTTGCCCATCAACTCCTCAATCCCCATCGGACTCTCCGGCGGCGTCGGCAGTTCCTCCACAGGCTTATAATAGCACGAAAAGACCGTTTCGACCTTCTTCTTCTGCGCCGTGCCAATATAATACTGCGAGGAGATTGAGCCGCGTTTCTCGCCATGTTGCGGAGGGGGAGGGGCCATAGCCTTCATCTCCTCGCGGAGTCGGGCGAGGAGTTGGATCTCCGCTTGCCGCTGGAAGTACGCGACGGAGTCAAAGTCGTCGGATTCCTCCTCGTCGAAGCGCGTGTCGTCGAAGGTGCGGCGGTGGATGGCGAAGCGGAGGGGCGTTTTGGAGGCTTTGACTTTGCGGACGAAGTCGAAGCGGCGGGTGTGGTAGCGGGCGGAGCGGGCGGACCAGAAGTCGAGCGACATCTCGGCGAGTTCGTTGGCGCGGGCGCGGGCGATGGCCGCCGGGGAGATGTCGATGTTGTGTTTCCAGGTGCCTTGTTTGAGGATGCCGGGCGTGAGGAGGAAGGCGACGTGCGTGCGGATGTAGTCTTCGAGCACGGTGCCGGTGCCCGGGAAGACGTAGTCGACGAGGCCGATGGATTGCGCTTGGAGGGGGCTTAGGGGGGTCATGGAGGTGAGGATGTGTTTGGCGTTTTCCTCGCCGCAGCGGCCGTAGTAGGAGAGCGTGTGGTATTCGGAGCCGTAGAGGCCGACGCCGCGGTAGGCTGGGTTGAGGACGACAGAGGAGCCGGCGACGACCACGTCGCAGGCGGTGGCGAGAGCGACGCCTCCTGCCGCTGCGTTGCCCCGGATGGCGGCGATGGTGACGATGTTGCTCGCGGGGAATTCTTGCAGGAGGTACTGCACAACGTCGTCGATGCGATTGATGTTAAGCCAGGACTCATGAGATGGGTCAGCGGCTGCTTCGATGACATTGAGGGCGATGCCGTTGCTGAAGTACGCGCCGCCCATGAGGACGACGGCTTGGACAGGGCTTTGAGGGGTAGACTCGGAGAGGATGTAGTCCATGGCAGAGATGAGGTGGGAGCATTGGTCGGTAGCTATGGCGCCGTTATAGAAGTCAAAGTAGAGGTATGCGGTCTTGTTGGACTTGTCGTCGATTTCGAAGTCGACCCAGACTTCTTGAAAGGTCTTCCATGCGGACACGGTCCAGCCGGTGGATGATGGCCATTCGAATGCTTGGACGTCTTGTGCGGTGAGCAAGCCGAGCTCGACGAGGCCGGAGACAGCAGGGACCTTTGGCCAGAGCGCCTTGTCGTTCTTGATCTTTGGACGACGGACGTGGCTGATCCAGACACCCTTGCCGTCGCAGGTAGAGACACAAACAGCGTTCTTGCGGAAGCCGAGGACCTTGGTGGGAAGTTGACCGACAGTGACGGGAAGGCGGCCTTCGACGTTGTCTTCAACAACACCACCGTAGACATAGAGGTTAGGTCCAAACGTCTTCGACATGGCGCCAGGCTGAGAATCACCACATCGAATTCGTCGCGATACTTGCTGAGCAGTGTGTCTTGAAAGATCAAAGTCCCGCTGATTAGCCTTGAGCAGTGGCCGGTGATGAAGCTTTCCTCCCAGGAACTTGGTGTTGTCGCTGACAGAGAGGACGGCATAGCTAGGGTCGCACTTGATCGTTGGCAAGTAAGGGCCAGTCATCGACCGAGCAGCGGCTTGGATCCTAGCAATCGCAGCGATGGTAGCATTGACAGCCGACTGCGTGATGCCCGTACGGTAGAGCTCAGACTTGGTGAGGCTAGGCTGATCGATATCAATCTCGAACTGCTCGAAAGCCCAGACAGGACCAGCGTCGAACTCCTCAATCGCCTGAAGGACCGTAATCCCCCAATGCGACCGTCCAGGACGAGCTTCCTCCCGATCCAACTTCTTCAGCAACTCATTAGAATCGTCGACAGTCCCGTCATCGCCCAGCAGGACCCAGTCGAGAGCGCTCGGGCCAACATCGCCAGGTGGGCCGGGGTGGATGATCAGAGTGAGGTATTGCTCGTAGATGGCCTTGGGAACGAGTGTCGTAAGGAACGGGCAGATAACGAGGTCGGGTCCGAAGAGAGCGACGGCAGATATCATCAGGTCGTCTGACAGCGCATACTCGATGGAAACCTCGTGGGAGCGCGAGAGGGCGAGGTAAAGGCGCTGGGAGAGGGAGTTGTGTGCGGTGCACAGGAAGAGGATCTTCATTGTTGCTGTTGTTGTCGTGCAAGTAAGGCAGTGATTGGTGTGAATTGAACTGACAAAAGAGTGGATGTGGTATGGCTGTCGACCCCTCTGACTGTCAGTTGAAAGTGAAGGACGGAGATCAAAAGACCACAAGGCAGGAACGGCGGGTCGTTCATATACACAAACTTCGAGGCGGCGTCCTACATGTGATTCGAGGCGACGCGCTCTCGTGCAACGCTCCATCGCCTGTGAGCATCCGCGCGAAGAGGGAAAGAGGGAGACATACGAAGCGAGCACGGCATCGAATGGCAACACGACTTTCAAACGCCCAGCTGGCGTTTCGTGGCCCAGGAAGCCTCGAGATCCCGCGGGAAGGTGGTGTCTACATGTCGCAACACAGCGCAGGTGGCCTCTTTGGGCAATCGATCACCGAGTTCGAGGCTGATGGCCTTGTCTTCCACCGCCACGCACCTCGTGCTGTAGTCCCATCCATCTGTCCCGGCAGTGGTGATCTGGGCTTCGGCTTGCATGGGACGACTGAGGTCTTTCTGGTCTTACGGCGCTGTGACGCCGGGGCTTGCAGGTTTAGCGGCGGTATACCAGTCGATGGCAGTTTTGTCGAAAGCTACGGGGAACTGTACGATCGAGATCGATGTCCAGCTGTCCATGTCTCGTGCCCGGGTATTATTCACACTGGACATGAACGTGTGTCTTGTTGCACATTTCGAACGTCTTCCATCGAAGTCGAATACCATCCACGTGGTCGCAAAAAGTGTAACTTTGACATCCAGATCACAGGCTGTGGTCGCGGCCGTCCCAACTTGGAAAGAACAGGAAATGCCAAGACTCTCACATGTGCCAGAGACCAATCGCCAGTCCATGCTTATCACGACGTCCGCCTCAAGCTCCGCTAGCTCTCAGCCCTGCTCCTGGAGTTTCATGCAGTAATCCTCGCAGCGCGGATCGCCCGTAGTCTGCTGGTCGCACGTGGCAAGTGGTGTAGTCCTAGGGCATGCAAAGGTGTATCTTTTGTGGCTTGCAAGCCACCCCAAAAGCCATCGAGCTGTCCCGGACGCCGCGTTTCCAGTACCGGGTTTCTTTTTCAACTGACAGCCGCCTCAAGCTGCTTTTGGGGGAAGTGAATGAACTGCCACGTGCTCGGCTATGCGTGTTGTGTGGACTATAAGATAGTCTGTCAAGCCATTCTGACGTCTGGACGCCATCGCTCGCGAGTCAATGCTGTTCTGGCGTGGAGCTTATTCCGAGGGCACTGTGCGGGTTAGCAGAACAGAACAAAGAAAATATGGCAAAACCACTTGACGAGGCTAGCCCGTAGTGCAACAGACACAGCAGGTCAAGTCGGTGCTGCCGGGGTTAGCATTTTCTCTCGATTGTACTCAGTGCGACAGCGAGTTCGCAATCGCGGTATCTCGAGCTGATGAGCCTGGAAGCTTCTCACGTTCGTTTTGCCAAGGTCGATAGAGCTGTCGGATGGCCGCCACCGCCATGACTGCCTGCTCGTGGTGTAACTTACGCTGTGATGATTGAAGAAAGCCTGGCGGTGCTTCTGCGCAGCCAATCACTCTGCAGCTCCCCGTCGGCAGTCCGCAGTGCGACTGAGAAACGATATCGCATTCAGCCAGCCGCATGAACCCACTGTTTGACGTCGCTTGATGTCGACCACGAAATGTCAGTTTCAGCACTCCATCTCAGGCGCCGTCTCTATCGTTCGTAGTACTCGCTCTAGTGCGCAGGTCGCCTTGCTCCGCGGCAGAAAGAACTCGCTCGACAAATCCTCCAGCTGTACATCTCTCTTCACAATTCCTAAAGATCCCACCACCGCTCATGAAGATCCCTCAGATCGTTCGCAGAGTCAAGTCTAAGGTAGGATGTCAAGTCACTACCGGCGTCATATTCCTTCTTCGTTGTGCCGTTGCCAAAGTAAGCAAAGCGATTCTCCGGTCGATCGTAGGTGTACTCGAAATCTTCCCATCTCGGATTCCTGCGGACGTGATTGACATGCGAGCCGCTCCCGGGCCAGTGTCCATGGATTTTCGCACCCGGTCTTCGACCGTTCGACCACGAGCTGCATTTCAGGCTGAGGTTCGTACGCGGGAAGAACGAGTCACAATACTCCACGAATTCGTCCGTTGCTGACTTTTGCGGCGTCATGGTGCGTATTCGTTCAGACGACATCTTGCGAAGCATTTTGGCGATGTACGTGACCTGTGTCTCAACAGCATGCGGTACTGTGCCGGATGGCCCAGCGGGATTTGGTCCTGCATCGATCATAGAGTCAGCGGAACAGTCACTTTCAACCTAGATCTCACGATTCGTGGGGATCAATACCGAGCAGGAAGGCGATGTTGGGGAAGTGCGGAGCGCAAAGACCAAGGTACGAGTATGGCCAGCCGAATTTGCCGTCATGCTTCCAGTCAACGGACAGGTCGTAACCGTCGCCGGATTGAACTGGGAAGGGTGGTGCATAGTCGACATTGGCTCCCGTCGAGCAGATGATGGCGTCAACATTACGATGTACTCCGTCCACTGTTACAATGCCGTCTGCGGTGAACCTGGGCGCCGAATCAGTTCTCGTGAACGGCTGTAGAAAAGGCTTGGATGTGGTGCCTACCGTTCTATAGGGGTCTGTATGAACGTCAGATTGGGGGCGGTCAAAGCCTCGAGGTATCCTGGACCCTATGCACCCATGAATTAGCAATCATTTATAGAGTTCCTCATCGTTACGCTCAAAGTGAGACTCCTGGAACCGTCATCCCTGTCCACTGAGAAGCGACTAAGCGCCCCATTGGAAGCCCAGTTGCATGGTCAGGTTGCGAACGATGGGAATGTATCCGTGTTCCACTCAGAGCGGAAAGAAGGGTCAAGGGTCAGCGGCTCATCTCACCGGTGTAAGGCGTCTGCAGTGCGGCGGAAAATCCGGAATCAAATTCTCCAACAACTCCTCCCGTGAAACAAGTCTCTTTCGCATCATTTCGATGAAGTTCTTCGTGGCGTTCTGACTAGTCTCCGACCCAATGAGTTGGGCATCGAAGCCACGAAAAAAATTGTCTTCTAGTTCCTTCCGGTAACGCAAGTAAGCGCTCGGGTCTTTGAATGATGCGAGTTCCTCGGGCGAGAACAGCATCGGCGTGTCCTGGCGATCTTTGACCGCTGGGTTGAACCTAACACTGGTCAGTTCTTAGTAAGAGGACAGAGGCGTCAGAGTGACGGTGTCTTACGATCCTGCTATCCATGTCTTGTTGCGAGCGTAGTGGTCGACATGGCTAGCGACCTTTTGAAGCGCGGTAGTGACTTGAATGCCTTCAAAGTGTCAGTCTCGCGAAGACCGATCACAGAGTCATCCTCTTACCAGAAGCACCGTTCCCGATAGTGGCAATCCGCTTGCCTTTCGGATCGAACTTCGGATCCCAGTTCGAAGAGTGGCGGATATGCCCCTTGAACTCGTCGATTCCCGGGTCTGTCCACGAGGGCCTAGATCAGCACTCATGCCTCTCGTGTACTACTCATGCCTGCGCACTTACAGTCTGGCAGCTTCCAATCATTGAAGTGACCGATGGCGGTGATAACGAAGTCGAATTGTTCGTCGGTTCGATTGCCACTTTTAAGGTCTTCGGTCTCGATTCGCCACTTGGCCTCGCTCTCATTCCAGAAGCTACCTAGAACCTTCGTGTTGAATCGGATCTTGTCGTAGACGTTGTACTTCCTGGCGACAGACTTCCAGTAAGCCAGGATCTCGGGACCTTGGGCGTACTGCTCGCTCCATTGCGTGTTGGGTGAGAACGTGGCTTGATAGACATGGGCTGGAATGTCGCATCTGGAAGCACTGTCAGTGTGTAACACGGAGATGCCGGTTGGACATTGCTGACCGAACGCCTGGATAGATATTCTCGTGCCAGGTTCCGCCCTAGACATATCAGTATGACATTTTGCCTCATCGAGACAATACAAAGCGTCTTACAACGTCAGAGTTCTTCTCTAATATTGTCAAGTCGATTCCAGGTACTTTGGCGGGCAGTAAAGCGCCTGCAGTAATGCCAGCCAGTCCTGCGCCAATGACCGCGATCTAGACTTGTCAGCCTTATTCGATGGAGCAAGGCCCAAGGCTACACACCTTCAACTTCTTCACCTCATCAATAGGATGCTCGCTGATCTTGAAGTCTGTAGGATGGGGATAGACCCAGTCGCCGTCCGTCGATACAAAGACGCCTCGAGCAACGTCCTCTGTATTGCCCCCAACGGCCGTAGTTACTTCTTCAATTGAGCCCATTGTAACTGCTGATATCCGAAGAGTGGCGAAGTCTTATCGATGAGACTGTTGTTGCAGGATCCGGCGAGACCAGAAGTGTATAAATCGTCCAAACTCAAACCAGCAGCAAGATCAAGTTGTCAAAAACAGTTGAGCCTCAACCCAACCAGCATTACCCCAAAGCGACATTGCATTGGGAACGTGATATCTGCCAATGGCCACATCCCCATATGTCGTCCTTCGCACGTGCTTGGGGTGTCGTGACGGTCGGTCCAACTGCCGCATTGCCGATTGCTTGAATTACGCCATTACTGGCCCGCTTTGCAACATGGCTGGGGAGCTCGCCGCGGATTACAAACTGCGAGAGCTGCTCACTGCTGCTGGCCGACGAGCCGTCAACTGCCTTGGCTGTCGAAACGATGCAGTGTGTTTCGTCCATCCGGTGGATCTGACAGCTCGTGCGCCATCGGAGACAAGAGTTGTGTGGCAGGTCCGGCGATAGGCCAAGTGGATTGCAAAGCACGGCCTAGGTAGATAGCAGCGTGAGTTTGCGAGCTTGAACAACACTGTTGTTCTTCTCTTCAGCCCAGTATTTGCAAGATGAGTGTCGCAGTGCAGCGGCCTCCATCGTCGTTAGCAGGAGCCTTTTATGACGACGAGGACGGCGGCGTGATCAAGAACGTCGACTGGGGGACTGCCACTCCGATCAACAGCATCCATGAAGTTGAGATCGTCGACCATGACTTCGGCACGGCTATAACGAAACGAGGCACAAAGCGCAAGTCGTTGCAGGCCGCCGCCGAAGAGATCCCAAAGCATCAGAGTATATTGCAACTGCGAGAGTTACGCCAGCGGTTTGCGGTGGTGGAAAGCCATCCTGTTCCAGAGATTAGAAATCCAGAGGAGCTGGTGGTGAAGATTCAGGCAATTGGCTTGAACCCTGTAGACTGGAAATCAGTGTAAGTGAAACCATTACCACGTTCAGCACTTCCAAGCTGATAACCATACGGAGATTTTGGCTTCGGCATTCCTGAGCTCCCATACATCGCTGGTAGAGACTTTGCAGGCGTAGTAGTGAAGGCACCCGAAGATAACAGTGATGTCGAGATAGGTGATATCGTGCGTACCTTGGCCAACACTGTATAGGTGCGAAGCTGATTGTCTGTAGATCCTCTGTCCCTCGACAGACTACAGAGACCTAAGAAAAGCCGCATATCAGCAGTACGCCATCGCCTCAAGTTTCAATGTCTGCAAACTGCCGAAACATATATCAACATCGCAAGGGGCATCGCTAGGTGTAGCGTACGTCGCTGCCACGCTAGCTCTGGGTGTATGCCTTGGACTGCAGTTACCCTCGATTGGAGATTTGGAAGGACCAGATATACTCGAGCTTGTAAGACGGACACCGCTTGGACGCATACCTCGAGACGTCGTACCCGAATGCATCGCCATCGACGATAAAGAACGGCCCTCATCCGGAGACTGGATAGTAATCTGGGGCGGCTCCTCAACCAGCGCACTTTTCTTATCTCAAATCGCTCGTCTCGCAGGGCTGAAGGTCATCCTGGTCCTTGATTGCGCGAAGCATGGAAACCGGGTGCAGGACACCAGCGGGTGCATCTGCATAGACAGCCATGACTCGGAGCGTGCCTCTCGCGTGATACGAGGCATCGCTGGAGATGACCTGCGATATGGCATCGACACAGCCGGGAAGGACACTGCCGCAAGTCTGGCCAAGACTTTGAAGCAAGAGAAGGGAGGTCGATCCCACCTTGTTGGGCTGGCGGCCCTGCCGAAGGAGAGGCTCGATGGCGTGGTCTACCATAACGTACCCGTGAAGCTCTTCCACGAGGTCCCAGATATTGGACGCGCGATCATGGCGTGGCTGGAACAAGCCTTGATTTCGCAGACCTTGGAGCTGCCTCGAGTTGATGAGGTCGCCGGCGGCTTGGGAGGTATTAACGCAGCACTGGATCAGATGCGGGTAGGGAAAGTTTCTGGCCGCCGTCTGGTGGTGCCGTTGTCATGATTTCGGTTTCATCTGCATTTGGGATGGTACTTTCTTTGAGATACGATACTGATAGACGCATTGTGAAGCGTTTGGGCGATGGTGATGATGGTTTCGATCCAGGAGTTGAAGAAAAGTGTCACGCGAAATTGAAGTCAACATGGTCTGTGCTTCGTCCATCAAACCTTCCCAGTCCTCTTTCAATCTGCTGTTCATCAACACCAACAACACGATATATCTTTCATCATCACATTTAATCCATTCCCAACTATGACTGCAGCTTTCTATATTTCAGTGCCGTATGGCCCTCTCTCGCCCTCGGGCCCTTCCCATCCTGCAAGAAATTCTCCCTCATCGTCGACCCAGCGTAGTCCTGCTGCAGAACACCGCGCTTCTTCAACTCCGGCCACAGATACTTGATCAGATCATCAAAGGTGCCCGGCGTGGTCGCATACGAGATATTGAAGCCATCAATCTGTGCCTCATCGATCCATTTCTGGAGCGTATTGGCGACAGTTTCAGGACTGCCCACGGCTCTTTCATGCGCTCCGGATATGGCCAGTTGCTGCAAGATGTGCTTCTTAGTCCATTTCTGGTCCTTCAATCCCGGCACGGTCGCTGTCCAATTGTTGATCATGGACTGGACTGCTGGTGGGCCGGTAAACTTGAAGTCTTCGTCATCCGTGAACGTGGAGAGATCTGTACCGCTCCAGCCTCCGAACAGCGATGCGCCGCCTTCGAGATCGGCGTATTGTAGAAGGTCTTGGAACTTGGCTTGCGCTTTCTCGTCCGTCTCGTCGACGACGATGAAGATACCTGCGATGAATTTGACGCTGTCCTCTGGTCGACCATGAGCTTTCAGCGAAGCCCTCATATCTTCGACAATCGCTCTCGTCTTTTCTGGAATCAAGCCTGGCAAGAACATCGCCTCAGCGTGCTTCGTAGCGAATTCTTTCCCGGCTTTGGATGCACCAGCCTGGAGCAAGAATGGCGTCCGCTGTGGGGTTGGTCCAACAAGATTCGGTCCCCTGCTCTTGAAGTATTTGCCAGCATGGTCGATGTGGTGTACTTTCTCTGGGTTCGTCCAAACGCCAGTCTTCTTGTTCGCTTCAATCGCGTCGTCCTCCCAGCTACCTTCAAGCAGCTTGTACACGACCTCCATGAACTCATCCGCGATCTTATACCGCTCATCGTGCTCGATGGTCTGTTCCAAGCCAAACGACTTGGCCGCGCTCTCGAGATACGACGTCACGATGTTCCAGCCGACTCGACCGTTTGTAATCTGATCAAGAGAGGAGTACCTCCTGGCGAGGGTATAGGGATGCTCGTACGACGTCGATGCTGTGATTCCGAAAGACAGCTTCTTGGTCGCATGCGCCATTGCCGAGATGATCAACGATACATCCAGGATAGGAATCTGAGCGCCAGAGGAGAGAGCCGGTCCATTGCCCTTGTACACATCGTATATGCCGAGAACGTCTGCGAAAAAGATGCCGTGGAATTTCGCCTCGTCTAACTTCTTCGCCAGCTCGACCCAGTGCTCAAGTGTCTGGGGTCCCTGATCAGGATGTCGCCAAAGTCCTGGTGCCAGATGGCCTGGAGCCGTCATGGCAAAAGCGTTCATGATCCATGGCTTCTTGGCCGTGCCATTGACACCGTTCTGCTGCGACGAAGCCATGTTGTCTGATATTCGATACCAAACGATTTTACATTCCAAAAAGTCACAGAGCCGCAGCAGATGTTGGAGGGGTCCTAGCTACTGTGCAGGCGCTGACACCATCCAGGTACCGTCAAACGCCTATCCACCGCAGTGGGACTACAGCAATGGCGTTATTTCACGTGTCAATCCTACACTCGCCTGACCTGCTCGCAACGTCAATCGTTGAGGATTCGATTCCCCAATGATGGGCGAAGTGGTATGGAGAGCTCGCTGAACGAGTGGGGGTGGTTCGAAGCACGCCTTGGAGGCTAGTAGGCACGTAAGACGAAACCGACGAGCCGAAAACGACAGTCCATCGATCATGAACACCGCCAAGAAGGACAACGTAAAGTCGCTGGAACAAGCATCGATACAATATGAAACGCATGGCGTCCACATGGCTCTCGCATGTAAGTAACGCTTTCGTCGAAAGTATCCAGGACGCCGGAGCCGACGAAAGTGCCAACGATATGGAAGGGAACCTTTCCGTGAGCCACAAGATTGGCTGTGGCGATATCCCACTCAACGATTGCGTGCGACATACCAAGATTTCGGGTGCAGCGTCTTTCACAATCCTTCGCAGAAACTCGTCGTCGCCAACTGCCGGTGTCTGCATGTGCATCGCGGACTCGAAACCTTCTTTGATCAAGTAGCGCCGTCCGTCAAGGCACAAGCGCATGAGTGCATGTAGATCTCATCTTATCTTCCTGTGAGTCTTTTCTTCCTTCTACACTTCCTTCGTTCTCGATCTGGCAGAAAAGCAAGAACAATGGCGGAAGAGAAGCAGTTCACCACCTCGCCCGAGGTCAGCATCGCGGCCTCCGAACACCCTCCTGCACCACAAGAAAAGCCCAACATCAAAGTCAAATGGTACCGATCGACCTTCTACAACGCCCTCATCCTGGGGATTTGCAATTTCTGCGCGCCAGGAATCTGGGGAGCGATGAACAGCCTGGGAGGAGGTGGACAGCAAGACCCATGGCTCGTTAACGCAGCCAACGCCATGACCTTCTGCTTGATGGTCGTAACCTGCGCTTTATCCGGGATCTTTGTGAAATATCTCGGAATCAGATGGACGCTCGTTCTCGGCGCGGCGGGATACTGTCTCTACGCAGCAGGCCTGTACTGCAACAACCGCTACGGCTCCTCCTGGTTCGTCCTCTTCGGCGCCGCATGCTGCGGTCTCGGCGCAGGGCTCTTCTGGATGGCCGAAGCAGCCATTGCCCTCTCCTACCCGGAACCCAAGAACCAAGGCCGCTTCCTGGGCTTCTGGCTCTCCTTCCGCGTCCTAGGCCAAATCCTCGGCGGCGCCGTCAATCTCGGCCTGAACATCAACCGCAACGAAGCCGGCTCCGTCTCCTACTCCGTCTTCCAAGTCTTCATTGCGCTCCAAGCCGCCGCGCCCTTCGCGGGTCTCCTCCTCACCGCCCCCGCCAAAGTCCAACGCACTGACGGCGTCACGGTGAAATGCGGCATCCCCCGCGACGAGTCCTCCCTGAAAGAACTCGCCAACACGGGCAAACTCTTCCTCTCCAAATCCTTCCTCCTCATCGTGCCCCTCATCGCCCAATCCGTCTTCTCCGAAGCCGTCTACTTCACTTTCCAAGGCCTCTGGTTCTCCGTGCGCGCCCGCGCGCTGGGCTCCTTCCTCTCGGGCATCGTGGCCATTATCGGCGGCAATATCCTGGGCGTCTTTCTCGATAACGAGAAACTCGCCGCGCGGCTGCGTAGTCGTTGGTCGTTCTGGATCATCATCACCCTGCAAGGCGCCTGGTGGATCTGGGGCACCATCATCGTGACCGAGTACCGCCGCACGAAACCCACCTACGACTGGGTCGACGCGGGTTTCGGACGAGGCTTCGCGTGGTTCCTGTTCATGGTCATGTCTTTCCAGCTCAATTACATGTACCTCTACTTCGTCGTCGGCAGCCTCGCGAAGAACGAAGCGGAGATCATCCGGTACGCTGGCTTGCTGCGCGGGACGGAGAGTGCGTCCCAGGCGGTCTCGTATGGTCTGACGAGTGTCTCGGTTATGGGTCAGGTGGGCGCGGTGTATTTGAATTTTGGGCTTTGGGCGCTTTCGATCGTTCCGGCGTGGTTTGTTGTGAGGGAGATTGGGGTTACGAGGGGGAAGATTATTGATCAGAAGCCGGAGTCTGTGGAGGAGGAGGTTGTGAGGGAGGTAGAGTAAAATCTCAATGTGTGGGTTTAGTCGAAGATATAGAGAGCTTGCCTTTCGAACAATGATTGTTAGCCTTGAGCGCCTGTCCTGCGAGCCATTGGTCACTATGTCAGCTCCTTTATGATTTCTGGAAGATATTGCAAAAGGAAGAGGCGACTTTTTACCTCCCTTGTCCTTCCATCGGAATTCCTCGCACACCCCCCCAAAAAACATTCACCCTCACATCAGCCCACCATCTCCTCTCCCTCCACTCTGCCACTTATCCCTTAAAAGAGAACTACAATAACAATGAGAGGAGGCAGAATCCGCGCCGCTCACCACCCCCATTGTAGTGTTATATCCGCTCAAGCAAAAGAGAAAGAATAAAAAAAAATTGGACTAGCCCGGAGTCGAACCGGGAACCTTCTCCATCTCAGCAGCGTCAATTGCAGAAAAGCAATTAAACGGCAATGCTAAGAAGATGTCATACCGCTAGACCACAAGCCCCGAAATTAGGAAGACCCGAACCCAGGTATTAGCTGCGATCGGGATGTGGAGACGATATTCTTGTGTGATTATATAGCTTTGCGGAAAAGTGGATATATGCCAAGACGTGGAAGCTGGGCCGTTGGTAAGGATCAAGAAAGTGTTGGTGAGAGATGTTGGAGATGGGCTAGGGATATACGATTGACGGAATATGATGATTTGGAATTTGGGGGTATTGGATGAGGTGTAGGGTGTAAGAAGGAAAGAAGTCCTGTGATGGAAAGATAGAACACGAAATGAAGATTTCGACGACCACTCGGCGAGCAGATATGACTGCAAGATGCAGACATTTTCATCGTGGGCGCTTCAAATCAATCACCCGAGTGCATCATCCCGCTGTTCGTCAGGTGTTCGGCCACCCTCGATCTCTTTCCAAGCCTGCTCGAAAGGCTCTCCTCTCCAGCCCCAAGCAACGCAGTAATGACTCGCCAACAACTTCCACTCCTCAATCTCGTCAAGCCATTCGACTTTCTCGATCCGCTCCCGTTCGGTGTTGCTCACCCAGTCGTCGCTCTCCCACAGCTGATAGACGTCCCGCGCTCCCTGACCGCCTTTGAATCCTGATAGGCGCAGTCGTTGCCTCTGTGCGTCGAGCGAGTAGTATCGCTTCAATGTGCGGAGCTCAATGCCTCGTGATGCCAGGTTCGACACCATGGTCTTCCCAAATGAGTCAAACGGTCGAATCGGCTCGTAGAGAATCATCGCTATCGAGCCTGGAATGTTCATGGTGAAGTACTGAATCACACTGCTAGCCGTATCTGGAGGCAGATAGCAGAGACAACATTCGCTGAGGATCAGGGTAGGGATCTCTGTCGACATCTCAGGTAGCAATGGAGGCGATCGGTGAGTCAAGTCTCTCAGGTCGATGGCGTGCAGGTGATACGTTGAGCTATTGTTGCTTGGCAGAGTCATGCGTGACAGGTCTTCAGAGGCTCGAATTGCAGCTCGCTTGGGCACCACGTTCGATTCGAAGTCCAGCTCGTGATACCTGACTTTGTATTTGCCAGCGCATAGTCTGAAAAACCGTGTGTCTGATCCCGCTCCTAGTGATATGATTTGCTTCTGTTCGCTCGGATTTGTCTCAAGATACCGTAGAACCAGTTTGTCAATGGCATTCGTTCGGACATACGTTCCTCGATTGATAATGGGATATCTTTTCGGGACTTGTTCTCCTGCAGGAAAGAACGCTTTCGCGTACGGATCGTCAAAATATCCCAATGACACAGCACTCATCCGACTGCTGCTGGCATCCTGATCCGTTTGCTGGATGATCTTATCCTTGCCAATCTCGACATCTTCCTCGCCAAATCGACCGACATCTTCAGATCCATCACGAGGTCCTCTTCGTCCTCGGAGGCGCGGACCCCGTCGATCGGAACGGAGGGTGTTGAGGTTGGGGATTGTGGACATGGTGGTGGTGTGGCGGAGGCGAGAAGAAGAGATGCCGCCCCCAAAGTTTGGGCACAATGACGTTTGATTGGTCCGAGCTTCGAGGCAGGAACACAGCCGCCTGACAGACCTTTGCATGTGAACACTTCTGGCAAACCTGCTCCAGGCAACCACTTACCAACATCTTCATTTCGACACAGGACTCTGGCCATCAAGACATATGAACATCTGAAACGCGCTTGAACAGCTTGCGAAGCCCCGGGACCGATACCACCACCGAATTGAGGGAACCAACAAGCCGATAACAATACCAACATGGCTTCAGAAGATAGCCCGCGGCGGCAGGCCATAAGGCACTTCATACGCGGCAACTTCTCTCCAGCACCACTCTACCCCCTCAAAGGCATGTGGTACTTCGCCACACACCGATATCTTCATCCTTTGCTGAAGGGCCGCCTCATACCCTTGACGCTGCTCTCAGTCTGCGTGCTGGTCATCCTCTTCCTCACAGCATATCTGCCCATCGTGGCGTTCCTGGCGCTCTTTCACTACAGAGGCTCGGCATGGGTCAATGGCACATTCTTCATTCTGGGCACTGGTATGCTCATTGTCCAAGTGGTCTTCGAGGGCATGTTTGTCGATGGAACGCAGGTCGATGTTTTCGATGCTGTGCTTGTGGGAGAGGGGTATGAGCATCTGGTTAAGAATCGAAGGACGGTGTCCGAGGACATTGACGAGAGCGATCCGTACAAGAGACTTGGACCACGCGACAAGGGTGCCGCTTACGCTCCATTTTCAGTCCGCCAGATCGTAGAGATGGCCATACTACTGCCGCTGAATTTTGTTCCGTTTGTTGGAGTCCCTCTATTCCTGATTCTGACTGGGTATCGAGCTGGACCACTCATCAATTGGAGATACTTTCAGGTCAAACAATTCAGCAAGAAGGAGAGGAACGACTTCATCAAGACGAAGAAGCGCCGCTGGGAATATATGTGGTTTGGCACGATGTACATGATTCTGGAACTTGTGCCGCCGCTTTCAATGATCTTTCTGCTTACTACGGCAACCGGAAGTGCATTGTGGGCAGTGCGAATAGAGCAAGAAGGACAGCATGCAGACGATGAACGACAGCCCTTGAATCAGGATACACCTACATACACCGACGAGCCTTGATTCGAGAACGCTGAGAACGAATACATTACATAAAATCGCTACACGTCGGGCAGAGCTGACATAATAATAGCAACGGAGAAGATCTTCTGAATTGCAGTTTCTCATTTGAGCTCTATCTGGAGATTTTCATCACCGGCCACATTTTCAAGACATTCTAGTTTCGATTTCCTATGAGTCAAGATTGGGGGCGAAGAAACATGGTGTACACACCAGGCCCCTTTGTGGCTTGGCCCTGTGCAACCTGAGGATCTGCACCTGCATCCTCCAGAAACCCACGCTCTGTGCGGCTGGTCATCTGCACCTCCTTCGATGCCTACACCACAACATAGCCTCTCACGGCTGACAATTTGATTCATCTTGCACCCATCGCGCCAGACTTTCGCCATGTCAAAAATGCCGGACTGATCATCCCGATCATAACGACTCTCATAACATGGACGAGTCTCCACAGCCACAGCTACCCGAGATTGCCGTTTCGAGGACATCCAGCCAAAAGAGCAGCAAGAAGAGTGCCAAATCGAATGCTGAGGGCAAACGGCCATCACTGCCGCGAGTGCACACCGAACAGACGTTCCATCCTCATTGGAAGCCTGGCTATCATCACAGCGATGCTTGGAAACGTTTCCACAATCCGGATCCAGAATGGCGCATCAAATGGAACAGCCACTGCTTTCCGAACGGCCGTGTCTTGATCGTGGACTACATCAGCAATGATGCAGAGCCAACGAAAGGCGGCAAACGACATGTCGCCGTCGCTGCGCAAGAGTTCCAATCATTGCCAGAACTTCGCCATTTCTATTCGGACACCAAACGCGTGCATGGAGCCGCTCTGAGGGTCATTCATGTACAGAATGCAACATGGGCGACGCTGTTTCTACTTAAGAAGTTCAACATCAATCACCCGAATGAGCTGGTTGGCATGCCTTCGTTCGCTAAATGGGCTCAATACGAAAAGCCTCGCCAACGCAATGGAAAGCCCTTCTTGAACGGACGATCGTGGCGTGGTCAGACTGACCCATGGCGAAACGTTGCGCGCATTGCGTTTGGTCTGGATTATTTGAAGCCGTATCATACCGAATCTCCACAAAGGCGCAAACAGCAGGCAACGTTCGGGGCACGGCCAGTGGATGCAAAGATCATGCACTTGAACGCCTACGAAGACAGTCGAAGTCCGTACGGGTACGATGTGTCGGTGCAACGCATGTCGGTGTATGTTCAGCGGAATCTTGGACCACCAAATCACATTTCTCCGGACATCGACCTCAAGAACCCGTACAAACATATGCTGAATGGCACGCCTGCGTATGACTCGCAAGGAGGAATGATACCATTGCTGGATTATCTGGATAACAGCAACACGGTAATCATCTTCGAAACCTCAGCATCTATGCAGCTTGACGACTGCCTAGTTCAGCCTCGCAATGACTTTGAGAACAGATGGCGGCGGCTATCGTTCTATCTACGAAAGGAGGACGTCCTGAACGACTCTAGATTAGCCGCTCAGTGCACGAACTTCATTCTCGTGGATATCTTCCACGGCTTGGGAGTCGTTTGGGACCAATTTCTGGGCGCTGCCGAAGATCATGTTGCGATGCTGGAAGAAAAGATTTTTGACAACCCAGCGGATGAATCTCGTGCACCAGAACTATGGACGAATCAAGCAGCTTGGCTGAAAGTCGACAAGATCATGTGGATACACGCAGATCTCGTTAGGGAGATGCAAGTCAATATGCGTGAACTGGCCGACGTGGACGACGAAGCGAATGGTGTCGAAGTCGACTGGATGGCTAGCACAACTGCCGAGTACGAGAGACTTTCTCACAACGTCTCAGAGGATCTGGTTCAGCCCACGAACAACCTCAGTGATCTCATGTACAAGTCGGTGGGGATTCGCGATTCCAGACAGTCGTTGCAGCTCGGACTTTCGATGTGGCGTCTGAGCTGGATTACGTTCATCTTCCTGCCATTGACGTTCATTGTGGGCCTCTTCGGCATGAATGTCGATGCTTTCAAGGACAATCCGTCGATTGGCTGGTACTTCCTCGCGGCTGTAGTCCTCATGATTTTCGTGCTGCTCCTGTGGTACTGCGTTAAGCACAGTCTACAGCGCAGCAGGCAGACGCCATTTCAGCGAGGCTTGTACGAGTCGCTCTTCAACGACCTGGAGGAGGAGTATCCCCAAATGTGGACCAGTGCAGGCGCTGCTGAAGATGTAGAGCCTGAAGGATTGTGGAATCGTATCAAGTGGCGATTGATCAGGCGGTGGTTCGCCCCAGAGAAGACGATCAACAAGAGACTCTACAGTGCTCTGGCTCCCGATGACCAACGATCAGAGCTCGGCGCATGGGCAGCCATCAAACAACAACTACTCTTCCGCTGGCTCGGCGAGATGAGATTATCCCACCAACAAAACACCATCGAACTCGCTGAAGCAGGCGCAAGCAGCAGCACAGACGTCCACTACGAAATGGAGACAATCAACGAACTGGCGAAACACTCAACACCGCTCGTCGTCGCAGAAGCGGAACCTACAGCAGTTGCGCCCATTGCTCGATACGGATTGAGACCATTGACGCCGGAGGAGAGACGACAATCGCTCACAGGCGAAGGAAGGCCAAGCAGTCGTGGGAGCAGTGGGATCATGATTGAGGAACGGAATCTTTCGGATTCGGAGAGCGATGCGGGTGAGGGTGCTTCTTCAACGCAAAGGGGGAGGGCTGAACGACGAGCATCGCAGTGAGCAGTAAATCATTTGACATGGCGTTAGATACCCTTGCATGGCATATATCAGCAATGAGCATGTGATTTGATATGGAAACTTCTTGACAAGTATGGTTGTGTTGTTGACATAGCAAGAGAAAAAGGAGTGGCGGTGGTGGCGGACGGCTTGCAACGGCTGTCGGCGGATTTGCGGCGGCTTTCCCGCGTGGCAGCAGTGGTTGAAGTTCCATCTCCATTACCCTTTGACGCGGCGACAAGCAAACCACACCAGAAGAGCTTCACCTCCCCCCATTGCCTCTCATCCACCACCACCTCACTCTCTTCGCCAGTCATGTTCAAGGCTGTGATACCGCGAGTAGCCTCGCGCTCGGCGGCGCTGCGAACACACACGCCCTCCCAGAGCTCTTTCTTCGTTGCTTCACCCTCCACATCCTTGCTCTCGCAGCGGTTATCACAACGGAGGGGATATGCTACGCCGGCTGGTATGGACTACGAGATTTACAGTGAGGCAATTGAAGCTAATTGGTGAAACAGAGGAGAAGGACCTCGTAATCATCGGCGGTGGCGTGGCGGGATATGTGGCTGCTATCAAGGCTGGCCAGGAAGGCCTTAAGGTGCGCATACAACAGCAGAGTACAAGTGATATGGACAACAAGCTGAGAGAGATATGACATTAGGTTGCCTGCATAGAAAAGCGCGGCGCCCTCGGCGGCACCTGTCTCAACGTCGGCTGCATCCCCTCCAAATCGCTCCTCAACAACTCGCACCTCTACCACCAGATCCTGCACGACACCAAGAACCGCGGCATCGAAGTCGGCGACGTCAAGCTCAACCTCGAGCAGATGATGAAGGCCAAGGAGACGTCCGTGAATGGCTTGACCAAGGGTATTGAGTTTCTGTTCAAGAAGAACAATGTGGAATACTTCAAGGGCACCGGCGCTTTTGCGGATGAACACACTGTCGCGGTCAACTTGGCTGAGGGCGGGGAGACGAGCGTACGGGGAAAGAATATCATTATCGCGACTGGATCGGAGAGCACGCCGTTCCCTGGGTTGACGATTGATGAGAAGAAGGTGATCACATCTACTGGAGCCATTGCGCTGAAGGAGGTGCCGAAGAAGATGGTCGTCATTGGTGGTGGTATCATCGGACTCGAAATGGGCAGTGTCTGGAGCAGATTGGGCTCGGAAGTCACGGTTGTGGAGTTCTTGGGCCAGATTGGTGGACCTGGTATGGATGCGGAGATCAGCAAGAACATCCAGAAGACGCTGGGAAAGCAGGGCATGAAGTTCAAGCTCAACACCAAGGTCACATCCGGTGATGACAGCGGCGAGACGGTGAAGCTCGAGGTCGAGGCTGCCAAGGGAGGCAAGGCGGAGACTGTAAGAATGATCGATTTTCTGAGGGTGGTGAAACCTTGCTAACTGACTGTCTAGCTCGACGCAGACGTCGTCCTCGTAGCCATTGGCCGCCGCCCCTACACCCAAGGTCTCGGCCTGGAGAACATCGGCCTCGAAACCGACAACCGGGGCCGTCTCGTCATCGACTCGGAATACCGCACCAAGATCCCACACATCCGCGTCATCGGCGACTGCACCTTCGGCCCCATGCTCGCGCACAAGGCGGAAGAAGAAGCCGTCGCCGCCATCGAATTCATCACCAAAAACTACGGCCACGTCAACTACAACGCCATCCCCTCGGTCATGTACACGCACCCGGAAGTCGCCTGGGTCGGCCAGAACGAAGCCGAACTGAAAGAACAAGGCGTCAAGTACAAAGTCGGCACCTTCCCCTTCAGCGCCAACAGCCGCGCCAAGACGAACCTCGACACGGACGGTCTCGTGAAATTCCTCGCGGACGCCGAGACGGATCGGATATTGGGCATTCATATCGTTGGACCGAATGCGGGTGAGATGATCGCGGAGGGCACGCTCGCGTTGGAGTATGGTGCTTCGACGGAGGATGTGGGACGGACGAGCCACGCGCATCCTACGCTTGCGGAGGCGTTCAAGGAGGCGGCTATGGCGACTTATGGGAAGGCGATACACTACTAATCGAAGGCACTTAAAGTCTGGAGGATTGGTTGGTTGTCGCGTGAGTGTTTGAGTGCGAGATACTTCATGGCCTGATCGACAGAGCAGCGGCCTGGAAAGAAGCAAGCAGCATTGCGTGCATGTCTATATAGCTAATGGGGTCTCTTGTCGTCTTGTCTTGTCTTGCTTGCTGCTCGTTTTTGAAAGGCTACTTTTTATCATTTGTATCATACCACACGCGGCGTGTCTTGCATAACGCTGAGCCATCTTCATCTCCCCCTTCCTACAATTCCACCCCTCTATGGCTTGCAACGACCCATGTACCGCGGATACAAACACGTATCCCGCACAGTATGCTGCTTACACAACCACGCCAAAAACCTCTCCAGCCCCAATCCATACCCACCGTGCGGACTCGTGCCATAACGCCTCTGGTCCGTATACCAATAGTACGGCGAAGGATCCATGCCCTCGCGCTGATACGCGGCCATGAGCTCGTCGTAGTCGTCCATGCGCATGGAGCCGCCGACGATCTCGCCGACGCCGGGCATGAGGCAGTCGACGGACTCGGTGACGCGGGGGTCGGCCTTGTCCTTTTGCATGTAGAAGGCCTTGATTTCGACGGGGAAGTGCGTGAGGAAGATGGGCCGGTTGATGATGTCCGTCATGCGGCGCTCGGCGGCCTCGGCGATGTCGTCGCCGAATTGGTGCGGGTTGCCGTCTTCGTTGGGGATGTCGTGGGAGCGCAGCCAGTCGATGGCGTCGGCGTACTTCATGCGTTTGAAGGGGCGTTCGGGTTTTTGGAAGTCCGGGTTGAGGTCTTGGAGCATGGCGGCCGTGCGTGGGTTGGCGAGGACGTGGTCCAGGACGCCGCAGATGATGTCTTCGAGGTGCTCGAGGAGGTCGTCGAAGGTAATGAAGTCGAGCTCCGCTTCGATGTGCGTGTATTCCGACAGGTGGCGGCGGGTGAGGGATTTCTCGGCGCGGAAGGACTTTTCGATGCAGTAGACGTTGCCGGCGAAGGGGATGGCGGTTTCGAGGTAGAGTTGGGAGGATTGGGTGAGGTACGCCTTTTCGCCGTAGTAGTTGAAGTCGAAGAGAGTGCTGCCGCCTTCGACTTGGGTTTGGACGAGGGCTGGGGGTGAGACCTTGACGTAGCCAAGTTCGTGGTACTTGACGTTGAAGGCGTGCTCGACGGCGTCGCGGACGAACATGACCGAGGCAGCCGTCTCACCTCGCAGGACGAGATGTCTACGGTCGAGGAGGGTCTGGACATCACCCTTGGCCTGGACGACGTTGGTGATGGCATCGTCACCTCCAGGCGCCTTGCCCACAATCTCGAAGTAGTCGGCGTGCAGCTCGCGGTTGTCGGGGGCGTGAGCACCAGGAGGCACCTCCCACATCTCGCCGGTGATCATCATGCTCGATTCGCGAGTGAGGGTGAGAGCGTCGTAGGTCTTGGCCAGGGGCCCAGTCAGGACACACTGCATGTAGCCATGGCCGTCACGCAGCGTGACGAAGAGCACCTCCTTCTGCTTGCGCTCACGGTGGACTCTGCCCATGACCCGCACTCTCGTACCTCTGTCGCCGCTGCTGTAGTCGACCTCCTTGGGTCGCTCACCGCTCCCCAGCTTCACCACCTCAGGCCTCGTCTCCCCAAGATGGATCTTGACCGCCTTGGGCAAGCTGGTGTCCTCCTTGATGACAATCTTCTTGGCCTCGTCAAACACCTTCTGTCGCTCCTCTTCTTCCTTCTGCTGTCTTATCGCGAGCTCCTTCTCCTTGCTGGCCTTCTTCTTTTGCTGGTCGGCGTAACTAACAGCTTTCTTCATAGCAGCTTTGGCGGCGGGCTTGTACGTCGCGACTTCCTCGTCACCCTCCTTCCTCTTGACTAGGTATGTCTGCTCGCCGTTGTGCAGGTATGCGAACTGGAGCGTCTTGAAGGGCTTGGACTCGGAGCCTTCAGTGTCTGGGCTGTCTTGTCCCACCTCCTCGTCGATGTGGATCGTCTTCTTTTCGGCGTCCGCCATGTTTGCGGATATTGTGTTTGGTTCGGAAGACGGATCGGTGTTTGTTGTTGACGTGTTCGCCTCGTGTAGAGACTCGAGGAAGTGTGGGTGGGTCAATGGGTTGTGGGAGACAAAAAGTCCAGTCATTCGGAAAGTGACTCCTCCACCGCCCGCCCCCACCACTGGATGCTTGGCGTTTTGAGACGCCGTTTCAGCAGCACCGTCACAAACTGTAAACTACAGCCTCGGCGCATGCGGTCAGATGAAGAGAAATGAATGGACTGATCGTGATAGCTCGCCAGGCAATATTCATCTCTGCAATTGGATTTTGGTCACATCAAGTTCATTCACCTCACTTTACTGCTCACGTGCTGTCACATGCATGTTCGCTTTGGTGTTGATGGGATCGATGCACGGTTCAAGCTGGTACATCAAATCATAGCCCATCAATCTTTACGTATGGGCAGAGTCACGACCTCTGCCTTTTGCTTCAACTGCTCCACCCGCGCTGCTCCTAACCCACGTTGCCACGACTTGTCGAGTGTAAACTTCGGAACGCATCCGAATTCCAACCTCAACAGCCTGCTGAGAGCCAGCCACGCTTGATCTGAAGCCTCAGACGGGAACGACTTGTCTCGCCGTATGCCTTCATAGTTGTTGAATGCGTAAAGCGTGAACCGAAGACCGGTGCGCTTTCTCTCTGGAGGCACGACCTCAAAGATGGATATCAGTTGGCTAATGGCATACTCCAACTCTCGCGTGTGGTATACTTGAACATGGAGTTCGAGATGCTGGACTCCACCGTCCAGAAACGTACCACGACAGCGTAGTTCCCGCTCTGGTCGATTCATGAAGTAAAAGAACAATGTCTTGTCGTATAGAACGTCCATTGTTTCGCGACGCAGTTGCTTGCAAGACAGCAATATACCTGGCCGATGGCTTGGCCATGCTGGCCCTAAGGTGGTGTCCGCATAGATTCGTAGCCGCATTATGCCGTGGGGATAGAACCACGTGCCCCCCATCTTCTCCGGGTCGAAGTGATCTTTGTGATCTTCGAAGAGATAGCCGAAGATCTGCAGCCGTAATTCGACGGGAAGGTCGAGCAGAGGGCAGTGAGTGGTTGAGTTTGACATGTTGTGAACCTGAGGTTGAGAAGAAGGAGATTGACGCGTGGCGAATGATCTTGTCCTCGGATCTTGGCTTGTCGCGGTCTCGTCAATACCCAACTGAACAGTCAGAGCTGTCAAGAGTCTAGTTATGGTGATGGAGATGATGTTTGATGGATGGAAGAGTCACCAGGAGAAGGAAATGGCGTTGTTGTCGTTCGGCTTGAGATCGGCGCTCTTGGCGCGCTGCCCAAAACTTCCACCGCAGCCTCTCAAACTTCCACCACTGCAACAGTCATCACATTCATCATCGTCCATCATCATGAGCGGTGCCGATAGCGAGCCAGAACCCATAAGTATCGCTGAATCCCATTCACACATTCTATACCCTCTCCAGCAGCATCAAAATCATGCCAAACACATTCCACATCCGTCCAGCCTCCAACGACCGTGAAGACGGCAGGCGGATCCTCGAATTCGTTGATTCTCAGCTTCCCTACCTACAAAGCCTGGGCAGTGAAGCGCAATGGGGTCTCGAACCGTTCGGCGACGATGAACGAACGCAAGAAGGCTATAAAGACATTATTACGAACAGCGAGGAGACCGAGAAAGGCAAGCCTTGGGACCGCGACTCAACCAAAGCCTTCATTGCCGAAATCGAAATCCCATGCAAGAAAATCACTCCCCAGCTCGAGAAGCTCCTGTCACCTCAAGACCCGGCTGGATCGGATGGCGCCGTCCGACTGCGGGTGGCCTCCATGTTCATCGACGGTCGTTCTGTCGGATAAGCCAGACCCGTCTTACCGGAGCAGGACGATGACGACCCTTTTCTCTACGTTGCACATGTTGTATCTGACCGCAGAGCTGTTCCTTGGTGCAACGGCGCTGGAAACGCTTTGCTGGAGCACGCAAAGAAAGAAGCCCGATTGCTTGGCTTGAAGAGGATCTGTCTCGATTGCTGGAATGGCAATAGAGGAAGACTTGTCAAGTAAGTCCTCAACTCAGATCATGATCTCCATTTGACACTCTTGGCGTAGGTATTATGAAGCGAGAGGATACAAACCTCTAGGTGTTGTCTTCGATGACAGCGAGAAGGACTGGCCAGCTACAGTACTGGAATTGCGCCTTTAGCACGCCTTGAAGATGTTCGAATCGCCGTGGCCTGGGTCTCTCGGAACGGAGTATGTCGATGGCTTACTGTAACAGGCTGAATATTACTGGATGGGTCCCCATGCAGCATCTGTTCGAGAGAAGAGCTGATGCATTTCAAGAAGAGGTCGCAGAGACTGTTCGAAGTAAACAACATAAACCGGATGCTCAACACATCCGAGTGCGAGTATCTCGCTCTCGGCAGAAATACCGTTGACCCTGGCGAAGACGGACCGCAGAGAGATCACTCGGACTGAGCAAAGCAGAACGCGCGATAGCAGCATCCGACGACTCTGCCTTTGGATCTCGGCCGACGTGAAACAAGATGACTTGGGAACGCAGCATAGCCAGCTACGCAGTGTCCTTTTATTGAACCTACTCATGGCCAACCCCAACGACTACGACAGAAGCCAAGCCTACCTGACGCTGGTCAAACTGTCGCCCGAGCGCTCCGTGTACTTTTCGTCCACCAATGACAATGAGCTGCAGGCTGAATTCAGGGTGCACGGAGCCAGGGTGGACGCAGGGCAACACGTGCGAGTGCGTGCTGAATCAAATGTGGCTTCTGGACAACGGCTATCCTTGACAAAGAAGGGAGATTTCGCCTCGTCTTGCACCTGTACAGGAGGCATTGCCCAGGGTTGTTCTCGCGCAAGCTTACCCGACCCAAACCTTGATCTAAAGGGCAGTCCGACGTATGAGGGAATCGGACTGAGCTGATTTGACGTCTCGGGGTCGAGTTCAAGAAATACATCGGCCCCGATGTGTCCAGCTCAAATACTCTCAACGCCAGCATCTGTGTACGACACTCCCCGCGAGAAGGGTAACTTCGTTGAAATAAGCGACTGGCGGCATGTGTGGCATGATGGCTTGCTCGACGATTGCGGATGGTGTTGGCCATTCATTGTTGGCCTCTATAATCCTCATAATCGTTCGCTGGAAACAACAGGCTTCAGAACGATCGAAAGGCCGTCAGATGGCCTCTGCGACCGCTATGAAGCGAGACATGGTTGAGCAAGACGGTCATTCAGACAAGGTGCGAAAGACATTGCGTGGACGGGCAGAGAAGGCATGCGTTCGGTGTCGCGCAAAGAAGCGCACCTGTGATGGAGGCAATCCGTGTCAGCGGTGTAAAGAAAGCCACAGCGCCTGTTACTTCAGGTGAGCCTTGCTCCTCGACATTGTTTTGCATTGCCAGGCTAACACTGCGCCAGCGACTGGCATTACACCGTGCCATACCCGAGGGAATACGTCGAATATCTCGAAGAACAGCAAGAGCAACTGTCAGCGGGGCTGCTCTTGATGTACCGGTTGTTGAAAGACTCACACATCAAGACCGTACCTCCTCTCCCCGACAAGCTCCAAGCACAAGACCTGCTCAGCGCGCTACGGAGTCTCAGACTGGATCCACAACACCATCATCCTGTGTACAGCCATCACAGTGGTGCAGGCGGTCTGCACAATGGCACTATCATGAACATGACCGAGAACGTGTTCGCAGAGCACAGTCGACGACCACCAAACCACGTGCACAGCCCGTTCGACCCAGGTCCGACATCACCTGCGCAGGCATCGGTCCTCTCTTCCAGCTTCCATCCGTCACCAAGGCCAGACTTGAATCCCTCGCACATCCCTACAACAGCACCTGGAAGCTTTTCACCCGTGACCTACGGACCGGCTTTCGAGTTCGTGCGGCCGTCACAGCCGAAAGTTATTGTGGACCAAGCACACAGTCACCCCTCAGATCACGCGACATCCCCTGGTGTAAGCTTGCCGAGTGCATTCGTCTCTCAAGAGCCCTGGCAGCAGCAGCAACAGCAGTCTGATGACAGTCATCCACTCAGTCCAATGGATCACCCACTTCATCAGCGAAGCCGACGCACAAGCGGTGAGAGCCCAACAACGCAAAGCTTTGCAGCGAGCGAACACGCGCATTCCAACGATGGACACTCGCACAATTGGGGTTGGTCCGGGCCAACGGGACTCGGAGTCGGTTACTACGGCAGCAACAATCTAGCCGATGGTGGTGGTGCGCACGATTCAAACGGCGTCATGGACTGGGAGTCAATCGAGCAGCGTGGAGGAATCGTGATGCCGCATGACTCTCACGCGCAACACTTACATGGAAAATGGCATGGAGCACCCCTGAATTGATACCCCTGATTAGAGTTTTTCTGGGCAATCTGTCTGTCCTGCATTCGGATTTCAGAGCAGTGCAACTTCTCTCTCCTTCGACAGGTCCTTCCAGAATCCTACCATAACCTCGCCTGCTGCTGCGCCTGCTCCCACACCGCACGCGCACATGGTATAAGCTCGTTTCGCTCCGGTTTCCGGATATCTGACGATCCCCCATCATCCAAGTTCTTCTAGAACGATTTGCGGCAGAACCACACCCACCTCCCTCGCCTTCCCTTACCGTCATGCCCGCTGCTCGGGTTGCTAGCCTCTTGCCACCGCCCATCATCTATCACCGATAGTTTACCTCATCACTTCCAAATGTCGAATCCCGCCGCTCCTAATAGCAACAAGGTCTCCAAGCCCTCGCGGCCCCGAGCGCCTAGGTCGTGTATCCCGTGTGGCCGCAAGAAAGTCGGTTGCGACAAGGCATGCATACACCGTTCCCATCCATCCCCACCTGAAACATACCGAACCGAGGTGTGGCAAGAAGATGAGGGAGACCGCGTGCTGATTATCCGTAGACCAAACCGATCTGCGGCCGATGTGCTCGTGCTGGAATCCACTGCACGTATGCGGGCGGACGCTCGCCCGAGCCTACGATTACGATGATAGGTAAGGCTGTGGGTCTCAGGTGTGGGTCTATCATGATGCTGAATGGGCTGCGAAGATGAATCTCCCTCGTTGGCTTCACGGGCGAGCAGGCTGTATGATCTCACGCGAGCGGCTGCGAATCAACAACAGCCGCTTCAGTCGGCTCCGACTAGTACGTCCTTCCTAAGCTATGACTGTGCACACCGCAAGTTGACATGTGTGCAGGCGCGCCGGAGAGCAAACCTATCGTCAAGCCCGTCATTACAGACAACACCATCAGGGAAACCAACACGCCCAGCAGGGACACCGGCCATCTCTACGTCGGCCCGCACACAAAGGGCCACTACATCTCCAGTGCTCACTTCGCGCTGATCAGCCAAGAGGTGAGTATCTACCGCAGCAACCCCAACAGGATGTCCCCAGCTGAGGACTCCCAGGTCGCCGCCATCAACGACCTCCTCCGCGACCAACGCGGCTACTCCAGAGAAGTCCTGCGCGGACCCATAGGCCAGACGTTTCCAACCTCCCCACCCCTTACCTCTCCGCAATGGTCATGCAAATCCTCCGCCGATTGTACGCCGGATGAATCGCCCCAGGGAGAGCGAGAGCTCTATGGAGATCTCTTCCCTAACATCCCCGCCTGGACTCCGCAGGACAACACGCTTATGACATCGCAAGCCCCCTCCATCGACGAGATCCTCCAAGGTCTCCCGGGACGCGAGCAGAGCGAGGTCTTGATCTGGTCGTACATGGGCGGATTTCACGCGAAGAGATCGCTATTCCACGGCCCGTCGTTCCTTGTGCAAGTGCGGAAATTCCAGCATTGGTAGGTTCAAGTCCCGTTGCATGTGCCCTTCATCTGACTGACCAGGTGGCTCGACAATAGGGTGGACACGCGCGATCCGAATTACATCCTCAGTGTGCATTTCTTGTCGTTGCTCAGCGCGGTGCTGTTCGCGGGCTCCGTGGTGTGTCCCAGATACCGGCTCTCGACGGTTTTTGGGGATGTCAGTCGGGAGACGCTTACGTCGAGGCTGTATCGAAGGGCTGTGAGGGCGATTCGGTTGTCGGAGTTTCCGCAGAGCCCGAGTTTGCAATCTCTGTCGGCGTTTATTATTGTGGATTCGACGTGGTTGAGGGAGGAGCAGCCTTTGACGTGCTGTTCGTTCATTGGGGTTGCGGCGAGGGTTGCGCAGATGCTTGGTAAGTGCTACGAGTAAGTGTGCATGTGGATGACTCACTGACAGTTACTAGGCCTCCACAAGGAACCTACCACATTCGGCCACTTCTCACCCGTGGACGTACACATCAGACGACAAGTCTGGTGGTCAATCGTAGCAATCGACGCCCAAGTAGCGTTCGCATCCGGCCTGCCTCCAATCCTAGACTGCCGCCTATACAACGTCCAGCCCGTCAGCGAGCTCAGCGCAGCAGCCATACGGGAAGACTTCGAATCGCACGGCAACGCGAACAAGTCGATCCTAGGAATCTTCATCGGTGGTCGATTCGCGTTCTACAAGCGAGGCAACGAAATCCTGCACTTGCTCCACAGCAGCCTGCTCTCCGAGATCGACCTCGACCGGATCCTGGAGATCACGCACGAGGTCAAGCTGGATATGGAGAATCGTAAGGAGCAGATCACCTCGATTGAGCAGCTGCACCAGCAGACGCCGCAGCAGTTTGACGGGAGTGATATCGATGCGATCCGTCACACCGAGTCCAATGCGGCGCTCGCCGGGTTTGCGAAGATGTTGTTCGCTCTCTGGGCGGCGAAGCCTTACTCTGTCATGTACGGTCCCATGCGGAGACAAAACCTGCTTCCAGCTCTGCGTAAAAAGGAGCCAAAGTGAGTGCCACTTCCAATTGAATAAAAACCCGCTGACCTGCTAACAAGATGGCTCAGTGTAATCGTGTACTGCCGAGAATACGTCCATCGCTTCCTGCGCCTAGCGGAACGACGAGACTTCCAGCCATGGCACTGGTGCTGGCCGGGTCAACATCAGCCATTGCACAGCATCATGGCTTTGATCTCTGATTTGGAAGATCATCCGGACGACCCAGAGGCTGTCGAGACGCGGAGATTGGTCGACTTGGCCATCTACAAGTGCATCGGCTCCGACGACTGCGGAATCACCTCCCACGAAGATGGGAATCCTGATCCTCGACCTCTGCACAGCGGCGGTGCTCAGGCGTGGAGATTCCTTCGCCGGGCGCGCGATAGGTACGTCCCCTTTCCACCCCACACCCAATCATCTCACTAACACATCATTCTTCTAGAGCCTGGGAAATGGCCGGCCTTGACCCCACAATCCTCACCTGCCCCGAATCCGTGCACGACATCCGCCTGCGCGGCGTCCCCGACGAAGACCGCAACCGCGACGAACCCGGCGAGACGTGGGCCGACTATGCGTACGGCCCCATCCCGCAGACGTACGCGGAGTGGTCGTATCTGGGCCAGGCGACGGATCCGAATTTCGGGTTTCTGAGTGATTTGGATATGCAGATTCATGGGGGGATTGGGGGTGTTAGTGTGTGATGAGACTTTTGAAGGGGTTTTTTTATGGTTGCTGGTGTCGATGTGATATTTGGATTCTTCGGGGCGCTTGTTGTTGTTGTTATCCCACGGTGGTTGGGATGGGATCGTGATGTGTATATGTTCCCAATTGAGATAGATATGGTGTTCAGGAGTATTGGCGTGAAGTTGGATATTTTCTTGCTTGCTGCCTGAGGCATCTGATCAGTCTGAATCTCGCAGGTGTTGCGCTGCGCTGACGGGAAGGTGCTCTCTTTCAACCTCACCTCATCGACATCTCTGTTTTGTCATCTTCTCGATATCCTCACCGCCGTCCAGAATGAGGTATACTTCGACGTCAATTCATACCACGCGGTTCCTTTTCCGGCCGGCCTGGCCTTTTGGCCTATCGCCCTGACTAACGATTTTGACTTTGGCTTGTCCCAATCGATGGTTCTCAATTCCAGTCTCGTCCACCGCTGAATTTCGAGCAGAAGACATCTTCGACAAAGAACAAGCTGTATTTCCTCTTCAAACCGGACCCGGACCGGCCAAGTCTCCGGTTGCCATGGGGTCCCCGGCAAGTGTCGCCGTGGCGGAAATGGGGGTGAGCTGGGGTACAACCAAGTTCACCTGAGTGGAGATCAGATTAGACGAAGGATGGCGATTAGTTAGTCGAAAACCTTATTCGGACCTGCGATATTAATCCCTGGTTCAGCCGCTTGTTGGTTCTGCTTCTTGGGACTTCGCTTTCTTCGAATGGACTTCTTTTGGCCACACGCTGAGAAGTCACGTTCAAGTCTGCGACCATGAAGGGAGTCGTAGCTGCTCTCGGACTGCTAGGTGTGCAGCAGTTTGCGGCGGCGCAGAGCAGCACGGCGAAACCGACGATATGTCCCATTCACGGCCAGCAGTTTCCGGCTCCTACAGGTCTGGCAAAGGAGACTGGCTTCTATACATTCACCCAGGAGATCGAGGATACGATCAAGGCGAACCTCACCAATGCGCCTTTCAATGAAACGACGTTCTCTCTGGGCATGTTCAGCACGACGGACGATGGCCTCCTTTACGAGTATCACCATACGGATCCAACAGTAGCCAACAGTACTGCGGGAACTCAGAAAGTCGATGCGAACTCGATATACCGAATCGCGAGCATTACGAAGATCCTTACGGTGTACCTGTGGCTCATCAAGGATGGGGACCGGCGCTTTAACGATCCGATTACGGACTTTCTTCCTGAGCTCAAGCAAGCGAATGAGGTTGCGCAGCAGTATGCCACGCCAGATTGGGAGGAGGTGACGGTTGGGGATCTGGCGATGTATCTTGCGGGTGCTGCTCGAGATTGTAAGTCCGGACTGCCAATTTCGAAAGCATACTTCTGACTCTCATAGATGGACTGAACGACGTCGCTCTCAAAGGCTATGTCACGTCGCTGCTTCCACCTTTAGCTGAAGAGGAACTCCCGAACAACCCTGCAAATGGCATAAATGTGGCTGCGAGTGAGGATCCGGTTTGCGGCTTCTTTACTGCTAATCTGAGCTATTCTCCTTGTTCTCGGGATGGTTAGTATCATCTCGCCCTATGACACGCAAAAGCTAACGTAGCCAGTGTACCTCTCGCACATCGGAACTCTGGCAGCCAGCTTTCCCTCGGGCTACACTCCTCTCTACAGTAATGCCAATTTCGCGCTTCTGGGCCTTGCATTGTCGAGTCTGGTCGGTCAATCCGAGGAAGAGATCTTCGATCAACATCTGGTGAAGCCGCTTGGTTTGAACGGCACGACTTTTTCGAATCCTTCTGATGTGACCAAGAACTCTGTCGTGCCCAGCGGAGACTTGCAGAAGAGTGGCTGGAAGAATGCTTTGGGCCCGTTGGATGGGTATGTATTTTGCTTGAGAGGAACTTTGGTGGCTGCTAACCCTTTGACAGCGCCGCTGGAGCTTTCTCGACTACGAACGATCTCGCTGCTATCGGCAAGTCTATCTTGAACAGCACGCTCACTTCGAAAGCAGTGACACGCAGATGGTTCACTTCGACCACGCTCAACGAGCGAAACGACCAGGCTGTTGGCCGTGGATGGGAGATCTTCAAACAACGAGTCAATGGCCACTCGGTTGACCTCTACACGAAGAGCGGCAACTGGGGCGTGTACGCTTCCGTGATCTTCCTGATCCCCAGCTACAATTTTGGCTTCAGCATATTGACAGCAGGCAACTCAGGCAAACTGCCAGAGGTGCTCTCAAACACACTCGTAGAAAACCTACTACCAGCGCTCGAGGACATCGCAAAGCAACAAGCTGACCGGAACTTCGCCGGCCACTTCTCTTCAGAAAAGAGCAACACCTCCATCACAGTCACGACCGACGACTGGCCAGCACTCAAAGTCACGCAATTCGTCGCCAACGGCATCGACCTCCTGGACAGCGTCTTCGCCCTCTTCGGCAAGGATATCGACTTCCGCCTGCTGCCCAGCCATCTCTACAAGGGCAACCAAGTGGGCTTCTCAGGCGTCTACCAACCTCCGTCACCGCCTGCCCCGGCCGACGAGTTCTACTGGCCATGTCAAACCTGGCTCGACATTGACGACTTCACCTATGCCAACGTCCCGCTCGGACATCTTGTGTTCGAGGTTGATGAAAGCGGCCGAGCTTGCTCGTTGCAGGCGAAGGCTCTGAGAGAGACGCTGCAGAGAAAGCAGGTATGATCTGCAGAGAACCTTGAGAGATATGATGTATTGTGTCTAATGTGTATTTTTGGGGAAGTTACCGTTTTTGAACGATTTGTGCCGGGATGATGGGACGTGAAGAGTTGGAGATGGTCTCTGAGGAGATTTATTGCAAGATTTACAGGCTCTTGTGGGAACCGAAACCGATGATGGCGACGATGTTGGGGACTCAGCATTGATCCGATAATGGATGAAGGGCAGAACAGTACCGCTACGGAGACCTCCTTTCGAGATGGGAGTTGCTACGAAGCCAAGCCGAATTCAAGGCTGCAGACGGCTTCATCGGGGGCAGTGGATATGGAGGAATTGGGGATGCCGAGCAGCTACTAAACGAGCTTTACCTGCTAAGGATGTCGACTTGAAGGATATCCACTAGTCGGGAGGTACATATTTGAGTAATAGGCAATCGATAGGTTGACAAAAGCGAACCACTGGCCCGTGCGTCTTCTAGACATCCAACCTCGAATTCGCTCCCAGAAGCTGTCCCTATTCACCGCGCCCTCCCCTCCCACAAGCCGACTTCTTCTTCACCAAGCACATACTTGAGAGAGCTGACCTTATCGACGCTCGTTACACTCCTTGAATTCACCCTTCTCGTCGCTCCTTGGTCCGTCTGTTCGGGAGCGCGCGGTGAGTTGAGGCTGCCCGCTCTCGCCCTTATGTGGTAGTTCTGCTGTGTGGAACGCGGCGCGATCGCTGTTGTGTGACTACGAAGAGCGAGTTGAAAGAGTAGGAGGAGTCTGAGGATATCGCGAGGGATTGGGTATTAAACTGCAAGATGGGAGACGACAAGCGCAACAGCGTCGCGGGAAAGGTCGCGACGCCCAAGACGGGTGGTAGCAGTCCTGCTATACAGCCGCTCGCGGATCCGTTGGAGACGCTGGGGAAGGCGATTGGAGGGAGGTCAGTCATACGCACGAACAAGAAGAGAAGATATCATATAGCTCAACGGACTAACCACCCCTCGCAGAATCAAAATCACAACCACAACCCCCCACTCGCAAACCCTCGAAGGCAGCCTCTTCACCGCCGACCCGATCCTCAACCTCATCGCCATCAATAGCCGCTCCAACTCCGCGTCGAGCGACTACCACATTGTCCCCGTCTCCAAGATCCAGAACGTGCAGATCCTGTCGTTGCCCGCCGAGAGGGATGGCGGCTTCGCGAGCGCACAGCCGCCGATTGGGGCCGTGGATACGCGGGTGCTGAGGCAGCGCGAGGATGCCCGCGTGGCGAAGTTGAAGGAGAAGGAGATGAATCGCGGGAAGGGCGTTACGAGGGAGGCGCAGGCGATTTATGATGCGCTCAGGAGGATGTATGATACACGATTCTCCACTTTCCTTCTCGACCTTCTACTGACTGCTCTCACAGTAACATGCCCGTCCGCTGGCACGGCAATCAAATCATTGCCCACGACACGGTCATCATCTTCCCGCCGTACAAACCGGAAGATTGCAGGGGACAGTCGAACAAGCCGGAGGTGACGAATCGGGTTAAGAAGGTGCTGGAGGGCGAGAGGAGGAAGTTGAAGGAGAAGGAGGAGAGGGAGAAGAAGGCTGCTACGCCCACGGGGCCGAGGAAGGGAGGTTGAGAAGATCTCTCGATTTCAGACTGGTTGAGTGCTGATGTTACTCTCTGGTCAAGTGAGCAGGGTAGGGCGAGATATGTGGCTCTCGCCTGATGTAGGTGACTATCAGAAGAGCAGACTGCATTGCCTTGCCTTGCCTTACGCTGTGGCGTGTAAAGCGAGAATAGCGAACGAAATGATACCCATCGAAACCGCTCAAAAAACTTCATTCTCTATCACAGACCCATTACCCTCACCTCAACGCTCACTCAAAAAGCCTTATTAACCCCCTCCCACCCTGGATTCTCCAACTTACTCCTCAACAACCCCCCAGGCCAACAAGCCGCCGGCGCCTTCTCCGGAGCCTCCAACGCCTGCTCCACAACCACATCCCCCAAAACCTTCTCAATCTCGCCCCGCGGGAACTGCGCTTCGACCTCCTCCACCCATTCCGCGCTCACCAGCTCCAGCGCCGCGGGCCGTTTGAAATCTATCGCGACGCCGAGTCGCACGAGGCGGGATAAAGGCGCGATGCGCTCGGCGATCTGCGGCGTATCGTGCAGGGCGATGGCGGTCCAGACGGCGTGTTTCTCCGGCTGGGGGATGTTGTGTTGGGAGAGGAAGGCGACAGCGGCGTCGGCGCCTTCGATTTCGAAGCGGGTGGTGGGGCTCGTGTTGTGGAGGGGGGTGGTGCCGATGTCGTGGAAGATGCAGGCGGTGAAGAGGAGGGGGAGGTGTGAGGGGTGGTGCCAGGGGACGGAGTTTTCGCGTTGGGAGAGGTGGAGGGCGTGCGTGTAGACGCGGAGGCTGTGGGCGAGGATTGTGGGGTGGAGGTTTGTGGCGGCGTGGTTGTAGGCGGCTTGGGATATGGGGTCGGTGGGGACGTTGGAGGGGATGGGGGTTGGGGGTTGAGGGGCTTGGGGCGTGAGGCTGGATGGGTTTGGTGGTGGGCACATGGTTGATGGAGTGGTTGAGGATGAGGATGAGGATGAGGATTGCTTTGGGTGATATGTGTTGTCTCTAGGTACTTTAGGAGTCGAACTGGTCTTTTATCATGTTCTCAAACTCGCGCAACCTCGTTTACTCTTCTCGGCTTCTTCTGGCAACCAAAGGGCGGTTGTGTGGCGACGACTTGATAGTGTACAAGTAAAGGGCGGCGGATGACTAAAACTTGGTTATTGAGATTTGCTAGCTTCCTTCCTAGCTCCGCTGCCGTAGTGGGAACACTTCAGCTGTCATCCATAGCGACATCAGCAGTAGGAGTGGAGACTTGTGGTGTGTTCGTCTCCGTCGCTTCCATACTCTCTGCCACCTTCTGCTCGTTTGCGCTGGAGTCTGCAATGCTCGCTTCTCCCATTTCAATATCGTCTTGGACTTGAGTGGCCTGCACATGCGGCGAAGAGACCCTGCTGTTAGTCCGGGTCGCCTCGTCCACCTCCAAAAACTTGTTCGCAGGCCGTGGTGTGGCACCTCCCTCTCCACCGTCATGCATTGGAGTTGCGCCGCCCAGATCGCTGTGTTGTGGCGACCTGGCATCTGGAGCTGGGGACTGCATTCTGCTTGTTTCGGCCTTGAGTCCATCGTCGCCATCTTCCATATTCTCATCCTTCTCGGGCTCCGGCTCATCTTTGATACCCTTGATTTGACGGATCATAGCCTCGCCCTCGCGAACAATGTTGTTGAACTGTTCCTTCCTCGACACCCAGGTGACCTCGTACTCTGCACTTTCATGTTGCAGGTCTTCAATCTCCTTCTCCAACTTGTCAATGTCTACCTTGGTCTCATCTCGACTCTTGAGCTTGCGGTCATCCAGAATCTTTGAAGCCTGCTCATCATACCCTCTCCTCTGCTCCAGCACGCGCTGGGCGTCTACCAATTGTGATCTGAGTTCGACCGTGTTGTCACGTACTGCCTGCGCTGTCTCCAGAATCTTGGCCTTCTCGGCCGCATATCGCTCTCGCTCGCGCTCATTTGATGACAGTATAAGTTGTATGCGGATGATGCTGCTTTCAAGACTTGCAAAGTCGATCAAGACATCTTCGCGGAACTTTTCAATCTTCTGCGCATCGTATTCGGGCGAGACCTCATCCTCTCCTTCGGGAGGTGGAGACGGAAGGTACGAGAGAGAGTATCGTAGCGGAGAGTCCTTGGAGAGAAGATCCTTGGTCACGCGCTGGAAGGGGCGCTCTTCGATGGCCAGCAGACGGTTCGCATGGAGGGCATCTGGGCAGGTGTGAGCGCAAGCCGTCATTAATTTCGTCCGCGTGACCTACCTTCCTGCGCCTGTTCTGGAAGCACACTGAGCTCCTGAATATCTGGTTCCGCCATGCTGGATTCTGAATCAAATGTTGAATCAAAGTGTCGTTTGTCTTCGTCTTCAAAGGTGGCTGCGCAGTGTTTCAGAGACAGCGATCCACCTGATCGCTAGCGCGCTGTACCTGCATGGGGCCAATCGCGATCTAATGGGCCGCGCCACACGTGGCTCGACCATATGTCTGAACGCGGCTCACGTCCATCTTTCACACCTCACCCTTCATCTCTATATAATCCCCCGCTACTTTGACCGTCGCCCACCCTCTCGATACCACGCCGAAAGATGTATCGACTGCCTAATCTGATAATAGAACTGATTCTGCTATTGTCGGCTGGTTGAGCGTGTTTAGGTGGGGCCGGTTTACTATTGTCACTATTGTCACTATAGTTCGAGCTCGAGTTTGTATTGTCGCAGTCACCGCACAATAGCATCATTGGCAGAATCACGACGCCCGGGCCACCCGCCGAGATCAAAACTCCGCCTCTCTCCCTCTGCCCACCATGCCTGCAACAACACTCTTCAAGATGGCAATGCAAGCTGCGATCCGCCTTTCGGCGCAAATCAACGACATCGCAGACATGCCATACGAACTCGCACGCCCCATCCTACTCAAGATCCAAAGCCCGCAACAGCTCCGCGACATCGAGATCAACTGCCCACACATCGCCGAAGCCGACAAAGAGCTCTGGGTTCACTTCATCCAGCGCGACATTCCAGACTGGGAGAGCAAGATTGTCGAGCCCAAGAACAAGAACAGCTGGCACAAGGTCTACCGCTGGCTGCAGCGCAAAGAAGAACGCAAGGCCGCTGAAGATGAAGAAGCACTTCGCAAGACTCTTGCAGGTGAAGGCGTCAAGAAGGCAGAAAAGAACGCTCTCTTCATCGACAAAGTCCTCCCTCACGCCCGTGCCGAAGATGAGCACAACTTCTACATCGACGGTGTCAAAAACAAGAACCTGAACGCCTCTGGCAGCGACAAGAGAAAGCCACCTACCATGAAGAACGCGAAGACCGGCAGAGACATGCTGGGTGCCATCCGACGTCAAGCTGTCGAAACATCGAGGGCCAGATCCATGGTCAAGCCATTCGCTCCACCGACAGCTTCTCAGAGGCTTGACAATGCAAAGAGGCAAATCACCCAAGCACCCGCAAGCATGATCCAGTCAGCGATTGCTTCTCGTCCACTCACCATCGCACCTCGAGAGCCCCTCCCCCATGAGAAGGCCATGATGAAAGAGATGAACCGAATGCGCGCCACGACCAAGATTCAACCTCCCACACGCATGGCCAACATCAAGTTCGCAGAGCAGAACAAGCAAGCCATCGAAGCTGCCACTCGCAAGGCCCGCGAAGTGAATGAAGCAAAACTACGAGCCCTCACGCAGGTCCAGAAGCGGCCATCAACGGCATCTTCTCCGCCAAGCAAGGCATACGACTTTGCTCCATCGCCAATTGTCGTTGACCCATCCAAGCGAGCTTCTCCACCGATAATGACGGCTGCTCCACCAGCGAGAGTGCAGACCCCAGCTGCGAGTCCCCCAGCGGCTTCTGCTCCACCGCCGCCAAAGCAGCCAGTCGCCATCAGCCCGGACTCCACACCCAAGACCTCAGCTTCCCAAGCGAAGTCGATCAGTCCAGAGTCCAGCCCGCCACCCAAGATGATGAAGAAGCGTCCAGCGCCAACGTCCATCTTCATGAACACGAACAAGAAGCGCAAGATCTGAAAGCTCTACACTGAGATTTCAGAGTCATCAATTACAATGGCTACCTGCGCTTGTTCACCCACACCATTCCATCCACACCAGCAACCTCCTTCACCATCACCGACTCTCCGCCACACGACTCTCCACCACACAAAACACTCATGATGTCTCACGAATGGCATGCAACGCAGCTGCAATGGCCTCTTTGGCCTTTGTGATGTCCTCTGGCGAACTTTGGTCGCCTGGACCCTTGTCTTGCTCCTGTACAAGACCACAAATGAGCGACTGCAACAAACTTGACGAAACAGACGACATTGCACATGCAAAGATGCACGGCAAACAGTACGATTATGACAGACTTCGACTTACCAGCTGGCCCTCGAGCTTCGCCTTCGCCTCTTCAATCTTCTGACGAAGTTGGGGAAACATGGCTTTGGTCTCGTCGAGAGCTTTGCGCTGGTTGATGATTAGCGAAGGCGTTGTGAAAAAAGGATGGGACGGCAGCATAGCATAGCGTATGATACCCATTTGAAATTGAACAATCAATTCAATCACAATGCATCAACTAACCTCCTGTCTCAACGTGTACTCGGCATTCTCATCGGCGTCGCTGCCTTGTTCGAGCTTCGCGATCCTGGCTTGCTGTGATTCGAATTCTTGGTGGTAGCTCGCCTCTTCCTGGACTAGGCGGTTGAGAGATGAGGTAGCGATTGCGAGCTGTGATGGGGCTGGCATATTGTCGTATCTTTTGATTATTGTCTCGCAGTTTTGTCGACTTTGGTGGGATGGATGTTCTAGCACCCGATCCCAGCGGAAAGTTGGCCGAGCTAATTAACGCGAGGCGCGTGGAAGGCGCGACGGACGCGTTTTCCTCTTCACCCCTCAGAGCTTCGTCCCGTTTCTTCCTCTCTGCACTCCCCTCCACCACCACTTTGACAACCACCCACACCAAACATGTCGTCGCCGGCTTCGAGACGGTCGACTCGCTCGTCAGCGAACAATACTCCGCAGCGTCGTACCCAACGTTCTTCCCAGCAACCACGCTCTTCCGAGCCGCCCATGAGCGACCCTCCCTTGCCAGACGTCGATGCCGCAAACAGCCAATTGCGGTCCGAAGCGAACGCTGCATCTCAACAAGGAACGCCTCGAGGGACCCAAAACTCTCAGAGCCAGAGTCAGGCGCCGCCGACGAGTTCTCCGCTGTTCTTCAGGAGTTCGCCTGCTGGATCTCAGAGCCAGTCGCAGTCGCAGAGCTTGAATGTGCCTGCTGCGAATGGTGTTGGAAGTAGTCCGTTGAGGCAGCGGGTTGATGCGCCGACGCCTGGTATACAGAGTAGTGAAGGTGGAAGAACACCGAGAGCGAACGGTGGCATTGGCGGTGTGTAGAGCGCGAAACCCTAAGAGATTGGTTTACGATACTGATAGACCGAGCAGATTCATCGCCTATCCATTACGGCCCCAGCTCTGACGCGGCTACTCCAGCAGCGAACGGTCACCGCCCTGATCGCACCAGCTCGTCTGGTCTTTTCGTGAGATCTGGCTTGTCTGGTGGTGCTGCAAGCGCAAGAGAGCGAAGACACGATATCAATTCTGATCTTCTGGAGAACAGTGGACGCAGACGGCAGGTCTTTGTCGACGAGAATGGCCTTCCAGTTCAGGATGGATCAGACGCTGCGACCTTTTCCAACGCCAACCCAAACACCTCAGATGCCGCTGCTCTTGGAGGACGCTCGACACGATATATCTGGGGTACCGATGTGTCCATTACCGATTCTTGGTCATCGATGAAGGAATTCTTGTACAACTTCCAGAAGAAATACCGCATGGTCCAGGATGGTGAGATTTTACAAGGCGAGACGCTGGATGCTGGTCATCCGGGACTCGAGAACGAGTACTTGGGCATGCTGGATACGATGTTGGAGCTAGGCACGAAGGCATTCTATTTGGATTGCAGAAACCTGAAAGCCTACCCTGGAACACGAAAGCTGTGGCATCAATTGCAGTCTTATCCAAGCGAAATTGTGCCCGTGATCGATACAGCTGTTAAAGACACCATGGTGGAGCTGGCAGAGAAGAAGATGGGCGAGAGGCGGTCTCAGCAATCTCAGCAGCAGCGAGAGAGGAACTCCAGCTCTATGCCGCCAATGCCCAGCTCAGACGTTGACAACATGGGTGGTCGAACTCCTACACAGGCACAGCCAGCTCCACCAGCAGATGAGCATGATCTTGTCGCAGAAGTCGAGCAGACAGTATACCGATGCAGACCATTCGGGTTGGACAAGACGATCAACTTGCGGGACCTGAACCCTGGAGACATGGACCAATTGGTTTCTATCAAGGGTTTGGTCATTCGAACATCGCCAATCATCCCTGACATGAAGGACGCGTTCTTCCGATGCTCCGTCTGCCACCACACCGTCAAGATTGACATCGACCGCGGCAAGATTGCAGAGCCTACCCGCTGCCCGCGTGAAGTCTGCCAGGCAAGCAACAGCATGCAGATTGTGCACAACCGGTCCGGATTCGCCGACAAGCAGGTCATCAAACTGCAGGAGACTCCAGATTCTGTGCCTGATGGTCAGACTCCACATTCGGTCAGCTTGTGCTCTTACGATGAGCTTGTCGATGTGTGCAAAGCGGGTGATCGAGTCGAAATTACGGGCATCTTCAAATGCAACCAAGTCCGACTCAATCCACGTCAGCGAACAGTCAAGAACGTCTTCAAGACGTATGTGGACTGCTTGCATGTGCAGAAAGTTGACAAGCGTCGAATGGGCATCGATCCGTCTACCATCGAGCAGGAGCTCTCAGAACAGGCCGCCGGAAACAGTGAAGAGACCCGGAAGGTCAGCGAAGAAGAAGAGGCTAGGATCAAAGCAACGGCCGAGAGAGAGGACGTGTACGACCTGCTCTCAAGATCTTTGGCGCCTTCAATCAACGAGATGGACGACGTCAAGAAGGGCATTCTTCTTCAACTTTTCGGTGGTACCAACAAGAGCTTCGAAAAGGGTGGCTCTCCCAAGTACAGAGGAGACATCAACGTGCTTCTCTGCGGTGATCCCTCTACCGCAAAATCGAAGATGCTAGAATACATCCATAAGATCGCCCCTCGGGGTGTCTACACCTCTGGAAAAGGTTCGTCTGCAGTGGGTCTTACTGCATACGTTACCCGCGATCCAGAAACGCGGAACCTAGTACTGGAGTCGGGTGCCCTCGTCCTGAGTGATGGCGGTGTCTGCTGTATTGACGAATTTGACAAGATGTCAGACTCGACCAGATCAGTCTTGCACGAAGTCATGGAACAGCAGACTGTCTCCATTGCAAAGGCAGGCATCATCACCACACTCAACGCTCGAACGAGTATTCTGGCATCTGCCAACCCGATCGGCAGCAAGTACAACCCCAACTTGCCCGTGCCGCAGAACATCGATCTGCCGCCGACTTTGTTGTCAAGATTCGACCTTGTCTATCTCGTGCTCGACCGCATTGATGAGTCGGCTGATCGCAAGCTGGCGAGACATTTGGTGGGCATGTACTTGGAGGACAATCCTGAGAATGCAGCCAAGGAAGAGATTCTGGTAAGTGAAACAATCTTTCACATTGTCATACAACGCACTGACACTTCTTTAGCCCGTGGAGTTCTTGACCTCCTACATTTCATACGCACGCGCCAACATTCACCCCAAGATCACCCAGCCTGCAGCCGATGCTCTTGTTCGCTCATACGTGGCCATGCGCAAACTGGGCGAAGACATCCGCGCAGCTGAGCGTCGTATCACGGCCACCACGCGTCAACTAGAGAGCATGATCCGTCTCTCAGAGGCGCACGCCAAGATGCGTCTGAGCGAGACTGTGGAAGAGTCTGACGTCGAAGAAGCCGTCCGGTTGATTCAGGCAGCGCTGAAGCAAGCCGCGACAGATGCCCGGACTGGTCTCATCGACATGGGTCTGTTGACCGAAGGCACATCGGCGAGCGAGAGGAAGCGCAAGGAGGATTTGAAGAATGGTGTGTTGAGCGTGCTGGATGAAATGCTTGGGAAAGGTGTCTCTAGCGCGAGGTATGGTGATGTGGTGAGGACGTTGAGTGAGCAGAGCTCGGTTCCGGTCGAGGGACAGGAGTTTGCAGATGCCGTGAGAAGTTTGGAGCAGGAGGGCAAGGTGCAGATTGTGGGTGAGGGCCCGAGGAGGAGTATCCGGAGGGTGACTGGTGTTGCCTAGATGATGAGATGAGATGAGATGAATGTGCAGTCGTGACGGTGTTTGGCGTCTGGATTATGAGGGAAGGAAAGGTGGATGAGCGAGTCTGGTCTGTTGGTATAATGTGAACGAATTGGAATACCACATGCAGCATGATAACCTCTCGTCGCTTGACTTAATGCAGGCAAGTAGTCGATGTCGACTCACATGTTCTCCATAGCTCTATCTCGTCTCGTCCATATGTCCCCCGCTCTCCGAGAGAAGATGCCACGCCCATCCCTCAACAAGCCACGAATCCCTCCACTACGCTCTGTATCCCCAAAACGCCTCCCATATGCACGCACTCATTGGTATCATTCCATTTTCTTCCCACATCACCTCCCCCTCCACCATCCCTTCCCTCCCCTCATGCCTCGCACCCACCCCTCAAAGCCAACACCAAATGCAACGTCGCGCCTCCCTCCAGACTATACTCCTCAGCGGTCTTGTCATCCGCCATCTGCTTCCCGCCGTAAATGAGGCGCTGCTGGGCGGGTGGGATGCCCTCTTTCTCTTCGACGCGCTCTTTGATTTTGCTGACTTTGTAGTCGGGTTCGATGTCGAGTTCGATTTCTTTGCCGGTTAGGGTGCGGACTCTGTGATGGGTGGGGTGGGTGGTTAGTGAGAGTGAGGGTGAGGGTGGTGGGGGGAGGGGAGGTGTTACTTGATTTGCATCTTGAGGACGGAGGGTCGTGAGCTGGTTGAGGTGAGGTCCTTGTATGTCCACGTGGGTTTGGGAGGTGGTTGTTTGGATTTGGACTGTGAGGTTTTGGTTGCTGGTGTTGGTTGGTGTTTGCTTTGAGAGCTTGCAGCACGAGAGAGAGAGAGTGATGTCGTTTGGTTTGGCTTTTGGCGGGGCAGGCAACGGCCGTTGCCAAGACTGTGCTTGCTTCCACTTCGCGGCGACTTTGATGATGCTTCGTCTTCACGTGTCAATAAGCACTCACTCGTTCACTCTCTTTCACATGCGATATCACGAGATATAGCGCTTTTCAAGATCATGATAAGAATCAAAATCATAGGCCATCCCTCCAACCAGTGAGACACCGGTCGCCGAGCCTCATGACAAGAGCTCGCCGTTGAGCACGAGTCTTCCTTTTCGACCTCCAGCCTCCATATTGATGACTCCCGTGGCACCATCAGGACGACAATGATACCGCTGTTCCCTTGTTACCGACAGAATGGATCGTTGGTGCCGCTCGAAATCTCCTTTGCAGACGCCAAATGCTGCACATGGATTGTCCTGGAGGAAACTCGCGCTTGCTCGGATGTGGCCAGGCAAGTCGTATATGTTCTGTCTATCTTTCTTTAACGTCCCTGGAGGAGTACAGAAGAAAACACAGTATTGATCAAACGCGCTACTCGCTTCAACAGTGCCTTTAATCCCTCTTCTAGAAACAGTATCAGCACGTCTCACAACAAGCCTTCAATCCTGAGCTTCGACCGCGGCACTTCAACAGCACCTGGCCACCGCGAATGGACTTCATGTCGCTTAATCCTTTTGTGGATATAGATCTCCACGGCTCGAGCACTCGCACGCTCGCATACAAGCATCGCATGACACGGCCCCATAATGCCCCATAGAAAAGCGCCCGGCCCGACTCGTCTACGGCATCGGGTCACGCCGATGAGAGAAGACTTTTGAACACCCTGGGAACAGATTTGCATTGACACGTCGACGTGCGCAATCTGGTTTGCCGGGAGAACGTCGTCAACTGCCACCTCCGCCTTGACTGCCTGTCCACCACGTGTTCAAGTACATTAGCTCCCCGCGCCACGACACGCGACGTCGACGACTAGGAGATCATCAGTATGGATCGATGCGGCTAAGAAAGCATTGAGAAGTACCGTACGAGTCTTCAAAATGCTTCTCCTTCCCCGTCGCCTGGGCAGAGAGGCTACTTCAACCTCGTTGTAGTCGACACGCTCGTTACACTTGTCGTTCCCGTTCTCCCACCACCACAATGTCTACTCTACCATCCCAACGCGTCTCCTCCAGCACCGACGGCATCGAGCCAGGCATGAAGTCTGAGCAGCACCAGGTCCATCACACCAACCTGGGCCATTCGCACAGCGCTGGCATGACCATCTCTCCTGAGCTGTTCGAGAAGCTCTACCTCCAGCCAAAGGTCCCTCAATATGCTCGATTCGCCAACCCGACGCCTATGGGACTCGTCGGTTTCGTGATCTCGACCTTCACCTTTTCGATGATCTTGATGGGCTGGGGCGGCGCGAGCGGGTTCCCGGCTGTTGTTGGTATCTTCTTCTTCGTCGGACCTCTTATGTTGACGCTGGCTGCCATCTTCAACTGGATCATGGGCAACTTCTACCCTGTAAGATCTTCGGCATCCCCACAGCCTACAGCATGCTGATGTATTACTAGATGATGGCCACTTCGCTGTTCGCAGTCTTCTGGCTCTCTTTCGGCATGCTCCAGCTCCCAACGCTCGGCCTGGCAGCATACTACTCCTCGGACGGCACCAATGCGACTGAGGGTGCTCAGAGCTCGGGATACAATACCGTCATTGGTCTCTACTGCATTGTGTATGTCATTCGATATCCTCGCAATCGCGATTCGCGCTGACATTGGCTCACAGCTGGGGCTTCGCTTTCTTGACCTACCTTATCTTCGCTCTCAAGACCAACGCTCTCTTCGCCGGCATCTTCTTCCTCGCTGCTGTGGCTGTCTGGACACTCGCCGGTGCCTACTTCAGCACGGCAACTGGCGACTACACGACCGCTGGAAGCTGCCAAACTGTGAGTTGAAGCCGTCCATCGTACATATCAACACAGTACTAATCGTTCCGCAGGCCGCCGGTGCACTCCTCTTCGTCGTCTCGATCCTCGGATGGTGGATCGTAGTCGCAATGATGGCCGCCGAGATGCGCATTGGCATTAACGTGCCCATCGGCGACCTGAGCCACTTCTGGGCCGACACCAAGGCTGCTGAGGCGGTTCACGATGTTGAGAAGCAGGAGTAAAAACAAATGGCTGGCAAAGATTGGAGAAGCGACAGATACCCAGCTTGGAATGTTCTTGGTAGGAGACAATGTACTGCATTTTAATACTATTGTTATTGATCGTTGCGACTTTGCGAGATCAGACTATACACAACTTCGCAACATCTAGAGTGCTCGCCTCCTTGCATTCTGAAACCTTATGAAGTTGCCTCTTCGGGTTCTTGCCGAGGCTCGTGCACTGCATTGCATTCACTTCACCTCTTGCCGCGTGCTAAACTCAATTGCTATGTTCATCTCTTCCTACTTTGCTATACGTCGTGATACGTCCTGTTGATGATTTTCCATCACTGAGAGACGTAGTTCTCCTTCTAGGACAAAGTCACGGCGGCTTTGTTCACAAATACGGGCATGTGACCGAGCCGAGGAAGTAAGATCTTCCTTGGGGAGTGTGCAGGGATTCTTTCGGCCGCACCGATAGACAGACTTCATCTCATTGCCGGGCATTGCATCTCTACTCTTTTTTGTGTCTGTATATATTTTCTATCAGCTTTGGAGAAGATATTGAAGACTTTGTGCATTGAGGGACGAACACCGGACGACAACGAGTGGAACGACAAGCAAGACCACGAAGCCGCCTGCCTTGCTCCTCCTCCGGATAACGAAGTACTCTACAAGCGAACAACCCAAAACCTCACATCAACCCCAAAACCTCCATCAAAAGACCTCCCCAAAAATGGCCCTCCAACAACTCCCCCCAACCTACAAAGCAATCCACCTCGCCACCCGCCCCAAAGACCACATAACCCCCACAACCTTCACAACGCAAACCCACCCGACCCCCTCCCCCTCCTCCCTCCAACCCGGCCAAGTCCTCTACCAACCACACTACCTCTCCCTCGACCCGGCGATGCGCGGCTGGCTCAACGACGTGCGCTCCTACATCCCCCCAGTCCAAATCGGCGCCGTGATGCGCGGCGTCGGGGTAGGAACCATCCTCGCGTCGAACTCCCCGCTTTTCAAGGAGGGCGACGTCGTGCAGGCGCCCAGCGGCTGGCGGGAGCTCGCGGTGCTCAAGGATCGGGACGTCGAGCGGATCTCCCTGACGCCTGGCGCGCGCATGACGGATTACATCGGCGTGCTGGGGATGCCCGGGCTGACGGCGTACTTCGGGCTGCTGGAGGTCGGGCGGGTGAAGGCGGGGGACTTCGTGGTGGTCAGCGGCGCGGCGGGCGCGACAGGGAGTGTGGTGGGCCAGATCGCGAAGGTCAAGGGCGCGCGGGTGTTGGGGATCGCGGGGTCCGAGGAGAAGTGTCGGTGGTTGGTGGAGGAGTTGGGGTTTGATGCGGCGTTGAATTATAAGGAGAAAGATTTTGCGAAGAAGTTTCGGGGGGCGACGAAGGGGTTGATTGATGTGTTCTTTGATAATGTTGGGGGGGAGGTTTTGGATTTGGCGTTGGGGCGGGCGAAGGAATTTGCGCGGTTTGTTATGGTGAGTGGCTTTTATTTCATTTTATATCTCTCTTGTGGTGCTGATGTGTGACAACAGTGCGGCGGCATCTCGCAATACAACACCAAGAACGCCCAAGGCCCAAAGAACTACCTCATGATCGTGACGATGAGGATCCGGATGGAAGGGTTTGTCGTTTTCGACTATGCGAAGGACTATGCCAAGGCGCAGAAGGAGTTGGCGCAGTGGTTGAGTGAGGGGAAGATCAAGAGGCAGGAGACGATTATGAAGGGTGGGATTGAGAAGATGCCGGAGGCGTTGCAGGCACTGTATGCTGGTGCTAATACTGGTGAGTGTTATCCGTACTTTCATGGCTGCGGTCGATACTGATGATGTACAGGCAAGTTGATGGTCGAGGTTACGCCGCCTAGCAAGCAGCTGCAGGCGAAGTTGTAGATGCATGTAGAGCACAGTTCAATGTATAAAGTGAATCGAACCTCGGACGGCTTCCGCCCAGTCATGCATTTCTGGCTGAATCTAATATCACAGTCCCAGTATAACTACAGTCCGCGAATGTGCCATGCCATCGCGTTTCACACGCGTTCATCCATCTAGTCCAAGTCCGCCGTAACGTTGGAGAACTCGCCCTTGTTGAGCTTGGTATCCCAGAACACCCCGTTCGTATCCGTGAAGCCATGCTTGACCCATCCGTCCTCCTTCACGTGGTACAGGTTGATGAAACCACCCGAGAAGGCATCTCTGTGCGTGGCAGCCAAGATACTCCGTCGTCCCAACTCGAGCGCATCCTCATCTGACAGGTCGTAGCTGTACTGCGCGTCCAGCACACCGTATGCGAAGGTCTGACCGGATCCGACACAGAAGAGGTTGCCTGATAGTCGAGTGCCGTCGCTGTCGATGTAGTACAGAGCTGGGCCCTCTGATGGAGTCACGCCTGCGCACATGGTGCCCATGCTGAGACCCATGCCCTTGTAGCTGTAGACCAGGTTGGCGAGGATCTTGGACGCTGCGCAGACGGTGATGCGGCGCTTGTGGCGGAGTTCGTGGAGACGACATTGCATGCCGAGGTATGCGAGCCAGTATTGGCAGTCCTAGATATCAATATCCATCAGTTTCGTGTCCCACGCATCACCTCATAGAATAAGTATATCTTACCGCGGCACCACCAGCCATCGTGCCCAACAAGCAGCTATTGATCTCAATGACCTTCTTGACCGTCTGACTCGCAATCCAGTTTCCTGCCGTTGCTCTTGAATCCGTCGCCACGATGATGCCCCCCTTGAAGCGGAAGGCCAGAGTGGTGGTTCCGTGGGCGATCTTGATGGGGCAGTTGGGGTTGGAGTTGTCGTCGGTCATGGCGCGCAGCCATTGTTGTGATGAGGCGATGGGCGGGAGGGCGAATTTGAGGGAGAGCGGCGGTTGGATGTCGGCGGTGACTTGTTGCTGGTCCTCGTCGGCGAAGGCCTCCTGGTGCGCTGGGCCGCTGTACTTGGCGACCAGCGCGTCCATCTTGACAGCTTGTCTCGTGTGTGTCGGTATCAAGGGTCGAAGTATTCGGTGATGGGATTGAGGGCAGTCGTGATGTGGATGGGCGATGGTGTGTGGGTAGTGTTTGTTGTGGAAGCTGGAGGTCGACGTCGATGAGCTCCAGCTCGCAAGGCGACGACCACTTGCGTATGATGGTCCGAGCGCCTTGAACCTTCACCAACACGATCTCACGTGCCGCATCCTTCAGCTTCAACCAACACACAATCCTCAGAAGTTGTTACTTTGATTGAACTTTCTGCCATTCAATCTCCACTGCGATGATACAGTCTTCGCAATTGTTATGGCTGAAGACTGGCGTAAAGGCGTCAGCTTCTCCGAACGCCTGAGCCAGACATCCAAGATGTGAGTGAGTACTGACATATTCAGAAACAACGTGCAGTACTGATATCAGGTAGAGCTGCTGCGTATAAGAGTGCAAACGCAGGCTGTCCATCGCCTGAAGCCTCCAGCTATGCAAAGTCCTCCGAAGATACCGCCCGCAAGGATGCTCTATCACTGGTACGCAATTCGGAGAGCCCCTTGGACGATGAATGCTGAAAGATGAAAGAAAGAATACCACGAACTATGTGCGAAGACGGTCCAACTGCTTCTCTCCCAAGCCGAGTCAAGAAGCCCACCGCCAGCAGAAGACCAGCATATAGACGAACACGTTTTCCCAAATCTCCCCAACACCGGGGCTCGCATCGGCAAGTACACCAACGCGGAGCATTTCAGAGATGGTCTATTCTCAGAGATCTTCCGCGCCGCAGACCCGGACTCTACATCCGATAACGGCAAATCCAAGGTCGTGGCGTTAAAGATCACGACTCCAGACATGGAGCAACCGCCTCACAACTCGAAGAGAGAGGCACGAATTCTCCAAGCAGCGAAGGGCGAGCACATCGTTCCACTAATTGAGACATTCCAACAAGCCGGTGGTCATCTCGTCTTGGCATTCCCCTACTTCCCCTACGACCTGAACAGACTTCTCCACGAGCAAAAGCTCACGCCTTCCTCCTGCCGCTCCATCCTCCGTGATATCTTCTCAGGCCTCGCACACTTACACACTCTGGGACTCATCCACCGAGACATCAAACCCTCCAACATCCTCCTCTCCTCAATCTCAGGACCAGCATGCCTCGCCGACTTCGGCATCGCCTGGTCCCCCACAGACCCTTCATCCGAGCCCGCCGACGAGAAGATCCTCGATGTAGGAACTACATCCTATAGACCCCCTGAACTCCTCTTCGGAAAGCAGTCATACGGCGCGAAACTAGATATGTGGGCCGCAGGCTGCGTAGCCGCGCAAGTCGTCTGTCTAAACGGCGAAACACTCTTCGACGCAGGCGATCTGGGCAGCGAGTTGGCTTTGATCAAGAGTCTATTCCAAACGTTGGGTACGCCTGATCTGGAAGTGTGGCCTGAAGCTGAGCATTTACCGGATTGGGGCAAAATGAACTTCACGAAGTATCCTGCCAAGACGTGGGAGGAGATTCTGCCAGATGCAGATGAGAGCGCGAGGGAGTTGGTGGGAGCTCTCGTAGTCTATGAGAGCGCATGGCGACTGAGCGCGGAGGATGTAGGTGGCACGCGAGAATCTGTGGTGAGGAGTGGCGCTGACATCGTAGCAGGTTTTAAAACATCCGTTTATTCAGTAAGTCATATCTATTGTATGACGGTAATCTGTGCCGTGAGTATATCTCTGTGCGCCGACTCCACAAGATCATCAAACACGGCTATTGTACAAACTTCATGTGCTCCGTCTTCGCATCAAGATCAATCAGCCATCCCCGTCCGCAGCAATCCCATTCGCATTATCCCCATTCTCATCATTCCCATTCGCAGCATCACCATTCGCATTGTTCCTATTCCCATTCGCATCATCCCCATTCGCAAAACTCACGCGCGCAGACTTCATCTCAACATCATCATCCATCCCCATCGTCGCACTCCTCACTCGTGGTCCGACATGCACATCTCGTGGTGAGGGTCCTGCTCATTGTGCTTGTGCAGGTCCATCCACTTGCCACTGCGCAGCTGAACCGCATAGCGCGTCTCGTCATCAGAGTCAGAACCAGACTCGGACTCGTAGCCGGTGCAGTACTTAGCGTAGCGGTCGACATTTTCGTCCACGTCTTCGTCGGAGGATTCAGGCTCTTCGTCGTCGGTGAACTCGGCCTCTGGCTCTGAGTCGCTGTCTGAGTCGATTTCGTCTTCTGAATTGTAGACGACGATGGACTTGCGGATGGGTTTGGTGGCGACGACGGACTTGCAGATGGGCTTGGCGACGACGACCTCATCATCCTCTGAATCGTAAACGACGCGAGACATGCGGCCGCGCTTAGCGACGACGACCTCATCATCATCAGACTCTTCGCGGTCGGTGTAGTCAGCATCCTCAGCCTCGCCATCCGGTCCGCCATCATCAGTATCATCCTCATCATCCGCCTTCTCCTCTCCATCGGTAGCGACCTCATCCTCATCCTCATCAAGATCGCTGTCGACATCGCTCATCTCCTCATCATCATCAGCCTGCGCGGCGATGATCTTGCGCTGCTGGAATTTTTTCCAAGCCTTCTTAATGCTCGGCCACTCGGCGTCGTACGCCTTTCTCTTCTCCTGGTTCTTGAGCGTGGCGTATGCCTCGTCGATGGAAACCATAGCCAGGACGCCCACGCCAGCCTGCAGGCCGGGTCTTCGCCAGACGCGCACCAACTTGCGGTAGCAGCGCTGGATTTCGATGCCGGTGGCGCTGGGCTTGGTGCCCAGGATGGCGTAGTAGTCGGGGATGGAAGGCTGCTGAGCCATGGTGGCGGACTGTCTTGTTGAGTGGTTGGTGGGAGCTGTATGTGTGTTTGTCGAAGCTGGTGTCAGATGTGTGTATGTATACGTTTGGGAGAGAGAGGGAGAGAGCAAGCGCAGAGCGCAGCCAAAACGCGAGTATATATGTGTGCGCTCTTGGCGACGCCAGGCGTGTTCAACTCATATGCTGACCGAGGACACATATGACTGGTGCAGAGACCCTGAAGACAGGCTGTGGCCAGCGGCTTTGCGAAGCTGACATGTGAACCCGAGAGTTTGGGAATTTTTGAGCGGTTCAGGTACTTGTAACAAACTTGCTGTTACCAGATTTGTTGAATGTAATTCGCTGGTGTGTGAGTGGGCGATGGGAGGCGTTGGTTGGCACGCAGGCACTTTCCTTCCCTTGGTGGTGTCGTAAAGGGCAGGGGCAGTCGCGCTGGCGTTGGCGATGGCGATGACTTCCTCCTGCTGCCGCACCGCTTCAAGACCATCACGTCTACACAATCAGCACGCTTCACGGTACATGTAACTGGCACTGAAAAATTTCGAGGACACTGCTACAGGAAAAGAAACCCCTGGGATTGAATATTCATCTGAGTGGATCCGCCTCCACATCCCCAAACCATGGTCCTGGGCAAAGTCTCCACCTAAACCAAACAAACAAAAAAGCAACAACGCCAGCACGGCACTGCGATGCATTACATCCTTCCCGGCTCTTTTCACCCATAAAGGCTAGAACCAGACATGTCCGCCACCCAGCTCAGTGCTGCTTAACGACATGATCCTCCTTAACATCCAAAACACAGGTCTTGTGCTCCGGATCCTGGGCCTCATGTTCCTCCTCCTTGACGAAGTCGCCGCTCTTGAGCAAGATTACATAGATGTCGCCTTCTTCCTCTAGGTCGCCATAGTCGCATTTTCCGTCGGGGACGCTGTCCACAATCTCAGCATCGGAGTCGTCGACGTAGTCTGAGTCGTCGGAGTCGTCTGCGTAGTAATCAATCGCCTGCTCCGCAACGCTCTCCTCCGCGCCAATGACGGCTAGCTCGTTGTTCTCATCCTGTTCGGAGTCAGCGTTTAGAGATCTTGAGAGAGGTGGTGGCTACAAATACCTTTCTGAACCATAGGCCCTCAGCGGCGCGCTTCTTGGGTGCAGGTGGAGGCTCTGGACTGTTGGCTTCCTTGGCCTTGAAGTCCTTCGTGTTCGTGGCGTTCTTGGTTTTGACTGGAGTCTTAGGCGTGTCGTCGCTTCGGTGCTGCTGCGCTTTCGCTTGGGTGCCATGTTGTCGAATGGGCACTGCTGTGATCCGGCAACTGTTTGATTTCGGTCGGTTGCAGCGATACAACTCTCTCAATGTCTGTATATCCGCAGAAGAGAAAGCCATCTGGACAGCAGATGTAGGCAGCTATCCAAAACCTCACCTCGCTCCACTTCACTCATTCTTGCTATTGTAGTCGCCCGCCAAACGGCCGTCTTGGCAGGAGGTGAGGTTTTGCTTCACTCGTGGCGGACATGTCAGCTCCAGAGGCCAACCTTGGCGGAAGATGTGTGCACATGGTTGGTGTTGTGTGATCGCAAAGGCATAGAAGAGGTCGAATTTCTGTAGAGTAGCCTTGAGTACTGCAGAGTATCGTAGAGTACTGCAGAGTATTGTAGACTGCCGCAGCATGGGATAGCATCTGAAGGAATTGAAGTTAGCTGAGAGTCGTGCTGATGCCAACACATGAGGGGCATACCTTCTCTCACCCCTCGATTCATTCGCAAGGTTGCCGCGGTGGGTTGTCCTTTCTGATGGTTTGGAGTGAGCGAAGGTTCTATTCAAGGTGCTACGGTTTGATTGTTTTTGAATATTTTGGCTCATGTGAGGGCCCGACGAGTTTAGACATCGCGCTCACTGTTAGGCGATTCGTGACGCGATTCGTGATGCGGTTCGCGAGAAGGTCGGTGTTCAGGGGAATGGGGATTATGTGGTTTTCTTTCTCATTTTCGTCCATATGTCGGTGCCGCTCTACGGAAACAATCTTCGACGAATTGTCTCTTCTCTGGTCTTATGTGGACCCCTGGCTGTGAAGTCCAATCTTCAGCTTTGTCGGAGTACCTGGCATGAGATCAGCAAAAATCTTTGCAATGGTAACCCGAATTTTGATTCACCATGTCGCCAACCTCCCGCAATCACCACCGCAACTTCTTCAGTCTCGTTGGGCTGAACCCCTTCCCGTCCAACCCTCACTCCACGAAGGAAGCTGATCCCATCTCCGGCTTAGACTTCACATCCTCCCTCACAAACCCCTCCCCCACCATCTCACTCGGCACGACATGGAACTCCATGAACACATTCCCCAACGTCTGTCCCACAAGCACCGACGTAGCCTCAAGCAGCCCCTCAAGCGCCTCCTCAGACGTCGTGCATGGAGGGCCCTTCATGACTGCCGTAGTTGCGGCCGCGGTGTCGATGACCCACGCTGTCTTGCGGCCGCTCTTGTCGGCGGTGATGATCTCGAAGTCTTGGTGTTGGGTCGGGAAGCAGGTCTTGAGGTTGGCGAAGATCTGTTCGCGGAGGCCGGAGGCGCTTGTGGTTTTGATGGTTGGGGTCATGGTTGCCGCTGGTGTGGATGCTGTTGTGTTTTGTTGATCTGTGGATGGTGTTGTTGTTGCTTGTAGGAAGGTCGCTCTTAAGTAGAGACTAGACTGTGCCTGACATGTGAGTGCTTGCATGTGTCAATGTTTGTTATGCGGGCGAAAGGAAGGCTCTCAGCAGCACATATGAGCGGTTACATGTGAAGAAGGAAACGGACCTTTAACCTATTCATGGAGCAGCGGCTGCCAAGTTCTTTAAGATCGTGATCCAACACTTACATCTCCCATCTAGGTCCCTCATGCCTTCTTCTCACTTCCCTCCTCCTCAGGCTTCACCTGCTCCCCTTCAACAAAAGCCATCTCCTGCGCACTCCAAAGCTCAGTATAGATTCCATCACTGTCAATCAACTTCTCATGCGTCCCCTGCTCAGCCACATGCCCATCCTTGAGCACAATGATCAGATCCGAATCATAGATCGTCCTCAATCGATGCGCGATGAATACGCTCGTGCGGGCCTTCTCTTTCAATATACTGTTGATGTTATGTAAGAGTGTCTGCTCAGTATGAGTATCCAACGCACTCGTCGCCTCGTCAAAGAAAAGAAGAGGCGGGTCTTTCAGGATGAGACGGGAGACAGCAAGGCGCTGCTTCTCACCCCCAGAGATCATCATGCCGCGCTCGCCGACCATGGTCTTGTAGCCGTCGGGCAGGCCCTCGATGATTTCGTGGATTCGCGCGCGTTTGGCTGCGGCGATGACTTGGTTTTGGGAGGAGTCGATCATGCCGTAGCGGATGTTGTGTTCGATGGTGTCGTTGAATAGGGGTGTGTCTTGTGGCACTACGCCGATGCTCTTGCGGAGGGATTCGAGACTGATTTCACGGATGTCCTGACCATCGATGGTGATGCGTCCGCTCTCGACATCGTAAAACCTGAAGAGGAGTCGGAGGATCGTTGATTTGCCACATCCACTTGGCCCGACTATGGCGACCTTCTTGCCGGCTGGGATGGTGAGGTTGAGGTTTTGGAGAATCGGCCGATCAGGCCGGTAGCCAAAGCTCACGTTCTCGAATTTGATTTCACCGCCCTTGTTCAGGATGAGATCTTTGGCGTTCGGTGGCTCCTTGATCTGGACGTTGACCTTTTGCAGGTTGAACAATGTCTCCATATCCAGCAGACTCTGTCTCAACTCGCGATACACGCTACCGAGGAAGTTGAGTGGGACAGACAGTTGGAAGACCAGCTGATTGATCATGACCAAGTCGCCAACTGTCAACTCTCCTGAAGCAACACCCTGGGCTCCCATGTACATCATGGCTGTCAGCGCGCTGGAGAAGATCAGATTCTGGCCGGTGTTCAAATATGCCAGTGATGTGGCGACTTTGATACTGGCATCTTCGTAGTTTTTCAGAGCACCATCGTATCGTTTCGCCTCGTAAGCTTCGTTGTTGAAGTACTTGACGGCTTCGTAGTTGATCAGACTGTCCACTGCCACTGTCGCGCCTTTGTTGTCGGCTGCGTTAGCTTGCTTTCGGAACTTCGTCCTCCAAGCTGTCGTTGCAATGGTGAACCAGGAGTACGCCGCCATGGTACCGACAGTCAATACTGCGAACTTCCAGCCAAATTGGTAAGTCAAAATACCGCAGACCAAGTTGATCTCCAGGGCTGTGGGAATGATGTGGAAGACCATGCTTGTCAGTAGGAAGCTGATGCCTTTGGTACCTCTGTCGATAGCTCGTGTGAGACCACCTGTCTGCCGAGAGAGGTGGAAGTTAAGATCCAGTTTGAGAAGGTGATGGAAGACGTTGCCAGCAACTTTGCGAATAGCGCTCTGTGACACGCTGGCGAAGATGGCGTTTCGAAACTCTTGGAACACGGCCGAGCCTATCCTCGTGGCTCCGTCTGCCACGTCGTTACCATCCGATGTCATCGTATGAATGGATCTTGCGACTTACATGCGAATATGGCAGCGCCAGCTACACTGGCTGCCGTCCCGCCAACGACTGCGAAATCTATGTTCATCGAATCGACAATGCTTTTGAAGTAGAAGGGTACTTGTACATTGAGGACCTACATACTCTATCAACACCGGACGGCCACGAGAATTAGAGAAAGAGCCAACCTTTGCGCCTATGAGCAAACCGACACTCAGCCCGACGCGAAATTTGGTATTGAAGTCGTTCTTGGGCCACAGATAGTGGGACATGTCCTTGATAATGGCCCAGTCCGCTTTCCTCTGCTCCTTGTTCGAGACCGTCTGCTCAGCAAGCAACGGATCATTCTTCGTCTGTGGCTTCGCAGCATCCTTGTTCTTGACCACAGTCTCAGGCCCGACTTTCTCTTCAGCCGGCTGCTTCGTCTCCTCCTCTTGCTTCTGGACAGTCCTTGCCCTCGCATCATCCTTTCTGTGTCGAGGGGTCGTTGCAAAGATACGGCTCGTATGCCATGATGACTGAATCTGAATCGCAAGTCCAGGCCTTGAAGTTGGCGCACGATGTTGTAGCAAGCATGGTCGAACTGCTGCCCTCAGGCAGGTTCTGCTCGCTAACATCTCGCCTTCTCCGTGTCTCGGCCAGCGCTATCGTCCGTTCTGTGGCATTCAATGAGAGTAGGTGCCCGGGCAGTCCAGCAATGTCCAGCTTCCCCTTTTCCACGGCTGCCCATCAATGTTGCGCAGAGGTGAAGTTGACTCCATCGAAAGGCGGGAGCACGCGATCGTCCTCGGCGCTCGTCACCGAATGCGGCCTCAGGCATCACAAGCTGATCGACTTCACCTCTCTCGTCCGGCTTTGGCATCTCACGATACGCACTATTCTTGGCCTGTTCGAATCTTTCACTGGCGTAGCACCATGAGAGCCTTGGAATGTGTCTCACAGGCTCAAAAAACACCATGCCTATTAGTCAACGAAGCGAAGCAGGAAGTCCGTCCACCTGGTCGGGAGACTGACGTTGAAGACAAAACCTGGCCACGACCGCCATCGTGCTGAAAGAGCGGTGGCACAGTCTTCGATCCGTTGCTTGAGGATCCGCAAACCAAGGTGCGCAATCCAACCAATGTTTCAACGTGTGAGCGGTCAATCGCGCAGAATGCTCCCAGGACCTCGAATCGGAGGGCGGAGCCTGCTTCGGACAACACACGTCCCTTCGATTGAACACAGCGTCATAAGGCTCTCCTTGATAAAAGAGGACGTAGAGATTGATTGATGTTCATACTGACCTTCCACACTTCTGTTTGATTTCATTAACATATTCCCATACCGCCAATATGTCTCTCAAAGTCAGCAACCACAGCAAAGGCCACCCCGCCCCAGACTCCAACAAACCCGTGGAAATCGCCGTCATAGGCGGTGGAATCGCAGGTCTGATCCTAGCAATCGGCCTCCAGAAATACTCCTACATCAACGTCTCAGTCTACGAATCCGCCCACAGATTCGGTGAAGTCGGCGCAGGCGTCGTCCTTGGCCCAAACGCCCAACGAGCCATGCAGCTCATCGACCCGGAAATTCTGGAAGGCTACAATCGACGAGCCGGCTTCGATGATGGCGTACAGGACGAACATGGACTCTTCCCGTGGACAACGGTGTACAAAGGGCAGGAGCCCGACCTTGATGAGTTTGTGATCCAGTTCAAGCACAAGACTCGTGGATCGACGGTTCACCGAGCCCATTTCGTGGATGAGCTTGTTAAGTTGCTGGAGCATGGAAGGGCGCATCTCGGCAAGAGGCTGGATCATGTCTATGAGACTGATGCTCCGGAAGCTCCCATCACTCTGCACTTCACGGATGGATCTACCGCATCCGCGGATATCGTCGTCGGAGCAGACGGCGTCCACTCCGTCGTTCGAAAGCACGTCCTTCCGCACGATCCTACGAATTCAGCTTTCTTCACAGGAACCTGCCAGTACCGCGCCACGATTCCCATGGAAAAAGCCGAAGCCTCACTGGGCAAGCTCGACCAGAAAGTCGCCCAACTGGTCGGCGAGAATGGAACGGTCTTCGGCATTCCCTTGTCCAATCGCACGATCTACTACATCGCCGTCACAGTCTTCGATCAGAAAGCACCCTGGAACAAAGACAAGTGGGTGGCCGATGCCAACATCGACGACGTCAAGGGCTACTTCGCCGACTGGGACGATCACGCCCGCAAGACCGTCGAGTTGCTTCCAACCGACGGTTCAACAATGGCTTGGTCGGTATGGGAGATGCCGCCCGCATCCACGTACTACAAAGGTCGAGTGGCCATCATCGGAGACGCCGCCCACGCCTCGACGGCCTTCCAAGGCGCCGGTGCAGGCCAAGGCGTGGAAGACGCCCTAATCCTCGAGAAACTCCTAGGCAAATACCTCGACCCCGCCCAGCGCTGCAAGTCCATGCCGACAGCCATCCAGGCCGCACCGCACATCCTGCATGTCTACGACACCGTGCGACGCTTCCGCAGTCAGAAAGTCGTCACTACGAGCCGTGAGACTGGTCGGATCATCACTTGTCTCGAGCCGGAGATCGGGAATACTGCGGAAGCTCTTCGAAATGCGCTGAAGGGCCGACAGGAATGGATTTGGGATTTCGATCAGGAGAGGTCGGTGAAGGATGCTTTTCAGCTGTTTGATGAGATTAAGGATGCTGGGGAGAGGCAGCTCATGTAATCGTAATGCAGTCATTATCGAACAGACTAGAGTAGAGCCATCTAAAGTCGCTGAATCAAACACGACCCGCCGGCTGCTCCCACTGCCCCGTTCCCCACCGAATCTCCTTCACCGCACCAACCTCGTCCCTCACACACATCGCCCTGCAATCGTTACCCCCCGGCCCAATCCACAACTCCTCCAACCCCTTACACTTCCCAAACACCGCCTCCGCCACCAGCCCACTCAACCTCTCCTTATCCTCCCGCAATCTCTGCCTAGCCTGCAACCCATGCGGCCCCCGAAACGCATTCCCACACCTCGGCGCCGAGTACCCAACATTCAAATACCCGATATGATCCAGCGCCAGACACCGCAGGTCCGCGAAAGCCGCCAGCGTCGGGATGAAGTCAAAGATCGGGCGCGAGTACCGCGGGCGACTGCTCTGCATCGCCAGCGTATGAAGACGAGGCGCCGCGGCGTGGATTTCGATGAGGAGTTGGGGCGTCCATTGTGCTTTGCACTCTAGATGCTCGAGCTGATTGAATACCTGCTGGATGGCCTCCACCGGTGAGTCGCGCGTCCCGTTCGGCGCGCGGACGTCTAGGCATGATAGGTTGGGACACTTCGCGACCACCCAGGGCATGCTGCAGGGGATCGCCGCGGTCTTGACATTCTCGAAGCGTACATTCTCTCGCTTCTCGAAGACGGTCTTCAGAACCTCTAAATGCGCATCCGGCACGCTCAACCCGCTCAAATCCAGCCGTTCCAGCTTGGCCATACCCCCCAAAACCGCCAACAAATCCCCGCAAAGCTCCTCGGACGGAGGAGGAACTTGCTCCGCTCCTCCACCATAAAACCCCGTGCCAGCCCCCGTGTGAAAGTCTAGCGTGAACCGCTTGGCATGGCGCAGCGTGGCCGCAGAGGCTTTCATGCGGAGGAGGGTCTCGTGCACGCCGGGCCAGGTCGAGCCGTAGCCGCCGAGTTTGATGTTGCGGTAGATGAGCGGGGCGGCGAGGGCACGGATGCGGTGGCAGCTGGAGGCGAAGAGCTTGAGGGGGCTGGGCTCGGGTGGTGGGTGGTTTGGTCGTATTTGTTTGGGGTTGACTTCGGGGGTGGCGAGGGTTGAGCAGAGCAGGAGGAGGATATCGTTGTTGAGGGAGAGGATGGAGGGTGTTTGTTTTGGAGTTGTGGCTTGGTTCGCTTGGTCGGGTTCGATGGGCGCGGTGTGTGATGGTGTTGTCGGAACTTCTGGCTGTTGTGACTCGAGGTCCACATTGTGGCGGCCGATTTCAGAGAACTTGGACGTGGTCATCGTGTCTCGATTGGCCTCCGGAACAGAATGGTTGGCAGAGTCCGTCCTCGCCGCAGTACTTGATTTACTTTCAGTAGCTGCAGGTGTTTCGTGTGCGGCTCGTGGTCGACGGTCTCGATGCCGAGCTCGAGGACAAAAGAGCTGTTGCTGGACGTCGTGTTCTGATCGGTGTGTGATCGAAAATGGTCGCACCCACTGCTGTTCGTTCTGATCGCAATGCTTTGTTGTTGTTGAGCTGTGCTGTTGCCTTTGTGACTCGAGGGATCGAGTGACGTTCGCCGCAACGGGACTAGCCGCGAACGCTGCATGTGATCACATGCTTAGCTCCACAAAACCCGTGCCTTTTAAGAACGGACTGCGTGGGAAAGAATATCTGATACATGGATCTATGCTCTACATCGCCCAAAACTTCGATCTATAGCTCATCGTGACGGGGCGCTGGTCTCCCACTGTCTTTATGCAGGTCCACACCCTTCTTCTTCCGCCACTTCTCCCACGTCTCCCAGAACTCCTTCTCCATGCCCTTCTCCATCTGGTCGGGTAGAACGACGACGTACTCGATGTGCAGAGCGCCATATTCGGGTCCATCCTCGTGGCGCCAGACAGGCATGCCTTCGCCCTCGACGACTTCCACAGCGCCCGGTTGTACGACTTCGCCGCGTTTGCGAGAGAGCTGAACGACGTGGCCGTCCAGATGGGTGAGGTTCCTCGTCCAGTCGCCCATCCACGCTTCCCGCAGTGACAGCACTTCGCGCCAGAAGAGATTCTGGTCTTTCCGTCTGAAGAATGTGCCATCGGTCTTGTCCTTCTCGTCTGTCGACAGCTCTGGCTCTGACTCGACCAAATGCACCACCAGATCTCCCGCAATCCAATCAGGATTCTCATCTCCCTCGTTCTCGTAGTTGATCCGCACGCCTCTGGGCATTCCCTTCTGAATATCGATGTCGTACGCCTCTTCTTGCCTGACCACCCTCTCACCCTTGCACTTATGGCACTTGTGCTTGATAATGCTGCCCCTTCCACCGCACTGATCGCACTGCATCTGCATCTGCTGGAAAATGCCCGGCGCCAGCATCTGCTTCTGAATAACCATCCCCTGCCCATTACACTTATGACACCGATCTCTTTCTCCATCCTCAGCGCCTGACCCCTCACACGTATCGCAAACCACCTGCTTATTGATCTTAAACTCATGCACCGCACCCGTGTAGAAATCCTTCAACGGGAAAGCCACCTTGACCTCCATATTCGGCCCCTTGCGCTGCCCTCCGCCAAAATGTCCCCCGCCGCCAAAGAACTGGCTGAATAGATCGAAGGGGTTCCGCGCGCCGCCCCCACCCTGTCCTCGCTCTTTGTGCTGCTTGACACCCTCATGGCCGTACTGGTCGTAGATCTTGCGCATCTGCTCGTCGGAGAGGACTTCGAAGGCTTCGGAGATCTCGACGAATCGCTGCGCGGCTTTGTGGTCATCGGGATTCTTGTCGGGGTGGTATTTCTTCGAGAGGCGGCGGTAGGCTTTTTTCAGTTCGCGTTCGGAGGCATCGCGGTCGAGTTCGAGGACCTGGTGATCAAGATTAGAGATTTTCGATGGGATGTGATGCTGTGATCGAGGCGCACTTTGTAGAAGTCCTCTGCCGCAAGCGCGATCAGAGGTAATAGGCACAGCAGTGCCAGAGCGGAAAAGAGAAGCATCGCGAGTCGTTATCGCGTGCCCCGAAGCATGTGAAGGCTGTGTATCTGGAGGGGTCGATAAGGTGGAAGAGAAAAAGAGACTCTACACAATCATCTCGTGGCCGGTCGAAGAGGTTGTCGTGTTCAGGTCGGCGACGGTGGTGTAAGGAGTTGCGAGGGTGAAATGAATCGAGTCTCCATCTTTCATTCTCTCGCCGCATGTGCGAGTGGCCGAAGCTCCTGATGTACCTCCTAGGAACAGCTGGCCGATTCGCTAGCGCTGCAAGGGCAAAGCTTAAAAATGTCAGCCTCGTCTCTTTGACTAACATTTGAACCTCAACATCAACACCATCATCAATATATCAATGTAATGCAAGCGACATGCTGTGTTGCAGGATGGTGGTTGAAGTAGAGTTCAAGACGCGCACTAGTTTCCCCTATCAGGCCATCATGGTGACATTCCTTCTTCGACCAATCGATTCCTTGGACATCTGCTTTCGGATTCAAAAGAAAGCCATTGGTCTGATTTCAATCTGGTTATTGATTTACCGAGACCACAGTCATGCTTTCCTCACAGGTCCAATATTATGAACTTGACCTCCAACTACTGAAACATCACTGCCTCCGTCGAACCAAGAACTGCGCCGTCGGCGGTGGAACGCTACTGATTTTGATATCGATACTCTGCGGTCTAGGTCCTGGAAGCTTGACATCGTAATTCATAACGATGTAAGCTAGCATGAGCTTCATCTCTTGTGATGCGAAGAAGCGGCCTGGACATGCGTCTCTGTCGAAAGCGTCAGCTGAACAAGTGAGACCCTCAGGAGCAAATCAAGAGGTTTCTCACCTTCCATGGCCGAAAGCGATGAAGTTCTCGCCCGTTGTAACGATGGCTTGATTCCTCTTCTCCAGCACTTGGCTCTTCTCGTCCAAGCTGTCCCGCGTCTTCGCAAAGCGAAAGCGTCGAACTCGTCAGGATTGGGATAGTAGACGGGATCGCGGTGGATGGCGACATTGGCGGCGCCTATTCGAACACCCTTCGGCAAGTGAATGCCGTCGCCGAGATCGATGCCATCTTCTTTGACGACCTACGTGATTATCAGCGGGAAACAGCCAAACTAGAGAACCTGCTACTGCTTACCTCCCTCATGACGCCCACCATGGCCAGGCTGGAGAACCTCATCGACTCCTTAATCGTACTGTCGACCCGGACCAGATCACTCACAGCCGCCTTGGTCCATTCCCCGCCGTGCTCCGCGAGAACCCTATAACATTCTTCGCGCAGACCATCGACGAAGTCTTGGGCGCGGGCAGAACCGAACAGATCCAGAAGGGCATTGGTGATTGTGATGCTCGTGGTGTGAATAGCCACCATGTTCAATCGCACCAGTCGGCGACATATCTTGTCGGGGTTGATCTCTGCGGGATCGCCGGTATTGATCGCGTTCTCAATGATCCAGGTTAAGGCATCGGTCTGCAGATACAACAGCTGTGAGCGACAAGTGAACGAGGCCATCCAGCAGCACATACCTCTGGCTCTTTCTCAGAACCGCTTTGTATCCTCTCCAATCTCCGCTTGATCTCGGGGACAGCGGTCTTCTTACATACAGCCAGGTGGCGCCTGTTCAACTGGACCATTGGCGGTGCGAGCAGAGGCCGTAGCCATGAAGGCATGAGATTGATAAGGCCGGCAATGGTGAAGATGCCCTGCGAATACAGCCTGGTGCGTTCCAAGTACTCCTCGTTGCGACCTAGAAGCACGTCAGAAAGAGGGGAGCCCAAATACGCTTTCAACACTCACATAGCTCGACACCAGAAAAGACACGATTCGCAGCCCTGCTAACAATCTTCATACAAGTATCCAGCCCAGTCACAGCAAGCCACTTATCCTTGCCAGCATTCCAATGCTCCTGAAACCCCTGCTCAAGCTCAACATGAATATCCTCCGTGAAGAGCTCCAATTTCCTCGTGAGCTGCTGACGAATGACATCCAAATGAATCCCAGAGCCAGCGATATCCTCATCCCCCGTCCAATACGACGCCACCATCTCCTTGAGCACACCCCTGAGATCGACCTCATCGTCCGGCTTCGCCAAGAGCTCTCGAATCTTGGTGGGAGGTATCAATACCCAGGGTTTTGTGGCGAAAGAAGGAATGGCGAAGAGCTGGTTGTTCTTGGAGAAACTTTCGTAGCCTTCGAAAAGGAAGTCGCGGGTGCCCGTGATGGAGGCCATGCCGGCGCGGTATTTGGCGAACCACTTTGCTTTGAGGCCGATCCATGGTTGTGAGCGGAGGTATTTCGATTGGGCGGATAGTGAGGCGACGAAGGCATATAGGATCGAATAGGCGATGTACAGGCCTGCGAATATGGCAAGTGCAGAGCCAGTAGAAAGGTGAGTGGCACCGAAGAGCTCCATCCTGTCCGTGTCGATGTTGTCAGAGGTTGTAGGATAGTCGAGCGACGAGGGACGTCGACTGAACTCTTAAAGGCGTCGAAGTAAGCCGTCCAGCATTGTACATGGAAAGAGCCTCCGCACACAAGCTCCAGTCCGGAAAGAGCACAACCCACGAGACAAACGAGACCCACCATACCACCCTGGCCGTGGTCAGCACATGGCATTGGTGCACGGTTCGGGATTTTGGTTGGCCGGGACATCTTCATGCGGTCGACATGGGTAAGCTTTCATTTTGCCGACTCCCACAACTCTGTCAGTGAAGGTTCGCCGTGAAGTAGCCCAATCCTACACACAGAACGAGTGAGGGCTGGCGAGGCAAATACAAGAGGCTCATCCTACAGCAGCAGTAAGTACCTGCCCTAACACATCGACTGGGGCTGAAGAGGATTGCACGTTGCTCCCAGGGCTAATTAATCGCACGTGGTCTGCTGAGACAAGTACATGTAGTCATTCAATATCGATACAAGCGTGCCATTATCATCTCATAAAAGCACATCAACCTGCTCCCTGAGCGATATCGTTCTAGTCGTTACAAAGCAGTCTATCGGATTCGGTTTCGTATCCTGCGATCCCTATGCGAGGCTCTCGGTGGATGAGGACGGTGATGATGCGTCCAGCACATGCCTCACAATGTTCTCGTTAGGAGGACTCTGCGATGCTGCAAATCAATGTTAGGAGACTCCTCTATCGATCATTGCCGATGCACCTCCGTCACATGCTCCATGAACCCACGATAAGGAAAACGCGACTCACCAGCAGCGCCGCCCTTGGGGCGACGACATTTCTTCTGCAACTTCTTCGTCTGGACTCGATCTTGTTGTGCGAGTTGGCTAGTGGGTGTGATGGGGTTGTAGAAGTGCGTTTCGGCCAAGATGAATTTGACGTGGGTTGGTGGTGTTGACATTGGTTTGTTGATGATAAGAAAGAAGGAGAGGGATGAGTGTCGTGTGAGGCTCGAGATGACTGGACTGGACTGGGCCTCCGGCTTCGCCTCACTGCTTCTCGGGCATTCCGCGGAAACGGCGGACTTTGATGGCTGGAACACCGAAGGCCACCAAGGGATGCGCATGGCGTCAATGCTGGGGAACATTGTACGATACATACAACACAACACAATACTACGGACATATCATGTGCAATTCGCAGGACCGGTGACGAATGTAGTAACTGTTCAAGATGCTTACCAGTACATCGCTTTCGGCCGTAATGTTTTTCAGGGACATCCTGATGAAGTCTCCACCGGAAGGCCGGCGGTTTGGGCATCCTGGTGATGAATGAAGAGAGATACGAAGTACAGGCAACAAGATCGCGTGAGGTGGCCGCATGGAACGTCAATCTCATATCGACATTCTCGTCGCGGCTTCCAAAGCGATTTACTCCTGCGAAGCTTGCAGAGCGTGGTAAGGGACTGTTCGTTTGATAGAGTGACCATTCAGGCATATGGGTGTACATCCGCCGTCAGGCACGCAAGCCCGTCTCTTTTATGTGAATGCAGCATACCCGCCGGAAATTCTCATTTCGACCATCACTTCCACTGAACAACAGCCATATTCTGAAAACTCGTGCAGCTGATCCAAGAGACCAATGTCTTCGCCGAGCTCAGACCATAGTAGTCCCAATGCATTTGGATGAAGTCCACGAATGGGTACTTCTTCGTGTTATTGCCATAGCTGCAGGCCGAGTCGAGTGTTGGGGTGAAGAGCGTAACTGGAGCAGAGTATGGGCTGCAGAGCGGTGCGTTAGTATGTAGTGCTTCGGGACTTGAGGCGAAGGTAAACACACCCTGTGATGGCTCCTGTGGTCGAGTACATAACCTCTTGCGAATAGCCTGGAGCGCCCTGGAAGGTGATCACGTAGGTCTGGAAGCGGTCGACCCAACGGATGTCTTGTCCCCATACGCCGAGCTAGGAGAATGAGTTAGCTGAGGAGCCGTGCTAGAGAGTAGGTTCGAACTTACACCTGGGCGGGACACGTTCGCTAAATTGCCATAGGCATCGTTATTGTATCTCAAAGGAGCATTTCGAACCCAACCTGCAGAGCCATGCCAGTAATCGAATGTTGTCTTGTCGGCTCGAGAAGCCCATGGAGCACGAGCCAGCTTCCAGCCCGTCGAGTCGCCTTCCCAGAGGTAGAAGTATGTGTTAGCCTCATTGCCACGACCACTCGTCAAAGCAGCGCTGCCATATCCCGCCTGACTCTTGGTGATATTGAACAGGACAGGGGCCGTACGAACAGCAGGGACTTGCTGCTTGAGCACATCATTCAGGTAATCTGCGTTGACAGGGAAGTTCATCTCGAACATAGTGTTATAAGTGTAAGCACCCTCATTGGGGTGGACAGGCCAGACATTCAGAAGGCCAGTATCGTTGCCTGGAATAGGGATTGGAGCAACGTGTGGTGCTGGTGCGAAACAAGTCGGATTATCGCATTCGACATCGGCGGACGGGATCCATCCAATGAGTCCTGCACCACCATCGCCATGCCAGAAGTCTGGCTGGTTTGGCAGATGGTTAGGACCGATGTCGTTATAGTCACCGATGACGATCAAGTTGGATGGGTTGTTAGCATCGATCGCTGCATATCCAGTGTGCGCTGATGGAAAGTAGCAGTCCGAGTCAAGAGCATCTGCGCAAATCAGTATGTGCCCGACTGTTGGTTCGATCTTCTTGTACTGGTGTAGCACTTGGACCCATCCGAGATGGAGAAGAGAGACTGGTTCCATTTCTGGACGTAGCCACCAGCGCCTGTATCAGAGATGAAGTTGCCAAAGCGGGTGTCGGTGGCACGAGGGAGGATGGTCGAGAGCGTGCCAGAGGGTGGTGTAACAGACAGTGCTCGGTAGGTAAAGAGAAGAGCTATGGTGAGAGAAGTCTCCATGATCGGAGCCATTCTGAAGGAGAGGTTGAGCTTGATGCTTGAAGTGTGAAGATTTGGGTCTACTGGTGCTCGTCCCTACCTGAGATGGACAACCTGATATTTATACGACGTTGACTCCCTGATGGGTTCGCAAAGACTGGTCACACCCCCTCAATCGTTCACTCTCTGCCGTTTCATACCTCTCGTGGCTGTAAAGTCAGTATTGCGGTATGTGGTCCATCTCGGGTGGTGTTGGTCCTCGTATACCAATTTAGGCGTGCTGAACAAGTAGGCCTTGTGTACACTGAAGGGCCGCCTCGTAAGCTTTGTGGACAGCGCGTCCAGCAGATCTCTGGTTGGCGTTCGCGCTGCAGGTGGTCCTGTACCTACTCTGATAGTAGCCGTCTACGGACACATGGACGAGTGTGCATCGCACTATTCAAGTCGGCCCTGCGGAAGCCTCTTGTAAAGTCATTGTGGCTCCTTCAAAAGTCATATAGCGCAGCTTCGGCTCCACGTGCGGTCGATGAGTAGCTTCACTTCGCACTTGAAGGTGTAAACAAGTTGCCGGACTGGCTTCGTATGGGAGTCCATTTTGGCGATGATCTTCCACGACGACTCGCCCGGCGACGGTATCGTAAGGACCGACGGAATGGAGGTATGCAGTCCAGCTTCAATCAAGGGAGCCTCCTAGAAGTCTTGAGAGGCTCTGTAGCTGTACCGAAACCGCCTCGGTAACTGCGAAAGTCGGCCGCCTGTCCTTGGGCTGTAGTGACACTTGTACAACAACAGAAGTCATGCGCGACAACGCATGAAGACACTGCATCGCCTTGTAGCATTGCCAGCACGTGCATAAACCAGCTTCCCAATGCAGAGGTAGGTTTGACATCTCCAGTTCCGGAGCGGGATGTTGCATCAGAAGCCGTGTGGGTCTGCTGTCATCGTGGTCTTTTCCCCAACAGTCGGGCATAAGTGGTATGTGGACAACTCCACGGCATGATTGCCAAGAGTGCGGTGATACTCTCTATGCTTTGTCTGCTTGAGGCTGGTGACTGCTTGTTCATCTCATGTTTGATGTTCTTCAACCAGAGGTTGCAGGTCCGGACGGAAGGTAGAAAATCATGTCGGCCCCTCAGGTATGCCGGACTATGGACCGCATAAGGGGGATCATGTGCGCCATGGTATAGGCACAGTTTTCATCAAGGATCTCCTCGCCTTCATCGGACGTGCAGCACTCACAAGACACTGCCGTACAAGCGAAGTCGATCCTTGGCTCAATGTTGTGTTCGGAGGCTATCTTGGCTCCATTTGAGGGTGACAGCATCCCGCCGCCTGCGATGGAGTCAACACGAACGCAAAGGGGTGGAGATGGGCGTCTAATAGACGAGATTGTCCTGCCAACAACAGGAGAAGACGTCTGTTGACTCGACGTCTAATTTTAACCAGATCCTGCCCCCGGACCATGACGGTTTCACATGCCCCGCGGGGAAGGAATTGTGGGGAAGACGGGTCGTTGTCAGGAGAACAGAGATGACGTTGGCCAATAACGGCGGCACTCAAAGGCTCCAATTCCATGCACGCTGCAGTGTGAAACCTATTCAACACCTGGATCGCCTGTAGTGTGTCGTTGAAAACACAACCAGGGAAAGCGTCGACGGTGCTCCCAATTTCCCGTGCACAGCGTTGTGCCCTCCCCTCCCTTGCGGGCGACATCAAAATGGACCAGTTGCTCACGAGGGTTCTCGCGCTGGGGCAAGTCCCTCTTGCGCCGACGGTAGCGTTTTCGTTGTCTTTGACAGAGAGATGAGAGGCATTCTTATCCTTGTTCAGGCACTATCCGCCTTCGAGTCGGCGTCAGCATTGGCCACAGGGACTACTACACCAGCCTCGACGGTCGATACAGCCGCCGCTACGTGCCAGACGGACCGTCCGGATCCATATGTCTGCGAATGTTTAGGACTTAATGGCTGCTGGGCGCCTTCAGAGCCTGGCAATGGCGGACCCTATACGCATGACGGAAACTGGCCCAAGCGATCGAAGACTTGTAAAGTCAAGCCGTGTGGCGATCCTAACGGAGACGATGCACCGGCTATCCTCGAGGCCTTTTCTGAATGCAAAGAGGATGGCCACATCATATTCGAGGTAAGGTGTATCGAAGATATCCGACGTAGTCCTGATGCACTCTCTAATCGGAATAGAACACTACATACTACATTAGCACTGTAATGAACACGACTGGGCTCAAAGACGTCGATGTGGAAGTTAAAGGAACGCTTCTCTGGGACACAAACATTGACTACTGGCTGGCAAAATCACTACCCATTGGATTCCAGAACCAAACATCAGCCTGGCATCTTGGGGGCGAGAACCTTCACTTTTACGGGCACCGATACGGCACCTTGAATGGCAACGGACAGGCTTGGTATGACTTCAATCAAGGTGTCTCCAACCGACATGGACGGCCGCATGCTCTTCTTATCACGAATACGAAGAACAGTGTGGTTGAAGGTCTGCGCTTCATCAAGTCTCAAATGTGGACCATGACTGTTGCTCGTTCGGAGAAGATGCTCCTGCAAGATATCTACGTTAACAACACATCCGACAACGACAACTCCAACGTCAATACCGACGGAGTTGACACCGTCTATGCTAACAACATTACTTTCCTCCGTTGGAGTGTGGACAACGGTGACGATGGCATTTCGATGAAGCAGAACAGCACCAACATCTACATCGCCGACTGCGACTTCTACAACGGACAAGCCTTGGCCATGGGCAGCATTGGACAATACCCTGGCCAGATCGAAGTGATCGAGAACGTCGTCGCCGAGAATATCAGATGTACGAATACTGGATATGGTGGACGAGTCAAGACTTGGACAGGCGTGCAGAAAGGCGAGCCTCCAAACGGTGGCGGAGGCGGTATTGGTTACGCCAGGAACATCACCTTCCGAGACTTCCAATTGACCGACGTCAATCTTGCTTGGGCGCTCTTCCAGTGCACCTCGTATAATGGGCAGACTGGGGATTGTGATACTTCAAAGTTCCAGGTATGCTCTTCTCTCAAACCATCATCTCATTCTTTGTGCTAATCCACCCACCAGATAAGCGACATGAACTGGGGCAACGCAAAGGGGACTCTCAAAGGCGATCGCGTAGCTACCCTGCAGTGCTCAGCAGCAGCGCCATGCACCGGTATCAACCTTTACGACAATGACTTGCAGGCACTAGATCAAGGCGTTCCGGCGACTTCTTACTTGTGTGATTCTGTGGAGGATCCCCAGGGCTTCAATTGCACTGGCCCATGCAACGGGCAGTGCGGTGGATAGTGGTCAGCGGTAATGATTGGAATGAGATGATGGACACGTGCTGGTAGTACCCATGTAGTGTATGCAACTGAGCTCATCGTCACCTCGATAGTGAGTGATTGAGAGGTTTCCATTGACATTTTCTCTGAAGTATGATCTGAAGCGATCGATGATTGCAAATGATCGAGAGAAAGTGAGCTCACGAGTCAGATCTATTGCGAGCTCTTTTGGTACCAGAAGTGAAGTCGAGCCAAGCAGAATACAAATGAAACGAGAGTATGCGATCAAAGAGACGAGTGAAGAAGCTGGAGGGACTTGGTGCCTCAGGCATCAAAGCGGACCCACTTGGTGTGAAAGGCAGCCGACCTCACCTCTTCTTTCACTCTGACACTTTTTCTTTGTACCCCATTGTCGGTTGGAATTCCCGCCAAATATCTCCTGCGTCTGAGCCACCGCGACAACTTTGTTGTCTGTATTGTGTACAAGAGTCTCATGTCCTAAGAACTGCTTTTTCTTCTGTATCTGATGGCCTCCAGAGCCCAGCAAATGAATGCCGCACTTCTGATGGCCTGTTTGCAATGTCAGCCTCGCGGGCGCATGACGGCGGCCCGCACACCGATAAATGGTGGATGACGACGATAGGGGGCGAGATGGATGAGGGAAGGGATGCGTGGGAAAGGGGTGCTGGGGATACAGTTACCTGAGACTGTCTTGCTGCAGTTGCTGTCCGGGGTTCGTACTGGTATGGGTGTGACTCAATGGAGGCACCCAACCAGACTCCAGGACCGCGCTTTGGTGGTGCGTGAGCTCGCCTGAAGGCAGACACGGCATCCAAGGCGCTGCAGCGAGGTGATTCCATTTGAGAAATCGGCAAGGTTCGCGTGCAGATTGCACGCCTACACCGCGCGCAACTGGTCCGCCAAGCTTATTGCTTAAGTCCAACGACGTGTCTACAATGCAGAAGACATGCGCACCGCACACCGGGCTGGCCACACACCTGCATAGATGCTGATGGTCGACTGGTGCGGCAGAGCAAGCAGCAAGCAGTGTTATTGGTAGAGGGAGTCGTCGAGGTTGATGTAGCGTCGTGTTGAGGTGCAGAGGAAGAGGAAGAGAGTCTGAAGATGAAAATATTTGAGTGTGTGGTGCGACGAGATGGCGTCATCAGCCGTTCATTCACTCGCGCGTTTGCTGGATCACGTGAGTCACGCGTCTCTCCGGCTCTAGCCGTCCGCAGCTCGACCGCCGGCATTCAAATAGACCGCGAGATCGCTCGTTTCGCGCGAACACACCGCTGGCCATGGCGAGCGCCGACAACATCAAGAACGGCACGGAAGCTCCAGCCATGGCGACAACTGCCAAAGCCTCTGGTAATGAGTGATCTCACCTTTGGGCAGAAATCAACGCAGCTAACACATGCCAGGACACCTGCGCGACCGCTCCTCGAAGATAGCTGGCCCGAAGATGCCTACTGCAAGCCCCTCCATCAACAACACCGTCGCTCCCACCAACAACCAGTACTCCAACCGTACCGGTAAGTCATCCACCAAGGCGATCGCTTATGGACCCGCGAACAACTGTTGACCTTCTAATAGGGGCGACCAAGAGTCGCAAGCCCGCGCCTGCCGCCAGACCAGTTGCACCGCAGACCGCCATCGAGCGTCCAGGCCCACCACCCGAGAAGAAGAGGAAGACGAGTGCGATGACGACACTCGAAGGTGCCGCACTCCCAGATCTTGAAGACTCATCCGACGATCGCAAAGACAAGCAACTCAAGCCTCGCAAGTACGTCGAGATGCCCTACACAGCACGCGGACACATCAACAAGGCGACACCCGAGGGTCACTACAACTCTCTTCTTGTCGACGTCACTCCTGTTGCGATCAACAACGAGCAGCGAGTTATCCAGGAAGTCTATAGGGCAGTCTCACGCAAGAGCCAGTTCATCAACTCCAACTACATCGACACTCTAGATGCAGAGCATGAGGAACTGAACTGCCTGAAGTACGTCCAGGAGTGTCGTTCGCGGAGACAGGGAAAGGAGAATCGCCTTGATGACGATGGCCTTGCCGGCCAAAAGCCGCTCAAGCATTTCCGTGGTGCCAGCAGGGCGCTTCAGCAGCTCAAGACCGTCAAGACATATGAGATCGTTCAGCAAGAAATGTGCAGTATCCTGCAGACCTGCCAGCAAAAGCTTGAGGAGCTGAAGAATGAGACGGACGAAGCTGGTGATGATGACGATGTTGTCAAGATCAGCGAGAAGATGGCTGCTCTTTCGGTCATCAAGACCATTGCCGGGGCAGGCCTCACTGCAGGGCGCGAAGGCGTTAGGACCAAGTACGAGGTGGGCAAGGTTTTGGTATAGCCACGTCCCTCGGTTTACATCAGGTACTGCTCTCTCGCGCAGATTAGCGATGGCGCTGCTGGATTTCGAGTGTTGGGGATATGACGGATCAAAGGTTGGCAAGCCGCTGGCGCTTGCACATGCGAACCATGTACGATACCGACACTTGAAATGAAGAATTCCAAACGAGCTTTCACTTCAGTTCTCACTTGCTCGCTCACCTCTTCCTTTACTTAATCGCTCACTTCTCACTTCACTTCTACGTTCATGCCAGCTTTACTTCCAAGTTCGCCCCTTTTACTGCTAACTTCACTTCTCCGTTTCCTTCTGAGTAACCTGACTCCATTTCCTTCTTTACTTGTCGCATCACTTCAGTGGTAGCTTGCATTATAGTAGGCGATCTACCACTCTGACTGGTTGTTTCACCTAGTCCGTGGAAATCCATTTGAACACCTTAGATCAACTTCAAGCGACTCAGACAGTCGCGTTCAGTTCTGAACACTGACACAGACACAGACCAGATCACTTTCGAAAGATGTCGATGACTTCTTGCCTAACAGGCTATGCGACATGGCTTCGACCTCAATGCTAGTGATGGCGGCGCTGTAAGTGAATGAAGAGCTGCGACGCCACGCGTGCGCTCTTCCGGACGTCTTCGATTTGCCGCTTCTGCTACATATAGTTCTCTCTCGCACTATGCCCTCTACAAACATGCCCCCACCACCGACCCATCTCGAGCTCACAACACCAAGCTCACCATCACCAACGCCCTCCGCCCAGCCTGCCCCCGCCACGATCATCAGCGCTGCTGGGGGTGTTCGATCGCGTCGGCTCGCGGCACGCGACCTGTCTAAGCAACAGTCAACATTGAATTCGTGCAAAGAAGTACAAGATGAGGCAGACCGAAAACCCAACCCACACTAGTAATGGCGTGAAACAGGCGTCCGCTTCCCACGCGAAAAAATGGCGACTTTGCCCAATAACCCGAGACGACGGGAAGGCCTTGAAATCGCCTCTCCTACACCCCGGATGTCCTGGAGTGGAGTTCCGGGCACCACATTAGGACGGTTCTGGAGTCTGCCATACGTACGCGTGGGATTAAATGGACCCTGGCGCAGCAGTGGTGCGTCGACAAGGGGCGTTCGATCGCGATGGTACCACAATTTAGCGCCGCGGTTATAAGCACGAGTACGAATTTTGAGGTGCGCGGCGGCTGGCGGTGTGCTGTCCAGATGTGCACGGAGTTGTATACGTGGTTTGGCGGAGCCAGGGGCGATGTTCATTTCCCGGTGAACACCTCCTACCCACTCTATCCGGTGTGCAGATCGCCGTTCTGCGCCCGCCAGGCTGGAATTGCAGACCATAGGTAGGTAGCGCAGCGCCGCATCAAAGCGCCGGGCTCTGGAGACTTCCAGCACCACAGGGAAGAAGTAGGTCGTGACGGGAACAAAGAAAGAAGCGCGACTTGCGGCCGAGAGTCGCCGACAATGGCTCGCGAAGAAAGAGAATGAAGTGTGCTTTCTGATTTCGCCGAGCGTTGAGGCAGAAAGACGATTAGACATGGAGTAAACACCGCCCACAGAAGGCCAAACAGAAAACACCCGACAGACACACCCAGTCGACGACCAGCAGATACCTAACCCACACCCTCCTCCCTGCTGCCTATACCCACCAAGCAACTACCAGAACCGTACACAACGAAAACCAAGCCGTCTACAAAGTGACTTCGAACATGAGCAAGCCTCACGATTGGAGATCATACACCGAGAACTTTGAAAGACTTCTTGAACTCATCTATACCCCTACCGCTTTTCCTATCCTTACCACCCTCCTACAACTACCACAACTCTAATCGCACACACCCACACCCTCAAAAAGCAAGTAAAGGTTCCGTCTCCCCCTATAGGCTATCGCTCGCTCATGGATCGTAAAAAAAAACCCTAATCCCGTCCACTATCCTCCCGTTCCATTTCAAGAATCTTAAAAAGAAAGAAGAAGAGACAGTCCATTCCATTCCCGCCCCATCAATCGCGCAACGAACGCTTGATAGAAAGAGAACAAAAAAGCAAAACAAAGTACTGATGCGCTCTGGGTATGTGCACTCCCCTCCGATCCATCCATCCTCCTCCTCAATGCAAATGTAAAACAAAAACAAAAACGCCAATCATACACCGCGCCGCTTGTACTCTCCTGCCGTAATAGGTAATCCATGCTCGATCGACTCGACAAGTGAAGTCTGTTTCTCATCACTCTTACTCCCTCACTCCCCCTTCCCCCTCCCACTCTCCCCTCTCCTCGCCGTCTCCCAACTACTATTCCCCCTCCCAAGCGCCGGCCTCGCCCCACTCGCCCGACTAGGCTTCTCTTGCAGTTCCTTAATCTGCTGTTGGACCGCCTGCATCTGCGCCTGCATGTTCGCCTGGGCTTGGGGCTTTTTTGCCATCTCTTCGGGAGAAAGGTGGATCTCCGTGGCGTCGTGGCGTGCGGACCGAGGGCGCTCGGGGATGGCGCTGGGTGGTGGTGGGAGGTTTTCTGTTGATGATGATGTGTGGCCGTTGGTGTTGTTGCTGGTGTTGGTGTCGACTTGCGAGACGACGGTGTTCACGAGGTTGTTGGCTTCTTGTTGGAGGTTGGGGATGGTCTTGGCGGGTTGGTGCAGGTAGGATTCGAGCATTTGTTTGAGGGTATCCGCGCGGACGGGTTTGGCGAGGTAGTTGTTCATGCCTGCTTCGAGGCACTTCTCGCGGTCGCCGCGGATGGCGCTGGCGGTCATGGCGATGACGAGGATGTCGCGGACCTGGGGGTCTTCGTGTTTGCGGATCTCGCGGGTGGCGTTGTAGCCGTCGAGTACTGGCATTTGAACGTCCATCAAGACCAGATGGAAGGGGTTTCCGTCTTTGCTGGCTCGGGTCAGTGCATCCACCGCTTGCTGTCCGTCGCCGTATGCCTCGCAGTTGAAGCCAAGCTTCTTGACAAAGTTGATCGCGATCTTCTGGTTGATGGGATTGTCCTCAGCAATGCAAACCTTCAACTGATCGCGCGGAATACCCTGCAAGCTCATGATCGCCCTCGCACCTGGTCCATCGTCTTCCGCTGGAGGTGTAAAGATGGCCATTGGATCCGCTTCCCGTCCGTGTGGTGTGCCGCCATTCTGCTCGCCCATATCGCCATGCTTGACCTTCTTGAAAGGCAAGCTGAAAGACACGGTCGTGCCCACACCCGGAGTACTCTCAAGCCAGATCTGGCCCTGCATTACGTTCTCGAGAATGGCTTTGCAAATTGAAAGTCCGAGACCTGTGCCTCCGTAGCTGCGGGCAGTGCTGGAGTCTGCTTGCGAGAATGGTAAGAAGAGCTTCTTCTGCTGCTCTTCTGAGATACCGATACCAGTATCCGTGACCGACACAGTAACCTTGATGCTGTCTGCGTCCTCAGAATCGACCTTTGCTCGAACCGTGACCTTGCCTTTCGCAGTGAACTTGTACGCATTCGACATCAAGTTCATCAAAATCTGGTGTAGACGCACGGGATCGCCCATGACAACAAGATTCGGATCGAGTCGCAAGTCCTGAACGGTCTCGAGATTCCGCTCAATGTTGGTGTAAGAGAGTGCTCGTACCACCTCGCTGATGGTCTCAGTCAGCGACAACGGCACGGAGAATACCTGCATCTTGCCAGCTTCGAGTTTGCTGAAATCCAGAATGTCATTGATGACACTGAGCAGAGTGTCGGCGCAGACTCTGATCGAGTCGGCATGCTCTTCCTGCTCCTTATTGAGAGGCGTGCTCTTCAGCATCTCACTCATGCCGATCACACCGTTGAGAGGTGTTCGAAGCTCGTGAGATACATTGGCCAGGAACATCGACTTCGCCTTGGCCGCCTCATCCTTCAGTCGCACCATCTCCATGGCCTTAGCTTCGGCAGCTTTGGCCTTCTTCTCTGCTTCTCGAGCCTGTGCAAGCGCCTGTTTCTGAACTTCCAGCATCGACGTATTGCTGGCTTGAACCTTCTCAGAGCGTTTGAAGAGCAATGCGTTGGCTATCGAGATGGCAATCTGGTTCACCAGGAGTTTGAGGAGAGTCACTGTCCGCTCCGTGAAGGTATTCGGAGGCGCTTGGCAGTACAAGCTTCCAAGCAAGACCTGGTCGCCATGCAAGATGGGGATAGCGATCATGGATGCACCGTCAGGATTCTTCTCAAGCCACGAGTCGGCTAGACTGTTGAAACGCTCGTCGTCGAGCACGTTTCGCAGAAACACCTGCTCCTTGAAGCGTAGCACGTAACGAGTGACTTGCCTGGCAACCGGGTCCTCGACATCGTCCAGAGGAATGCCGTCTTCGGGTGCGTCGATGTTGTCCGGAGTGCCGACTGAAGCCACGCACCATTCGCCTTGATCGCTCTCAACGACGAGACCGACCAACGAAGCTCCGGTCGAATCCACTATTATCGTCGTCAACTTCGAAAGCAGCCGTTCGACATTAAGCTCCGACGACAGCAACTGCGAAGACTCCAGAATCCCCGCAAGATCGATCATATCCAAGCCAACGGCCGAAGAGAGCGCAGCTGGTGCCTCCTTATGATGGGGAGCGGCCGCAGTTGACGGATCTAGCCATTCGACAGTCCTATCTGCCGGCGTCTGTACGGCCTGATGGCTGGCAATCTTTTCGAGTTTGTAGGCGTATGAGGGACCGGACACGACGTCGAGGTCGGTCTGCGTGCCCGCGTCGACAGTCGAGAGGCTTCTGCTGCCGTAGAGGAGAAACTCGGATCGCTCTTGCAAGTGATTAGCCTTGCCAAAGGCGCCAACTCTCCTGTATGCTGACATAGCATCAAGTAAGATGCCGCGAGCAGGCCGAGCGGCTCCTCTACGGCACATCCAGTCGGCGTAATGTTCTAGACTGAGTGCTTCGTCCAATGTATTTGAATGCAGAACCGCGTGGTTGATCGCCTTCTCGTAATGTGCCAAGACTTCACCATAACGCTTCTCAGCATCTGCAATCTCAGCGTCCATCAACTCCAGGTATACCACGTAATTGACGTCGTTGTAGCGTGTGACAATGTCGCAGCGGGTACGATAGTCCAGCACCTTGTCGAAAAGCTCTTGACGATCAGCACGATCGGGCTCATCCCTAATGATTGCCAATAATGACATCGTGAGGATGAAGTAGATGGAATAATGATACCTCGAGGAGAGGAGACCGTCCGCCAATGGCAAAAGCTCATATGCGTACTCCACTGCCTCCTTGAAGTGTCCGAAGTAATGCATTGCCATGAGCTTGTGACATCTATAGATGACAAGAGGCCGCTCTGGATTCGACGCTGTAGCTCGGATGAGATCTTCATATGCCTCGGTCTGATGTGCGTGGTCGGTGAGCACGTCCTGAGCGGACTTGACGTACGTCTTGCCAGCGAGAGCACGCGACAGTTGCCTAATACCCATGAGGAAGGCTCCACCGCGAAGATTGGTAGTCCAGTCCGGGAACTCGTCTCCGACACTGGAAATGAACGCGTCGATCTCGGCGAGGTTCTCTGATGCCCAAAGCCTGTACGAGCTCATGATTCCAAGGTTGAGTAGGTGGAGAATCTTGTCGCCGGCACTGGCGGCAGCATCCAGCCCGCGGTTCAAAGCAATGAAACACTCACGCATATCCTTGTGCAGATGCCCGAGGAAGACACTGTAGAGTGTAAGCGTCCGGCCAATAGTGTAGAACTCCTGATCGTAGGTATTCATAATATTGAATGCCGTCTCCACCAGTTCCATAGACTCGCTGACCATGTTGAACCGCCAGACAGAGAGGGTAGCGAAGTTGATGAGACCGAGACCTGCCTGTGGGAACACGCCTCGTTCAAGATAGATCTTCATGACGATCAGAGTGGCCTGATAGTGTAGAAGAGAATCCGACCAGAACGCGCTTGAGATGGTCTCCGTTAGTAGGGCTCCAAGAGTAGCCAGTGTCCGGTCTACAGATCTGCCACGTTCTGCCTCTGCTCGGTCAAGATCCGGCGGCGTCATTTGCAGAAGCGGAAGGATCTTGTGAAACTCTTCGTCGCATTCTTCCCAACTTGTCTCCGGTACCTTGATGCCGACATCGAAAAGAGCAGCTTTTAGTACCTTGAACGCGGAACTGCTGTCACCGCGCTGGGCGTGCATTCGACTCAGGATGATTGCGGCGGGTGTCTGTGGAAAGTCAGTATTCATCCTCGAAACGATTCAAATTTCGACCTGCTTAAGGGCTGCTCATGGGTATGGCTTCCCACAACGTCGACGAGATTCTCGGGGAACATGTTAACGCACCTTGTCGGTGAAGTCTTGAGCTCGTTCAAAGACTTCATCTAGTAGCTGCTTTCCCTTCTCGTATTGTCCATCATACCAGTAGGCCTCAGCCGCACGGGTCTTTAGAGTCAGCGTCTCAACGTATGTCGAATCCGCAGAATCGGTCCATGGGTTCTCTGGAAGCAAGTCCAGGCAGGTTTCGAAAAAGAAGAGGCCGGACTTGTTAGCTCTGCTCACGAAGAAGAATGTTAGCCACGATTCTTAAATGTCTCAAATGAGGGGTGCTTATCCTACCCTGATTCACGTGCAAGTTCCGCAGATTGATAGAGGAGCTCACGGAAAGGCGCTTTCTTGGCCGCTCTCTTCTTGACGACAGCTAGGCCTTCACAGATGTGTCTAGCCTGCTCAAACAACACCTTGTTTGGCATATTCAGAGGATCGTACGGTTCGTGCTTCATCATGGAGCACGCGACGACAAAGTGCATCTCCTCGGGCTCGTATGTGCTCCCAGTGATGAGCGATTCTGCAGCTTGCACGTATCGATCATGGCTGAACTTGAACCGATCCTCATCGTCAGTGGACATTATTATGAAGCTGTTCAGGGCGATTTGCAGTCCAGCGACAGCGTCTTGAGAGCGAGGTGGTATGAGCGGCTGCGGAGACAGCTGTGAACACTGGCACGACATGACGCGCTTCAGGGTCGAGAACTTCCAGGAGTTGCCGATGATGGCTCCCCAGGCGAGGACTGTTTGCGCGTCTAGAGGGAGATCCTTGATCCGTTTGAGAATAAAATCGGTCGTCGAGAGTGGACTTTTGGAGCTGAATTCCTCAAACAAACGATCCAGGCTGAATTCCCACTTGGAGCATTTCCAGCAATAGTAGATACACTTGCTGCGGTATGCCTGCTCGAGCATTTCTTTCACGTGGAAAGGATTTCCATGTGTCCGTTCTTGGATCACAGCAACAAGGGGGGTGCAGTAATCCGCGTCAGCCACGCGGTGCATTGTCTCGGCAACGAATTGTGTCGTCTCCTCGTCGCTGAAAGGACCTACTTCGACTTTAGTGGCGTGTTCGAGTATTCGCCTCATTGCGGGCGTGAGGTGATGCTCTTCACGATACGTTAGAATGAGTGTGATGGGTATCCTCGACTTGGAGATGGCAGATATCAGCTCGAGGCTCTCAGTGTCTGCGAATTGCAGATCATCCAAGCAGATCGATATCATCTTTTGAACAGCCAGAAGACGCAGGACGTCCAGGAAAATGTGCATGAACCGCGAGCTCTTCGATCCACCGCCGGCTCGTAACCACTCCTGCGTACTAGCAGCTGAGCATTTCTTCCGTTCCGGTGGAGCGCCGTTTTGTACAGGCTGATTGGCACTGGCAGCCGAGAGCTTTCCATTAGATGTAGGAGCGAGCAGCCAAAGAGGCAGTTCAAGGAATCCGTGGAGCAGAGGCCAAAATGGTCTCACGAAGTTGCGGATGTTGTCATGGAACGGGGTGTTAACATCGTTCTCTGAGAAGATCTGTCGAAACAGAGACGACATGACTCGCACCACTGGATCGAAGGGTGATGTTCGAACAGCATCCCATTTGGCAGACGTGAAGTAGCCGGATTTCCGAGCAGAGGCCTGTATGCTTTGGACCAGACTGGACTTGCCACAACCTGCTGGACCTGAAATGCTGATGAGCTCAGTCTTGCCTTTCTTCTTCAGCCGGTGTGCAGTCCGAAGCAATGTGCTGGGTTCGGACGACGTCGTCTGGAAGCTCGACGTGGTCCTATATAGGCTGTCCTGAGTGTTGTGGTGAGATGAGCCACGACTATCGACAGAATGATTCGTCTCAACCGGCCTCATGTCTGTGTCGCCGTTGATGGATGTCATGGAACTTGATACACTTCCTGCTCGTCCTGGCCGCTCCTGTGACCGCGTTTTCCGTCTCGATAGCTCAGATGGCGGTGCGAGTTCAGGGATAGACATCAAACGACCATCGTCACGGCTGCGCTCTCGATCTGTGGAAGACGTGCTGTCGCTCAAAACGTCTTCGATGCCACCGAGCGTATCTCCTCCACCGGAAATCACGCTGGATCCACTGCTGATGCTGTACAAAGTCTTGCGGCCAAGGATCGGGCCATTTCGAGCTGCACGTTCGGCCGCAGACTCGATGACATCGATAATCTGTTTTCTCTGCCTTTTGCGGCCAACTAGCTGGGTAGGAAGCGTAAAGAAACAGCTAAGATCGGTCGACGCGATCTGGAAGTTGGCCAGAGCAGTCTGATCACCCTCCATCAATATTTTCTTCAGCTGTTGCATGTCGTACTTGACGCCAGATGTGCTGTTATACCGATCGTCCATGTTGCGAGCCGTCATCTTTTGAATGACTTTGGTGAGAGCGTCTGGAACATCATGCCGGATCGAGCCAACGGGAGGTATTCGCCTAGATAAGACATTCTGCATTATGTCGAGAGGAGTCTTGCCATCGAAGGGTCGTTGTCCAGTGAGCATGGTCCAGAAGAGAATACCAAGCGAGTAGATATCGGTTCGAGCGTCTGGTTCCGCTGGAAGGCGACCTGTCTGTTCGGGAGCGATGAACTGCAGCCTGTGTTCGACGCCTCGTTCCGACATGAGCGTTGACCAGTTCGCAGAGGTCAAGCCGTGCTCGAAGCTTCTAACACCCGAGCCAAAGTTGACCATTCTGACTTGACAGTTATCTCTGTTGTAGTGGAATGCATCCCCGCGAATCTCGCCATGGATCGACTGGTGCTCGTGGTGGATGAACTCGAGACATTCCGATGCGCCAATAGCGAAATCTAGGAACGTCAGCAGGGCAATACAGGCCTCACTTCGCGGCGCCTGTGGCGAGTCTGCTGAGCCCATGTAGAAGTTTGGACCAAATTCGACGAGTTCTCGCAAGTAGTTTCGGCCAGGTGCCTCCACTATCACTATAGCTGCTGGAACGTCTCCAGGCTGTCGCGCAGGCAAACGGAAGAAGTCGAGCGGCCGTACAAAATGCGCCTTGTCGCCTGACTTGCGAAACAAGGACTGGCACATCTTGAATTCGCGCTCCAGACGGAGTATCTGTCTCGACATACGGCCAACCACCCAGACATCCCTCTCTTTCTCTTCATCGTTGGAGACATCGTAGTCTGATCGCGTTCGGATGCTCGATGGTTTCGACGAGTCGGTCATAGACGAGGCGCTCGTCTTGCGTCCATTTGGGCCGGTTCGCACTCGCCGGCGGCCGAAGAAGTGCCAATCATCGTAGCTGGAGTGGAAGGGCGGGATCTTGTCCAGGAACTCGTACCCCGGCACATCCTCCTTTAGCCGCTCGTACATGCGCTTGAAGGGCGCGGCGGCGGACTCATCTTGCAGAGACAGCGGCGAGGGAACGAAGGGGGCGGCCGCGAGATCGTTCGACATGGTGGATGTCCGGTCATAACGCCTCGCGCATGGCCGGAGGTGCGGATGCGCGGGGTTCTACTTCATAGGCTGAACGCTTGCTCCAGACCGACGCCGGGGATGGTGTGGAGGTGGGATAAGGTGTCTATGATCGAGTGGAGGCGTCAGGTATTAGTCGGAGGTCGTGAGTGAGAACGGCAGGATCGCAGTCGCAAGCGTGGTGGAAGGTAGCTGGCTAGTGAGCTTGCGGTGGCACGCTCAGGCACGCGAAACACCGCGGCGGGAAACAGACTCGGTGACAGGTGAGACGACAGCGATGATAGACAGCTCCTGGTGCGAGGGTGAGGAGGACGAGGACGGAGACGGTCGTGCTCTGGCTGCGGTGGGCTGGCTTCGGCCGCGCATGTGAAGTCTCGGGACGCTGGCGGCGGTCGTTGCTTAGTTTATTATTGCCCTGAGTGATTGCTTACGAAGCGTCGCGGGCGTTCAGTGTGTATGAGTGAGCGCCTGGGATGGCGCTGCAGGGTCCAGCTCTGGAATACCTCCACACCTCAGCTGTGATACTGATTCGCCTTTGCTTGAGCCTCAATCGAAACTAGGTAGGTCTTGGTCACTCCTTACAATACTTACCACATCAATATCATCTTCACCCTGTCTTCATTCGATCCCTGGCAGGATTCGCTTCTAATCAATGTTGACGTTGACTTCCAGTTCATCGTCGGCAGTCGAGCCGATTCCGACACTTCCGTCTATAACGTCAATCTCCAAATGCAGCTTAGCTCCGGATAGTTCCTTCGCCCACGCGAGCACCTCTCGAAGCCAGCAAGCTTGTGGTGGTTGTGTGAGTGTAGCAGTGCCTGGCTTGGACCATTCGTGACACCCAACCACTTACCACACCACATCCACCACCTCGAATCCCCCACGATCGAAAATCCCTGACGTCCAGAGCACCATACGAATCACATCCAAGAACCAATGACGTACACTGCTGTCCGTCTGTCCGGCTGCTTGCATAGTTGAATATACTCCACCGGGACATGGACCCCGAGGAGAGGGATGTGGGAGAACAGCGCGAGGGTTCTTTCGAAGAAGAAGAGGAGAGCGACGATGAATATGCACAGAAACCGCGCGAGCTTCCGGCCGACTTGCCACGCACTCTGGACGACCGCAAGAACTTCAACAGCTACAATCAAGAGACGGAGTACTATGACGCATGGCAGGGTGAGCAGTCGAACCGAGTGCCTTGGGCATGGACACGTGTTGATGCTATATAGGACAATCCCAATTCCTTACTGCCCCTACCATAGCGACGCCCCTCAATTTCAACCTTTCACTGCACGAGCCCGATGACGATTCCTTTGCGCGAGACTACGGCAATGACGATGCACGTGTTGCACAGATGATGGCTGCACAGGCGAGCAAACCCGGCGACGCTGGAGAGACGGAGGAAGATAACATACTGCACGACGACAAGAGGACGAAGGACCAGAAGACCGCGGCCCTCCAAGAATTGCTGTTTCTTGCTGCGAGCAACGGCGATGCTCAACGAGTGCAGCGTCTGGTACGGGGGAGCGCCTCTGCGTTACTAGAGATTGATGGGGTCGATGGGGAAGGCACTCCTCCGTTGGTATACGCAAGTTGCTTCGGCCACAAGGACGTTGTACTCGCGCTTCTCAATGCCGGCGCGACTGTGGACAACCAGGATCGAAACCAATGGACAGCTCTTATGTGGGCCATGACTAACAGTCATAAAGAAATCGCAAAGATCTTGCTGGACCATGGAGCTTCGACGGACGTGAAGTCGTCGAGTGGTAGGACTGCTCTCGACTTTGTGCCGCCAAACAGCGAGATGTCCGAATTCTTGCAGCACAGTGGCTATAGCATAGGCAGTGTTGGAGTAACGGATGATTTCTACAGCTCTGGATTCTCGCAGGACAGGTTCGAAGAGGAGTTGGCTGAGAGCGAGATGCGGCGCAGGATGATGATGGAAAGTGCTATCAACTTGGAAGTTGACCTTGGAAACCTTGGACTGGACGAGCAGCCCGAATCACCAGAAGATTTTGAAGATAGCCAGGACTTTGTCTGGGATCGATGTCTGAACGATCAGATGTTCGTCTTCATGGAGAATGACATTGAACGAATACTGGACGTTGTCATTACAAAAATGACGCCTCAGCGAACGCCTTCGCAGAAACCAGTACCAGCCAACATCGTCTTCCTTGGTGCTCGATACGCACATTACCACGCGAATAAGGAGCTACTCACGGAGTGGCTCGAAGCAGCCCAGGATAAGATTTATGCTGTCGTTGACCGCTATCAGTGGGATATGACGATTCTTGCATTCTGGATATCGAACGCCACTCTACTTCTATACTACCTCAAGAAAGACACCGGATTGACAGAAGAGACAACGCAATTTCAAGCGCAAATGGCCGAGTTGATACACGAGATCTTCATTCTCATCATCCGAGACGCTGAAAGACGGATGGACAAAGTCCTCGATGCAGCCGTCCTTGACCACGAGACTATTCCTGGATTCGAGGACATCACATTTCAAAACGAGTGGAAGTTTCTGAAAAGCAAATCAAAAGTGAAGCCTGACCCTGTCGAAAAGCGTATGCGGCCACCATCACCAAAACGCAGAGCGCAACCATCGCCACGAAACATCACTTCACTCATGTCGTCCACACTTTTTGTGCTTGATCTGTACGATGTGCATTCAGTCATCATCGCCCAGATCCTCTCACAGCTGTACTACTGGCTCAGTGCTGAGGTCTTCAACCGAATAATGTCGAACAAGAGATACTTGGCACGAACAAAAGCGATGCAGATTCGCATGAACATTTCAACTCTCGAAGACTGGGCGCGAACGAACAACCGGCAGCCAGAACACTACGAAAATGGCGCTATGAACTCAAGCGGCGAGACAACTGTAGATGCAGCAAGGAGACATCTCGCACCAGTAGTCCAGCTGTTGCAATGGTTGCAGTGCTTCTCATCATTGGGTGAAGATCGCGCGGCTATGGAGACGACCATCCAGCAGTTGCCGGCACTATCAACCAAACAGCTACTACATGCTGTGAAACACTACCGAGCGGAAGTAGGAGAGAAGTCACTCACACGACCCGCGCTCAGACACATTCAGGAAGTTAAGAGCAGACCGAAGTCTCTGCAAACAGAGCCCTTGTCTGCCGGCGCATCGGACCCTCCAGCTACTCCTGGAGCGACGAACGGCAAGTCGACACCGCAACCGCCCAACACGCCGCAGCTCGATGAAGAGGATCATGTTCCGGAGACCAATCTCATGAATCCGGCGCTCCTGCTCCCATTTCACCTACCAACCTCGACAGACATGCTGGTCAGCTACGGGGCCGGTTTCGGTGGTATGAACAAGGAGCGAGAACGTCGCTACATACCTTCAGTACCGCCTGAGTTTCTCACCAAGCTAGATCCAGCTGGACGACAGCCTGGCAATGTGTACGAAAATGCACATCTCAGTGATGCTAATGACAGCTCGTGACGAGGAGAAGGGCGCGGAACGAGCGATTTCGGAGCCGGCCGTCGTTCAGTCGCCGCCAAATCGATAGCGGCATTCTCAAACATTGAATGTGGGGAGCGTTTTCACCAGAGTCATACCAGCTCAGGATACTCAGTTGAACAGATCAACTCGTTGATTACCTCCTATAAGCCAAAATGGAAGCGCCTATTCTGTCTCCTCAGTCCGTCGAGGACAGCATCAATCAAGCAGTAACGTTCATCCCCGCAGACAAGATAGACGAGACTTTCAAGTCGGACAGCATAGGTAGGTTTCATGACGATCACGCGACAGTCACACCCTACGATTTCGTGTCACTGACCTTAGAAGACCTCATCAACAAACCTCTCGGTTCCCGCATCCTCTCTTTCTCCGACGAATGGTTCGCTGCCGCCGAGAACCTCACTACACCTACCCCACCAATCCGCAAGCCAGGCGTCTTCACATTCGCAGGAGCCTGGTATGACGGATGGGAAACACGTCGACACAACCCAGAACCCTTCGATTGGGTGGTCATTCGGCTGGGAGTAGCGTCAGGAAAAGTCAAAGGTTTCGAGATCGACACTGCGTTCTTCAATGGCAACCAAGCACCTGAGGTTGCTGTGCAAGGATGCTTCATAAGTGATGATAGGGAAGAGGAGGCTAAGAAGAAGGATTTTGCCGAGTGGGAAACGATTCTGCCCAAGCAAGAGTGTGGACCGAGTCAGAGACATGGCTGGTTGCTGCCGAAGATCACGGATAAGGCGTACACACACGTGCGACTGCAGATGTTCCCTGATGGAGGAATCGCACGCTTCAGACTGTTTGGCGAAGCTCTACCAGTCCTGCCGCAGGACGTCAACGAGGTCTTCGACCTCGCCGCGACCGTCAAAGGAGGAGTGGCTGTCAAATGCTCCGACCAACACTTCGGCACCAAAGACAACCTCCTCCTCCCCGGCCGCGGCGTCGACATGGGCGACGGCTGGGAAACCAAGCGTTCGCGAGGCGTGCACATCGACTGGGTCATCATCAAGCTCGGCACACCCGGCATCATCGACAAACTCGTCGTCGACACCGCCCACTTCCGCGGTAACTTCCCTCAAAAGGTCCAGATTTTTGCTGCACCCAAGGCGGACCAGGCTCCTGAGCATGAGGATTCTGTGTGGGAGGAGATTTTGAGTCCGCAGAAGACGGGGCCGGATCAGGAGCATGAGTATACGGGGGAGGTTATCAAGGAGGCGGCGGGGAAGACGTTTGGGTTTGTCAAGTTGGTTATTATTCCGGATGGGGGTGTGAAGAGGGTTAGGGTGTTTGGGAGGAGGGGGGAGTAGGTATTTGAGTAAGAACCAGAGATATTGATTAGAACTTGATTGGAATTGTATGACATTGATTGACATTGATTAACCCTGCCTGCAAATCACTTGACCACAGTCAAGATAAGATAAGAACGCCAAGACGCTACAAAAATCTCAAGACTTCACCTCGACTTCGACCTCTCGACCTCGACTCCCCTAACACTCCACACACCCACCGCCACCATGCCCAAATCAGCGCGAAAAGCCAGTAATGGCATATCCAAACCCGACCCATACGCCGGCGCAGCAGCCCGAAAGGGCAAATCCGCCCAAGCGAACAACATCTTCCGCATGAACACAGACATCGGCCAGCACATCCTCAAAAACCCCGGCGTCGCCCAAGCGATCGTGGACAAAGCCGACGTCAAGCAATCCGATATCGTCCTCGAAGTCGGTCCCGGAACCGGCAACCTGACCACGCGCATCCTCGAGAAAGCGAAGAAAGTCATCGCCGTGGAACAGGACCCCCGCATGGCCGCCGAGCTCACGAAGCGGTTCCAAGGGACACCTGCTGCGAAGAGGTTGGAGTTGATTCTGGGGGATGTGATCAAGATGCCTGAGCTGCCGTACTTTGACATTTGTATTTCGAATACGCCTTATCAGATTTCATCCCCGCTTACCTTTAAACTCCTCGCGACCTCGCCCTCCCCGCGGACCTGCGTGCTCATGTTCCAGCGCGAGTTTGCGATGCGGTTGTTCGCGAAGCCCGGGGATAAGCTATACTCGCGATTGTCGGTCAATGCGCAGATGTGGGCGAAAGTGGACCATGTGATGAAGGTGGGCAGGAATAACTTCAACCCGCCGCCGCAGGTGGAGAGTAATGTGGTGAGGATATCGCCCAAGAGCCCGAGGCCGCAGGTCAGTTATGACGAGTGGGATGGGCTGTTGAGGGTGTGTTTCGTGAGGAAGAATCGGGTGTTGAGGAGTGGGTTCTTGGGCACGGCCAGTGTGATGGCGATGCTGGAGTCGAATTATCGGACGTACTGTGCACAGAATGAGATTGTGCTTGAGGATGGGTCGCTTGAGAATGGCGGGGAGGGAATGGATGTGGATGAGGAGGTGCAGGAGGATGATGCTGCGATGCTGATGGACGAGGATGACGACGATGTTCCGGAGTTCTTCAAGGAGGAGAGGGATAAACAGGCGAAGAAGATGCTCGACGATCCGGGCAGGAAGAAGAAGGGCAAGGTCGCGGAGCTGGTAAGGACTAAGGTGAAGAAGGTTCTGGAGGTGGATACTGAGCTGGGGGACAAGCGAGCGAGGTTGTGCGATGAGGGCGACTTCTTGAAACTGCTGTACGCTTTCAATCAGGAGGGCATTCATTTCGCTTGAGAGAAATTGATGAATCATTTGTTTGCTAGCGAGGCGTTGGTGGGCGAAAAGTATGGAATGGAACGAATGAATGAACGATACCCATTTTGCACGAGCATGCCAGAGCCTTCACAAGCCAGCCAACGATATGTTGCTCGAGAGGCCCAGAAGCACGTGTCAAGGGGTAGCAAACATCCTCACCTGGCTATATGTACGAAGGACTTCTGCCGACTATTCCAGGATTCAACAGCTCCACACTGGTATACCTCTCCGGTCTATCTGTATACCTCCCCGTCCCGCGACGATATATCATAATCGCAAGAGCTTCGCTGACGGCGTGGTCAGACGTCTTTCCCCAGGGATGGATGCGTTGCGGCGTTTGGTTACTCCGTGCAACGACCCCCCCCCCCCCCCCCCCCTCTCGGTCCTGCCCAATCCGCCGTTTGCACATGAAGCCAAGCCAAGCCCGCTTTGTACTTTTCCCCTCCGAACTTCGCGCTCCCCTCTCCGCGCCAACAACACCCACCACGCCATCGGTCACCGCGTCGTCGCCATGGCACACGCTCTGCGCTGCGAGCAATGCAAGCAATACAACAACACATACGTAAGTTCAGCCTCTCTTTTCCGCCGGCTGTGCGGTGAGCTGACTTTGATGGCAGTGCGATGGCGTGTATGGCAAGGTTCCTTGCTCGCCGTGCTGGATCAATGGTTTGGAGTGTTCTCTGAGGAGTGGCGCTGGCCATGGCATTGGGTAGGTTGAGCTTGTGTTTGTCTTTGCGGGATAAGGGGGGATTTGGGGTGGTATATTGGTTTTGGTTATGGTATTGACACCGGCAGCATGATGGATGGAGGACCGCCCATGCCGACGTTTCCACCACCGCTGCCTCTTGGAATGGCGCCTATGCCTCCGCCAATGCCGCCTTTCCCACCACCACTACCTCCTGGAATGGCTCATATGCCTTCGCCATTTCCGCCTCCGCCGCCACCAGGACTACCGCTACCACTGGCTGGACCTCCCGTGCCTCCTTTTCCACCACCGCTACCTCCTGGCGTCCCGCTTTTGCGCCCTCTTCTTCCCGCTCCTCCGCCTCCAACCAACCCGTTCACGGTGCCACCAATGCTCCCGTGGAACGCCACCGGCCAGGGATACACAACACTAGCACAGCGAACAACCGCCCTCCCCACGCCGCAACTCCCCACCAACCCGTTCGCTCCCACACCAATGCCACAGACAAACACCACAAACTCGAGAGATGACGACGACGAGGACGTGACCTTCCTCTTCAGCCGCCCCGCCCCAGGCCGCCGCCCAAGCCCAGAAGTCGTCTTCCTGAGCGAACGTCCCGTGGTCAAGGACCTGGACCATAAGGCGGAATTCCGAGAGTATCTTCGCACGGGCGGGAGGGCTTTGCAGGAGGAAATTAGTTGGAGGGATAATTTGGCGGATTTTGAGCTTATGGCGAGAAGAAGACGGCATTGATGGATGGGTGGAGGGTGGAAGAGATGACTGGTGAAAGAGATGATTTTCTCTGGTATTGGACAGTGGACTGTGCAGATGATGAGGATTGGATGGGCTTTGAAGGACTGATTGGGATTGCGATGAATGGAGGTTGTGCTTGGGTTGAGTGCGAGGGGTACGATTGTTGTTGAATGGCTCTTGTCGCAGAGAGGAAGGATAGCGCCTTGCGAAATGGAAAACCAGCCACCTGCTGGTATTGATGCTTTGCTCCCCGTGGTTTTACACCGTAACAAGCCTACGATCAGGTTTTGCAGTGCCTGGACGACTGCTCTGCGACGGAGAGTGATCTCGTTTTGCCTCCTCCTTTTCTTCGCTTTACCGGCTGCATGTTTTCCTCTCGAGTCATACTTCTCGCGAGAAGTTTAACAGACAATCAAGCAATGTGCAACAAACGCCTCAAACCACAGCTCGCACCACAGCCCCAAAACCGCAGCCGGTGCGCGCAAAGGATGCGAGGAAGAACTCTCCGAAGCAACGCGAGCTTCGCATACAAATCGCACGTCAGCTCCCCACATGCCTACAAGCAAGGTAGTATCTCTCGAGCCAAACGACTCGGTGAAACAGTCTTGACCATCCACTCCTTCCATCATGGCCGACTATGGAAAGTTGCCCGCGAACGCAACCCTCAAGCCCCAGCCTTTCACGGCTCGTGTGTCTGAGGAAAAGCTGAAGTTGATGAAAGATCTCATCCGCCTCTCGCCCATCGGACCTGAGGTTTTTGAAAATAGAGGCACAGACCGCAGCCACGGCATGCGACGGGACTGGCTCGCAACCGCTCAAAAGACCTGGCTAAACGACTTCGACTGGCGCAAAACGGAAGACTGGATCAACTCGTTTCCGAACTTCACGGTCAAACTGCAAGACTCCGCGAGGAACGAGATAGATCTGCATTTCGCCGCGTTGTTCTCGCAGCGAGAGGACGCGATTCCGATCTCCATGGCGCACGGCTGGCCGGGGAGTTTCCTAGAGGGCTTGAAGGTGCTGGAAATTTTGAGGGAGAGGTACTCGCCGCAGGAGCTGCCGTTTCATTTCGTCGTGCCGAGTCTGCCGGGGTATGCCTTCTCCAGCGGCCCGCCTCTGGACGGAGACTACAGCGTCCCGCTGGCATCCGAGCTCTTCGACAGCCTCATGCGCGTGCTCGGTTTCAGCTCAGGGTATATCGCGCAGGGCGGGGACGTGGGGACGGGGATTGTCATCGGGCAGGCGGCGGGGAGTGATTCGTGCAAGGGGTTTCATTTGAATAATGTCTTTGGGGATCCGCCGGCTGGGGAGGGGGATCCTGAGGAGGGGTTGGATGAGGTGGAGAAGAGGGGGTTGAGGAGGGGGGAGGAGTTTTTGAGGACTGGGATGGCGTATGCGATGGAGCATGGGACACGGCCGGGGACGATTGGGTTGGTGTTGCAGAGTAGTCCTTTGGCGGGGTTGGCTTGGTGAGTTTGTTTGTGCGGTTGATGGGGTGCGTGCTGATTTTTTTTTGTTTGAAGGATTGGAGAGAAGTATCTCGAGTGGACGGATGAGGATCCTTCTGTCGAGGTGGGTCTTCTGTTCTAGCCACGGCTTCTGTGAATCCTGCTAATGTGATTGTCAGACCATTCTCCAAGTCGCCTCCCTCTACTGGCTGACCGATACATACCCTCGCTGCATCTACCCCTACCGGGCCCTCGTATCAGGTTGGAAGCGTGGACCGTACATCGACAAGCCTTTTGGGTACTCATTCTTCCCCATGGATGTCCTCCCGAAGCCTGGCGCCTGGGCGAAACAGGAGGGGAACTTGGTGCACTATGTGAGACATGATAGTGGAGGGCACTTTCCGGTGAGTGAGCGTTGATTTCTGTACTTGTTTTGTGAGCTGATGAGTTTTGTCAGGGGCTGGAGAAACCGGTGGAGTTGCTTGCGGATCTTGAGGCTTTTGTGAAGAAGGCTTGGGAGATGAAGAAGTGAGCCTAGTCTTTTGTATGAATTCTTGATCAAGGTGTAACTGGAAGGGGCTGGGTCGGAGAAAGGGTACCTGTACTTGGTGACTGGTGACACCCTTACAATTCCTCCTCAAACTTCCTCACCAAAAGTCCCGTCTTCCTCAGCTCATCCTTGACCTGCTTCACCGTCCACTCTCCTCGGTGAAACATGCCCGCACCCAGCGCAGCATCCACGTTCGTCTTCTCGAAGACCTCAGCGAAATGGTCAGGATTGCCAGCACCGCTCGACGCAATCACAGGGATTTTGACCGATGCCTTCGCCATGCGTATCAGTTCAAGATCGAAGCCAGAGTTTGTGCCGTCTTTGTCGATGCAGTTGAGCAGGATCTCGCCGGCGCCCATTGCTTCGACAGCTGTGAGGAGTTGGACGACGTCGAGATCGCGGGTCTCGCGGCCACCTTTGATCGTGCAGGCGTACCAGCAGTACTTGTCCCCGTTGGGACCTGGGAAGGCTGTTTCGATAGTGTGGTGGGTTGTGGCTTCGGGTGAAGAGACGTAAACGCGTTTGGGATCGACAGACACGACGACTGCTTGGGCACCGTACGCTTCGCTGATCGTCTCGATTGCGGTCTTGCCGGTCAGAGTCTTATTTGAGGCAAAGTATTGCTCCGCAGCTGTGACTGCATCTGAGCCGATGGAGACTTTGTCTGCACCGGACTTGAAGTAAAGCGTTGCGACTTCGAGAGCGGGTGCTGTTCGCCCTGTCTCTGGGTCTTGTGTATCGCGAATGCCGCCTCCGATGGTCAGAGGTACAAAGACGGTAGCAGATGCTTGTCGTAGCACTTCCAGCATCGGCAAATCTTTGAGGGGGGTATCGCGGAATGATGTGATGTTGAGGAAGGTGACTTCATCTGCGCCTTGCTCATAGTATTGCTGTGCTCTCTGCACTGGCTTGCCGAGGTTTCGAACTGCGTTATCTGACTTCTCACGGACGTCGTATTGGTCGCCCTTGGTGACGACCAAATCACCTTGGTCGTTCGTCCGTACGTCAAGACATGCGATGATGCGTCTCGTGAGGCCGTCCTTGATCGATGACTGGTCCAGAACAGCAGGTAGAGCTTCGCTTCCTCTTCCCTCTAAAAACGCCTTCAATACACGCTGACCGGCCGCGCCGCTCTTCTCAGGATGGAATTGGGTTGCCAGTACGTTGTCCTTGGCAATGGCACCGACAAACTCCTCACTTCCGTATCGAGCGGTCGCCACTTTCCAGCCATCCTTCTCGAACTGCCCTTCCCGATATGGCACAGCATATGAGTGGACGTAGTAGTACTTGCTGTCAGGTCGAAGGCCATAGATACTCTCAGAGCTGCTTGCATTCGCAGAATTCCAGCCGATGTGCGGGACGCTCTTGTCGCCGTTGCGGAAGCGTTCTAGACGACCCTTGACGATCCCAAGTCCAGGGACATTCGGGCTCTCTGCGGAGCCTTCGAATATTGCTTGGAGGCCGACGCAGATTCCCATGAAAGGTTTGCCAGATTGAATGTGTTTTCGGACAGGTTCTACGTAGCCAGCATTGGCGAATTGGCTTAGGCAGTGGCCGAAGTGGCCAACACCAGGGAGAATCAATTTCTACACAGCGGTGTCCTGTTAGCGATCAGTTTACAATTTGATGGTAGTCATTGCGGCTGTGTTACCTCTGCTTTCTCCACATCTTGCGGCGACGTGATCCATTCCACCTGCCAGCCGAGCTTCTCGATGGCGTTGACAAGTGATCGAATGTTGCCCGCAGCATAATCCAGCAAGTGTACGACGGGCATCTTGGTCAACTCTTGTCTGTGAGATTAGGAGAGCAATGAATCTTCATTCCGAGTTGTGCATGCATCTAAACTGTGAGTCGTAGCAGTCCCAGTAATTTTTTACTTAGCGGCGGCTCGTTCCGCTGATCCGAGCTCGAAATCTTCAGCCTACCTCGACCTCATGCGATCGAGTGCTTCTCGACATCTCGACAACCACACCCTCGCATCGTCGCCAACATGGTGCGAAAGCTCAAGCATCATGAGCAGAAGCTCCTGCGAAAAGTCGACTTCGTCAACTATCCCTCCGACGACCAGCACCGCGCCGCTGCGGTCATCCGACGATACTCAGTCTCCAACCCTGCCGACTACTCCTCATACAACCGTCTCGCAGGAAAGTTGAGACACCTGGCACACCGCATCGCACTTCTACCACCAGAATCGCCTTTCCGGCGGAAGCAGGAGGATCTACTATTGGAGAAACTTCATGACATGGGCCTGTTGGGCATCGGGGGTGAGGGCAAGGGCAAGCTGAGCGACGTCGAGAGGAAGATTACCGTGTCTGCCTTCTGTCGGAGGAGACTCGGTGTCGTCATGACACGTCTGAGAATGGCTGAGACGGTCAGCGCAGCGAACAAGTTCGTCGAGCAAGGCCATGTTCGGGTTGGTACTGAGGTGGTCACTGATCCAGCGTTTCTGGTCACTAGGTATGCGATGGGCCTACTTTTGACACGATCACGACTAACACTGTGCAGGAACATGGAAGATTTCGTGACTTGGGTTGACTCGTCCAAGATCAAGAGGAACATCATGAAGTACCGGGACAAGCTGGACGACTTCGACCTGCTCTGAACGGACGACGACATTTATCACCGACTTTACGTGGCTATGGCGAGACCTCAACGATGTTGTCGAGCTCCATGACGACCCAGGACTACTCTCATGGACTGTACCTGCACTTCGTTGGCCAGGACTTGTGGTTGTGTGAATGGCCAATGGTTGCCTGAGGGTCGTGCAGGAAGGTCACGTGCTGTCATGCGCCCTCTTCAGGGTTGAAGTGACACCCCACATGAATCTTCCCTCACCTCCCTCCTTCCTTTTCACACCTACCACACACTGGCTTCACACCGACACCGCTTTACTCGTCATCACGCATTGGCTATATAAGCACTCTCTGTGACCCAAGACATCGTCTGGCACTTGCCATCACTCATTCGCACCTTCTCGACACTCTGTCACTTGCTACCGCCGCCATGCCAGAGTGGACGCGGCACAGCAGCGGTGACGTGTGCGCCCGCACCTCTGAAACGATGGAAGGCGTCGACTTGGTGAAGGGAAAGAAGTGGCCGCAGTCAATGTCGTCCACCTCGACCAAGTTGCAAACTCCTCATCATGTCCTTGATACCCATCAGGAACTTTATCAAGCGTATCTCAACAAAATTATTCAATCCGCACAGAAGTCACACGGTGAGCAGCTTCTGAAATTTGAAGGAGAGAAGGGCGCGAGTATCAATTTCAAGTTGCTGCTTGAAGTGAGTTGGCCTCCCAACCCCACCATGACTCTTGCTCACCCACCTCAGCACGCAATGGCAGGCATGAAGCAAGATCGAGAGGCCTTCACCACCGAGGAGTTTGATGAGGCGATCAGAGGCTGCAAAGTCAAATCGCCAATCGTTGGCACTCCGAACATGCCGTCGATGCCGAAAATGGTCGCATCACGTGATTGCAAAGCCCAGAGGCCGCCCGGTCTGGCCGCCACCCACCCTTCATCCTATACGCAGCAGATCCAACATGCACAGAAAACAATACCTTTCTCACCGGCTCCGAAGAAGATCAAGCTGGAGCCTGGAATCAAGTCAGAGCCGAAGCCCGAGCCTACGCCTAGAAAACCTCAGCCTTTTTGGGAGCAGATACATGACCCAAAATATCTCACGTCACGTGAAACGCTCGACAATCCGATGTACAGGCATCTGAGCTCAGACACCATGCCTGACGAGCCCAAAGTCATCTCCCCGACATTCATGATTGCGCTGCCCCTTGGCACGCTGATCGAAGGTGCCAACTACTGGTCGACCAAGGATCAACAGCCGAGGGACCCCCCAAACGCATAAGTCATTATCACGTGGGCCTTGCGAAGTTGATTGCGAAGAGAGTCGATACGGGAGCTCGGAGTTGCACTATTCGTGGCAGCTCCAAGGACATGCACAAGCTTGAATAGCGCATTGACAGATTGTCATGAGGGTCTAGCGCCATGTTGTCAAAAGATGAATCGGAGTTCAGTTGGATGCCTTGCGGCCACGGTAATTGTTTGGCTTCATGCGATGGCTGGTTGATTAGGCGTCTGTGCAAGTTGAACTTGGACGAAGAAATTGAACCCATGAAAGCCATGATCTCTATCTGCGTTCCTCATTCCCACCGTGCCTACAACGTCTGTTCATCGTCGTAGCTATTGCTCACTCAACGTGCCAACAAGAAAGAAGGGGTGCAGCATGTCATTCTCGAAGGAACCCGGGGCTCATCTTCGGGGTTGCTTTGGCTTGCAATGTGCAATGTTCTACTTCTGAAGACTTCCAAAGCGCAGCATTGTATGCGTCGAAGCATCGTGCAGGCTCCATTGAATGACGCTAAGTAGCAATCAATAGGCGCACAAATAGCCTTGCCAATCGACCCTGTAGTTAGTTGAAGGCACAGCGAAGTGTAAGCCATGAACAGAATCATGTCTATGCCACAACATCGACAACTACAAGACCAGCAAGCATGCGCTACAGAAGATTGGCTCTTGATCGAAGACTCCTCGAAGAGCTCTGGCCAAGGAGCACCGGTAGACAAGAGTCAAGAGATCGACTTGAGTGACATGACAGGACTTCTCGCAAGTATGAAGCTACAATGCACCGAGCTGGCTAAGGCGCAGCATGTCATTGAACAAGTTCTCGAGAGACAAGCCCACGAAATCGAAAGTCAAAAACAGCAGCTATCAGAGCTCAAAGACGAACTTGATCGTTCGCTTGAAGAGCACATGCTTGATATGCAGCAGCGATTGACAGAGAAGATCCTGGAAGATTGCGACGCCTTGAGGACAGAGCTTCGTCGAGAACTTGCTAGTGACATCGGCAGACTGCAGAATGAGATAGAGAAGATCTTGCAAATGCTGGACGATGAAACGAAGCAACGCCAGCGTGAGGTTGAGGCGTTAGAGTTGGACGCAGCGTTGTCCCAACAGACACAGCAACAGTCTCTCGATGATTCTGACAAGCGCATTCAGCGTCTTCAAAAGCATATTGCGACCGTTGACAACCCAGGAGGAGAAGCTGAAGTGAAGCGGCCTGCTGGTGAACAGCGGGACAAAGACACTTCTAGAGATCACGACGCTCATCGAGCTTCGATGCAGTGGAGCATGTTCTGCGACGACTGCCGGAAGGAGATGAACGACGGGGATGCGGAGGCAAGCAAGAACTCCTGGGAGGGTCTTTGGTAGCCCTGCTTTCTTCCATAGTCAAGTAAGCAGGCGAATTCGTGCATACTCGCTGAAGTCCGTACGCCTCATAACTATCGGAGCTCGCCGCTTCATCATCATAGTCGAAGAAACCTCATTGTTCCACACAACAGGCTCGTGATTTTCTTCAGTCCTCCAGCAAGGCGAGAGGGACGAGCGTGCTCCGGAGTTGCTCGGGCGCGAAGAACGTAGAAGTACGCCTGAGTATTGGAGCATGACAACAACAGCACCGCCGTCGCAGAAGGTCGCCCAAGGGGGTTTGGAAGCGCTGACAATTTGCGGAGGGTTCACAAGCTGAGTCAATGACCACTGGATCCAGAGTTGGTCACTTCCTTGTGCACGGCGGTGTTGTCAACCAGGTCTGTGGGTATCCAAATCAGTCTGGTCATATACGCCAGGCATTTCCAGTATTTTGGCGATAGAAGTGATTGATGAAGAAAGGGAGAAGTTGCAGGTGAAGAGGTGAGGTTGGAAGAAAGTGGTCTTGGCAACCGCCAAAAGCCAAAACATCCTGGCGACAGGCGCCATCAACAACGCGTCGTCCGGAACTTGTCTCTTCACCGCCAACCACCCACCTCCCATGGCGTCCGCTAATGCTGAAGCCGCCGCTCATCAGGCGCCATCGACATGAAAGCCCTTCCATCCAAGTTGGCTCTCAAACCTGACCAAAGAACGAGCAAGAGATCGAGAAGCCCGCCTCCGGTGGCGAACGCCCTCTTTAACTGTCATCTGTCTCAGCGTGGACTGCGTCTGCTTGACATGTCCTCGCCGGCTACTTGCGTTTCAGATGCAAGTCATAGATGCTTCACGTTGTACATGGCTGATCTTGTACGCACCCTGCAGAGTGTCACCGCCACGCCACCGGTAGCATAGCATGCAGGCATCGACAACATAGCTCGAAGAAGCCCTCAGGACTTGTATTCGAAGCGTCTCGATGTACCACTTGTTCTGTGGATCGTCTTGCACCGTCCAGTATGCGGCTTGATCTATCTGGGAATGCGCACTCCACTCGAGCCTCATCTGCCTAGATCGAGATCAATCTTTGAATGGACGGCGGTTGGCTCCCTGTGAAGGATCACGGCGACACCGATATCGATGGGTCGGCTTTGACTAGACACCCAAGCGTGGCTGAGTGAGTATGGTCTCGTCCATTGTCCAAATCCATGCATTCCACGCTTGGTGCAAGACCAAACGAGCTACGGGATGTCGAAAGCCTCCAATATCATCATTCTCTACTCTATCGTCAAGTCTGTCGTTCAAGCCGCTCATGCTCGGGGATGGCACGACACCCTCTTCCATGTGGTGCCCGTGCTCTGTGGGAGGATACAGGATATATAGGACCGTATCGCTCCTCCTGGGACTCAGCTTTGGCCTCTACAAGCTTTCATCAGGATCTGCTAGTCAACCCAACTTTCCAACTACCTGGTTCACCGATTTCAGATTCCTCCTATCTTCGCCTACCTGCAGAGCCGTCTCTTCTCAAGATCGGACCCTTCCGTACCACTTGTACCAGGTTAGCCAGCAACACAGCAAGACGCTCAACCACGACGCTGGGAAAGTCGACAAATCAACAATGTTTCGCCAATTCCCACTCCTGTTCGGCATCTGTTTGATGGCTGCGCTGGAGCGCACCACTGCCATCGATGTTACCAAGGACCCGGACTTGATTGCGAAGCTGAAAAGTGCTGCCAGCCAGCTGGACCGTCTTCAGTACATCTCAGAGGATGCCAACTGGGTCTTCGACTACAAGGAGCAAGGCTACTTCTGGAACACCAGACCCGGCGGTGTGGTCAACGCCAACGTGAACACCTTCCCTGCCGCCTTTGGCAATGAGATGACCAGTAAGTGCAACGTCTGTCCTGCCTTGAAGGGCCTGCTGACCACTACATCAGTGGCTTGGATCAATCTTGGGGCATGTGCTATGTTGACTCCTCATTTCCACGCGCGAGCAGTGAACTGGGTCACCGCCGTCTCGGGTAACACCACTACCTACATGTATGAGGAGAACGGTGCCCATACTATCAAGACACAACTCGACTTTGGGAAGGCAACTGTCTTTCCTAGAGGGAGCGTTCACTACATGGTAAATCAAGGTACGTTCTCAGCAGAGTGCTTTGGAAGAATGACTTCCGTGCTTCTCAACCGCCGATCAACAATGCTTCAGAGCTTGAAGCCATGATTCAAACTCTGTGACAGCCTTTATGGGTCATTGACTAACATGGCTCTAGCTTGCGAGGATGCGATTCTCATCTCTGCCTTGAGTAACGCGGACGCGGGTACGACCAACCTCAACCAAGTCTTCAACATCGGAATACCATTCGACGAACTGAAGGCGGCGTTCGGATTCGATGTCAACAACAGCACCAGCAATAACATCCCTGACATCGGCACTGGGGCAAATTGGGGCACTGAAGAATGCCTTGCTCGATGTGGAATCACCAAGGATGATAGCCCGCCGCCACCGTCGTTTAACGGCAGTGCAGCCAACATTCGAAGACCTTAACTTGGATCTATCACCTAACTCCAGGCAACGGCATCATCGCGAATGAGCTGCAAGTCTTGCGCGACTTGCAAGGGACGCGACTAGTTAGATGTGTAGATAACGCCGTCCCGGCGAATCTTTGGGCTGAAGTCTGTCATTACCATAGTTCAAAGTATACGATCTGCGTTCTCTTTTCGTAATACTTATATCTCTTACCAAGCACGGAAAGACAGATCAGCTTCAGACCGTCGAAAGCTCAGAAAGCGTTGCAGTCGTACAAGCCTAGACCTCTGGACGTCAAGTACGCAATATTTTTGCTTTGTCTAGAGCTCACCAAGGAGTAGCTCCCGCTGCAGAATGACGACCAGCTATCAAGCCCAAATTGACGGAGCTTGTCAGGACACCAACACGTGCGGCCGCGGAACAGGTTGAAATCAAGTATTTCCCGGAAGTATGGATGATAAGATGGCGCAAAATCATCGCCTCAGCAATTTCTTCGGCATTGGGGTTCACTTTGACAACATGATACGATAGAACTTGCTCTGTCTCGGTGCAAGATAACGACACCATGCCCCCAATCCTCCACGTCATGCGCCATGGACAAGGCTTCCACTCCTCCGCCGTCTCGAAAGACGGCCATCTAATCCGAGACGCATCCCTGACAGACCACGGCAAAGAGCAATGCAGACAACGCTGTGCGGCATTTCCTCGCCATGAGAACGTACGTCTACAACATCCGACCCCGGCAGCGAAAGGCTTTGGCTGACGGTCTTTCCAGATCGAACTTCTCCTCGCCTCTCCTTTGCGGAGAGCAATCCAAACCTGCCAACTCTCTTTCAGTCCTTGAGATACTAATGAGATTTCGACGCTAGGTGGGAGGAAGCGGAGTTGCGAACGTATACATTCTCAGACGAAGACGACGAGTTGGCGATGATATATGAGACTGAGGGCTCTTTGATCAGTCGTGGAGGGAGGCTGGAGAATGGCGGCGATCGATATCTGAAGTTGAACCAGCCGGCGTTGAAAGGCCAAAGACCAAACTAGCAAATGAAGATCGGGGTTATGGTCTCAATAGATCTTATCAATTCGTTATGTGGCATCGTGACTAAGTCTCATCAATTTCATCCAACTGGAATAGATTTGCCATAATGGCTAATCACACTCTTCAAATGTAGTCATCGACGCAAAATCTCGATCAGTCACACTCTAGGAGCTATCATCGGTCCCATTGTTCGCAGGCGTCATACCGTCGGGAACATAAGTAGTCGACAGCTCGTTCGCTTGTCGCTTGCGGAAGATATGACGAGTATTCAAGCCATTGGCGCAGACAGTGTTCGGCGAGCAGACGCTGTAGCCACAGCACGAGTTGGCGTTCAAGCAGATATATCCATTTGGACATTGAGCATTGGTGCTGCATGTTGGCGAGCATGGTCCTGACTGGAAACAAACTTTATTGTTGTTGACGTCGGTACCTAAGAAGTGTTAGTATAATCGTGGGTGAATGGGGTCAAGAGCGCTGCTTACCGCAATAGCAGTTCTGGGATGGATTGCATTGTTGGTACGTGTAGCATGATCCGGGGTTGTTGCAGCTCGTGTAAGGATTGTGGACGCAGGGCGTTCCATCATTGGCTGCGTTGGCAAAGGCGTAGCTGTACGAGATGGAGTACGTAGCGCCGTTATACGTCTGAGAGCTCTGAGTGGCGTAGGTCGAGGCCTGCAAGAAGGTCAACCATGGTGGTCAATAATAGCAAGAATCCTTGACAACTAACCCAAGCTTGCTTGTACATGGCACAGTATTGGCCGTACGACTGGCCGTTCCTCGAGATCACATAAGTGTTGAAGAAACGGCAGGGAGTGTTTTGGTTGGCCTGAGTTTGGGCGTTGCAAGCCGCAGCCTATGTAAAGTTGGGATGAGTACAATGTGAGTCTTGCTGAATATTCATGGCGTATACTTACACAACGACGGGAGTCGAATGGTTGACCATCGTTCCAGTACTGGTTGCCGATGTATGTGCTCTGGCCATTGCAGTCGTTGGGTGCGCTGATAGCATTGCTACCCAAGAATTGAGGATCGCCGTACCCACTGCAGTAGTCGACGGTCTGGTTCACGTAGCCATTGGAGCCAGCAATACTGTTCAAGGCTATCAGTGGAGTCAGATGTCGGAACATGTTATGAAACTTACACAACATGGTAGTTGTTGCGCCATTGTCCGTTGTTCACTGCGTTTGCAGACGTTACTGGGCCACCCCAGAACACGCACTTGATCAACGTACTGTTCAAAGTCAGTGATAAGGTCTTTGTTGACTGGATTGTTAGAGAGGCATTACGTTGTGGGTGGTTGCTCGCAGTTGCCACCGCTTGGGGAAGGATCCTTCGATGGCGAGCGCTCAAAAGCTTCAGGGGATCAGCAAAACACTCGATGTAATGTGATCAATTGTGTGACTCACCAACATTGAAAGCGGCACCTGTGGAGACGTAAGCCAAGCATTAGGATTCGCTTTATATCGCACTTACATCCGTTGATAGCATCACAATTCCTGGAGCACAGGGGAACATCGTAGGTGTCCAGCAGCGTGAATCCCATGTAACCAAGAGCATTGTTCATGGCATTGAAGTTCTTGAAAGTGTTGACATAGCCAGACGGAGTGGGTGCGGCTGAAGCTGCAGAGACAAACGCAGAGTAGGTCACAAAGGCAGAATCAGTATCTGGACTTGGAACTGGACCAGCGCCTGCTTGCTGGGGATCACAAGCATTTCGTTTCACCTTGCTTGGATCCGACGTCTGCTCAGCAGCAGCCGAGCTCTCCACGGCGACAGCATCGTACACAATGGTCTGTGCTGGGACGTTGGTGGCGATGGATGGCGATGGCGGAGGTCCTGCTTCAGCAATCATGGCAACGTCGAATTGCGGCTCTGAGGTAGTGCCATCGGCCAGTGCTGACTTGTAAAGTGCAGTGGCGGTAAGCGTACCGGTGATGACTTTGAAGAGCGACATTTCGCTGAGACAGAAGGATTGCAGTCCAAGGAGATGCTTCAAAATGTTTCACTTGCCCAGGTCCAGCAGCGTTTCTCGAATGAAATCGAGAAAGTCTTATACCTGTCGAAGCCCCCAGCCACGTGGATGCAAAATCATGGAGGCGTTACGCCAAAGAGGCCGGCTAGAAACTCTCAAGGTTGACAACCGAACAGTGACGGCTCGAGGTGTTGATGCCGGTCGTTCTGGCTCACGTTTACGTGGTCTAGATGCTGGAGTGGACGACTGCACGTGGTATAAGCCAGCGACATACTCGAGTTATAGCTATTAACTTGGCTTGTCAGCGGGCGGTATCAAGTTGGTAGATTCCGATGCATAGCTGCTTGAGGTGCCGGAGTGGCTATATGAGGCTGCGTCTTTCAAAAAGTAACGCAGCCACATCGAGACATCGTAGCCCAATAAGATCAAGCAGCTCCCAAAAGAGACCCAGTCGCGGGAGCCTCTAGCTGTCTTGGGATTTCGCTAACGAGAGTCCGCTGCAACCAGTGCCAGAGGAAGGGCAGATGACTTAGATGGGCCTTCAATCGAGCTACTGTCAATGTCAGAGGCACTCGAGGTGAGCAGAGCGGTCTTCTGATAGTGGGACGAGTGAGGAAGAAGGACCAAGTGCAAATGAATGCCTCAAAGGAAAACTGCTCACAAAGCGTCTTATCTTTCAGTCTTTCCTAATAAACTTCGTATAGAGTTCACCCCGCGCCCACGTGGGAGTTCGTTCAAGTGCACGTGGGTCGTCGGTCAGAGATCCTCGATTGCCCGCAGTGAAAGTGCAGCGGCACATCCAGAATCAAGCAACAGGCCGCATATCTTGATCGGGGCGCGAGAAGCAATCATGGTGCACGATGTTGTGAGTGGATGTGTTGAGTGGAGAGGTGAAGTCCACTTTCGGCTTCTCAAGTTGATCCGGCCGTCCCGGGAGTTTGTCATGTTTCTGTCACGTGACTCGAAATCATCTGGGACAAAAACGCGTACACTTCTATCAAACATTGAATTCTATATGTTCAGGATGTGACGACCTTCCACAACACCACCCTCATCTAATGTTCTCATTACAATGGCCTCCCATAACGCGACCAGACTTTCAGTGAAGCAGCTTCTTCAACTCCCCGATGGTATCCACCTCCAGAAAGAACGCATCACGCATTTCGATCGCCAGTCCATCACGAAGCTTCTGTGAAAGTACAAGCGACATTAACGAATCGAGACCAAGATCGGATAGCTCGACTTCATCGGTGAGCTGGCCAATGTCGACGGCAAGCTCTTCTGCGATCATGACAAGAGCTTGGTCCGTCACGTCCTTGCTTCCTGCGTTGTCCAGGCCATCGTCTGAGGAGCTGGCGCTAGCACTCGTAGATTCCGGAGTTGAGATGCCTAGCTCGAGCTGTGGAGTCATCGGCATTGAGGAGGGCTGCGTGCTTGAGGGTTTCGACGGACGGGCTGGCGTAGCTGCAGGTTTGGAGAGCACTGTTGGCTTGACATGTGCAGCCGGACCTGCCGACTTCTGCTTGCTTGCGTCTGGGGGACTGAAGAAGCGCCCTAGCATGACTCTCGGCCACTGCAGGAAGACGATGGCTTCCACAAGTCCAACAATCTCCGATCCCTCAAGGATGTAGACATCGCCCGCAAAGGAGTTGCCTCCCGTTGGAATCATTCTGGTATAGGCCTGGTATCGAGCACCGGGTGTCAGGGGCTTCGCAAACTGCATCGACTTCCACGATGGAGTGATGTAGAAGTTCTTTGTGTTCTCGAAGTGAGTGCCACCATTCAAGATGAAACCGGATAGCGACACGCATCCATCAATGAAATGTGGAGGGATAGTCCAAGAACCACTGGTGTCTTCCGGGAACACGACATCGGCCACGGCTTCATCTTCATTGAGGATCACAGACTCCATCGTCCGGTACATCGAGGAGTAATTCACAAGCTTTCCGAAAAGCGTGTATGCCAGACCGGTCGTCAGTCGGTTTGCAGATCCCGCGGTCGCCATAGCATTGAGCGCCTGAATGCGACTTGTGATTAGCTTCGACGAACGAGCCCAATCTGAAAGCCAAGATGAGGTGTCCTCGTACGAGACTGTGGCATGGCAGTACCACAACTCCTTCGCGGGATTGAACCATTTGACCTCTACTTGCTGCCTGTCAAGGTCGGCTGTTGCGGAGACAATGATGGGCTGGAGTTCGCTCGTCTTTTGCTGCTTGACTACAGGCTCATGGTACTCGAAGTTACGAACATTGAGACCTCGGGTGACCGAAGTGGGCAACGCTTGGTCACTGATGCGCTTGGCCAAGGTGAAAGCCATGTCAGCGTGAAGAAACTGCTTGAAATTAGCGCTTGGATCAAAAGTCAACCGACGACGCTGCGTACCGAAGAAGCGACGCCGTGCCCATTCATGGCGTGGCCGTCAACGATTTCCTGGAGCGAAGGATCCGTTATGATAGTCTCAGCTGTGATTTCTGCCGAAGACTCGTTGTATTGCTCTGACAAGATCTGGTGAATGCTGGAAGTTGAGAAACCTCTCACTGGTGGCTTGGATTCAGGCACGATTTGTGCCTTCGTCAGATTCCAATCGCCTCGATACTGGATCCAATAGTTCTTGTTGTTCCAGGCATAGGTCGGGGCGTCCACCAATCGCAGTGCCTTCTCGAAAGGCTGGTGAAACGCATTCCAGTAAAGTTGTACTCCAACATTGTACAAGGCACACATCGCTTTGGAGATAGTCGTCCAACCGTCCTGATCTCGATGGAGACTGGGGCAAGCGAGCCGAGTCGCTGGAAGCGTTCGATTGATGAACCCGCACAGAGTTGGATGATGGCCCATTTCAACCCAAATGGTAGCATCAGAAACGACACCTGTATCCCAAGCGTTGTTGAGCGCACCGGCGAAGTCGACAGTATCCCGCGTAGCCCCGGCCAGATACGAGACATCAACTGCATCCACGGACGTTACAACTCTGACGTGGCGTGGAGATATGATGGGTATGCGAGGCTTCTTGCAAACCACCGCTCTGGCCTTGTTCATGAAGTCGTCCAGGATGATATCCATTTGACGGGTATGATATGCATGCGCCACCGGCAGACGAAATGTCCTGTGGCCCGCCTGGCTCAATTTCGCCGCAATCGAATCCAGAACCGAGCTTTGGCCTCCGACGACTGTCTCGTTTGGGCTGTTGATGCACGCAATCTCTATTTCGAAATCGCCTGCTACTTCTCGGGCATTTGAGACGGATGTGGTCACGGACAGCATCCCGTCCGTTGCAGTCCTGCATTTTGAATCCAGAAGACGAGCCCGGGTGGCAACCAAGAAGACGGCAGCACTGTCAGAGACGACACCCGCGACGGCAAGCGCAGCATATTCTCCCAGGCTATGCCCGATGACCACGCTTGGTTTTATGCCATACGACTCCCAAAGTCGAGCCAGAGCAATCTCAACACACACGATGGACAAATGCATTGATTCCGTCGAAACATGGCTCTTCTCACATGTGCCCTCAATGACAGGCAAGAATGACTCGAAGTGCTGGCGTCTGGCAAGCCCATCTAGATGAACCAGCTGCTGGCGGAAGAAACCACAATCTCGGTACAGCTGCTTGCCGATGCCGACATAGAATGTGCCTTGTCCTGTAAAGGCAAAGGCAATGGGTGGTAGCTTGCCTGAGTGCGGCTTTTGGGTCAGTGAGGTCCCGATGTGAGGCCTGAGCTGATTTACGGCTTCTGGAAGAGAACTGGCGTTGACTGCAGCTCGGTAGTTGTAATGTGCTCTCCTGGCTGAGAGCGTGTACGAGAGATCAGCAATGGATGACGCAGACTCGCTTTCCATGTACTCCACCAGGCGCTTGAGGTTCTCGTGAAGGAAGGAGGCCGTCTTGGCTGAGACGGTGATGGCGTGCAAAAGTCGCTGGTCTTCGCCGGATCTGGGTCGAGGCTTTGCTTCCTCCAGAATGATGGAAGTGTTCCCACCAGCAGCCCCGAAGTTGTTCACCTGAAAAGATTAGCCGACACTTCAGGACGCACAGTCTTTGGGGCCATACCATTGCGAGTCGATGTTCGCTTCCAGATCTCCATTCCGTGGCCTTGTATGGGATGATTACATTGCGGTTCGTCAAGTCAGGTAGAGTCGGATTAAGACCTGTCTTGATCCCGATATGAGGAGGTATGACTCCTTTTTGGAACACCAACATGGTCTTGATGAATGCCATGATACCAGCAGCTGCCTCTCCATGGCCAAAGCTCGACTTGACGGTGCCTACATGCAATGGGACATCACTTGCACCACCCCGGCGATTCTCTGGCGCAAAGACGCTTGTAACAGAAGTCATCTCGTTCTTGTCGCCTGCCTGTGTGCCGGTTCCATGCATCTCAACATATCCCACTTTCAGTGGATCAATGCCGGCTCGTCTGGCTACCTGGGTGAAGAGATGTGCTTGGGCTCGGTCATGCGGGTGAGTGATCGATACGGCCTCTGCGGAATGGTCAGTTGCTGCCGAAAGTACGACGGCTAAGACGTTATCGTTGTCGGCTTCTGCGTCTTCCAGTCGTTTCAAGACGACACTACCAACGCCTGGATACATCGTCAGCTTTTTGTTGGACACCGCAGCTCAAACATTCTACTTACCATCAGATCTGCAGTATCCATCAGCACCCTCGTCCCAGGTCTTACAATTACCAGTGGGAGATAGGAAGTGTCCGATGCTCAGACCTGCATAGACATCTGAATTGGTCAGAATGTTAAGACCTCCAGTCAGAGCCATGTCCACGTCGCCACTCCATAAAGAGGTACAAGCTGCTTGTATCGCCGCCAGACTGGACGAACACGCCGTATCCACGCTGAAGCTAGGACCCCAGAAGTTGAAGGCGTAGTTGATCCGTCCAGGAGCAAACGCTCTGCAGCCACCAGGAATGAAGTATGTCCCAACTTCCTGACCCGAGTTGACCTCGCGATAGTCGTCACTGGCTTGGCCGTAGAAAGTACCCACTCGACGGTTATGTATCCCTCGACCATGAACGAAGCCGGCGTGCTCCATGGCTTCATGCGCAGTGACAAGGGCCAACCGATGCATTGGATCTGTCTGCTCAGCTTCACGCGGACTCATACCGAAGAACGTCGCATCGAAAGCCCCTGGATTATCGACAAAGCAACCGTATGGCGTCTTCGATGTGTTCAACTTCTGCCCTGATGGATCGACGTGAGTCTCGGCATTGAATCTGTCCGGCGGAATAGTCGTGTGAACATCTTTTCCCTGTGCTAACAGTTCCCAGAACTTCTCGGTACTGTCAGCACCTCCAGGGAATCTACACGCCATTCCAACGACCGCGATCTTGGAAGACTTTGCGTCTCTAGCTCTGCTCGTCCCCAATGGTGCTTCCATTACCGCCGACATCATGTCTTGTGCGGACGAGGTGGCCCCCGGGACTTGATCTCTCCAGTGTGTGAGAAGACTTTCGACGTAGTGTGAGGGCTGGATGCTGATGAGCCTAACAGATTCAGGCGACAGTGCTCTCAATCGAGTGGTCACCGCGTCGATGGTCAGGTCCCAGTGTATTCTCTGCGTCAGCATCTCTTCCATGATGTTATGAAGCAGAGACGTGGCATCTGCCATGGCGAATGGCTCTCCGGTTACTGGGGAGAAAAGAGGGAGGTGCATCTGGTGATCACCCTCGATCTGAGGCACTGCCTGCTTGACATGCTCAATGCCGTAAGCATTAGCTGAGTGCCAGGATCCTTGGATCTTCCGCATCGGTACATTTGTTGTCGACTTGAAGAATTCTGACTCCGAGAACAAGGCCCTCAACGTCGAAGGTGGACCGCCAATGCTGATGGAGTTGCCGTCTACGTTGAATATTGAGGCCATACTTGTCTCTGAGAAACCCTGGAAAGGTGTCAGCGCTGGACGGCCGCGATATACCGCAATCTCTCACATTTTCAGTATTGAACCGAGCCACTGCTTCATGAGCCGCTGTCTCATCAGCTCCATGAGCACAATATACCCACGCTCCATCAGCGTTGATCTCGTCTGGTGAAGTTTCTAACGAGCGACAAACTTCATCGACCACGATCCCAAACCGAAAGGCGACTTGGACGAGATACTCTGTGACGATCGGTATCATGAATAACCGAGGAGAAAGGCCAATGGCGGCCCCTGACAGCAATCCTGGGCCTCTTCCAATGATAAATGTATTGGAAGCATTGAAGTCATATTCCAGAGGATGGATCTCATGGTACCTTCGTCTTGTCAGCATACTTGTATCTTGGCCCTCCAGACTCATGGTACTTAGGCAATAAAACTTCCGAGTTGGAACACCAGGGACAAAACTCGCTCAATCGCACCTCCAATCGAAGTCTTCCTCACGTCGATCACATGCTCAGTCAGGTCCAGGACACTTTCGTACGCTGGGAGCACCCTTCTTCGGTCTCGACTTAGTTGACTGCATTCGTTCTTCAGGCCGACAGTGACCGCGTCGAGAAACGAGGCAAGGATAGGGTGATTCTTCTCCTTGCTAAGCAAACGAACTTTCCTGAAAAGATCCTGCTGGTCTCCCTGTGGATCACCCTGTGGAATTTCGCCAGAAAAGTACAACACTTTTGCGGAAGCCATTTCGAGAAGGCTGGTGAGACAATCTAAAAAGACACTCGATCGATGTAGAGTGTCAAATTGATGAAGAGTGTCAACAGATTGAAGGCCACTTATACATTGACATAGTCGGAGAGCGATCACTGAACTTCGCAATCCAGGAGCTCAGCTGAAAGGGGCAGCCATTGATACGAAGCGGTCTGATGTCGATAGGGGCAAACTGGATAAGCTCTGCGAATTTCAACGGTCATCCGTAATCGTGCTTCCACAGACGCACGAGGCTTGAATCTACGGTCAAAAACTATTTCCAACACCGATGACTTTCGAATGGCGCCATGTTTCAGCTGATTTGCATGTGATAGTGCTCCTTGCGGCTGCGGGCCAAGTGACCGTCTATCGAGAAGTGTGGTTGTACAAAATCTTCCACAAGGCCGAGAACTCACCGGTATCTGTTTCGCTCGGGGATTGAAAGCCATGCTCAATGTCAACTGGTTACATTCTTACCGCATGCTGACCGACTGCAATGTCGCCTATCTCTTCAATGATCGGCATGGAGCAATGCTCTATTTTTGGCCATTTCTAGGTACCACCATCGAGGGACCCATGATCAATACCAAGAATGACCTCTAGTATATCACAACGGCACGCTCAAAGATGAGAATGACGGTAGTCAGCCAGACTGCGAACGTTTCGTCCTCATAATTTCACCCAATCTCGAGCATGTGAGGCAGCTTCTAGCTACCGCAGACGGTCCGTCAAAGAAGCTGCTTCTTCGTGAGTTGCACGAATTATTGTTGGCGTGGAGACTCCAGAACAGACGGCAACTCGCATGTAGGACGATATCAATCAATAAGTATTCATTGCAATACAACATGGCTAACTCTTCACAGTTCTCTATATGTGAGAATTTGAACTTAACGACAATGCAGCTGCTAATCACTTCCAGCCCCTGCAAACATCAGCTGCTCGAATCGGACATGATCTTGAGATCTTCCAAACGCTCGCCGTTTCTGGGCCGAAGACTCTTGAACAACTTCAGAAGCAGACGAATGCGCATCCCCTGACTCTAGGTGTGTCGCGATGTTTATTGTGGGCTTTAGACCCCTTCTTTGTGCTCATTCGAGACCAGGTCGCTTGCTTCGATACATGGCATCTGTCGGCATGATCGATGAACCGAACACCAATCTCTTTGCAGCCAACAAGAAATGCAAGAATCTGGCCAATGCGTCAGCGGTCACGATCGTGACACACTTGTGAGAACTCCTTGCAAGGCAAAGTACGCAGCTAATCGGCATCAAAGCTTCGAGAACTGTTCTCCTCTCTTCCAAGAGATGCCGGCTTTCTTAAGCAGCAAAAAATATGGAGACATCACAGACGGCAAAGACACCGTCTTCCAACCTGCTTACGGTACACATCTCGACACATACTCATGGTTCGCTCAGAACGAGATAAACAAAGATGCACTCATCAAGTACATGGCTATGGAGCAGTCGGTACGTGGTCGCTGGCTAGATCAATACCCGTTCGAGCGCGAGTCGCAAGGCTTGGATGCAGACAAGCCCGTCTTTGTCGACGTTGGTGGCAATGTAGGACATTACTGCGCGCTGTTCAGGACCCGCTTTCCGAACATTCCAGACCGTGTGATATTACAGGACCTTCAATCTACAGTCGCGCATGCGATGCAAACGCCGGGTGTGGAAGTAATGGGTCACGATTTCTTCCAGGACCAGCCTACCAAAGGTAAGTTCAGCAGTGAAGAGCTTGAGACGAAACAGTTTTGACCTCTGCATGCAGGGAGCAAGTACTACCACCTCGGTTGGATTCTCCACAACTGGAACGATGCAAAGTCGGCGGATATCCTTCGTCAGATCAAATCTGCCATGAATGCGCAGTCGACGCTTTTGATCAACGACATGGTGCTGCCTGAAGCTAAGGTTCCGCCTTTTTTTAGCGTCGTTGGACTTGGTCATGCTAGGCGCTTGCGGTAGTCGAGAGCGCACGGTGAAAGAGTGGGAGGAGCTCTTAGGAGATGTCGGCCTCGCCATCAAGGAGCGCATCATGTACAACCATGAGCTCTGCCACGGCATCATTTGTGCTACGTTGGCTTGAAGGTTGAGGAATCCGTGCTCACTGCATCGCTGCATGGTGTTAGAGACATATGAATGTATGAGAATTTCTGCCTCTTTGAGCAGTTAAATCAAAAGTAAGCTATTGTTTTATCATTGTTTCGTGGATCTCGCGTGATCTCAGACCCCAAGTCAGTACTGGAAGAACCGTAGTGATGCTCGCTGGACTTCACCGGCAAGTTCACAAGTTGCCTTCACTGATCTCTGCGTTGACATCTTTAAGGAGTGAAGATTGTACAATTGAAGTGGTTCTCCTATTCATTGTAACCTTCCGCGATGGGCTCCATTGCTGCGCCTTTTCACCGCATCGAGCGCCGGGTGCGGTTTCATTCACTTCCAAGTTTAGCTTTGCGCTAGCTCGTTCTAGCGTGCGCGCGCTTTCCATAAGTCGTTGCTCGATTCAAATAACGAGTCGGGAATCACACTTCAGCCCTACGACAGCTGATTCTATGAAACCATGTTGTAAGCTGTTTACTTTTTGCGTACGACTCACTCAGTTCTTCAATCGCACGATCAGTCACTACGTCGTGCTGCTTATGCAAAAAGTAAGCCAAGGGTTACGCTTCGGCCAGGTCAGCGGCGATGCATTACTTTGCATTGCAATAATGCTTGTTGAACAAGAAATAGTCTTGTGAGGGCTTGACATCATGGCATCGGCTCGGCAACCAAGAGGACTATATAGTAAGTCCTGGCGTATTCCCCGTTTCATCTAGAAGAACATCACATTCACCTACAAGAAATCTTGATTTGTCAGGAGAAATTCCAGAAATGCCATACCTCCAGCTACTCGGCGAGCCGAACGAGGTGCCTCAGGCCAGCAACATGAAGGTTCTCATCATCGGCGCAGGCATGAGCGGTCTCACTCTAGCCCACCAACTCAAACAGAACAACATCGACTTCGAGATCTTCGAACGTGATCCTGACGAAGACGCCCGTCAACAGGGATGGGCACTTTCGCTATTCGGCGAAGCTCTCGAAGGCCTGGAGATTTTGATGCCAGCAGAATTAGGCCCAGTCGAGCAAACCAGTCATCTCCGTCCACTCGATCTTCCAGCACAATTTGCCTTCTATGATGTGACGAGACCGAACATGAGAGTCGGGGTCCAGAGCGATGATTCGGGCAAGATTATCCGTGCTCATCGGCAGACTCTTCGGAACTGGTTACTGCAAGGCATCGATGTCCAGTTTGGAAAGAGACTTGTATCGATCGAAGAGCGCGACGATAAGGTGACGGTCAGATTTGAAGATGGAACTACGGCCACGGGCAACTTTCTTGTGGGTGCTGAGGGCACTAGGAGTGTGGTCCGGAAACACATTCTCAAGGGCAAGGACGTAATGAAGCCACTTGCCCTTGGATCGATTGTTGGTGAGATTGCTCTCAGCGGCGAAGACTTCACAACTCAGCTCAAACTTGCCCATTCCGGCTACATTGTGATGAATTCGACATTGGGCAGCAACGATCAAAGTGCAATCTTCTGTGCTTTGAACAAGGTCAGCGACGATGGCCAGACTGGTTACTACTACTACATATTATTGTGGGTGGACAAGCAAGCCCCCTTCACCACCGATGCCAATCCTGGCTGGACAGTTGGAGCAACGCAGCAACAATTGGCAGACTTCGCACGAGAGAAAACAAGAGCATACCCTGAACATCTTCGACAGCTGGTCGATAAGGTACCCACTGAAGGATACAAAAGCCCTGGGTTCCAACTTCAGGGAGTTCAGCTCGAGTCGTCACAGCTCCCAGCAGGGAGAGTCATGGTCATTGGTGATGCAGCTCATTCTATGACACCTTGTGAGTATTTCACGAACACTTCAAGTCTGGAGGTAAAGTTAACATATATCAAGTCCGTGGCGAGGCTGGCGTGTGTGCTTTCACAGACGCAATGAAACTTGGGAAGACTCTGGTAAAGATTTGTGATCAGCAAGCCCAAGGTCAAGATATGGAGAGACTCATGACTGACTTCCGCGACGACATGCTCGCTCGCGGGAAATGGGCCATTGACGTGTCCAATCCTGTTTTAGAGGACTATGGGAAATACGCAGCTGACTACAAATTTGGCACATTCGGAAAAGAGGCTGCGCCTATCGAATCACTGAATGTGCAGCAGAGCACAGCTGAGACTATGGTCTCAGCATGATCATCAGCCTAACAGTGATTGGAAGGCACACTGGACCTCGGAAGGAGTGAGCTCAAGTAACAAGGTACCGAGTATGTATTATGTCAACTGGATGGAGGACCGGCGTTACCCTGCAATGTCTTGCGAGAAGAATAGCAACGAGAATGTCTCAGCAAATGACTTCGACATTGCTTTGAAGAAGCAGTGTGCAGTCATCACTTTCAGTCCAGACTATCAAATTGGGAGTTGTTGTCACCTCCACGTTGAAGATTTTGAGATGGTTGTGTAGGTTGTGTAGGGACTGTACTGGAATAGGGAGCTGAATTGAACCACCATGTATTAGGGAAAACTCCGCATTGATAAATTACAATCGCTATTGCCCTGGGTCCGAACCATGAGACGCCGCCGCAGTTTTCAAAAGCAAGGATTCCTAAAGCCCAGAATCATCGTAACGATAAATCGCCGTTTTGTCGTACTCCACCCAACGGTCACAAGTTTGCTGATAGGTGGCTGGATCCTGTAGCTTGATCTGTCCTGGAGCTTCGATATACTGCACCCCAAATCCTTCTGCTATATGGAATGCGACATGGCAATGCATTAGCCAAGTCCCGGGGTTGTCAGATTTGAAGGCGAGAGCCAACCAGCCAGCCCCTGGAAGCGAGGCTGTATCTCTCCTGACAGGGTTCTTCCAGTTGAGATTGGCCGTCGCCTCATCGAAAGGTCCAGATCCACTGCCAATGATGAAGAAGTCGTGGCCATGCAAGTGGACCGGATGAGGAATGGCGAATGGTAGACTTTGTCTCGGGTCGTTGACGATAAGCCAGTAGTTCCATTGACCTTGACGGGCAGCTTCTATGGTGTTGAAGAGTTCTGGGTAGTTTGAGTCCCCTCTAATCGCATACCCTATGGTTGGGTCTGAGTAGTTTGTCCAGATGGGTTTGTCCAGAACCCACGCTACCATCGTGTTGCCACCTGGAGTTGCAACTGCATGAGTACGGTTCGCGGTCAGGGTGTTCGAAAATGATGCACTTGGCCTGCGAGAAATTAGCAAGGAGCACGAATCTGTCTCAACTCCCTAAACTCACACTTCACCTTTCCAGTATGTGCTGACCAATTGGTCATCGCAATTGAGGGGCTCGTTAGGCCATGGGGATGATGTGGGCGGCACGGAGGTATTCCATTGTCCATAGCTCCAGATCGCACTACCGTTGCGTGCAGTATTACTGTAACACAATGCAGAGACCTTTGCGCGGAACCAATATGATCCAGGTATTTGGTCTGCGCCGATGACCACATCGTATCGCTGTCCAATCGCCAAAAGCAGTGTTTCCGCTTTGAATGGCTTGATAGGCACGAAATCGGAGGCAATAACGTTGAACAGGTGAGCATCAAGTGATACACGAACATATGTGTTCACCGAGCTGTTGATGAGTCGCAGAAGATACTTCTTGCCCTTTTGGATTGTGACTGTATTATACTTCCCGCCACCATCGGCGTTGACATTGGTCCCATTGATGAGAAGGTTCGTCGCTTTTGGTGGCCCGCCCCATGCTTGAGTCTTGTTGCGCGCCTGCCATCCGGCTTGCCTTGCCGTCGATGTTCCATATACTTCGAAGAACATGTATGGTCCCAGGTCGGTGTCGTAGTTTGCTGAAGCGGGCCCTTCGATCACTATCGGACCAAGGACGCCATCACCATACTGGATTGATGTATGGGAGTGATACCAAGACGTGCCATACTGCGTAGCTTGGAACGAGTAAGTCGCTTCATCGCCAGGAGCAATAGCACATTGTGTTATGCCATTCACACCATCGCTTCCAGGGTTGTGATATTGGCGAAGACCGTGCTATAAGTCGTTGTTAGTGAAACTTCCAGCATGAAGTCTGAGAGGAATCACACTTACCCAGTGGATTGAGGTGCCGTTGTGCTGCAGTCGATTCTTGACCGTTATCTCCAATTTATCTCCCCATGAAGCTCTAATCGTCGGACCGGGGTACTGGCCGTTGACCAGCATACATGGTCTTGGTCCACTCCCATCTGGATTGCAGGTTGTATTTGTGATCTCAAGTGTTTGATAGACCGTGTTGCCTGTCGTCGGAAATTTCGTCTCTGCGTCAGTAGCAATACTCAGCCCATCGTGCCAACAGTCTCTTGTGAGAGGGCCATTGCTGCATGATCTGTTCCGCTCATCACTTCGAGTTCCTACCTGTGGAATGATTGCACCCAGAGCGAGATTGAGGGCAATCGCGAAAGCGGCGAGATGTCGCAGGAATGACATAGTGACGAAACGATGAGTAGTCATGCGTCATGCGAGAGAACTCCCTACCTCTTATGCCTTCTACGTCCAGTCTATCTCCTTCAGTATCGTTTTGACGGCGGCCTCTTTCGCATTGTTTTCCTCGAGACTTGCTGCCGCAAATAGCGTGCCTTCGGTGTTGGCAGACTCGCTAGCTTCCAAGCCGCCGAAGAAGCCATTCATCTCGTCCCTCGCGATCGATTCGCTGGAACTGTCTGGACATCAACATACCACGCCTCGAATAGGCTGTAGGAGCGATGACTACCGTAAACGACTCCGCGACACTGCCTTTACCGTCATAGCCACCTCATCCAGCTCAAAGCTGAGACGAGAGGTTGCAGCCTTATTACGCCCGGCGCCACTTGGCAAACATCATCTTTGGTACTTGCGGAGAATTTCGTCGAATGCTCTCGGAAATCTCGAACACTTTCGGTAACCTTCAAGGACGGATACGAATCGTCTTGCGTGGTAGGATCTTACCATGACCGCTGCATTGGACTCTCGCCATATCAGAGACTGCGGCCTCCATGGAAAATCGCTCACACTTGCTGTCTTGTTGTTGTATTGTGCCTTCCTTGTCTTAACGTCTTGTCAGAACCTCTAGTCCGCAGAACAAAGCCACGGGCAGCTTTCTCCGATCTTGTGAGGCCGTCTAGCACAATCTGGGAAGATATTGTGCTCGGTGTAACGGCACTGCCTCCAGACGATTGGGTTGAGGATGCGAAGCGTAGCATGGCTTTGTGTGAGCATATTCCCGATTTTGGTGAATGGTCGCGATTCTGTACGCCCCGACTCCTTCTACACTTCCAGATATGGGGTTCGTACAATACCAGATCTGTCGTGCTCCGGTGAAGTATTCGTCACAGGGTCTCGACACATGGCGTTCACGCGTCAGCCAATGCTTTGCGGATCTCCAGCTCCTGAACAGCCTCCTGAACAACTGAAGTTTGGGCGCTTCTGCGAAGTGAAGTCATTCATTGCGTGCTCTTCAACACCGCGCTGCGGTCCCCCACACGTCTCTCTTCAGCAGGCTGTATCCTCCCCTCACTTTGGACACGAAACATTATGTCAACGGTCAGTCAAGTTCGGCATTATGCTCTAAAAGCACTTCTACAGCGGCATCGAGCCCCATCTCTACAGCAAGATGTAACGCAGTCTTTCCCTCGCCATCACAGCCGTTCACAAATGGATAGCTCCCTTTTCCGCGTTTAAGATACCTTTTGAGTAGTCGCTGGTTTCCGGACAAGATAGCCCAATGCAAGACCGATCGACTTTGGTCATCGGCTTGCTCGACCAAAGCTCCATGCGATAGCAGGATCTCGACTATCTCTTCGTGCCCACTTATCGTTGCTTGCAACAGAGGTGTAAGCCCAGTGGCGTCTTTGAGGTTGCTATTTGCACCATGCTTCAACAACAGGCGCACTATTCTGCCATTGCCTTTCTTTACCGCAACATGCAAGGTACTCGTTCGTGACGTATCGTCTTGACTGCTCGTTGGAGTCGTTGTGGGTGTCACATCACTGCCTGTGTTGCCCAAGAATTCACCGAAGTCCTTCCAAAAGCATGCCTCCAGATACTGCTGGATCCCATCCCCGTCAAATGACATCTGCCTAAGAGCGGGAATGGTCTCGGCATAATTAAGGGGGGTCGACCAGATGTTGTTGCCGGCAGCGGAATCGCAGCTATCGTGATATACTGTCGCTGGAGAAGTGTTGTCTTTGGGACTTGCGAAGTTGGTATCCAAGTAAGGCCACTGGAATATCGGGCTGAGGGTGTCCGGGTTCTCAGCAGGAAGTCCAGCGCCCGGACTACGTCTAAACGATCCATGTCGACTCTCATCCAGGGCAGTATCAGCAGACTTTCGTTTGCCGTGTCTCTCTGATAATACGGCAAATTTATCAGCTGAAGCCATACTCAAATCGAGCAGGACAGACAAACCTCGAAATCGTCGCTGTGCCAAACGGTTTTGCTCCCGACGACGCTCCTTGGAGTCCTTGCCTTCCATCAGAGAAGTGCACGAGTAGTGACCTATTGTCAAAAGAGTGAGTCGATCAGAATATCAAGCGAACACACGAAGCTGATGGACTTAAGCCATCAACGCTGGGTAGCCTTCTACTCTGACACGAGATACATAGGCTGAAACTACTGCATGTCCAGTGTCGATCTGGAAAGACTTGTCTCTCACAGGCGACTTAGCAGGCATCCATACGGAGATTGCTACAGCGTACCATTACCTATCTTTGTTGTCCCCAGCTTCTGCATGTTCAGCCCCTGCAGCCTTCGTATTGCATCATTCGTGAGACAATCGAACCTTCTTCGCACGGCCTCGATGGATTTCGACATCCAAGGCTTCACCGGTGCATCAGCCAAGAGTGCGAGGCCTTTATCAGCTCCAACACGGACCCTGTTTCTTGATCGACCAGTCGAAGGTGCCGCGCATCACGGGCTGACAGGGATCAGATGAAATTAGAGTTGGGGCTAAAATTGTGAGTGAATGAAACGGGAGTCAACCTGTAGCATACTCGAATCTTTAGGGCTTGCGAAACAAAAGACATTGTTTGGCAACGCTAGGGCCACTTGTAGGCGTGCGACGGTGAAAGGAGCGGTCGCGCGTGCCGCTGCCAAATTTGGTGAGGGGCTGAAAGAGCTTTGCTTCACCAACCTCATCTCAACTCACTCGTCCTCGTCATTCCACTCAGATTGCAGCGTTCGTCTCCAGGATTCTTGAGGCGCTTGAGCGATCCAAAGTACAATTCAGAGCGTGGTCGATTTTAGGACCCGCCGTGTTGCCGGTCCTACGCGTTCCACTTTGACCGACATGGATCTGGACTTAACCACAGATATCGGTCAGGTCACACTATCAAACTCCTCCAACTGCTGGACATGCAAGTTGCGACGCAAGAAATGCGACGGCAACCGACCGACGTGTAATGCGTGCGCCGGACTTCACATCCCGTGTCATCAAAGCCAGGCCCGGCCTGAATGGATGGACGGCGGAGTGCGGCAGGAGCAGATGCAGGAGGAAATCAAGTGCAAGGTCAAAGAGAACGCACACCGACGCCGTGGCGATCACTCGGTCAACATCTTTCCTACGCAGAATCCCGCCGGTGAACCATCTCAGGACAGCTGGAATCCTGTGTCACAGAAATCGTCGGCGGCGCATCACAGCCCACCAACACGCAATGGCTCCATGCCAGCCGTAGACGTCAGCAATACTCCTCCATCTCCTCATTCGGTGTCAACCATCACGGTCGTGGGCTCTCCTGAGCATGGCTGCAGATGGGGCGAACATGTCGCACCGGGGACCAAGCAATTCGGAAAAGCCGACACAGTGCATATCGCCTTCTACACCGAGAATCTGTTCCCTTTCCTATTCCCGTTTCATCATCCTGCCTGCGGCAAGGCCTGGATCTTGGAACTTCTGCTTCGCAGTCCAGTAATACGACAAGCCACGCTGTGCCAAAGCTCGTACTACCTATCCCTCGAGCAAGAAGCTGCAAGTCATCGAAGTGCTTCAGAAGTTTTACTGGATCAGACCAATGACGCGTTTGCTGTGCTCAGTGATGCACTGCAGATCATCATCAGCCAAGGAATCACTCAGCACCTAGCTGGGGCAGTTCGAGTCTTAACCAGCATCATGCAACTTCACCGGTTCGAGGCCACAGTGATGAGCTTCGAGAACTGTCAAGCCCATCTCAATGCGGCTGTGGCTTTATTCCAACAGCTACTCGAGAGTGAGAGCGAAGATGCTGTGCGAATTGCGTGTGCTAGATCATCTTTCGATGGCGTCCTCAATCGATTGGGTCCAGCAATCTCAACATTCGGCACTGTGAGTGTACATGTCACCAGTGCTGAGCAAACAGCATTTCGCTTTTCTTCCGCTCTCGTTGTATTTGAGGACGTCATCGCCAGCACAGTGCTACAGAAACCGCCCAAACTTTACAGCTACCACAACAGCCTGCTCGTAAACAGATTCGACAGCACCGGACCTGCCATTGATCTCAAGACTGTGATAGGATGCGAGAACTGGGTGATGCTACACATTGGAGAGATTGCCGCTCTCGACGCCTGGAAACAGACGTGCAAAAGAGAAGGTACTCTCGATGTTATGCAGCTTGTCCAGCGGGCTACGTCGATCAAGACTACTCTGGAAGCAAGAATTGCCTCAATAAATACTCGATCAGCTTCCAACGGCGAGAATGTGAAGCCTCTCAACTTGCTTGACGCCTTCCACACGCAAGCGCATCCTGGCACAGACCAGATTGCCTTGGTCACAGAGGCCTGGGCACAAGCTGCGATGGCGTACTTATTTGTGGTTGTCTCAGGATGGCAGCCCGCAAGTCCAGACATCCAATTTCACGTGCAGCGGACGATTGACATTCTATCACAATTATCGCCGCCTTCGCTACTACGCACAATGGTCTGGCCGTTCTCCGTTGCAGGCTGCTTGGTAGAACCGGATCGGGAGGCTCACTTGCGAGGTCTTGTCCGGCCTCTACAGCCGCCAAGCGTGTTTGGGGCCGTACATAAGGCTCTTGTAATGATAGAAGGCGTGTGGGCCAGCAGGGGAAAGTTTAATGCAGACAGAGATCTTACTTCGTGTTTTAGAAGTCGAGAGGACTTTTCTGGTGCGAGCTAAAGTTGAATGCACCGGGCTTTGATTGCGACATCCCATCACTTGCAACCAAAAGACTATCAGGAAGACAAATTTCACTTGAAAGATCAGGTACAGAGTACAGACTGCTCTAGCCACTTAGTGTGCAGCACTCGCTGATTGGCCTCAACCAAACGCCGCTATGCTCATGTGATCTGAGTCTCCCTTACTTGAAGGACACATATCCCTTGCCCTTGACAAAGGTGGCCTCCCATGGGATACCGTCCGTCGACTTGGCGAGCTGCGTGTAGAACTCGCCGTGAGTAGGACCATCAAGCTCCATACCCTTCATCTTGCCATCCGCGTTGCGCTCGTCAGCGTAGATGAATCTGAAAGTCCAACAAATCAGTATGTGGTATATCCTCAGGTATATCTTCAACACTCACCGATAGCCTTGAGCCTTGTAGGCACCATCCGCGAAACCAATCCAGTGAGCCGACGCCGCCTTGCCCACGCCCAAATTCAGCATCATCGGCATTGGAATGATCATCTGATTCTGCGCATTGCCGGTGTAGATGAACAGCTTGCTTCCGCCGGCTGGAAGCGTGCTCCAGCCCTTGATCGCCTCCTGAGCAGCAGCGTACGGGCTGACGACGTTGACGTTGAGGTTGTCCGCGAAGGCGCCGACGGTGATCGACAGAGCGGAGTCCTTGTCTGGCGGAGGAGTCAAGGCCGCGGCGTTGTAGACGATGATGCTTGGCGCGGAGCCGAAAGATTTCTTGACGGCTTCGAAGAGGGCGGGGAGGGAGTCTGGTTTGTTGAAGTCGGCTTTGAGGGAGAGGTAGCCCTTGTCGGTCTTGGAGTCGGTGCCCTTTCTGGCGGCGATGGCGACTTTGTAGCCGTTGGCGGCGAAGGCGTCAGACACGGCGGTGCCGACGCGAGGGCCTGAGCCAAGAATGAGGACGACTGGTGAGTTCGACATAGTGCTGGCGACTTTGTGGTTTGAGAGTTGGTTGGGGGTCGGTGATGAGATTGCAGGTTTGGAATCTGAGTGGGACTTTGATGAGAAGCGGTTGTGAAGACGCTGCGAGATGTTCTGAAGAAACGACATGGCGAGTTGAACTTGCTGAAGACGCTCTTTTATTGTGTGTTGCTCTTGCTCACCGATGACCGTGCTTCGTCATCATTCAGGTGTCAGACCTTCTGTTGTCAGCGGCTGCCTTTTGTGCTTCGTCGAACTGCTTCTCGGTAATGCTGTTTGACGCTGCAAACAGTAGAAGTCGGACAACAGGCATCGGTGTGTCGGCACCCGTTTGTTTTCGCCGAGCGGCATTGTAAGCAAACTCGCAAGGCTGAGATGCCGAGCATACGCTAGTCGCAAAGCAGATCCCGCGCGCGGTCCTTCTTCTTTTGTCGCGTGATCCTTCGACCGCTTGACCCAATCTGGTTCCCGCGCGTATCTGTGCGCGGCCTTCACATGTCTTGATCTTGCGCAAGCAGGCGTGAATGCCTCTCACGGCTGATGACTTACAAATCGCCGAATGTACCTGCATTTCTTCCATGCCGATAAGGAGTGAGTATGCCCAAGGCACCTGGCAAGAGCAATGCCCTCTGGTAACCCAGCAAACACGAAAGACGACACTTTCTTCAACTCGAGAATCTTGACCATTGTTGTCGTCTTCGCAAGCCTTCTCATACCACTTCTCTACCACCTCATTCCCTTCGACCTGTCACCGACTGTCTCGCTCACATCAAGACCCGCCAAAATGGGAAAAGCGAACAACACTCCATCCTCGACGCGAATGCCCGTCTACTTCCTAGGCATTGGTGGTCCGAATTTCATGGCGCAAACAGATCACCCAGCCTTCCACAAGTTAGGCGGAACCGGCAAAGAGATTACCACAAAGGTCAAGCCCAAAGCCATCGTCGTCTTCTCGGCTCACTGGCAACACGGTCCGAGCAAAGTCGCCATTAACGTCGCCGAGACGGGGAGCTTGATCTATGACTTCTACGGCTTCCCGCCGCACTTTTACGAATTCGAATTTCCGCACAAGGGCAGTCCGCAGATCGCTGAGAGGGTGATTGAGAAGCTTTCTTCCGCGGGCATACGGGTCGATCGGGTGGAACGAGGGCTCGACCATGGGGTTTGGGTGGGATTCCTGGCCGGTATGAGACACGTTTTGCGTTCTCCTCAAGCGTTGCTGACATGTGATTTTCAACAGCCTTCGATCCCAAGAAGAACCCAATAGATGTGCCGATTGTGCAAGTCTCGCTGTTTGGCGACGAAGATCCAGTCAAGCACTACCGCATGGGCCAAGCGCTGGAGCAGCTACGGGACGAAGGCGTACTGCTTGTTGGCGCTGGGATGGCTGTGCACAATCTCCATGACTTCCGGAAGACGAGAGGAGATACTAGCAAGACGATGCCGTGAGTTCCTTGAATATAGCATCCTTTTTGACACCGCTTTGCTGACATTGCTGGACAGGTACGCTTCCACATTCGAAGCTGGTCTGACAGAAGCAATCGCAACCAAGGAAGGAGATCGAGAGAAGGCGATGACAGATCTTCTCAGGCGCGGTGACGCTCGTCAGGCCCATCCGTCGCTGGAGCACGTCCTGCCGATACACATCGTAGCTGGAGCTGCTGGATCGGATGTTGGCGAGCGAATCTGGGCATTGCCTGAGGGCAGTTTAAATTGGGGACAGTATCGCTTTGGCAAGGTCCCGTCTGCGTAGAGGATGAGCAAGCGGAATGGCTAAGAGTCCGCTGGCACTTGTGATGACACTTACGAACGGCTTTGCACATGTCGAAAGACGCAGACGCAGACGCGCCGCAAGTCTTGTTGTTTTGTTCCTTGATTCCTGAGATAGAGGCTAATGAGCTAGTTCATTTAAGGCCCCATTTTTATCTCAGTTAGCTCTAGTCTTTGCTTCCTCCTTCGTGTCTCCGTTCTTCCTCCGAATCATCAACACATCCTCGTGAACATCAATCCAGAAATTTTCCGTTGGATCCAATGCACTTGGAACTTGCTTCGAACGCATACAAATCACTCGTCTAAGCGCTTCTGTTCACAGCCGCACCGCTCGCCACGATCATTCTCGAACGCGTTCCTGCGGTGATCCTCACGTATCTTCCCTCCCTTGTTCGTTATTCGCTCTCTTGAACCTCTTGTAAATGATGTGCTAAACAGTGGTGGCATACGCACAACAACTGAAGTCTGCTCTCCTTCAAGTGGTAGGCAATCACCTCGCCGCTGATTGGCTTGGCGGAGCTGCAGCAACAGCTTCCTCAACTTCAGATTTCTTGCTCCAATTTCTTTGCGAATCCTGTTATCCGAAAGAAAGAACCTACCAAGGCAGATTACGACGTTTCGAACACTGAAACTCTTTCCGGTCGACTGACTGACCTGCTAATCGTCAAAATGGCCGTCGTTGTGGCGGAGCGCGACCCTCGCCATCTGCGCGGCATCGTGGACATGGGAAGTAACGGCATTCGCTTCTCGATATCCACGCTTCAGCCTCCAACAGAGCGCATCATGCCGACCCTGTACCAGCACAGAGCTGGAATTTCGCTATATGACGCACAGTACTCCCAGACAGGCGAGCGAATTCCGATCGACGATACCACCATTTCGGCCGTGATAACGTCTTTTAAGAAGTTCAGGCGCACGTGTCAAGACTTCAGTGTGCCGGAGGAGAATATCACGGTGCTTGCGACGGAGGCCACTCGTACCGCGGTGAATTCTGAAGAGTTCAGATCCAGGATCAAAAAGGCAGTGGGCTGGGATGTGACGATATTACCGAAGGAGGAAGAGGGCAGGGTGGGCGCGATGGGTGTTGCAAGTTCGTTGCCGGAGATTAGCGGACTTGTCATGGATCTGGGAGGCGGAAGTACGCAATTGAGTTGGCTTGTCAAGAAGAGTGACAGCGAGGATGTTGAGATGCCCAAGTCGGGCGCTGTCAGCATGCCTTATGGAGCAGCTGCGATGTCAAGAAGGCTTGAGGAAGCGGAGCAAAAGGGCACAGTGAAGGACTTGAGAGAGGAGATCAGGGCGGCCGTCGAAAAGGCTTACGAAAGCTTGAGGATTCCAGCAGATCTTGAAAGCGCTGCAAAGAAAGCAGGAGGCTTCACGCTCTACCTATCAGGAGGTGGTTTCCGAGGTTGGGGCTACGTGCTCATGAGCCAGCATCGAGTCAGCCCTTACCCCATTCCCGTTATCAACGGCTTCAAAGTCGGTCGGAAAGAGTTCCTTAGTACCGACCAAGTCAAAGCTGCAGCTGCAGCGTCTCTCAGCCGAGACGAAGACGAGCTATTTCGCATATCAGATCGACGAGCAGCGCAAGTTCCAGCCGTGGCCCTGCTGGTCAACGTTTTAGCAGAAGCCCTTCCTCTCGTCAACGAAGTCCGCTTCTGCCAAGGAGGCGTGAGAGAAGGCTACCTCTTCTCGTCGCTGGCGTCACACGTCAAAGCCGAGTTGCCGCTCGTGGTTGCCACGAGGCCTGTGGCCATGCAAAAAGACCCATCACCACTTGTCGACTTACTCGAGGCGGCTGTCCCGTCCGGAACAACGCAAGGAGCTCTCGATGACTACAAAAGCGTCTTCACGCGTGAGCTCTTGGAGGCCTTTGCCAATCTCATCCAATATCACTCCAGCCACTCGAAAGATCTCCAAGCCACGGCTGCGCTCCGATCAACAACATCCGGCATCCTAGCAGGCGTCCACGGCGTCCTCCACGAATCTCGTGCCCTCATCGCCTTGATGCTCTGCGCTCGGTGGGGAAGCAACATCCCTCCTTCTGACGAAATGTTCAAACGCAGTCTCGAGCAACTAGTGGAATCACCTTGGACATTATGGTCGATCAATTACCTCGGGGCTGTCGCTGCTTTGGTTGCCAGTGTCTATCCGGCTGGTATCACGGAAGCGAATAAGGGGAGGTTGCAGCTCAATGCGTCGTGGGATAGGGATGAGAAGGCTCGAACAGTACTGCTTCTGAAAGCGAAGATCTCTGCGGATGTAGACGAGGAGGTGTTTGGGATCGAAGCGCATGGTGTGGAGAGGGTGGGAAAGAAGAAGAGGTGGATTGGAGGGAGAGAGGGGATTGGGCATCGCGTGTCTGTTGATGTCTCCAGTGTGTCTCAGTAGACTGGGAAGGCTGTGGATATCACGAAGAGGTTGGCCTCAATCTCAACAGCACTCAAACGGAGGACAACACTCGTCCGTAACGGACTGCTCAACGCAGCTCGACTACCGCAATCACTGTTGCAGCTCGGCCTTCAGCAAGCAACTCTTACAGTCGTCTCACCACATGTTCCACAAGGGCAGCAAGGGCTTATGTGAGAGAGGCGAAGTTCAAAACGCTCGCTTTGAGTGCGGTTCGCGTTTGAAGTACGAATTAAAAGATGTCGTAGAGATACGCCAAGGTCAGCTGCAGCCACAACCCCGCCGTCTGCCATGCATGTCGTACGGGCCAGACATCAACTGGCTGTCGAAGAGCTTCTGCATGGCGTCTTTTGCCGACTCGCTTGTGCGTACTCGCGCGCTTCTTGCTTGCGGGGTTCTTGGGAGCGGGCCTGACTTGTGGAGGAGCAGATAGTGATATAAAGAATCGGACTCGTTTGCTGCGATTTGATTCAGCTTTCCATCTTGGACGAGCAATTATAAACTAGCAATCACGTAATGGGCAACCTACCAGAAGAGCAACTAGCTGCTGTCAGGCAAGGCTCTGGTGCCGAAGCCACGGCTCCCATCAAGACGATTCCCGTCCCACAGGAGCCAGGACCGGGACAGATCTTGGTCAAGATCAATTGGAGTGGACTTTGTGCCAGTGACAAGAGCCTGCTGCACGATGAATGGGGGTTTCTAGGAATTGGCATGAGTACGACTGGCCCTTCTCCCCAAGAACACATGACCCAAGTACTGACCACAACCCAGTGGACTCCACCCACGGCATAGCCGGGCACGAAGGCGCGGGCAGCGTCGTCGCCGTCCACCCGGACGTCTCCGACATCTGGAAAGTCGGCGACCGCGCAGGTATCAAGTGGGTCGTCTCCATCTGTCGAAACTGCGAGTTCTGCACGAACGGCACGGACGAGCTGCACTGCCCGAAGCAGCTTAACAGTGGCTTTACAGCCCCGGGGACCTTTCAGGAGTACTGTCTGACGGACGGGCGGTATGCGACGAGGATCCCGGAGGGCGTGAGCGATGAGGAGGCGGGCCCGATTATGTGTGGTGGAGTGACGGCTTATGCGGCTTGTAAGAGGAGTGCGGTGAAGCCGGGGCAGTGGGTTGTGATCTTGGGGGCTGGCGGAGGGCTTGGGTAGGCGTGTCTGTTCGAAGACTTCGACTAGCGATTGCTGATGTCTTCTTAGCCATTTCGGCGTCCAATACGCCAAAGCCATGGGCATGCGCGTCATCGCGGTCGACGGCGGGGACGAAAAGGGGAGACTCTGCAAGGAACTCGGCGCGGAGGAGTACATCGATTTCACCCAGGTCAAGGACATTCCTGCTCGTGTCCTGGAGCTGACGACGTACGGCGCTCACGGTTGTATTGTGTACGCTGCGGCCAAGGAGAGTTATCAGGTCTCCTATCAGGTGCTTCGACCTGGTGGTACGGCTGTCGCGGTGGGACTTCCTACGTCCGGAGATGTGATTGCTGGGGCGCCGCCGGTTGCGTTAGCAATGAAGAGGATTAATATCGTTGGGAGTGTGACGGGGACGACGAAGGTTTGTATTTGTTGGTCTTGCTTGAAAGAGACTCGCTAACGGATGGGTTCAGGACGTCCAAGAGTGTCTCGATTTCACCGCGCGTGGTATCGTTCATCCAATCCTAACAAAGGTCAGTCTTCGTGTATCAAACGATTCGAACGTCGGCTAATGCCACTGTCGGCAGGGTGATCTGGGAGACGTCGATAAGTTCATCAAGCTCATGAAGGAAGGCAAGCTGCCAGGACGTGCGGTCTTGAAAGTCGCTGCATAGCGAGGCCATCAAGGTAGCGCTTGTGCATAGCCGATCGAACGAGTTTCCCACTTTATGACAGAGCCTCATACGTATCGACTACCAGAGTGTTGCTGTAAAAAATGGCCTCTTCTTCGTATAACTTCCGCGTATAGCTGCTCCGAGCCGCCATCATGCGAAGAAGTGAGGCACCTAGCTCATCGTTGGACATGCAACCTGCTTACTGTAGTCCGTAGGCTTTGAGTTGGTGAACTCTGGAGTGGACGCTATCAGCCGCTTCAGTCCATTGGATCTTTACGTTGCAACACGTTCAGTTGCTAGCAGCTGCAAGGTACAAAGCTTGGCAGATTCGAGTAAAGTGTGCGATTTGATCTTCGTCGTAGATATAGTCCGTCCTGTACGTCTAGGCACGTTGTGACTAAATGCTGTAGCTGAATAGTGAGTAGTCTTGTGGCAGCCCTATGAGAGTACCTCGATGAATCCTCTGGGTAGAGGTACAAATACAAGCGCAAACGTCCTGTTGTTGATGTTTGGACTTCGCTCTTCGTCTTGATCGTATTCTGACTATGCGAGCGTTCATCCCAATTGTGGCCATGGCCGCTGGTCTGGTAGATGCAGTTGCCATCAGACAGCAGGCAGCCGTTGGCTTCACGGACTCTGTGCGTAACTTCCTCTTGTGGATGCCGCCCGATGACTGACACGTAAGAAGTACGATGCGCTGCCAGCGGCCACTCCGGTCGGATCGCTCCATGGACTTGAGTACACTGGCGCCACTGTCCGCGTGAGTAGTTAGCATCTACTTCCCTTTCTTCTTCTGATCAACGAATAGGTCCGGCGCTTACCCAACGGGACTCAACCCATCGTCCCTCACAGCGAGCCCCACTTCGCAGAAGGCATCGAGCCTCTTCAGCACATCCAGAGCGGCGGAGTCTCCTTCGACAGCCTAATTCACATCAACTCAGCTCAGAACCTCAGCTCTTTTGACGTCTACACCTTCTACTTCGCTTGTGCCGCCATCGATGGACCGACTTATGGGCCTGCTCGACCATGCACTGTTGCGGTGTACGGAGTTGGAGATGGAACTCGGAAGTACACTGCGACCTTCGACTATGCTCCGGCATCCTCTGATGGGGCGCCTTTCGCGATGGCTGGGTTCAACTACCCAAACTTCAGAGAGATCCAGAACTTGACTTTTGGCATTGTGGCGGGCTCCGCGCCGGTTGGCAAGACAGCTTTGGCGATCGATTCGTTCTACCATTTGAACTACGCCACCGGTTGATGGTATTCGCTCAATGAATGAAGAATCTGCTGGAAGGCTGCGTCGGCAAGGATGAGATGGCGAAGTGGTCCAGTCGCTGGTAGATGTGGGTAATTCCAATATTTGATTTCTTTTTCAGCAGTGCCCACGTCTTTTCGCTCTCAACATACTTACCTCCGCAGTGGTCTGGGCCATCTGATGTACAGGAGGGGCTTGGCAAGGCAAGTCGGTTCAGAGGAGCGATCTCCACCTGTCGTGCATACTCGGCTGCAACCGTATCGACTTCGACCCCGCATGTGAACAGGGACTCACCTCAACAGCACCAAGATCGAATGCAAAATCATGGAATTCGATATTTGAACCGTTCCTGCGTTGGTGCCGTTGAGCTGATCCATGTCCTATGAATAATTGGGCGGTCTAGGTACTGCTGCATGAGCAACATACAATGTGCATGGACCACTCACCGGACAATTAAACGAAGCAGCTCCCCGAGGCAGAAGTCTTGATCAAGGCCACGCGACCACTTCCAATTCATCCACAATGGCACATTACTTCGAGCCTCAGCTTAAGCGGCCGGCTTCTTTCAACTTCGCGATAGATGTTGTCGACTACTGGGCGGCCAACCCGCCAAAGGGTAACACCGCCATGCACTGGGTTTCCCAAGACCGCAAGACAGAAAGGACGCTCTCATTCGGCCATTTCAGTCGTCAGTCCCATCGCTTGGCGGTTTTGTTCAAAGAGAAGCTTGGGGTTCGAAAGGGGAACAAGATGTTGATCATCATGCCGAGACTGCCTGAGTGGTGTGTGATCTTGTAAAGAAGGTCGATCGTACGCTGACAGCCACAGGTGGGAGATAGCGACCGCTTGTATTCGATCAGGAATCGTGATCTGTCCAGCTACCACTCTTCTGGTCGACAAGGACATTGAGTACCGGGTCAATCGATCAGGTGCCTCGGTCTTCCTCGGGGACGCGGTCTCCGTGCAGAAAATCCTCAGAGTTAAGCAGAGCTGTCCTTCACTCAAGCACATCTTCCAGGTTGATGGCAAATGTCCCGTAGGCGTGGTCCTCCTGAGCGAGGCCTTGAAGGCAGTGCCTGAGAATGCCAGATATGAGGGTCCTAAGCCAGCGTTGAAAGACCCGTCCATGGTTTATTTCACCAGCGGAACGACAGGGCCACCAAAGATGGTACTTCACAACCAGATCTCGTACCCGCTCGCTCACACTATTACCGGAAAGCACTTCCATCGGCTGTCACCAGGTCAGCTTTCTTGGGTACTGACCGAGCAAGGGTAAGTCAGAGCGCAGTCAAAGACTGTGAATGTTCCACGAGTTAGCTGACGATGTTTCCCAACAGATGGGCAAAAGCGGCCTGGGCCTTCTTAGGGGCATGGAACTGTGGAGCTGGACTCTTCATCCACGATGATCGACAAGCGTTCAGCGCTCGTAGTACCTTGGACATCTTGCACCGATATCCGATCACCAGCTTCTGCGCTCCACCGACAGTGTATCGACAACTAGTCTTGGACGAAATGCGAGAGCATTACAGCAATCATCCTGCCAAGTCGTTGCAGCATTGTACAGGCGCTGGCGAGCCACTGAATCCAGAGGTCATCCGGCTGTGGTTGGAGATGTCCGGTCTCGAAATCTGTGATGGCTTTGGTCAAAGTGAAACGATTCTTCTTTGCGGGAACTTTGCTGGGATGAAAATTCGACCTGGAAGCATGGGAAAGCCTTCGCCAGGGACACCACTTCATGTGATTGGCGATGATGGCAATGAGATGGCAGACGACGCCGAGGGTGACATTGCAGTCAAAGTTGACTTGACCAAGCAGTCCAACTTCTTCGGCGTGTTTGAAGGATATCTCGAAGATGGCAAGCTTGACCGGAAGCTGAGAGAATGTCGAGAGTCTGGATACGCATGGTACTGTACTGGAGATCGTGCGACTCGAGATAGCGATGGTTACTTCTGGTTCGTGGGCCGATCAGATGATGTGATCAACTCGGCTGGCTACCGCATCGGTCCGTTTGAGGTTGAGTCGACTCTCAAGCAGCATCCTGCGGTTGTAGAGAGCGCAGTCGTATCTTCCCCGGACAAGTCGCGAGGAGAGGTGGTCAAGGCATTCGTAGTTCTGACCGAGCAAGCCCAAAAGAAGGACCAAGGGCAATTATTGAAAGAGCTGCAAGACTTTTGCAAGGAGAACCTGACGTATAAGTATCCTCGGAAGATCCAGTTTGTCGATGCTCACTTCCTGCCCAAGACTATATCAGGGAAGATACAGCGGAAGAAGTTGAAGCAGATGGAATGGGGAGGAGAGAAGTCGAAGCTGTGAGACATATTTTATCCGAGCAGTCAGACTGATGACAAGATTGCCGCGTCATAATTGAAGCCCATGACGCGTCTTCTCCTGCATAGTCCCATACGAGAAGTGATTAGAAGACATATTGATGTACTTGTTCAAACGCGTGAGAAGGACGTGAAGTGCTCATCGGCGCGGATACGCTAGCGAGGCTAGCCGCGGATATTCCCGAGTATTAGCGTTTCCATGACTCGCGGGGCTTTGATCAACTTTCCATCTGCCTTCTCTTGCTTGCGACAACGTGACAAACCTCGACCACCGCGAACATGTCTGGTCGAAAGGACTTCTTGTCCCAACCTGCACCGGAGAACTACGTCGCCGGTCTTGGTCGAGGTGCCACCGGCTTCACCACACGCTCAGATCTTGGACCCAGTGCCAGCGGACCGACTGAAGAGCAGATCAAAGATGCTCTCGCAAAGCGCGCCGCAGCTCTTGGAAATGCGCCACCAACGGCATATGGAGTGACGAAGAAGAAGGATGAGGAAGAAGAGGACCAGTTCCAAGACGCCGAGAACGAGGAAGGCTTGTTTGCGACTGGAAACTATGACAGAGACGACGATGAGGCCGATCGCATATACCAGGACGTGGACACGCGCATGGGCAAACGCAGAAAACAGGCAAGGTTAGTCTCACACAATCCCCCTCCCTCCCCTCACAATCACCTCTATCATGAAATGTCATGTTCATCCTTGTTGCAGCGCGATGTGTTTGGACAGAATACCGACTTGAGGATTCACAGGGAAGAGCGAGAGCGCAAAGAGCGAGACGACTACGAAGCGAAGAACCCGAAAATCCAGCAGCAATTTGCGGACCTGAAGCGCGCCCTTACGACCGTCAGCGATGAAGACTGGCAAAACATACCCGAAGTGGGAGACTTGACAGGTAAGAACAGACGGAGCAAGCAGAACAAGATGCAGAGATTCTATGCGGTGCCGGACAGTGTTCTGGCTGGGGCAAGAGACGGCTCGCAATTAGGCACTGAGATCCAGGAGGATGGCATGGCGACGGACGGGGGCGGTGGGGCGAGCGAGCAAGCAGACGGCACAATGACGAACTTTGCGGACATTGGCGCAGCTCGAGACAAGGTCTTGAAAGTGCGCCTCGATCAAGCTGCGCAATCATCTGGCACAGCTACTAATGCAGGCACGAGCACTAATATTGACCCTAAGGGTTACTTGACCAGCCTTAGCAAGACCGAGTTGAGTGACATAGGACAAAACGTTGGCGACATCAAGCGAGCACGAGTCTTACTGGAGTCCGTCATCAAGACCAACCCTCGACATGGCCCTGGCTGGATCGCTGCAGCCCGCCTCGAAGAGTACGCTGGAAAGATCGTTGCGGCTCGCAATGTTATCCGCCGAGGTTGCGAGATGTGTCCGAAGAACGAAGATGTGTGGCTCGAGAGCATGCGACTGAACGAGAACGCAAACGCAAAGATCATCGCAGCAAAGGCCATCGAGCATAACGATCGATCAGTGCGACTCTGGATCGAGGCGTCAAAGCTTGAATCAATACCTACCTCGAAGAAGAGGGTCCTCCGGAAAGCACTCGATCACATCCCTCAATCTGTCGCAATCTGGAAAGAGGCCGTCAACTTGGAAGAAGACCCAGCGGATGCGAAGCTCTTACTTGCAAAAGCCACCGAGATTATCCCTCTATCAGTTGAGCTTTGGCTAGCCTTAGCACGGTTGGAGAGTCCCGATCAAGCGCAAATCGTTCTCAATAAGGCACGAAAAGCTGTGCCCGCAAGCTTCGAGATCTGGATAGCGGCAGCACGTCTGCAAGAGCAGATTGGTGCAGATCAGATGGTCAGCAAAGTCATGGATCGTGCTGTCAAGGCTCTTGCGCGCGAGTCTGCAATGCTTAAGCGGGAAGAATGGATTGCCCAAGCTGAAATCTGTGAAGAGGAGGGTGCGATACTGACATGCCGCGCCATCATCGAGCATACCATCGGATGGGGCCTCGACAAGGACGATGACCGCAAGCAAGTATGGTTGGACGACGCCAAGTCGTCAATCAACAGAGGTCGTTACGAGACTGCACGAGCCATCTATGCTGCCGCGCAGAAGGAGTTCTACCATCGCAAGAGCGTCTGGCTGTCGGCTGCGGATCTAGAGAAGAGTCACGGAAGTCGAGAGAGTCTGCTGGCTTTGTTGGACGCAGCTACGAAGTCGATACCAACATCAAGCGAATTGTGGATGCAACTGGCCAGAGAAAAGTGGCTCGCTGGTGATATTGCAGGTGCTAGACTTGTTCTTGGAGAGGCTTTCGCGAAGAATCCCGACAGCGAAGACATCTACCTCGCCGCTGTCAAGCTGGAAGCCGATAACGGACAAGAAGAGCAAGCTCGCAAGCTGTTGGCACAAGCTCGTGAGGAAGCTCGTACGGACAGAGTGTTCATTCGAAGCGTCGCCTTCGAGCGACAGACGAACAACAAGGACAGGGCGTTGGAGCTGGTCAACGAAGGTCTCGAGAGCTTCCCTAAGACTGACAAGCTGTGGATGATGAAGGGGCAAATCTACGAGTCGAAGAACATGCTACCACAAGCGCGTGAAGCGTACAGCAGTGGCACTCGCAATTGTCCGAAGAGTGTACCTCTCTGGCTGCTTGCAACTCGCTTGGAGGAGCGGATGGGCGTGACCGTCAAGGCACGGTCCATCCTCGACCGAGCAAGACTTGCCGTACCAAAGAACCCACAACTGTGGGCAGAAACCATCCGCCTCGAACTACGAGCCAAGAACACCCCTGCTGCAAACCAAAAGCTGGCCCAAGCCCTCCAAGAATGCCCCAAATCCGGCCTCATCTGGACCGAACGCATCTGGAACCTGGAAGGCCGCACGCAGCGCAAACCCCGAATCCTCGAAGCCATCCAAAAAGTAGAAAACGATCCCATCCTCTTCGTCACCGCGGCACGTATCTTCTGGAGCGAGCGCAAGCTCGACAAGGCCGACACGTGGTTCCAGAAAGCCGTCATCCTCGACCCGGATTATGGCGATTCGTGGGCGTGGTGGTACAAGTTCCTGCTGCAGCATGGCACGGACGAGAAGAGGGAAGAGATTGTGAGCAAGTGCGTGCAGAACGACCCCAAGCATGGCGAGGCGTGGCAGGGGGTTCGGAAGGCTCCGGAGAATGCTGGGAAGAGCGTCGAGGAGGTTTTGAAGATAGTTGCGAAGGGTTTGGAGTGAAGGAGATGAGATGGGGCTTTGAATGGAATGAGACGACGATGGGAGACCTCAGCGAGACAACTATCGGCGGTATGAACTCCGTCGCCGGACACGCATTGGCAACTCATGACCGGAGCAAGTCCCCGGGCAGATTGCGAAGGGCCGTGTCAGCAGCAACTCGATACCACCAAGGCGTTCGTATGCGCTCGTACAAGCACCCGACCTAGTCGTACCTATAATCGGTAGATCCCCGTCAATAGCAATAGCAGCCTGCACGACATGCCGACGAACCCTCCCGAGTCTTCTGCATGTCATTCAACGTATGAACCAGGTTGACTTGTCATTGTCGTTCTTCACATAAGAACTACATATATATTCCCGTGGGGTAAGAAAGAGATCCACCCCACCGCCTTCATATCTCACTGCCGCTATAGATGCTGCCTTGCTGCTAGGTAACATTGGAAGTCTGCTCCTGTTCTATCCCACGAATCCTGCCCATATCATCGATACTAGGGTTGGATGGCCCTCGCTTCCAGTTCGCATGTTTCTAATTCGGAACTGTCTTCATTTCCCTCAACTTTACCGAATCTTGGATCGTGTCGTGGGAAGGGGCAAGGATGTCATGTTTTAGGGTTGTTCTGATCTCCGACCGTGTTGTGCCATGTCATGTTAAACTCCTTCTTCTTCGCATTTTAACTTCTTCTACTGAATCTCCTGAAACAGAAATAATGGGTAACAACATTGAAGTCGAGTGCGACTCTGATGATAATATGTTACACGCAAAAAGTTGAAAGAAAAGACATGCCTCTGCTGTCATATGTTAAAAACTAAGCGAATATCCCTCTTCTTCTTTCTCTTCTCTCGCAGACCCGTTGCGCCTGTCGTAAGCAAATGCAATAGAAACGCTCCCCCACTCCGTAATAACATCATGCCTGTCGTGTGATAATGCGAATGGCTGGGTGCGTCCACAAACGCAGCAGTGCGGTAAGCCATCCCGGCCTTACTACTGATCGAACTTCTTCCTCTTCCTCGTACAAGCCTGCAGCAGCGCGTTCTTCACCGCATCTTCCTGCTTGCTCTGCCGCGGCCACTTGCTACCCGGCGGCCACTCCACGAAGCGCGTCGTATCCGCCCGGATGCGCTTCATGTAGTCCAGGAATCGATCATCGGTGCGGTCGACTCTTCGCCGGCCGTGGAAATGCAATTCTAGATTCTGCAGCTGGCCGGAGGTGCCCAAGTGGCGAAGGACGGACATGAGGTCGTCGTCGTGGACGAAGCGGCGTTCTTCATTGGTGCGCATGCCGGGGTTGAGACATGGGACGGCGTCTTCCAGCATGAAGGTGATGTTGCGGATGAGGGCGATGTTGTTGGGGCCGATGGACTTCATGAACTTGCGGACGTTTAGGAAGCCGAGTTCGCGCCATTCGTTTTCCCAGAAGGAGCCGTAGCGTTGGGTGCGGCGTTCGATGTTGAACTTGTTCTCCGAGTAGAGGATGCTGCGACCTAGGGGGGATGGTGTTAGTGAGTGATCGTCGTGGAAAGACTGGTCTGGCATACCCTCTTCATGAACTTGGTGGCACGTTCTAAGTAAAGCAGCGCTTCTCGAGAAATTGTCAGGTCGCGAAAAGTTGACATCGCCTTGAGTAGTGAAAACTAATTGATATATCGCATTGCGAAGCTCTGCTGGCAAATCAAGAAAGCCAGCATGCTTCTTGCTCTTCGATTTGGATCGAGCATTCAGGCGTGCCAACGTGCTTTGCGTGAGCCGATCCGCTCTAGGTTGGGGAGCTGCCTGGGTGATGTTCTTGGGGTCGAGATGGAGGGTGATTGGACCTTGATGTCCGACTGGAATGTTGACGGTGAGGTGGACAGTCGTGTGGCCGGGCACAGATTTGGCAGCCGGCGATTCTGGTAGATCTGCTTGCGAGGCGTCTGAGTCGGAATCTGAAAGAGCATCGAATGGGTCGGATGGTAACGGTGCTTCAGGCGATGGCGAGCGCTTTCTCTTCTTGTTACGCGCTACTGGGATGATCTCGTCAACTTCCATTTCCTCCTCGAACAGATCGTCATCGTCGCTGATGGCAATGGCGGAATCCTCAAAGGGCGAGTCGCGGTGCTGGGTGCGGCATTTTCGAATGGCCCGGCCTTTGGAGGTGTAGTCGATGGCGAAGTCTCCAGTGCCCAGCTCTGAGCTCAAGGCGGCGGCCGCACCGTTTGTCTTCCTAGCTTTCGGCATTGCGCTGGCTTCCGATGAGGTGGTGTTGATGCGGTGAAGTGGTGTATTTCAATGGCAGGAAAGAGAGAGGAGGAGCAGACAGGAAATTGACCAAGTATCAGTGCGATGGTTTGGATGCGAGAGAAGCAGGCGCGGGCAGGGAGCTTGAGTCAAATCCAATGCAGGCACGGTCGTCACGGCGATTGCACCTCACTCCCGGCACAGCAGGCGCATTGGGCGGCGTGCGTTGGCTGGCGATGTGGAGGAGCTGGAGAGACGGGAAGGTTGGGGCAGGAGGAGGATGGGCAGGAGGGGTGACGACGGCGGCGGCAGAGAGTGCTCGCAGTGGCAGATACAAGTGGGAGGTCGAAGGAGTGGCACGCCGAAAATCTTTTTGAACCGGGTTGTTTCCCGCCTGGGCGCTGAAGGGAACCTTAGCTAAGGCAGAGCGTCGCATCCATCCATCTGACTCTGCACCAGGCGCTCGGCATTGTCGCTGTCGCCATCAGGGTAGAGAAGGGGACGGTGGATGCCGGTCCGACTCTGGCACTGGCGCTGGCACGCGCGAGACACCCTCAGCGACATGTCGAATCGCCGCCGCCAGGTCTCCCGTCCATCGCCAAACACCCCCCCGACACCCTCATCGTGCGGCCATGACGCGGCACACATACCAGACGCAAGTCTGTCATGTATGTAGCCGCCGACGCAGCGACTGAGGTGCGAGGCGTGGTCGAGACGAGCTCAACTGCTGCTCATCCTCCGCGGCAAGCAGCCAGCGCATCCGCCTGCCACATTTCGCTGCGTGGGTGCAATTCAGCACGCACACCAACCAAGACACCCATCAGATGGTCTCAAATTGCCCCGTGCAAGGTGGTGAAGGCCCGGGGCATGTCAGCAACGTCCGTCCAGCAGCGCGAACGCCACGGCGAACTTGTCTGTTGTGCGAGCCGTCATCAACTGGGCTTTAGTTGTGTAGGGAGAGAAGGGAACGTGTTCGCGGACGCTTGGGAGAGTGAAGATCCCAGGCCCGGCTAAACGTCGGCAGCATCGGCTAGCTTCCGAGAACCGAGCGAGTCCTCAACCTCGACCTCCAGTCAGTCTGACCACCAACTTCAACACCACAGTGTAGACCCTCACCATGCCGTACGGAACGATGGTCATGGGCCCTGCCGGCGCGGGCAAGACCACCTTCTGCTCGGCCTTGATCCAACACCTCAAAAACAACAGGTAAGAAAAGAGCAGCCCAAGTCTTTGCGCTGCTCTGATCAAACTTCTTTTCCCTAGGCGCTCGTGTTTCTACATCAACCTGGATCCCGCCGCCGAGGACTTTGCCTACGAGCCGGATGTGGATATTAAAGATCTGATTACGCTGGAGGATGTCATGGAAGAGCTGCACCTGGGCCCGAACGGAGGCTTGATGTACTGCTTCGAGTTCCTTCTGGAGAACCTCGACTTTTTGACCGAACCCCTCGAAAACGTCGCGGACGAATACCTCATCATCATCGACATGCCCGGCCAGATCGAACTCTACACCCACGTCCCCATCGTGCCGCAACTCATCAAGCACTTTACTCGAGGAAGTCTGAACATCAACATGTGCGTCTCCTACCTCCTCGAAAGCTCCTTCATCATCGACCGCGCCAAATTCTTCTCTGGCACGCTCAGCGCAATGAGTGCCATGCTCATGATGCAGCTGCCTCACGTCAACATCCTCAGCAAGATGGATCAGGTCAAAGGGCAGGTCGCACGGAGAGAGTTGAAGAGATTCATCGATCCGGATACGAGCTTGTTGCAAGATGCGCCGGAGAGTGGGTTGGTTTATGAATACAAGGAGGGTGTGGATAACGGGGATGTTGAAGAACCAAAGAGCGTCATGACGGGATCGTCTTTCGCGAGATTGAACAGAGGTGTCGGGCAGCTGATTGATGACTTCAGCTTGGTCTCTTTCCTCAAGCTCGATGCTCAAGACGAGGACAGTGTTGGTGCCGTGTTGAGCTACATCGATGATGCGATCCAATTCCACGAGGCGCAGGAACCTCGAGAACCGAACGATGGCCTTGGCGATACCGATATGGGGTGAAATAATGATCGATGACCAGATGAGAGATGCGCTTTACGTACGACGACGACATACGAAATGCTTCAGAAGGCTACACCATCCAACGCTATGCGCTGAAGACGATACCTGGGGTCAGATGAAGAAGCACCGGTGCAATGCAACACCACGTTACCGAGCTTTCCGAGTAATCGCGCGACTGCCAAACTTCTAATGAGAAAATGCGAAGGAAAAGGCTTCGCACCATGGGATCAGATGCTGGTCAGACAGACGGCTTGTGAACGCTTTCTCTATCCCATCTTGATCCGCGAGTCCTTGAACACAGACAGACAAAACGTCTTCGCCATCAAGGCTAGATCAAGCAACCAAAAAGCGACCAGAAGAATGACCATCGCCACCGACACCCAGATCACCCCTTCACTCTCCAGCTCCTGTCCCAGATAGATCGTACTCAACGTCCACCCAACATTCGGGAAAATCATAGCTAAAATCCACACATTAGCACTCCACTTCCCAACCCCCTCCCCCCTCAAAATATCCCGCAAAAACTCACCCCAAGCCACATTCGTAAACGCCACATTCACCCTCCACCCCTTCCCATCCTCCCTCCTGACCAAAAGCTCCGCAACATTAATCCAGAACGCCAGCCCAAACACCCAGAACGTAAACACCCACATGAACACGCCCACCCACGTCGCGACGATTAGCAGGACTTCCGGTGCGGAGGGGTGCGTGGCGAAGTAGCCGTAGTTTTTGGGCGCCGCGCGCGCGATGCCGATGAGGGCCGTGATGGTGAAGCCCGATGTGCCGGACATGATGAAGAGGCCGGGTCTGTGAGGGGTTAGTATGTTGGTGTGGAGGTGGATGGGGAAGGAAGGGGGTGAGATGGATAGGTACCGTAAATTCGGCGCTGGCCAGCCGTTTTCGAGGAGATTCGCCATGAGGAGCGTGAGGAAGATCATACACACGATCCACCCGAGGCCTTGGTAGGCCACGCCTGCGACCATGATCTACCACACATACACACATCAGCACCACGACCCCCATAACACACCCTGTATCCAACGGACAAGACCAAACAAAACAAAACATACCGGCACCCTCTGCCTCGGCGGCTGCGTCTCACTCACCGCCGCCGCGACCGTTCCGGTCAACATAGCATTCAAGACCAGAATAAACATCGGCGGCTGGAACTCGAGGGCTTTGAAGGGCGTGTGCTTCGCGATCCACACGATGTGCAGGTTGGTTGTGAGGAAGGAGTTGGCGACGTAGAACCAGAAGAGGACTCGGACGGTGACGATGAGCCACGGTCCGCAGTAAGGGATGCCGTAGCGTTGGGTGTTGAGGATTGTGGTGGCGAAAGAGCTGGGAGTACAGAGGTATACTGTTAGCGTGTGTGGTGGAGGTGAAGGGGAGGGGATGGGGTGGGGAATGGGGACATTACAGCCAAAACGACCCAAAGAAATAACACTCCGGCGCTTTCGTGAAGCACTCTCTCACTTTCCTCGGATCCTTCACCCATCGAATCAACATGAATGCCGTAAACGTCACAAAGACGACGAGGTTGAAAATGAAGATGATCTTCCCGATCGTTTCCAAGCCGTGGAATTGTTTGGGGCATTCGGAGAGCACGACGGCAATCCCCCCCGTCGACTGCGGACACGTGAACCATGACCATGACATGTGTTCGACGAGCCATTGGGGGAAGGGCAGACGCTGCGGTTTAGCTTCTTCTTCTTCGTCTGCTTTTTTGCTGTCGTCGTGATGCTGGGTTCCATTCTGTTGCTGGTGATGTTGCTGAGCTCTGTTGACTGTCGTGCCTGTGCCGTTGATGCCTTCCTCCAACGCGGAGGAGGAGTCTTTCGAGGACATTGTTTGTTACCGTCTCCGTACTTTTGGATGGAAGACGGACGGGACCGTGATCGTTAGGCGTGTGAAGAACTTGATGTTATTGAAACTCCATCTCCATCGTCCTGAAATGTAAATCTCGTCGTTTTCGTTCTCGCCCAGCGCAAGACCTAAATCCGAACGCGATGTACTCCAGCTGCTATTGTCCTTCAGCTGCTAGGGCGTCGTTTGATGGGATTGCTAAGGTGTGTTCAAGACGAAGTACCCTTTCCGGGTAGCGAGCAGCGAGGGGTCGGTGGATGTGGTTTTCTTGTTGTCACGACTTTGATTTGTGCTGCAAAGAGCGATGGCTGGTGATCAGAGGGCTAGTGCCTCAGTCTATCGACTGTTGCAAGACTTCCCATCAAGAATGAATGATGTATAGATCGAGATGTAAATTTGAAGAACGCTGGATGAGGTGTTGTTTGATGACGTTCAGCTAAGGTATGGCTTAGAGCGTACCGGCTAAAAGGAGCTGGAAACTTTATTGGCTTCTTTACGTAAAACCCCCCTATTTTAGAGGTCTAGGAGGCACATGCATTCAAGTTCAAGTGAAAAAGAACGTAGTGTGTCCGTAGTTGATATTGTAATATAGAAGAAGTCGACGACGAGGGCTGGCTCGCACATATCCCAGCACCATACAACAATCCCGTTATCTTCGATACTCAATTCAATCCAGCCCCCCTCACGAGCACATACAGCACGTAGATCCCCCAAACTTCCCAACCGCTAGCACAACAAGCGACACTGCCTCTCCAAAAACACCACCCTCTCCCGATCCCTCTCAACCCCCAACTCCTTTCCCCCAGGCTCCGGCTTCAACTCCCGCGACCCCCTCCTCAAACCCCCCTCCAGCACATGCTCATACCAAACATGCACCCCATACCTCTCCCTCAACGCCTGAACCATCATAACCTCAACCGAACACCACGCCCGCTGATGATACTGCTCATCCACGAGGCTGATCAGAGCATCACACTGCGCGATGATGAGCGGTAGGGCGGAGATGCCCGGCATAGGGGCGTCTTGGTCGATGCAGGCGAAGTCGATCCAGATTCCGAGGTTGGAGGGATGGAGGGAGGGGTGGAGGGTGAGGTATTCGGAGATGGCGAGGAGGATGCGGTGGTATTGTTTGTTTTCGGCGTTGTCGGGGTAGCGGGCCCAGGGGTTGCGGTTTACCCAGCGGTAGGAGATGAAGACGATGTGTTGGGAGGCGGCGTTGGTGGCTTTTGGGTTGAACTTTTGTGTGAGGCCGTCGTTGGAGCGGGGGAAGTGGTTGAAGGTTAGGAAGTCGGCGTATTTGACGAATTTGAGGCGATCGAAGCTCTTGCTGAAATCGATGTTGCTGTCGATAGCGGAAGCGTACGTCTGCCGGATTCGATGTAGACTGTCGTCTTTGCGACTGAGTAGAACAGGTCGCATTTGGTCCTGGAAGATCTCACGATAGTGCTTGCGGAGTCTAGCCTCCTCCAGGCGCTTGTCCAGTCGCTCTGAGACATCCTCAGCCGTTGAATTCTGAGAGACATTTCTTTCCAATGACTTCAGTATAATGCGTTGCGCGGTCTTATTGCCGTTGAAAACAGCGTAGTCCAATGCATGATAGCCATGCTCGTCTGGCGTATCCATCTGAGCACCGGCGTCAAGCAGCTCTTGCAGGTACTCGCAATGCTCGACGGAAGGCTCTTTACAGAAAGCCACGGCTGGAGAGCACTTCTTGGGTAGATCGAACTGCTCCAACGCTTCTCGTTGTCGGCCTGCTCTGTATAGTGCTCGGCCGTAGAAGAAGCGACTGATGGCCTCGACGGAGGAATCACTGAATGGTCTGCCTTCCGTCTCGAGTTGTACAGCCTCCAGAGCTGTGGCGACGGCTCGATGATTGTCCCCTCGAGCACTGTAGCATATCGATAGCCTGGAGAGACCTACAGCTTTGAGGATCGTATAGTAGTCGTGCTTTGAAGCCTTGGTAGGGTCTGCAGCACTGGCATCTCGAAGGTCTTGTGCTAGGCGGACACGCTCCTGAAGTTGCTTCGCAGCCAGGTCCAGTAAGCCCGTGTCGTGGTCTCGTTGTGCGAGTTGGTAATTGGCCATTCCTAGATTTCCCACCGCCCTGCACATTCTTTGCAGCTCGTTCAGTTGTGTCGCTAGCTTGTACTGTTCGTAAAAGGCATCTCTGGCTTCCTCGAGTCGATTCAACTGGCGATATAGAACGCCCAGCTCTCCAGTAACGTTCAGTCTCAGAGGATCAGAAGTCGACAGTTGGGGAACAAGCTCGTCGAGGATAGTTAGCGATTGCTCGTACCTACCCATGCATCTGTTCGTGTAGGCAAGGTCTTTCAATACTCTGTGTCTTCGAGCAGTATCGCTCTGAAGTGTAGGATCAGAGCACAAACTCATGGCAGTGGTATACACCTGGAGAGCCAGCTCCCATTGAGCTTCTTGAGCATGTTGCTTCCCACGTGCCATTAATTCGTCCCAGGCCTGCTCTGGTCCAATTTCATGGGCTGTGGGTGAAGTCATTGTTAGTCAGAGTTCTCGCCTTCTAGACAGAGCAGACGCCGTGCGTTCAATGCCTCCCGGGCGTCAAAGTCTCGCTGTTCAAGTCCAGAACAAAGCTGTCCGATGGCAAAGAAGGATACGGTCATTAGTATCATCGTCGTCAGCAGACTCATCAAAGACGACTAGTTGCAGGCAACGACCGCGGCTGAATTGATCGTGGCTTATCGCCTGCACGTGACCCCACCCCCACGTGATATGGACAGTCAAAACAAGACATGTGTGAGAGAAGATTCGGCGCTGAAACTGGACAAAAGGCGGCCGGGAAGAGGTCAGGGCAAAAGACAATGTCCTGGTGGCCACGTGTAGATCGCATCGGCAGAAGTAGACTGTCGCTATCGGTGGGGGTGGAGTGGTCAGCAAGCATTTTCATCGGCCGTGGCATGCCGCCAGGCTCATTCCAGGCACTCGTCATGCGCATAGCCGAGTCCCCGATCAGGCGGTCCCGATCTCTATTTACGGGCGAAGCTTTCTGCGTCTGTCCAATGTTGCTAGTCGGTAGCGGTGTTGTCTGTCGGTGTATGTGATTTATTTGTTGTGGTGGTGGTGAGTCGGCAGCGGAGAAGGGGGCTGTGGGAGGAGCAGCAAGATTCGTTTCGGGCGACGCTGCACTCCTCGCTTCTCCCTCGGCGGCTGGCCTACGACCTGTGCCTCCAGTCTGGCCTTAGCAGCAGTGACGCACCCCCATCCATCCATCACGCATCGCCGCCCTGCTGTACCTGAGCCTGGCGCGTGTCTGTCGCGACTTCCAGGTGAGTCTCTGCTGCTGCTTACTCACGCCTTTATCGCGACCTCATCTCCTCCCGTCCCGTCAACAACGCGCCTGCTCCCTCTGCCTGAATCGGCCGTGTAACCGCACCGCACACCACCATGCCCGCCTCACATGACCCATCATCGCCTCTAACTAACCCTCAATCAATTGCAGACCTCAGCTTGATGGTGTCGCCGCCGCCGGTCCCGTCTCCGCCATCGCGCCGCTCCCTCCCCCCTCAGCCCAGCTATGAGCGCCCAGTCGCCATGGTCATCGAATGCCTCCGGCGCAGTCCAGGACCTCGATAGCGCTGACGCTTCCCATCAACAACAAGACTCGAACACCGATGGACCCGACGCGATTCGAGAAGGGAAACAAAAGGCTAAAGAAACAATGGCCGCCGCTGGAATCAGCTCGACCGAGTCGCCTGCCCCGGCGCAGCAATCAGACACCCCGAATGGCTCCTCGCAACCCAATGGCGCGCCGCAATTGAGCAGAAAGAGATCGCGAGATGGAACACAGCTCCCTGTTGCTCAGTCTTCTGCTGGCAGCGATGGCGCGGGCGAATCCCAGCCGGCGCATAATGAGATCTTATTGGACCGCTACATCCAGCGCGATATGCTGCACGGTGCTGCTATGAACGACCAGGACGAGCGATCGCGCAATCTGATACAGGCCAAGAAGATGGAAAAGGAGTTTTACATGAATGAGGTCGCAGCGCGAAGGAAGCAAGATCCTGGTTCCATCTTTGGATACGGCTTCATGGGATACGGCAATGGGTCGACGAACGCGCGGAGTCAGATAGTGTACAGCTCCAATCGAGGTCCACCCAAAGGCAGGAGATCCAAGGTGCTGAATGTCAACCGGAAAGACAACGCGCAGCAAGCAGAGCAACATGAGGAGCTTGTGCCGGTGCGTTTGGACATCGAATTGGACAAACTGAGACTACGCGACACCTTCACGTGGAACTTGCACGAAAAGTGCATACCGCAGGACCTATTCATGGACTACTTGCTGGAAGACTTGAAGATACCGCCTGAATCCATACCAGAGGTGAAGAGGCAGATCAATGCGGAAATGCAGGACCAGATACAAAACTACTACCCCCACATCATTGTCGAGGATGGCCCGCTGGAACCTGCGAGACCGTACGCGGATCACAAGGACGATGAGATGCGGATCCAGATTAAGCTCAATATCACGATCGGCCGAATCACACTTATCGATCAGTTCGAATGGGACATCAACAATCCCCTCAACTCACCGGAAGAATTCGCGCGACAGATGGCATGGGAGAATGCTCTGAGTGGCGAGTTTACCACAGCCATTGCGCATTCCATACGAGAACAGAGCCAGCTCTACACCAAGAGCTTATATTTGACGAATCATCCCTTTGATGGGCGGCCGGTTGAGGATCCGGATTTGAAGGATGGTTTCTTGCCAGCGCCTATCCACAGTGCATTCAGGCCGGTGCCAGCCCAGAAAGACTACACTCCGTACATGTACGAGATGAGCGAGGCCGAGCTCGAAAGGACCGAAACATCGATGATGCGTGAGCATAGAGCGCAAAAACGGCAGTTGAATCGACGTGGTGGACCAGCTTTGCCAGACCTCAAGGACAGACAACGGACTGTGCGATCTTTGATTGTACATTCGGTCATTCCAGGCGCCGTGGAGACATTTGAGACGACTGGCATCCTCAAGACTCGTCGCGGTGGCCGAGGCGGACGACGAGGTGCTCGTAATGATGGAGATGGTGATTCAGACGAGCTTGATAGTGAAGAGTCTGGTGCAGAGTCTCCCGCTCCGTCAGCAATCGCTGCCACCACTGGAGGCACTGCTCGAACTCGTGGAATGCGCGGTGCTGCCGCTGCCGCACAGGCTAACATGCGTGCGGGATACGGTAGATCAGATACACCCGATTCGCAGCTATTATCGGCACCGCATACCGAGACCAGGACCTCGACAAGGAAGAGTCAGCTGCGGGAGGAAAGCGTGGCAGATGAGAACGACCAACTCATCGTTAAGCTCAAGATCGGGAAAGCGAAATTCAAGGCCTTTTTGGAAGACTATAAAGCGAAGAAACGTGCGAAAGAATTTCCATTATCTGGCTACGCATCTCAGCCTCCGCCAGGTATGAATCTCGGCACACCGACTCGAGGAGCACCCAGTACGCCCGGAGCGACTCCAAGATCTCAAGCACGAGGCACGCCACAACCGAACGGAGGTCATTCCCGCGCAGCCTCCACGGCGCGGACATCCGCCGTGCAGTACGATGCTCGTGGCGCAGTAGACACAGACCACTGGCCTCGCCAAGACGACACTCCTGTGAGCTACCAATCCTCCTCCCTTTAAAACAAGCCCCCTTGCTAACAGAGACCCCTCCAGCCCGCCCCACCCCCTTGGCTCGCCACCGCCATCCGCAACCTCCAAGACCGACACCCCGACGACAACTTCGTGCCCCTCATGAAACCCTATTGCATCTCGCTCGAAACCGGCGAAATCACCAAAGGCAACCTCGGCCCCGGCGACCCACCACCCGCGGGTCTCAAACTGCAGTATTTGCCCCGCATCAGGTGTAATGATTGTCCCGGGAAATTGTACACGGCGCAGTTGGGGAAGGTCGAGGAGGAGTTTGAGGTGCATTTGAGGAATAAGAAGCATCGGGCTGCGGTGGAGGAGAGGGTTAGGCTGGGTGGGGCGAAGTAGCATGCATGGGAGGGAGGAGGGGTTGGGTTGGGTGGTATAGAAGGGGAGGGGAGGAGAGCGGAGAGGAGATGTAGTCTTGGACATGTGTGTTCGATGAATGGATTGCGTATGCGTATGGGGGAAGTATAGAAAGTAACGAACGAGTTTGTCGAGAAAGCAAAAAAAGAAAGTCAACCTTCAACAAAGCAAACTTGATCTCTTGGTACCAATGATAATGACATTAACAACGGATAGCAACAGTTAAGACGTGAAGTATATTTCTCTCCGCTAAGAGTACTGATGCACGCCCACACCGACAGCAAGCCATTCTTCCTGCCTTCCTTTGTGTCTTCCATGCATGCCCAAAAATACAGAAAGCAAAGCAAGGCAAGACAAGCCATATCCCATCCCACGTGTGTATGCCCTATCCATCCCATTTCCATCCATACCATACCCTTTCCTTTCCTTTCGTTTTCCTTCATCCCAATCTCCGCTCGCTTTGCTTCGTGGTAAAGGTAAAGAGTACAATTTTGTGTAGTTGTGTCAGAAATGGGTAGGGGATACTGTCTGTATAGGTAGGTAGGAAGTTAGGAAGACCGCTTTTCTTCTTCCAGTCTTCTCGAGATACCCTTTTCGATACCGTCCTTCCCATCGATGGATGTTCTTGATGGATGGATGAGGCGCCGGTGATGGGACGGTAGAGTCGTCTGCTGGGATGCGTGCGTGTTGCGTGATGGACGCGTTACGTTTGGCCCCCAAGCCACGCCTCGCCTCGCCTTGCCGAGTTGGACTCGGACGTAATACAGTCCGCACCTCATCGCATCCCTCGGGACAAGTCGGTCTCCCATCATAAGAACACGCCGATCAAAGCATGCCTATCTTCAATCTTCCCTTTCTCACTCTCTCGTCAAGTCTTGCTATTCTCCAACTTCCTCCGAATAAGTTCCTGCAGCATCTGCAGCTCCTTCCGCTGTTCCGCGGAAAGCTGATCCGTCTGCTCAGAAGACGGAGGAGAAGGCGGCACGAGCGACGACGCCGACTTGGCCTTTTCGGCGTCTTCGGCGGCCATCATCTCGTCGACGACTGCGCTGGGGGCTTCGGCCTGGAAGATCGGATCGAATTAGTATCGAAAAAGCTGACGTCATGCACCAAGCCGGCTAAGAAGTAAGGGGTAGTGTGTGTGGGTGTGGGTGGGAAAAGAAACTTACGATCAAGGTGCCCACCAAGTTCTGCACCTGGTCTCCGCCAAGGTCGAGGTCCTTGTTATCGCTTGCGAACTGGGCGAGATTGAGGGCGAGCTGTTGTTCGTTGAATGGTCGCTTGGCGAAGTTGGCTTGCTCCAGCGCTGTTGGGATCGGCGTCTCTGCGTCGATACGAGCTCGTTTGTAAGCCCGCTGATCTCGCAGTTGCTGGACTCGGGTGCTGTGAGGATAGTATGTTAGCAGATGCATTGGAAATGAAGACATGATGTATACGGACCTCTTGACCTTGTCGATGAAGTCGAGTTTGATGCCGTGCGCTGGCAGCTTGTAGACGGTACCGCCATCGTCGTGGTCGTAGAATTCAGAATCCGACGCGTCACTCTCATCGTCAAGAACCTCGATGATTCCATTATTGCGATGACCACGCGTGAGTGACGTCTCCTGGACCTTCGGGTTCTTAGGCTTGCGTAGATGGATGGTGCGTCGGTTGCGTCGATTGAGCAGCGACATGTCCACCTTTCGCAGTTCCTGGTCGGCATGCAACGGGCACATCCAGTCGTGCGCCCTCCTGTTTTGTGCATTCAGAGCCGGTGGGTTGGCGAGCGGTGGATCGAGACAGTCGAGGTGCCAGTTCTGTGCGCAGTGGTCGCAGGTAATGATTTCCCGCTTGCCTTCTGAGGTTTTGCCACACGCGTAGCATAGTAGGAGATTGCCCTTGTTGTCGCGCAATCTCTTCCAGTCCGGTCGTTCCTCAGTGTAGCCAGGTCGGTTCCTGTAGATTTCGTCAGTCAGCTGCTTCAGGCAGACACGTGGTGACACTCGTACCTCGTCGGCTTCGCGACATTCAAGGCCTCGACGAATCCTCCGTTCCTATCGGTGGCGACACCTTCGAAGTAGTCTCGAATGTCATCTGGCAGCGAGAAGTTGGCAGGATTCTGCTTCTTGAGGCCGCTGATGAGTTGTGCGAAGATTCCGCGCTGAGCCTTCTCGGGTGACTGTGTGGTCACTGGCCGCTTGGCCACGCAAATGTAGCAATACCATGGCTCGTCGAGTTCTTGCGAGTCTTCGCTGATTGGAGGGTCCAGGCAGGTGAAGTGGAATGAACGATCGCATCCATCGCAACAGAGCAAGTAGCCGCTGCTGTGGCAAGCCGAGCAGAAGTCGTTGTTCTCCGACAGCTGTGGAAAGTCTATTAGATCATGTTTATCTTTGGCGGGAAAGACAGGGACGAAAGGAGGTGTTGAAACGCGACGTTGGGGGAGATGCATGGATGGGGTTTTGGTTTGTGCAGGGAGAAAGTTGTGTGGGAACGGAAGACGAGATTTAGCGCAGCCTGCGCGTTGTCTTACCACGTCGTTGTCATCATCCCCGATTGGGCTGTCTCTTCCAGCGCCACCGGCGCCTGACACGCCTGCAAGGCCAGCGAGTTGCTTCTTTTCAGGTCTGTTGATGAGCGGTACTGTTAGCCTATGCTTTGTGCTTTCATGTGGTACGCGTGGTGGCCAGTCGCTTTTTGCAGCCCCGCACTGGGTACAGAACGGCACCAAGATGGGCACATTCCGACGCCAAACACGCGGCGTATCATCTCAGTAGTGCAGCAGACTTTGATGAGACCGACACATCTTGGTGTGATGTGAGAAGGGAGGGAGAGAATACTTACGAGGTCTTTGTCTTGGCCCTCTTGCCAGCTGGCTTCAGTGCTTTCAACGCCTCGGGCGTGCTTTTTCTCGACACGGGCGACATTGAGGAGAGCGATGACTCGACATCCATTGATGCGGCTCTGCTGCCTCTCACGCTGGCGGTGCGGCTGCTCGTGGGATCCAATCTGAGCGATGGCGGGCCGAGTGCATCGTCTCTGACACGAGCCGCACGAGATCGTGGAGGTGGCCTCGACGGTCGCACATTGCTCTCCTGGTACTCGAAGTCGCGAGCGACCGACTCGTTCAGTTTCTGCTTCTTGGCAGCGAATGCACGGTCACGCTCTTCTTCAAGCTCAGCTTCTGCTGAAGTTCGTTTCGTGGCGGCACCAGGAACAGCGAGGGAGGTGCGGTCTGTGGCGTGGCCCTTGCCTTTGATGCCGTTGGCTCGGCTGGGTGGTCCCTCGAGGAGACTGTTGGGCTCCTCGGGCTCGTCGAGGTCCATCTCGTCATTGGAGGTGAGAGATGTGAGTGATGAGTCGCTGGCAGCACTGCCGGCACGCTTGCGTGGTGAGACAGACATGTTTCCGTTTCCTGTGCGACGTCGATGACGGTCTTTGTTCGGTGACTTGACTTTGAGCGAAATTCGTGGTTTTGCAGGTTCTGGGTGCTCGGTGGAAGGAATGGCAGAAGTAGTTTCGCTGCCGGTGTGAGGTTGTGGGGGCAAGGTGAGGTTTATAGTGGGTGAAGGAGCAGTCTTGGTATTGTGCAGCGAGCCGTTGGTGTTTGCAGCCGGCTGCTGCCGAACTGGAGTCTTGGAGCCCTTGGATTTCTTCTCGTCTTTGAGCTTCTTTTTGGCGGCGCGAACATAGTCCTGAAATGATGCGTTCTGCTCGGGAGTGGCCTTTTGTGTGAGGATAGCTTCGAGGAGGAGTCTCAGACCAATATCTCTCAGACTCAGCTCGTAGACTGCGTGGACGGCAGCCGCGAGGTCTGGCTTTCCCACCTCGTAGGCCCGGGACTTGGCCGCCTCCACCACGCGCAGCAGCTTTTCATCGTCGTACTCGAACTTGTGATTCATGATCGTGGTGCTGGCCTCTTGCTTGACGGATGGTGCAGCCGGCGTCGCGGATGATGCAGACTCGCTCTTCCGTTTGACCGCACGGGCACGCGTGCTGCGCTCTTTCTTCTTGCCGTTCACGTTGGGCGCATAGTCGCCATCCTTATCATCGTCGATGACAATGGGCTGCTGTGTTGGAGCGTCCATGGGCTGCGGTGTGGCAGGTGCAGGCGCTGGTGTGCTTTCTGGAGTCTCCTGAGCGTCGAGGCCGACAGCGGCAGAGCTTCGCCCCAGCACTGATTTTCGAGGCCCTTCTCCCTTCACTCTTGCCTTGACTTTCGCACTCGGTGCCTCACCAAGTGGTTGCATGTGTTCCAGGACGCCATACGGCCCTGCGCCGTGGTCTTGATAACTCGGCTTGGGCGCAGCAAGTGAAGGCTCCACCCAGCCGTCCAACGTGTTTTTCTGCCCTGCCCTTTCCTTCCCCACGCCCTTGCTCTGACTCCTCTGACTTGCCTCCATCGGCCCGCGCGAACTGCTTCTCCGCTCGTCGAGTCCTCGCCTGTTGCGGATGTCGGGGATGGGTGCAGGCATGTTCGCACGCCGCTGTGTACTTGAGTTAGCGCAGTCCAGATCTCGCTGCTACATTCACAAAGTCATCTACCCAGGGCTATGCTGTGCCTTGTGGCGGCGGAGTGCAAAGACTGACGCGATATACGCGTTTGCTGGCGTGTGAATTCGAGGTGAGTGGTTGCGAAAGGAGAGACCTCAAGCTGCGTTTGCCCACAAGCCAAAAGTCCTGACGGCAGATCCGGACGTCCTCCCACGAGCCACCGCTGCACACTCGGGAACCGGCAATAGCACCTGTCTGTTTCTTTTCTCGTATATTTTGCAGTCTCGATTATAAGAGTGTCAACCTCTCATCGCCACCGAATATACTACATCTCCCAAGATACCTGCCGCCTGCAAGCCACGAGTTTTACTCACTAGCCTAACCTTCCCACCAACACATGCGTGCGTAATGAATCACTGCAACACGGAGAGAAAGACGGCGTGGGTTTGAATCGTCATTGTTATTTCTTGTCTTAGCTACGTGTGATCACCTTTCGAAAGGTTTTCGTAGGCTGCCACGGCCTCCCCTTTCGTCTCGTCTTCGCCCATCCCCTGAGAGGCTGGTCGGCTGATTGCCACCCTAAACGAGCCTCTTCATGATCAAGTCTCCCGGCGTTGGGGCGAATGCATGTCTTGGTGATTTTGGTGACACTGGATCAGAGACGTGCTGGACGACATGGCTCACTCATCGTCGCTGTCCTCGTCGTCATCGTCGTCATCTTCTTCCTCTTCCTCCTTGGGCGCGGCCTTCTTCGCTGGCTTCTTCTTCTTCTTCTTGTTCTTGGGCTTGCTGCTAGCCTTTGAGAGCGGCTGCTCCAAGATTTTGAGGACCTCCTCGTCGGTGATCTTCTTGTCAGATTTCCACTGTGAGACATTCGGCTGAGGTGGGGCGGCCAGTCGCTGGAGGCCGTTCTTGGTGACAGCTGTAAATGATTAGCAGTGCTCTGGATTGGACGGGATCGCAGATTCATAACTTACCGACAGTGGTGAACAGGCGGCTAACTGGCTCTCCATCAGTAGAACCAATCACCTCATACTGTCGCACAACGCCACCACGAACACACTCGACAACACCGACCTTGCCAGCGCGCTCATCATCAAGTTGTCGCAGACTGAAGGGGAAGGTGCCGAACTTCTTCTGAATCTCAGAGAGCGTAGCTCGCGAACTTGGGCGCTTCAGGCCGTAGGTCGTGGTGGTCCTGCGGTGGAGGGTCGGTCTCTGTGGGAGAGTCTTGACCTTGCCTGACCCAATGCTCACTCCCACCTCAACGCCCCAGACTTCACCAACCTCTGGCAGTCCTTCACCTTTGACACCCTCGCCTGGTGCCAGGATGATCTTCTTCTTGCTCTCAATCTCGTTTCTGTCAAACAGCCAGCATGTGGTGTTCTCGACCAAGTTGCAATCGTAGCTCTTGACCACCTTCTCCAGAAGCTGTGTGATCTTCGACTGGCTGTACGGCTTGACCGCTTGTGCCTTCTTCTTCTCTTCATCTGTACCCTGCGCCAAAAGACCTGGAGGCATCATCACGCGGAGGAGCAGCTCGTTGGCGTAGTGGGTTGCAAGTAAGAGTTCGGCTGGACGTCCAGACAATGACTTCTCGCTGTCACCCTTGGGGCGCACGAGGACCGTGTCGCACACAATGGAACCGAAGCCATCAATCTGTGCACCGAGCTGAATCTTCGCTGCCTCCCCAGCCTTGAGCGCAACCTCGGCCTCTTCAGCATCGGAAGTCAGAGGGGTGTAGGGAGTGACGTAGGAGCTCGGCGAGACGGTGCATGGGTGGGAGATGCCCTTGAGGATCTTCTTGCCCTTGTAGACTTTGGCAATCTCATCGTCGAGGAGCTTGTCGCCGCGCTGGCAGATCTCAACGATCTTGGTACCCTCGGTGCACCATCCTGTCCGTAGCTGTTAACTCGAGAGTCGGCTGAAGTTTCGCCGCGGTGCTTACCCGAAACAGTCTCGAGGACCTTCTGCGAGATCTGAGCAGCGGTCTTGTACTTGGTGAGGCTGTTCCTTGTCAGTGGCGACTCTTCTGCTGCGTCCCATGCGGTAGGAGCTCACGTGTCTGGGTTGGCCAGGGAATAGTCTGCGGGAGGAGAGGTCAGCCATTGAAGTAGCGGTCGAGGGGTATCTGTGGTCGGTGAGGCACGTACCGACGGCAGCCTCTTCTGCCATGGCTGAAGACGGACTGGAGATCGAGGGGAGCGGGTATCTGGTGGTAAAGGTGAGGTGAGGTTGGAAAGTTTGGACGTCGAGCTCAAAATTGGCCAAGGATGGGTTGTGCGCTGGAGGGGAAAGAGCGGCGGGGTTTTGCGCTGTTGCTGCTGCGTCAAACGTGGGTCCAGTAGTCAACAACAACACCACCCGAACTAGTCATGCAGCCGGAGAATCGATGGATGTTTGCATTCAGAGAACAGAGCATTACAAAGACCGCATTGCGTCTACAAACAATGCTTCATTCAATCTCCTGCCATTGTCTACCAGATCAACGCTGAAACAGGCCACGCCGTGACAAACACGAATCGATACAGGCCTGGTCGTCGTCAAGAAGCGTTTCAAGGAGTCACCTACACTGTTTCGATGTGTCTGAGATTGAATTTGGGGTGAAGAGCGTCGCGAGAAAATGCCGTGCGAGTGATTCGCCGGACTGAATGCTGAACAGATGTTGAGACGGGCAGCCTGAGGATTCAACAGACACAACAGATGGCTGTCTTGGTCTGGAACAGCGGAGTGTCTTGCTGCGGCACCGACGTGGAGGAAGGTTCTGGAGTGTGATGGTAGTTCTAGGGTGGTCAGATAGTGGAGAGCGCCATGGAGCGAGGGCTGGCGACAGGGACAGATGATAAGGTGTCCGACCAATTGCCTGTACGTGGTGGTAGGTAGAGATTGACGAGATGATCAGCTCAGATGTAGATTGCTTGGTCAGTGATGATATAGAATAGTGCCGTGGTGGAGGAGAGAAGGGGGTCGATGAAAGTGCGTCGCGGGTCAACTGCGGCCCATCCCGCCGCCTCTCGCAACGGCCTTGTGGGATTTGGACCAGGATAGAGTCGAGTTCTTCGTCACTCTGTCGTCGAGCCAGCACGCCCCGTTTTAAACCTATGAGCCCTGCGATTCTGGTGCTTTTCGCCTGCACCCTCGTTCACTGTTCCCTCCAGCGCCTACACGTCCCCTCGCCGTCTTCCGCCGCCCGCGCCTGTGCAACCTAACCTTCCACCCTCCCAACTCCGCCGTCTAGCTTTCCGGATTTGGCCGTTGACAAACGCCGCAGTGAAAGTGCACCGCCGCCGCAGCAGTGAAGACAGTGAAGCAGGTGAGTCGTTTGCAACTCTAGGCAGCATTGCCGCCACACCGTCCCCCGCCGCCTGTTCAGAAATCTTCCACCACCCCGCTGTGCATGTCGCCGTGCAACAACTCGTATCCCCGCCCCAACCGACCACATCACGCACTGACGCTACTATGCAGTGGGAGGCGATCGAGCGTGCCATTGCGCTACGAGGCCGGCAGATGTCCGCCGGTGACCGGCCTGCTGCCCAGCGGCAGGACACTGGCCACCCTGCTCTCAGCGAGGCCAATACCAGCATCCCGGTCACCCCGACTGTGAGCCACGAAGACAACGAGGCCTACGTCCCGCCCAGTGCCCGCACCTACGGCATCACCACCAATCCGCCTCCTCACCTCCTGGAGGCCGTCGGTGCTGATGGCAGTACAGACCGCCGGCGGAGCTCTCCTTCAGAAGCTGCTGCGGGAGCTCGCGATGGCGAGGAGTTGCTTCGTCGATTGAGTCTGACCGGACAGGCTCCCAAGCAAGACGTCGCAGATGTCGACCCTCGCACCGCCCATCCTGGCCTCAGCTTGAGCGGCAACGTCATCAGCGCTGCATTTTGCGTCCCTTACAAGATTGGCTACACCAGCATTGGAGAATGGGTGCGTCTCACATGCTACGACTGATCAAGCTCCCTACTGACACAGCAACAGGAGCTCTCCTCTCGTAGAGGCACTTCAGCGCTTTTCGATTCGTTTCAGCACCTTTCCTCTCCTGATTCACCCTGGAAGCACACCCTCGTGGGCTGGACGGGCGAGATAGACCGCGTTCTTCGTCGCAAAGACCCTTCTGCTAATTCCAATGGCGTCACATCGATGGACTCAGTACCGGTCAACAAAGCTGCAGCTCCTATCCCAGTCCACCGGGGTGAGAAGCCCGTGTCACCCCAAGAGCTTTCAGAGCTGCATGTGCCGTTGGCCGATCGGATCAAGCTCGAGAAAGCACTCGAGTCCCAGCAAGGCGGCAACGTCTTGCCAGTCTGGCTGTGGGACGACATCGACAAAGACGAAGTGGCAACGTTTCGCAATCAGCAGCGTTGGAGACGCTACGGCGAGCACGAACTCTTCACCCTCTTCCACTACAAGCAAAACAAGCCTTCGGACGGCCGTGATCTTCGCAAGGCGTGGGCTGACTATTACTGCATGAACCAGGCTTTTGCAGACGCCATCATCAACATCTACAAGCCTGGAGACGTGGTCCTCATCCACGACTATCAACTCCTTCTCCTACCCAGCCTACTCCGCAACCGTATCCCCAGCATCTACGTGGGCTTCTTCCTGCACGTGCCATTCCCTAGCAGCGAGTACTACCGCTGCTTGACACGCCGCAAGGAGGTTCTCGAAGGTGTCCTCGGCGCAAACATGATCGGCTTCCAAGCGTACAGCTACGCCCGCCACTTTTCATCTTGCTGCACGCGCATTCTCGGCTTCGACTCATCTTCTGCTGGTGTCGATGCATATGGAGCGCATGTTCCAGTCGATGTCTTCCCCATTGGCATCAACGCTGAGCACACGATCAAGTCTGCCTTCGAATCACCTGGTGTGGAGGAGAAGATGAAGGCTTTGAGAGAGCTTTACGCAGGCAAGAAGATCATCGTCGGCCGCGACCGTTTGGACACTGTTCGTGGTGTTGCCCAAAAGCTGCAGGCCTTCGAGATCTTCCTTGAGCGCCATCCCGAGTGGCATGACGAAGTCGTTCTCATCCAAGTCACCAGTCCTACCAGCATCGAGGAGCGTGATGACAAGGGCGATAAGACTGCGAACAAGATCTCGGAGCTCGTGGCCAGAATCAACGGCTCATTTGGCTCGTTGAGCTTCACGCCAGTCCAGCACTACCCACAATACTTGTCACAGGAGGAATACTTTGCCCTCCTTCGCATCGCAGATCTTGGCCTCATCACCAGTGTTCGAGACGGCATGAACACGACTGCTCTGGAATACGTCATCTGCCAACGCGACAACCACGGCCCATTGATCATCTCTGAGTTCAGTGGAACTGCTGGAAGCCTTGGAAACGCCATCCACATCAATCCCTGGGACCTGGGTGGCACCGCCGAAGAGATCAACACCGCCCTCACCATGACCGACTACGAGAAGAAGCACACGCACGAGCTGCTGTACAAGCATGTCACCACTAACACTGTACAAGCTTGGACAGACAACTACATCAAGCGCCTACTAACCAACCTAGCATCCTACGACCAGTCCATTGCCACGCCTGCCTTAGACCGATCCCAGCTGCTGTCGCAATACCGCCGTTCAAGCCGCCGCTTGTTCATGTTTGATTATGATGGCACGCTAACTCCGATTGTCAAGGACCCACAGTCGGCGATTCCGTCTGATAGAGTCACTCGGACGCTCAAGACACTTGCATCGGATCCCAAGAATCAAGTCTGGATCATCTCAGGTCGTGACCAGGCCTTCCTCGAGGAGTGGATGGGACACATCTCTGAGCTTGGTTTGTCGGCTGAGCACGGATCATTCATGCGCATGCCCAACTCGGGCAATTGGGAGAACCTCACCGAAACCCTGGACATGTCATGGCAGAGCGAAGTCATGGATGTCTTTCAACACTACTCTGAGCGAACGCAAGGCAGCTTCATCGAGCGCAAGAAGATTGCGCTCACGTGGCACTATCGTAGAGCGGATCCAGACTACGGCGCTTTCATGGCCCGCGAGTGCCAGAAGCATCTCGAGGCCACCGTCGCGAAGAAGTGGGATGTGGAAGTCATGACCGGCAAGGCGAATCTGGAAGTTCGACCTCGTTTCGTCAACAAGGGCGAGATCGCGAAGCGGCTTGTCAACGAGTACGGCGAGGGACCGGACGAAGCCCCAGACTTTGTGCTCTGCCTGGGCGACGACTTCACTGATGAAGGTGAGCTCATTCATCTCATCCGGGAAAGAACGATCCATACTAACACATTCTTAACAGACATGTTCCGCACCCTCCGCAAATCCAAACTCCCCGAAGAGCACCGCTTCGCCGTCACCGTCGGCGCCAAGACAAAGCAAACCCTCGCGACCTGGCACCTCCTCGAGCCTTCCGACGTCATCTCCTGCATCGCCCTGCTCAACGGCTCCACGGACGCTGGCAACGCAGGCGCCGTCGCCCTCGTCGACGGCGCGGTCCCGGACGCGCGGTTGTAGAGTTCCTCCTCCGAGGTCGTTCTAGGCGTGCTGGTGTTGTTTCTGGGCGCGGTGGCGCTGGTGGCGTATGTTTGCATTTGCGTCGGTGTTGTTTGCAGGTGGTGGGAGGGGCATTGCGAGGGCGTCGTCAGGGGGAGGAGGGTGGTGGAGTATGATTGATTGATGATGAGACTCGCTACGCATTTTCGGTGGAACACTGGGCTGGGCGGCGGCTTTGTTGCTGCTGTTGCTGTTCTTCTGCGTTTTCGCGGATGGTTCTGCATGAGGGTTTACCTTGTAGGCAGTACCCACTCCCTCAGGTACATACCTTGATAGCGCACCTATTCAAAGCGATTGAAAATTCCGTTCTTTCTACGTTTCATCTTGATATCATACATTCGACTACAGTGCATCGGCCGACGATACGCGTCGTTGCCGGTGTTCCCCTTCAGACGCAGGCTCCGCTTCTCCTGCAGTAGTCCTAGTCTGCTCAGGTACAGTCCCCTCTTCAGCATCCCCCATCTGCTCATGGAGTCTCTCTTGGTTAGCCTCAGCACTCTCCGACTCCTCCCGCTTCATCTTCAACTCAGCCGCCTTCACACTCTGCCTCTCCGCCCTTTCCCTCTCCCTCTCCACCGTTTCCCTCTCACTCTCCTCCCTCTCCCTCGTAACCTTCTCCCCAAACTCCTCCATCTGCCTCCGCCGACTCGCATAAACCTCATGACACCTTCCCACAAGCACCTCCAACACCGACTCATCCCTCCGAAACCTCTCCGGATCCTCCAGAAGTTTCTTCAAGCGGTACCGAGCATTCTGAATCGTGAGCAGGATGTGCCTCGCGGCGCTGGATCTCCGTCCGAGGTCGTTGTGGGGCGTCGCGGGGTCCTGGATGCAGAGGAGGGAGGGCTCGAATTCCTGTCGGCTGCAGATGGCCCATTGGCCTGAGCGGACGAGGTCGCCGCGACGGCGGGCGGCGAAGGAGAATGTGCGGAGGCTGGGGTGGGGGTCGTGTTTTTTGAAGACAGTGCGAGAGCCTGCGGCGACGCCGTATTTGGTTGTGTCGAGTTGGCTGTAGAAGTATAGGAATCTGAGCAGGTGGTCGGACAGAGTGGGTTGCTTGTCGCCTTGGTGGGGATTGATGCGGTTTACGGCGGCGACGAGCATGACGATCTGGCCGTAGGAGCCGATGCCGCCGCTGTAGACGTCGGAGAAACCGCGCATCTCGAAGAAGGTGCGGATTGTTGGGTAGAGATCGCGGAGGGTGGGTATGGACTCGAGATATTTGCCAACGACTTCTTGTTGGGGAGCGGCACCGCTTCCGGCCACGATCTGGATTTGTATGCCACTGTCCATATGCTGGCAGTTGATGATGGGGTACCGACCGAGTCGTAGAAAGACCAGACCGAACTGCGTGCTGTTGTATAGATGGTGTCTCAGGCTGCCCATGCGTGCAGATAGTCTTTGCGGGTTCTGGACGCGATCTAGTTCATCCCACACGCGAACATCGATGTCCGACACAGGTGTCGCGAGCCTTGTCACTGCAGATCCAAACAGCTCCACGCCGGTCCTTGCACTGAGATGCTTTCTAAGAAACGCTACAATCTCCTCCGCTACGGCTTGCCTCGCAGCTTGCTCCATGGGCGTTAAAGCCATGTATTTCGCAAATTGATACAGCTCAATGTCCAGCATCGATCGGCCGCGTCTAATGTAGGCTCTACGGCTCGTTGGTATGCTCCAAGGTGGTGGTATTCGAACGTCCACCTCGCTATCCTTCGGCATGATAACCTTGGGACTGTAATCTATGCCTTTGAGTATGGCATGCTGCTCTTTGGCATTGAGATTCTGCAAAGCAGCTTTGCCGTCTTTCGTGGCCAAGCGAGCTGCTACGTCCTTGACCAGTCGCATATGTCGAGGCCAGTGGTCTTTGGTGAGGTAGTCTCCCCGGCTGAAGTGGTATTGGGTATGCTTTCGCATTTCATGCACAGCTCTTCGGAGGAGCGTATCATGGCTCATTTCATCGGTGTTGTGTTTGAGATATATAGACAGCGTCTTCCTGGCCACCAGAGGGCGATGTTGCATGCTGCCCTTCTCCTCCTCTTCTTGACGGCATTGCGACGTCGTGCTGAACGCGGCGCGGAGAGCGAGGGCAGGATTGAAGGCATTGTGGGCTGCACACACGCTGCGCGCCGGCGTCCGGGTGCATTGCATGAAGTCGTGGTCGTCAGGGTGTTGGAGGTGAATTGAGAACAGCATCCGACGTTGGAGCTCGTCTCGCGTGGGAGACGAGCTTGGTCTTGGCATCGACCTCACCTCACGACGGTAGTCTCAACAACATCAACAACCGACGGAATACTAAGAGTGAGGTCTAAAGACATCTTTCACTACGAATTTATCATCTGGAGTGTCTTTTCTCTACAGTGATCTGCGTTGGCACTGGCAGATTTACACCCTCAATGCCGATTATCGCCAACCTGTGCTTTCGCCTTTTCCCGTAAAGGCGCATTGTCGTCCCTTCGCCGCAATATAGCAGATTTCGAGGACGGCCGCATCAACCGCAATACGATGGTCATTATGGACACAATTCATCGGGAAAGGGATCTCCTTCAGGTTGCCGCGAAAGAAGCCTCCAGCTCGGTACAGGGCAGATTGACCGCAATGCGTGATTGATGATCGAGACCCGCTAGCGACCCTTATGGGGCCCTACCCTTTGGCCATGTCTCGAGGAGTCGCGAAGCAGTCTGTCGAAGGGGTGAGGGATATCCATTCGTCCACAACCGCGACATTTTTCCGAGACACTTGAGCTGCCCTCCACTCGTCCAGGTCAAAAGCGACTCATCGAAGTTGGCAGCTTCGAGGAGGACTCTCTGCCGTCGAATGGACGGTTCGACGATGGAGAGCTCGAAGAGACTGATGGGTCCATGAGCCACGTCTGCGACGAATTCCTTCGTCCGGCCAGCCAGCCACCCAGCTGATTTTCGTTGCCGTACTTGCTTCATCCAGGTAATTATTACTTTCGAGATCACGATGATCGATACTAGTGATGCGTTGGATATGTGCCGCCAATTTGGATCAAGAGCCGATGTGATTTGGATGCTGGCCGAAGAAGATTATGGTCTGAGGGGCTAGCAGCTCTTGGGGAGTACGCTCACGTATCTGTATGAGGTCAGTCATTGACGCGGTCTGTTTAGTCTCGCGAAGCAACTGACTCCTGAAACGTTAGCTGAAACTCCGTCCTTCAACAGTAAACTTACCAGATCAGACTGAAGATTGTTGGCCAGAAGCCTCACCCGGCAGCGCCTCGACCGTGTTCGCTCCCTGTTGTACAATTCGTCGACAAGTTTCACCGACTCCAGCTTTCAGCCCCTCGATACAAATCGAATAGACTCCTCGGACTCTTCGACAACTCCTCACTGCTACTCTTATCGATGCATATCGTGTTCATTCAGACGTAGGATTTCTTAGCATCTTGTGCCAACCGACAAGCACCTAGAGTTTTCGGCCTTGAGTTCTCGAATCTTGCATCCAGGCTCAGGGCCAACAGAGATGCGTTTGGGTTACCACGAAAATCGTTGAAGCTGAGGTCGTCTCGCCAACGGTAAGATAGAGCGTAAGATGCCGTTTGCGGGCCTTTGATTACCAATCTGCTAATTCGTAGGCTAAAGTGTCCAAAAAACGCACAAGCGCCATGATCCTACTAATTCAAACAAGAGATTTGATGACTCACTGTGCTAGCAAAAGCAGCATGCAAATTTGCAGAAGAGACCATTCGGCGCATTCGGCGCATTCGGCGCGCGAACGGTTCAAATGTGCGATGCACTGGCATTTCCTTCAAACCCGATTCTCGAAATGGTGCACAAGTGCTACCATACAGTGCGACTGTCGATCAGCAACTGGAGCAAACGGCCCTAACAATCCCTCATCACCAAGTTACAAGGCCAAAATACCTTCCTCCTGCCTATGATAGGCTGCATACCTTTGTCGTTGACAAATTCTAGCCGCAGCCACGTCCATATTTCCCGAATAGGGCAATTGCTCGTCGGGGCTAAATTTGACGACATGTGCTCAGCCGCATGGCCGCATGGGGGCCAAAAGTTCACCAAGGACTTCAATATCGAATCGCCACTCCACTTGATTTCCAGGACACGTTCGCTTCGACCAGGCCCCTGGTCTTTTCACAACAATTGCAATGGCGACGAACAGTACCAAGGTCTGCTACACGCCCAACGGAGCCGTTTGGGAGGGTGCCACGCCATGCAACCAGACAGCGGACGAAAGCCATTGCTGTGGAGTAAACGATTTCTGCTTGAGCAACGGGCATTGCTTGCAAGCTGAAGGCGCATACGCGAATCGCATCGGTCGTGGGACATGTACGGATTCGTCATGGCGGAGTGAGGCTTGTCCATATGAGTGCAACGACAGTAAGGAAGCCCCCTTGACCTTCACATCACAAATTTTTCTTCGCTAACACGATCGTTCCACAGTCCGAACAGACCAAGACTGCGCCCTCCTCCTCGCCTACGAAACACCCGATGGCTCCTTCTGCTGCGATCGAGGCTTCAATACCGAGACGCAAAGTTGTCCCACTGCCAGTGGAAAGTTTGGCACAACGCCTTTCAATATGACTCTAGGAAGAGTCATCTGGAATCGCACAGACGGATCTATCATGCAGAACGGAACACTCCTCCCATCACAAGTCCAGCTCTCCGAAGCCCAGACGACCGTCACCCTCCGACCATCACCTTCATCTTCAGCAACCTCAAACTCCAACGACGTAACCGCAGTAGCAGCCGGCATCGCCGTCCCCCTCGGCATACTCCTCCTCGCCAGCCTAGCGACAATCTTCTTCCTCTGGTCGAAACTCAAGAACCTCAAGAAACAAATTCAGAAAAGCGATACCCCATACGACGGCGCTTCGGGGTACAAACCCATCGATATGCACTCTCTGACACCGCAAAATGGGGCTGCTACGGATCCATACACGGCTTTGCCGAAGTATCAGCGCGACCAATACATGCATCAGGCCCCGGTGAACGAGGCGCCTGTGGAGAGGGAGCTTGTGGAGGCTGATGCGAGGATGCCTGTGCAGGAGTTAGGGACATGAGGTAGTGATAAGTTTTGGGCCCTGTTGGGTACATAATAGAGTCCAATATATGCTTCGCAAGATCTTTGTTATACGACCATGGTATGGGTCTCTGAAGCCACCTTTGAGTCTCTATCTGGTGGCTGTGATCAAAATCTTCGAGTCCGTGCTCACTCTACTTGGCCTGCCACGGGGCGAGGCTCTGCCATGAAGGAGTCTACAAAGGTCTTGAAGACGTGGTCTAGATTCGCGTCGTTGCTGTAAACTATTGACAAGGTCGTCGACTGATGACCCGAAGAAGCTCTAGATTCTTCTCCGTGCGGTGTGGTCGAGGCAAGAATAATGGGATCTGTATATGGTAGATTCTGTTTTGAATTGTTTTTGGATATAAAGGTTTTTTTGGGTACACATAAGTTTCGTTGGTCCGTTACATTTTTGTTGAAATTCTTCTCCCCTTTTCCTCGAAGAACAACACCTGCAGTCCTCCTACTAGCTCCTAGCCCCCTACCCTATCCAGACACAAATGAGAAACAAGTCCTTAACGATCATGATATCCTCCCCGTCGACACGCCCCTCGTCCAACCTGTCGACCTCGGTCGCTGTGCCCGTGGTGGCCCAGCACTTTTCATTGACAGCATGTTCATCCCACGCCGTGTGTCATATGTCTCATCATCGCCAGCGCAGCGTGGCTCGCGGTACCTTCTCATCGATATGAGACATCCCTCTCGAGTCATTCCTGTGGTCCTCGACTCAAGCCCACAGGCATTGTCCTTCCTTCACGACAGCCCCGTCATCCACGAGCGGATCTAGAAAATCCTCGACTGTCTCTTCCTCCCGATTCGGCTCTTCTCGCTGTTCGTGCTGCCAAAGCTACTCGCGGACTTCGTGCTTGAGGGTGAGGGGTTGTAGACGTATTCGCCGTCGATGTATTGCGCGCCAGAGGTGAAGGTCGTGCGCTTCTCTCGTTTCGTGTAGCGTTGTTCGAGACGGTAGATTTCGAGTCTTGCGCGGAGCTTGTCGACGAAACCCATGTTGACGGTTATGTTGTGGTGTGGTATGGTTGTGGTTGTGGACGATGGCTTGAAGTTCGGTCCAGAAGAACGTTCGGATGTTGGTGTGGAGGAGTGGAACGGTTCGACGTTCAGGAAGAACAAGGTGGAGAGCTTGGGTCTTCTTGTACACGAGACCAAAGAGGAGAGGGTAGTATTATTAGCTGACAGCTGACCGTTGCGTTAAGTGCGGGATCGGTTAAGTAGTTCGCTTCGAGAAGTTGTTGGCATTCGCTTTACTCCGCTGGAAGGATGTCGATTTCAAAGCAGAGGATTCGATGTTGGATGATTCTTCTTTTCGTCTTTTCTTCGACGCGACGTGCCCTCTGTTATAGTCTTTCTGCGTGCTGCTTCTAGCAGGATCTAGTCGTCTTCTGGGTAGGGATCGTTGAAGGTTGAATGACCGTTGGCAGCCGTTGGACAGGCTTGACTTGTCTAAAGTCAGAAGAAGATATGTTGCTTGGCGAGTCGTGGGGAAATACAAAAACTTCCAGACTGGCTGTGTTATCGAAGAATACTTCAAGGAGAAGAGAGGAAAGGGGATCGCGCAGGAAGAGAGGTCAGTGGTGGAGTTATTCCCAACCATCCGCGTGGAGCAATGCGGGTTCTCGTCGTTTGAAGCTGCTGCAGCTCCATGTGGACTGGCTTCCACGCCAAACCCCCATCCCTGCAAAGTCTGCCGCTACGCAATCTAATCCGATCACCGTTGGCTCTTCTTGAAGCCGCGGTTGTAGGGGTATTCCAGCAGCTAGACACCTTCGTTGCACTGGTGATGTTGTGTTCGTCACAGAATGTATATCGATCGGCCTGTTATTGCAAAGGACACAGCAAGAGCAGTAGCATTCGTCTCCGTTTCGTGAGAACTTTGGATTCACGTCGGTCCAGCCCACAGCAGGAGGAGTTGCCGGACAGGTGCTAGTCGGCACGAGCTCGCGTGGGCATATGGGGCTGCTCTAACTGCAATGGGAAGCTCGCAGAACAAGGGGCTGATGTGAGGATGGCCTTTGCCGACGACATGTGCTCTTCGCTTGCGTGGGCTGACAGTAGCGACGATTCTGGGGTGGCTGTGAAGACTCCTCCTTCTTGAAAGCGGACTTTGGGAAGACTGTGTCCCGAAAAGCCGATACGGTGGTTGCGGTTCTCGCAGCGACTGGATAGGGGTCGATGAGGCGGCCTACTCTGAGAAGGTATGGGCAAGAGGCAGAATGAACACGAGGCAAGTCGTGTATCGCACAGCACCGGAAGAATCAACCTTTGAACAAGGCAATTCCATCGCCACTGATCTCGAACATCCGTGTCACCATACCATCCCGCAGATAGACGCCTGTGCCACCGAGGCCACTCACCGATGGAAGTAACCGGTCTGGGAGACTGTCATTCATCAATCGACTCGCATAACCTCGTTTTCAGGTCTGGATCGAAAGGAAGGAGCTTGCATCTGTGTCGGCCTGAGACGTTTGACATCTTCCAGACACCAACTTCCTGAGAGAGGTGAGGTCAAAGGCGCTCGAAATAGATGGAAGCTGCGAAACCAATGAAGTGAGGAGCCGAATCGATGTCGGCAGACGAGTTCAATCCAGGCATCTAATTCGACATGTGCTCGAGTGCTGATTTGGTCGAGCAGATGGAAGGTTCATGCTTGTCCATGAGATATTCTTGCAGATGACGAAGAGCTTCATTCCGCTTCTCGTTCGCTATGTGAGGCTGTTGTCCCGTTCAGTCAGGTTGCTTGGCTCCATGTTTGCTAAGGCTGGAGGTCCTAGCTGTTGGACTGCGTCTTTTGGAAGTCTGACACAATCCGTCTCGGTCGTGACTGCCTCTTACACGGTTCTTACAACCGGGGAAAGCGCGATGCTTGCTACTCTCGCCACGGCAGGAGCAATGCTCCCAGACCGCCTACTAGATAGATATTGCAGAGCCATGACATACGTAGATTGAAATGCATCGGGTTGGGGTCGTATGTACAGTATTTGTAGCACTTCAAACATAGAAAAGCTGCCTCGCTATGGAACATTTTATGCCGGCTCCGTGCGTCTCGATTCCGAGACCAGGCTTCCACTCTACCTCCCAGCTTTTGCTATCTGTATGGTGCGTCCGCTCTTGCCACCGCCGCCAATTCAGGCTCCCACTTATCTCCATTCGACAACAACTTCTCCTTGTTGTAGAGTAACTCTTCTCTTGTCTCTGTCGCATACTCTGCGTTGGGCGACTCCACAATGGCATCCACTGGACATGATTCTTGGCAGTAGCCGCAGTAAATGCACTTGGTCATGTCAATGTCGTAGCGGGTCGTCCGTCGGCTGCCATCTTCTCGCTCTTCGGCTTCGATTGTGATGGCTTGTGCAGGGCAGATGGCTTCGCAGAGCTTGCAGGCGATGCAGCGCTCCTCGCCGGTTGGGTAGCGTCTAAGGGCGTGCTCGCCACGGAATCGGGGAGAGATGGGACCCTTCTCGAATGGGTAGTAGATAGTGTATCTATGATCCTCGCGTCAACGTCTGCCTCATTCGCACTTCCAATGGCGCGTTGGCGTCTACTTACGGTGGCCGGAAGAACTGCTCCAGCAGAACGTACATGCCCCTCGCCATCTCGGTGAGCAGGAAGTACTTGCCCGCCTGGTCCCACACGCTCTCCTTGTTCTCATTCCACCTCTTCGGCGGTGCTATTCTGAATCCATCTGGAGGCGGGCCTTCGGTGGCGCCGCCTGCTGTTCTTTGCCTCCGTGCGCTGGTCGAGAAAGCCGGGGCAAAGGAGGTGCGGCCGGCGGCGGTGAGGAGGGAATAGGTAGGCCGCGAGCGCGCCAGCGCTGTCAATGCCCGCGGCGACGACATTGTGAGGCGATGTAGAGGGTGGTGGTGACGGGAGGCGTGGTGTGTGTCGGAGTGCTTGATGTTGGCGTTGTGGAGGAAGTCTTGAAGCTATTTTGGCGAGTGGCCAATCAAACGATGACGATTATGAGGTCGATTTGGCTTCACCGAGCAGCCCGACTTCACCTCCTCAGCTCACACATTCACCCTCGTCTTTCACCTATTTTATCCTTTTAAGCCATATCGTCTTGTTGCCTGTTCTGCTTTCGGCTCATACTACGCAGTCCGTCAAATAGCTTTGCTCTGTGCTCGTCGTCGGTACCCTGTTCGCCACGCGGGACCATTCGAACATTCTTGTCCTCATCATCGCGAACCTGGGAGACTTCATTGATGTTCTTCTTCGTAAGAACGGCCACGTGATATCTCATGGATATGGCATCATATGAAGCAAGTGTATCGATTAATGCGATGAGTCTGGTCAGCAGGTAGATGAACACGAGACTTGGAACTCTCTAGTCGTGAATGCCATGTGAATGTAGACTAGCTCAGCGCCTGTGACGGCTCGTAGAAGTGAATGGCCTGACGGCTCTCGTTTGCAAGAGGTCCGTGCGTTCCAGCTACTTCTTCTCCGCCCGCCCGCTTCGTCTTCTCTTCTTGTCACCACCATCAATGCTCGCTTCGACCAACCTCCCACCTTGGCATGACTCAATCCTGCAGAGACAACTTCACCTCATCTCGACGACACTACCAAGACCCTCACCTCTTCGCCATCGCGAATTCCCACCCAGAATGCCTCGCGGCTTGTGCTTCTACAGCCGCTGCAAAAATGCCGAGCTCGAGGAATTCTACAAGGAGCGCACTGGCGAGGACATGCCGAAGACGAAGAAGCGAATGACGAAGAAGGACCTTGCCAATGAGCTGCGAAAGGTCGACCGCTGCCCTTGGAAGCATGGAAAGAAGTTCCGCTTCTTGGATCTGCCGCCGGAAATGCGCAACATCATCTATCGCGAGCTGCTTCCTGTCCTTCCTCCTGGCACCCATCGCGAGCCCAATGAGTCGAAGTGCCAGCCAGCCATACTTCGAGCATGCAAGCAGGTATGTTAATTGGCCTCGACCATGCGTAACTTGGTTGGTAGCGTGCTAATTACCCTATCAGGTGCATTCGGAAGCGCAAAGTATCCTCTACGGTGACCATGAGGGCGAGGTCACTATCCGCGCACGCCACAATTTGTTTCTCCGCGGCGGCGAATGGATGGAACGAAGGACTATGACATTACATGGCCAGGACAGCAGAGATGATGGCCACCTAAACGGCTCTTGCACGCTGGCTGGTGTTCGCTCTGATTGACCTGCCTACTTGCTCAAGTTCAACAGGATCAATCTCAGAGTCGTCATAGACATCTCCGGCTCGAGAATATTGTCCCCACCTCCTCGGACAGTCTATGCGATAGGCAGCCAAGAACTCCTCGGCCTGGTCTCATTTCTCTCCACGAGCACTGTCTTAAAGACTGTTTCCATCGCTGTCATCAAATACGTACCCGAGGATGACGATACGGCTTTGCTCAGTATGTTGCAACCTCTGGCACGCATTGGTGCAACAGCTAGTATCGACCTCGTCGATATTCCCGAGGCGATTAGAGACCAAATTATGAACGAGAAGAACGGCAACGTAGACTCGAACAATTTCTTCGCCGAGTTCCAAGAGACATATGCGAATATCAGGGCGCTGGAAGTGTTTAGGGCGGACGTCGATACCAAAGGGGCGATCAACGAGATCAAGGACAGGTTAGTGGGAATGGATGCCAGACTCGCAGAAGTCCGCGGCTTTGTGGACTCCGATGTCGAGAAGACACTACGAGAAGCAACACTCGCGACGAAATCGTTCCTTGCTGGTGGGATCGTGGACAAAGTCAATCGCCTGGCTCGTCGTAAGGCGAAGGAGATCAAGCAGGAGGCAGCTAAGAAGGTCGATGAGCTTGAGTCTCAGCGGCAGAAGTTCATTGGGATTGTAAAAGCGGCAAAGGATGCCTCTGGAACAGAGAAGGCGGCAAAAAACTCCTCTACGACGACAACGGATTGAGAGCACAGTCAGAGATGCAGTTTGCATTCACTATCCAGAAAACACAAACGACAATGGGAGATTCTCCGGCACCGGCCGACATCTGTCGTGCAGCGTCTTCGACTGCTGGGCGAATGATTGGCTATAAGACAATCCGGACATGACCTGATTAGACTCAGACTCTCTTTCGAGAGTGCAGGCGACTTTGAGCGCCAGCACGACAGCCTAGATCGTGCTTTTAGAGCGAGACAGCTCTTGTTTTGTGTATCCTAAACATTACGAGTATTCTAACCAGTCCATTCTCCTATCCTTTGTTCAAGACCCCCAACAGCCTTTCCTAACTTCCTCCACCGTCCCTCACACGGCGAACGCCTACAGCGGCATATCAACCCCACTATCAACAGCACAACTCCAAACATCATCTTCACTCTCCCTCATAGCCAACCTCAACAACCCCATCTCCCCCTCCAACTTGCCCAAATCCGCCTTCCCCAACCTCCGATAGAAAGTCTCCCCTTTACACAACGAGATCATCTTCCGCTGCATCCCCACAGTCTCACGCCCATCTGGCGTCCGCCGGGGCGGAACAGACCAGACCACAGCCCCTTGCTCCGCATGCCACGTGAGATCGCACTTGGTGCGGAATTGATACTCGGGTCTATGGAGACGGTTCGCCATCCGCCGACACGTCTTTCTGTCTACATTCTGATTCTGCGCTCGCCAGAGAAGTCTTTGGGCCCCTTCTACCGTCTTCCTGACTTTCTCAAACTCCGGACACGAGATTTTCCTACCCAGACTTCTCTGCAGCTTCCTCTGAATCTTCTCCCGCCCTGGAATATCCTCCAACAAAATCTCTTTCAGTGCCGGACATCGCGTCAATGGGAAGAGCACGGAGTACAGATGCGGACACAGCAGGCTCCGTCCTTTGACCACGAACTTAATCCGCAACTTCTCCAACTTCTTCGCTTCCAGGGAGAGGATATGTAGAAAGCTATTCAGCGCCGCGAGGACGTTTCCCCTCGAGACTAGCGGTTCTGAGATCGGATCGATGAGGACTTCGACGTATGCCGAGAAGATCCTCGACGTCCAGGACGGTAGTGCGTATTTCACCCGAACGTCCACGTCCACGACATCTTGACGACGTCCTTCGTTCACGCTCCAATCCGCCTTAACGCACCGCAGCTCGCAGCCCGGCAGTCTGCAATCCCCCAACATGCAGTCTGTGGAGTGATAGAGTGTGAACTTGAACGTCTTGTCGACGAATAGGAGGTCCTTCGCTTCGTAGTAGGCTAGAGGGTGCGCGAGGAGGATCTGCGGGCAGGGGACTCCGAAGCCTTGGTCGGTCAGGCTGGGGGTGTCGCGGTCTCCTTGGAGGCTGAGTTCGTAGATGATGTTGCGTAGCTCGCCTGGGAGTTCGAATAGGGGGAATGCGTCTGGTGGTGCTGGTGTGATGAGTGGTCGCGGTGCAGAGAGCATCTCCGTCGTTGTGATGAGTTGAGAGGCAGCAGGATCCGTTTGTTGAGGCGTCGTGAATCGTGAAGGGGCGGTATCGATGTTGAACGTGGACGTTATGCCCAAGTTTGGGATCATCCCGATTTGCCATGGCCATGATGAATGTATTCGAGCGATGAGTCGTTTCCGTTGCCAGTCGTCGTTTGTTTCTCGTTTCTCGAGTAGCGTTTTCTGCCTCAAGACAAGTTCGCCCGGTTGCATCGACGATGAGAGCTGCTAATAGTTGCAAGTAGTTGCATGAACATCGCTCGAAGTTCTTGCGTGTCGTTATATTTATTCTTCTTCTTGTTCTTGTGTGTTAGCCTTTGCGGAGCCTGCTTGGCTGTTCCACTGTCTTACACATGCTTTGGAGTCAGCTGGGCGAATCAGAGTCTAAGAGATGCACAGAAGTAACTTACAAATTTTCATGTGCTCCTCGCATCTCCACTCACACCCACTTCTCGTAGCACACACTATCTTCCTCATGGTAAACTCCAAAAGTACTCCTCTCCTTGTAGCCAGCCTTCTCATAAAATCTCCGCGCAGGCTTGAGAGTACGCAACGTTTCAACAACGATGCACTGCAATCCGAGCTCCGTCTTGCCGGCATCTTCAGCAGTTTCCAGGAGTTTCGCCGCGACACCAGTTCCTCGATACTCTTTCGTCACGACCATTCGTTTGATCTCGCCATATCGTGTACCGTCGGGCAGGCCTTCAGATTGCTCATCGCCAGGCAGAAGTTTTTTGATCGCGACTGAGCCAACGGCTCTGTGTTTGCCATCGATGTCTGGCTGGGATATATCCTCCGCTATAAGCAATATAGTGTCGTCCGGTAGTGGGAATTTCCTCCTTTGCTTTATGTCTCTTCCAAAGAATGGTAGGACATACTCGTTAAGTTGGCTCAGCCAGTATTCGGCTTCGGGCCCTTGATGACTGACTCGCTTGATGCGAAATTCTTGTGCTGAGTCGTCCATGATGAGTTTTGCGATAGACGAAGTGAGTGCTTCTGTGCGGGAGAATCTGTGCCTTTTAAGTCGGAGTCAGCCTCGGAATTAATTCACTCCGCTTGGATGAATTTTCGGAATGTTCCTGGATTTCTTTTCAGGTACCGGTCCCTGAGGTCACACCTGCGGTGTACCAAAGCGAATAGCACACCTGCCTATAGTAAGCAAGTGGCTGTTCCGCAAACTGCAGCATAAATCCTCAGGTCGGCGACCGTGGTGGCATGGACTGCGAGCTGCGCTTTCGTGTCCGGATCTAGTGTGTGCTGGTGAGATCTGCCTCTGTGATTCAGTTTCGCGTTGAGAAAGTGTTGAATAGAAGTTGCTGCAGATCTGTTGCATATCAGCTGGTCGTCAATAGTCTATCTGCTTCCTCAGAAGAATGCATCTCATGCTCATCTAGTCAGCTTGACTGCAATCCGACACCGGCTGCCTTTCTTCCCTCAACAAACTCCACCGGCGCAGTGTAGTGGCGCTTGCCATACGCAACGAAAAACACCACAGAGATGATGATCACCCCTACCCATACCAGAGGTGCCCAATTCGCAGTGCTGAGATCCACCGGCAAGTTGGTCGGAAAGCAGGAAAAGACGATGATGAATGCCGAGTAGAGGAAGGCGAATCCGTTGACCGCTATCCCGTAACGTCCAAGACTCCATCGAGCGGGTGGCAGAGGCTCTCCTTTGATGCGGTTGAGGAGGACGCAGCCGATCGAGATCATGTAGGTGCTTAGGAGGCCAAGCAGTGACAGCGAGACGATGATGTTAAAGGCCAAGGTAGAGCCAATGTTGATCAAGCTGAGAATGGCCACAGCCACTGATGTGATGTAGACCGAGTTGAAAGGGATATTCCACTTCGGGTCCATGCGGCCGATGGTTTTCGCGAAGGGTAAGCCCTTGTCTCTGGCAAATGCGAAGACTTCTCGAGCGCATGTAGCCAGAGCTGTGATGTTGCCTGCGTAGATCAGCAGGAAGAGGATGACGTTAAGCACAACCGACAGCGCCGGCGAGCCTGTGTTGTTGAATAGCAGAAGATAGGGTATGTCTGAATTGAGCTGCAATGGATTAGTCCAGAATTTAACAATAGAGCGGCCAACTTACCACGCCGTCAAGTGGGCCCAGGCAGAACAGCATTGTGATCAGCATGATGATGCCAAAGAAGACATTTCCCAGGTACGACCACCACATCGCCCTAGGTACGACGAGCCCAGCATCTTCGACTTCTTCAGAGATGTGCACGACTGAGTCCGATCCCAGATTGCAGTACATGACATAGACCTGAGAGATGAGGTAGGCTGTTCCCATGTTCGACCAGCCGCTGTTATTCTCGAAGTGGACAAATACGTCGTAGGCGCTGTTCTTCGGACACATTACCCATAATAGAATCATGACGACGAAGAAGCCGGCGATGTGTCCGACCAAGCATGCAGTCTCCAGCGAAGGCAGTATGGGTGCTCCCCACGTGTTGAAGAAGATCGTTATGACGGTGAAAGCAATCATGATCAGTGTGGCCTGCCATCGTGCGAAAGCATACTCCGGGTTGGTCACTTGGATCATGGCTTCGATCTGAGTGGTTACCACATATGTGCTGCTGGCAACCGAGGCCAGCCATCCCAAAGTCGACATCCATCCGGAAGCATAGGAGAGGACTAGATCAAACAGTCAGCACTTATATGTACACGTTGAATGATTTGAGAAACTCACTTCTCTGATACTGCGGTGGTGCAAACTCGCTAACCCAGTGATATTGGCCTAATGAATCTTGATCAGTGTGGAAAAGACTTGATTTTTGGCAAATTTCTTACCACCAGCAGTAGGCGCCATTGACTCCATCTCGGCCAGACTCGCGACAATCGTGGAATAGCAGAGGACTGTCGTGATAAAACACCAGAATAGTCCAGCATACCCTCCGTTGGAAAAGCCTACACTGAGCGAGACCAGGACGAATTCCCATGTCGCCATGTAGACGGACACAAAGGCTATGGCGGAAACGAGGCTGAAGTTCCTCTTGAACTCCTGTGATTGCGTTAGACTGAATGACTTTTTTCTTCTCATCTTCACTGACCTGCTTCTTCCCCATCCTCCGCATGTCTCGCTTATCCTGATCTGAATCGCGCCATTGGCGTCCGTCTTCAGCGTCGACATCGTCGTATACTGGCAGGCCATCATCAATCTCACGCTTCGAATCAGAGCCCTCAGAGATATTGACAGAGGCATCTTTGAGCTGGATGTTGTCGCGATACACAGGCTCTGCAGATCTTCGGCGCATCGAACTTTCCCCATGTCCGAGAGCGACCATCGTGGAGGCGCCCCACTCAACAACAAACTCAACGCTCTCACACAACAAAAGTAAGAGAGAAGGATTGTCACGTACAAAGACGTCTGTACTCCCAGGATCGAAAGGCGAAATAGCCTGAGAAAGACCGTCGTCGGCTACTGCTCGATGACGAGCCGCTCGCGGTCTCCTTGCGGCATGGTGACCAAGGCGCCCAGACTCGCGTGCGTGAGGCGTGCATGAAGCGAAGGATTCATCAAAGATAGGCAGAGATCTGGAGGGGCATCAAAGTACGTAACCGACTGGAGTGATAGCTTCTAGTTTGATGAGCTAGAGCGAAGAAGTAGACACGCCCGGCGGTGTATATATCGTGGCGGAGAGATGCACGCGACTTGGACGATGCAGGAGTGATGATTGGTTTCAGAGGTCGCGTGGCGGCTTCCTTTCTCCTTTCCCCTGCGGTGACTTCACTCCAAGACCCTTCTCTTCCCACGAGGAAGCACACGAATTAACAGCCTGGTTCTCATGAACTTCAACTCTGCAGTCAAGAGTATACGTGTTGTTCTAGCTTACGTCTCTTTTTCCCATGCTCTTCGACTCTCACTATCTCTCTTACCGCAAATATGAATATTGTGTGCCTTTCAAAACTGCTACCTACACAACAGACATCGAGATATTCATCTGCTTCATCTCCTCAGGCAATCCAGGAAACACCGCTGTCCCTCTCCTCCCAAAAGCATCGACAACCATCTTCACCCTCTCATGCCTCGCCGTCAAATCAACCCCATAAACACCCCAAGCAAACTGCGCCGTCGCCATCAATATACAGTCAACCAAAGTCGGCGATTCGCCCACCAAAAACGGGCCCTCCTCATCCGCAAGACCCTCCAAAACCCTCAAAGCCTTGCGCATCCGCTCCAACCCATCCACAGCCGTCTCCCGCGACTGCTCTCTCATCATGCCGTACAGACTCGACCCATGCTGAACGTACAAGACAAGCCATGTCGTAACTTCATTCACAATGTCCATGCACTCCCTCATTCTCGCACGAGCTTCGGGCGTCGAGCCTCGCATGTCGGGGCCTTCGGGGCCGTAGACGTCTTCCAGATACTCGAGGATCGCCGTGCTTTGGAAGATGTACTTCCCGGGCTGCTCTGCCGTGGGACAGGAGATTTCGAGGATGGGAACGGTTCCGGATGGCTTGCCTTCGACTTCTTCCAAGCCATTTGTGGTGACGTTTACGGGGATGATTTCAAACCTGTCGGCGATGCCTTTCTCTTCAAGGTAGATTGTTACACGACGAGGGTAGAGGCCGAATGGGAGGACCCAAAGGCGTGGTTTCGGTTGGGGGGTCATTTTGGTATTGATTCTTCGTCTGTAGTCAGGAAGCCTGTCGCAACTGGACATCGTTTGTACTTGTTCGCTCCAGCCTCGTGTGATTTACCCGTTTGACTGTCCGCAAAAGTCTCCGGCCTGCAGAAAAGAAGTCAACGATAAAGAGAGCGCAAGGAGCAAGACTCAAACGACTTGTGCAATTGCATGTGACTGTAGGAGTTCATTCAAAAAGTCTCCGAAGCACTCGAACATACGCAAATCTTCAAGACTTCCTACATCCCTTCAATCTTTGGTGTGGTTTCGATGCAGGAGACTTTTCGACCTGCCATTAGATTGATACTACGTCTTCCAAGTCTTGACATCGGAAACACTCATATCTCCTTCAGCCCAGATGTTCTGAGCCTCAAACCTCTTCATCTTCCACAGCGCATCATCTCCCTCTCCAACCTTGACAACATCCGCCCAGTACGAGTTCCCGAACAGAACATAATCCCGCTTACTCGGGTCATGTCCCTCCCCAGGACGGAAATGCTGTGCAATCACATAGCTCGTGACTTCAGCTTGATCCATGCTATCGTTGAGTTTGACCCGGACATTGTTGATGTTGTGACTGGTTGGCATCGGTCCTACGTGAGCTAGCACACCGTTGACGATGTTATCCACGCCTTTTTGCTCCGGGTGGTCTCGGCCTGTGGCTGGGGAGAGGCCTGAGATATCGAGAATGGCATCCTCGACGAAGGCTGATCGGACAAGGTCTGCGTCGTTGAAGTCGAGGCCGTGTACGAGGCGGTACATGGCATCGACGGCTGCTTCGCGGGGTGTGAGGCCTGGGCCAAGATGGATGGGAGATTTTCTGGTGTTCATATTGGATAAATCTGAAGGTGAGTTGCTGGTTCAGAGTCGTGGCTTTGATGGTTCAGTCCTGATGAATTATCACAGTTATAGCCACACAACAACACCTGAAAATCTGTGACTATGTAGGCCAGTATGTGCAACTTCTATCTGAAGTCGTTCCATTTGGTCAGGCTTCCGACTATCTCCAAAGGCCGGCTTAACACCGAGAAATCGAAGTCATACTGGCTCCATGTCTATGGCCCATAAGAGTGAACGCTGGTAGAGTACCAGGGACAGTTGCCAGATTGGGATGATGCGGTATGTGTTCAAGAGCTGTCCGCTTGCAGGTTTTAGTAATCTGAACTGGGCTGCGGCGATGAGCCAATAGTGGACCAAAGAGAGACCACATTAGTACCATATCTTTCTCGTCTTTCCGTCGACATCATGTGCCTTGCGATGGCGTGTTCTCTCCCGACTTGAACCCCTATCCGTAGTATATTGACCAGAAGGTCCTTCTCGAAGAATGTCCATGCAACCGCCAAAGTCGCTCGAGCAATGGCTGAGCCCATGTGTAGACGGCTTGGTATCACGGTTGTTCAGCCAGCCTGGCCAATTCTCTTATTAATACGTGAATGCTGTCCAGGACATTGATGGAAGAGAGATATCGATACGTGATTCAGCGGACATGTTGCTCTCGTGTCGCAAGTATCTTGATTCATAGCCGTCAAGGACACGTAATATACTTGTGCAGATATTTCCATCTTGAGCCATCGCGTTTGCGTCGACAGAAGCGGTTGTGGTTGCGCTGAAGAACATGAGGTTGGAGGAAGGCAAGGAGGCTGAAACTTGGACCCCATGACGCCAAAACATGTGCCAACGCACTGACCGCGGCGGCGCCGATAGGTCGCTGTGCGATTCGCTCAACAGTACGAACGCGAAACACACAATGTCGCAGTACTGCACGGCTAACAACTCTTGAATTTTTTCGCGCATGTTGAGCGAGGAACTGCGCCTCATACTCCACCTTCGAGCGTGCATCCCACCTAAGAAGCACCACCAACCACCAACTCCTCTCAAACGCCGACCTCCTCTTCCAACTTTCGCGCCCAGCCTGAACCTGAGACTCCGAAGAACACCCCGAACTATACGACCATACGACCATCATGGCCAAGACGGGCTCCCTAATCCCGCTCATCATTCTCTTCGTCGTCGCGGCCATCGGCGCATTCGTGGCATATCACATCTATGCCTGGTCCAACGAGCTGTCGGAGCGCGGCAAGAAGCACATGGAGAAGAAGAACATGGCCTTCACTAAGGACGGAGGACTGCGCGTGGGTGTGAAGGAGATGAGGGATGAGACATACGCGGATAAGACGCAGAAGTGAGTGGGAGCGATAAACCTCCGCATATGCGACAGCGGGTGGAAGTGACATTTTCAAAGGTCATGAGCTGACATACGACTCCTCCAGCGTCCTCGTAAATGTCTGGAACAACGCCTCCCTCCCCAACTACCAATCCCGCCTCGGCTGGAACTCGACGCAGAAACAAGCCGGAGACAGCTCCAAAACCCGCAGCGGCGCATCGACACCCAGACCGAGCGCCTCACGATCGAGCACCACCGCTTCGAACGCAGCAGCGAATCTTTCAGCGCCGGAACAGCGTCCTAGCGCGAGGAGAACACCCAGCACACCTGGTGCCTTTGATTGAGAGAGGAGTGGAGGTCCCGTGGGACATGGTTGGATGAGATCGTGGGAGGCCTGATAGTTGCCAGTGCAGGCTTCGGGCAGTTTGAACAGGCGTACGGCGTCCAAGGGATCCACCCACAGGTGTATGACGTTGCGCTGGGTTGCATATGGGGACTATGGATGACGACAGAGGTTACAGCATAAGATATCACGAGGCTGGTGGGATACCGCGAAATGGCTGTGTCTCAAATGAAGGACAGCATGAGTAGAATGAAATCCTTAGGGAAATGGTGAACATGAATATGAAACGTGTTTGCACTGGCTATGAGCTGGCTCTCTCACTCCATCCCTCTGTCTGCGCCTGATGCTCCCCGAAACCCTCGTGGGGTATAAAGAAAAAGTCATGACCGTGTGCGCATGATGCGTTGCGTCTCCCCGCCAACTAATCAGCTAATCTTCCAAGATACATGATGAAAAAAAACGCCTAATGAACGCCACTTCGCTAGCTACGTTGCAGAAAATCAATCAGTCAAATCGTGTTGAGGAGACTTCAGAAGTGCTTGTCGAGATTGCGCAAGACATGTACGTCTCTGCTCGCCTCGAAGCCCAGCTTGTGGCTTGGGATGTCGATGCCACTGCGAGGCGCGCTGCCTGGTGGACTCCGGCTGCTCGTTCTTGGTGGTGGCTGGCCGTTCTCCCCAGCGTTGAGCATTGCTGATATGCTGGGGATAGTCTGGCCTGAAGATGCTGCCGGTGGAGGCGGTGCAGGCGCAGATGCTGGCACTGGTGCTGCTGAGTCTTGAGCGCCTGCGGTAGCTTGGGGCTCTTCACGCTTTGAGACAGGAGAAGATGTCGCCTGTTGCGGGTTCTGGTGCGAGTCTTGGCGGTCGTCCTTCTGAGCGTTTGGTTCTGGCTGAGCCTGCTGCTGGTCTTGAGGCTTCTGGTGGTCGTAAGATGGTTGGTGGTTAGCAGCAGGATATGGTGGCGCCTGGAGCGGTGGCGGTTGGTATGGGTAGCCAGACTATCATACATGTCAGAGAAGCCTAATAGAAGGTGGATACATTCAAAACTTACGTGATACGTAGGAGGGGGTGGTGGATAGCTTCCTTGATAATTAGGTGGCCCGTACTGTGCATGAGGTGGCGGTGGCAGTCCATTGTTGCTCATTGGTGGCGGCGGTCGATCAAAGGCGGTCATTCCAGGTGGCGGCGGGTATGCGCCGTGAGGGTGTCCGTACATGCCAGGATGATATGGAGCGTGATGAGGGTGGCCGTAGTAGGGTGAGTGCGCATAAGCTGGGTGTGGTGGAGGCGTATGCATTGGGCTTGGTGGTGCTCCCCATGGATTGTAGTAGTGAGGCGGTCTGTTGTACGGTGGCTGAGGAGGGGCTTGAGCATATCCAGGAGATCCCATAGGACCTCGCGTGACGGCGGGGATGCTGCTCTGTTCGTGGACAGTCGAGTCTGGATACATGCCCTTTTCAGGGCGGATGTGTCGTAATTGAGGGTCACTCGTCGGCTGGAGCAAGTTTGCTGCGGTAGTTGACCGGGAGTAATAGCTGATCAAGTGGAGATGTTGGCCTTGGTTGGTGGTGATCGAGAACGACTGCTTCATAAGCCCATCTGGCTTGTATCGGTAGCCGTCAGGACCGCCATCAGAGTCGCCGTCCTGGCCGGTCATGCCGTCGCGGTTGCCCTTGTCGAAGCTGCTGCCACCTCGCTTGCCCTCCATTTCGCGATAACAGAGAAAGCTGCCAGATACGCGACTCGCGCTCCAGGATTTGCCGTCGGTCCATCGTCGCATACCAGCTTCGCGCTCATCCCAGACAAAGACAGAGCCAGACTTGATTGATTGCCGTTCCTTTTCAGACAGGCGCCGCTGAACACGTGGAAGAAGGCCGATGCGACACGCCTCGAACAGAATAATGGCATCCGCGGGCGTCCGCACATGGCCGTGATAGGTCTCCATCTCGGCGGTGAAGTTGATGTTGCAAGACCAGCGAGGGCGGGAACCTATCGAGGTCTTGCTTTCAGATCTGTGTGGCAAGTCAGCGGGGAAGAGTCAAGCAGGCACTGCAGTGACGGACATTTTTAGAAACCGTTACCTGCGCGAGTCAAGACTTCTGCAGTGAAATTCACGGGCAGGAATAGGATCAGATGTGTGAAAAGCCGTGAACTGAGCAGGCCCCGAGAGTCGTGCTGGAGTGCGAAAAGCAGAGCGAAGAGAGGAGGGAGAATCAGCAGGCTACTAAAGCAGCCCGGGTGCGCGGCCTGACGGTGATGTAGGAGTTAGAATGCGTGCAGATTCGCCTGTTATGCTTAAGACCTTAACTCAGAAGGTCCAACTGTAATCGTAAGGCCCCAGCGGTCAAGATTGGCGCCGCGCACGACAAGCCGGAAGCGAAAAGACTCTGTGTCCGTGGTGGTTGAGGGAGGGACTCACGGCGGAGATTGACTCAGCTGAAATGCTGGGGTGGTAGTAGCAGCGGCATAACTCGCTCAGGCGGAGGTGGCGTCGAGATAACTTGGAAGTGGAAAAGTCATTCACTCAACCAGGCAGCAGCGCCGTGCCAAGACGCGCTGAAGGTAGTCGCGATTTTGGCGTTTCATGCGCTAAGCGTTTAGTCCCGTTAAGCCGCCATGCCGCCCGTCGCATATCTCAACCTCACCTGCCTTCTTCCAGCACAGCAACTCCCGCTCTCACAAAGTCATCAACATCGACAAAGCTGCGTCATGAACCATCGAGATGGGTATACAGATCATGGGATACGAAATGAATTTGTCGAACCAATTATCACCGCCAAGCCGGGAAGCGCTCTTATCATGGCCGGCACCCACAACGAGACCCTGAAGTGGATTTGTGGAGGGCTGGTCGCCTCGCTAGAACCTGCACATGCATTCCTCCGCCGCCCAACAAAAATACTCTCGTATGAACTTACAAACGCAGCACGTACAGTAATGCTACGCTCCTTCGCCTATCCTTCGTCGCAGCGCGGTCAACGCTGAGCTGATGGTCCCCTTTTCCTCCTCGCCGTCTCTCATCACTCAGTCAGTCAGCTCGGCAACCAAAGACAAAAGGCGTCGATCGCATGCACAAGCGGCCGGTGTGCTTGGCTGTCGGCGTGCCCAGACACGAATAAAAACGCGAAGCTCGGGAAGTCTTGTGCTGTTCTTGTGCTCCTTGGCGTCTCCAAAAGTACTTCTACTTTCTGAGCTTGGCATTCCGGTGGAGCTCTCGACACGTTGCTGGCTGGCGCGGCGAAGGTTCGTGGCGGCTTGTAGCGATGCGCCTAGGCGGTTCCGCCATCACGACATGACAGCATCCATTCAGTAGCCATTTCTTGTCAGCTTCTTCGCCGTGGCTCTTCTCATCATCGAGTCGACGAACGGATCCCGCTGAACAAGCTCCGTCGTGTTACAATGTCACTGCAGGCAATAGTCGACGACTCAAACGCTGTCGAAACGCTGTGTCGCCGATGTTGCCACATTGGCTCGCGTCGGAGCAAGCTGGCGCGAGGGCACATCGTCTAAAACTGTCGATCGTTGGCTCTAACACTTATGCTTCTTTAGGTGCTTAAAGCCACTCCGAACCCAGGTTACTGCGCCGCACCATGTGCAACCTCGGATCGATTCGAATTCAGTACGAGGCACAGTCGGCATCGCATCATTACTGATATTTGCCGACGAAAACTCCCCGTCTGCAGTGAATGCAATATTGCGGCGCTGTTTGAACTTTGGCCCACGGCTATCTCTTGCCTTGACGTCTCGTCAAATCGCCACGATTGGGAATTCGAGCGCGCTCCTGCTTGCGCTCGCATTTCCTCCTTAGTACAGGATTCTGTCTTGGAAACCTGTCGTGTTCGGCGGCAACGAAGCACACCGTCGGGCGCCATGAGAATGTTTTCCACGTAAGCGTTCTCCACTAACTCCTTCCCACCCGTGGACGCTTCCTACTGACTCTCGTGGAAACAGTCAGATCCGGTTCTCAGCCCTAGGCGACGTATCTATTCGATTAAGAGCCAGCTGGCATACTTCCTCCAATCACGACATCATGAATAATCTTTCACTTCAAGCCTCGTCCGCGGCCTCGTGGTTCATCGATCGCATCATCTGGACAAGCCCAACTGCACTACGGATCGGGGTTGCCGTCCTGCGCCGTTCGCTTGCACAATTTTCGCCCACCCATGTTTCTAGGCTTGGCCTTATGCAAGCCACCACGTGTACGCGGTGTCACTGGCTAGCAAGATTCGATATGCTTAAAGCCTAGTGCGCGGGCTAGACGTTCGACTTACGAAGCTTGACTGGACAACGATGTCCGCGTGCTGTCTCAGGCCAAGGATTCCAAGACGACAGCCTTGATCTTCCAAGCTTCTTGAGATTATTGGCGACAACTCTTTCGTGCCGTCTTCGTCAAAACCCAAAAGCCGCGCATGCATGCCACACAAACGGGAAACGAACTTGGCGCATCTTGTGCGAGTGCTTGGAATCCTTTGACCTTCAGAGGCCGATACATTGCCTGACGGATTCCGTGACAAACGGAGCAATCAGTTCCTGTCCGCCAAGGTGAGACAGCCAGACCAACAAGCCAAGTGATCCGCCAATGGCACCAAGTGCGTGACATGTTGGACTGTCACCACGTAATTCCGGTTGACTTCGAGCAGCGTAGGTGAAGGAGCTCTTCCTACAACAGGATTCACGATGGGACAGCCTACAACGATGGCTCGATAAGCGTGGAGGCTTGCTCGAATGCCGTCACCATTCAGCTGGACAAAACCCATCTGCTGATCCAAACTGCTTATCTTCGATTCTAGAACGAAACGCACACCACTTCATCCGAAGGCTTCGGAAGAGGCGCAATGTGGCTTCACGCTCAAAGATAACGTGCACCGATTCTGTGGTACGCTCAAGCTTAAGTGGTGTGGCTGCCACGATACCCCTCATCTTCCCCAGCTTAGGAGCCATGGATTTGACACTGGACCGTCTCGATCCTCGACCAAGATCACTGTGCGATAACGATGAAAGAGTTGCTTTTCAAAGATCACAGCGAATATGAAGGCAAAGCAATATGGGCAATGGCGGTCCTCTCATGTAGGTCACTGACAGCCACCGCCATGCAAGAGCGGGTTGGGAGGACCTGGACCAAAGTCCTGCTCCGACAAGAAAGGACCGATTATGAGCCTCGCTCTCTGGCAACACCACATGCACAGTCGGCTACGTAGCCCTCGATAGCTATCTTGGATCTGTCTACGACTCACCAGAGTCTGCGTTTGGTGGGAAAGTCCGACTCGTACTATACTGGGTCTCGAACTTCGCTGGAAGACTACTGCAAACGTAGCTGATTCAACCTCCTCCAATTCTTCCCGCCGACTCCACGGCTGGTGTCCTCAATCTTTGATCAAGATGTAGTCCACCTGGAGAAGCAAGCCGAGGGTGGCGGATCGCTCAGGCATAGTGCATTTGCATCCGGCCGAATATCAGATCAAATGCTAACATATTGACTACTAGCGACATCTAAACCCACTACCGACCAGCACCGCCATAAGCTTGGCTGCCACGCGACTTTGCGAAGTCCCACCTCTCGTATTGCGCGACCGCTACGAGATACGAGTAGATGGACAGTTTAGCGTCCTTCTCGTCGACCACCGAATAACTGTGGTCCCGGCCACATGGCACGTCGGACCATTGAACATAATAAACGAAGTACAACACTTTGACGTCCTGTCCGCTCTCGAAACAACGACAAGAAGTCGCAAGTCTTGGACGTAAGAGTTGACAAGCACCGCTATAACCGAAGTCGCTTAGGCCATTGGCCATGTGCTCGCACATGCTGGAAAGGGATTGATGGCGCCAAGGTCTTTCCATTTCTTGGACAGCTTGTCAAGCGAAGACGGCACTTCCACCGTCAACGAAAGTGACTGGGTTGTTATACGGTAAGGAGGTTACGTCGTACAGCGTCGAGGTGGGTTCAGCAGCAGCTTTCCACATACGACAATCAAATGGTCGAACGTCTTTGGTTGCTGGCCTGTGGTGCTACAGGGGCAGCATCATCTCATGGGATACAAGGCTTCTCGGCGCTGATCTCTCATCCGGCAGCGGCAGTATAAACGACTACCACGAGCGTACTCTCGTAGCTCGGAATACTACGGGCTTCGAAAGTCCCAAGCAGGACGTCTGACCATCGTCCTTGGAAGCGAGCAGAGTCGCACAACATTCGCATTGGCATTACGACACTAACACACTGGATGTCAGCGGACAAACGTGGCCTCGCAACTTCGGTCGAGAGTGCTGACCACAGGATGAGAAGGATTTTTGATTATAGGCTTAGTGTGGCCTTGGTGTCAAGGCTTGGTAAAGTGGACCTCAGCTCCTTCACAGGAGTTGGAGGTACCCGAAGGAGGGACAGTCAGCTTATGCTGCTCCTCTGTAAGTCTTAGGAGTTGCGAAGGATTCTGGTTGTGGTTGAGGCATGGCTTGCGAGGCAGAGCGCTTGCGGCCACACTCGATCAGTCAGTTTCTGTTGGAGGGCAACCTTGTTACGAATAGTAGCCCTACTGAGATTACATGTAGGTCATGGAATGCTCACTGCCTTCCTGACTAGGCAGGTCCTTAGGAGCCTGAGGCAGAAGGACGTCGTTCCGTGGTTTCTGATTTCTGGTATCGCGCCGAACATGTAAGCAGCTCCAGCTCGTTTTACTTCCCGTCATCTTACAGCTCAGTAGAGAGCAACGCCTCACCTGTGAAGATAGCCAAGTAGGAAACCTCGTCCACAAACCGTGCACCACATCTGCGGCTACAGTCATGGCTGTCAAGTCAGAATCATAGAAACCAGTCTCAAGACAGGATGGAGGGGAGGCAGTCGTCGGACATGTTACACCGACGCTTCTCGGTGTGTCCGCGATTCTTGGTAATCCTGGCTCCGGGAGAAGCACAATGGGTCGATGCTAGTTTGCTTCAGATGCTGAGTGGAGGCAAAAACGTTCGGAAGAGATAAGAAAGGCTAAGATACGCATGAAGGTCAAAGAGATTCTCAGTCTGGTGGTTCTTTCACGTCTTTCGAAGATGAGGATGCTGCGAATGTACGAACGGCATCTCTCGCGCTTTGTGCCATACCAAGCGATGGAAGTCATGAACAAGCGGCCTGAGAGTCAAAGAGATAGGGAGGTGAAGATGCATGGCGGGCCAAATGAACGTCAACTCACATAAACGTGCTGATAGACTCTACTCCTGCCCGGGATCGTGACTGCCACAGCTGTCTCCAGGTCGTGCCGAATTTGGAAGGTGCGGCACACGTTAATTTCCTTAGCGCCCAACCGCGATTTGCTCGTGACCTCATCTCGAGCAGACTTCATCTTCTGCCAACACATCCCACCCGCGATCAGACCAGAGCAAAGCAAAGATGTCCGTTACTGAACTGACACTTGAGTCTGACATGGACGCTTTCTGGAAGAGTTGGGACGATCAGCGGGCGAGGAAGGAAATGGAGGATACCAGGATGAGAGCATGGCAAAAGTCTCAGGGCTACGTCGTGGATGATGAAGAAGATCCGAAGCCTACATTCAGTCGCAAGATGCAGGACTCGCTCCCGGAGGAGCTTCAGTTTCAAGAGGATCAAAACCTCTATCCCGAGTTCCTGCCAATGGACGAGAAGAAGCTTTTCCCACTTGCCAGAGTGTACGGTGGCAAACATGCCTATCGTGGAGGTGACAGATGTATCTTCAAAAAGATCGGCGGCCAGAAGTTCAATGTGTCCAAAGATATGTCAGCACTCATTCTGGTCAAGGATTCTGGCGACGACGGAAAACTCGTTGCATTTGGTCATCCATACCTATTGGCCCAGAAGAGCTCTGACAAGGATCCCTCTGTACCACACGACATAGAGACAAGCGGCGAGGAGGAGCCCCTGACCGAAGAGCAGGAAGAGCTTTCTGAAGAGCAAGAGCAGTCTGGCGAGCCAGTCTCCGCAGATCAGGACATGTCTCAGGTGAACGCACCAAGGGAGGATATGGCAACGGAGCCCGTACCTGAAGACTTTGATACGCTGGAAATCGATGAGAAGCTCGATCCGAGGTGGCTCAAAGTCAGGTTCAAGCCTGACAGCCAGCGTCCTTGTGTCAGCTTGTCGTTCTTCATGGACCCATCACGAAAAGAGCGCAAGGTGATCCTGGACATCTACGCACAGCACTTGCAGTCCAGCAAGGATTGTGCAGGTATATCCATGCGGTGGGGAAAATGGTGCTATGTGTCGCGAAATCTTCCCAAAGGCGAAGATCTTAAGAAGCTCGATAGTAACCTGGCGACACTGGCAAAGAAAGACTCCCTCTAGCGCACCAACGTACGACTCAACGCTCCCAACGCATACAAAACTATAGGCATCACAGAGGACGAGATCGAGGTCATCCAAAACAAGGATCCAGAGCAGCGTTACGATGCAGAGCGTCTTTTGGTCACCCTCATGAGAGCTGGATGTTTCAGCATCTTCACCCAGTTCTCAAGCACCGAGAAGACAGCTCTCAGCGGGTTCTTCAAGTACTTTAGGACAATCATGTACGCCGCTGCTCATCTGGGAAACTTCTGGTGGTACGCCCTCGCTGCTGATGGCAAGCGTAACGCACTCCAGGAGTATGGTTACCCATTCGATCAGGTACCAGTGCCCCGGTGGATGATCCCCAAGTGGTGTATCGAGTACGCTGGTGATGAGTCTAATGCGAAGCCTCTCGCCGCCCACATGCAACAATGTGGTCGATACAACCCGGTCACTGAGGGGGGCAACAAGGATCCTGATTTCTTCACGTTCGGGAAGAGGTTCGCGATCCCTACAAAGGCTCAGATGGCCCACCCAGAATTCGACAAGCTGTACGTGACGAAGAGCAAGGTCGATGACAGTGCTGGTCCTGCGCCGGCGGAGGAGAAGGGACAGGAGAAGCAACCGCAGGCGTCGTTCCCGCCTGAGAGGCGTGGCAATCCCCCTGGTACCGGCAAGCGTTCGCAAAAACCGTGGGCGTGGGCGTGGGCGTGGTTGGTAGTGGTGGTGACAGGCGCAGGAGTGGTTGATTCTCCGCTGTTGGATAGACATCCGTGGCCGTCTGTGTCGCTGTCTAAGCTTTTGCTCATCTTGCGTTTGTGGGAGTGGGAGCTGTGCGACTGTGAAGAAAAGGATGATTAGGGCAGCCATCAACAGCATGTTTGAGCTCGAGCATGTAGTCCCTCTCATGACAATGTTTCATCAACTCCATGTGTCGTTCCAGCCCCTGAGACCGATGGGTGATGCCTATCTGCGCTGGTTCAACGCACACTGACAGAAGTGAGCGCCATTAATAGAGGAGCCTCATAGCCTTTTGTCCTCCTAAGTGCATCGAGACTGCATGGGACTAGGCTCCCTATCCTCATCAAACCTGCCGCACTATGCCATGGATTTATGGACACGGTAGAGAGAAGTTCGTGAGAGACGGAGATAAAGGGACCCAATGAAACCTGAGAAGTTAGATCAATGCCTTCCAGAAGGACGTGTTGACAACATTTCGAAACTGTTAACGGTGAAGCCAGCCCGCGATGCAATCAATGTCCGAATTTGGCAGGTACGGCTCACGGCACGTGCACTCTCGCTAGCGTGGCGCACGCAGCGACTTTTCTCATTTCAAGCGGGCTGGCTTCTTCTTCTCTTTCCTTTCCTCTCCAGCCCACTCATCCACACTGCACATGCTGCAGTACGGTTGAGTGGTGTCTCCTTGATCCATGGACGCCAGGCGGAAGTGGTGAAGGTTTCCAAAAATCGGCGATGTCTGTTCGCTTCGCCACTGTGCGTCGCGACAGCGGGCTCGTCGTGCTCGATGGGCGGGCGCTCGCCACGGCGAACAAAATCCCGAGTGCAGCAAAGCGTCTGCCTCCTTCAAAACTTCAAAACTGAAACCACGATAGGGCTGAAGGCTCTCAAAGACTGGCCATGCCTGTTCGCTCCGCCTCCGTGCGTCACGACAGCAGGTACGCCGCCTCGCAGGATCGAGGGCTCGTTGCGGCGAGCACCGAGGGAAGTTACACATCGCAGGCTACCTCCTTTTTTCCAAACAAGACCAAAAAAGCCTTTAGCGGCGGATGGTTCTTCCATGAGGCCAGCAAAGAGTCTGCCTCCTTCAAACTTTCAATCTGGAACCACTCAAGTGGTGAAAGTCTTTCAGGTGCCGCCTGTTCGCTTCGCTTCTGTGCGGTACGACAGCATGTACGCCGCCTCGCAGGGTCGAGAGCTCGTTGCGGCGAGCAAGCGAGGGCAGTTCGCGCATCAGTGGGCCCCTCCTTTTCCAAAACCAGAACCAAAGCCTTCAACGGTGGCTGACTCTTCCACGGGGCTAGCAAAGCGTCTGCCTTCTTAGACTCATGAAGCTTCATGTCCCTAAAGACATGTACCCCGCCTGAGGTGCTGCGGACTCCCTCCACGTTGAAGCAACAACTGCCAGGACCGTACCGTAACAGCAGGCACTCCAGAGACCTCTTCGCAGGATATACACACTTGATCGAGTGGTCATGCGTCCGTTCGTCGTTCGAAGGATATGCACAGCGTTATCACCTTCTCAGCCGTTCCAAATGCCTATACCGGCGAACGAGTCCGGCCATTCGGAGAGAATACGCTCGTTATCCAAGCTGACGGAGGTGCTTATGCTCGACCTCGACCCCCCGACCATACCCTGGCTGGAGAGAAATGTACGTTTGCTGGCTCGCAAACGATGGGCATGATTCGAGGGCCTCGCCATGCTTGATTAGACGATTTCGAAAGATGCTGGAACTCGCACAACCAATCTGGATACCATCCACGCCCTTTGCACGCGACGTACAAGGTGCTGCCGGATGAGAGGTCTCGGTCCGGCCATACCTCCACTTGTCTGCCAACTTCCCAGCGAGCGTTCTGCGTTTGAAATGACTTCAACCCGAGCGAGATCGGATGGAGGTCTGGCGTCTTCACTCATGGGGTATCAAAGCACTTGACGGCCCTGGGTGCTTCACTTGTTTGCCTCTCTGGACCTCGCAGTACACGAGGGAGGGGAGGCTGGGTTGATGTGTCTGCGTTTCGAAGGTATCGCATTGAAGAACCTTCCGGAGAGCCACAGGTCGGAGAACCAGATTCAAACACCAAGGGAGAGGCTCACGGGGTAGTGCGTAGCAGTGGGGCACTACTCGAAAATGGATCTGCTGCAAATCGCTCGAGATACACATTCCTACTGTTGGCACGGTTGTCGATCTTGGAACGTCGATTTAGAAAACCCCCCTTCATGCGCATCATTGTGAACGCCAAGCTGATAGATATCAAGCAGGAGCGGTCGCTACTCGCCGATTCGAACCGACTCTCGTTTCCAGACTGAGCGCCCAGCGTAGAAAATCCTTCAGAATGCGATACTCGTCGTCATACGCCAAATCAAATGCAAATCGTTGCTTGGATTCCAACTGGCCAACAGTAAGTTTGTGCGGCGTTCAGAGACCATTGAAAAGGAGGCCAAGCGATTCTCGTTGAAAAACATGGACATCAAGGTGAGGCATCAGCTGCTGGATACCGTTCACATAAACATTCCCTTGCCCTCCCAGAACACTCTCATGCTTCTCGTCCAGTGAAGTGTGAAGTGGTGAAAACTGCAGCTTGACCCGAGCTGTGAGAATGGTGGAGCGGAGGGACTTGCCTTAGCAATACCAAAAGGCAGATTTTCCCCGGTCGAGTAGTCCTCGACTTGCCATTCCACAACGAAAGGTAGTAAGGCATTCGCTGCAAGATGCCGAATGCTGGAACTACCTGGAGCCATTTGATCAAGTTGGTTCCTCATAAATGATGGCGGTTGGCAGCAGGACTCTTTCATTCTTCTCTCTTTCCCATCTGGCCACCGGAGTTCACGGCCGACGCAAAGCAGCTTTTTACTCGTTCAAGAACGGAGAATCACAATGACAACCCAAACAATAACCCACATCGTCCTCTTCAAATACCGCTCCAACATCACCTGGACCGACTTCGAATCGCACTTCTCCGCCTTCTCATCCCTCAAAGACCGCTGTCTCCGAAATGGAAAGCCATACATGCTTTCGATGCGTATGGGCAAAAACCGCAGTTGGGAGCCCTACAGCAAAGGCATGACGCACGGTTTCGTCCTCGAATTTGCCTCCCAAGACGATCTGGACTATTACCTCACGCAAGATCAAGTCCATGCAGAGTTCTCGAGGAATGCGAAGTCGTTCATTGAAGACAGCGTGGTGGTGTATATCACGGATGGAGTTTTGTTCGGCGTGGCGGCCCGACATCCCTCCTTGAAGCGAGAAGGCGCGTATGCCGGATCGTGTCATTGCGGAGAGTTGAAGTGGGCGGCGAAGTTGGATAAGGCGGAGCATGTTCTATGCCATTGTAGGACCTGCCAGAAGCTCGGAGGAGGACTGTACAGCTGCAACCAGATCATTGCGAGAGAAGATCTCACAATGCTACAAGGCGAACCCAGAGTGTATACGTACAAAGGGGCCTCTGGGAAAGATGTGCGGTGTTTCTTCTGCGGGACCTGCACGAGCCATGTCTATCATCACCAGGACGCCATGCCGGACAAGGTAATTGTGAGGACATTGTTGCTTGAGGGAGGGAGCCAGATGCCGGCAACGGGAGAGATCTTTGCTGAAGGACGCTTGCGGTGGGTGAGAGACCTGAGGGACTCGTTCGACACCCCTGAAGGTAGCGAACCAAGCGAATAACGAAGTGGACAGTCGATACCTGATTTATCAGACCTGCTGCTTTCGGTCCTTCTGATGTGATGAACCGTTTACCAGTATTGTGAGGTAGGGCGTTAAGGTACTAGAGGTTTCCGTCTCAAGGAGGTGAGTTGATAGCTTTCCATATACTTGGATGGGTCCATAAGCCTGATTGTCTTCAGTCATCAGAATCATGACTACACTACATCGATGCAAGCGATGAGTTGCAGGGCTGAAGGCGATCCTTTGGACTGCATCTAGTTAGGCGAACAAGTGAATCACAAGGATCCGCAGTCAGCTTATATGCCACGTGATACATACTGACGGCACAATACTGGGAAGGCATTCCAAGAACATGAACACCATCACCCTCATCGCCAATTTTCAGCATCATCATGTCTGAGCGAAGGCCCATCTCATCCCAAACACCCTTCGACCTCTCCTTGGGATTCGAAAATACTCACGTCCTTGTGACTGGAGCTTGTGGCTTCATAGGTCGCGCTGTAGTCAATGCCTTCCTGGCCGCTGGCGCCGTGGTAACTGCCAGCGACTTATCGTCCAGTCATGACTTCGACACTTCTGATCCAAGTGTCCACTTCGTCGCGGCAGACATTTCAACGGATATCGACGATGTCTTTCTAAAAGCTGAAGCAAGATTTGGTCCCGTGGAAACCGTGGTTGCGCTTGCGAGTTACGATGCGAGCGTACTGAAGTGGACGGAAAGCATTTGTGATGCGGACCCCGAAGAGTTCCAGAGAGTTATGGATGTCAACGTAAAGGGGACCTTTCTGACGGTGCGAAGGTGGCTCCGAGGCATTCGTGCGGCGACTGAGTCCAAGGAGACAAGAGATAGCCTCAAAAATGTGAGCTTGGTCATAGTCGGTAGCGAGGCTGGAATCTATAGCACGAGAGCGCAGGCTGCCTATGCAACAGGCAAATCTGCTGTTCAGTAAGTACTGTCCCAGGTATCAAATCAACGTGTTAATAGCCATGGTGTAGAGTCGGCTTGATGAAGTCTGTCGTGCAGGATTGTCCCAGGATCTTTCCACGGGCTAGAATCAATGCCATCGCTCCTGGGCCTGTCGATACACCAAGATTGCAGGAGATATCCCGTGAGTATGGCAGTCAATGGCGATACGCACTGAGCGAGGCGACCTACGCGCTGCCAGGACTCGTGAGCTGCGAAGATTGTGCAAGACAGATCTTGGTCACTTGCTCGGAACGGTTCAGTGCATCTGTTCATGGACAATTGCTGTCTGTTGACCGTGGCAAGAGCGGGAGCATGATCTGGTCGAAGCAGGAGGCCGATGCCTTTTTGCGGCCAGCAGATGTTTCTGGAAGGTAGATTCGCGTGCGAGGAGAACTGTGACAGGTACATGTGTGGAAGACACCTGGCACGCGGTCAAGTCCACGCGCGTCCTCACGACTGATATCGCTCGTATAGTAGTAGGACGTTGAAAGGAGGCGAGAACAAGATGAGAGCCGTTGTGGAAAGTCAGCAGTCTCGAAAGTTCTCCCTTCGTGCCTGAAAATACGCCCTAGCAAACAAACCCTGCTGTCGCGGACCTCACTTGGTTGGCTTCAAGCTTCCGAACAGCTAATTGCATTAATGAGTCCGGTGCATATCAAGATCAGCTGAAAGATGAACGCCATCATCAAACATGCTGGCTCTGTGAAACGGTGTTTCATTACTGTCGCGCGGTTCAAATTCGGAGTTTTTGGAGAGAGGCGCCATGCCAGCACGGCAGGTGCGTGGCGGCGAGGTTCGCACCTGAGTTCACGTCTCCTTCCAATCTCTCATTCACAAGAACGGAAGACTGCGATCAGCGAACATGGACTACGAAACAGCAGATGGATCCCAGTTCTCCCTGAGAGAAGTCGTCTCAGATACAGGAGAATTCCAAGGCACGCTCATAACAGCCTTCGTGGACGGAAATGCCTACGCAGGAAAATCACCCCAAAGAATGGAAGACATGGACGATGTCGACGTGATTCAATACCTGGAGCCAGTACCACCCGAGAACGTCTTCCCTAAACTACCCGAAGGATTCACGATTTCACCACCTTTCGACATCGCGGACCACTACCTCAAAGCACCGCAGTTCACATACGAAGACAGCAAGCCTGGAAACACCTTCGTGGCGGACGTTCTACTATCTGAAGCAACAGTGCTAGAGAGGTTGAAGCAGCACCCCCATCCCAGTATTGTGCATTACTTTGGTGCAGTGACGAAAGGAGATCGCATTACACATCTTTGTTTGAAGCGCTGTTATTGCAATCTGACGGAGTACTTTGCCGTTGGACTTTCCGTGGCGGAGCGTGAGAGATTGCTGGTTGAGATTCGTGAAGGCATTGAGCATCTGCACTCGTTGGGTCTGGCTCATAATGATGTCAATCCTGGTAAGGCCCCATACCCTACTCATATATCACTGTGTTTCGCTGACTTCTAGAGTAGACAACGTCTGCGTTGATGCGTTTGGCCACGCCATCCTCGTCGACTTCGACTCTTGCCTACCATTCGGCGAGCCCTTGATCAAAGGCCAAGCAGGGCGCAGTCTGACCGATGAGAAGCGGCTACTTTCTGCTCGAGAGAATGATCTGAAGGGACTAGCAGATGTCGAGCACTTTCTTTTCCCTCCCGAGAAGGCCCCAGTCGAGCTACCTGAGGATCACGATGATCCTGCTGCAACGACCCAGGACAATGGAATTGCGTGAGAGAGAACGAAGTCTGCCTTTGAAAGGACCGCTGCGAAGAAGTTACCCTCGACATTCTGTCATACTCTGGAGACGCTCGCCGTCACAGCAACAAGTCGACCTCGAGCTATGTGCCAGTACTACCCGTTGAGCCGGTGCTGCTCTATGAGCCATTGCTGTCCCACTTCTTCGTCACCGTCCGCACTACCTCACCAGCCAAGTGGAAAGTGATGTGGACCAGGGCATTCAATGGTGAGCACGAGTACGTCCTCTCCATCGCAGCATTGCCGAGACTTTGACTTTCACCTCTGTAGATCTGCAACAAGTGTGATACGGGTCAGAGCTGTGTAAATAGTTGGGGCTCGCCATGTTCTGCGAATGGTCTCTGGCGACGGTGGTCACTCGGTTGACTTGTGCGTACCCGAAGAAGACTTTGGAACCCAGGCGTCCAGAAAGCAGGCGAATGGCTCTCGGCTTCTAAAATCAACTCAATTCGGGAAACTGAGGACGCACTCCTGGTAACACTCACGAAGCGGCGGTAGCTCAAGCACCATCTCAGAGGACCCATAAATGCCAAACCGAGAAAAGCAAAGTCCATTCCACGACACAGGGGTATTTACGCAACACATAACCTCTCAACGTCCACCTTCCAACATCAACCCATCTACGCACCACCACCACCACCACCACTCCCAGCAGCCGCCCCCTCCGTCCTCCGAATCGTCTCCTCAATCCCCAAAATCGCCGCCAAACTCAAAAGTTCCAAATCATGCCCCAGCTCCACCATGAAATCCACCCGCCCGACCTGCGAACCGCTGAACATCTTCTTGTCCGAGACATACACAGCCAGCACACGCCTCTGGTCCGCGTAATCGACGAGTTTGAAGTCCTTGGAGCTCAACCACGAGCCGCCGAGGGCCTTGTCGTGGGTTCTGCGAGAGGAGTCAGCCAAGGGACAAGGAGTGATATAAGGTGAACATACCTCTTCCACAAAAACTTCCTCTCCCGGAAATAAAACCCAAACTGCTTGTCGGAGAAACTCTCACTCGAGACCTCGCCCCAAGCCTCCTTTGGCGCGGCGTCAGGGTTCCCCAGGAGGATTTTACAGCCGGAACTCCAGTTCTACAAACACCTCAAATCATCAGCACTTCTCTCCTTCCACTTCCCTCCCCATTCCCTACCCACCGAGATCCTCAAGTAAATACAAACTCACTAACCTTACACTTCGCCGCAGCAACAACCACACCCCCCTGCGGATCCGTACACAACCGAATAATCGGCGGCCCGAAGCCCTTGGCCGTCGACTTGGAATTCACGTGTAAGATGGCCTGGCCGTTGTACGTGACGACGAGGTTCTTGTGGGTCCAGAACCCCGCGTTGGTGATGTTGAAGGACTTGATGGGGGTTGGGGGGCCTAGGACGGGGTTTGCTGCTTGAGGGTGGTAGGGCGCTGTGCTGCTGGAGGCGTTGGCTTGGATGCTGGGCGCGTAGGTGTAGGGTGGTGGCTGTTGTTGTTGTTGGGGGTGGTGGTCTTTTTTTTCGAGCGAGGCGAGGTGGGCTTTGGATGAGTGGCCCATGGTGGCTTGTTTCTTCTTATGATGTGCTGTAGAGTAGGTAAATGAAGAACTTTGATATATAGATAGAGTTCAATATTGATCTTCTTCATTCGCAGGCCGCAGGATTCTATTGTACATGTGTACTGCCTCAGCCGCAAGCCCAGCCAAGACGCATGACGGGATGGTGGTGATGGCGCAGTGCACCAAAGATCCCTGGTGTCTCGGGATTTTGCTAGGATTGCGAATTTTTGCCGTGTCCGGTGCTGTATCAACGTAGAGCAGACGTGCACTTGTGCGGCGTCGAATACTAGGGCAAGGCGAAATACGCGGATATCATGCCGGGTGTACAGCTTCAAGATGGGTATTCGCACAGATCGATCACTACTTACCTCGTCAACAATGCACTCACCTATCACGTTCGACAAAACTACGGCCTGCATTTTGCAGATGGCAGATGCCAGGTGCCAGGCACACGATGTGCAGGAACAGCTCATCCTCAACGAAGAGGACGTCAGAAGGTCTGTTCAGAGATGGCTTGCATTCGTCTATGTACGACAGGGCGCAAAGTCATCTCTCAGCCACCACGCTGGAAAGAAGTATGGTATCAACCCACGCCGCCCGACTTGATGTCATGGCTGGCTTCCCTTGACGCCTGGCTCTTTTTGAATGCCCTTGAAACCACATCGTTCATGTCGTACGTGCAGCATCGTCTCCATCATGTGCTGTATGCACTTATGCGACAAGCTGAACGACACCACCAGCCTCCTTGATCTTGCGCTCGGCGTCCTTGGAGAAGTAGCGTGCGCGGACGATGAGTGGGATCTCTGGGATACGGCCCTTGCCGAGGACCTTGCTGTAGCCGAGTGGGAGGAGGTCGAGGACTGGGGCGGTGTCCTTGGACTTGCCGGCGAGGTACTTGTCGCGCGACTCTTGTGGGACGAGGGACCAGAGCTGTGAAATTTTAATCAGTACTGGACTTTCACCAAGAGTGTTTCTTGTGGTACCTTGTCGAGGTTGATGACGGGCTTCCAGAACTGGTTCTGCAGCTTGTGGAAGTATCTCATACCAACCTTTCCGAAGTAACCTGGATGGTACTTGTCGAGGTTGGTACGGTGGTGGTGCTGACCACCAGCCATACCACGACCTCCGGGATGCTTGCGGTGCTTGCCAACACGACCGTGACCGGCCGAGACATGACCACGGCTAGGGAAGTTGTTAGCAGTGAATGTGACATATAAGAGTGAATGCGACGTACTGCTTGCGGGTCTGGGAGTGTCTGGTTGGCATTGCGGCGGTGGGTTGACCGTTGCAATGCAGGTGATGTCCCTGATGAGAGTGCAGAAATCGCAAAGCCAGGACGAAGATGTGTGGAGGAAGGAACGGGATTGCTTGGCATTGTGTGCACGAACTGATTGGATGGTCAAGCGAGACTATCCGAACTCTAACTTGCAACTTCTTTCTGTCTACGACATCGACCTCACTCACGAGTTGTCAATGCTGTACCCTAGGGCTGTTACCAGCAGTCCAAGAAACGTGCACGGCTGTGCGTAGCGAATCTGGAAAGAAATAAGGACGGAGCAATTCTCAGCCTGCCAAGAAGCACATTGAGTTCACATGTAAGCTCGATCTTACTGTAAGTGAATGACTTCCGAAGAACACAACCAGTTGTTGCTCTTATCATGATTGTTCTCTATACACATTCTTCACGTTGCAGAGACTCATCGTTGAATATACTGCTTTCCCCAGCAAAACAACATGTCGAATACACGTGACGATGTCCTCAGGCCGGATTGGATCGGCATCCTCGCGTCCATCTCCACCAACTCTGAGCGCCACAGACGAACGTAACCATTGTAGGTACATTTTATCTTCCAAGCTCAACTTCTCCAAACAACTCTCCCACCGTTACACAGAACCAACCGCTCTCTTACCCTCTCCCACCATGCACTTCCCACTCCTCCTCATCCCCCTCCTCCACCCCCTCACAACCCACGCCCTCAACATCACAACCCCCCAACCCAACAACCCCTTCGCCCCCTCGCCCCTCCCCCCCTCGCACGCCCAATCCGACGGCGACGCAATCGTCTCCCTCTTCCAAACCCTCGGTCGCACCACCGTCTGGACCCTCATCTCGCAAACCCCCTTCCAAGGCGACACCTACGAGCCCGAAGGCATCGTCCGCCTGGGCCCCTCCCGCTACATCGTCAGCGCAGGCGAATACACCCTCCCGACGATCCCCTACGGCAAAGTCATCAACGGGACAGATCGTACCGCGGGCGCCGGGTTCGCGCATCTGATTGTTTTCTCGGGCAATGGGACCCGGATCGCGGATGTCACGTTGACGAAGCCCGGCGAGGTGGAGTATCATAACGGCGGGATTGATTTCGATGGAGAGTGGATCTGGTGTACGATTGCGCAGTATCGGCCCAATACGACGGCGCATGTGGTGAGGGTTGACCCGAGGACGCTGGAGCAGACGACAATTTTACGCTACGATGATCATTTGGGTGGGATTGTGCATGATGTGCAGAGGGGGAGTATCACGACGTTGAACTGGGGCGCGAGGAATGCGAGCACGTTTGACTTGAGGAGAAGGCCGGGTGGGTATGGCTGGAACGCGGGTGTCGCGAAGGCGGCGAGTGTGGTGCGGAACCCATCGTATTTCGTCGACTATCAGGACTGTAAATTTCTGGGCCACTCGAGGCTGTACAACGGCCGGGCTGTGATGCTCTGCTCTGGGGTAGCGACCATTGGATCTGGAGCTTCTTCGTACAATCTGGGCGGCGTTGCGATTGTGGATGTCGAGACTATGGTTCCTCTGATGGAAGTACCCATCACGATGCGGAGTGTTCTGGGCACGCCTGTCACACAGAATCCTGTCGAGGTCAGTGTTGAGGATGGGAAGCTGAGGCTTTACTTCTTGCCGGATCAGCATACGAGCATTTTGTACGTGTATGAGGCGCAGCCTGATAGTCCTTATGAGTTCTAGAACAGCTAGCAATGAAAGGCAGGCCATATAGATGCAAATTTGTTTCGTTGCCACCCCATAGTGTCGACAAGACGTCGAACGGACTCCACAGAAGTAAGAGTGTGCGATTCGTCTTCACTCCGAGAAAACTTCTTCCAGCAAGCTTCACTTCTTCCCGACAGCATTCTTCGCCTCCTCCAAAGCCCTCATCTTCTCCCTCTGGGCTCTACTCCCACCAAGCTTCGGTCCACTGGACACCTGCCCAGCAGCAGGTGGAGCAGGCGGCTTGCGTCGTTTCCTCTGCTCCAAGTCGGCAAGGAATTCCGCCTTGAAAGCCTCTGCTGCCGCTTCGTCCTTGTCGATCGCAGATGAGCCTGTGTTCGGTGTCGTTGCATTTGTGGACTGATCGTAGAGAGGCACTTGACTCTCCTTCATGATCGCATCGACCATGGCGTCCCGAGCAGCGTCACTGGCATCGCGTACATGTGGTTGGCGTCGTGGTCTCCTGTTGCGAGTGCCGGACGGGAGGCCCTTTCGCGAACTCTCAACGGCTTGTTTAGTCGTGGCTGCCCCAGCAGGCGTACCGGCTTCGAGGTCACCAGCATAGGCGTCTAGGGTTGATGAGTTATCATCAATGTTTCCAGTCGACGCCACCGGGCTATTGCCGTGCGCAAGAGGTGTAGCTGATGACGAACGCAGTTCAGCCAACTTGGAGTCTACATATGCCGTCCTACGCTGTTAGCTCTACTCGCTGAATTATCGCAAGGGAAATCGGGGGTTGGACGTACAAATGCTTGTCTTCGACGACGTCTACATTTCCGGTAGGTTTCGTGAAGCGATCGCTCCGCAAGGCGTTACCCGCCCCTTGGTCGACTACGGGCACAAGAGCAAATTCCTTCGATACATCCTGCCTCGCTGCGCTCTGATTCGCAGCAAGACTGCTCGAGAAACTGATTCCGTGCTTCTTAGCTGCAGGCCTCTTCACCGCCGACAGCGTGTCGTTGGGATTCTCCTGTACGGGGTTCACATTCCCGCTCGAACCATCGAACTCCGCAGCACCCTCTCGTCTCTCCTCTCCATCTCCATCATCTCCAGCAACGCGTTTCCTGAAAACCTTTCTCCGCTTGCTGGGCCTGAATAATGCTTCCCGCGACTCCTCCGCGTTTTCGGCCATATCCAGTCGCAAGAAGCAGCCGTTTTCAATCAGTGGATCTGGAGTGGCAGGCAATCGGTGTTCGGATCCTTGTCTCACTGGACTTGGCTATCGAGTGTTTTGTCGCCAATTTCTAATCAATACCCTGAGGCGCATTCCCTCCGGCGTTATGCGAGTCTCGCACAAGTTTTATTCAGGACGGGACAAGGTGTTCGTGACCATTCTGACAATGCTGTGGCGGTTTCTGACCGGGGTGTGAGCTCTTATGTCCGGTGGAAGCGTGTGTTGTGTTTTCATAGAGTTGGTGGTTGTTGTGAAGAGAGGCGAGTCGGTGACGTTCGAGCCGACAACGCTGGCGGGATGGCTCGTGCGCTCGTTTTCCATTCACCTGCAAAGCCCAAACACCACCTTCCAAACCTGCCTCATCACACACTGGCTACCTGCCATCGTTTCGGCACCGTATCCCTCGCTCTGATCTCGGGATCGAATGTGGCTCTCGCAATGCTGTCTTTGTTCGGAGCGGAACTTCGGGCCTGATGGAGTGCCTGCTGCCAAACGGAATTACTAATCAGAAACGACCGCCCGAGCACAGCTATGGAACTGTACCGCATAGCGTGGTCACACGCTGCCGATGCCCGGACTTGGGGCGTGAAGGTGAAGAACGAAGGCGAGGGCCTTCTTGACTACTATAGCTAAGTGGGCTCTTTATACTTCCTCAGAACAGATCTGCGTCTATCCTTTCGTTCGTTATCGTTTCACTCTCCCCTCTTCCATCGTGGCTCTCCGCGCGACGCTTCGCAAGATGACCAATTACCAGATCGATGTGGTCTCGGACACTGTCTGTCCATGGTATGGCACATCCCTGTCGCACTTTGTCATGCTCAAATGCTAACCTGCATGCAGGTGCTACGTGGGCAAGAACAGACTGGACCTAGCGATCAAACAGTATCAAGCGACCAACCCGAACGATACTTTCACCACATCGTGGCACCCATTTTACTTGAACCCCGATGCGCCCAAGAGCGTCGACAAGCAGGCATACTATGAGAAGAAGTTTGGACCGCAAAGGACGCAGGTGATGCAGGGTCACCTTGCGAGATTGGGAAAGCAGGTTGGAATTGACTTCGCCTTTGGGGGCAAGACGGGCAACACTCGCGACAGCCATCGCTTGATCCAACTGGGCAAGACCAAGGGAGAGGATGTCCAGACCAAGGTGGTGGAATCGCTGTTCAATGCGTACTTCGAGGAGAATGAGGATATCACGTCGCGGGAGGTGTTGATCTCGAGGGGTGTCAAGGCTGGATTGAACGAGCAAGAGACGAGAGATTGGATGGAGTCTGGTAAGGGTGGTGATGAAGTTGACAAGGAGGTCGCGAAGGCGCAGATGCAGTTCATCAGCGGTGTGCCGAATTTCACCGTGAACGGCCAGTATGAGATCCAAGGCGCTGAAGAGCCATCAGCATTCTTGCAGGTCTTTGGAGAGATCAAGGATACCAATGGCGCGAATGGTCAGCTGAAGGGTGACAATACCTGCTAGGCTATCAGCTCCATGGTTGTGGTTAAGGGGGAAAGAGTTCTGAGCCTGGACGATTGGATGTTGGATGTTGGATGTTGGACGTTTCAGTGTATATGATTTAGCAAGCGAGTAAGTGAATGATTCAGGCGTCGATCAATACCAATTGTAGTCAGTGCTTGTTAGCTGCGCATGCCGCATGAGCACGAAATACATTTTCATCAGAATACGAGAATGAGAGCAGAACCCAAGCAGCGAGAGAGAGCAAAGGTTTTGTGAGCTCCACTCCCTGGCTCCAACGTCGAAACTTTCGACCTGACGACTTCACTCCACCTTCACCAACAACATGGATTGATCTCGTCGTCCGGCAAGGCTCCCAACAACAACACTCTCTCGGACATGGCTCTTATCACCTCTCTCAAATCTCTCACGCTCGACCTGCCGCCAAGCTGCATAGCATTCTGTCCCCGGCGACCTCAACTTTTCGTCGTGGGAACCTACCACCTGCATCGGAAGGAGCAAGAAGGTGATTTGTATGCGGAGGAGACCCACGAGCGTCCCGAAAATAATGCAGCAAGACACGAAGATTCCACTCCCGACGAAGACGAAGACGAAGATGATGACAATCCCGCCCCCGAAAGCACTGCTCCTCAGAAACGCACGGGGAGTCTGATCCTCTTCCACCTCGGCGACGATAACAACATGTAGGTGGTAAGATAGCCCCAATCAATCAAACCCGATGTTCCACACGACAATCCTCGCATCGTATCGCATGTGCATGTTGCATGTTGCATCGACTGACAGATAATAAACCCCACAGCACACATCTCACCACGACATCCACGGACTTCGCGATCCTCGACATCCAGTGGACGCCCCAGCGACCTGAAACTTCGGATGCAGAAGTCCTAGCGGTTGCGACGTCGACAGGGCTGCTGGCGTTCTATCGGCTGGATGCTGCATGCGGCTCTTCGGAACAGCATGTGAAGGAGGGTGGTGGTGGTGGGTTGGAGCTGGTCTCGGTCAAGACGATAGCGGAGCCCTCGACGCTGGTGTTATCGCTCGCGTGGCACCCTTCTCGCGCGAATGTCGTTGGCGTGACGCTTTCCGATGGGAGGGTGTGTCTCTGCGAGAGCGCTGCCACGATCTGGAACGTTGGTGCAGAGTTGCGGGTTTCCGATGTGCATGCACACTCTCTGGAGGCTTGGACGCTGGCGTTTAATCCGCACGAGCGACGGCAGATCCTCTCGGGAGGCGATGATATCGTGCTGCAGTGCTCCCACGTTCAGGAGGAAGAAGCAGACGGCCATCAGCTCCTCTGGCAAGACCGCAAACTGCACGAAGCCGGCATCACAGCCATCCTGCCCCTTTCCGAGACGCTCGTCATCACGGGCAGTTACGACGACCACATTCGCCTTCTATCCCTCCCCCACGTAGGCCGAAAACAATGCCTCGCAGACCTGTATCTGGGCGGCGGTGTATGGAGGTTAAAAGCGCTTCCATCCGCTGCACCCGCATCTGCATCTGCATCGACAAGGTCCGTATCTTCCTTTCCGCACTGCATGCTTCCAGAACCGTCACACAACATCTCCCTCAGCCACACTCACCCAACGCACACCTCGTAAGAAAAGAAAGTGACGCAATCTGACACTTGCATACTCCAGTAGTAGTACTGATCCCAGCAGTATCACCCTCCTCGCGAGTTGCATGCACGCTGGCACGCGCATCGTAAAGCTGATACGAGACGAGGATGAGGACGTCTGGTCCTTTGAGGTCTTGGCTAGGTTTGAGGAGCATCAGAGTATGAATTATGGGAGTGATGTTCAGCCTGGCGAGGACGGCAAGGAGAAGGAGAGGAGGATTGTGAGCACGAGTTTCTATGATCGGTTGTTGTGTTTGTGGGAGTTTTGATAAAGGGGTTGACAGGTGGTAAACTTCGTGGATGATTGTAGTAGATAGGTAGGTAGGTAGGTATTACGTCCCAGACGTTCCTCTCAGCCAATAGCCAGCTCTTTCCTTCTCAAAAGTACATGTAGTTAAATGGCCGTGATGCAAAATAGTACAAAGAGATCTTTGCTCTCGCTCTTTCTCACACGCTCAAACCCGCTGTTGGCAAGGTAAAGTAAAGATCATTGGTATATCGCTCCGCCGAAAACCAGAAAGGTTAAAACAAATCGCGCACGCAGAAAAAACAAACTCCCTCAGATGCTCCCCACGATTCAAACGCCTTCTGTGCTGCAAATGCTTGCTTGCTTGATACGAACAAATGAAAAACGCTCGATCTTCGTGTCTCTCTCTCTCTTTCTCTTGCTCAATGCGCTGCGCTGCGATGCGGCATGTCTTTGCTGCTACAGTATCCGCACAGCAAATCCCGGAATCGTGAAGTTTTGTTTGCGTGGTTCCGGTGGTGCAGTAGTTGCAGCGCGGGTAATGCAATGCAGCACGCTGTTGTTTCGCGGAAGCCGGGTAGGGGGCGGTCTGTCTGGTTGACGCCGTGGCTTTCCCTTTCCCACATTCTGTTGTGGTTTTTCTTCTTGTCCCTCTTTTCGGTCGGTACGGTTGAGGAGATTTTTTCTTTCTTCAGGGCTCGCCGGGGCCGCTGACTTTGATTTGGGGCATTGGTGGTGGTGGGGCGTTGTTGTTGTTGTCTCGTGCTCGTCGCCATTTTAGGACGGGGATGCGCTTGTCGCCCTGGGAGGAGAGGTTAGCAACATGAACCTGCGAAGTTTTCGAATTGTGTGTAATGGATTGTTTACCTTGACTTCTGTGGGCTCCTCGCTTCCCAGCACGAGGACCTGCCCATCTTCCTCGAACCGATGCGTCCTAATCTGGATATCTCCAATCCAGCCAGGCAAACTGCAGCACTGGAACGTATGCCGTAGGATCTCTTCTCGACCGAGTCCTTCATTGCTGATGTAGTATGGGCCGCAATACGCGAAACATCTTTTGCCAGCTTCTGCCCACTGCGGCTCCTCGCCTTCTCCGCGCTTGAAGCTTTGCTGCCCCGGGATCAGCATCTGTGCCGACATGTAGCCGTCTGGGGTGTAGAGGATGAATCCGGTAACGTTCTTCGTCATCGGGTAGGTCGGTCGTTGGACTGGTGATTCGGGTGTGGGATATGCGATGTAGGATTCGAGTTTCCAAGCCCCGATGAGCTTGTCTCTGAGTGAAGGCTCGGGCGGCGGTGTTACGCATTGCTCCATGGTGTAGAGTCCTTCGTTGAGATCGTCGTAGTTTGTGCCGGTGGGCTCCTCGTCTTTCATCGGCGTATCCTGGACCTCAATGCTGGGGAGCGGACAGGATGTGATCCTGTGGCCGACTTTGTTCGTGAACGGGCTGGAATGTGGGGTGGCCATCTTTGTTGTGTGGAAGTAGTTCGAATGCCCATTTGACTGGGGCTTTTTGTATGGCTCTGGTTTGAAAGAACCGGCTGGAGGTGACTGAGCGCGGAAGCTCAGTTTGTTCGGCGAGACGATGACCTGCGTCGAGGAGAAGACCTCGCTGGGGACGTCCCGCGGCCGACTCCTGGATCTCGAGCGGGATTTGCGACCTGGCAGTACTTTGGGGACTTGGAGGTACTGCGTGCTGGGCATAGTAGCTACCAACATCGGAGCGGCAGCGAGAGGGGAGTGGTGGATGATGGGTGAGACGGCATGGACAGGATCACTTGGGCAGGCGCAGGAGGAATAACGGCGGAGGCAGTGGTGGCAGCGGTGGGAGGGAGGCAGAGGCACATGTTGGAGCAGAAGGGCACGGAGGCAGGGCAGGGCGATAGTATGTACGGATGACGGTTGGCAGCAACAGCCAGCCTGGCCCGCCTGCGCAACCGACCAGCGTATGGTAACAGCAGTGAGCGTCCGTCTCAGGCGCAGCTCGTGCACCGCAACGCTGCCTCTCCCAGTCTCCCTCTCCTCGTTTCTGGCGCCGATGAGGTCGACCAGCCTGCGCGCTAAGCAGCGTGTGGGGCTGGCGCTGCCGAGCTGCCGCATCCAGCACCCCGTCCACCAACAGCAGCCGCGCAAAAGTCCGGCGGGCAGAGGTTTCGCGCTGCTCTCGCTGCTCACGGCTGGATGTGGCGCCTGTCCAGTCTGCCGTTGCCGTTGGGCTATTGAAAACGCACGAGGAGGTGAGCACGATGCGCTGCCCAGTCCGCCTTGGCCTGCTCGATAATCTCCACTGCTACCGGCTCAACGACGCGGACCACACTGTACACACACACTACTCCCAGCGCCAGCGATGATGCCATGCGTCTGTTGCTGTTTGGCCGTCGAGTCCGCGTTGTTGCAGCGCCGGCTCACGGCAACACTTCTCTCACATCGCTTCCCTCACGACACGAGCTCATCCCCATCTGCCACTCCGTCACAGCCTGAGCACCCCGGCCACTTCTAAATCGGGGATGCAGGCCTGACGCAACATCCGGCGCAAGGTCCTCGCCGCGAGCTATTCCATCCGCCGCTTGACCGCTCTGGGGCGTTGGAGGAAACCCCTGTTCCAGACTGAGTTGGGGCTTGCGTGAGAATCGCTTCCTTCGTCCGCCAGAACCACACGCGCCCAGAGCCGCAGCGTACAAAAGGCCTCGCGTGGTCGTCTGACTGCGTCGGAGACCCCCCTCATGCCCGAACGTCTACTGCTCGAACATGAATGATATCACGACGCGTTCGACTGGGCGATGGAGTAAAGAGAGGTGTCGTGAGAGATGGCGATAGAGTTGCAAATCCCGCAGGCCCTCCCCCCCACCGCGTCCTTGCTTCGCTCGCCACAAGACGTTTCTCTAGATCGCCAAGACCAGTGGGCCTCCATGTATTGAGATGCGCATCTTCCGCGACCTGAGCCTTGCCCTGCCGAACGGTTGTGCTGTCTTCTCCCGAGCTTATCGTGATGATGAAAGCATTCGCCTACGACCATAACTCCGCACGTATCGATGATTTCGCTGTAGCAGACAGATTGCTTTCCCTTGCCCGCGTCTCGTCATCGTGCTGTGTCGACTTGGATTTTGCTAGTCAGACACGCCAGAAACGAAGAGCGCATCATACATCGAATGTCAGCGAGACCGGCTGGTTGGGTCAACCTAGCGAGGATGTTTCCTCCAGATCGACCGCCGTCACCGGCCTCATGAGACCCACGATAGCTTCCTTGTCCTCCAGTCTCGTTCAATGGCAACGCTTCGTCAGCATGTGAAAGACGAGAGCTCCATGAAAGCTCTGCTGCGGGGCAGGTCCTTTAACTGAAGCAGCATTCGAAACAATTTCTCCTCTCTCCATCCCTCTCTTCCTTGTGCTCGACAGCTCATCGAAACAAACCAAGCAGAAACCTACCCGACAAGTGCCAAAGCCCTCACTCCACGTGTACACGGGGGAGCTAAGTTTTGCTAACCACGGCACAGGAACGTCTTGTGTATTCCCAAACCGGCATCAGGTATGCCCTGCGCACCTACCGCCATGGGGCCACGATTCGCTCGACGACTGGTCTTGTCCAGTGGCGATCCCGGATCGCCGAGATCAAGGTATTTCGATAGACGACCGAAAGCATGAGCCGGTGGACAACTCCAAACGGCCTGACTGACTCTTCCACCCCCCACGCGTCTGGTGATGCTGATGGCTATGACGTCTGCCGGCTGTCCTCGGCCGGTCGTGGTACGGTACAGGATGGAAGGAATGTGCGTTGAAACGGGAGTTGCGACTTCATCATCAGACATGCAGCACGATAATTTCTTGTCTCCATCTTCCCCACCAGCAAAACCGCGGCTGTCGTGGATGCTTCGTGGGGAAACATGGGACGGGGACATGCTACTGCCGGGTGCTGGACGACCACCTCTCCGAACAATCAACAAACAAACCATTCATCCTCTACCCCCAGCAGACCATGCCGTCACATCCGACCGTGGGAGATGAGTCAGCGGGCTTGCGAGTTGTTCTGAGATCAGACGGCCGAACTTGATCTGGACAATACCAGCGCAAAGAATCATGCTCTCATGACCCATCTCCAAGAAAGCCATGGAGACAGTACTAACGACAGCAGTCCTTGATCAACGACCGTCAACATGTCTCCACCCGCCATGATGCATTTCCAGGAGCCATCCTCCAATGGCCACACCGTCACCCTGCCAGCCTCCAAGGTGGCAAACCTCCCCCATGCCACAGCCGTGCCTGTGAAGGGTGCGACCAAGACTCAATCCATCGAGGAGATGGCAGGCAAGTGGAGCGACTTCAGCTTCGCTCCAATCCGTGAGAGCCAGGTCTCGCGTGCCATGACCAGGCGCTACTTCACAGACTTGGACTCATACGCCGAGAGCGATATTGTCATTGTCGGCGCTGGAAGCTGCGGTCTCTCTTCCGCATACTGCCTCGCCAAAGCTCGACCAGACCTGAAGATCGCCATCGTCGAGGCTGGTGTTGCCCCAGGAGGTGGTGCCTGGCTCGGCGGCCAGCTCTTCAGCGCAATGGTCATGCGCAAGCCAGCCGATGCCTTCCTGCGTGAGCTCGGTGTCCCATACGAGGACGACGGTGCCGAGTCCAACTTCGTCGTGGTCAAGCACGCCGCGCTGTTCACCAGCACCGTGCTGTCCAAGGTGTTGCAGTTCCCCAACGTGAAGCTCTTCAACGCCACCGCCGTCGAGGACCTGATCACCCGCACCGACGGCAACGGCGGCATCCGCATCGCAGGCGTGGTCACCAACTGGACGCTCGTGAGCATGCACCACGACGACCAGAGCTGCATGGACCCCAACACCATCAACGCCCCTATCATCATCTCCACCACCGGCCACGACGGTAAGTCTTACAATCAACCCAACCCACCAGCTCATACTAACGACACGCAAGGCCCCTTCGGCGCCTTCTCCGCCAAACGCCTCGTCTCCATGGGCGGCCTCCCCGCCCTCGGCGGCATGCGCGGCCTCGACATGAACACGGCCGAAGACGCCATCGTCAAGGGCACCCGCGAGATCGCGCCCGGCCTCATCATCGGCGGCATGGAGCTTTCCGAAGTCGACGGCGCCAACCGCATGGGCCCGACCTTTGGAGCCATGGCTCTCTCCGGCGTCAAGGCCGCCGAGGAGGCTCTCAAGCTCTTTGAGACGAGGAAGGCTGAGTGTGCGGAGGGTGGCAAGTTTTAGGTGAGGGTAAGCTTGGGTAAGGGTCTAGGGAGGGTGCTCGTGCTGGGTTCCCTCACGACTGCTTGCCGAGTTTGATGAAACGCTCGTTTTTTTGGTTTCGGCGAAGGAATGTATGAAACAAATTTGAACGTCGGATCGATTGAAGTTTGTTATACGAACTGTCATGTTTCGTTTCAATGCGTTTCAATAGGCGAGTCCACGACATGGGGGTCTGCCCTTTCGATCGTTTCCAATCCGTCGGCGAAAGGTTCACATTCGGTAAATCGTCCATACCCTTCGGCTAGGGTATGGTATGTTCGCAGGTCGTCGTCTCCTCAGTGCGCGTGCTCTTCAGAGAAATATGCTCGCAGCCTATCTCTCGCTCTGACTTTGACAGACGTTTTGCTTCTCGCGAGGTAGCCTTTTTCATCTTACAAGATCGTATCCCAACCTCGACACCACCCACCCTCCGTCTCCATCTTCATACACGCATTTTGCTGGGCTGTAGTTGTTGAGGTCGTGTGACGTCGTGTGAGGATGAGTTGAGTGTTCACAAGCATCTGATGGCCTCATTCTGTCATCTCCTATTTTCTTCCAACCCAAGGATACATATAGGTTCATTCTTGATATGATGCCCACCACATTCATTCACCCATTCACACACCGCTTCCAAACCATCAACAAAACACCAAACCCAACCCATGCCTTGACTTCCAAAAACAAAGCTGAAGTCTTCCCAAACTTCAACACTACCGGTTCACGGCAAAGAAAAACCACAGTATCAATGCTCGTTAACTTCTCTCCATTCATCAACTAGCTACTAGTACTACTACTACTACTGCAAAGAACCCGCTCAAACCATCAGCCGCCGCGGCGCCGAGAGCACAAAAAAAACACACACACGACTTCGTAACTTCGTTCTAAAACCTGCTGGCGCCATCAGGGGGAATTTCGTTTGAACGCCTCGGTCGATACTCTAACGTCCTTTCAAATCTTGAGCTCGGACGACTTCCCATTCTCTCACCACGTGTGAGTAAGCCTTGAACAGAATTGGTTCCTTTTCTTCTTTCCTTCCCGAGGCGTTCGGGATTAATAGGGAGAGTTCACGATCTGCGAATCAATCAGTCAGTCTAACTACTTCAACGCATTGCAAAGGTTAGATTTGGAACTTACCTCGTTTCTACTGAGATAGCTGCCTCTGGCTTTGCTACGCTTCGGCGTCGCCATGATGCTCTCGCGCGTGGGACGCTGCAGAGCTCGCTTGGCCACCATGTCGACTTCGTTGGGGAGGGCGACGACGATGTTCTTGTCGCTGCCGAAACGGAAGTTGTCGGCTTTGACTTCTTCTTGGTACCGCTTGATGTGGTAGGGGTCCTTGCGGCCGGCGAGGACTTTCTTGAGGGACCAGGTCGCGATGAAAGGACCCGTGGCGGTGATGATGGTGGTCTCTTCTTGATCTTCGCCTGTGTTGAAGCGCGCTGGGGTGAAGGAGATAGGAGCGCCCGTCTCGTGCTGGAACTGGGCGACGTGCGAGGGAGTGAGAGCAAGACGACGTGGCTGGGGCTTGCTGTCTTTTGCGAAAGCTTTTTCGAAGCCGAGTTTGCCTTCATTCTTGCCCTCTTTCTGCAAGGCGTCGATGAGGAGAAGGTAGGTACGAGTTGTTGCCAGCACCCAGCATCCGTCTGCGCTAACGTCGAGGCCGATGATGGGATCTCCCAGGGCAGGAAGGGCAGTCTTTGCGTTGATTCCGAGGCGGTCAAACATGCGAATGTCTCCCTTGTTCGAAGCAACAGCAATGTAACCCTTCTCGGTCGTGGCGGCGGCAGAAAAGTCGTTCTTGCTGACGTACTGCTTGAGCTCGCCGTCGACGAGTTTGTTCCCACTCCGACGTGGATCAACTCGGTACAAAGCGTTCTTCGAAAGACCGAGGAATGTCTGCTCATCAGTCGTCTGAGCAAACTTGTTCTCAGGCGCGAAGATGTTGGCGGGGATGTCATCGTGGACTTTCCACTCGTCCACAACCTTTCCAGTCTCGAGGTCCAACCGGTGAAGACTGGTGGGATCCGCTTCGTTCTGCATTATCAAGTTGCGATCCGACATGTGCAGCATGACCTTCGATGGTGCAAAGCTCTTGCCCTTGGGTGTTGCGATCTTGTTGATGGCAGTGCTGAATTCGAGCTGATTGTCAGGAGTGTGCTTGAACACACCAATCTTATCTCCACGGACGACAAATGATCGATCAATCTTTGCTCCAACGGCAAGCAGCTTATTGACTTTGCCGTCGTCGCCAAGGTGCTCTGCCTCATCCTCGTCTTCGTCCTCGTCAAAGTCTGGTGTGGCTGCTCGATCGACCGCATCTTCAAACTCGTCTTCCTCTTCGTCCTCTTCAGCGGCCTCGCGCTCCCGCTCATCGTCTTTCTCATCTTCCAGTACGAGATCGTTGAAGGAGTCGAGAACATAGTCTCTGTCGGCATCTTGGACGGCCTTGCGCCATTTGGCATGGTTCAGATGTTCCCACAGTGCCTGCATCAAGCCCTCTTGAAACTTCTCTTCCGTCTCGCGATCCTTGAACTTGAGGAGCCAGGAGTATGCCGATCCATCTTCAGCGTAGTGATTGAAGATGAAGCTGAGGTATTCGAAGTTGAAGACCGGATTGATGTCTGGGACCACCTCTTGACCAAGCCACTGCTGCTTGTTGCCTGTGATCTGTAGCCAGTATGTCCAGTTTCCCGTCTCGTAGACAATGGCCTGGACATCTTGATCTTGAAGAATGAACGTGCCTGACTGGAAGTCGAACAAGTGAAGCTCGGCCTCCTCGCTAGCCAGCACTTCCTTGCTTTCTGGAGCTTGGCGCGGTGCAGGCGCTTTGGTCGGCGTCTGGTCCAGTGTCCTGGACTGCGGGACAAGCGCCTTCTTGGACGAGTCTCGCGCCATGCTGGGGCTGTCTTCTCTCAAGTCGTTCAGTGAGCGCGCGATGGGTGAGATTGCAGGTGAGCGCGAAGGTTGGCTGGAGAGGGGGCTCGCAGCAGGGATCTCCGGCTCGTCGTCGAACGCAAACTCCTTAAGATCCCGCTCGGTGGCCTGCTCGTGGCTTCTGCGATATTTCCGTTCGTACTGACACTGCTTTGCGACCAGATCGAACGCTGTCGCACTCTCTGGTCTGACCGATCCGTCGCAAACGAACTCGAACAGGTCGCCTTCGTCGCCTGAGAGATCCTTCCACGCGATCACAACCTCGCCGTCTCGCTTCCTCTCCACTCGAATGCGCAGCTCTTCGTCAAGCAAGAATGTCTTCTCGTCCTTGTCACCGAGCGTATCGATAACACCTTCTTCTCCGCTCTCCTCTTCCAAAAGCTCTTCCTCGCCCTCCTCGTATGCGCGCTGGATGACGAGCTGGTACTGGAAGTCCTGACCGGTCTTTCGAATGAACGCGGCGGCGTCCTTGAAGATGAGCTCGCTGTAGCCTTTGGGGCTTTGTGGGCGGACGATGTACAGCTGGCCCTGGTTGAGCTCGACGATGTTCTGCTTGTTGGTCTGGCCGAAGAGGTAAGACGACAGCGACTTTAAAGCGAACATAACAGCGTATGTCGACGTCGGTGGCGGGCGGTGAGCATCACGAGAACAGGTGGTGTTTGGGAGTGAGTACTTAAGAGCGACGACATTTCTTGCTTGCCAGTTGTAAACAATGACGCTAGAGGCAGCTGCGAGACCCTGAAAGGCAGCTGCGACCAATCAAAGCTCCTTCCTTTGAGCGACAGAGACAGGGATGTTACAGCAATCGCACGTGATATCTGTTTCAGATTCACTCACTGCCAATAGTTTGCTTTCGACGACAAATTGAAATTGCAAGATCTCATTGCTCCAGTTGCGTCGTGCATCACATGAATGCTATGTGCGCTTCAAAATAACAACTCACTATCACGACTCTTCTCCGTGCCTCACCTTCCAATCTCTCCTCCATGTCTCACTCCAAGACCGCAGTCGTTCTACCTGTTGTTGAGAACGCCACTCCAATGCTGATATTTCATGCTCGCCAATGTTTATCAACCACCTGCGCCGTCGCTTGTCGATTAATTATGTTTTGATGTCGTGCCTCGTCAGTTCGTGCCTTGAGCTCGTGCCGCCCCGAAGCCCAAGATGCCGCTAGAAATGCAAAAGTCGTGAAGCCTCACTTCGACGTCCGACCACCTCCCACGGGCCCGAATCCGCCGTTCGTGTTGGACTTTGGCTCAAAGTCCATGTCAAACACTTCCTGATCCTCTTCTATCCGCTGCCCCACGCTGTTGGTACTCAAGGCGCGGTCCATGCTCGCTCGACCAGTGGAGCCATTCGACAAGGTGCGTGACGGGACTGGCGCTTGCGGACCCGATACGGAGCGTGCTGCGTCGAGCTTCGTCCGCTGCAGCTCTTGCGTGAGCATGCTCATGCTCGCTTGCTTTGGAGGACTGCTCACACTTGGACTGAGTTCGCCGTTGGTTGAGCTGTTGATAGGGTTGGAAGTTGGAAAAGAGGAGTCTCGAAGCGGTGAGCCCACGTGCCCTACTCCATCTCGCATCGCGGTCCGTGCAAACATGCCAGAGTATCGTGATGGGCTTGAGGAGAAGGGCGTACCGGCTTTGCTGTCAGATGGTGTGCCTTGGTGAGAGATGGTGCGTCGTTGCGCAGCCAGGAATGATGCTGGTTTGTTGTCTTCGTTGTTTCGTGGCCTCGAGTCCCGCCTCGACTTTCCGTCTGGGATGAGGTCGTGCAGGCTGGATGGTAGCAAATCCTTCTCGTCGTCAGTATCACCATCGTCCTCCGAGTCTTCGAAGTGGACCGGCGGTCTCGTTCCGAGGCTAGCGGACATGAGTGCTCGTGATCCTCGCAGACGGTCCGAATGTAGTGGTCTCTTCTCAAACGAGATAGGTTCATCGTTTCCACTTGGCGGTGACGAGCCCATGCTGGAGTTGATCACATTGTTAATGCCACGTTCGGGATATGCGGAATTGTGAAGATCTCGTAGTGCTGTGTTGCCCAGGTGCGCCATTCGAGGCAGAGAGGAAGGAGGAGACTCAAAGTCCCACTTTGACGGCACCGATGCCGCGAAAGGTCCGTTTCTAGCTGCGTACGAGACACCGTTGCTATCGAATGAGTTCGGTAATGGCGCATCGAGCACAGAAAGGCCCTTCTGAGGAGGTGACGTCGCCATTCGCTCGTTTTGAGGAGGTGAACCGTACTTCGGCGAGGCTGATGTGTAAGTCATGTCTATCGAGTGTCCGTCATAGCCATTTCGCGATGCGTATTGGTAGTGCTCGAGCTCCGGTTGCGGGCCATCACCATTTGATCTCTGCTCAAGACCTTGGGCTTGCATGGACAACAATCCTGGCGGTGCTTGGCCGAAGGTTGAGGGGTGTTGTGGTGGGTAGTATTGGGCTGGAGGCGCCATCGGCATTCGGTTTACGACCGTGCCGTCTTGTGTGATGTGGAGAAGAGCGCATTTTCTGCCGAATTTGCAACCACCTTTGGCGAAGTACTTGCAAGGCGCCGGCCTGGTGGTGGATTCGATGTCATGGGAGAATGGACACATCTGGCCAGCTTGACACTGGCCTTGGAGGAAGAACTTGCACGGGACATGCTGTGTGTCTGGTATCTGCTCTTAGCACTCACTTCTACTTGATATGACTCTTCCACAACTCACTCTTGTTCTTGGGTGGGCTGGCAGCCATGCGCAGTGGTATGCCGCCCTCACCCTGCATCGCCGGGAATGGGCGCTGTATAGGCATTGCGCCATTCTGTCGGTCGTGGTGCATTCTGGATGTCTGCGCAGAATTCGAGGTCGAGGGTCGGGATTGATGCTGTGGCTGTGGAGGGACGGGCGTACCGTTGCCGTTGGCGGTGGGTGGCGGCGAGTGTAGCGGCTGGTTGAAGGCGCTCATGGCGAATTTGAGAAGTAGGTCGCGTGTGTTACCAATATCACATGCTGCGTCGCACCAAAGTCGTATCTGCAGCGGGGATTTGCGGGGCTCGAGATAGCAGCACGGTTGGCGTGGATTCGAGATCTGTTGTATGCGAGTGTGAAGACGTGAATGACGGTGACCGAACGGTTAATGGCAGAGCTGAATGTGCCGGCGAGCTTGTCGAGAAGAGATCGGAAATTGTATCAAAGGCCTGGTATGGCAGAATAATGCCAGAAGTGAGGTGCTTCGACTGATGAATGGCGGGCGGCAGTTGAAGAGAGTCGGGGTCGGAAATTGGCGCTTGCTTGGATCCGCTGCTGAACCTTAGATTGCACACCAACCTCACCTCCTCCTCGAGCTGTGCCGAATATTGCCAGCCGCAGTTGACGCTGTATTGTCGCGGCGACGGAGAGGAGAACAAAAAATGGCTGTGCAGGTCGATGGGCGTGGTGGCGGTGAGCGTGATGGAGCTGTCATCGCCACATCATGAGAGGGTTATCATCTGGCTACTTGTCTCACACCCGCGCAGCTTCTGGAGGCCGGACGTGGGATGGAGAGGACCAAAGAGCATGGAAAGGAAGAAAGATTGGTCTGCTTGCATGCATGTGGTACAGAGCACAATAAGGCGAAGAGTATTGAGGATATCTTTGAAGGGGCCAGCAAGAGCGTACAAGATGGGCCGGGTGCTGAACAGGACCTCCAGTGCAGCGAACTCAGCGAACTCATCAGCATCGCAGGAGGCGTGCAAAATATCGTTGTGCTAACATCGATGGTGCCTGGCACAATACATGTAGCCTTAGCTTCCAGACCGCGACGAACACGCACGAGCCCCTGACGCCTTGTTCTACAGCAGCGGGCCGTCCAGAACCTCATGATTGTGGGAGGCAGAGTGGGCAGAGGACCAAACACCGGTGTCATGCAATCTTACGGACTGAAAAAGGGTGGTATGTGGGACAGGTATTGCTGTTCGCCCAGCTGTTGTTTCAGCAACATTCAATGTCTACAAGGCCAGTTCAAGTGAAGGTACAGAATCGTTTGAAGGCCCAACGAACCCGGCGGCGAAGCGCGTATCGAATCTTAGAGCACGACGGGAGATTGCAGGCCTGTACTCCGCTCATCTCGCATTTGGCATGACCGGGCCGTCCGTCTTGTGTTCCGTTTGCTCGTGCTACACGTGGGTAGAGAAGACGTGATGGAAAACAGGACATAGGAAGGACCTTCATGTGATATTTTCTCCTGGGCTCAAGAACGGTATGATCATCTGATCAGCTACTGTCGATTTGTTGTTGTTCATGCAATCAAGAAACACATCTGACAACATCTCCGTTCCTGCCTCATTTGGAAGCACTCACGGCTCGCAGCTTCCCGCATAGCTAAAACGCTAGCCCGGCTCGTTCCACGACTTCCCACAACGCGGCAGCATTTGTCAAGCAGCGAAGACGACGAGCGACTTGCACCTGGACGTCCTCCACCACCACACTCGTTCTTCCTCCCCCTTCCTCTCACTTTCGCCCACCACCTCTAGTCATTCCTTTCACTGCACTCACCCACAGTCACTCGTTATTCCCCCAACACCTTCAAACGCCGCCATGAGGTCGCTGGCCATCGCCGCCCTCGCGACCGCCGCGTCCGCCCGCCTCAATTCAACCACCTTCTGGAACGGCACCTTCACCTGCCCACCGACCGGCTACTCCCCGTCAGGCTCCATTGGCCATGGGTAAGTCTTTCCATCTCATACAGCACCTCCACATACATGCCCACCGAGACTGCCTGGATCTGGGGTTCCGTCGCCTCTTGTCACTTCGAAAGGCCGAATCTCGACGACACCGACATTCACCACTCAAACAAGACTTCCACCAGCATTCACCCACCTTGCATCAGCCACAAATTCAGCCGGCAATACAAATATGTCAACCTCATCTTCACATGTCTTGGCAGCCATCGACATGGGTTCAATGAGGAAGCGGGGAACACGGCGAGACATCAGTGCATCACACGTGGAGGAATCTGGAACAGCGAACAATAAAGAGGGGCAAAACACCCGCAAGGATTCCGCTCTGGAGGTCGTTCCGCCAGCCTCGATATCCAAACCTTCGATAAATACTGCTCCTCCCGCTCTCGAGACACGGCCTTGGCTTCGAGCGCGACTGAACTGGCACACCCTGATCACACTCACCATCTACGCTCTTCTTGCTTTTGGTTCTTTGTACGTCTTGCTCGAGTACTTACTTTCCGCCATCAGGGTTAACGCCACTTCATGCGACGTGACATCGCTGGGCACGACGGTCGGCACCACGATCTATGCCCCAACCACAGTGACGATGACCACGGTCGTCTACATGCCCTTCAGCTCATCTGAAGCTGCTCCCGCCGCGGCTAGCCCCTCGACGCCATCTCTGATCATCTCGACGACGACGATTGGTTACACAGTCTTTACCACGGTCACTGTCCCACCAACCTCGGAATCAACAGCTGGTGTCTTCCCTTACGTCGTCATTGACGGAACCACAAGCTGGCTGAACAACATTACACCGGATTCTGGCAAGCCACTCGCAAGTACCGTCTCTTCCGTCCAAGTTGTTCCAATACCTGCGACCCTTTCAGAGCAGGATGTGACCACGACCATCAGAAGTACCTCTACGATTACCAATACCAAGACGGTGCAACCGAGCGTGGATTCAGCAACTATTTCTCCCATGGCTACTTTCAGCGGACCAGCTCTTAGCTCGACGACTTTCAGCTACAGCCCAGAGTTGACGACCACACTGTTTGACACGCAGTATTCGACGGTCACGCTATCTCGAGTCTCATCGCCCACGTCGTTTGCTGGCACAAACACTGGCGGTTGGAATGCCACAAGCTCCCAACCTGTCATTGAGCAGACGCAGGCGCCACCCAAGCCTATCACCACCACGGAGACCGAGCTTGTCGTTCTGAATGTCAGCTCAACAGCAGCTACTTCCACGCTGTATCTCACTACAACTATCGGGGCTACGATCACGCAGACTATCCAGCCATCTGCCATCGTTTCGGCGGACGGAGGGTCGACTCTTCTCACTGGCCAGCCCGTGACCCTAACGCATACTGTTCAGAGTGAGCCGGTCTTCCTCAGCACCAGCTTGAGTCTGCAAGATCCCAGCTCCGTAGCTGCCACACCGAGCGTCAACCCAGCGAGCGGGCCTGTCTCGATGACGAGTACTATCTCTGCACAAGCTCCTCCCGCCACTTCACCATCAGATCTGTCCAGCAATCTCGCCAATCCCGGTGCTGCCTCCTTGAGCACCACGGCCTTGTCGAGTGCAAGCAGCAGCTCCAGCTCGACGTCGACAAGCTCCAAACCTTCTCCGCCTTGGACCATTGCCACCCTTACGACTGTTGTTTCCGGCGTCCCCACCACAATTACAGTTAACAGCACGACAGCAGGTTCCACGCCGACGTCGTCAGGATTTAACAGAACCTCCACATCTACCAGCTCGACGTCGAACAGTGAGGTCCTCGTCACCTCGTTTGTGAGTGGACATGGTACTACTTTGACTTTGTCCGCCTCGCCCTCTGAGACTACCCCAATGTCTCCAGGATTTAACAGCTCGACAACACTCAGTGGTCAGAGCTCGACGGATTTGATCACTTTGCAGCCTGCGTCAACGTCAAGTCAAGTCGCCAGTTCTCGCACGACCACATCAAATGCCTCCAGGGCAACTTCGGCTAGCGGCTATGGCTCGTCTACGGCGAGAACATCCACAGCTGTCGTTTCCGCCGCGGCATCCAGCACTGCATCCAAGTCATCTCAATCAACGTCGTCCCACACATCCGCGCACAGCTCGACCGCGGCAAGCAGCAGCTCGTCTACTCCTTCCACGTCCTTGTCGGCCACGCGGACCACTTCATCTTCCAGCTTCAGCAACCCCTTCCCTCCACACTCGGCCACGGCAACGCCATCTGCTGGATGTGGTGAGCAAGGCAACTTCACAATGGATTTCGACGACTTGCCGAGGTATGATCCATCCAAGCGGCAGTCACAGAATCAGACGAATGCCACCGACCTTGGCACATATCCGCCTGTCACATTCAATGGCCGACCTTATCACCATCTCTACTTCAGCGATGGTTACGTGTATGCTCCAGCACCGGCAGAGCCGTACTCTCCCGCCTCATCTCCATACCTTGCAGCCTTTGCCAATCCCATGAGGACCGGCTGGGATCGTAACAGCACTGGCACGAACAATGTGGAGCCTGGTGAGTTCGGCGGTGCCTACAACGACGATTCTCCAGCCTTCTGGTTCGATGCCAATAATGCCTATCTTGGCTGCGACAACCCTGGACCAGATGACTGCACGATAGAGGCCACCGGTTACGCCTGGAATGCTCAGGCGAATGACGAGACGCCAATTGCGTCCCAGAATTACACCATCCCGGCATGCTCACACAATTGCAGCATGGTGGAGGTCGCTTTCCCGGACTCGTTCAGAAGCCTGAGCGGCATCCAATTCCGGGCAATCGTGGACAACGAGCCACGGACTTTCTACGTGGACGATCTCAACATGCACTGGACGAACAGTAGCTGTGCTGCTGGGATGACGAGGCAGACGTCGCGATGAGACGGGCAGGAAGTTGCATGGTAGATATCACGTGTACGATACGATGCAAGCAATGACAGGCAAGGCCCAGTCGGTGGCACGACGAGAATGGGAATACACGATGGAGCGCAATGGGTCTAAAAAACTTGCTTCCAACTGCATCAGTGTCTTTGAGGATGAGATGCACCTGTGGTCCGGTACTACAGCGGACGGTTCAGTTTAGCAAATGATGTAACAATAATAAGAAGCGCTTTGATACCCATATTGCATCAACGCGGACGAAAATAGTAGCAGTTGACTGTGCTCTCACCTCTTTCGCCGGAGGGACAATCACCTGAAGCCCGATTGTGCTGTCATGATCAGTCAACGTGGCTGATGGCTAACTGGTAGGGCGTATGTGGCTGCATAGGTACATGGAGGCGAGAAGCAGCTTGTCAGGGCTGGAATCGATTCTCGTACACCAGACAGAGATGAAATGGGACGATAAAAGAAAGTGTGACTCGCACTGACAACATCAGACGTCTGAACATCCACCACGAAACATGTCACGATGCCGCGCTCGCAAGCCATCAGAATCATCAACGTGCCTTCGGACGTTGGATCCATGATCAAAGGCAAATCGCTCGCGCCAGAGGCATTCCAAGCAGCAGAACTTGCTGGGAAATTGACGAAAGTGGGTTACGATGTCGAGGATATCAATGCCCTGCCGGATGGACCTCGAGTATGGACTTTTGATGCTGAGATTTCGGAGAATGGAGTTCGTAATGAGGAGGCTAATGTGGAGGTGAATCGTCGAGTTGAGGAGGCTGTGAGCAGAGTCCTCCAAACCGACTCTGATACTCCTCCGTTTCCCCTCATCGTCGGCGGCGAATGCAACATCGTGCCCGCCATCCTCTCTGCGTTCTGGAACACGAACACGCTGCAAGGCAAGACGATCGGCCTCCTCTACCTCGACGGCGACTGCGACCTCACCATCCCCAACGAACCATGGGCCTCCTACAACCTCGCCAGCATGACCTTCACGCACCTGACCATGCGCGAAGGCGCACTGGAGAGTATGAAACCCTTCACGCGCCCAGATGGGAGAGGGGTCTGTGATGCGGGGAACACGGTGTTGTTTGGACTGAACGCGGCCTTGCAGGGCAACACCCGTCCGCAACTCGCATACCTCTTCGACGAAGGCTACCGCGTCTTCACATCCTCGAGCGTAGCGCGGAACCCCGTCGGCGCGGCGGAGGAAGCCCTCGCGTGGTTCGAGGCGCAGGGCGTGGATTGTTTCCTGCTGCATCTGGATGTTGATGCGATCGATGCGACGCTTTTTCCGCTGGCGAATGTGGGGAATCGCACCGGGGTGGGGTTTGAGGGCGTGTTGGCGGCGGTGAGGACGTTTCTGGGGAGTCGGAGGTGTGGAGGGTTGTGTGTTGCGGAGGTGAATCCAGATCATGATCCGGGGGGTGTTATGGTGGGGGCTTTGGTGGAGGAGTTGGTTGGGGGGTTTGAGGGGAGGGTGGAGATGGGGTGAAGGGGTTGAGGAAGGGGTTGGAGGATGCGTTGTGAGTTGAGTGCTCCGTGCAATGTGACTGGCTTGATTCATTCTGGCGATGGTTAGCAGAATGAGTAAGGTGTAACATGGCGAGGGTAGATCTTGAAATGCACAAGTGGAGAGTAGGGTGCGACAAGCCTGCAAATTTTCATTACGCATTTCGAACTGATCCATAACTCCATCGTAAAGCCCTCGAAGAGCCAACTCATGCCTCGAAGGGCCCGTATCCTGGTATCTTCCCATCCCAAACGCCAGACGACCTACGCTGAACCGCTATCAGAGAAGGAGCAGTTATGTCAACGCAAAGACGTTGCACTATTGCGACTGCTGCGCATCCTGTGCTGCGCCAGTCCTTGCGTCTTCCTCGCTGTTCTGGCCCCAAGTCGACGTCGGACTCGAGCGCTTGCTGTCACCGCTGGCGACACTCGAGTTAGGACTCGTCTCAGGCGACACGATGAACAAGTTATCGTAGCCTCCCAAGAACAGCCTGCTCCAGTATGCCTGCGACGGGATCTTGACGGATGCGAGCGAAGAGTCGAAGTTGGGCAGACTGCTGTACTGTTCCTTCTCTTCTGGTAGATAGAGGTCGTGGCGCTTCACATCGATGTAAGAACATAACCGTGGTATGGACTTCTTGGTCACGCGGAAATTCTCATCTGTCGCACCATACACGTCAGCTGGGCGGTCACGGGAAAGTAGCAGCTTCTTCGCGATTTGCATACCTTTGTCCAGCCATGCGCACAGATCCTTCTGCGACGAAGTCTGCAGCCCACCTCTGTACTTATACAGCAGGATGGGATTTGTGTCGAACTCATCGAGGCGATATCGCTCTGCGCTGCTCGTCGAGCTATGTGTAGACGCCGTGAGGCCGGTGTCGGTTTTGAGCGTGGGCGGCTCTGTTTGCGTGGTCGCGCTCATTTTGCGCCTCGTGACCTGTTCGGCGGCCTCCAGATACGTGGATAGGTGAGTCACGGATATATTGGGTAGTATAATGAATTCTTTCAAAGGGCGACTTTGGTGGTCGTAAAAGCGACTGCCTGAGACAGGGCGTAGGTGTTGGCAGGTTTGGAGACAAACAAACTGCTTCGGCGACGGCTGGCGGGCGCTATGTAGGCCGCGGTTGTCTATGTCAGCTGAAGACTCAGGCAAGCAAGGGACCGATTCTAAGCGTTGAGCGAGAGCGATGAGAGATCTGGCCGTGTGTTGTGTCGTTCGAGTGAACAGGTGACTGGTTGCACTTCGCGCTTGGAGAGGTGCTGAGGTTCGTCATCGGGCTTGGCTAGTGCACGGGCCGCTCTCGTGAAGTGAATGATGTGGCGCAGCTCCTGCAAGTATCGCCCAGGATCGGAAGACAACATATCAACTTGCCACCGATTCACAAACAGCACATCGATTCGAAAGGGATCTAGTGGTAGCCCAATCGCTCATTCATTCGAGTCATACGCCTAGCGAACCGTTCCCAGATGTGCTTTGTACCGCAATGGCGGTCCCAAACCGAGCACTTGGCCAACAACTGAAGTGTACACACGTCGCACCGTTCCTGAAGGGCGTACCAACCAGGTCGACGGCCCCTCTTGTTCGACTTTGACTCGAGACAGCTGAACATGCAAGCACATCGCCTGCCTGAGGCTTCTGACAGAGAATTGCTTCGAATTGGAGATTGTTCCTGCAGCCCCATTGCCTGAGCCACAGCCGCTAAGCTCTCTAGGGATACGAAGATCATCTTCGGGGCGGGTCGTCCACGCCAGTCTTCCACTACCGGCGCGAGGCCGTCACGGGTTCACGGGGCTATGTTTCTGGCTGCAACCTTTCCCATCACCCTTCGCTGGGCGATGTTTGCTCTTGTCCCAATCGTTTGCTTCCCTCATAATAGCGAATAGCCTGCTGCATAGCGTGGGAGCGTTGCATTCACATCGCGTTCCATTACAAAGAACCCTTCCGACTCCCAGAGAACAGGCAGCCCAAACAACGACAGTCATACACTCCAGAAGCTCCTCCCGGTCTCACCAGTTGACGTACATTCCGCGACACCTCGTTCCATGTGATCTTCTCATCGTCGAACTTTCTACCTCTCCTTGCTTCCTCGACAGTCGTTTCGAGCATCACGCAGAAAGCAATTTCATTAATCCCGCATCGTCGAGGCTCATCTGATTAGGTCCGATCATTTGACCTACCCCCGCGACCTCAACTACATCGACAAGCTTTGGTCAAAGAAAAGACGGATCGTTCTGGGAGATACAAAGATACACCGCCGCCCATAGAGGCGCCGTCAAAGTGGATTCTATCCCAGTCAAGCCGTGGGAGGTCTTCTCGTCCACGGAAGGCCGCATGGAAGAGAGTACGGCAACACTGTCTGCGCCTTCGGGCTCGCAGACACGGGCTTCCAGTCGCGCACCAAGTGCGCCTCGAAGAGCGGAAACGGAGGACTCAGAAAAGGCAGGCAGAGTCTGGGCGCGTGGAGTTGAAGATCCATGGCATCCCTGCATTCTTACGCTCGATGGTGGAGGGATCCGTGGCTACAGCAGCTTGTTGATCTTGAAAGCCCTGATGCATGAGATATGGCTGTACGAGCAAGAGTACGATAACGCAACGATAGAAGTGAGGACAGACAGCCCGACATCTTACTTTGGGACCGAAAGCGAAGGACAGGCAGCAGGTGGAGCTGTTCGTGGTAGAAGTGGACATCACCGCAACCTTGGCAACGATCCAGATGTGGGAGAAGGGCAACATGGCGTCAATACAGAGCTCGACGGGACGGCAACGGCACCCGCTGCTGTGCTACAAACAACAGCACAGGATTCTATGACTGCGGACATTTCCACCAGGAAGTCACTATCAGAAGAGGAGCTATTACCATGTCACTACTTCGACTTCATGTATGGCACATCGACTGGAGGTCTGATAGCCACCATTCTTGGTCGACTGCGAATGACGGTCACGGAAGGCTTGGAGCTTTATCGAAAAGTCGGCGACGATTTGTTCGGGAAGAGAAGAAGCAGAGTTCCACTCATGACGAAGTACTACCACGAGCCGCTCGAGAAAGCTGTACGAGACATCGTCAGCAGCCGATGCCACGAACACGAAAACTGCGATGGCAACGACCTTCACCCTTGGGATGTCGCCAAGTTCGATGAGATCCTGTCAAAACCAGTGCCTTTCGATGTCGATCAACCACGAGTCTGCCAGTCTTGCTGTCTGACTGCGACACATGACGAGAACATTTCCGAAGCCTACCTTCTGCGTTCATACCCTCACTACTACTCAGAGAACGCACCGAACTGGATCACCCGCTATAACGAAGGCGCTGACCCCATACCTATCTGGAAGGTCACTCGAGCGACAACTGCAGCTCCGTTCTATTTCGAACTCATCAAAGCAGAAGTCGATAATGTTGAGAAATCATTCAAAGATGGCGGAATTCGCGAGAACAACCCTAGCGGTGCTGCATTGAGTGAGTTCCATGCTCTTTACGAAGGACGTGCAAACTCGCCTGCACTAATGCTCTCTGTGGGCACCGGACGACCAGACCAGACGCATGACGGCTTCTCAGAAGGTTGGACGTCACCTATAGGCCGCGTTCCCATCGTCAGCAAGTTTCTCGAGAAGCGCGCTGTCATTCAGAACCTTTTAATCAAGTACACCGAGGGAGAAAAGCAACACAAGCAAATGCGAGAGTACGCACACGGCGAACACACATGGTACAAACGACTCAACGTCTCGGAAGGTCTCCAGAACATGGCCCTCGACGACTGGGAACGTGGCCAGTGGTTTGACCCCAAGACAGAACAGAAGATCACTGTACCTGGAGGCGCCAGCTTGACGAGGATGGAAGACGCAACTGACGATTACCTCACTCGACCCTTCAACCCCAACATCGACTCTTATGCACCACCAAGCACGATGCTCAAGCAAGCTGCGCAGAAGTTGGTGCTGCAGAGAAGAGCCAGAGAGGAGATGGGCGGACCTAGGTGGGATGCCTTTGTGGGGAAGCATCTCCATGGCCCTAAGATCACGGCGACGGACGCGAATGGGCATGCTGGTTGAGGATGCGCTTGTAGATGTATGTTTGCTGTTGCCAGGGGCTGCAAGAGAATTCTCTGTATAGAAAGTGGCCACACACGTGGTCTATGATGATCGGACGAACTGGCATCGATTCGATCACATGTGAGTCCGCCTGTAGGGCTTGGATACCGCACTACGTGAGGATTGTCAAGCCCAGCTGCGCCAAAGTACCTCCTCATCGCAGGACAAAGACTTAAAATGAGGTCCAGCGCCACTTGGATTCAGGCACTGATATCAGGTTCGACTGCGATGCGCTCAGAAGTCCCAGCCTTCACCCCCGACTTGTTGCGGGAGAACAACTGGATCCAGATTCTCCAGCATGCTGGCTGGCTTCAACCGATGCGGAGAGGCAAAGATCGCAAGTAAATAGGTGTATGAGGCTCTTGCCGCCCCCGAGCTCGTTCATAAATGAAGATACAATCGCGCATTGATGGAAGCCCTCAAAACTGCGCCAGATATTGTTCAGTCATTATTGTATCACCGCGGCAAGAACCATCGATGAAAGGAATTTCCCCAGGGGCGATCTGTTACGTGAAGGTGTAACGGCAGATGCATGCGGTTCATGTGAGCAAGGGGGTTTCTCGGCAGAATGTTTATCCATGCAGCGGCCCGTTACCCCACACTTTTGTAGATGAATGTTCAGGTTCGCTCACAAGTCACTTCTCTTCTTCCTCACCATCACCATGGCCTTCACAAGCATCACCGACCAGATCACTCTCCTTCACTCTCAAATCGCCGCTACCGAATCCCAGCTCTTGAACCTCCGCGCCCAACTCTCCGCCGCTGAATCTCGAGTCGAAACCGCCCGGCACCTCGAGCAGGCCTACCAAGGCGGCTTCCCTGCTGAATGGATTGGCGAGACTCTGTCAGCGTTGACGTCTGAAGACTTGCATGGCTTCCCAGGCTACGCGGCAGCTACGCCTGGCGGAGCAGGCAGTCCCGATGAAATCGCGCGCAGCATTCGGCACGAGAGTGGGAGAGCGGAGAAAGAGTTTGTGCCTGCACCAGAACCCGTGAGGTCGAGGTGGCCGTTGAGTGGGGAGGAGTATAAGCGTTATGGAAGACAAATGATCATGAAGGAGGTGGGGTTGCATGGACAGCTACGATTGAAACAGGCCAAAGTCTTGGTCGTTGGCTGTGGAGGATTAGGATGCCCAGCGGCAGCGTATCTCGCTGGAGCTGGCGTGGGCACGATAGGACTGGTGGATGGAGATACGGTCGAAGCGTCGAATCTTCACCGGCAGATCGCTCATTCGACGTCGAGAGTTGGGCTGAGTAAAGTGGAGAGCGCGTACGAGTACCTACGAGAGTACGTAGAGCGAACAATCCATGCCCTCCAGAAAAGCAATGGTCTCTGATACAGACACGGTAGGTTGAATCCCCTCCCCAATTACGAACGCCATCCTTTCCACCTCTCACCTACTACCGCGCCGGATGTGTTCTCGGCCTACGATCTGGTGCTGGATTGTACAGATCATCCAACGTCACGCTACCTCATCTCCGACACCTGTGTGTTAGCTGGCAAGCCCCTGGTATCGGCTTCGGCTCTGAAGACAGAAGGCCAACTAATTGTACTCAACAACCCGCCAAAGCCACCTGGTGACCCCACAGGCGGACCTTGCTACCGCTGCGTCTTTCCGAAACCTCCTCCTGCAGATTCAGTTCTCTCCTGCGGCGAAGGCGGGATCCTTGGTCCAGTGGTCGGCGTGATGGGTGTGCTGCAAGCTCTGGAAGCCATCAAACTGCTCACATCGCCCTCTAAACCCTCTGTCAACGGCAACGGCATCTCACCGTTCGAACAACAAGAATCGCCCCGAGCAAGCATGCTCCTCTTCTCAGCCTTCAGCAGCCCTCAATTCCGCACAATACGCATGCGAGCTCGTCACGCGTCTTGCGCAGCCTGCTCCTCCATGGCCACAATCACCTCTCAACATCTCACAGACGGCGCCCTAGATTACGCAGCCTTCTGCGGTCTAACCCACCCCATAAACCTTCTCTCCCCGCAAGCCAGAATCACCGCCGCAGACTTCGCTCGCCTCCCTCGCGATGGCTCCAACATCCTCATCGACGTGCGCGATGAGACGCAATACGCCATGTGTGCTCTGCGCGGGAGCATCAACGTCCCTTGGTCCGGCAGCGGTCAGAAGTGGATTGAGACGGCGTTGCAGAAGGGCGCGCTGCCGATGGATGTTGCTGGGAGGGAGTTGTTCGTGGTATGTCGGTATGGGAATGATTCGCAGCTCGCGGTGAAGGCGATTCAGGATGTGATGGAGGGTGGTGCAGGACCTTCGGGGACGAGCGTGAATGTTAGGGATATCAGGGGTGGGTTTCGGGCTTGGAGGGCGGAGGTCGATGGGGAGTGGCCTGAGTATTAATGGGGTTAATAGAGAGATTTCAATGGTGCTATCTGTTGTGTTTTGTGTTTTCGGCACACATCCTTGCTTGGCTCTCGTAAAGTGAGGCTGTACCAGCTGGCTGAAGCGGCTGACACGACCTGCACAGCTTCGACGACGAAAACTCGTTTTCGCATGTGGATTGGAGTGAGGCGCAGCCGACCAGATAACACGACTATAGGGTCGACGAAAATTCAAATCCCATCGAAAGCACATAGCGAACAAGACTGAGATATTGTTTCTCCTCAAACACGACGCGGAGAGGCGTCGACTAGACAGTAAGGATGCAAGCCCTCCCTCCAACCTCAACACACACTCACACAATAATCCTCCTCCACGGCCGCGACAGCACGGCCAAAGAATTCGCGGCCGAGTTCCTCGAAAGCCAGGCGTCAGACGGGCGCCATCTGCAAGACATCTTCCCTGGCGTACGCTGGGTCTTCCCTACCGCACCACTCGTTCCTTCCAAACGTTTCGGGTGTGAAATGTCTCAATGGTTCGACATGTGGTCTACGGAAGACGTGCACGAGCGAGAAGGGGAGCAGGATCTTGAAGGAGCGATTGCGAGGGTGCAGGAGGTTGTGGCGAGGGAGGCGAGGGCTGTTAGGTCTGGGAATGTCGTAGTTGGGGGGATTAGCCAAGGATGTGCGGTGGGCATTCATGCGTTGTTGGGGCTGGAGATGGGGGTTGGAGGGTTTGTTGGTTTGTGTGGGTGGTTGCCACAGCCTGATTCGCTTGGTTCTGTGGTTAAGGCGGAGGCGGTGAAGACTCCTGTTTTTCTGGGCCATTGCGAGGATGATGAGGTGATTGGTGTCAGGTTTGGGGAGGAACTGAGGGACTGCTTGAGGAATGTAGGGATGGTGGTCGAATGGGAGCTGTATGAAGACGGTGGGCATTGGTTGAACGAACCGAAGGGCGTCGATGATTTGGTGGTGTTTCTGAACAGCGTATTCGAGAGGAGTGTGACTTGATGCTTGCCGACCAACGTTGCTCGTTCTCTCGCTGTCGATTGAGAGACAGACGGACATACCTTCCAACCAACATGCGGCGTCGTTCGATTGCTGAAACATGTTGGTATCTGCGGCGCAGCAGGATGTATAGACTCGCGAAGACACATTCGCTTGGACAGTCTGGACATCGGCCGGACGAATCGAAACGCGATTGACAAATGCTCAACGTGCACATGGACGCACGGTCAGCTAGGATAGATGAGAATGCATAGCTCCCACGCCGTCTTCAGGAGCTGCCGTCGTTGGCAATGTTTCGGCTCATGCTCCTTAGATAAAAGAGCATCTTTGCTCAACGCATGCAGGCAAGTGGCTAGCAACATTGCGTCGTCCCTCTCCTTTGCATGTCAGAGCTCCAAGCGAGGTCTTGAATTGGTATGTCAGATTCAGCCACAAGCGAGACAGCCGTGCAATGGGGACCGTGATCTTTCCCAATATACGATCCATGCCCGATCGATGTCGGCCCCTAGGCAGCTGCTGTCTCCACGATCTGCGGGTGTTGCTCCGAGTGTTGATGAAGATGCCAATATGTTATATTGGTGTTGATTGTAATCTTCCACCATGGATTTTCGAGTTGATAGGAAGTATTCTCCGGCCAAGCGAGGGCGACCGTGACACTGCAATCATTATCTTTGAATCGATGAATTGATTGACTTACCCGTCGGACTCCATTGACATTGCAGCAATCCTTCCTAGCAATTGTGAGGTGCTCGGCGAGCTCCAGAGGCGCACATTAGCTGCCGACGGGGAACTCGCTCCCCAAACAAGGTCTTCAAGCCATCTCCACGCTTGCAGCAGTAGTCACCCACCCTCGCGGAGCACGCAAGCTGTCCTTCCACACAAGCACAAGAGATGCCAACCCTGCGAACCGAGATCACTTGCATATGTTGCATCGTTTCTGCAGGCAAGCAATATAGCCAGCGTCCGTGTGACAGCCTGGGTGCATGGCGATTGGTGTTGCGTGCGAAGTTCGATAGATTAAAAATTCGACGTCCATGCGGTGTACGGAAGACAACGTATTGGAAGCATGTGATGCGATCTACAGGGACGAAAGAGAACGAGGCCGGCGTCCAGATCGCTGGGCTCCTCCCGTTGTTCTCCGAATGCTTCGATGCAGTCTGGCGAAGACTCCTCGGCAGTTGCTTTCGACAGGACAAGAAAGCAATGATTTTCAGATCGACGGCCAACTGCCCATGAAGAAGACATTCTCCTGCAAGCTTCGTTTTCTCTTTCCTGCCGTGAGGAAGAAGCACCGGGAGATGCTGCGGTGTGGGAGGAAAAGCTCCGACGGCGTGGTACAGATCTGTACCGTTGCAGTAGCGTCCTGCGGGCGAGGCTACTTCAATCAGCTCCTTCAGGGGCACCTTGACCGTTTTCCAAACACCAGGCGGTCGGGAGGGAGAATCACGACAGAATCGCTGATGCCATCTTTGGCCGGGAAAGCTGGCAAATGCGGATCTATTCCCTGGTCGGCGTCCGTCAAATCATCAGGTGGCGGTCGTGGCGGTGGAGGGAGTCGATGGCACAGTGGTGGTGTCGCTGGGAGCGCATTTGAAATAGCTGCCGAGCCTGTAGGAATGCGGTGCCTATTGGCTGGCAGGCTGAGACATGGACCGCCCATTGGACCTTTTCAAGCACTGTGGAGTGCGGAATTGTGTAGGAAGCCCTACTTTTCCTGGAGCCGATCCTAGACCTAACGTTGCTCTCTCAGTCCAGCGTTCTTGTTTCGACGAGTCGTTGTGCTTGAGGACAGGGATTTTGCGCCGCCTTCGCACAATTCGACAGATGGGACAGAGCTGGGGAGTGAATGCTTCCATCTCGGCATGTTCAAATCGAGCAATTGCTGCGACATGCCGCCGGCGAGTCCAAAGTATTGCCGTCGTATCGAGTCTTCAAATACGCACACCGTTTTGAAACAAGAAGAGGGCTGCATGCAATCTATCCCACCTGTCAGCTCATGTTTCTCCACCTGCCACCATCGGGACTGCTGCTGGACAGATCCGCCCTCGGCACTCTGCCGTACATACACATCATCGCGACTTCTTGCGGGTCGAGTTGCAGGCGAACCCCAGCTCCCCATCGAGCCCCCGGCCCTCGCTTCGTACAAAAATTGACGGGGCTGCAGGACGGATTGAATTTAGGGACAGGACGCTGCTGTTATCCATCCCTAGTCCGAACTTCGCAGCGCACTCTTCCATCCTCGGACGGTCTGGAGCTTCTTCACAACCTTGCTGGACGCCAAGGGACGGGTCATCTCTGTTACAACCACCCACAATCCAACACCACCGGCTCAAACCCAGGCTAGCCGAAGCATCCACGGAAAGATAAGGCGCAATCCCGCCGCCACCTGCGAAGACTACTTAAACGTCTGCTATGCTGTGATACCACATTCGTGTGGACTCTCCATCTACGCTCCACGATTCTTGGCATTGGTCGAATATGTGCCAGCACGTCAGAGTCAAGTATCAATGCGGCCACTTACGATTCTGCGTCCTATGTTGGTGTAGGTTTAATAATCCATTGTATCAAGTGTTGGACCTCAGTGGCTGACCACGCCCAGGCTCTGATTACATCCATGGGCAGCAGAAATGTTGTCCTTTGAAGGTCCGACGATACGAGAACCTCAGCGCAGAACGATGTGGTATGGTCATTGATCCGTCTATTCACACTTCGATAGACGCTCATCCTTCATACAGGTTGCTGTAGAGATACCAACTCTTTGTCGCATCGAAAACGAACTTGCTCCAACACGAACTTCATATCGGCGGAGCGAATATCGAAACGAAAGAAGTCCGGCGTGATGATGCCGCCTCCTGCACCACTTCGAAGAACTCTGGTCTCATGACATTCCGAGCCCCAGTGCTCTTTCACCAATTTCGACAATTTCAGCGATTCCCCAGTGTTTACGATACCAGATTTGCGGGAGTTCGAGAGCCTACGTCTTGTACAGACAGACGAGGGAGACTCCATGGGTTTGCTTAACGATCCAGCGGCATCATTGTCCTTTGAGATGCTGCTTTGTACGATATAACGAAGGAACGGAGGCAGGCAGTGTGTTTGTACGATATACCTAGTCACGGCGTCTGGTCGACAGGAGGGCAATTCAACATACCACGTCTGGTGTGGGCACTTGACGTTCAACCCAGTTGACAACCACTTACCACGATTCGTTTCGTCACACGGAGGTGTAGGTGTCACAGCAACGGCCACGACCTGGCTTTCCGGTAAGAATCGTCACGTCACAACTCGGTCTTCGCTCCGGGGACGGAATGTTATGGACTCCCCGAGAAAAAGTTACGTACCGTCGTGCCTCCGTCCCTTTGACCTTACGCCATTGTGGCGAGTACTCAATGGTCAAGTCAACATCGAGAAGTGACTGGTCTAACGGGAAGGCAATCAAAACCTTGGCTTCGACCCGTTCCATATGCGCTTGCTGCGGTTGTTTCAAAGTTCTCAGGTCAGCGCTAGACGCGGACCGATTGCAGCATTAATAAAGATTACTGTGATTGCATATCTCAACCACATGGAAGTGCTTCAAAGAAAACCGCGTTGCCCTCATTCAATGCCATCCCCAAAGCCCATCAAGTGAAGTCTCCCTTGAACCCCTGAACCCGGGTCACTCGCAAACGTCATCCCTCGATCCCGGGTCAAACATAGATCCAGATCAGCGCTGCCTAGCCCATCTCCCATCTCAAATAGCACGCACATCTTGCAGATGCCCGCGAGCTGTGGTTGCTGCAGCCAAGAACATTGCGTGGTTTTGGATGGAGGACTAATGCCGCCGGATGGCAGGTGCCATCTCCCCGGCCCGCTGCAAGCAATTGTAGCTGCAGCTGCGCGTGCGGCTCACGGGCACACGAGGGCGTGTAGAGCTCACTCCTGCGGTGGGCGATGGAGTTGTTGTGTTTTGAGTTGGCATGGGTAGGAGAAGGTTGGTGGGTGCAGGGTTGAATGTCGGATGCGAGGTGGTAGCTGGAAGGAGAAGGCGCTGTCCTAATTAGATTAGTGGTATGTAGTTGGGATGCGGAACTGAAAGGGCGGAATCGTTATCAGAGACTGTGATCTTGGTTTGGACGCGTGCTTTATTTGGCTTCTGTCTCTACCTTTCACATTAGCTCGTCGACTCTCCATCGCGCCAGGCACTTATCAGATGGTGGTGCAGCCACCCTCCCATACCCCTCATCTACCCAAAGGAAACACAGAGCCATCACCCAAAATATCTCCATGCTCCTCCTTCCCACTCTGTGCACGTTCAAGCCGGTCCTTCGTCGTCTTCAACAGTCGGGGCACACCCGTCTTCTCAAACGGCACGTCATCATTGATCATTTTCGCCAGCCCCTTGCCACTCAACCAAATCACAGGCATACCATGGCCATTGAAACCAGCAATGACATAATGACCCGGTCGATCTGGTACGGCTCCAATGTGCGAGTTGCTGTCGTACGAGTAGCCCATGACACCCGTCCAGATCTGGTCGACTTTGGCGTCAGAGTCCTCCCAGCCGGCGAATGTCCTCTGCATGTAGCCGTCGTAGTAATGTTTGGCTGATTCGATCAGAACCCCGTCGTCGATGTTGTCGTACCATTCGTGAATATTCGGCTTGAACAAGAATGAGGCTCCACCGACGACGATGCTGCCATCAGGGCGAGGGATGAGGTAGGAGAGTGTCTTGTCCGCATCCCTTTCGATGTAAGAGGTTGTCATCGCTGGTGCGACTTTCCCTTCTGGTACTGTTATACGACAACAGATGCCTTTGCAGGGGACAATGCTGCTGGCATATTCGGGAAGTAGACCGCCGACGTAGGCGTTATTGGCGTGGATGACCTTGCCAGCTTTGATGCTGCCCCTTGCTGTCTTCACGACGAACGAATCTCCTTCCGGTTTGATATCCGTCACCGGACAGTGGGTCTGCAAGTTGATATCTCCTGAAGCAACAAGCGACTTGAGCACATGTCGAATGAACTTGTAAGGCCACATCATGCCAGCAGTATAGGACGCGGTAGCCTTGGCATCCTTTGCGCCGGAAATTCCGGGTGCATCGGCGCCGTACTTGAAGAAGACATCGTTCATATAGGCCAAGCTGTGACCTTTCAACGTCTCGTACGTCTGCAGGGCATTCTTCGCAGCCTCTTCGTTCGACCAGACATCAATGCACCGCGACAAGACAAAATCGCAATCGATCTTTTCTTGCTCAATGAACTGCTTCAACGCCGGAACGTGTGCAATCTCGAACTCAGCAAGCTCGACCGCGGCTTCGAGTCCTGCTCGCTTGATATAGGTTGGAATATGACCGTAGAGATCAGGTCGTAGATGTCCGCCATTTCGTCCAGTCGCGCCAGAGCATATTCCTCTCGCCTCTAGCACGGTGACAGTCTGCTTCGCTTTCGAAGGATTTCTGTCTTTGACAAGATGCCACGCCGTGGCGGTTCCAGCATATCCCGCTCCAATAATCAAGACATCGGTCTCCTGTGGCAATTCGGGCGTAGTACGGTGGTTGTGGAATTCATCCACATCTCGTCCCCAGAACGCCGGCTGCGGATTGGCCGCTGGCAGATAATTGTGTTTAGCCGCAGAACCCATGGTCTTTGGTCGAAATGCAGACGCCAACGTGGAATAGCGTGGGATGTTTCAAGCTCTGCTACGCTCTAGGTATGCAGGTATGCCACGGTCGAGTCCGCTTTTTCGTGGACGTCTGTCCAATGGCAAATTTTGAAGCAATGGTATAGTCTGGTGCGGAATGTGTTATACGAGCAATGACAGATACGTCTAAATTCGTTCATGCGGCGTGGGACTCAAAAGTGGGAGTTTGACGTTGCCTGTTTATCAGTAACATTTGTAGTTTCTGTGCCGTTCACCAGTACTCCGGCGACCAGCGGGGGGCTGCTTGAGATGAGTCGTAAGATCGCTATGCAGCAGTCACTTATCCTTTTGATTGAGATGTAATAGGAGCAACAAAAAAGCTCCTTATCGAAGCTTGGAGGTGCTCCATAGGGACTCCGGGGTCACTCCGTTTCGATCGAACCATGGCGAACAGGGCGTACGAGGAGCGCGGCCCGAGCGCCGGGCAGCTTGTATCGACTTCACATAGCTTCGGCCAAGAACGATAGCAAGCCCGCCTATCATGGCCAGCGTGTTTGGCGTGGGTAATCAGTGTAGGAGTCCCGGCAGAAACGTCGGCGACTGTCGAGATGCTAAAGGTCATGTCTCTCGCCTCCTGGTAGGTTGGATTTGCAAAGATTATTCTTCTCGTCCATCATGGTGGATTCCAATGAACTGGAGTTCGCGCCAGCGCCTCACGCGCTTGCCGGATATGGAGACCATGGCACAAAAGAAAAAGTCTCGACGGATATCGAGGCTGCGCCAGCGGAGTCGGTCCACGACATGGACGAGAAGTCTCAAGGGAGCATGTTCGGGCATTTCGAGGAAGTCCAGCATTTGAAGCAAGGCCTCCATCAACGACACATCCAGATGATCGCTCTGGCCGGCACGATTGGAACTGGACTTTTCCTTGGATCTGGTCGGGCTGTAGCAAATGCTGGTCCTTTGGGCGCCTGGGTACGAATTCGATCTTCGGCGTTAGATTGAGACTTTTGCTGATATCCATTTCATATTTGCAGCTTGGCTATTCGATCATCGGCGTCACTGTATGCAGTGTGGTGCTCGCTGTTGCCGAAATGGGTGCTCTGGTGCCGTTGAGCGGTTCTGTCGTGAGATTTTCGGAGTTCTTCGTCGACGAGGCTCTTGCGTTCGCGAATGGATGGTAAGTCCATTGTAGCGATTGACGACTTGTCGCTGACGGAATGCAGGAACATGACGTATTCATACATCGTTTCGATTCCGTCGGAAATTGTAGCTACGGCAGTTCTGGTGCAATTTTGGGTGGATATCAACAATGCTGTCGTAAGTGTGATCGATCTTCGAAACCCAGAATCGTGACTGACAAGTCCCAGTGGATCACCGTGTTTGGTGGACTGGTGATCGCCAGCTCGATGCTTTTCGTGAGGGTGTACGGCGAGCTGGAGTTTGCCTTCTCGCTGCTGAAGATCTTCCTGGTCGTTTTCATCAACATTTTGGCGTTGGTGATCACCTGTGGCGGAGGAGCTGAAGGACCTATTGGATTTCGATACTGGTAAGTCAATCAGGGTTTTATTGCTTGCGAGCGGTGATTGATCGCTTTCAGGAGAAATCCGGGACCATTCGTCCAATACCTCGACATCTCAGGCGCTCTTGGTCGTTTCTGCGGCTTTTGGTCAACCTTTTCCTCGGCGCTTTACGCATATGGCGGTATCCATGCAATCGTTATTGCTGCTGCGGAGACGAAGAATCCTCGGCAAGCAATACCCCAGGCAGCTAAGAGGATCTTCTGGAGAGTGCTGATATTCTATATGCTGACCATTTTCATGGTTGGGCTTGTTGTACCCTCCAACGATCCACAATTGCTGAGATCGACCGGCACTGCGGCACAATCGCCTTTCGTGATCGCCGCAAACAACGCCAAGATCAAAGTGGTTCCCTCAATCATCAACGCCATCGTATTGACCTCCGCCTGGTCGGCTGGCAATTCGAATATGTTGACTGGATCTCGAGTGCTTTATGGCATGGCGAACGCAGGTCAGGCGCCGAAGTTCTTCACGCGTCTCAACCGCATGGGAATCCCATACCTGTGCGTCGGTTTGCTCGGGGTCTTCATCGCTCTCGGCTACATGAGCCTCCAAGATACCGCATCCGAAGTCTTCACATGGCTGCAAGACTTAGTGGCCATCTCCACGCTCACGGACTGGACCATAGTCTTGATCACGTACCTGCGCTTCTATTACGGCTGCAAAGCACAGGGCATTGACCGAAAGAAAGAGCTTCCGTGGGCGGCACCATTCCAGCCATGGTTCTCCTGGATTTCTCTGGTCTTGTTCCTACTGCTGCTCCTGACATCTGGCTACACAACCTTCATCCATGGCCACTGGAGCACCGAGACATTCATCAGCAGCTATTTCAACATTCCATTCGTCCTCATCCTGTACTTTGGGTACAAGCTGTGGAAAGGGACAAGAATTATCCCGTTAAGGGAGATACCGATTCGAGGATTCATTGACGTGGCGAACGCAAATCCAGAACCACGAATACCGAAGAAGACCGGGCTGAGAAGGTTGAATGTGTTGTGGTCGTAGATAGCGAACTTGATCTAGTTTTTGCTCGCTATTGAACAAGCTTCTGAGCCATTTCCACCAGTGTGTCGGCCATGACTTCCATCTCACCACCGAAGATTTCCAGACAATCTTCTTTCTCGTAGGCCGAGCAGTAAGCACCCTGAGCACTGTTAGCATGGAACTGGGGACCGTTGAACTGCGAGATGTCTACCTTGAAGCCAACCTGCCTGGCGGCACTGACGTCCCACATATGCGCTGCGGCGAACCATTTCTGATCCTCTTTACCAAGCTTCTCGAAGATGGGCTTGTACGCAGCCAAGGCAGGTTTGGCCACTCCCTGGGAGTCGCAGCTCACAAACGCATCTGCAGGCATGTCGACGCCACCCCGCTGGAAGTAACCCTGGACTCTTGCAATGTCTGCAGTGGTCAGACACCAGACTTGGAAGTCGTTCTTGCGAAGTATTTCGATGCACTCCTTGGCGCCCTCACGCAGGGCTAGGAGAGAGTAGCCTTCCTGACACTTGTCTCGTTCTTCGTCGGTGGCGAACGCTCTTGGGTCTTTGATACCAGCGAATCCGAGGGAGCGGTAGAAGACTGCTTTCATGACATCCTTGTATGATCTGTGCCGGGAGCTGATCGAGAGGAAGGTGAATTCGAGTTCCGCAGAGGTCATCCAGAAAGCTCCAAAGAGCTGCGCTGGAATGCCATTGGCGCGTAGCTTCTCTCCAATGGTTTCGTCGATGCGGTTGTAGAAGGCTTCAAAGCTGACGAGGGTCCCGACAATATCGAACACGACGTGTTTGGCCATGGTGATGGCAGCTCTTCCTATCGGTTGGTGGTTAAGGGGTTCCGCTCTGTTTGCGTTCTGCCCAAGGCCCTATGAAATGCGCTTCCAGCAAGAGACTGATGGTACGTAGCCCTGCAGCATCTCGACATCCCCGGGCGGACATGCTGGTGGGCCAGCTCGCGGGCAGGCTATTGCTCGGCCAACAACGATAGGCGTGGTGCTGGTTTGTGTTGGTGGCCGCGTTTTGTCACGCTAAGTCTCCGCGGCGGAGTCTTTCTGGCGACCTAAACGTACAATTCCGCTACAATGTACGTTCCGGCCATCGCCTTTTGAACTTGAGCATCGCCGTCGTGCACTTTTCGCACATCTATCTCGCTTCACCAACATCGCAGCTCAAAAGACTTCAATCTGCAACCCATGGATCGCCGAATGGGGCATGCCTCCGACTGGATATTTGGAGGATGAGATTCCCTCGCACGAGGCGACATTGGCGAGATGGTCAACTTCGTACACCTGCCCTACCAACAGCTGTCGCAAGAAGTACGTCAGTTTCGTCTGCTTACAATTAAAGGCGGCCATGGCGACGTTGATCTTCAATGTTCGCTCCGAACGGTCGATCTGGAAGGCCCAGAGACTGCCAAGTGGGCAACAGTCTCATATTGCTGGGGAGATCCGCGAGAAAGAATCCCCCTTGCGGTGAATGGCCAGACTGTCCTGGTACCGCCAAATGCCAGAGATGCTATCATCAGGCTGAGATTGCCGACTCAAAATCGTGAGGTATGGATAGACTCCGTTTGCATCAACCAAGCGGATCTGCGGGAAAGAAGTCTACAGGTGGCGAGCATGGGTTTAATCTACCGGAGAGCCGAGGGCAACTACATTTTTCTGGGCCATGCTTCTGGAGTTGATACGGACAGAATTGTTCATATCCTCGGCAGTGGCGCAGACAGGATCCGTGCTGCGAGAGCGAGCCTCAACCAAGCACAAGAAATGGGCTTCATGACAGGCTTAGTTCCCAACGAGTGGCTTTTGAATGGGGTGATTTCGGCAGCCGAGATGGCACTGCTAGAGCCTCTCTTCCAGTCACTATGGTTCCAGCGTCTTTGGGTTGTCCAGGAAGCGTCATTGGCGAAGCACAATGTTTGCCTCTTCGGAGGATCCAGCTTTCCCCTGGAAGACGTATTACTCAACGCCTCCATAAACACCAAACCGATGTCATTCGGACTGCAAAGTACAAGAAGCGTCTTTGCTGCGGCTACCATGCGTCAATTCGCAGTGTCGAGTCATCAGCCATTGAATTTGGGCGGGGAACACTTCCTGAGATACTTTCCCATTATCAGGACAATGGATACGACAGACCCTCGCGATCGAGTCTACGCAGTTCTCGACCTGTACCGACATCGTGCTGGGCTCCAGAGCCTGCCTAACCTACTGGTGCCTGACTACACAAGGCCGGTTGCAGATGTGTTTCGCGCAGCTACGAGGCATGCCTTGACGGAGCCAGCCTCTGGTGGAATCTTGAGCAGTATATGCCACCGATCAGATCACGATATGTCTGCAGATGGCTACAGGTCTTGGGCCCTCCGCTTCGACCGAAAATTCAGTCCTGCGGAGGACTGCCTTGCTTTGAGGTCCGCCGCGGCTACCTTTCCTACTGACAGTGTCGATCATCGTCTCGAAACGGCAGACTCGGGGGATCCGAATGTCCTGAAGTTGAAATGCTGGCTCATCGGTCGAGTGACTGCGTCTTCGATCACGACTTCAAGCCCTCAGTTCCAGTCTGTTGACTATGACACTGCAAAGCAGATGGTCAACTTTGTACTGGCAAGGAGTATGCCCATGCGGGAACTTGCGCAAACATACGGCCTTGACGATTGCTACGGCTTGGCAGCGGATGTCTTGAGCACCGGCTCGCTTGGTGGTCAGGATTTACAATTCAAAGACCGCGCTGCTAGAAGAGCCGCCTTCAAACTATATGTTCAACATATTCACCAGAGGAAGACCGTTCCAGAAAAGCCTAGACCTGGCACCGGCAACGATGACGATTATGCAGTATTCCAGTTCCACAAGCTGATGAGTAACACGATACACCGTCGCCGCTGTTTCCGAGTGGACTCAGGGCATGTTGGCATTGGGCCGGTTATACTTCGAGAGCACGATTGCTTGGTCATCTGCAATGGAGCAGAACACCCTTACGTGCTCAGGCCTTGTACCTTTCCCGGCTCCTTTCTTTTGCAATATCAATTCGTAGGCGCTGCTTACGTCCCTGGTCTGATGACCGGGCAAGTTTTCCATTTGAACTTAGAGCAGAGTTGGTTCAATATACAATGACAGGAACGAAGACGGAGTGCCCGACAAATGTCTCTAACTATCTCGAAGGCACTGCGGCAAATCTCGTAGTCTGGGCGAAGGCTGGCCTTTCCGAGGTTTTGCAGGACGAGCTACGGACTTGGCCTCGTCCGGATGCCGGGGCATTGACATCAAAAAGGTCACATAGAACCAGAGCTTTGAAGTGATATACGGGTCTCAATTCCTTGCTGCTATCCCTTGGAGATTCGAAATTCACAAACGCAGTCGCGACGATGAGACTTACAATCCTCTCTTTGCTACTGGCACTAGCTACCTTCACGATGGCGGACGTACGTTACATGCTCCACAAAGGTTGAGATGGTGACCGAGGAGAATGACGAGTTTAGTCTTGTCAATTGGGCAATCAAAACGGTATATGCATCGGCGCGGACATCTATACTTGCACTGCGGTACGTGAAATGGCCATAATGCTGATTGATTTCTGTACATTCGATGCTGATTGCGTTCAACAGGACCACCCATGTATTGATCCTGGCAATGGCTGTATCGTTGTCGACAGATTGCGCGCCCTTGCACACTGCTCTTGACATATGCGCGAGATAAAGTCGTCGTTGGACACAAAGACCCAAACCATTGTCGAAATTCTTGGTCATGGCCGGAGTGGCTACAGGCAGAGTTCTGGTGCCTTAGGAAACCTGCGATGGAATCTGATAAATGTAACTAGCACTTAGTCTTCACACCGCCACACGAGGCAGGTTTTTGAGATTGACTGACAGTATGTTGACCAGAGATGGCTCTTTGTGTCAGTCAATACCTCTGTATGATGATGTGCGTTCGATCTACGTAAGTACACAATAACGTTCGATTGAGCTATGTCCCATAGCGTTGTCCAATGTTCCAGTACTTGATATGCACGAATACGACCGCTAGCTCTGCAAGGGTGCTTGATAAGGAAGGTGTGAAACTCTAAATCCTTTGACCAACCTCCTCTTCTCTCATTCCATCCTCCGCTCTTTCGACAACAGACAAGATTTCAACACTGATCCAACTTACCATCTCTGCTTTCGATTTCGCTTGCCCGAACATGGTCTCAAACAAAGCCCACCCCTTGAGGAATGGCGGTCAGTCAGCAAGTTGCCCGAACACAGAATCAAATTCAGAACGAATTCGAGAGTTCATCCAAGAACTCACCATCGATCTGCAGGAACTCGAAACATTCTACCATGTGAAGCTTTCCCAAGGCCGAATCGAGCGAATTGCAGAATATGTCACGAACAAGACTATGGAGCTGGTCCAAGGCTTCTCCAGCGAGTTCGACGAACTCGATCAGCAGAGTAAAGTGGAGTACCTGCTCTGTATGAATTATTTGAGAAGAAAGACCCAGGTGTTGAGGGCGGATTGGTTCAAGCTGGATGAGCTGGAGCCGTTGCTGAGTGGCTGGGCGGGCGGTCTGGTGGAGCTGTGTGAGAAGCGACAGAAAGTTGTGCCGACGACGGGCCAGGATGCTGCGAAGATCTTGTCGGACGCTTCCAAAGGCATTGATGGGCTTTCTGTTCGAATCAAAAAAGGGAAGTTGTCTATAGAGAATCGGTTTGCGCCATACCGGGCGGCGGAGCAGATTGAACAGCTGCACCAACTTTTGGGGGAGTGGTATGGATTCTATGAAGGCTATGATCCGCTGTTTCCTTGGTGGACTAGCAAGCCGTGGAGTGATCTGTCAACGAGACTGCAAGAGCTGGTACCTCTCATCAGAGAGAAACTCGTTGGCATCAAACCCGGAGAAGACGATGCGATAGTAGGCCAGCCGATCGGCCGTGAGGAAATCGACAACGAGCTTAAGGCGGAGATGATTCCCTACACACCGGAAGAACTGATTCAAATCGCTGAGCGAGAATACGCATGGTGTGAAAAGGAAGCCATAAAAGCCGCGCAAGAAATGGGTCTAGGCAAAGACTGGCGCAAAGCCCTCGAACACGTCAAGAACATGTACGTCGAACCAGGCCAACAGACATATATGGTGCACGAACTCGCCCAAGAAGCCATCGACTACGTAACGAAATACGACATGGTCACCGTCCCACAAATCGCAAAGGAATGCTGGCGGACGTATATGATCCCGCCTACGCAACAGAAAGTCAGCCCGTTCTTCCTCGGCGGACCATATATCCAGGTCTCGTACCCGACGAACACCATGACACACGAGGAGAAGCTCATGGTCATGCGAGGGAACAGCAAACCTCTCTCCCGCTCGACGGTCTTCCACGAACTGATCCCCGGCCACCACCTCCAATACCACTACATGCCACGCAGCAAACCGCACCGCCAACTCTTCGAAACGCCCTTCTGGATCGAAGGCTGGGCGTTCTACTGGGAGATGATCCTCTGGGATCGAGGGTTCCCCGGCACGCCCGAGAACCGCATGGGTATGCTCTTCTGGCGCATGCACCGCTGCGCTCGGATCGTCTTCTCGTTGAGATTCCACTTGGGGCAGATGACGCCGCAGGAGTGTATTGATTACCTCGTGGAGAAGGTGGGCCATGAGCGGTCGACGGCGGAAGGGGAGGTGAGGAGGAGTTTTAATGGGGATTATGGGGCGTTGTATCAGGCTGGGTATATGATTGGGGCTTTGCAGCTTTACGAGTTGAGGAGGGAGGTTGTGGATGCTGGGAGGATGACGGAGAAGCAGTTTCATGATCGGGTGTTGAGGGAGAATACGATGCCGATTGAGATGGTGAGGGCGTTGGTGAAGGGGGAGAAACTGGAGAGGTTCTATAAGCCTTCGCGGAGGTTTTATGATCTTTGAGGAAGATCAGAAACAGACTCCACGTATTCTCTGCCTTCGCTTCCTCAAAGCTTCGCCTTATCCCCCTCAGTCTCCCTCATAATCCCCGGCGCCGCAGGCGTATCACCCCCAACCTCCGGATCCAACTCCGTCGTACAGAGAATACACGTATCCCTCAAGGCGGGCAACCTACTCTCATGATTCACCTTCTGATAATCCTCACTCGCGAGCATATCCACAAAATGGCGAATACTCGGGTAATGCGCCAACGCAAACTCATCCCAGCCATACTTGTCCTCGTCGGCGGTCTTCTGATCCGGCACGATCCTGCCGACCAACTTGGCGTTCCCGCCGCGTCGCGAGCCGATGGTTTCGGCGAACGCTTTGCCGTAGGTTTTGTAGCTGTCGTGCGCTTCTTTGCTGGGGTTGAAGGAGAGTAGGTTGAGCATGGAGACGGCGCCGGTTTGGCCGAGTTTGAAGGCTTTGCTCCAGGAGAGGAGTTCGTCGTTGAGCTCCAGGCCTTGGGTTGAGGTTGCTTTTCTTGGGTTGTGAAGCGAGCCGGTCAGCTCGGGCACATCGCCTGGTGACGGGTGGAGGAGACCTCGGTTCGTGTCATGGAAGTTGTTGAAGAGTCGAGAGGGGACACCAGCTGATGAGCTCCAGTGGCGGTAGGCCCAGTCTTCACCTAAGAATGTGGCTGGAATCGGCGTGGATGATGGGACAATGACCAGCAAGTCCCAACCTTGCTTCGTGAGGTGTGTTGAGAGCTTCTCGGGCTTGATGATCCATCGGACGACTTTGGCTGTCACGAGCGGTTTTATCGACTGTGAATTGAGGGCCCGAAGGAAGTGAGGAATGGTCTTGCCCGGGGAGAGGGCGATGAGATGGAGTGTGGCAAGGACCATGTTGGAAAGATGATATGACTTACGACAAGGGATCTTTGATTATGATGAATCTTGATGGTTACAGTCTGTAGACAACCTCGATTGTGATGCATTGAAGGAGTGACGTTGATGACAAGCGGAGGTCGTGGTGGACCTCGGGATCGCGGTGTGACCGCACCTGATGACTTTCTTCCATCTCCTGTATCTCAACTCCATCATTTCATCTGTGATCACGAAGATTCCAATGGCATGAGGAGATGTCATCCTCCAGGATATCATGTGCGCGGAGTTCCCAATCAGGGAAGATGGAGAACGTCACGGCGCAAGTGCGGCCGAGGACGACCACGAAGGTGAGACGACTTACCATGGACCATGGACAAGATGTTCAAAAACAAGACAATTCACCTAAGGCCTTGCCATAACAACGACTCCCACCGGACACATAGAATTCTGCACTCTCTGCCACGCTTTCCAACGTGGAAATGTTCTTGGTACGGCCATCCGCAGTGAAGCCAGACTGAATTCTAGAAGAGCGGATTTGCTATATTGTACATACCAGGGAGATGTTACTATAGTATACATACCAGGGAGAAGGAATGACAGCAAGACCGGGCCAGAACTCTCACACCTCAACCATCGGCAATTCCGCAAACGGCTTCATACCAAAGACAGCACGGCCCCCCAAAAGACTTTTCTCCAACGCGGCAGCAGCATGCTCTTTCATCGTGCTTTCGTACGCCCTGAAAGCCGCCGTGCATCGCCCAAGGCCACCGTGTTCAAGCAAGCGTCCTACGAGGATACCTACATCGGCCAACGCAGTGGTCGCGCCCAACGCAGCTGTAGGCGCCATTGCGTGCCCGGCATCGCCAATCAACGTAACCCGCGAGCCCTCATCGAGAGCAAGTGGAATGGTTCCGGGCTTTTCGGTCAGGATGCGGAGGACAGACGCGTGGGCGTGCCCGCTGGTGAATAGCAATTTGAAGTCGTCGTGCCAGTCCCCACTGAACCTTTGCGCTAGGCGAAATATCCCTGACGGTTCGAGGGATAGGAGCTCGTGATCAGGCAGGTACTGGTCTTTCCGCATGAAGAGCACCCAGTAGACATAGTCGAGCGGTACTTGCGGTTGCTCCGGGTTGAACCGCATGGTTTCGACAAGACAATTTTGCTGGGAAGCACGGATGAGTCTCAAGCCTGACCGGGCGGGAGATGAGAATACCCGCTCTACTTCTCCCCTGAGCTCCGCCTTGCCGAAGATCAATCTGGCTTCGTATCTGCCAATCTGTGACTGGGGAACTGCTGCCTGCGTACTCGCGAGGAGACACCGTCTGCGCCGACCAAGGCACAGCCTTGGGCGATCGAGCCGTCGTTGAAAGTAACATTTATGATGCTGTCATGCTCCTCGAACGATTTGAACCCCCTGCCAAATTGGACGTGGTGCTCGATGCCTTCCAGCAAAACTCGCCTCGCAGCGCTGCGGTCAACACTAAGTATCACCGTATCGCCCCCAACCGGCGCTCTCGCTCCCTGCTGAAAAAGCGGTTTCGCAACCTCGCCAGTCAACGCATCCACTATCAACGACGGAACATTGCTCTCAGGGGCATCTCGAGTACAACAGCAATCCAGGAACCGCTGATACTGTCTCGCATCAAGACTCTCCTCGAGCGTCTGAACCCCTTGATCAGACAGCCGGAAGCGATACCCTTGCGCGCGAGAATCCAGTCGCTCGTCTCTTCCGAAGATCCGGAAGGGGATGCTGTGTTTACGTAGTCCTTGGCCCAGGGCTAGGCCGCTGATGCCTGCTCCGATGACTATGATCGGCTCGGTCATGGTATATCGTTTCCTGGGGGTCGAGAGTGAGGCAAGGCGAGAGAAGTTATGGTGGACGTGCTCTGTTCTTGTGGAAGTGGTTGACCACCTCCGGGTGTTCGGTGGCTGAACAAGGCCCGCATCTTGAGCCGTCTGCGAATGCGAAGAGCATGAGTGATAGTTGCGAGTTGGAGGCGTCGAAGACGAAGAGGGTGGAATGTGTTCCAAGCCTGCGACTTTCGAGTGCGTTGTGGGTGTCTGTTAGCATTTTCTTTGACATCGTTGGAGAAGGAAGGGAAACAGTACAATAGCACGATCCCTCTCAATGATCCATTCCACACCTCCTCTCCTCTCCTCAGCCCTATCCACCCTTTCCGTGTAAATATTCCCAAACCCCTAAACGCACCCACTCCAAAAGTGGATCCCCGTCAAACCCAAGCTCTCTCGTTGAATCCTTCGAGAGAAAAGCTTCGCTTTCGGTTAAGAGCCCACACCACTGCCACAAACGACGTCGTGTAGTCAGGAACGAAACGCCAAAGCCCGAACCTCCGTTCCTCTCTATCCCAGCTTCTACGGTGCTGTCTCTCGGGACAAGATAGTCCTCGGCCGATGGCTATGCGACCGAGCTGAAGGAGAGCTCTGCGTCCGGACACGGCTAACTCCCGAGCCAATGTTTTTTCTTCGTCAGCTCGGTTTCCTGGAAGGGTAGATGTAGCTTGGGTGGCACGGGCTGGTTTGTGCGTCACTAGTGAGGTATAGTATGAGTTGGGAGCCATGGAGATGGGGGAGCTGAAGGAGAGATATATAAACACTGTCGTGGCGCGTGTCGCCCTTCTGTCTCAGAGCCAGTAATTTTGAGTAGTAACAACCCTGTGAAGAAACAATCAAGATGGGTTCCCTCGACGTTCAACGCGACCCGCCCACGGGTATCTCAGTCCTCATCTCAGGCGCTGGTGTTGGAGGATTGACTTCAGCGCTGGAGTTCTGGCGGAAAGGGTGCGATGTGAGAGTGCTGGAGAGGGCGAAGGAGAGCTTGACGACGGGTAAGAAAATACCTTTCATTACCAACGTGAAGTTTTACTGAAGTTTTAATCCACAGGCGACACCTTCCAAATCGGCCCCTCGGTCCGCCACATGTTCAAACACTATCCTGAGCTGCAGAGACGACACGACGAAGTTGATTACAACCCGCTGTTCTGCAAATCGAAACACACCGGCGAGCGAATGATGAAACCTGTGCCGTTCGCATCGATCACTACGCCGGACAAGAATGGGTATCGCCCTTCCAGCTCGACGCACTCGCGACCGAAGTTCCATAAGATCCTCTTGGAGCAGATGGAGCGCTTGGGGATTGAGATTGAGTTTGGAAAGGAAGTGGTGGATTACTACGAGGGTGTCAAGTCTGCAAAGGCGGGCGTGGTGTTGAAGGACGGGTCGAAGGAGGAGGCGGATCTGGTGATTGCGGCGGATGGGCTGAGAGGGAAGTCGTGGAGCCTCGTTGCTGGGGAGCCTGTTCCTGTGAGGAGCAGTGGGAGCGCGGTCTTTCGGGCGGCGTATCCTGTCGAGCTGGCCATCAAGGATCCAGAGGTCGCAGCGCGCTTTCCTCTTGAAGAGGACGGCACGTCCATCTTCGAATTGTGGTTGGGTCCGGGGATGTTTGCGACTTTCTGGCGAAACGACGAGTCGATGATGTGGAGTATCACGCATCCTGACGAAGGTACCGCGGAGGAGTCTTGGAATCACAAGGTGTCGCCGCAGACGGCCGTCGATTACACTGCTACGGTACCGGGATGGCCAGAGGTGGCCAACAAGGTCATTCTGGCGACGCCACCGGATGTTCTCATCGATTGGAAGTTGATGTGGCGGGATCCGCAGCCTTCGTGGGTGTCGCCGGGAGGTTATGTGGTGCAGCTTGGTGATGCGGCTCATACTTTCTTGCCTAGCTCCGGGAATGGTGAGTGTTGTGTTCGAGAGACTTTGCATACCTCGTTACTGATATAAATTCGCACAGGTGCCACACAAGCCATCGAGGACTCGGCCTCCCTCGCCGCCTGCGTGGCCATAGCCGGCAAGGAAAACATCCCAGATGCGGCTCGCGTGCACAATCTCCTCCGCTTCGAGCGAGTCTCCTTCCTACAAGCCATGGGTGTCGCACGACGGGACGCGCGAACAAGCAAGAACGGCAAGAAAGAAGAGCCACTCATGCCAGGCATGTGGCTTTGGGGCCACGACCCGGAAGCGTACGCTGAAGAGAACTTCGAGAAGGCTCTGGCTCATATCAAGGATGGTGCACCGTTCAAGAGCACCAACAAACCTGCGAATATTGAGTATCGGCCGTGGACGATTGACTCGTTGTCGGAGGCGTTGGAGAAGGGCGAGCCGTCGATCTTGGAAGGTGATTGGAGTTGAAGGTGTTGTTGATGCTTGTTGATGATACTCCGCTCATAGACGTGGACGACAGATGTATATACCCAGACTCCGCTTCAACAATAAGAAACAATCTTGCTGTAGTTTTGTGATTGTTTTTCTCTTACCTAGTAGATTTTTGAGCTTGCCATTCGCCCGGAAAGCTTCGAATCAGACGTATAGAGCACTTGGACGAGGTCGCTAAAGGACACTCGCCAGATCCCGAGCTCTGCTGAGCATGGTGGGAGACATGTGTGATACTGATGATACAAGTGGGCAAGCAAAGAAAAGGTCCCTGATATTGCTGGCGTCTAGGGGCTGAAACTCAATTGCTGATAGACTTTCAGAAGCGGTGGAGCCGGAGTTGGGGTGTCTCACTCAATAGGAGGCACGTGAAAGGGCCGCCCAGTGTTCAACAATGCCAAAATATCCATGTCGTTGGCGGCGAGGAGTGGGTAGAGTCGACGATGGCGGAGAAGAGGAATATGGGCGGAGTCTCCCTGCGCGGTCAAAGTTCGGGCAAGATCGGTCCAAGAACAAAGCACATGAACCTCGGCCATAGCAAGCAAGATGCCGCGCCGACAACGCCAAAATAATATCCAACGTACATACCGGCGGGTACTCTTCCCACGCCTGCCGTCTTTCCCTCGTGCTCAATTCCAGTAAGAGACACTCCGTAGTCAGCTTCTACTCTTCTCACTTCCTCCTTCCTTCTCCTCTCCTTCCATCCCAACCCACCCAAACCAGCTCCAAGCTGGGCCCACCAGCAGCACCACCACCACCATGTCCAACGCCAACGACACCCTCCGCGAAGCCGCCAAAGGAAACCTCGAGCCCCTCAAGCAACAAATCCCCTCCGCCGAGCAGGTCCAGCAAGAAGCGTCCAAACAGCTCCAGAAGGCCAAGGACAGCATACCCACGTCGACGGAGGAGCTCAACAAGAATGTCGAAGAGGTGGCCAAGAAGAGCTTCCAGAGTCTGAGGGACTTTGCGGCGGGTGGCGTGGGTGGGGTGTGTGCGGTGGTCGTGGGACATCCGTTTGATTTGGTGAAGGTCAGGCTGCAGACGGCGGAGAAGGGTGTGTATAGCGGGGCTATGGATGTGGTGAGGAAGACGATTGCGAGGGAGGGGCCTGTTAAGGTGGGTTTACACGCGTGGATGAGGTGGTTCATGAGGCTGCATTGTTGTTTCTCGGCTATATCGAGCTGGCTGGGAGGCATTGGTGCAGCTTGGGGAGCCTGCTCAAGATGCAAGTTCTAGCACAGGACTGACCCGCTCATAGGGACTCTACGCCGGTGTATCAGCACCACTGGTAGGAGTAACCCCCATGTGTAAGTTCTCCAGCACGCATCCCAAACCAAGACACCACTAACCCGACACTCCCCAGTCGCCGTCAACTTCTGGGCCTACGGCGTAGGAAAACAACTCGTCGACTCCTTCTCCGTCGTCAAAGACGGTCAATACTCCGTCGGCCAAGTCTCCTTCGCCGGCTTCTTCTCCGCCATCCCCATGACCCTCATCACCGCCCCCTTCGAACGCGTCAAAATCATCCTCCAAATCCAAGGCCAGAAACAGCTCGCCCCAGGCGAGAAGCCCAAATACGCCGGTGGCGTGGACGTCGTGCGTCAACTCTACAAAGAAGGCGGCATCCGCTCCGTGTACAAAGGCTCCTTCATGACCCTCGCGCGAGACGGACCCGGTTCCGCGGCGTACTTCGCGACGTACGAGATTGTGAAGAGGCGGTTGACGCCCAAGGACCCGGAGACGGGCAAGCCGGGGCAGTTGAGTCTGACGGCGATTATGACGGCCGGTGGCGCGGCGGGCGTGGCGATGTGGACGGCGGTGTTCCCGGTCGATACCGTCAAGTCGCGGTTACAGTCTGCCGAGGGCAATCAGAGCATCATGGGATGTATTCGGGAGTTGTACGGGAAAGGAGGGTTCAAAGCTTTCTTCCCTGGTGTGGGACCTGCCATGGCGCGAGCAGTGCCGGCGAACGCGGCGACGTTCTTGGGCGTGGAGCTGGCGCATGCCGCTATGAATAAGGTGTTTTAGAGGGAATGCGATCTCCTTGGATTTGAGAATTGTAGATGGGAAGCATGCTGCCTCTCGAAAGCACAGAAGGCTGGCGGCGGTGGCAGTTTATCATCGTTGGAAATCGTCAATTATAGAGGGAAAGCGAGGGAATCTTGGGCAAAGCTTCGATATATATCCATTCAGAACACTTCGAATATCGATCATCTACGACGATTCGTATCCTCAAACGTCGTCTCAAAAGCCGATAAGGGCGCGAGCATAGGCATCCCATCCCCCATATCAACGGCTTTCGAGCCTCGTACGGACTTTTGTCTATCCAAAGGTTTCAGCACGTATGCCTCGTACTCCTCCGCGGTCCGGATGTACTCGCCATCCTCACGACCACTTTCGCGTCCCACAAGCGAAATCATGCCCTGCGTCGACTCACTCCTCTCTGTTTCCATCATCCGTACGTTCTTCCCCTTCTCCACATCCTCCTCCACCGTGTTTTTCCTCCCCTCCCCCTTCCTCCCAGCGTAATAGCTCACACTACTAAAACTCCTCTTGACCCGGTCCCTCAGATAATGTCTGAAGAACGCCCGCAGGCTGGGCGCACAAGCGCAGATTATCGCGAGGTGCAGTTCGACGATCGACCAGAGGTAGAGGTCGAAGCCCGTCCAGGAGGTGTCGTAGGTGTGGTTGATTTTCCAGAGGTAGTACGTGCGGGCTATGCCGGCGCCGGTGACACTGCAATCGCAGGAGTTAGTTCAGGGGTGAGTGGGGGATTGGCAGGGCAGGAGGAACGTACAGAAACCCCAGCCCGAAAATGACATTCAGGACGATTTTCTGCTTCCGCGGGACGTCCAGGGAGTAATGCCGAAGCATGAGACACGGCAACGCCACGGCATAGCAGTCACTCAAGACGCTCAAGATCCCACTCGTCAGCGTCAGGGCGTTCCCGTCAATGCACGTGAAGGGTTTGTCGTAGCTGAAATCGTAGGACTCCCAGTATGCGGATAGGGGGTGGCAGATTAGGCAGTACGTGAGGAAGATGGCGAGGCCGTAGGCGGCCGTGACGGAGAGGGCGAGGTAGATTGCGTACAGCCAGCGGCGGTCGAGGCTGTCTTTTGCCATGCGGCGATAGAAGAGGAGGACGGAGAGTTTCGTTGGGACGGTGCTGAGGATGAAGAGGACTTGGGCGATCCAGCCAGTCTGTGATGTGGGTGTTAGCGACTTTGGAATAAGGGGTTTGGTTAGTGGATGCCTTGGACGTACCAACGCCGTGCCCACATACAACGTGGTATGCACGTCCCACGTATGTCTATCGAGATCAAATCTCTCCGCTCCTATCCAAGCCAACGCGGTGAAGCCGACAGAGAACAGCCAGCCGATGAAGATCATCAGATCATCGAGACCGAACGATCCGGCCTGTTTCTTCGCCCGCAGGTAGAATCTCCCAGCGACGAGCAGTGTCGAGGCGATTTGCCAGGTCAGGGCGAATGCAGGCATCCATCCTCTTCGGATGGGGTCGATATAATTTGGTTTTGGCCAGGACTGGAGGACGGATTCGGGGATTGCGTTGAAGTTGCCGGGCATGGTCGCAGTGCCGCTGAGAGGAAAGAAAGATGGCTCTTAAGAATACGAAAAGGACATCGCCAGGTCGAGGCTGATCTTCACATGGAAGACAAGTACAAGCAATATGTACAGAAGACGAAACGAAAGAAGAAGAGCAGTCGAAAGTGATGTGACGTGAATCACCACCTCCCCAAACGAGAGTTGATCACAGCGAGAGAGAGAGAGAGAGAGAGAGAGAAGGGAAGGTATGACAATCGTCGAGGGGAGCAGAAAGTACTCTGGCCCATTCGGCACGTACCTGCAGACATCGCTGCATGTGTGACCGCTTCGTCGGGTTGGACGGGCACGACAGGGTTCCCTGGAGCATCTGAGGGAGCGAGATGAGTTTCTCGTCTTTCTGCGACAGCGGGGAGAGGATCCTCCGTTCTGCTGAGGTGAGGTGGCTTGCGGCTGTTCGATTCGAGTGTTGTTGGATGCTAGGCGAGGAGGATGGGAAGCTCGTTAAAGGGGAAGTGGAGTCATCGGTCACGTGCAATCGCGTGGCGCTAGTGGGACGAAAGTCTAATTAGGTAAGCTCGCTTGCATGTGTGGTCTACATCTCTCCCGAGTCCCCTCGCTCCAGACAACATGTACTTTCTGATCTCACATTGACTTGCAGTTCACACAGCCGCAGAGCGAGCTATCATTGGAAGACACCTTGAGACTAGTACTATCGTAACAAGGCTCAACACTCCAAGAACCCATGTACGACCTGCTAAGTACATTCTAGCTATGGACTTCTACCCTCAGTGTTCTTCTTAAAGTGGAATATCTATCCCCGTTATTCCTGCGCCCTCTAAGCAGCTTAGAGTGCGATTAGCAGCGCTGTCTCTTACGAAAAGATACAGAGACGGCAGTCCGATACGTTCTACTTCAACTAGACTAAGGAGGGTACGTAGCAATCTAGCGTTGGCTGAAAACCCAAGCAAAGACAAACAATCTCGTCGAGAGAGTGAGAGGAGCCGATATACAAGACACCCCACCCAAGGCCCTCACTTATCTTTCATTGCCCACCTGATACTGAACAAACCCCGTATTCGCCAGGTTCGCCTGGGAGTCGCTCGTATCGTAGCAGCCGACCTGCAACTGGGCATCGTCGAGATACTCAGAAGGCTCAAGCCACTGCTGGCCATTTACACATTGTGCTCCCACGGCCTCGTCGTTTCCCAGCGAGAGATACAGCAAGGTACCGTCGCCGTCGGCACGGAAGGCGACGCTCTTGGCACGAATGCCAATGTCGGCGCAGTCGCCGTAAACGCCCTCGCCGGGGTCAGGTGCGCTGTCGGGAGAGGTTAGTTGTGTGCGAACATTGAGCTCAAGGTATGGTGGTACCTGTGGTCCGTGAAGTCGTTGGTGCAGTTGTTGTCGCTGTAGAACCAGAGGGTGTAGGCCGAAGCGTACGACACCAAGGCTGGGAGGACGAGGATGATGTTTGACTTCATGGTGGTTTTGTTTGGTGAGGATGTTGTGAGATGTCAGATCTTGTTACCTTCTTCTAAAGGTATGTATGTTCTTTTGTATGTCTTCGGAGACCTGCTGCCAGACAATCAGGCGTCCAAAGCCCGTCGAACATCACCGCTAGCAGCACACTCGAATATCTCATCGCCGATACGTTGTCTAATCACGACGACATTGATGGGACTGCTCAGATGCACAATGCAGACTGGCATATCCACCGCATTGCCCGATTGAGAGGCTCTTTCTTGTTTCGACGAAGGAAAAGCGTGTTCAGCTGGAAAATCAGGCCTTCCAAAACCACTTCAAACACGACCGCCAAGAGATATCACATCATCGATATATCCTCTGATCTCGACAACATGGTCGATCATGAGGCTGTATAGTGAAGAACGACATCTGACTTGTCTATGAGACTGCCTGATCGAGAGGCTCCTTCCTCTTTGCATTAAGATGCCAAGAACCTAGGACTATCACGCAATTCTGTACTATACTCATTGTAAAAGCCGGGGATGGAGAGTGGCAGAAGCACTCCGATGCGTAGAGACGGTCAAAGAGTTAGTCCGAAATATTGGCCAATAGTTCTTGTGGGAGGCTACCCGTGGAAGAATTTCTGGTTTACTGTCACTGTTATTAATCAGAATCAGGAGCAGTTGTGAAACATCAGGCTGTGCAGCGCAGACACATACCCTCGTGCATGACCGCATCGGTGAGAAGACCGCACCAAAAGCACAGCACGGGCATTTGATAGATGTCAACCACGCCCTCCTGCACGAAGAAGCAGACGCGGAAACGAACATCCTTGCAAGATCGGAGGGTTCTGGATCCAGGACCATGGCACAGATGGAACTCCTGCAGAATAATGCTACTTCCTCTTCCGATATACAGAAGCCGTTGTACTGGGTCGTCTTTTCGTCTTCAAAAATCAATCTGAAGCTCTCTTACATGTCGAAAGTAGCCGTCTGGCCCATGCTGCATGCGCAGACAACTCCCGACGGGCCTCGCCCGAAAAGTTGATCTTGCAAGTCCGGCTCGTGACAAGATCGTTCTGAACCTTCGAATTGGTCACTGCTGTAGGTGTGCCAGCACTTCAAGAACACCTGCTGCAAGACGCAACCAAGGAGGTAGTTGGAGTAAGACTTGTATGGAGCTTGTGTGACACTCGGTTCCACTAGCTCGAATGCTTGTTCAGGGGCTTGCAGGAAAGTCAATTGATCCTCTCGAACGTGTGTCGCTGTCAGTGGCTGTTTCATCACCTTTGCTCGTTTCTGTGTTGCATGGCATGTATGTGTTCGTGCTGATGCTGTGAAGAGGCTGATTGTTTGTGAGATGGACAAAGTCCTCCCCATCCTGGTATTCGGCAACAGGGGCAGTGGAATGGGTGGCTGTGTAAGAGATGCTTGCATGCAACTCGTCCGCGATCTCTGCGACGATATCACTGCTCGTGACAGGACCCATCCTCTTGGCATCTTCGTGGATGTCATGCGGAGCTACTGCACTGATCGTTCGCTTTCATGAAGGTCGACAAGAAAGTACGATCAGCGGACGGAAAATCTCGAGGAGGGACGATTTGAACGAGCCACTGGACTCAATCTATAGCTCTTGTCAATCAATCAAAAACAGACTCGTTGATTGTCGCCATGGGGATCGGACTCCGCTTGGCCACAAGTCTGGGCAAGACCGCAAGACCGGGGTTGGGGCATTATCGAGCCGAACCTGCAGAGGTGCATACGTCAAAAGATGTGAATGTATCCGCTTGAGTTGCTCATCAGCGGATCGAGAAGTGGAAGAACGATCGTGTTACCTAGCGCTCAATGAATCGCATCCAAAGCGGTGGTTCTGGAAGCGAAGCTGTCAAACTTCAGATGATCTTCTATCAATGGAGATGGATCGGAAACGAGAAGGCTTTCGCCACTTTTCGAAAAGATGACTGCTCGTTTGATGGCGTGTACGAGGTCGATCGGATCGAAGTGCATTGGTCTGTTCGTTGATGCTGCGACTTTAAAGTTCAATTTGGGGACTCAGCTGGTTGCGGGAATGTTGTCAAATCGAAGCGCTTTTCATTCCCGCGTGTCTCTCTAGTCTGTGGACTCCGGCTCATGGAGTTACCACTGCGAACGTCGTCATCTAAACATTGCCCTAATTGCTACGCCTTGTCGCTCTCATTGACGCTGAGCTTGCTCATGGCCTCTTCTGTCGTCTTGCCCACACTCGCCTCCTGGGCACCTGGTCCCTCGACGTGACCATCAGGCTTGGCTTCGATAGCCCCGTTAGCAGGCTTGTTGCCCGGGAATCTCGAACCCAGGTTCTTCTCCTTCTTTTGCTTCTTCGGCGGTGCAGGTGGTGGTGGGTAGGCTTTCTGCTCGAGCTCCTGCCACTCCTTGCTTTCTGCGAAGGTCTTCTGAATGGGCAGAAGGATTTCGAGCAGGGCGTCGGTAGCAGCTGGTTTGATTGCCTGCGGTTGTAGGACATCCGCTAGGTAGTCTTCGTGGATCTGCTTGATGTTGGAGTACTCGAGAGGCTCCGCATCGCGTCGCGGAACGACAAACTTGGGCGTGCCGTTGTTCTTGAGTGCGGACGCGGGGAGCAAGACGTATTCGACGAAGCTCAGCACACCGTTTCCTTCGACTTGCTTAGGCGGGCAGAAGGCCTTCTTGAACTTCTTCTTGACAACCTCTGGTGGGTCGATCAAGTCGATCTTCGAATCAGGATCTGAACTGCTCATTTTGCCACCTTCTTGTAGACCGGGAATGAGGGGATTCATGAGATGGGCGCGCTTTGCAAAACCAATTCGAGGAAGAGCTTCGACAGCGAGTGTGAAGATCTTGCGCTGGTCAACTCCACCGAATTGTGCATCAACACGCAGGTATTCCTCGTCGAGCGCTTGCATGAGCGGGTAGATCTGGGACGAAAGAGGAGGGCTTTCGACCTGCTTGACGACTTCTGAGCCCGCTTTGGTGGCATCGTGGCCAGAGACGGATGTGCTGAGTCGTAGGAGATCCATGAAGTACTTGGCGCCGCTTGAGCCAGTGGTCTGGTATTCAGAACCGAGCACGAACTCCAATCTCGAAATGTCAACGCCAACAGCCTTCAGCGCCTCGGTGATACATGTGCGGTAGTACTTGGCTCTGTGTTCGACGAGTTCGATCGGTGCCTTGAGATTGTCGAGGAAGCCGTGGACGTCTGCCAGCAGGATCTTGACGTTGCAGCCGGCCGCCAAGAACTCTGCGATTTTGAGCATGGGCACAAAGTAACCGCAGTGAGGCTTTCCGGTGGTGGCAGTTCCCCAGTAGATCCGTAGCGGGCGTTCATTCTTGTTGAGGACTTCCTCGATGATCTCCTTGTTCAGGACTTCCTGCAGATTGTTGCTGATGAGGCTGTACTTGTCGGCGGCGGACAGGCTGGCTCCGGGGGCGCCATTGCTCTCTGCCATGGTGATGACCGGTTCGATTGGTGTCTCCTGATCACAGAATAGGCGCGTGATGCTGTCCCAAAGAGAACAATTTCGTAGTTTTCGCGGGCGAAATGAGTTGGTGAAGTGGTGGTTGCTTGAGTCATGCAGTGATTCGTCTGGAAAATAGAGTTTGGCGGAGGGCGGGCGATCCCTGCCACAGCTGACGACAGGCCCACGCGACTCTGACATGAATTGGGAGACTGCAGCACGAATCGCACATCAGCAACAGACATCGTCATCATGTTACAATGAGAATATGACTTACACCGTCCGACAATGGATGAGACCACCGCTGAGCCCGCCGCACCCGCGTCCTCCCAGCCCGAGGGAAACACCCCTGTGCCAGTCCGGGACGATGAAGCTATTGACGAACCGTCCTCGAAGACCGACAGCGATGCGCCCACCAACATCCTTCCGCCAGCACCCGCGAATGGCTCGTCGGCATGGCAGTCGTTGACGGACAAGGCGTTGTACTTCCTCTCACATGCCAGTAATGAGACCCTGGGAGCATGCCTGGCTGGACTAGGCGCAACAACATATCTCGTGCTCGGAAGGGTAGGGCTGGTCATAATCGGTATCGCCGGTGGTGTAGTCCTGCATGCGACATGGGAGGGTATCAGAGGAGACGACCGCGACGAGGCGACGAAGAAGGCGGATCAAGAGAGGCAGCGTGAAACTGCAGTGGATGTGGCTAGGAGGGTGCTGGAGTGGAGGCGGAACGAGCAGGCTGAGGAGCAGGTTGAGGATACCAGAGTCTATGCCAACCAGGCACTGGACTATTCCAAGTTTGGTCCAGAAACATCCGCTGCTCTCGACACTTTCACCAACGCCGTCATAAAGGACTACGTCCATTACTGGTACGATGCGACCATTCCCGGCGAGCTGAGTTTCCCAGCTGCATGTAGACGGACCTTCACAGCGTTCGTGCTATCTCTGTCTGGCCACCTCGAGCGAAAACGTCCTGCGGATGCCTTCTTGGACTTTGTCGGCAATGCCAGTTCCATGATAATCGTCTTCTTGACCGAGCTATCCGTCGCGCTCAATGCCTCGCCCAACAAGCCCGCTGAGGAAGCTGTCTCGGCTTACCTGGAGTTGAAGCCAGACAGCAGTCTCTCAGCTATGTTGAATCAAGACTCGCAAAGGTCGAAGATGGCCGATGCCGCTGAGGACATCCTTCAGTCATATCTGGATCCTAAATCATACAATTGCCCTCCTGTACATATCTTTCTGAAGGAAGTGCTGGCACAACTCGTACTTGGATATACCGTCGATATGTGTTCGAACCCGGACTGGATCAATGATTGGATAGTATACGGCCTGGAAGAGTCGGAGACAACCAAGGAAGTCATGGATATTGTAGATGCCGGTGTGGAGGGCAGGCCGCAGCCGGAGAAGCAAAGCAGTGTGAGACAGGATCTCGAGAAAGAAAACACGGTTCAAAGTAAGAAGGAAGCTGCTGTCGGCGATGGATCCAATGGAATCGTGGGAACTGCTTCCTCGCACAGGCGAACTGTGAGCAGAGCAGAACAGAACATGGAAGAAGACATGCAGCGTGAAGTGGAAAAGATCAACGAGATGATCTTTGAGGCAGAGCGGCAAAAGGCGGCCGAGGAAGAACAAAAGCGACGCTCGACGCCAACAATCGCTGAGGACAGTTCCGACGGCACTACGCAAGGGGCCCCGACTCCTTCATCAAGCCAAAGCGGTAGAGACAAGGTAGAGGAAGAATCGCTGACTTCCATGGAAGAGTCAACATCTGAGGACAATCCAACTACGCCGAACACACAGTTTACTAGCTTTGATCAACTCGTGCCGAGTTCACAGCCCACGGCGCTTGCTGAGAGTCCAGGAAGGCCCCTGCCTCGTCCTCAGTCAGGATCGCTTACACTCCACAACGCAACCATTTCGATCCACGAAGACGGCCAGCCCAACGACCGAGCGTCCATAAAGACGAAGCCTGTTTTCGACTACCTCATTCAAATCGAACCGTCATCGTCTGTCTTCCCTGGTTGGATGATTGTTAGGAAATATGTTGATTTTGAAACGCTGCATGAAGTGCTGAAGCGCATTGCCGTTATTACCGGGGTGCCATTCAACTCAGCCCATGCTGAGCTTCCCAAATGGAAGACCAACACAAAAGCATCACTAAGAACCGAGCTGGAACGATACTTGACAGATGCAGTCCGGTTCCAACCCTTGGCAGAGAGCGAGGGGATGAAGCGATTCCTTGAGAAAGATCAAGGCTTGAGCAAGTCTCCAGGTGGATCCCAGAAGGGCTTTGGCTGGCCTACTCCGGATGCCCTTGGCAAGATCAGTGGTGATATGTTCAACGTATTGACAAAGGCTCCGAAACAGGTCGCCGGTGGCGGAAAGGCTGTATTTGGGGGCGTTGCTGGATTCGTTGGTGCTGGCAAGAAGCCGAACACTTCGCAAACCAATCTAACGAGAACGACCACCAACACGAGCCTCGATGCGAATGATCGGTCGAAACCGCGACCCAGCACCAGCAATGGCCAGGCTTCGATGACCGACAGCTACTCTTCGTCCTTGAGCGCAGGCCGTGCAAGTCAAGAGAGCCTGAGAGCGGATACACAAGACCAGCGTCGAGGCAGTGCTTTCTCGACGACGAGTGCAGACGCGAAGCCTAGACCGAGCGTATCCCCTAGTCGGCCGATCAGCTTGACCACCCAGAATGGGCACCTTGCATCTGATGAAGCTTCGCCGTCGAGATCCACAGCATCGCTGCCCCGGAAAGACTTGTCGCTCGATGAGACAATCAATCTACCACCGCCTCCATCAGAGATGCCAGAGGATTACGATTCGCCAATCTCGGGCAGAAATAGCATCGAGACTTTCCGCTCGAGCACCTTAGATCAACGACTATCGCAGTCCATCACACGAGACGAACACCCACCGACGCCGCCACGACCACAACCAACACAGCCAAAAGCAGAGAGCAAGCCTAAAGCGCCTTTGACCGAAAGGGAAGCTGCAGTTGCGGTGGAGATTATGTTTGCAGTGATCACTCAGCTGTACACATTGTCTGGCGCCTGGCAGATCCGCCGTACACTGCTCACTGCAGCCAAGACCTTTCTGCTGCGTCCAGGTAATCCGCAGCTCGGATCTATCAAAGATCTTTTGCAGACCTCGCTTTTCGAATCGAACCTCAGCGACGGTGGCCTTGCTCACCACATCCTCAAGCTTCGAGAGAACACGCTACCAACTGCTGAAGAGACCGAAGCATGGAAGCGCGACTTCCCCGAAAAGACCGCAAAGCAGAAAGAAGAGCTTCGAATCAAAGCCCGTAAACTCCTCGTCACCAAAGGCATGCCTCAAGCTTTGACGAGTGTCATGGGCGCTGCGGCTAGTGGAGAAGCACTCGGGAAAGTATTCGACTGCCTGCAAATTCCGGAAGTGAGTCGAGGCTTGATCTTTGGGTTGATGCTCCAGGCTCTCAGAGTTGTGACGCAATGAGCTGGAAGTCCGTCTTTGTGGTTCTTGCCGAGACATATCCGGCTTGGGGACAAAGGCATGAGTGCAGTTCCGGCTTAAGACGCTCTTGCCGCTGCGTCGCAGGCACTCCGTCGCCCTGCCGATCGAATGTATTTATTGACATCCGTTCCGATGGCGCAAATCTGCAAATCTGCTGCTGGAGAGTATACCCTTGCACTCGACGAGACCAGCGTGAGGAGGTTGTCCGCAAAAGAATTGATTGCTCAATCTCACGCGCAACAACAGTCATCTCTACGATCCGGCGCGATTATGGCAAAGACAAAGGATCAGAGTCAGCACAGTCTCAGTGGCGGCCAGACTGCATCGCTGAACAAAGAAGTCTCAGGTTCGCGACAAAGAGATCCACGTGAGTATCAGTCGCACAGCACGCTGGCTTTGTATAGCGAGATTAGGAATCCGAAATGTGCAATGATAGCTACTGATTGTCAGTGAGGCAGTATTCTCTCGCGCATTTTACTCCTTCTTTCCTCACTGTCGCTGTTACACGCTCTCTTGCACGATAGCCGGTTGAGGGACTGTGTCCGTCGACGACAATCCTTTTCACATTCTACATCATCGTTTTCGAGCAGAAAGAGCATCGACACGAAGCAGGTCTTCGTCATCTCATCAACCCTACAAATTCATCGCCAGCAAAAAAGAAGATCAACAGACCATGCCTCGCCAACTCACAATCACCCCAACACCCTTCAAATCCTCCTACCTCTCCATTCCACCAACACCCTTCTCCCCACGCCTCCCCATAACACCACCCGTTTCGCCACCCAAAACCTTCCCAAAGAACACTCCAACCGCACACCTAAAAGCCACCGCAGACCTCCTCCCACCCCCAACGGAGCCCCTCCCCTGGCTCTGGCAATGCCACCGCTGCAAACGCGTCTACCAACTCGGCGTCACGCGGCGCTGCCTCGACGATGGGCACCTCTTCTGCGCGGGCAGCACGGTGGTGAAACGCAGCAAGAAGAACAGCTACAAGAAAGTCGTTCGACACCAAGCTTGCGCGAGCGAGTTTGACTATCAGGGGTGGAAGGCTTGGGGCGTTTGGAGAGGGGAGGTGAAGGAGCAGGTGAGGGCGGCGGAAGCGCTTATTAGGGTTGAGGAGGGGGTCTGGTTTAAAGGGTTGTTTGGGAAGAATGGCAAGGGGAAAGGAGGGAAGGATTGTTGGAATGAGTGTCATTATCCGAGTGAGTGTACTTGGAGTAAGAGGTTTGGTGGGGGGATTCCGACTGCGGGGGCGAATCCTACGGTGCCTTCGACGACGACGACCGGGAAGAAAGAGGAACAGCGCAAGACGGCAAAGCAGGAGGAGGAGAACACTACGAAAACCGCAATCTCCTTCGACGACATCCTCCTCTCAATCGCCGACCCTACCTCCTCAGACTACCTGGCGCCCCTCACAACCACCTCCACCACCACACCAACAACCACAACAACGGACCCCCTCGAACCCGACGCCTCCGCCCCCTCCATGGACGACCTGCTCCAATCCGTCAAACGGCGCAAACGGCGCTCGTCCGGCCAGATCCCTCTCGTTCCCTCTCCTCTAGGCGCGAATCCCTTCGAGGAGGAGGGAAAGGATGAATTGCATGTGCTCAGGAAGAGCGCGAGTTCGGGCGCTCTGTTGGAGGGGTTGGAGAGGGATGTTGAGGACGAGGGGAAGAGGGGTGCGGGTGGGGAGTGGAGGGAGAAAGCGGATGCGTTGGTGAGGAGTTTTTAAGGAGGCGAGGGTGAAGTTGGGGAGCGGGACGATGTAGGGAGGAAAGATCTGTTGGAGCGTTGTTGCTGCATGCGTTGTTGTTTAGATTGTATGGATGCCGATGCGGGATTGTTGGCTTGAATCATGGTGTTGTCATTATTTCTCTATTCGTAACAAGGTTCTAGTGTCAGCGATGTCGAGATCGAGTGATTGGATTGATGACCTTGTGATGCCTCGCTATTGGCACAATAGCTTCACTGTACACTCGGCTTGGTACAGGTGAAGTCACTATACCAGTTGGCCGGTAATGATTCCCACAGGCAATATAGCTCTTGGCAAGGTCTTCACGCAAGACCTCTCGCAGCATAAATTATCGACATGAAATAGCACATCCATCCACTCAAGTCAAATACCCATCTCCAGCCCACCAACAACAGCCACACCATCCCACACCATCGTAAATCATACACTCAAGATGTGCCGCAACCTCATCCTCCGCTACACCTGCGCCCACAAGCACCCGCTCATACTCTCCCACTGCCGACACACCAAGAGCAAACTAACGCGAGACGGCCAACTCTCGTCTCTCTGCACAGCATGGAGGGACACGTCCCAAGCGCTTGTGCTACGCCTATCGACACCCTGTCCGAGCTGTCTCGCGCTGATCAAGCTGGAGACCAGAGTCCCGGCATGGCTGAGGGTTCCTATAGGACGTGAGTTCGGGAGGATCCAGGTCTGGGCGAAGCAGGTTCAAGGAGCGAAGCGGGTGGAGGCGTTGATGAGAGTGATGAAGTTGGGAGATGGGGATGCGGGACCGCGGAAGAGGACTGTGAGGTCGGGGGATGGTGTTTCGTATGATCGTTTTGGGGTGAATTTGGTGCATGGGATGGATGATGAGGAGGTGAGGAGGATGGAGCGAGAGGAGGCGTCTGCGGCTATCGTGGTGAGGAAGGAGATCGTGGAACCTTTGTGCGGGAAGATGGTCCATGGAGGGAGTCCGTTACGGTTCGAGGTGAAGATTGAGGATCTGGACGATGGCGGAGAGGAAGAGGAGAAGGAGCGAGAGAGGGAGGAAGAGGAGGAGGAGAAAGAAGCCGAAGAGAAGGAAGAAGATCAAGAGGAAGAAGACCAAGAGAAGGAAGAAGATCAAGAGAAGAAAGAAGACGAAACTATGAGCTGGCCGGATGCCAAAGTGAAGTTGTCAAGTTCCGACAGGGAGCCTGTGACACCCAACAGTCTGAAGGCGAAAGAAGAAGAGACGGAGACGGCGAAGAGGCAAGATATCGAGACGAGTGACTCTCTGTACTTTGCTGGTACGGGGGATGTGCCGTGGATATTTTGCCTGGGGTTCTTTTGATTTGGGGGCGGTATACCGAGTAGAAGGCCAACGAAAAGTCGATTCAAAGAGTATTTCTAGATGGAATGGGTGTTTGTGAGATGGAAGTGAGGTTGATGTAGCAAGCTACTGCATGCACTCCGCAAGGATCACTGGGGCCAAGCCTTCCCGCCCCCGTCATCTCCAACTTCCACCCGCCGCTATTGCTCTGCCAAGATCGCATCGTCTTGTTTCGTCCATCCTCCTTCCATCAACAACACCCTCGCAACCATCGATGAGGCGTCCGCGCGGTGGTGATATCCGCAAGAATGGCGGCCAATGCGTCTCAGAACGGGGACGCGTCCAGGAGGTGGGGAAGAAAGGTGCGTGCGTGAGCATGTCGGCAGCGATCTGGGATCAAGGCGTGGTTGTTTGGAGGTAGATCCAACATCCAAGTTTTCTTTGCCACGGATTCATGCCTTTGCATTCTGATTATGGCTGCGTCGCTAATGGTGGAACAGATGCGAAGAGCGACTTTTATCCTGCCCAAGACTGGTGAACGATCACGGCGACAATTCACCCTTCGCGACGCATCGCAACGACTGACTGCCCGTGCGACTTCTTATTCTGGGGAGCGAGAACCTCTTCTTTCATCAGATGGTAGTTATGACGAACGTCAACGCCACAAGTCTTCGATCACGCTGTTCTGGGAAGGATGCCAAGATCGAGTGCTACAAGCGTGGGCGTTTACGACATCTCCCACCGGACTGGCCATTTTGAAATGTTCCATTGCGTATCTACTTGGAAGCATGGCGACTCTTGTGCCTGCTATTTCGAAGTTGTTTGGAGACCGACAGGACAGCAAACATATGGTCGCCACCATTACCGTGTATTTCCACCCTTCCAGAACGTTGGGCAGCATGCACGAAGCGACTATCATTGCCGTCATCGCCTTCCTATACGCTGCCTTCATATCGCTTGGCAGTATGGGTCTTTCGATTTTATTCGCTCACTGGCACCTACTCGCTCTCGGCCATGCTATCGTTCTGGTCGTCTTCGTCGCAGGAGGCTTTGGGTTCATGGCGTTTGTCAAGCAGTACTTGGGAAACCCACTGGTCAACGTTGGAACCTCGCTAGCTTCTTTGGCATCTATCAACATTCTGATCCGAGAAGGCTCAGTCCAGTCTGGTGCATTCAGCATGTACAAGGTGACACAGAATTTGGGCATGACCATCTTAGGAATCTTCATCGCAGCTGTGGTCAACATAGCTATACTGCCAACTCTGGCTCGCAAGAAGCTTTCGCAAGAACTGGAGAGGAATACTGATCTACTCGGCGAAGTGCTGATCAGCATCACTCGAGCTTTCTTGCACGGCCGCGAGAATGATCTGGAAGACGAGTACTTCAAGACGCTATCTAAAGAGCACCAGGCATCTCTGAATGCTCTGAAGAAGAACTTGAATGAGGCAAAGAAAGAGCACTACGTCCTTGGACATGAAAAGATATATACTGTTGAGGCAAGAATTGTCGATCGCCTGAATGGGCTTGCACAAGATCTTGGTGGTCTAAGAAGTGCTGCCCTTGCACAGTTCGCCTTCATCAACCAGGCCAAGCATGCCGACGATGATGCAGACTCTGGTCCGGAACCTCATCAGTGGCTCGCCTCGCCGCCAGTGCAAACGCCTGCGCAGGAGTCACAGAACTACTTCAGCAATCTGGACGTCATCAAAGAATCGCCAGAAGAACGATTACCAGCCAATGGCAATGGTGTATCAAAGAAAGACCATGCTAGGACCAACAATGCATCGCTGCCGCTCTCTCGGAACTATAGTACAGAATTCGAAGATACACCGGGCACAAGCAGTCCCATTTCGACACACTCTTTTGCGGATCACCCCATACTCCACCCGCGAGAGGGGAGCATTGGATTCAACATGGCCAAGAGTCCAGGCGATATGTTTGTCGCTTTTATCAGCCAGCTTGGCCCACCCACCAAATCCCTGGTTTTTACCCTGAAGAAGACCCTGGATGAGCTTCCCTTTAGACAGGTTTCGACTGACTGGAATCCTTGGGCGGCGCGCGAGCTTGAAGTCGCTGTCGACGATCAATTCCATGCGAGCCTGAGCGAGGCGATTGAACTGTACCGAGAGTCCAGAAAAGAGTCATTAAGTTCATTGCACCAGAACCGAGCGATCAATGCAGCCATTAATGCGCAGCACGGCACCAAGAGCACTTTCTCCACAAGAGCTCCCAACACGCCAATCACTGGATCACCCACTGAGGTGAGGCACCGAGGGCATGAACAAAATCGATCAAAAACACTGTTCAATCGACGTCCTGAGGAGGTGCTGGCCGATATCGAAGAGGTCTCGGCATGCTGTGGACACTTCAGTTTCTCGCTCTTGGACTTTGCCGAGGACGTTTTGAACTACCTGGATATCTTGGATGACCTCAAGGCTGAAATGGAGTCACAACGTCGATCATGGAACTGGCTGCTCTTCTGGCGGCGATCGGCTGGTCCACGAGGGTCGTCACCGATCAGAGCGAATACTGTGCCTGAGAGCAACGAAGATCCAGTCGCTGGCTACAACATTCCAAGTCAGATCAAAGAGGCAGATGCTTTCGGAGACCAACGCAGATTCGCCAACGGCTTACCTTGGTACTACAGCATCTACAAGGCCTTCCGCTGGGTTCGTCGCGACAACGTACGCTTCGCAGTCAAAGTCGGGCTGGGTGCAGCTCTCTACGCACTCCCTGCCTTTATACCAACCACGAGACCATTCTTCCTTCACTGGAGAGGAGAGTGGGGACTGGTCTCGTACATGGTTGTTTGCTGTATGACCGTAGGCGCAGTCAATACCACAGGCATCAACCGTATTCTGGGAACCGTCATGGGCGCTTTGAGCGCTGTTGTCGTATGGCTCATCTCCAATCACCATGGAGTAGCCAACCCTTATCTCGTTGGTGGGCTGGGTTGGGCGATGTCCCTGGTGGGCTTCTACATCATCGTGGCGAAAGATAACGGACCTATGGGCCGTTTCATCTTCCTGTCGTACAACTTGACGGCATTGTACTCATACAGTCTCTCCATCCACGACGATGACAACGACGACGACGAAGGCGGCATCGACCCAGCAATCTGGGATATTGCCCTTCACCGTATCGTCTCCGTCACGGTCGGAACAATCTGGGCCATGATCGTGTGCCGAGTCATCGCCCCTATCTCAGCACGCAAGAAGCTCCGCGAAGGTCTCTGCGTCCTCTGGCTTCGAATGGGCCTCATCTGGAAACGCGATCCTCTAGCCATGTTCCTCCTGGGCGAACCCACAACCGCCTACATGGACATCCGCGAAGAAAGCGAACTTCAGGGTTTCCTAGGTAATCTAAGGAGTCTTCGAAAAGCTGCGAATTCGGAGTTTGAGTTTCGTGGTCCGTTCCCTGATAAACCCATCGGTGCTATGCTGGATCGAGCAGGGAGAATGCTGGATGCTTTCCATGCGATGAATGTGGCCATATCGAAGAACCTAGCCTACACGGACGGAGAAGCAGCTCTACTGCGATACACCCGCCCCGAACGCCTCGCACTCTCCGCCCGCATCAGCCATCTCTTCACCGTCCTAGCGAGCAGCATCAAACTCGAATACCCCCTCAACGACGTCCTCCCCAACATCGACGACCGAAGAGATAGACTTCTAGCCAAGATCTCGGAGTTTAGGAGGACAGGTGAAGGAAGAGAGCTGACGACAGAGCAGGACTATGAATTGTTGTATGCGTACGTGCTGGTGACGGGTCAATTGGCGAAGGATATCCAAGCTGTGGGCGCGGAGATTGAGACGCTGTTTGGGACGCTGAATGAGGAGAACCTAAAACTTGGATAGCGACATGTAGCGATGGCGTTCGGGGTTTAAAATGATAGCAGAAGCGGCCACAATATGTACAACCGAACAAGGAGAGAGATTTCTTGTGTTCTTGAGTTTGGATAGTAGGGAGATCTTGCAGATCTTCTCGTGCCTCTTCGCATTCTTTGGCATCGTGGTTGATGGCTGACGGTGCATATGCAGGTTTTTGCAAAGGCGAAAGATCTTCGTCCAAGAGCCAGAGCATGCCTTGGCTGTACTACTTTTCTTAGTCCTATGGACGATGCCTTTGAAGCTGTGCCGGACGAGTATGCGGCTAGGAGGGCGCGACGAGGGCAGAGTGCTTCGTAATCGTATGGTAATGTGGATACGAGTGGGTTGCGCTGCAAATGCTGGGCGACATGCAGATAGGGTAAAGATATACCGCCAAGGTGGATGCTGTGTCACATGTGAGGAGAAAGAAGATGTGTTAAAAAAACTTTCTCATCTCGACGACCTGAGACAGGCTGGATGCTAATCGATCCTTAACATGGAGCAGAAAGTCGACAAATCCGCCACCGCCGTCCGAGATGTCGAAGAACCCCCTTCCAACACCATCGACGACGCCCTCGTTTATATCCAAGCCCACCGCGAAGATGAGCAAACGCAAGAAGGAGCGAGCGATATCCGACGGCTGAAGAGGAAAGTCGACATCTACGTGATTAGTTTCTTGATGTTGTGCTATATGTTGAATTTTCTGGATAAAGTCCTGCTAAACGTACCGTCTCACCCATACCAAAGGGGCCTGTTTCCAGTCACTGATAATGAGCACAGTACGCCCAAGTCATGTCCCTCCCTGCCGACCTCCACCTGCAAGGGAACGACTTCTCCAACGCCGCGTCAGCGTTCTTCATTGCGGATCTTGTGGCTGTCGTGCCGAATAGTACGTCTCCTCCTCCCCTCCTCACTTTCACGCATATCAACCATCTGACCCGACGGTACAGTCTACCTCCTCCAACGCCTCCCCACAGCGCGCTATCTCGGCACCAGCCTGGCCCTCTGGGGCATCTGCACAGCCTGCCACGCGGCGCTGCAGAACTACGGAGGACTGCTAACCGTCAGAATCCTCTCCGGCGCATTCGAATCAGTCGTGCCATCCGCGTTGATGCTGATCAGTAGTCAATGGTACACCCGAAGGGAGCAAGCGGCGAGGTTCGCGTGGTGGTATTCCGGGTATTATTCTCTATCTTACCCATGCAGCATCCAAGATTCAAGACGTTGAAGTTCCTATGCTGACTGTTGTGCAAGAATGGGCATCGGCCAAATCCTCGGCGGTCTCATCTCCTTCGCCTTCCAACACGTCCCCCCATCCGCCGCCCTCTCAGGCTGGCGCACAATGTTCCTCGTCCTAGGCCTCTGCACGCTCCTCATCGGCCTCCTCGTCATCGCCTTCGTCCCCAACACCCCCATGGACGCGCACTTCCTCACGTCCGGCGAGAAACTCGCGCTCCTGCGGCACGTTCAGAAAAACCAAACAGGCATCTCGGAGAAGAGGAATTTCCATCCAGCCCAGATTCTGGAGGCGTTGCGGGATTTCCAGGTCTGGGCTGTGTTTGCGATTGTGGTGCTGCAGAGTGTCGGTGGAGGGGTGATTACGACGTATTCCGCACTACTAATTAGAAATTTCGGGTTTTCGAGTCGGGAGGCAGCGTTGTTGAATATGCCTGCGGGGGTGATTAATATCCTGTCGTCTTTGATCTGCGGTAGACCCCCTAACTGTCCCTTCTTCCTCGCACCCACCCTCTTCTAACGTTTTCCAGGTCTCGCCTCCCGCTACCTCTCCCACCGCTGGCTCTTCACCACCCTGCTCACCCTTCCGTCCATCCTCGGCGCCAGCCTCCTCGCCTTCCTGCCCTCCACGTCCTCGCGCGCCGCCCTCCTCGCGGGGATCTACCTCGTCAACTTCATCACCGGCGTGCAACCTGTAGATTTCCAGTGGCTGATGTGCAATACCGCGGGGCATACCAAACGGGCGTTTGCATCGGCGGCTTTGAACGCGGCGTTTGCGGTGGGGAATATTGTTGGGCCGCAAACGTTTAGGGAGAGCGAGAGGCCGGTGTTTCGAACGGCGAAGGTGGCGCTTGTGTGTTGTTGGTGTGTGAGTGTTGGGGTGGCGTGGGTGTTGGTGGGGTATTATGTTGTTGTGAACAGGAGGAGGGATGGAAAGGGTGGAAGCGATGGTGATGGGGAAGTGGAGGTGGAGGAGAGGAAAGCGTTTGCTGGGTTAACGGATAAGCAGAATTTGAGCTTTCGATATCAATACTAACCCAGAAGACCATGAATAAACGCTGCCTCGCGGATGATCATCTCCTCCGCTTACTACCACCGGACGTCGTCGCAACGTACTCTTCATGCTGCCTCTTTCCAGCGGTGCGGCATCGCTGCAGGAACGCCTCCGGACTAAGGCTAGGACTGGCCTGCGTGCTGTCCATGCCGACCCGGCTGTTGATCGAGGATACGGGTATGTCGTCTTCGCGCTTGGGGACACGAGGGCGACGGAAGCGCTTGGGTTCGGGTTCTTCGGCTTGGGGTTCAGGCACGACTTGTGCGGCGTCATTATCGGAAGCGTCGTCTTCGTCTTCTTCATGGTCTTCCTTCTCTTCGTAAACAGAGCCATCACTCTCCGGTGCAGCTTCGTCTTCATCTTGTTCGTTTTCGCGAGTTGGCGAGGGGTCACGTCTGATGTCGTTTTCAGGGGAGATGAGCTCGTCCTCAGAGGTCTCGGGAACTTCCTGCTCCTGCTCCTCTTCCTCTCCACCGTCAGAAGCAGAAGCTGAAGGCTCTTTCTTAGTCTTGGACCTTGACTAGGGGTTATTCACTGTGGCCTTGGACTCCTGGAGGACATCCCCATCCTCCTCAGCCTCTGAGTCAGACACAATTTCCTTCGACAAGTCCTCTTTCTTCGACTGCTGCTTCTTACTCGCCATCTTCAACATGACGATTTCGGCGGCGGTCTTGCCGATGAGCTCGGGCTTGAACGTCCTCGGCAGAGAAGCCGTGTCATCTGCACATCGCTTTTCAACAAGCTTGGCGAGCTGCAACGCCTTCGCTGGGATCGTCTCAGCCTGCTCGATCTTGCGTTTGATCTTCTTAGAATTGATCGGCCAATCTTTCAATGCAGTCTCGACGGCGACTCTGCGCAATGCTCCTCCAAGCCATGTGGTGTTGAATCGTGAGGCTTGATTCTTCTGGGCGACGATCGACCAGAGAACGTTCCTCTCGTCGTGGAAGTGTGCAGAGTGGTCCTTGAAGGCCGTGTGGACTTCAGCGAAGACATCGTAGTAGTCCCCGATTTCGAAGCCCTCGAGCAGTTTCTTTGCTCCCTTCTCCTTGGACGCCTCTTTAGCTGCATCATTCGCTGATGCCGAGGTCGACTCTTGTTCTGCAGCCACAACGGGCTCTCCTTTTTGTTCACGAGCCTTCAACTTCTCGAACTTCTCGCGACATCTCTTCGAGCTTCGTCCACCTGCCACTTTGTCGGACACAGTCTGCCAGTTGATCATCGATTCCAGACGCTCTCGATCCTTGAGCATTGCGCGGTCTTTGGAACGTTCCTTCTTGATGGTCTCTATACACTCTTCGACTGCTTCAAGCAACTTGATCTCCTCCTTTTGTGACCAAGGCCCAGTAGCCTTGTCGTCGCCAAATTGGATGTGCTTGACCCAACGATCTTTGCAGTCTCCAGCACTACGATCGACGAGGTCACGGATCTTGGTCCATTGACCAGGCCATCTGGCATGGGCGTCTCTCAATGCCTCGTCTTGGTCTGCCGTCCAAGCTCCACGCTCGTAAGGATGGTATCTGCGCTGAGCGAACTTGCGAATCTGGGCCTTTGATCGGTTTGGTAGGGCTTCCTCGAGCTCAGCTTTGAAGATGCCCGCAGTGCGCCATTGCTGGATCTGAGCCTTGAGTTCGGCATCACTTAAACCCAGTTTTTGTTGGACCTAGAAGCAGTCAGTGTCATTGTATCCAAGAGCCGCCACTTTCACGACTTACGAGCCCACGTACCTGGCCGAAGACTAGATCACATATGACTTTCTCCTCTGCTGTGAATGCACCAGACGATTTTGATTTGCCACTGGCCTTTGGTGCGCTGGTAGTTGGAGCAGTAGTTGTTGGAGCAATCGACTCGGTGGTTTCCTTCGATGGGTCGTAGTCTTCTTCGTCGTCCTCGACATACCGAGACACTCGCTTCCTCTTGTTTGGCTTCACGTCTCCGCTCGCTCCTTCCACTGCATCCACAGCATTGCTCTCTGGAGGTGCTTCTGGATCGTCCTGACTTGCCAGCCAAGCAGCGACATTCTCGGCATTCGCTTGCAAACCCTTCTGGAGTAGCTCTGCATTCCGAGCAGACTCCTGCATGGGACGTCTGGGTTCAGACACCTGCTCTGGCTCATCCTGAGTCTTCTGCTTCTTCTTCTTGCGTCGCGGCTCTTGGGCCTCTAGCGCTGGTTCTGACTGGGACACCGGTACCTCCTCCCCAGACCTCCTCTTACGCTTCTTCGCTCGTTTGCTTTCTGTAGGTTCTTCATTCTCAGCTGCAGCTCTCGCTGGAATCGATGCATCCTCCACGTTAGCGGCCCGCCCGGGTGCTTGTTGTACTTCGTCAGCTGCCCCCTTTTCGCTCGCCTCACTCTTCTTCCTCTTCTGTCGTGCAGGTTTGGCGTTGTCAGCGTCTTCGCCTTGCTTCTCGTCCGTCTGCATCCCCTGCTCCTTCTTCCCCTCCGCCTGCTGCGAAGCCTCCAAACTCTGCCGATACCTCTCCATCTCCCCCTTAACAAGACGCAGCCTCGCCGCCTCCACCTCTGTCAACTCCTTCTCAGGAGCCTCACCAGGCTTATAGAACTTGATGCCCCACTTGTTGTTCGGCATCTGCACCCATCTCGCTCGGTTCTCCAGCACGGCTTCCTGCATCTGCTTCCGCTTGAGCCATTTCTGCAGGTCGCGGCGTGCGATCTCGAGAGGGTCGTCGTTGTCGTTCCATTTCTTGGAGTTGGGGTTCTTGCGTCGCGCTGCTTCGATGCTCTGGACGAGTGGGGACGAGTTCGTCGTGGGCGAAGTGGTTTGTTGTGAGTTTGGTATGAACGAGTCTTCGTCTGCTGATTGGCGCTTCTTCTTTCTCCTCTTCTTCGCTGTCTGTCTCTCCACGTCCTGCGAGCTGTCCATTATCGACTTCTCCAAGTCACGCGCAAGAGCCTGGCTACCTGTCGTCCCCGCCGTGCCAGGCCTCTCCATCACAAGCGCGTCTTCGACATCAGAAGGAAGCTGCGTCTGCGTTGGCTCCTGGAGCTGCGAGGAAGACTGCCCCATCTTGCATGTGCCGCCGTCACTTCACGTCGAGCCCGTGAGAATGGATATGGAATGTAACATGTAGGTGTTGATCCAAAAGGCTGGGTCACCCCGCAAGTTCGAAATGAGCTCTCGAATTAAACTACAGGCTCGGGCCGTCTAGCGCGATCAACGCGCTCCGCACATCCGAGCGAGGAAGGATGATGGATGGGACCTCACCAAGCATCACCTAAGCAAACTGCAGTGACAAAGCTACACCTCGTCGACGACTACCACAAGCAATCTAGCGACCCGGACTGAAGCGGCCGAAGCGTGCCCGCGGCAGACCAGGCGCGTCCGTGAGAGGAGTGAAGCGAACCACCCGGCCGGAACCGCTTCGACCTCACCTCTTCCCTCTCCTCCCTCCCCATCAACAACACCACCCCCCACCCACACCATGGCCGACCACGAGCACGAGCACGACCACGCACACGACCACGCGGGCCCCGCCCCGGGCGAGACCGCCGAACAGCACGCCGCCCACCAAGCCTATACGCCCGTCAAACACTGGGGTCTGGGCCGCCGCGCCGAATGCGCTCTGTTCTACGCCTTCACGATCCCGTCCTGGTGCTTCGAGATCGCGGCGTGCGTGACAGGGAGTTTCCTGGGGACGTCTTCTGGCGCGTTTATTGGGACTGTGACGCCGTGGTTGGTGCTGTGGGCGACGGCGTGGCTGCAGACGGCGACGCAGATGATTCAGCGGGCGAGCTGGGTGCGCGACGAGGCGAATTTGAAGGATCGGAAGCAGTACCTTTATTTGAGCGTCAGGTTGCAGCGGTTGATGTTGGTGAGTATTCTCTCAGCTTTCGATGTTTTTATTTTGTGTGGCGAATCGCTAACGTGGTTTGATCCAGCCCACCGCCATCCCCGCCCTGGTCACCTTCATCGTGGCGTACGTCCAGCGGAAAAGCCGCGACGACTTGGCTTACTGGCTCGTCTTCTTGCTCTTCTTCATCTTCAACACCGTCGGCTGCGTCATGAACGCCTACAACAACATCACCTGGGAGTGCGACCGCCTTCATTACGAAGAGGGCTTCCCCGCTATGAAGTACACTCGTCTGGCTATCCTTGGAATCCCAAGCTCCGACAGAGGCTTGTTCAGATTTGATTGATGTTGGAAAACGTGGGTCTGGATCTTGTTTGTTTTGCGTTGAATCATACGCATTCTATTCAGTGTGTTCGGTTCGGTTCTAGGGTATACTACAGTAATTTTGCATAGAACAACGAAGTACACGACCTTTGTCCTGTTTGTTCACATCGTATCCTGGGAGTTCATCTCATCGTCGTCCTCTCCATCAGTGTTCTCAATGTCCTCGCTCATATCGTCTTCATCTGCTGCAGGTCTCGGTCGAGCCGTCTACTAAACCAAGTCAGTTTGAGAACCTGCTTGATCATGAACGATGTCTTACCTGCACAAGATTGTTCTTCAACTCCGGCAACTCATACGCCGCCGTCGGGATCACGAAATCCTTGGGTGCCGTAATGATACCAAACTCCTCCGTGAAACCATTCTTCTCATGCTTCCCAAAGAACCCAACAACCACCTCGCCATCATCCGGCTCAAACACATGAATATCATTCACATCGCTGTACTGAGAGTTGATCTCTCCCCACTGAACACCATCGTCCAACGTGATGCGAATTCCGTCGAGACTGCCCTGACTCCAGCCGCCGGACTTGTTCACTTCGACTTTGACGATCTTGGCGTTGGCCGGAAGATCGTGTTGCTCGGATGCGTGGCCGCCAAAGTGGTGCTCTTGACCGTGCTCGCGGGTTGGTCCACAGTGCGCGTAGGTGCCGTCGACGTAGTAGACCACTGCCCCGTCGAAGGTGCAGCCGACGCGGAGGTCGATGGCGGATGCACGGATGTGGTTGCCGTTGGGGTTGGCTTTGTTGAGGAGGGCGGTCCATGGGATGTAGTTGTCTTCATCATCGTCTTCCTCAAGTCTGGAAGATTTGACTGAAGTCTTTTGTAGCCGGACATCGCTGCCTGGGATGCGGATGAAGGTCCTGTCTTTGAAGAAGCTCCAGGCATTCTTGATGATCCTCTCCTTGCCGTTCTGTGCTAGGACGGAAACTTCGAGTGGAGTGCTACGCTCGAAGTCGGAAAGCTCGCGGGTGCGGAAGTCGCAGACTGTGTACTTGTATCCAGGCGATGAGTAGTTGCTGCTGATGTTATGTGACCCATTCTGGATTTTGACATCTACAAGTCCGGCTTTGCTTGTGATGCAAAGCCATTCCTCGCCTTCGCCGTCGATGTCCACCTTGACCTGAATCTCTGCGTTGACGAAGTCCTTGGTGATTGGCTCATCGCCTGGGATGCGGAAATGAGGCAGAGTCTTGAACCGCAGGACGTCTTGAAGGGCCCACTTGGCTTCATCATCTTGCATGTGGTCCTTGCTTGATATGGCGAGAGACTCATGATCCAGAAATTGCGTCCCCCAGCCCTTGCTGTAGCCACGCTTCATGATGCCTTCGGTGTGATCTGCGCCGAATGCATGTCCCACCTCATGCAGGAAAGCTCCTTGGCCTATGAAACAAGCTCGAGCCATCGAAACGCACTCGCCATTGTCGTTCCCGACGGTCTCTCCTGGAGGTGTAGCATCGAGGAGGCAAGACGATACTTCTTCCATAGAACGTGGCCACGAGTAAGTGAGATGACTGCCGAACATCCCAAGAGACAGGGCGTTACGCTGGTGACAGCCAAGTGCAGCGTGGCCCAGTATCATGTTCCGATCGAGAGAGTAGCATGAGTCGAGGATGAGGCCTGCAACTACAGGTCTGCAGCCAGACTCGAATGGACCGCCGTATGCTTTGAGAGCTCTGGTGAAGATCTCATGCAGTTCGTTCGGTCTCCTTGCATGAGGGTTCTGCTGGGCGACGTTGGCATCGCGAAGCTCGGCTACTGTCTTCTCAGTTCGGACAATGTGGAGCTTTGGCAGTGACTTCATGATGGTGGCGCCTTCTGCATTGGCTCTGAAGGTCTGGAATGAGGTCGTGTCTGCCGTCCATTCTTCCTCGAACCTAAACGTGCGACGACCGAGTTCTTTCTGCTGCATGTCCTCAGCGGTGAGAGCCTGCCACATGTAGGCCGTCATACGAAACTTCGCAATCACAGACTCGAGGCTGTTGTGCGCGGAGGAGATGGCTCCATACTTGGATGGTGGGCAGTCGATGACCAGCGGCGAGTCCTTGGCCACCATGATGGCAAGATGGAGTGGCGGGATCTGGAGGAGAGGCTGATAGACCAGCAGCAGTGAAGATGTCGACTGTGCACCGCCTGCATGGTGTAGAGAGAGGGTGATGGTGTTGTTGCCAGGAGCGAGCAGCACAAGCGCCTTCCACGCGCCTCGATAGACTGGCCAGTTGTTCGAGGACTCAGCAACCTTCATGCTGTCGGACGTCTTGACTGAGATATAGTCGTCGTCGGAATTGTCGAAAGTCGGGCATTCGCCTTTGATAAGCAGGCATTGCTGGTGGACAGTCTCGCCACTCTTGACATTGGAGACCCGGAGAGGAGTCATGGTGACGGCTGTTGGCTTGATACGCTGACGAGCTCTGGCTGTATCCTCTGTGGCGTTATTGCGCTTTAGTGAGACCATTGTAGCGATCGTGGGTAAGATGAGCTGGAAGAGAACAAGAAAAGAGGTATTCGGAGGAGTACTTCCCTATCTCAAAGGCTGGTGGAAGCTGTTCTTATATCTTCGCACAGTCACCCGCATTGGTGAGTCTGTAGTCTCACCGGAATTAGGCACTGTGTCACTCTTTGTTCACGATTGGTGTTTTCTAGCTGAGATGCCTGATGTGTGAAGAAACGAAGGAAGTGTGGCTGACACTGCCTGGAGCGGATTTGCTGGTCTGCAGCACAGGCCACAGCGCACGTCCCAGGGCGAGACTCGGCCTCTCGAATACCACTACATGTACTCTGTCAACAACATCACATTGGACCTAATAAATATTCGATGATCAGTCCAGTCCTCAGTCTGCAATGGAAACCATCACAGAGCACGTATAGAGGCGAGATATACGGTAGACTCGAGTCCCAGACGGTAGCTGACCAGAAAGATCCCGCACATTCCTCAGCACAGCTCCAAGTCAATTCGCTAAACGTACTTTACTCACCTGAAGACACTTTCCTCGTCGTCTGGCTCAAAGTGGAACGCATCGCATTGTTATCCCTCTGGATTATACAGTGACCAAGCTGCTAATCGTATAATAGAACGTTCAGATAGCTCGGAATTATTGGGGATAGGCATCCCACTTTGAGCGTAACAAGGTCAGTATGTGTATATGTCGTGTACGAACGGCAGGTATCGCTCTCTCTCCAAGTACGAATGAAGTACGAATCGATACATTGGTCGCGCGAGTCTGGCGGCCGAGTTGGCCGAAGGCGAGGTTTGACACCACTTATCTTCCCTATCGGAGCTGACCGCAGCTGGACCTCGAGGAGCTCTTGTTCGGTGTCGATATAGCTGGGCGAGGACCGTCCTCTCGGCTTCGCGCTAATCGCGAGGTTGTATGTGGATTGGATATATAGAACTCGAAGTCTACCCTGCACGACACCACCGGATCGACTAGACATCAAGTCGTCAACTCATCCACCAAAATGGGCGCAACGAAGTACACCGACCGAAGCATCCCTCGAATCTCTCTCGCCGAGTTCGACAACCGCATCGACGAGATAACCTCCCAACTCGTCCACGCCGCAGAGACAGATGGCTTCTTCTCCCTCACCGACACCGAAATCAGCATCCCGGAAATCGACGCCATCTTCGCCACCTCAGAGTCCTTCTTCGCCCTTCCAGACGACGTAAAAGGCACCGTCCCCTTCACCCACAACAACGTCGGCTGGGAGAAGAAAGGCCAAATCCGGCCCTCGACTGGCGTCGCCGACCAAAAAGAATCCTACCAGCTCCAATTTGGCCAGAACATGACCGACAAGTGGATCTCCCCCTCCGCCCTCCCAGACTTCAAACCCTCCGCCCAAGCCTTCATGGCCAAAGCCCAATCCGTCTCAGAGAAACTTATGCTCTGCTTCGCCCGCGGCCTAGGCTTCCCAGACGACCACTTCATCCGCGCCCACGACACCTCTCGCCCCGACTGCCAATCCGTGCTGCGCCTGCTACACTACTTCGCCGTCGACAAAACCGTGCCTCCCCAAGAAAACTTCTACCGCGCCGGCGCCCACGCCGACTGGGACCTCCTGACACTCCTCTTCCAACGCCCGGGCGAATCCGGCCTCGAAATCTGCCCAGGCCGCGAAGCCGTCACGTCCTTCGGCATGGGCGACACATGGACGAAAGTCGACTTCGCCCCGGGAGACATCGTCTGCAACATCGGCGACCTGTTGATGAGCTGGTCCGACGACCGGTTCAAATCCACCTTCCACCGCGTGAAGGCGCCCACGGATTTCGAGCGGGATTACTGGGGCCCGAGGTATTCGATTGCGTTTTTTAATCAGCCGTGTGTGGATTGTGTGATTCAGGGGCCGCGGGGGAAGTATCCGGAGGTGACGGGGGCGGAGTTTACGAGGAGGGCGATGGAGAGGAATTTTGGGGCTTTGAGGGCGAAGCAGGAGGAGTTGAGGGAGAAGATGGGGGAGGGGGGGGAGGGGGGGGGGAAGGCTGTTGCGGCGAGTGCGTGAAAGGTTGGGTTTTGGGGGTCAAGGGGGTGTGGATATGCGCAGGCTGCGTGGTTGGCGGCTTGGGTTTAAAATCTCCAAGTCCTCTTCATCACTCAACGAACAGCCTAGTGGTAAAGGTATTCGCTGTGGGAGCGGACAGTAGAATGTGTCAATGGTAAGATGAATGTCCTGGAGGCGAATGATTCAGCTTTTCATATTGTAGTACTGCCGTCCACATTAATTTGCATTACTTCGTATCATCTTACAGCCGTTCCATTTACACTGTTCCGTTTTCCATTTTGAATGTCCCGCCTTTCATACAATTTAAAACCAATGTCACCCTTTTCCCTCACCACCCCTACCTACACTCACGTCATCGCGCGAACATGCGTATCGAAAATCTCATTCCTCCACCCTCCAGCATCAAAGTCCTCCACTCGTTCACCAGCACGCGTAGCCTCCTCGTTCCACACCTTGACGATACTGCCAGGAGCGTAGACATTCTTGAAGACACCTTTGCCAGGCTGAGCAACGCCAACAAGGGTATAGAGGTCTGGGTCTTCGGCAGGTGTAAGTCGAGCGGCGACGGCCTTGAAGAACGTGAGAAGGTCGTTGGGGTCTGCAATACGAGTGGCTCGTAGGCGCTCCCTTGCGTAAACGAGCTCGCGGTTGGCAGCGTGGAAGAAGTCTGCCAGGGCGGATGCGAGTTGCTGTTCCATCGTCTTGCGCAGGATTGGGCGGAGGAGGGGCTTGAAGAGCCAGGTCAACCAGCTGAACTTGGTCTTGCGGAATTTGTAGTTGAGTTTGTGGATGTGCACTCTCACAGCTTTGAGGGTCAGGATCTGTTCCATTCTTTCGCGGCAGATCTCGACGTCGACGTGGATGTCGATGCCCTTTTCGTCCAGTTCGAAGCTGCCGATGCCTTCGTCGGCGAGACGCAAAATGCCCTTGTGCGCTCGCAGCCAGAAGCCGATCTCCTCAGCCTTCAAAGACATCCCATCCAGCTTGATGGTCATGAGATTGGTGGTCGCGGTGGTAGTCTTGAACTTAGCCTTTCGAATCTCCAGGTCGTTGTAGGTCTCCACCTTCAGTCGATATGGGAGGAATGATGTTTGGTTGACGGTCTTTCCAGGCTCGACGATCAAATTCTCCAGAAGCAGGTCGACCTCAGGCGTGCTGACCTCCAGTCGTGGGATGGGGATGTACTGAATGGCCGCAATGAGCAGCGGCACAAATACGTTGATCGAGTCCTGGAGAAGCTCTGGATTAGTGGCTTGGTCGAGCGGCGAGAGGATCTTGAAGATCTTGAGCGTGGTCGCAATCAGGTTGTGAATGTCTTCATCCTGCAGAACTCTGCTGAGAGTCACCTCAACCTGTTTGAGCAGCGCTTCAAGTTCCTTATTCAGATTGCTACCCGAAGCAGTCTTCTGGCTCTTGGCCCTCAATTCCTTGAACTTCTCTTGTGCGTTGTCGAGGAAGCTTGGATCTGTGAGGAGCTTCTGGAGCGAATTGCCTGTCTCTGTCATCATTTTCTCGAACTGTGGGTCGCTGTCTTTGTGGCTCATGATCTGTTTGAACTGCTGCTCGAGCTTCTCCCATTCTTTCTTGTCGCCAAAGCTGGTGACGAAGATCCATATGTTGTGCATCGCACGATCCATGGCTTCGTTTTCGCGCACATCGCGCTGGGCGACATTATCCACGTCCTCGAGAACTCTGGAGTACGCCACAGCATAGCGTTTGAGCAGCAAAGAAAGCGTCGACACCGAATCAGAATAGTCATTCCGTTTGCGAAGCTTCAGGACTGCCTGTTTCAGGCGGTTGACCAACGTCTGGCCCTCATCTCCAGACAGCCTGTCGGCGGTGCTTCCTGCTGCCGTCTTCGCCACCTGTGCTGTACCATTGGCCACGACTTTGCTGACATCGCCAACATCTTGCCCCAATTCTTGGGCCGTAGGTGCTGGCTCATCAGATTCAGCTCCAGGCTTAGACACCTGCTGTTGCTCCTCTGATGACGGCTCAACTTTCTTGGCCGCGTCCTCCGCAGCACTGGACAAGGCAAAGGCAGAGTCTCTGAACACCTCTCTACCAATGACGTTAAGATCACTCACGAACACGCGGAAGTCTGAGTTGGTGAGAAGGAGAGATCCGACTGTCTTGAAGCTCTCGTATGCAGCGGCGGTATCCGCTCGTGCCTTGCTCTTCTTTGCCTGCTCAGCAATGTCCTCCACATCAACTGATATTCTGCTCTTGCTCAAGAACCAAACAATGTCTTGAATTTGATCTCTGTCGTTCTTGTGCTGTACAAGATCCATGAACTGCTGGAGCCATTGCCTTGTCAACTTGACCAGTCTTCGGCCGCTGTTTGACAAGTCTTCATTATCGGCGTTCAGAACATCGCTCGCGAGTATTGTGCGCAGATTGATAATGATCTGTTCGGTACTGGGCATGAATCCTTTCGAGAACGCGCGGAACATCTGATACGTGTGGAGCTTTTGGTGCAGCTTTCGCTGCAATTCCGTGTCGTCTTCATATTGGGGGAGGAGAGGTTCTCGGTCTGACGCTGAGGCCTTCTTGCGGAAGCCGAAACAGGATGACATGATGGGTCAAGTTGGTGGGTGAATGAACGCAGAGAGTGAACAGACAGAAGCCCTGCTACTGCTAAGCAGCGGGCGTATGTCACCACGCGGTCATGTCCACTGCAGCTCTTACAGGAATGGCAAGCGGTCGTGTGCTCATCCTCTAGCAGCAGTAGTGGCCAATGACCAGCGGTCGCTGCTTTTCTCACGTAAACCAGACGCGCAGAAGTTGGCCTTGCTGTAGAGCTTTCGGAGCTCTCTCCAAGCAGACGTGAGAGTGACGTACATGGATCTGAATCTGATATTGCTAGCCTGAGGCACCAACCCCAGCTCCCTCGCTCTCGTTTTCATTCACTCCGCGTCCCAAGACTTTGCACGCGCAGACAACGTGACCAGAAGGTCTTGGTATTGCTTAGCCCGCACGTTGTGCAGCAATCTCATCGCCCCAGCCGTTGGCGTTCAACCACTTGTCCCTCCCGTCTCGAGGTCTCACCGTCGCCGTGGCCGCAGCCTTCCCCGTTCACCGACCGCATGCCCATGCATCGGCGCAGGATGCCGACAGGGTCATTTTCGTGTTCCTGGAGAGCTGCCTCGCCTAATATACCGCATCGTGTCTAGCCGCCGCTGCGCTAGCGCCCGGGAGCGATTCCGACGAATATTTTGAGGAGGGAGCTCTCAAAAAAGTTCAGCAGCTGCTCACCTCCGCTGTGAGTCTTGCTGCAGCTGTCGACACACCGCACTCCACCGCGAGACATGGCGGTTGTTGCCCATACCAACTGCAGGGAACGGGTCATCTCGGCCTCGCACCGTGTTTCTATATTAGCGAAGGAGCGGTCGGGTCTCCTCAGGGCGTCGTTTGTTGCTCTCAATAATCCTATCACACGCAATCCACCCCAGACTTGGACCCTCCCCATCCCCACCATCTTATCGTTTGGCGTGCGCGGGTCTCGTCCCTAGATTGCAGCCATTACTTTCCACCGGAGTGGTCATCGCGTCGGCAACGACGGCATTTGCTCTGTTCAAAGACGCCTCCTGTTGCACCTTCGCACACCTGCTGATCTGCCAACCGCCAGAGCTATTTCAGCCCGAGCGGACCCGGTTTCTCCCATTCACTGCCATGCGGTTAACGCGCACCTCTCCCCTGATTACTTTGCCCTGCTGCTCTTCTTACATCTCCTCCGGTCCTGCTGCCACCTCTTTGCGTACCTGCGTACCTGTGTGTCGTCAGTCCAGAGCACGGAAAGCGATCACGGATTCCGTCACACCACGCCGAACCTTCACCACCACCGCCACCAAACAGACCGCAATGGCTCACAGCAGAGAGGCCTCAAAAAGTGGCCATGCGCCGCATGCCAACATCACCAAAGCTGCAGTCCACCACCACCTCCCCGAGAGGCATCATGTCCCGGCTCCGTAGGTTCATAGCCAAAGCTTGCAAGATTCATTCAATACAACGATCTAAGAAGTCCGTCTTATACAGTGTGGACTATGATACCTCGAACCCCATTGAGACCCGCAAATACCTCAGAACCTACGGCCTGATCCCCCCTGGCGTCGACACCTTCGAGAACCAGAGCAAGAGATGTGAGAATGACTCTATCGAGACATTGGACAATACTGACTAGTCAGGCATGGCAATCTTGAACTCGAGGAAGACCGACATTGAGAAGTACCAATACCTGTCCGTCTTGAGGAATACCAACGTCCACCTCTTTTACCGACTGCTGTCGGACAACATCAAGGTTGGACATCTCAGAAAGATGAGGAAGCCCACAAGCTGACAATCGAATAGGAGCTCACTCCTTTGATCTACACACCAACTGTTGGAGAAGCTTGCCAGAGATGGTCTGAGCTATACACCCAGCCAGAGGGTGAGTTGGCATGGATGCACATGTCGAATTGCTCTGCTAAGCTTCACTGCAGGTCTCTACCTCTCATTCGATCAAGACAAGGGCAACCTTCATTCTGTCATCCAAAACTGGCCACATGATGTCGAGATCACCGTCGTCACAGACGGCTCTCGTATCCTTGGTCTTGGAGATCTTGGTATCAACGGCATGGGTATCCCCGTTGGAAAGCTTTCCCTGTACACCGCATGTGCTGGTATTCACCCCATGAGGACCCTCCCACTTTGCGTAGATCTTGGCACGAGCAACGAGGAATTCAGGAATGACCCACTGTACCTGGGAAGCAGGCGACCAAAGGTCACTCCTGAGGAGGAGAAGGAGTTCCTTGATGAGATGATGGCCGCTCTTACCGAGAGGTGGCCAAGCATTGTCATCCAATATGAGGACTTCAAGAACCCTTTCCCATCGCTCGAACGCTACCAGGACACCTACACCATGTTCAACGACGACATCCAGGGTACTGGTGCTGTCATTCTCGGTGGCTTCATTAATGCTGTCAAGCAATCTGGGGTCGCTCCAAAGGACCAGCGAGCTGTCTTCTTGGGTGCTGGATCCGCTGGTGTCGGTGTTGCCAAGCAGCTTACCGAGTTCTTCATCAAGGAGGGTCTGACCGAGGAAGAAGCCAAGAAGCGTTTCTGGCTCGTCGACTCCCAAGGTATGGTCACCCTCGACCGCCCAGGCAAGCTGGCCGAGCACAAGGTGTACTTCGCCCGTGACGACAACAATGGCGAACAGTACAAGACCTTGGAGGAGGTCGTCGAATACGTCAAGCCAACCATCCTGATGGGTCTATCCACCATTGGTGGGGCCTTCACACCAAAGATTCTGGGACGCATGGCCGAGCTGAACGACAAGCCAGTAATCTTCCCGCTGTCCAACCCATCCAGCAAGTCAGAGTGCACATTCGAGGAGGCCATCAAGTACACCAATGGCAAGTGCTTGTTCGCTTCTGGATCTCCTTTCCCAACCCTCCACTGGAAGGGCAAGGACCTCGTCCCTGGCCAGGGCAACAACATGTAAGTGAATGCAAATACGAAATATGGACAGTCTGCTAATAATTTCACTTTTAGGTACGTGTTCCCAGGTATCGGCTTGGGAGCTATTCTCTCCAAGTCCGTCAACGTCACACAAAACATGATCTACGCCTCCGCTGAAGCTCTCTCAACCTCGCTGTTGCCCCAGGAAGTTTCTGACAACTGGCTCTACCCTGATATTCGCCGCATCCGCGAAGTCTCCGTCATCGTCACCCGTGGTGTGATCCGCGCCGCACAGAAGGACCACATGGACCGTGAGCTCGCCCTCCGCAACATCTCTGATGAAGAGCTCGACGACTACATCCGTACTCGCATGTACGATCCATTCACTGAGGTAAGAACATCCCCATCGACGGACCGCCTTCGATCACAACCACTAACCACGCGCCTTCCTTACAGCACCTCAAAATCGAGCGCGAAATCTCCGAACTCGCCAGCCACTTCAACGCACACATCTCCGACTCGAGCTCAACAGCAGCTACCAATGGTTCGCGCCGCAGCACTGTCACGAGCCGACCGGGTACGGCTAACGGCCGTCCTAGGGCCCCGACCCGCGGGCAAAACGCCCATGGCGATGCTCTGACCGCCCAGAACCAGTAGTAGAGACACCCTTTTTGCGAGATACCCTGACTTTTCGATTCGACATTCATCAAGAAGAAGATTTTGGATGGGGGCCAAAAATGGCGTTTCTGGGTGTTTGTTGTTGGGCGAGATGCGAAAGTGTGACTAGTGGACAGTCCTTTCCGATGTCTGTGATGCGTGGATTGCCAGAGAAAAATGGGAAAGCTTTTGGGAAAGCGGTGCGACCTATCTACCTACCCAAAAAGGGTGAATTGAGCGTATTACATAGAAGCTTCTCCAAGAGAGCATGCGGCTCTCTCTTGCATTGTAATTAGATACCTTGTTTGTGTGAGCGAGCGAGTGGAATGAGTATATCTACTTCGATCCAGAACTCCTCCCATTGTCGTGACATTTATTGCAGCGGACCCCAACTTCCACAGAGCCTTGATCTTCCTCAAAAGAGAGAAAAAGGCCAAAGTCCTACCGTTTTGGCCCGTCACCTGGCTGACTGACTGGACCTCCCACAACAATGTTGGGTTTGGGTGAGGGTGAGGGTGAGGGTGAGTATGATTTTGTTCTTGTTGTCGTCGTTGTGTGGTGTTTTCGGTTCATGTAGAGCCGACACGTGTGGACAGGGATGCCGGGCTAGGGATGCATGGCTCCACTTGTGGTGGTTGTGGTTGTGGTTGTGCGACTTCACTTCTTCGTTCTTTTGCTCTACTCCACTCAACATTCCAACCCTCGACAAGCAGCATACATCGTGCCGTACACGGGAGAGACTGCGCTGCCCTTCGACACTACGGAAATGCGCCCCAATGGAAACTCGAGAATCTGCCATTACAATCCTGCTTCTATACACGATCCTATCGACCCTTGCGACCAAGCTCTTGACCGACTTCCCTCGTCCCTCCTCCCCGCAGAAAAGAAAATTCCGAGTCTCAACCGCCATGTCAGCCTGAAACGGTGACGGTCTGCTGGGCTATCGTGGTCGTCTTCCCGGCGTCGGTGACCGTGACTGTTACAGTCATGAGGTTTGGATTCACAGGGACGATCGTGATGCCTCCTCCGGCGCTGCTGGAGGTTGAAGTGGCTGAGGAGCTGGAGCTCTGTGGCTGTGAGGAGGGCTCTACGATTGCTGGTAGGGATTGGGTTGTCGATGGGGTTTGTGAGGATGTTGATGGCTCGATTGGATCGGCGGTTGCTGTGGCCTCGGTACTTGGTAGTGGATAGGCGAAGGGGCTTTGCGATGCGGATTGGGACGTTGTGGAAGACGCTGTTGTTGTGGTTGGCGAGGAATCGCTTGGTGCGGTGCTGTATGAGGGAGGTACAGCAGACTCAGAACTCGGGGAGCTGGTTTCCGATGCACTGCTCTGGTGGCTGGCCGATTCGGAATGACTTGAGTCTGGTGAAAACTCGGCTGAGGATGCTGTGGGGGCTGAGCTGCTCGACGTACTGGCTTCAACAGAGTAGGTCAGGGGGATGGTGCCGTAGACCGCAGGGTATGAGGTCGATTCTGCAGCACTGGTATCCGTAGTGGCAACGGGCTGACTGGAAGACGTCTCGACAGCTGAGCTACTAGCGGAGCTTGCATCCGTCGAGTACGTCAACGGTATCGTCCCGTACATCGCAGGTGAAGAAGAAGAAAGAGTCGACTGTGATACCGCGACTTGGCTTGAAGCACCCGGACTCTGGCCAGAAGGATTGCCAACCGTCGTGAACAACGTCAAAATCGTCGTACTACTCGCACTCTTCGAATACGCCGCGACACTCTGGCTGTCCGCTGACGTCGAGCCTCCTTCACTCGTCCCATGCTTCTTCGGCTGTACGGTCGTGAACAGCGTCATGATAGTCGTGCTCGACGCACTAGTCGACGGCGAGGACGACACGTTCTGGTAAGACACCCCGGCGCCCGAAGACGTCGGCGCGAACGAGAAGACGAGTGAGGTTGAGGAGGTAGTCGTCTGTGAACTCGCTGCAGATTCGGTGGCCGAGCTACTTTGCGCTTCGCTTGATGTTGAAGGTTCGTACATGAAATCTATCGATGTTCGCGTGGATGTTTTCGATGAGGTCGACGGGAGGGATTCGGTGTCTGCGGGGGAGGCGAGGATTCCTAGGCCGAAGGCTGAGGGCGAGAGGGCGGCGGCGTAGGTTGTTGATGAGTCGGATATGGTTGTGCTGGGGTGGGGTTGAGGGGGGTAGGATGTTATGGCTGTAGCTGAGGTTGGAGAAGTGCTTGATGGTGGTGATGACGATGGCGAATTTCCTGTGCCGTACGGGACTGCTGCTGCTTTGCTGAGAGATGTTGAGTCGGACGTCGAGCTGGTTCCATATGCATTTGGCGAAGAGCTGGCGGTCGTTTCGCTAAGGGACGTCCTCCCGAAAGTGCTCCCTGTTCCATGCCCATCCGCCAACGACGAACTTTCTTGGAGAGAAGTCAAAGACGAACCCGAACTCGAGGTGCTGAATGTCGCATTGGGATATCGTGGAGCGAGCGGACTGGCTTCGGTGCCGGCGCAGAGGAGAAGTAGGATCTCTAGAGTTGATAGCATGGCTCCGCGATCTTTTCTCTTAAATGATATGCAAAGAATAGATAGGAAAGATGTATTACTAAGATAACGATCGAAGAGACCCGAAGACCAGCTTCAGCGCGTATGTATGCAGACAAGAACAAGTGAGTGACACAAAGGGAAGGAGATAGACACAAGAATGGAAGAACAGAACGAGGGTAGGCAAAGGAAGAAGATATCCTCACCGTCGCACACACGTCCCCTCGTGCGCGTGCGTGTCTAAGACGTCCATGTCCTACCTGTCTTGGTCGTTCGCGTGGTCTAAGTCTGGTCGTTGAACTGTGGAAGTGGCATCTGCGGGACTGTGCGAGGTCTGGGAATGCCCAGCGCGTCGAGAGGTCGTTCTGTTGCGTCGACTCGGCGGCTGTTTTCAGGACGTGAGGTTCGAAGTGCGGATGGGGGTTGTGATTGGTTGGGAGGAGGGACGCTGTGTTTCGGGTGTGATTTTGGTGAGAAAGGTGGGAGATTGAGGTTCGATGGTTTTGATGGGGGTTCATGTGCATTTCGATGGTGAATTGGAGGTATATTGTGAATGTATTGATGTCGTGGGTGTTGTATAGAGAGGGATAGTTCGTGAGATGTTCAAGAAGAGCACGTGAAGTCGTGGATCGGTTGCCCGGCGCTACCCGCTGTAAACGAACACCTAATACCTCTAGCGCGCGTGCCCCGTGCCCTCAATGTCATTTCGCTTTACTTATCGACATGGCCATTGCGCTGCGGGCCAGCACTGACTTCCACCTCGCCGTCGTGTGAAGACGCGCCCAGCCAGCATCTTTCCGCCCCGGCATCCTACCAAACACCCCCGCCGCCGCCGCCGACATGAGTGTCCGCGTGGTCGCCCGTATCCGGCCACTGTTGAAGAACGAGCTGGACAAGGACAAGATTGTCGAGGCCGCGGATAACAAGACGGTGGTGAGGATCCCGAATCCGAAGAACGAGGCCGAATTGTACTCGTTTCAGTTCAGCAGCGTGTATGATGAGGCGGCCACGCAGCAGGATATGTTCGAGAACGAGGTCTCGCCTACGGTCAAGCATCTGTTCAAGGGCTGCGATGTCACCCTTTTCGCGTACGGAGTGACGGGCACGGGAAAGACACATACGATGAGGGGAGGGAAGAGTTTGGCAGATCGAGGCGTTATTCCCAGACTACTATCGAGCATATACCGACGAGCGCGGAAGGTCGAGAAGGATACTGCCAACGCGACGCAGGTCGAAGTCGCGATGAGCTACTACGAGATTTACAACGACCGAGTGTTCGATCTGTTTGAGCCACCCGAGAAGCGAACACCAGCAGGCTTGCCGATCAGGGACAATCAGAGTGGAAAAGCGGTTGTTGTTGGCCTCACCGAGCGGCCCTGCACGACATTGAAAGAGTTTGAGCAGCTATACGACCAGGCGAACCTGAACAGATCGACATCTGCTACTAAGCTGAATGCGCACTCTTCTCGATCACATGCTGTACTTTGTGTCAAGGTCACGCAAACCACGGGCGAAGAAGTACAGTTCAGCACGGCTTCAGCAATCGATCTTGCGGGATCAGAGGACAATCGTCGAACAGACAACAACAAGGAGCGCCTTGTGGAAAGTGCGAGCATCAACAAATCTCTTTTCGTTCTTGCGTCATGCGTGGAGGCCATATCCAAGAAGCAAAGTCGGATACCATATCGAGAGTCGAAGATGACGCGAATCCTCGCGCTTGGTCAGAACAATGGACACTGCGTTATGATCTTGAATCTCGCACCTGTGCGAAGTTACCATCTGGATACGCTCAGCAGTCTGAACTTTGCGAACCGCACGAAGAAGATCGAAGTCAACGAGATTGAGAATCAACCATTTTTCCGAGATCCTCTTCCTGGCAAGAACAAGCTCGAGGGCAAGCCTGATGCACCGGCTATGAACCGACAACCACTGCGGCCTAAGCTCTTGTCGCAGAACAGTCATCTGAAGGAAGTTGGCAATGTGCCCAAACCAGCGAAGCAATTCTCTGTCTACTCTGACAAGCCGAAGACTACCCAAAAGCCAACCTCTCTCGCCAACACAGCCCAATCGCGAGCGCTGACTTCGCAAATAAAGTCGCCTAAGAGAATCGCAAGCAATGAGGGCCTTGGGAGACCGACGAAGGCATCAAAGCCGAACGCTGCTGAGGCTGGGATGTCGAAAGATGCAATTGAAGCATTGATCGAGCGAAAAGTGACTGAGGCACTGGCTGGTCGTGTTGACCAGAGCACTGTCTCGTCAGGAGATGTCATCTCCGACGAAGTGCAGAAGAGGCTGGATGCATTGGAGAAGCGTGTTGAGGGGCAAGAGACTGAACGAGCAGAAGGTCTACAGTACCTGCTCATGGCGAAACAGCACCAGGTCCGTGGCGAAGACGTGAGCGCATTGAAGATGTATCAGTTGGCACTGCCTTTCTTCAGTGACAATCAGAAGCTTGTCCGCAAGATGGCTGCTCTGCAGGAGAAGATCAATGTGAAGAAGGCAGAGAAACATGCGGCGGCTGAGATACAGGATGAGCCAGAGCCGGAACCTGTTCCAGTTGAGAAGCCTGCAGTTCGTCGGAAATTGAAGACCGACGAGGACGACGACTACCACGAAGAGCACGATGACGGCCCGAATCATGACGACGAGGACAGCTTCATCTACAGACCACGAACCAAGATACGACGACCACAACTGAACAACCGCATGGCGCCCATTCAACCGGCCGTAAAACACTCGCCGACACCCGAGGAAGACTCGGAAGATGAGTTGGCGAACTCTTTACTCAATCAGACTCCGCGAACGAAGCAGCTGCTCGACATCATCAACACCAAGGATGTCAGCAAGATCAAGTTGCTCAAAGGTGTTGGTGCGAAGAAGGCTGAAGCCATTGTGAACTGCCTCTGCGATCTCGATGATAGTGTCACATCGTTGGGACAATTGGGCAAGCTGAAGGGCGTGGGCGTCAAGACCGTCGAGAACATGCGCACTGGATTGCAAGCATAGCGAGGGGTTTGAGCATTTGGATATGGCGTTTGTTTGGGCATTTCCGATCCGGGAAGTCATTCCGAATAGCAAGCGTTGGCGTTGGGGCAGGATGCGGATTGGAGAAACTTTTTCACGGCTTCTAGAGTCGTCAGTACTGGTGGACGACAAATCGTAACGTCCATAAGAGAGGCATTGAATACGTTTACTACTTCTAGGTGCCTCGCCACCAATCTATCTTATCATATATCTTGTCGTCCGTACCCTGGTTTCGACAATCAGATTAGTATACCACCCGGCGTGGCGAGTGGCTGAGCTTACTAACAAACCTTTGCAAGGTTCCCACCAGATCGAGCATGTGTACCTGGTCGATCCCGCACCTCTTTCGTGCAGACAGGGCAGAATCCCGCGGCATCTGGGCGGACAGAACATCCGGGCAGGCAAGGCAAGCAAGCAACACATAATACCGGAACGACATGTAAGCGTTCTGCTGCAACACCACCAACCAACCGGGCCCCCAAGAAAGATGGAATCTTCTTCATCCATCAGCAAAAAGTCACTCCACAATAACAGCAGCAGTACCACCGCCCCTCACGTCGAGGATCTTCTTACTTATCTCCCCACGTACAGGGTTCTGATATGTAAAGACTGTCACTTCGCCATCCAGCCGTCGGCGCTGTCGTCGCATCTCCTGCGGCATGGCTTCTACCGCGGCAATCGCAAGAAACTGACCAAGACGCTCGAGCAGCTGGACCTCGCGGAGCCCGAGGATGTCCCTGTGCCCAGCGTGGATGAGGCCGCGGTGGAGGGACTACCTGTGGGGGAGGGGTGGGTTTGTGAGTTTGTTGATGGGGAGGGTGGTGGTGGGGCAGGGTGTGGACATGCGTGTATGGCGGAGAAGCGCATGGCGGCGCATTGGAGGGAGGTGCATGATCGGCATCATGTTAGTGAGGTTAAGGCAAGACGGGCAAGGCTGCAGACGTTTTTTCGTGGGAGTAAGACGAGGTATTTTGAGGTTGAGAGGGGGGTTGTTAAGGTGGAAGGGGATGGGGAGGGGGATGGGAAGGGAGTTGTGGGTGGGGGTGTGAGGAGGCCGGCGTTGGGAGCGAGGAATGATACCGCGGAGAGGTTTTATGGGGCTGTTGGCGAACGGGTGGAGCAGAAGGGGGATGTCCATGAGGGGAATGGGAACGGACAGGAGAGGAGAGGGAGCGTCTCGGGGGATGGCTTAGGCCCAGCCTTACAACTCCAAGACCTCACCCTGCTCCACTACTGGCACATCCGCACGGGCGCGACCATCTCCCGGGGCGCAAAAGAAGACGGCGCCTACTGGACCAACACCGTCACCGGCCTCGCACTCGAAAGCGAATTCCTCATGCGCTCTCTCCTCGCCATGACCGCCGTCCACTGCGCCTACCTCGGAATCAAGAACCACGCCCCGAAATCCCAGATCCGCGCGTACCACAACGCCGCGTTGACGCACCACTCGCACGGGCTCGCGGGGTTCCGCAAGGCCCTCGAGGAAGGCATCACGGCGTCCAACGCGGAGACGTTCGCGTCGAGCGGACGCTTGCTGGGGCTTGCGTTTGGCGCGGGCGTCGTGGCGGACGATTGGCTCGAGGAACATTCCCATCCGTACGACTCGCCGTCGCCGCAGGAGTTCTTCAATCGCTCCTCGGTAGGTCCCCTCGAATTCCTCTTGCTGGTGCGAGGAAGCGTCGAGATCCAAGTGAGCGCACAGGGAGCTTTTGGGTGGGACACGCCGTTCCGCCTTCCCGCAGAGATTCTGAATGCGTTTGCGTATCCCTCGCCGATTTCGTCGGGGAGTCCTGGCGAAGGCAGTCTCGATCCACGACTGGCGGCTTGCGTCGCCGCAGCAGACTCCGTCCGGCGTCCCACGACCGACACGCAGGCCCTCGACTCGGCCATCGCCTCGCTCTCCTTCTGCTACGCGGGTGGCCTGCCCTCGCACCCGGAAACCCCCATCGACGAACACACCCTCTGGATGCACAGCCAGGCGTGGCCGCGGCTCGTGTCGGAGACGTATCTCCTGCTCCTCCAAGCGGAGGACCCGGCGGCGTTGATTGTGTATGCGCATTGGTGTTATTTGGTCCGGAGGCTGGAGGGCGTCAGTTGGTATTTGCAGGGCATGAGCGGGAAGTTGGTCGAGGGGATTCAGTCGCGGATGAGGGAGCAGGGGTATGTCCTGGAGGGGTGTTTGGGCGAGACGGAGAGGTTGTTTGAGGGGTTTGAGACGAGGGGTTGAGGGGTGGGAGGAGGGTTTTGGGTTTTGGGTGTTAGGTCGAGACGATTTCGTTTTTGGTGGGAGAATTGCTTGATGTTGTGCTGCTTGGATAGATGCTGGGCGGATGTATCAAGCGCTTCTGGAAGGCGGGTTTCGGCGTCGAAGCAAGGAGTATGTCGCACCATCTCACACTGTACACAATAACGAAGCAATGAAATGAAAAACGTCAGACAACATCAAGACTGCCACTCGGCCGCATTCCACTGTCGTATCTAAAGGAGCATCACGGGCCCTTCGAACACCCTTCGCTGACAAAACACATAATAGACACTACCTCCAATCACCCAGCCCCCAAGCACGAGAGACGAATAATTCATATTCTCCGGGGTCACGGGCTTATAGCTAGGGAACATGCTGAAGAGCATAGCAAGGGCCCCCCACAGGAGTGCGATGGTGTTGATCGTCGAGCCTGCGAGATGTCAGTATAGTTAAAACCATTGAGGTGGTGTAGGAGATATCATACCCCATCTCCCAAGCGAAAACCACCCCTTCGCAGGACCCGCTCCCGACCTCCGTCCATACCACAGCATAAACCCAATTGGCAGCACGTAAGAAGCATACATGCCCAGAATCGACATGGACAGGATGGCGTTGAAAGCCGTCGTATTCCCAATATAGATCAACCCGAGCAGAAACTGCAGAACCGTGAGCAGAACACACATCCTCACGGGAATCTGGCTCTTATGCCCGAGATGGCTATAATATCCACTAAACGGAAACGCGCGATCCCGCGCAAACGCCCACGCCGTGCGGCTGGTGGACGTCAGGCCGGCGGAGTTGGCGGCGAGGGCGGTGAGGGCGTGAAAGAGGGTCATGATTGTCGCGGCGACTTGGTTTTGCGTGACGTTGTAGTAGAGCTGGACGAAGGGGAAGCCCGTGGCGGTCTGCAGGAGCACGTCGAGGTCGCCGAGGCAGTAGAGGAAGACGATGCAGAAGATGAAGCCCATGAGGCCGTTGATCAGGATGGAGCCGAGCATGGCGATGGGGACGTATTTGGAGGGGCGGGGGAGTTCTTCGGACATGTGGGCGGCGGCGTCGTAGCTTTTGTCATTGTCAGTTTGGTGTGTGCGAGGGGTGTTGGTGCTACGAACCCTAGGAAAGGGTAGACTGTCGATAGCAGGCCGACGAGCCAGGAGATGCCGTTCGAACTCCATCCGCTGGTGTTGGAGAAGTCTGTAAAGACATACTCCGAAGTGTTCTTGTCCTTCGTCATAACTCCAAGTATGACCACGATAATGACGAAGCCCACGACGTGAAGGATGCCAGCAGCAACGTTGGTGTTTGCCAGAATCCTCGACCCGTACACGTTGATGACCAAGGAGTATGCGAGCACCATCCAGTAGAACATGACGCCGTGCCATCGCTGCGGGACGTAGCTTGGGTTGTTGAGGATGAGCAGGGCTTGGAATAGGAGCCCGGATGACAAGGCGGCTGATGCAGTTAAAGCGAGTTGTCCGCCTATGGAGATCCAGCCTGTGATCCATGATGCGAAGGGGCGGATGTTGTGAGGTGCGAAAGCGGCGACCCAGTGGTACTGTCCTTGAAAGATTCATCTCCTTAGTTCGAGCGTCCACTGCGGCACTGATCGTTCTCACTCACCTCCTGCGGTCGGGTATATACTAGCGATCTCTGCCATCGAAGCGGCCAATGCCAATGTCCCCAGGAACGAAATTATATAGTTGTAGAAGAGGCAAGGAGGCCCGCCATTCGTCAAAGCAGATGTGACAACCGTAGCCAGGGCCTCCCATGTTGCCATGAGGCAGACCAAGAGAGCCCCCAACGACCAGACATTGAACCCTTCTCGAAGCTCTTCTGTCTCTCCAGGTTTGACCGCTGACATGACGGGCTCGAGAGTGAGCTCAGATCCCTTGGTCGGTTCATGGCTCTTGTCGATTGAATCGTGGCCTGTCATTCTGCCTAGTATGAAGGTATGGTAATGATCGGAGAAAACGTGACTTTAGGCAAATGCAACAACAAACTTCCAAACTCGAACGGCTTGTCCTTGTTACAAGAGTAATAAGGTGTAGCCTCAACTTACATTCGAATACCCGAGGGGTACATCTAGATCTACATACTAGGCGGAACATAGGCTTTGGACGGCATTGCTCCGCGCTGGAAGTAGATCCGCCTAGTTAGGAAGACTCAGGTCGCTATTCTCTGTTGTAATACTGTTAGAGCAAAGGGCGTCGAGATAAGAGTGCCTCGTTCAGTCGATAGATAACACTGCTTCTTATCTGATCCTGGTCCTGGCGAGATAGCATGACCCACCGAGATGTGCGTTGTTAATGTCATTCGTGGCGTTCCAATGTGAAGTCTTCGAGTGGCGGCAGGCCGTAAATTTTAGCAAATCAACTTTAGCGAGAGGACTTCAAGCATCAAGAAGGGACAGAGGAGCGCACAGGAATCGGGAGCCTTATGAGTCCAGTTCAGAGTCATGGTCAATGCTCCGTGGTCAGGCAATGGGGTCGTCTCGGTGAAAGTGGATCACGTCGCGCGCGGACCCCGGAGCAACCTCCTTGTCGTAGTCACGAGTGGTTGAAATTTCCAGAAGAGGCAAAGAATGAGCGACAGCCTTGGGGTATCCAAGCCCAGGCGTGGTTGTGAGTTGGTCTTTGCTATGTGTCAAGCCCACGGCACTAGGAGGAGTTGCTGTCGCTGGAGACAAGCTCACGCTCATTGGCCAATGCTGTCCCACATTGAAAGCGGCTGTCCAAAAAGAGCAAGTACAGCCGAACTTGCGGAACGCAATCGCTGCGGTACGATTTCCGGGCTCGACCTTACCACTTCACCAACCAATGCGTGAACCAAGAGATCGTTGGTTTCGCATTCAGGCTGAGTCAAACGACCAGAATACGTGGAGTATATCATCTAGCTTCCCCATACCTCGAGCTTTCATATCACCTTCACCTTCTGAAGTACCCCAACCTCTCCTTTCCCGAATACTCCACAATACCATCTTGATATACACCCAACATGGCGCCCCACCCCCTCCAGCAGCTCTCCTACCAAGAGACAGAAATAGCGAAAGACATCATCATCTCAGAGCACGACCAGAACGAGGTCATCCTTCTCAGAGAGATCTTCCTCCAAGAACCTGCCAAAGCCGAGTTGAAGAAGTTCCTGGCCCTCGAGCACGCGGGCAGCCTTACAGAATCGTCTCCTCGCCCGTCACGTCTGGCGAGGTGTCAGTACGATGTTATTGGTTCTGATAAGATCCCGTATTTCCACGAGGCTGTTGTCGACGTCTCGAAGAAAGCTCGTATTGAGCATGAAGTTGTTGGCAAGGAGCACCAGGCGCCGCTGATTCTGTTCGTCAGACTCCAACCCCATGTACGATCTCCAGCTGACTGTTTCTCAGCTCTGAGTTCGACCACCTCGTAGAATGCGTCGAAGCATCGCAAGAATTCAAGGACGCTCTCGCCGAATTCGAACTGCCCGAAGGCTTCGACATCATTGTGGAACCCTGGCCCTATGGCGGACCCGATGAGGAAGATGGCAACACACGCTTCTTCCAAGGCCTCGTCTTTGCCTACGACAAGAGGAAGGGCAACGCCGACACAAACTTCTACCCCTACCCGCTGCCTCTGATCCCGGTCATGGATGCTCAGACAAAGAAAATCGTCAAGATTGACAGACTGGCTACTGGCGGCAAGGGAGACGCTCTAGATGGCAAGACTCATATCAAGAAAGTCCTTGATCATTGCAAATCTGCAGAGTACGTTCCAGAGCTGCTGCCAAACGGCACCAGAAAGGACTTGAAGCCATTGAACGTCTCACAACCGGAAGGACCATCTTTCTCCGTGACCGACGACTCCCTAGTCGAATGGCAAAGATGGAGATTCCGAGTCACCTTCAACCCCCGTGAAGGCGCCGTCATCCACGACGTAACCTACGACGGCCGAAGCATGTTCTACCGCCTCTCCGTCAGTGAGATGACCGTCCCATACGCCGATGCCAGGAATCCCTTCCACCGAAAGCAGGCCTTTGATTTTGGAGACGGTGGAGCTGGAAACTGTGCGAATAATCTCTCGCTTGGGTGCGATTGTCTCGGTGTCATCAAGTACTTCGATGGCGTTCTTGTTGCTGGCAACAATGAGATCAAACATGCTCCCAATGTAATTTGTCTGCATGAGCAAGACAACGGCATTGGTTGGAAGCATACCAACTGGAGGACTGGCCGTGCGGTTGTGACTCGTAACCGCGAGTTGGTTGTTCAGTTTATCATCACGTAAGTCCTCCCGGCCCTAGCCCCTTTGTCTCCCACAACTTCACCTCGACCAAGCTACTCAACACAACGGCTGCAATATCAAGACTACAATGCCACTGAGAATTTCGCTAACGATCTCACAGCCTCGCCAACTACGAATATATCTTCGCGTACAAATTCAACCAAGCCGGCGGCATCGACATTGAGACCCGCGCCACAGGCATCGTCTCCGTCGTCAACATCGACCCAGGCAAACAATCCGACTACGGCAACGTCGTGGGCCCCGGAGTACGTACACCCAAACGAACCCTTCGTCATGACCCAAAGACATTCGCTAACATTTCTTGCTTCTGTTCAAAGGTTCTAGCACAGGCCCACCAACACATCTTCGCCCTGCGCATCGACCCCGCCATCGACGGCCACACCAACACCATAATCCAAGAAGACTCCCTCCCCGTCCCCATGAACCCCAGCACAAACCCCCGCGGAAACTACTACGAAGTCCGACGAACCCCCCTCGAAACCTCCTGCCACGCCGACGCCTCCCCCTCGACCAACCGCGTCTTCAAAATGATCAACGAATCCAAACTAAACCCCATCAGCGGCAAACCCGTAGGCTTCAAACTCGTGCCGCCACCCACCCAGCTCCTCCTCGCCGACCCCGCGAGCATCCAATCCCGCCGCGCGGCTTTCGCGCATCACCATATCTGGGCGACGAAGTACGTCGATAACGAACTCTACGCCGCGGGGCGGTATACCATGCAATCGCGCACGGAGACGGGGGGCGTGGCGGACGCCGTGGCGAGGCAGGATAATATCCGCAACGAGGACGTCGTGGTCTGGAATGTTTTCGGTCTGACGCATAATCCGCGCGTGGAGGATTGGCCGGTTATGCCGGTGGAGATTCATACGGTGGGATTGCGGCCGAGTGATTTCTTTGAGGCGAATCCGGCGATTGATGTGCCTAGTAGTAAGAATTTGGAGAGCAAACTTGTCAACGGGGCCGGCGTGCAGACGAATGGAGCGCAGAGTAATGGGTGCTGCAATGGGGATGGGGTGACGAATGGTGTGAATGGCACGAACGGGGCGCAGGAGATGAGGCTGCCTAATTTGAGGTAGATGATCATGAAGGCATGACTTGAAACCGTGTCTATGCAGTATGAAACATGCTTTTCAGAATACACTACATCAAAACTATTGCCAAACGACTTCAACTATACAAGACACATGCATGCTAATCCCCACTTGACCCCTTTTACACAATCCGACTATACCCACCGCCGACCATCCCCGCCCTCCTCCTCCTCTCCCACCACTTCCGCCCCTCATCAACCCAAAGCACCAAACTCGCCATCGCAACCAATCTAACAAGATCCAACGCCCCCAACGCCTCCGTCTGAAACACGCTCTGCAGCGGCGGGAAATATATCACGAGCCCTTGACCCAACAAACTGCCCAGAACGGCGTAATTGAACATCTTGTTCCCCTCGGCTTTGTCCCCGTCGAAGATGGGGACTTCGCCGAGCAGGACGGATTTCGACGCGGAGCGGCAGGTCAGGGCGTTGAACATGTCGAAGAGGACGAATTGCGTGAAGGTGAGGGTCGTGTCGCGGGCGGAGACGCTGTGCGCGACGAGGTCGGAGGGCGTGAGGTTGGAGACGTAGGTGAAGAGGGTTCCGAGGAGGATGATGATGGCGGATTGGAGGACGCGGCGGATGAGGCGCGGGGTGAGGACGCGGGCGTTGCGCGGGCGAGGGGGTTGCGTTAGGAGGGCTGGGTCGACGGGTTCGACGCCGAGGGATTGTGCGGGTGGGCCGTCCATCAGGATGTCTGTGGTCGAGTCAGCAGGAGATGGTGTAGTATGGGGGAAGGAGTAGACTCACTGATCCAGAGGATTTGCATAGCATTCAGGGGGTTCTTCCACCCTCCCAGCGAACTCATCATCACCAGCCCCAATGCCGCCACACTAGTGCTCAGCTGGAATGTGAGGAAGTTTTGGATGTTGTAGAAGATGCCTTTGCCTTCTTCAATGGCGCTGAGGATGGTGCTGAAGTCGTCGTCTGTCAAAATCATGTCGGCTGCCTCCTTGGCGACGTCAGTCCCCAACTTGCCCATGCTGATGCCAATGTCTGCTTTCTTCAGCGCTGGGGCATCGTTGACGCCGTCTCCAGTCATAGCGACCACGTCTCCGCGCTTTTGTAGTGCGCTGATGATCTTTAGCTTGTGATCTGGGCTGGTTCGTGCAAAGATGGATATCCGTGTCATCGCTTCGGCAAGCTCAGCTTCACTCATTTGATCCACCTGGTCTCCTCGCAAAACGGGAGAACCAATGGCTGACGACATGTTGACAGGCATACCCAGCTTCTTTGCGATGGCAATGGCAGTGGTCTCGGCATCACCAGTGATCATGATCACCTTGACACCACCAGCCATAAGCCGTCGAATCGATCTGTCGACTCCTTTCCGAGGCGGGTCAGACATGCCGACGAGACCAGCAAAACATAGTCCGTTGTAAGTGTCTTCGCTCAGTTGATTCGTAGCAGAACGTCCCAGCATAGACGCAGGTGTGGAAGAGCGGGACTCCCCTACGGAGCGGCTTTTGCTAACATCTCGACTTGCTCTCACTCGAACTGGTCCAGAGGCAAATGCAAGAACACGGAGACCCTCTTCGGCCATCTGCCGTGCAGCTTGGTCCACCTCTTGCCTTCTTCTTTCATCCAGAACCACCTCTCCGCCTTGCGTTGAGATGTAGGTGTCACATCTGCTGATGACTCTCTCCAGTGCACCCTTGATATACGCAGTGTCGTCACCATCCATGCCTCCAACAATCACTCCCATCCATTTGCGTTCGCTTGAGAAGGCTACTTCATGTTTACGTTCTCCAATTCGGGCACGTACGTCATCTTCGTGGAAAGTGTCCAGGAGGTCCAGAAGGGCAACATCCGTTGGCTGACCTGCCCACCGACTCTTAGCATTTGCCAGGTCGTCAGCACCACCTGTATTCGCTAGGACTGCCGCACTGGCTGCAGTGACAGGGCCGTGACTGTGTGTGTTAAGTCGTCCGTTGTTGACGATGTTGGTTGTCCTCAGGACTGCTTGGGTGGTCGCACCGTTGGGAGAGTCACTCTGAACTTTCGTCACATCCTGGGGCTGATCGTGGCCAAAGCTCCACATCTTGGTCGCCGTCATGTGGTTGACAGTAAGTGTGCCTGTCTTGTCCGAGCAGACGACATTCACTGAACCTAGCGTCTCCACGGACGGAAGTCGCCGGACAATCGCATTTCGTTTGCTCATTCGCAGTACGCCCAGAGCGAGTGTCACTGTCACAATGATAGGCAGACCCTCTGGAATGGCTGCAACAGCCAAAGAGACACCGATTTGGAAAAGCTCTAGGAACTTCATGCCTCGCCAGAGTCCAACCAGCATGATCAAGCCGATGACGCCAAAAGACATGTAGCTGAGGTCCTTACCCAAGCGATCCATGCTTTGCTGTAATGGCGTTCTCGGCGACTCGATCTCCTGTAGTGAGGCACTGATTGCGCCAAACTCCGTGTCGCCGCCAGTCCCAATGACGACACCCTGTCCATATCCCGAGCGTACCAGTGTTCCCTGGAAAGCGATGTTTGTCTGATCGTTCAGCCTGATCTCTCCATTCGCTCCCAGCCTGCTCGATTCCAGCGTTGCTGCATCGGTACTGCCGTTCATGTACGTCCCTACTGAGATGGTATCTGCGCTCTTTCCCACAGGCTCATTCTCCCCGGTAAGATTGCTCTCATCGATGCTCAGATCTGCCGCATGCGTTATACGAATGTCAGCCGGTATCCTGTCGCCGGTGTGAAACATGACCAGATCTCCAGTCACGATCTGAGAAGCAGATATAGTCGTGCTGGCCTTCTCAGCTGCCGGCAGATCGCTGTTCCCTGGCCCCTTTGCTTCGCCATTCTCCACTGACCCAGATGCTCGCCTGTGTTCGTCCGCAGCTGTCCGTATCACGTGCGCATAATGAGGCACCAGCGAATTCAACGCTTCCAAGCTCTTCTCACTCCTGTACTCCTGCACAAAGGCCACTGTCACGACGATAGTGACAGCAATGGCTATTGATATTGCGTCCTCAAAGTTACCCATAATAGCTGAGATCGCCGCGCTTGCCAGTAACAGCAGGATGAGAGTCTCCTTGAACTGCTTGACAAACCGCAGCCATAGCGGCTCTGGCTCTTCCTGTGGCAGCTCATTTGGTCCCTGCACATGTAGCCGCGTGGAAGCGTCCGACGGGTGCAAGCCATGGATTAGAGAAGTAGAATGTTTCTCTGCGACTTGGTCTGGAGTGAGGGTCGCGTGCTGAGCGGTCACCGACTGCTGGCCTGGGATCTTGACCCGACTGACGCTTCTCGAATGTCCCCTGCCATTGTTGTCGGGCGGAGGCTGCAGATGCGCAGAAGGGGTCGAGGGCCGTGGGTCGTTGTGCAGAGGGATTATAGGAGAATCGGTTCGGGACATCGCTCGCCCACAGCCATGAAGCACGCTGTCACTGTCCAATGCTTAAGGTCTCGAAGGTGCGCGCATTTGGGGGGAGGTCGGCGGATCGGTGCTGATCGGGTTTGTCGTGTGGGTTCTTTGACGTTTGCGGTGGTCAATAGGCGGAATTGGTGGGATATGAGTGAAAGGTGTATACAGGCACGGCCAGTCCAGGCTCTCTCCTTCCCCAGACGAAGCTCGGCCTCGTCGCCGCCAGCTTGTTGGCCTATAGCCTATACTGCTCGTGGCGCCGCCGCGGAAGTGATGCGCTTTCGGTTTGGCTGCCTGCGGGAACAGCCGCCTCGACCAAACCGAAGCCTCCAGCCACCCGGAATGTCACCAGCTCCGCGACTCTCACAAGCCCTCCTCTCTTCCACTCCCACCATCAACACCACCTCCACCACCACGACATTGCTCAGCGGGTACGCGATACGGATTGGAACTGGCCCAGCGGCATCACCGGAATGATCATTGCCTAATCACCCCCCGGCGCCGTCACCAGACGCGGTCGCGTCACACCAAAACAACAACAAACCCACTACGCGCCAACACCGCAAACATCTCCCACAACACCCGCCGCCCTTTCAAATACACTTCATCGCCGTCGCAAACACATCTTCTAATCCAAACACGCCAACATGTTCTATTCAGAGTCGCTGTTGACCAAGACCGGGCCGTTGGCTCGCGTTTGGCTGGCCTCTAATCTCGATCGAAAGCTCAACAAACAGACCGTCCTGCAGTCCAATTTGCAGGACAGCGTGAGGGATATCATTGGGGAGAATGCTGCACCTATCGCTTTACGAATGAGTGGGCAGCTGCTGCTCGGTGTCGTCAAGATCTACAACAGAAAGACAAAGTACTTGATGGACGACTGCAGCGAAGCCCTGCTCAAAATCAAGATGGTACGACACACGATATCGTTGAGTAATAACGCAGGACTAATTGTTAAAGGCCTTCCGTCCTGGGAATGTTGATCTTCCCAGCGATCAATCCCACAAGGCCAACCCGCACACTTTGATGCTCGCAGACACCATCACAGAAGTGGACCTTTTCGCACCGCTTCCAGATCCCGAAGAGCTGCTACGAGCACCCGAAGAGCGCGCACCTGGACAGGACTCTACCCTCCTCGATTTTGGAATGAGTCAAGTCATGGATAGTCAGACCCCCAGCCGACCCAAAGAGAGACGTCTTCTCGAACTTGACGACGATGACCTTGGCCTGGATATTGGTCTTGAGCCTGGTCAGGATGCCATTAGATCGCCCGCAATGAGTGAGGGGCCGTCCATCGAACAGGGACGTCGTGCAGCCACCCCTCGCAACGATGAGCCAACTCTCCTCGAAGATGACGACCTTGGCCTGGATCTTGGCTTTGGCGTGGGAGATGACACTACTCTTGGTCGCGAAGCCTCCATGCGGCCTGGTACAGCAGGCGACGGCATGCTCTTGAATGACGATGACATGCCAATGGGCGGCATGGGCGATGACGAAATCGACCGGGCAAACCAGAATGCCCTCCTTCGCGCAGACCAAGCCACCGAACAAGCGCGTCGATCGGAATCTCCCCTCTCATCTGTTCGTTCCAGTGTGGGGCGCGATCTGGAGCAGACGTTTCAACTCAGCCAGGCTCAGATGGACGACGATACTGATGCCACCATCATTCAAGCTCCTCAGCGTGTTAAGCGGAGAAAGGTTATGCAGATGGACTCTGAGACGACCCTTCACAACAGCCAGATCAAGAAGCAGCAGGATGATCGTAATGCCATCATCAAAGCACCTACATTCTTGCCACACGACCCAGTGTTGCTTCAGCTCATGGAGATGCAGCGAAATGGTACCTTTGTTAGTAACCTGATGGGTGATGGACGCATGCAGGGTTGGGCTCCAGAGCTTCGTGGCATCCTCTCTCTCGAGGTGGTGCGGAAAGCAGGTGATAAGAAGCGCAAGCGAGACTCAGGCATCGCAGACGTTGAGACCGACGGCGAGCAACAAGACGCTCCTCAGCTCGAGATTCCACAGGAAGATGAAGGCTTCCAGATAAATGCTGGCGCGGACGACTTCGGTGCCACTGTTCACTCAGACGGTATCCAACCCCAGCAAGACGACGAACTTGACAACGAGCAAGACAACTACGACGAAGAGCCCGTCAACTTCGACATCACCGAAGCACCTCTCCTGCACCCATCACAATCCGGCCCCGTCGCACTGGGCACCAAGAAGATGGTCCACATGCTCCGCGACCACTTCGCCCCAGAACACCCCAAGACCGCCAACGAGCCACCGACCCCATCCAAACGCGTCAAGGCATCCGCCCTCTTCACCGACCTGTGCCCCGAAAAGCAAACATCCCGGCAAGACGCCACGAAGATGTTCTTCGAGCTGCTCGTCCTCGGCACCAAGGACGCCATCAAAGTCGAGCAGGACAACAAGGAACTCGGCCTGCCGATCCGCGTTCGCGGCAAGCGTGGTCTCTGGGGCGACTGGGCTGAGCTGCAGTCTGGCGGCGAGATTGCGAGCCAGAGTCAACAGCAGGAGCATGTCGCTGGTGCTGTTGAGGCATCTTGATTCTGACTTGGGTCTTGAGATTTGTTCTTCTTGTTCTTGTATGAGATACGTTAGCGAAGGCGCCCGTGGCGTCTTGATGCTTGAAGGGGAGTTGCGGGACAAGGGTTGCATTCTTGAGACTTTTTGGGGGGTCTTGATTGATGAGACCTTTCTTGTGTGATATCCCATTCGCGGAGAGTACTAGTAAGCGAGCGAGGTGGGGAAAAGGAAGGAAGAGATGAGATTCTTGTCGCAGTTCACAGGATTAATGCAATGAAGTACAACACGACTGAAATGGTTCTTTCTTTCTTTTTCAAAGTCTGTTTGATTTACTACTGTACGCTTTCTCGCTTTTTCTTTTCACTGACCTAAACTACCTGTCCTATCCATCCGTGCTGTCGATATCTTTGTCACATAAAAAGCACATCCCATCCATGTCCCCTCTCCATTACAACAGCGCACATCCACATCCACTTCCCCAGATCCCCCCAATCAACCTCTCAACCTCCCAATCAGAAAAACGTGCCCCCCTTCTTCTCCTCCCCAGCAGCCTCCCCAGCAGCCTCCTCCGCGCCCTCCTTCGCCTCCTCCCCAGCCTCCTCGACCTGCTCCTCCTTGGGCTTGCGATTCTTGCCCGAGATCCCGCCCCACACGCCCGAGGCCAACCCGCCGACGCCTTTGCCTACGCCGCCGACTGTGGATCCGACGCCTATGATATGTTCGTTAGCACAAGCACAGGTATAGGGGATTTGGACAGGGGAAGAGAAGGTGTGGGGACATACCACCAATAACATCTCCCTTGCCGAGTTTTCCCACGCCCTCGCCGACACCGCCCGTGACGCCCGAGACGGTATCGCCCACGCCTTTGGTCACGCCCTCGACGGCTCCGCCTGCGCGGCCGGGGATGTATCCGCCGACGTTCTTGCCGACGCCTTCGATTGAGTCGCCCTAGAATTACACACGGAAACGTCAGTACATCTTTGATGACAGGGTGGTCATTGGGGGAGAGGGAGGGAAGTGAGGTGAGGAACGTACAGCTCCCTTGCCGACTCCGTCGACGGTTTGGCCTACGCCGCCTGTGGCCCCGGAGGCGACGCCGCTGATGTCGCCTTTTCCTATGGCGGAGGAGGTGTCGCCGACGGTTTTTCCTAGGCCGGAGGTCGCGCCTGAGACGGTTTTGCCTACGTTGCCGGTTGTGTCGCTGACCGTGTTGCCGACTGGGCCGCCCTGGGGAGAGGGTTAGTTGGGTTGGGCTGAGGGAGGAGGGAGATGGTACTTACGACTGTGCCGCCGAGGGTTTTGCCTGCTCCGCCGCTGTGGGGGTGGTTAGTTGGTGGAAGGGGATTGGGTGGGTGGTTGGGAAGAGTTACATGGTGCCTTCGACGCCTTTGCCTACGCCGGAGACGGTAGAGCCAGCCTAGACACTTTGTCAGTTTCTTAGAGGTCAAGAGGTCGCCGCTATGTCTTACCCCTTGGCCTACACCACCGACAGTCCGTCCAACACCCTATCAAACGTTAGCACTCCACCACAAGTCCTCAGCAATCGCAAAGACATCTATACCTTCGCAACACCCGTCCCCACGCCCTTAATATCCCTCCTCTGCACTGCACTCGCCGTATCCTTGCCCGTCTGCGCAAGATCTCCCATCGCACCCCCAGCGGTATTCGAGATATTCTTGCCCGCACCCTGCGCCGTCGCGCCCACATTCTTCGTAGCGCCCGAGACAGCCGACGTAGCGCCCTGTCCGACCTGGTTGACCTTCTTCGTAGCGGGGGCTGTGCGTCCCCCGGAGGCTTTGTCGAGGGAACCTGTGACCACAGATCAGCGCGTTCGATCGAGGGCGGCTTTCCACCGGGACGTGAGGAAGGAGGGGAGCCATTGCTCGACGGAGCGGGCATCTGTGCGGAAGTCTAGTCGTTCTGGTGGTGGTGGATAGGACTCACCTGTAGCAGCGCCCACGCCCTTGTTGACTGCGCCGCCGGCGCCATCGACGGTCTTGTTCGCGGCGTTCACACCCGTTCCCAGCCCCTTCTGCGCGGCGCCGGTAGCCTTTCCTGTGGCCTTTTGTGCGGTGTCTCCACCTGTTTCAGCGGCATCATCTAGTGCGCCTGTTGGCGCTGGTTTCTTGTTCTGTGGTCTGACTGCTGGGGGCGGAGGCTTTTTCTTCAGAGGAGTCGAAGTACCGCTCGCTGGGGAGGCGGGTGCCTTTGCTCCTCCAGTCGCTTGTCCTACGGCCTTCTGTGGCTGGGCTGGGATAGGTTTTTTCGCGGGCGTCTTCGCCGGTGTAGGTCCTCCACTGCTAGCTGGCTTGCTGGGAACTGGCTTCTTCAGTGGAGTCCCTCCTGCCGCAGGCGTAGCCGGCTTCTGAGGCGTTGGCTTCGCGGGTGCTTTCGTGGGTGTAGAAGCTGGCTTCTGGGGAGTGGCAGCGCCTGGTGGTTTCTTCGCAGGAGGAGCGCTCTTAGCTGGAGAGTCGACATTGGGAGCCGCTGGTTTGGCTGGAGCTTTCGCTGGTGGAGCTTTCGCTGGAGGAGCTTTCTCTGCTGGCGGTGCCTTTGTTGCTGTTGGGGGCTTGTTAGTCGGAGGCTTCCTTGGAGGTGCCTTTTTGGGCAGCTCGTTGTCAACCATGGAGATCTTCTGCATACCAGCTGGGCATTGGGTCAGCACGTCTCACTTTGGGAAGCTTTGTAAAAGAAGAAAGCGGTCGAAAACATTCATTTGGACATTCGAGCACCTCAGCGTGCTGATTCGAATTGTCTGCGCACCGAGTCGAACGGGCAACATACTAACGTAGTAGTATCCCGCTGCGGCGGTCGCAGCAGCCATGGGAAGTGCCCTCCATAGGTATCCCGATGTACTCGACGTACCTTGGAGCTGGTCCTGCTGCTTCTTCAGATCGTTGACAGCCGATGACATGCTGTCGGTTCTCCTCTTCAACGAGACACTGCAAACAACAACGATATAATCCCAAAGCAAGTATTTAGAGAGTATGGAAGAGAGGGAAGAGAGTAGAAGCCCAGCCAAGTTTTACACAGACGCGTCCAGGAGGAGAGGCGCACGAGGCATGCGCCTCATCCAGAGCTCTGTCGCCAGAGAGCTCTCACAAGCTACGTCACCGTCGCGATGCGTGACATCGCTGGAGGTGGCTAGAATCCAGGTTTTGAGGAGGATTTCGACCCGATGTCGTCGAGAAGGCGTTTTATTGGCTGTCGCTGAGACTTGGCCGGTGCGCTTGTGGGGGTCGTTGCCGATTGATGAACTGTGGCCGTGCGTTTTTTGATGAGCGTGTGATGGTGGGAGTCTTCTCTTCTCTTCGTCTTCTTCACCCTTCAGCGAGCACAGTGCGGAAAGGTGTCGAGGCAAGGCACTTCGTCTGCAGTGGCTCGCCGGCTTGAAGGTGCTGCTCTAAGACACATAGCAGCGCCCGCCTTGGAAGAAGTCGCCCGTTCAGTTCTTCCGCATCGTATAGCAGGCCATTTGCGTCGGTTTCCAGCGAATATGTCCAGGAAACATGTTCTCGTCCGTGGTATCATTCTCTATTCTCAGGCGAAGAGGTGTCGACACGAAGTCTTGATGTTGGTTGAAGTGATGGAGAAAAAGAAAGTGGCTGGAGAGAGGTGAAGTCGAATTAAGCCCCCGGCGGACCATCGCACTTGCCATTCATAGTGCTGTGCTATGCCACATCAATCCTGGACTGGTTGTCCCAAGAAATTGGTTACGAGGATTTTGGAAGAGCAATGTGCGTTGTTGGCCAGGATCGTACCAAGGGCGACGGTGAGATGATGTCCGCCTCCTGAAGAGATGCAATATACCGCTGGCCGTGGATTCGAACAACTAGGCCAATCATGGCGAGACTTGACCTGATCCATTCACTTCAAGAGTGCCCTATACTTACGGACGAAGGTGATTGAGTGCAAAGCCACCAGCAGTGATAGTAGTAACCTCAGGCATCGACATCTGACTTTAGGCTGCTGAGGCCGCCAACGCCTCGCACGCCTCATGTAGGTAATGCGAACCAGTCACCTCTTTTCTTTTCCTTTCCTTGGGAGCTCGCCTCGGACTTCCTCCATTTCCCATCCACAACGCACCTGCAAACACCCTCTCCCATACTCACCCACATCATGAAGACGAAACGCCAACCTTCCAAAACACCAGCTCCAGCACCAACACCATCTCCCGCCGAGGCTACCTCCAAACCCCTTTGGAAGCAACAACCACAAAGCGCCTTCCTCCGACTCCCAGGCGAGCTCCGCAACATCATCTACCAACTCGTCCTCGTCGACCAAATCTCCAACGACTACCTCACCCTCTCCCGGCTCTGCCAACCACCTTTAACCGCCACATGCCGCCAGATCCAGCACGAGAGCCTGCCCATCTTTTTCGCCGAGAACTGCTTCAAACTCACCATCCACATAACCCAAGACTGGCACCTCAGCCCTCTCCTCGACCCGGATACGGAGCGCTGGGTCAAAGCCGCGGGCGCCGATGCCAGAGGCTTGCAGGAAGTCCGGTTTTTCGTCAACCGGCCCGGCCGGCCTGGGAAGGGTGCCTCTCGTGCTATGGATCTCCTGCCGAGGAAGAATCCCCATTTCGAGACGGATTGGAGTCTCAGCATGAGGCGGGACCACTCCGATCTTCCTCACTGTCCAGATTACTTCATGGCTATGCACTGGACTAAGCTCGCCAAGAGCGAGGAGAAAAGGGAATCGCTGACGTTTGACGACGTCGTTGGGATCGGAAAGGAAGTCGCGGAGATGTGGGCTCCTATCGGGCACAGATGGTTGATGAGGCGGTTCGGGAAGGTGAGACTGGAGTCATTGAGCAAGATCAGAGCGGTTGTGACGAAGGTCTGGCCGAAGAAGTGGGTTTTTGAATTTGTGGATCCGACGTGTGCGTGTAAGGCGTGTAGAAAGAGGAGGAGGGAGGCCAAGAAAGAGACGAGCAGGGCGAAAGGTGGCGGGTCAGGGGATGGCGGGAATGGGGTCGTTGTGGCGAACAAGTAGCGGCGGCAGGAAAGATCTTTTGGCGCGTACTTGAAGTGCTGAAGAGTACATGAACGCACTTCGACAGCCGGCTCTTGGGAGCGACTCGGCGAACTTGGACAAATCCAGGACTTTGACCCCTTCTACGCCTCGAACGGCTTCTGCGCCACATGAATCACCCTACAACGCACAAAAAGTCAGCAAACCCCCACCCCACCCCTTCCCTACAGTCCCACTCACATCGGAACAAAATTCCGCCCTCTCTCCATATCCACCTTCACCCTCTCTGAAAACTCCTCCACCTGCTCCCTCCTCCACCCCAACTTCCCACCAAGCAACCCCGTCCCAATCCCCGGCACCGCCTTCCCCATATTCTCCAACGTCAACCTCCCAATCACCTTCGCCTTCCTCCCCACTGCCCACGTCCCAATCGGCCACTGCAGCTCATACTTGCTGATATTGACAAACCCCTGCGCCCTCAACAAATCCTCGAAACCCTCCGACGCCCGCGCGTCGATCCCGGCTTGGGCGGCGGCGTCGTAGCAATGCTGGCCCCATTGGAGTAGAGCAGAAGGCCTCTGATCGTCCTCTTCCTCCTCAGCCCGCCTCTGAGGAAACTGCGTCTCGCCCGTCTGGATCCAGCCCCCTGGATGGAGATTCTCCCAGCATTGCGCGAAGTACCTGCGCCAATCGTGCGTCCCCATCGTCAACATCCTCGAATGCACGAAATCAAACTTCTTCCCCTCATCGAACACCCACTCCTCCTCCGCATCCGCCTGCAAGAACTTACAATTTCCCGGTTTTGTCTCGGGCTGGATGACCGAGAGATCAGTCCCAATCACTCCAACACCTGGATGCGCTTTCGCGACTTCGATACACCAGATGCCCGTCCCGGTGCCGATGTCGAGGACGCGCTGCGTGGTGGTGGGGTCGATGGGCGCGATGCTGAGGTGGCCGTTCAAGGAGAGTTTCCAGGTGTAGTGCTGGAGGTCGAGGCGGGCGGCTTCAAGGTCGTCGTTGGGGAGGTAGTACGCCGGTGAGGCGGAGGCGTGGAAGCGGCGGCCGTTGAGGTGGCGGTGGGAATCGTCGTTTGAGCTGGATGATTCGGTGATGCTGTGGGTGTTGTAAGGATACATGTTGGTCATGGGGAGGAAGGTGTGGTGACGGTACGTATACTCATCTCTCGAAATTGCATCTCCTTCTCCATGTCCATCTCCATGCTAAAACCTCTCAGCAAAACATTTCACAAACAAGCCCTACTCCAACATGCAACTAGCATCAATCCTCAAATGCTGCGGAAGCTCCGCGGTAGGCGGCAACGATCGATCCAAAAACTCGGCCACGTCGACTACCAAACGACATCCCGGAATATCCAAGAAGATGGAGGAAGATACAATACTCGAGTCATATGTTGAAGTTGAGGTTGAGATCTCATTCGCAAATATAGCTATCTCGAGCCATTATCGTGCTCTTATCTGTCTTCCTCACGGGAGGATGGAGGATGACTCCGGATGATTGACGTGCTGCTGCTCCACTGGGATCCTGCGAGATTCGCTTGGGGGAGGATCGGATGGGGTTGAGATATTGTGTGTTTGGTGTGTATGGTTTGAGGTGTTGATTCAGCATTCGACTTGAGGCTTCATCGTGGAGCCTGTTCTGATCGTTCTTGGCTCTCGCACGGGTGAGTGAATGATAGCAGCAAAAAGCTTGATAGATGAAATATCTCAACAACCACTCTCTCATGGATATACACGCCACGCTACCCCCTCAAAACACATCCTATACCAACAGGCCACATATCAAAACATCCTAAGCCTTCACCGTATCAAACCCAACCCACCCATTCAACTTCCCCCGAATCTCCGGGCCATAGGCATTCACACCCCCAGCATAACACGTCATCTCAAACGCCTTGCCCGGGATGCCTCCGCCCATGTACGTGCTCGCGGTGGTCGGGAAGAGACTCGGTGCCGCGAGGTCGTTGATGCGCTGCTTCCATTCTTTCTCGGCTTCTTTGGTGGGGTTGATGTATTTGAGGCCTTGGCGGTTGATTTGTTTGATGGCCTGTGGGGGTGGGGGGTTAGTGTCTTGTGGTGGTGGTGGTGGTGGTGATGAGATGGGGACTTACGTCTCGGATCCAGCGCACTTGGATCTCGACTGAGGAGGGTCCGTTGGAGAGGAGGGTTGGGCCATGAGGGCCGTAGAGGTGGAAGAAGTTGGGGTAGCCTGTGGGTTTGAATTAGCCAACTGTGGATTTTCATTGACTGTGTGTTTCGTAGCTCACCAGAGATGGTAGTGCCCAGGTAGGTATTCGCTGCATGCTTCCACTCATCCTTGAGATATGTGCCGTGGATCGACTTCAAGCCCATGTTGGTCAGGCCGCCAGTGACCTGCGAGTATCTAATTAGCGTCTTCTCCATAGTCTCATCAGAACTCGAGACCGGATACGTACCACATCGAAACCAGTCGCCAAAGCGATAATGTCAAACTCCCTCTCCACGCCATCAGTGATGATGCCCTTCTCAGTAAACTTCTGAATCGGCGTTCCATTCTTCGTATTAATATTCACGACATCAACATTATCCCTGTCGAGCACCTCGTAGTAAGTCTGCTCGAGACACGGCCTCTTGACACCGAAAGGATGTGGTGGCTCTTCTGGGAACAGAACCTTCTTCTTCTCCTCGCTACGCACGCGCTGCGACTGTTGCTTGCGCCAGTAGTTGTACGCCTCACGGTTGGCTTTCTGGTCAAAGAGGTAGTCCTTATATCCACCGAGCCACAGGCCGAAGCCTTGCTGCTTCCAAAGTGCGTCGAAGAGGGCTTCGCGCTCTTCAGGGGTATCATCGAAGGTATTGCGCTCGCATAGGTCGTAGTGGAAGCCAGCAAAGGTCATTTCGCGAAGCTCGTGGATGTAGCGGTAATCTGGTCGTCGGTGGTCTTGCTCTTGTTTGGTGAGTTCTTTGCGGCCCATAGGAAGGGCAAGATTGGGTGTGCGCTGGTAGACGGTGACTTGTTCTGCCACTGGGCCGGTCTCTTGAATAATTTGGACACCGCTAGCACCTGTGCCGATGACGGCAACCTTTTTTCCTACGTAGTCGACGCCTTCTTCGGGCCAGAAGGATGAGTGGTGGATTTCGCCCTTGAATGTGTCGAGGCCGGGTACGTCTGGGATGTCTGCAGGGTGTCAGTGTTGGCAGTCCTTCTCATGATTCGGTTCCTGTCACATACAGCGCTTGGCAGCGAAGCCAGCTGCAACGACCATGAATCGTGCCTTCACAGTGCGGCCATCTTGGGTCTTGACGATCCACCTGGCCTGGCCCTCATCCCACTCGCCGCTAATGACAACAGTGTTGAAAGCACAGTCTTTGCTTAGATCGAGCTTTTTATCGGCGTGGTTGAAGTAGGCTTGCAGCTCTTTCCAGTCGGGGTAGTTCGTAGTCCAATACCAATCTTCGTAGACCTCTGGAATGGCCAACTCGTAGATAGGGACAGGGCTGTCCACGCGAGCTCCTGGATAGCAGTTCTGCAAGGATACGGGTCAGCCACGTTGGCTGAATGCTGTACGCTCTTCACTTGTGGCACTCACCCATCTCCAGGTACCACCGAAGCCAGTACCTGCATCGTACAACACGACATTTAGACCCTGGTTCCTCAGATCGTACAAAGCCTTGATGCCACCGAATCCAGCACCAACAACCAGTACATCGAGGTCTAAGTTATCCGCATATGGGCCATCAGATCGCAACCTCTTGCCATACTGCCACAGATCGGTCTTGAGGAGACGCTCAGGCTCAGGATCGCCAACACTGCCCATTGTGGTTGCTGAGGAGAATACGAGATAGAGTTGAAGCAGTGAAAGAGAACGAAAGGACTTAGCACTTCTCCCAGGGGACGGCGCAATGGCAGATTTAAGAACTCAACTTCGCCACATCAGAATGGGCCGCGACCATCCCTTCATCCGCGCGTTAGCACAACGATGATGATCTGTCTTGCATGGAGCTCACATGCCCTTCGGCCATCCTTCCCCACGTATTCTCAGAAGCTAATCGCCTGATAATGCGGGGATGGCGGTGTGGGGTGCATGGGCGAATATGGCTTGGGCTGTAGGTCCAGATGGTCGACCATTGGCGCATCTCTACGTCGCGCCGGATCTTTCTCGTATCATTCGCTGGGCTAGTTGCCCAAGTCGCGGACGGTAATAACGGCGGCGGCTCTAGGAAATGTGAGCTTGTTGTCCGCTCAGGCGGAGGTATCGAGACGGGGTTCTGGAGATTGATTGAAGGCGGGGTAGGTGCTTCCGCTGATCGACACCAACGCCAGGGCTACGCAATACTCTTCTCGCCGGGAAGGAAAGAGAAGTGTTCGATTCCTGTTTGCCTCAGTTACGTATCGGCCGTGGTGAGATACAGTTCAGTTCCTGTTGCAGTCTCGAAGCCCTTTTCCGTCGAGTGGTGATGCGTAGAACTGCTATGGTCTTCAACGCGAAAAAGGGCCGTATAGAGCTGCGTACTGGGTACCTTTCACAGGTCTCGCCGTCGAATTGAGCTTCGCTGCTGTACGGAGCCCGAGGTCCTGGATTTGAGAGGTGGCTGCCACGAGGCGATGACGGTCCAGAGCTCAGATGTGGCTGTCGAGACTTGAGATGATCTGCAGGTGTTTCAAATACTTGCCTCAGACACGTGAACGTACACGATTTCGATGAACGTCCTTCTCGTTGAAGTTGTCACCTCTATTGTTGTATGGCCCTGTTGCTGGTGTGGTTGCTTGCTCTTCTTTGTCGATGGCTGTTCGCTCTCCGAGGAATTGGAATCCGTGTAAAGTTGGTAGCTTTTCCCTGAACCACGCTTTTGTAGACTCTGTTCGAATTGAACGCTCGTCTTCCCACGGCCAGCTGTCCTCATCAAAGGCGTCTTCGAATGAAATTCTCTTCACTTCGTTCATCTCGGTGACACCGCACAAAGTTTTAACATGGCCAGGACGAAGGGCACGCAAGTGAAGTCCTGCGAAACAGCCAGGGTCGTTAGAGGCGTCGCAGATTGAATTTCGGCCTGTGTGATCTGTCCCTGGGCCTGGGAAGTCTAAAAGTATGTGGGCCACTCAGTCCTCAGGCAGTTACCTCTGGTCGAAATCTCGCTGCTTTTCGCAGAGTTAGCAGCCAGGCACTAGAGATGCCTCGTGGCGATGGCCCATGGACGATTCGTACTGCTTCCTGACAACTGAAACCGGACCTCGTTCGTTCATGGAAAGCAGTGCTCATGTTTTTGTGTCATCGAGAGTAGGCCAACTGAACTCGTGTGGTCGTGTATTGAGATACCGGGGAGATTCTGCGAGAGACGAAATAATGATAGAGAGTGGGAAACGAACAGAAATGGTGGCCAGTGCGCTCGCATTCAAAACATGACCAGGGGTTTTCGGCTCAGGTCATGCAGCCTCCTCCACCCAATGTCCACAGCTAGACCTTACCTGCGTAATCACGCTTCCATATGCGGTCGAATCCTTCCCTGTCGATCGCGAACTCCCTGGCGTATTCCCACTCCATCTCATGCATCCTCTTGCCGCATAGTACCAAGCTATGCAATGGAGGCCCAAGATCTGCGTCTGAGAGCTCCTGGAGTGTTCCAGCGACGATGCGCTCTCCATCGCTGCCAAGCCGAGCCACACCTATGGCAAGCTTCTCCTTGCCACATACACTCTGCTGCCGCGTCTCTTCCACCTCCACCATCTGGCTGGCGCACTGTGCGACTGACATGAAGCGTGGTGGCTCGTAGATGATTTTTCCTCTGGCAAGTGCTTTTAGATCCGGCTCTTTCACTTTGATGTCAAGCAGTACTAGGGTATGTAGACCCAAAGTATTGTTCTCTGCGATCCGGTCGTAGAAGCTGTCTGGCTTCCAGTCATCTGTGAAGAAGACCATGGAAACGGTCTGACCAAAGTTGTAGAGGCTCAGACCAGTTGCACCGACAGCTGTCAGAATCGAGGCGTTCGGCAGAGTTCGGGTGGGAATCGGTGGATCATGCTGTCTGCATCGTAGCGCTAGATCGGTATGGGTCGTAGCACTGAACGGGTCGCCAACCACTAGGAAAGCGACATCGATTCGGTGGGCGTCGGCGAGAATCTCGTCGGATTGTGATTCGACCATTTCGCGGTCGGCCAGGATGACTGAGCGACCATAGTAGGCTTCCTACTGCAGGTAGGCACGTAAGCTCAACATCAGAAATAGCACAGATGGGAGCATACCAGTTGCTGCTGATCTACGAGCAAGACGGCAGTGTACGACTCGAGGTACACACGCTCGGCTCGTCGAATGATCTCGAGGCCTTTTGTTGACACATCACGCTCATCGGCAAGACCCAGGCCGATTACGTAGAGCATTGTCGTTGCGTTTGTCGACCCAGATGTTTTGTTTGGGACTGAGGATAGAGAAACGGGTGATTGGATTCACATTGGTTGGACCCTGATGCTAGACAGCGGGAGGCACGGCGCGCCCGACCCGTCAGCCTTGCTTTGAAAGCAAGCCAATCACCGTTGATACAATTCAACCTCACCTCACCCTTTGGGAAAAAACACGCAGAGGACAAAAGCGGCAGTGAAGACTGAAGCGCTTCTTCCGCTGCTACGATGGCCTCAGAAGCGCAGCGTTGCCCTTCAGAATGTAGGCGGTCCTCACACGGTACGAGGGCACCGATGTCGAAAAAAATATCCATCGCATCCCCGTCTCTCAAAGCAGTTCTATGCTATCGACCATGGCCTGCTGATGCTTGTACGCTGGGGATCGATGGCGAGTGAAGACAGATCTCCCACGGTAGCGCTCGGCGTAGTGGTACCAGTCGAGGCCATTCACCTCCCTGCGTAAGAAACATTCCCCTCCAGCGCGTTCGCCCAAACGTGGGTAAGAAGGCGCAGCGCTCAGTCGACATTCCATGTCCATGGGCCTCACTTGTCCGCTAAAACCTTGTGACAACAGTCCTCGTGAATTCAGAGGGTATATAGATTACACGGGGTCCCCTCCGCCTTCAAAATGTCAGTCAAGCAAAATCACATCAGCTCACACCATCAACCATCCCCCACCACCAACAACATCCACAAACACACCAATCAAGCACACAGTGTCTCAGAAGCTCAAGAAATTGTGGGGATACCAGTAAGTAATCATCAGGTGAACAGCCCTCACGTCAACTAACATCACGGCAGACATGGACGTGATCTACGAGTACTACCTGGTCGACCAGACCAACCGGGTGGAGTACCGTCTCGCGCCTGGCGAAGGCGGCGAAGAGATGTACGCGCGCCAGGAGGAGTTGGCGCGAGTTTACGGGGATCTGCGCGTCGCTCCTGAGGCGTTTCGTCACCTCCTCGTGCGCCAAGCTCTCCCGGCCTACGTGAGCCTGCCGGACCTTTTGCTTGGTCCTCACTCTGCGCCGTTGCCAGCGCCTATGGGCAATGTGGGAAATGCCATCGCAGCCCCCATCGTCCCCGTCGCCCCAGTGGCCCCAGTGGCCCCAATGGCCGTTGCTCATGGCCCAGTAGCCGCCCATCCCGCCCCGGTGGTCGCCCCTCGCGCCGTCGCAGCGCAGGAGAACCCCACTCCTGCAGCTAACGCAGAGCCACGAGAGAGCCCCTGCGGAGATGGCGCACTGGGCAAGACCGACGGTGAGAGGAACGACCACAGGGTCCAGGAGGGCAGGGCGCGCCGTGGCCGCCCACGGGGCAGCAAGACGAAGCGCACAGAGCCTTACCCAACCAATGGGGGCTCTGGTACCCAGAACTCACCTGTCCACGTTTGAGAGCTAGTAAGCAACTATCCCCTATCCCCACAAGCCTACCACCAACCAAGCTAACTTTTCTTAGTCAGTGCAATCAGCGTAGGGATACTACATCGGGGATAGGTCTCACAGGCGCACAGGTGGATTTGGGTTCTTGGCAATTCAGCGTTGGTGTTGGAAGGAGTGAGCGTTGGCGCTTTGCGATGTGAGGTTTTTTGTTTTGTTTTTCTGTTTGTGCTTTGAGTGCGCTGAGTTTCCCATGAGATGTTATGTTTCCTAGTTATGAATCCAGGGTATATTCCCGCTGTCCTGCTGTCGATTGTGCCATCAGAATATCGGCGTCCATCCCACCGACATGACTACTAGGACCAGGGCTGTCAGTCATTGCTCGGGGATGGTGCTCGCAAATTTGTTTCACCTCACACAAAGGAGCACGGCCATCGCTACTGATAGCGGCCAGCCATGTCACCTCATAAGTTACCTTGATTCTGTAGTGGAATAGGTTGATGTGGAAAAAGAGTGCTTCCAAAGCATGTCATTGTCTGTTTACCTATCCAACCCACCAACCCACAAGCAGAAAACCAGAACAATACTCCTCCCAGCGCCTTCGCTGTCGTAATGCTAATGATAACAATAGAGTCACCCCCATCAACAAGCCTTCTCTGCTGAAGACGAAGCAGTTGACGACGCTCAGTTACGAAGCTCCAAAGTCGATGCCAAATCCCAACACCAAACAAGATCAAATCAACTTCAGCGGCCGCTGCCAGTTTCCCTTCGGTACATGGTGCATGTACCTCGACTTGATATCCGGCTTCTGCAATCGTCGAAAGGCTTCCTGGATGTGCTTGGGTCCGACTGGTGTCCTAGCTTCCTCAGGCGGGTCAAACAAGCCAGGTTCTCGTCTGCGTTTCCGCCCTCGCTTCTCTTCATCTCCGCCGCTTTCCCTCTTCAAGGCGTCTTCCGCTGCTTTGACCTTCAGAGCCTCTTCTGTCAAAAGCGTGACGATCTCATATGTCAAGAAACCGAGAATATCGACAATATCATCGTTTGGCTTCGAGTCCGTGACAACGCCAAAGCCAGCCCACTCGCGAAATCGCTTGCCTTTGCGGAAGGTGAAAGAAGCCTGCCGACATTCAGAGAAGTGGAGGTATTCTTCAGCATTCATGCCTTTGGTGCGCTCGTCAGCTTGCTTCAGTCGCTGGAGGGTGGCCGCATTCATCTCCTCTTCCTCCTCGTCTTCTTCATCTTCGCGTTCAGGAACCTGCTCGGCATAGAAGCTCGATACATCCCACGGAAGGCCGACTTTGGCTTTCTTGTTTTTGCTGTTCCTGGTGCCGACGCTGGGTCCGGTGCCAAGAGTAGGGTCGTTCGTGGCCAGATCGAAATCATCGACACCGCCCGCATCCCCTCCACCTCCGCCTTTGTCGTCGCTATCTTTGGCGCTCTTGCGGACATCCTTCCATGACAGGAATGTGCGCAACCTCGAAACCTTAGCCTTGTCGTGGCGGATCAGAAAGATGAGGTCGTCTGTGGAGATAGTCCGAACACCGCGCCGAGCGGCTAGTTCTGTCGCGCGCTTGAGCATTTCCATGACTTGCTGCTGAACGATGCTCTCGATCATGCTGGTAGTCTCTGGAGACACGTCGCTAGTCTCGCCAGAGACGAACATCATCTGCTGGATCTCTGTCCGGTACTTCGCATTCTTGTTCTCCGCCATGGCGGGCGGCTGGAGTCAGGTGCGGTCAAGCTGGATTTTCTCGCACTGGAATTGCTGATCAATCTATGGTGAAGTGGTGATGATGATACAGTAGTTTTGCCGTGTGCTTGCTGGACGCAATCACGAGCTCTCGAGCAAAGGAGTGACAAGACCGGAGCTCGGCATTACGGGCTAGCGCGAAGCGCCAGCCTAATAGAAGACTAGCTTTAAACTCTATTCTGCAAAGCGACACTGACGTTCCACATCCTCTCTGCTTTCCAATCTACCATCCTCACTCTCCCACCTCGATCACCAACTTGGTACAGCTCACTCCCTTTTGCAGTTGACTCAAACCAGTATTGATCTTGTCCAGCCCCCTGCCAACCACTGTCGGCTCCGGACTTGGCTTGATCTGGCCACTGGCCAGCTTCTCCCTCAGCCATGTCGCAATCCAATATCTGAACTGAGCCAGTCGCTGCTCTTCGTCTTCCATGGCCGGTATCACAAACATAGCTTCGACCCCGTCTACTGCCTCTGCGTCTTCAGGAAGCGGTGGTGCGGAGCCGATCTTCGCCTTTTCATGAGAATCTCCAGCGAAGGCTTTCAGGACAGCCTGACACTGCGCGAGCTGACCCATAGCGAGGTAGCAATATCGAATGATGACGCCGTCCTCTTTGGCCGCTGAAATGATAGAGTCCACCACATTGGGGTCTTTGTAATCGAAGACGCGATCTGCGCCCAGCGAATTGATGTACTTCTGATTCGCCGCTCCAGCCGTCGCGTAGACAGCTGCGAAAGGAGAGTCGCCGTCTTCTTTCATCAGCTTCGCACTCTGCACTCCCCCAGTGCCGACCGACGAGGAAGCGCCCCAGATCAACAGAGCTTCTTTCTTCGGCTTCTTACTGGAGGACACGCCACCGCCACCGCCGCTCCGTGGAATTCCCAAGGCGTCCCAGACGCTCAATGGCACCTGGATGGCAACTGGCAGAGTTGCAGCTTCATTCCACGAGATACCTTCGGCCGGTATAGGCGCAACGTGCTCCCAAGGAACGAGGACCTTCTCCTGGAAAGCCCCGTAGTCAGGGTCGCAAGACTTGAACGCAGCTGCGGCATAGGCCGCAACACGAGTGCCTGGTTGATAGGCTGGACCCGAGCCTTGATCGTTCGCACTGGGCACATTCTCACCAACTTCGAGAATCACGCCTGATATGTCGAAGCCGATGATTGCGGGGAACTCGGGGATGTGAATGCCCAAATCACGCATGATGTGATCCGCTGGATTCAGGGCTACAGACTTGACCTGGACGAGGACATCGCCTGGGCCAGGTTTCGGTGTAGGGCGGGATTGTATCTCGAAAGGTGCACCCATTGCCGGAGCAACAGCAGCAAGATGAGTTGCCATTGTGAGTGAGAGAGACCTTGTCGTTCTGTGAGCCGAAGCAGAGGGGGAAAACGAAAAGGAAACTTCAAAAATCTGGTGTCATTGAAAGCAGACTCTTCACAAGCACTGGAAAGATGCCTTCTTGTTATATGTTTGCCTTTCACACGGTTTGACTGTCTTTTGGTGGGACTGACGTCCAGTGACGTTCCTTTGCAACCCAGTTTTTCATTGTGTTCCGACGACAGTGGGTCTTGAGTTCCATCTTGGCTCGAAACGCTCTTCGTGAGAGACGATCATGTCTTCTTCTCGTCTGACTTCAACTCCTGTTCCGACTCAATGGCTTCTTCAACACAGCGATATGCAGATCTTGGTGACACTGCTCTGTATCGATCTGGCGGTGATCTCGACCATAAAAGCCAAGACCCAATCATCACTCTTCGAATACGAAAGAAGGCTAGCGTGAGAAGCGGAGCACTGGTGAACTAGGTAGACCTTGCGGACGACATCACCTCGACCCACGACGACCACTATTGATCATCAGCTACTGCAGCCAAGTAATGGTGCTCATGTGCGAAAAATTGGGAGTGTGCACGCTGGAGACGGACTTGTCGCGTAGATACAGCTAAATCCGATTCTCCTAGAAGACACTGTTCCTGCAAGCAAGGCCTTCAATATCAAGCCCCGGAATACATGGCGGTACTGGTCAGATCAAACTCCTCCGTCCTCCTCCGCAGCTGCACCTTCATCGTAGGCGCTACCACGATGAAATTCTCAAATTCCTGGTTCCGCGGCTGATCTGCATCGGGAACACTCCGTATATCGTATTGCAGCAGCAAAACGCACAATGCAATCTTGAGTTCATGGGACGCGAAGAATCTGCCAGGACAGGCATGTCGGCCTACGAAACACACTTGGTCAGCAATTTTGACTGAACCTGTTGGGCAATACAAAGCCTACCATAACCAAAAGCCATGATGTCAGGAGTTAGGGACACAAACTGGTGTTGGTGCTCTTCGCCCGATTGCTTCCGAAGTCTTTGGAAGCGTGCCACTTCGAAGGTGCCTGCATTGGAGAACAGTGTACTGTCATGAACCATGGTGTCGTCGATCTTCAGCCGGGTTCCCGCAGGGAGTAACGTCCCGTCGTTAAGGGAGACGGGTTTCTTGACAAGCCGGTACATCGATGCTGCAACAGTCAATAAGCAATCGTCTTCGCTGGCATTGGTTGCTTACTGAGCGATAGAGGTCGAAACCGATGAACCTCCTTCAAGAAGCTGTCGAGCAATTGTAACTTGGGTAGGGCAGTACGAGACCAGCCTTCCTGTGCAAGAACAGATATGATCTCTTCCCGCAGTGGTTGCACAATCTCAGGAGTTTCGCATATCTGTGCAATGCAGCGGCATAGTGTCTCAGAGGTAGTATGGATTGCGGCGGAGCTGAGTGCAAGCTGACCGGCCACGAAGTCCGCGTCATCATGGCCCTCTGACTTTTCAATCATCCAAGCGATAGCATTGGTCATCTTGGGAGGTTCGGCCCCTGAATCAATGGCTTGCTGCATCTGGTTGCGTATAACGGCGATTTCTGGAACGATCAACGTCTTGGCATCATGAACCTCTTTCCGCAGCCTGGTGCAAGCCGGTATGAGCCAGTATATGACAGGACGAAGGACGGAGGGCAGAAGTCGCAGCTGCTCAGAAGCCATGACCATATCGATTGTATGGTCCTTGGAGATGACCAGCAATCTGCGGTTCCGGGCGAGTTTTTTCCCCAGAAACACTCGAGAGGATGCACGGGCGACGATTTCTAGAACGTCGTTCTTGATCTCTCTAGTCGTCCAGTCGTAAGAATTACCGAATGCATCGTAGATGGCCGATGCCATCTCGTCGACAACGTCGCCTGTGATAGGACCCAGGCTTTGCGTGAGCCTCTCCTTGATAACACTCCCGATGAACTTTTCATCTCGCAGCCCGAGCCGCATTGAATCGAATCCTGGATACTCAACCATGAGGTCTGTCTGGAAGGCTTCAGTGAGGCTCAAGTGCGGATGATTTCGAAGCTCGTGGGCATACCGGTTAGGCAGAATGATCTGTGTGATGTTAGCAATGCATACACTACCACTGACCACCAGCGCTGACCATACCCTGTAGCCAGTTGTAGCTTTGATCTGGAATCCATCGGGGTGCTTAGCAAACCCGGTCGCGAGGACCTTCTTGCCATCCAGGATCCAAACCAGGGATTGGGGAAGTAGAACTCTCCATCCTTTGTGCTGTACGCTGACGATTGGAAATCCTGGTACTGGATTCTCCCGACCACACAGATAGAACAAGGCCAGAAGCACGCTGGCAGTGCCCACTATCGTAATGGATTGATTGTGTTGCACGAGATCCTGAACGGCATGAACTCGCTCCATGTCAAGCTGTCGAGCTTCTGCGTAGCTCGAGAACGGGGAACGAGCTCAAGAATGCCACCACGGCACAGTAGTTGACGTTGAGATTGTATTCCTTATGAAAAGTTCAGCCCTACTTGTCAAGTAGTAGGATAATGAATAGTATGTAGCGATGTCAGATTGCCAAATCGAAAAGCTGACTTGCGGCCATCTTGTCAAAACTCAAGGCAACTTTTTCCCCCTCTCAACGAGCACTGACCACAACATCGATAAGGCCGCCTTTGGGCGCCAGCGGCGTACAGATCTCGATGCCCAGTGTTCACCGCTGCTCTAGCATTCACGCAAGCAGCATGATTTGTGCGTCTGGGCACTCGTCAGATGCACAACCTAACCTGCCTCCAGCAATGTTGAGATTGCCGCATACGGAAAGTGCAGGCTAGCTCAGCCACTAGTCTGTAGTTACGGAAAGCCTGACGCCAGTATGCAAGTATGGAGCTATTAGTTTGCAAATGTCCCACCATGATGAAATAGATGCGCGCAATCGCCGACAATTGGCGACGTAGAAAGATCGTCAATCGGAAGAATGTTGTTGGTCGCAAAATTAACCAACGCAATGCCTGCCTTCGACGCCCTGACACTCAACATTGATCCAACGCGACATGTTTTGCAAGATCGTGCGCTCCTCACAACCTCGACTTGGCAGAGTCATATCCAGTGTATCATTCGGACTGCAGGGAAGATAGAATGTCTCCCGGTCATACTTCGTCAATGGAACAGCCTTCTTGAGCCGGAACACCAAATCTGGATTAGACATGAACCACCTTCCAAGAGCAAGACTCCTTATGTCATCTACACGCCTTGAGTTGTCTTATCGTGGCAAGTTCCGGCGAGCAGATCGTTTGCTCTCCTCGTTTCGGTCAAATCGGAACACATTGAACTGCTATCTCTCTAGCTTTTTACAAGAAACTGCGCTGCCAACTGTACTCCAAGCGGCTCATGGCTAAGAAGTCGCAGGGATGAATCTTCCACATCGAGCGGAACACTGAGGGTACTCCAGATCCATCAATGTTCTGAACTTCGCTTGCGGCGCAACGTTAAGAGACTGATTTGAATTCTGGATGTTCAATTGCATTTCTCTAGGGCTGCAACTACTGCTGCTAAAGCCTCTAGCTGTCTGTATCGATATCTTGAGGTACAACTGAAGAGAACTTATAGGCGTGACATTCTGTCAGGATTTTACATAGCAACTCGATATTTTGACTCCATGCGCCTCGACGATGCCCGTAACTCACGTCCTCATATCTTGTACGAAAAGAACATCCAGCGCCAGTGTAGTCCAGAATGCTTCACAACGAAAGGATGGCCAGTCTCCATGATCTTTTGAGCTTAGCAGTGTGAGAAATGGGGATCTTTGCATGCTGCAACCTTGTAAACGAGTAAATTATGCCGGCGTCGAGGCACTCTTCTCGCTCAAATGAGGCTTCAGGCCGATGAAGAGTGATCCCCTGGTCGGAACAAAATGGCCCTTATGGACTGGCCAGTCTCCGCAGTTTTTAGGATCTAAAGTCATGTCGAAAGCAAACAGCAGCTTTGCAACGATCAGAGTAGCCTCGAGGAGGACAAGACTTGACCACCATCAGCATCGTGGATACTCGTTGTAGGATATGCTTGTGACACTTACTGCCGGGCGACACAAGTCCTTGGCCCTACGCCGAATGGATTGAAGACACTTCTCAGGTCATCTGCATAATCTCCATCTCCTGTCCATCGCTCTGGCCTGAACCTCTCCGGATGTGTCCAAAACCTCTCGCTGTGCGTTACGGACCAGTTGTGAATGCCGACCGTGACACCTCCCGGCACAAAACGGCCACACACCTCTGCGCCCTGGGGTGGGATGCGTCTCGTCAATGTACCTACAGCCGGCGGTGATGCCCTCAACCCTTCTCGCATGCACGCTCCTAGGTACTCCAGCTGCTGCGTCGACTGGAGTGTTATTTCTGCGCTGCTGCCAAATCTGCTACGCAACTCGTTGCTAGCAGCCTTGTAGTACTCCGGTGTCTCGAGAAGGTAATACAGTATGGAGCATATGAAGCCTGGCAGCGTCTCAACGGCGCTCAGAACGAAGACAGTAGCGTTGCTGCGCACGGTTGCTATATTTCTCACGTCCGCTTCGCTGTCTTGGATCATGTGAGACACTAAAAAGAGACCTCAATCAGTCTTTTCTAAAACGGAACAACATGTACTGGCTTTAAATGGCTTACCAAAGTCTTGTGAGACGCTCTCGTCGTGTTCCTTCGCTATACGTTTTGCAATCGCGGTACCAAGCGGAGGGATCTTTCCCAGGACAGTAAATATGTCGCGACTCGGCATCAATTTGGTCAGGAACTTCAAGGCGTGCGGCAAGTACTGCAGCTGAGTACAGTACTGTATGGTGGTGACGGCTCGATGCATGTTGGTGACCAATGTGTGTGGTATTGGTCCTAACTCCACGGCTCCAAAGTCCTGGCTAATCGTAAGCTTCGCGTGCGTGTCCAAGACGATGTTTCCAATCCACGGGTCGATGTCGATGGTTGACACTTGCTTGTCACTCAAATATGTGCGAAGAAGCTCGATACTTCGATCGATGTACGTGGCCATGGTAGGTGACCGACGCAGTAACGAGCCATTCGAGAAAGCTCGTGTTGCGTTGTTCTTCTGGGACTTGAAGTCGCGACTATTGGCATCCACCTGGAAGACAGATTATTTAGATCGCTAAGGAGCGTGCAAGAGAGGTCACTCGACTCACAAGACTGTCGGAGTTGTTGAAGGCTGTCTCAAAGAAATCCAACTCTTTCTCCAATGCGGCCGTTCTGTTCTCGTGCGCAGACCGGCCTGGCGTGAAGGTCAGAATCGAGAAACAGTTTTGGACAGGTATGTCTAGGGCGCTGGTCTTTTGACTGACCGTAGATGTCTTCCCAGGCGCGTGGGTCGATGTACGAGAGTTCATTGGGAGCTATCCGAACAACAAGACCGAACTCGTCGTGGAGCCTCTTGATGGCGTTTTTGTGGTGTCCTCTAAAAACGTGCAAACTGTACCATATCCTTGAAGCAGCAGCATATCTTGGGCCAGGATACTCTCGCAAGGGATGAAACCAGATGTCATAGATAAGGTTGGAGACCAATGTCAACGCCTGTGTTGAACATGAGCAGACAAGATATCACGCACTGTGACCAGATACTCACTAGACCGACGCATAAGATCCAGACTGAAAACATAATGGCAATGTCACATGTGGTGAACACTTGAAAGAGAATGCGCTCATTATGAAAGTCGCTCAGTGTGTAAGTAACGTCATGTTCAACGCCCATGCGACTGTGGGAGCCGCTTCTCACATGCAAAGAGCTTGCTGGCCTAGTCCAGAAAGGGGGCCTTGATTTCCCCAATAGGTGAACGCAAGGCGAGGCCCGCCACGATTTTCGCCAGAGGCTACCAAGAGGCACGCCACTTGCACTTGCATGAAGCTACTATAAAATCAGGCAAACGCAGGACTTTGTATGCTTTGATTGGTTTCAAATTAGCGCTGCATGCATATCTTCCATCTCTGCGTTGCCCAACATTGGTATGACGTGACATCAAACCTTTGCGTGGGTCCACGAAAGTCTACTACCACACCTGAAGCCTTCTCCGAATGGGTTGCAACATAGCACGTCACGTCGCAGGAAGAGACCGAACGTCGCCGAATTCGACTTCTCAACTGAAGTTTAGCAGGACAACTGCAGCAAATGGCTCGTCGCCGATGCCTTCGCCAGGCTTCAAAAAGACGCTGCTCTGCCAGATAGATTTCCCGAGTACTTCCATGTGGCTATCTCGCCCAACATGGAGCGCACCGACGACAAGAAGTCTATTTTCAAATACTCAGTTCCTTTGCCAGTTCACGTCTACGATCGAGAGCAATATTTCTGCAGGTTCACTCCCCGAATCCATCGAGACGCCTATTTGGCCGACCAGGGGTCCTGGCAGTGCCAGGTTGATTTCTTGAATGCATCAGGACCGGCAGACTCCGAACGCAACAAAGCCCATAAGAGCTTCGCTGTAGGATGTATCAATCCTATTGTTGGCAACTTCACCGCCCTATGTGCTTCGGAGGCTCTTCCGGAAAGATTAGCACTGACGACGTATATGGTTGAGTATGCCTACATCCATGATGATGGTACGTACTCAGGACCGAGACGATGGATGGCCGTCGTTGTGCTTACTCCTTGTTGTAGTGATTGAGTATGCCGAGGACAAGACACAGACGAAGGTAGTACCAGCTAAAACGAAGGGGATATACAAGCTTACATTTGCCTAGTTACAAGAGACGAACCGCGAACTCGTCGAAGGCTTGGACTTTGACAACGCACAGACAGCCGGTACCAAAGAGCACATCAAGAGAAGACAACTTCAGGCCAAAATGGCAGTCGAGCTCATCGACATAGATCGAAGACAAGGCCTCGAGTGTCTTCGTCTCTGGAAAGAGATGTCCGAGGTGTTCGTTCAAATCCGAGACATGGACTTCAAAAAGATCGATGAATATCTTCCGTTTCGCGTCGTTGACGCTGGATGCCTGTAAGTCAAGGACACTCTGAATTGAATAGAAGTTAGTGTCGGGGATAGAGCTCGACTGATATCGTCTTAAAGGTGGACTATGAGCCTGCTCTGCTTCTCCATGGATTTCGTTCTTAGCAAAGACGAGGAAGAGGACCTCTTCGCCATTACCACTTCTGCGTACAACGCGTGGGTCCTCGTCAATGATTACTTCTCTTGGGAGAAGGAGTTGTTAAATTACGAGTCCAACGGTAGCCAAGGGGAGATCGTCAGCGCCGTCTTCTTGTACATGAAATGGTATTCCATCAAGGCGGAAGAAGCAAAGACCATGCTCAAATCCGAAATACGGTCTCGCGAGAAGATTTACGACGATCTGAAGGCTCAATATTCTCGTCAAAGAAGTGTTCCCGAAAGAGCCAAGGATTGGTTTGAGCTTCTGGATCTCGTTACTGCAGGTAACTTCGCATGGAGCATGACGACCGCGAGATACGACCTCAATGGTGAAGACGCTTATCCAAGTCTGCGGTCAAAGCATCGGGAAGAAGCAGCCAATTCAACGGCAGATGACCTTGACAAACCAATCTGGCAGCCAATGGAGACCAATGGTAGCTCTCATGCACACAGCACACAGCAAAACGGTTCGATACATCCATCGGCAACGCCAAATGGGCATACTTCAAAATTTGATCTGGCCTCCCAGCCGGCAGTGGAGGCATCCTTAGCCATCCCAGGCTTGCTGTTAGACCCCTATCAGAATGTAAGAGGATGCGCATGGCTGAATAATTCAAGCACATGCTAACAGAACTATCAAAGATTCTCCTTGAGCCGTAAAACTATCTTCAGTCAATGCCATCTAAGGGCGTCCGGAATTCAGCGATCGATGCGCTCGACGTATGGTATGAAGTCCCTGACGCTTCTTTGCAGATCATCCGAAACATTGTCAACACACTGCACAATGCATCTCTAATGTATGTGAATAAATGCCTGATATGATTGCACGTTTTGACCCGCCAGGCTTGACGACATTCAAGATGAATCTGAGCTCCGACGTGGGTTGCCTGCCACTCACATTGTCTACGGCACAGCCCAGTCCATCAATGCAGCCAACTTTCTGATGATAAGAGCAATCAAAGAGGCTGGCTCTCTCTCGTCCGCAGCGGCATGCATTTTGATAGGTGAAGAGTCACTCCAATGGCGACAACAGCCCGTGCTAACGCAGCATAGATCGACTTCTTCATGCACATATTGGACAAGGCCTAGATCTCCACTGGAAGCATCACACCTCAGTCCCAACGGAGGAAGAATACTTCGCAATGGTAGACGGCAGTAAGTACTTTGCAGGTGACGTTGCTGTCGTCTTGAAGGGCTTTTACTGACAATCTTGCAGAGACGGGCAGTCTTTTCATGCTGGTAGCTGATTAAATGAGACTTGAAGCGACGACTAACCAAGACCTTGCCCTCGACAAGCTGATGTTGCTTGTTGGACGATTTTTCCAAGCGAGAGATGACCATCAGAACCTGGATGCCTCAGAAGTAAGTATTCGAGACGTTTGAAATTTCGGCACACAAGAGCAAAGCTTACCTTCTTTTAGTACTCCGAGCAGAAAGGGTTTGCTGAAGACATCAATGAGGGAAAGCTATCTCTTCCCATGATTCGCGCCTTCCAATCCAACCCCCACCGGGGTCGTCTACTCAGTATTCTCGAGCAACGTAAAGCCAGTCGCGGCCTTCTATACGAGACTCGCAAGTTGGCAGTGGATGATATCAAGGCCGCAGGTGGGCTTCAATATACTCGAGACATAGCGGTACGTCTGGAGCACGAGATAGATCATGTCCTTGCGGGACTGGAGAAACAAGCTGGTCGAAAGAACTGGATTCTACGACTCTTGCAAAAGCGACTGCACATCGAGTAGTCTGCTTCAGGTGGAGGTGCTCTGGTTGGAGCAGAACGCAGTCAGGGGCGCATATCGGCAAGGTAAATCTGCTGTTATACAGAACCGCCAACTCTCTTTTCAAGCCGTTGTCCATGTTCGGGAAGCCAGAGCTGAACTTCTCTCCATCTGAATACAGACATTGAGGGATCGTGAACATAGACACACCTTCGAAATTTGTCAAAACGTTCGGGAAAGAGTGAAAGATGGGCGCAACGTTGACACTGAATAACCTCGCCAGCCCTGCGGTTGGACGGCGGACTTGCCGCATTCGGTATCCCTAGGTCCTTAGGGTTACTTGGGGTAAGACTTCAACCACGGTCGACGACGATATATTCACCGGAACTACCCAGCACAACGTCAGACGTACTTGGCCAGGGCCGTGATCCTGAACACTGAGACTCCTACACATCCCATGGATCACTCATCCATCCATGGCTTTCACTACCCTCCCAGCGATCCTGTGTTGGATCTGAATCGACCCGACTTGATGTTGCCAAGCCCCGAAAGCCATACATCGCATCGGTGAAGCACGGAAAGCATCTCACCCCTGCATGGGCTCATGGTATACAGAGTTCCATTGCTCGAAACAAGGAGTAACGACCAGCGGTGAAGGAGTGCCCTCGGTGTTCTGCTCAAAGTGGAACACCTATCCCTATTACTCCGAAGCTCTCCAAGCAGCTTAGAGTGCTAATAGTAGCGCAGTCGCTCACAGAATAGCAGAGAGACGGCAGTTCGATGCATTTCACTTTGACCGGACCGAGGAGGGTAATGGCATGCTGTGCTTGCGAGATCTGTTGTATCATCTATTGCAGGGCTGCATTACCACTCTACCATCTACGTTGTTCAACCGAGAGACCAAAGAGACCAGACAATAGCGTTCGTGTAACACTGACAAGGACCCAGGCAAGAAGGGGATCAAGCCGATCTAAGCCTTCGCTTTCTCATCCTGCGGTGGAGCACCGCCAGTCGACGGCAATCCCATGAAGATCTTGAAGGAACTGGATGGAACGTCAGCAGCCGCAGAAAACGGTGAGATGGCGGGACACTTACTCGTAGATCATCCATTGCAGCCCGGTGAGTGTGCCTTTCTCAGAGTCAGTACAGAACTCTCAGTATCCGTGTTGCTCACTTACCGATCATTACAATACGAACTGGGAGACCCGCCCAGAGACCAACGAAGCCAATGTCCTTGTAGATTCTGCCGAGAGCTGCACCGAAGGCCTCGCCAGGTTGGCGGCTGGCATTGAGTTTGCTGACCATGACATCGGCAGGGTGGGAAACGATAGCGCAGAGAATACCGGCAAGATAACCTCCCGAGAATGCGACGGCTGTTTGGGCACCTCCGCTGTAGTCACTCTTCTTACCCGGGAGACGGTGGTAGATGGCTTCGACGATGGTTTCAAAGGAGGCGAACCTGCACGAACGGTTAGCATCGATTACAGGTGTCTCATCTCCACCCATTCGTACTTCATGATGGTGTACGGGATCTGTCTTCCCCAGAGAGGGTAGAGACCCTTGAAGAGACCAGCAGTTCCCTCAGCAGCAACGATCTTGTTGATTCCATTCAGAGTACCGGAGGCGAAAGGTGGCATCGTGGTCTGCGTGCGAATCTTTGACCGCCTCGAAGGCGCAGAGACCCATATCCGCGAGGAACTCGGCAGACGCAGAACCAGCGATATAGATTCCTGTCTTGAACTTGACAGCATTCTCTGGACCAGCGAGATCGGAGTAGAACTTCTTGAAGAACTCGTAGCAGCCATATTTGAGAGCGCCCTGAACCGAGTATCCGACCAGAGTTGGGCCACCTCCGGTATACAGACCCTTCACACCTTCGGCTGCGATGATCTTCCTCCATCCGTCAAAGTTGCCTCTGTAGAGCTTTGCATCGACTTGTCGGCGGCACTTTACGAGATCGAGAGGAGTCACAGCCCAGTGGGTGAGACCGCAGGCCATCATACCGCCGAAAGTACATCTGTGCCACGATTGTCAGCATTCTGTCAAACTTAACGGCTCGAAAAGCTCGAAATACTCACGCTGCGTAGTATGCGGGAGAGAAGAGCTCGATCTTGCCAGCCTTCGCCTGCGCAGCCTGGGAAGCTTTCTGGATCTCCTTGGTGGCCTCTGCACTCAACTGCGATCCCTTCTTCTGAGCATCGTCGGCCACGCTCCACGATTGGTACAGGCTCTCCTGCACCGAGTATGGCGATCGTCTAGCTGGCCCAGACAGTGAGACATGATTGCCAAATGTGGCACTGAGCGTGCTCGCCGAAGGGAAGAGGGAAGGCATGGCGACAAGATGGTACTGTACCCTTTGCGATGTTTCTTGGAGACGCTAGGTGAGAGCATGAAAAATCGTGAAGCTTCGCTACCTCGTCCGGCAAGAAGTCGGTTGGAACAGCCCCCGGGCCATGCCATTGAGGTGTACCCCTGACTGGTATCAAACGCCTTCCCTGTCGCGGTTTTAAAGCGGAGTTTAGGTGTAACAATAGTTAACTAAGGGTCGCTCCTTTCATAGAGGCGACTTAAGGTCAGATATCTTAACATCGATCGAGAACAGTAATAGAGGACTCTTATTTTCAGCCAATCGATATGATGCTGTGTCTGCTCCGTTCGAAGACTATTCCCATTCTTAGCACACAGTCTCGCTTTCTTTTATGGACCGGAATTCCAGGATCAAGACTACGTCAACTAATATCATCAGCCCTAGAATATCACTACTGTGGAGTCGCAAGAAGCATGAAGAAATGATACGTTTGCTTTGAAGAGCTGTGGAATCTTTTCTGATCAACATGTTGACACCTGAAATGTTGCTAGCTCGATACTATCCATCTAACCTTCTGTGGACGGAACATGCCTCTTCGCTCTGTAGTTTGATCAAATTGATCAATGACATCGTGATCACCATGTCCCTGATTCCCGGACCCTGTTCGCTGGAGACCGTGATCGATCTTCATCTTGTTGGATGTGAGTACATCGACTGCGAGCGGATTCCACTTGCTTAGTGCCTCCGTGGCGATGTCTCAATGAACGATGTGATAACTTGGAGGCTGTCTGTTGGAATTGGTATCGGCAGTTGTTGGCCAGATTCGATATCGACCTGATTGTCGATGCAGTGGTGAATCATTCGTCGAGGTGGCTGTAGTTGGAGCCATGCGGAAGGGACTGGAAGGACTTGTTAAACACAAGCGCAACAAGAGCCACGACTTTGCAATGGCGGACGCGAGAAGTCGTTGTAGATGCCGACGGACCCAGTTGCTTCAATGGTCATGTGTTGACGGAAGTCTCTTCCTTGTCCGCGGTCTAATTCGTTCGTGCAAAAGACTGTGATTCACTCGAACCATTCGGGCTGTAGCTGAGCCTCGTCTTGCACTTCAAGTCGTGCCCAATCGCTCTGTGGAGCAATGCACCCCTGCATAATTTGCAATGGCTGTGGTGCTTCTTGATTCTTTCGGAGGGCGAAACGTTGCAGTGATGGCTTGGTGGTTTCGACTTTGCCCAGAAAACGATTTTGGGTTCATGTGCGGAGTCTTTGTGGCCCAGGTGGCGGATGGCGTGTCCGTGTGTTTTGTCAAGATTTGAAGACGTTGCCGATTCCGAGGCCATGTTTCGCCTCCAACAACTTTCACTCTGCATGCCCCGTCCAATGGTATTGCCTCATTTCGACTCGAGTTTCGCCATACCCAAGCTTCTCGCTCTTGACCTCTTCCCCGTAACCATCCTCTGACTCCTGACTCTCCTCATGACTTCCTGCTCTTTCACCCCTGACTTCGCCCTGACTTCACCCCTGACTTCGCCCTGACTTCACCCCTGACTTCGCCCTGACTTCACCCTGACCTCGCCCCTGACTTCGCCGTTGAAAGCCATCTTCTTCCCCCCCCTTCCCGGGGCCCATCTCCCCTCCCTCCCCCTACCCCATTCCCTGCCCCTACGCCGCTCCCCCACTCCCCGCCTTCCCAACCCCTGAGACCATTGTCAGCGCTCTTTGTTTGTACCATTATGATGTAGCCCTGCTTGACATCTTTTTTTCCCCCGCCCTCCCACCCCTGTCTTTGAGAGCCAGCCCCGTCTTCCTGGTTATTGTGGTCGATATTCAAAACTGATTATCTAGGAACACCATTCTCATCGCGCTTGGAGTCCATTGTGCCCACGGGATGATACACGCACTGTAAACCCCTATCGGCACAATTAGTACAAGTATTCGGATGACCTCCATCACAACGAATTTTCCAAAGGTAACAGCTGGTACACGTCTTCCTCAATTTCACTGGTCCATTCTTCGACACAGGTCGCTTGTAGCTGCGCTTGACCTTGCCATCTTTCTTGTTCATGGTGTTGTTTTGAGTGTCCACTGCGCTAACACCCAATTGGTCGTTGTCGTCTTCTTGATCAGCCTTCCTCTTGCGTGTAGCCCTACCCGTGGATATGCCCTGCTGTGTGGCTGTCCCCGACTCTGTGGGGGGATCCTTTCGGCCAATAAACTCAGCGTCCCCTAAACAAGCAGTCGCATCACACAAGACGTCTGCCTCGTTGTCCGGTCCCCTGTGCCAAGCAATATTGGTTGTCTCACTTCCACAATTGCAGCATTCCTTGACATCAGCTGGAAAATTGAACGAATGGCGATAAACACCCGTAGTGATCTCATGTCCAATCGTCTCCCCATGACTGTCCTCGGGCATTTGGGAAATACTTACATCATGGCGTGCAAGTTTGGTGATGTTGGCACGTTCAAGTACGAATGTCAATCCATACTGGTCGGGGAACTGCCATGGCAGTAGTGACGATCTGTCTTCACTCATTCTCGCCGCGATCTCAAAGACTAGATCTAGCTTGAAATGTGCCCAGCTAAAGGGTCCCCGAGCCTTAAACACATGGCTCAGCCTAACTGTACGATCAATTGGCATGACCATAGTTAGTCTAAAGTCTATGTTAGGAAAGCCGTCTACAAGATCTCGCAAACTGTCAGCGTCTGTTGTCCAGCCATCGATGCCGGCTACGAGGAATGTCACTTTAGTCTTGACATCTCGATCTTCACCAAAATTGTCCATCTTGTCCAGGATCTTGATGAGATCATCGTCATTTCCATCAGCTGAGCCATTGTTTCCTTTCAATGCAGGTGCACAGCTTGAGCGTATGATTTTGTAAAACCAAGCGAGATTCTTTGGCTCACTCAAATCAGGGTCGTCGACATCCGCTACCCGTCTCGGCTTGTCTGGTGTACCCCCGTGTACAGTCCAGTAGTACTCGAGATTCTTCTCTGCTATCTCATCCATCGTATCGTGTATATTCCAATGGCCTGGCCTTGTCTCCAAACTCTTGTCTATCCCGCTGTGTCTTATCACGACGATAGTTATGTCCGATCGATAGTCAATGTCGTCGGTCATGCCACTAGTTCGCATGAGCACCTCATCCATGCCTTTACCGTAAAACGCCAAGGCAGCTTTCGTAGGAGCTTCAGCACCTATACCCATCTTGACAACGTCAGTGCTAGGATCTACATGCAGTACCGTTGTTCGCGCTCGTATAGCTCTAAGCAGCTTGCCTCGCCAACCTTGAGCTAGAGGACGGTCAGGGTATAGGTGTTTGTAGAACACCTCATACTTGTCACATACATCATTAGTCGTTAGATTCTCCTCGGGACGATCATCGACTATAGCCTTCGTAGCATCTCTGTACGATATCGCCGTCTCGAACTCTGGCATAGCATCGATAACGTCGATGGGTCCGTGTATCTTTGCAATCTTCGCAGCCTCGAGAGCATCATCAATCTTTTGCATCATCTGCATTCCAATGCGTAGGTTTGGACCGAAGTTATGTATAGTCTTTGGTGGATTCGTATTCGTCTCATCCTCGCCCTGGATAAGTTCGGCGGCAAATGGATCGGGTTGACCCCACGCAAGTGTCCCGGCTAAGAGAGCATCGATTCTAACAGCATTTCTGTACCGCGAGGTTGGTACATCAATGGTTAAGGGAACTTGGTTGTTGCGAGCCTGTCCCACTAGATTTTCTATAGCACAAACTGCACAGTCGTCACTATTTACCTGCTTGAACGAAACCGGCCACTCACATCGCCATTGTCCGGCTGTGACGCTCCAGGAGTCGTCAATAGCTTCGTTGGAGCATGTGGTGTTAAATAACCGTAACATGCGCCCCTCCACGGATGCGCAGAATCGATCTTGATCTTCCGGGTCATCCTGCTCCCAGCTGTCCCAAATGCGGATGCAGTATGTGTTCTTATCAGCTTCAAATGCGACGTAGTGCATATTGTCCACGTTGATGATTGACAATATACGTCGCACCTCTCTTGACATAGTGAACATTATTCCAAGCTCGTTAGTCCTTAACATTTCATCGGTGCAATTCAGCAATCGATCGACCTCCTCGGGGTCTGCAACTTGGGTGTCCGTTATGCTGTTCTGTAGGAATTGGCTACTCACAATTGCTGATACGATACTGTCTCCGTACCAGCGGCCGTCTAGCATCGTTGGGATCTCCTTACGTTGGAGATGAACATGTAAGTCGTCAGAGGGGCTAGCAAGTTTCTTTACCGCTGTAATATTGCCATTGCGGCCGCCAAAATCTCTGTCGAGTATGCGCGTAAGCACGGTCGCAGTAGGCTTAGGAAGTCCCAGCCAGACCTGTTTTTCGGCAAGATCGTATAGCTTCTCTATGGCTCGCTCATCGGCTGCGTTTCTGGCGTCGTATCGCTGGTTGTTAAGCTGAATCGCATTTGCATGAGATTGACTAGGGTTCTGCGTCGTAGCATGCGACGTAACTCCCTGACCATTAACAAAGCCACCTTTTGGCAGTTTCGAGGCGGTAGTGCGCAGATCAGGATCGTCCTCGATCCTCACGCCGCTAAATAATCTTGGGTATAACTCTTCGAGGTATTGATATCGAAGATTATTGCCTAAGATATCTGATTCAACACCAAAGACGACCTCGATGTCTGCCTTCTGCATAAGAAGTCGACAATGCCAGGCTGTGTAGGCACCACAATCGTACCCGTTAACTTGTTTTGAACAGATCCCTTGCTCGAACGTCCATTTCTTAGGCATGTATACCGTCGTGTTATGCGAAAGGAGTTCGGCGAACACAGGTAACACCTTTCTCGCCTTATTAAAGCAGCTCTTATCCATAAGAGAGTCGTAGATGGTAATCTTTGCAACAGCGGGCTCCAACATAGCTACAAACCAATGGCCATCATTACATATTGGCAAGATCATTCTCATCGTACGATCTGGTACTTTAGGCAGCACCTTCAGTATCTTATCTACCTTTGAAGAAGTTCTGTCCTCTTTAAATAGGGCTATATCGCGTTCGATTTGCTGGAGAAGATATTCCGAGTCTCGGTCGCCCGCCAACCATCGTACTAATAACGATGAATCCAAGAAGTAGGCATCTGCGGCATAAGTCCCTTTAGCTAGGGAGACTAAATCATTAATAAGGTAATCGTCAAACCAGAAGTCGCGGATCTTATCAGCCCGCATCCTGTCTTCTGGTTTAGGTAGCGACAGACTATACCACTGTTCCACCGTCATCTTGTATTCAAGACCTTCGAGACTGCAGACTCGGTCCCACAGGTCGTCTACGTCGTTGCCTGTCTGTGGATTAGATACACCTTCAGTTAGGTAGTGTATCATAATCTTAGCCAGTGGGCCTGCGAAGCGGTTGGATACAGTTTCGTTCTCGAGTCTGGCGATCTCCTCTTGGTATCGCATACGTAATGCGAGTACTTTGTTATCAGCTTTAGTGCTTGGTCGTGGTGTCGTCCCTTCTTGTGTAAGGTCTACCATTTCGAGAGTCTGATCTCCACTGTTATTAGACAGCTCTTCGAAGCGGTCGTCTTGGGCGTCAGCATAAAGACTGTCATCATCATACGTAGGAACACCATCCCCTACTGGCACATCATCTTCGTGATGCTCAGTCTCAAGTTCATCGACTGCCATATCGTCGTCTTCAATGCAGAGAAGAGACGTCATCCACGCTTGCTCCTTTTCCTCGCGGTCATCAGACGAGTCGTCGCCATCCTCGCAGTCATCAGATGTGTTGTCGCCATGGGATTCAACATGTTGGTATTTCTGAATGCTATCGCTGATACCCTTTGTCAATCTAGACCGTGGCACTTCGCCCTCGACTTCGCGACTCAGGGGGGTTTCCGTTGGCTTCAAAGCACCATCGCTCCCTCGCCCGCTGACTGGAACATTTTCTCGATCAGTTCTTGATGCAGCTGATCTAGCGTCGGCAGATTTCTTCTGGGACCCTCTCAAATGCCCTTCGCTCTTTGACGCAATGGTGATCGACGCATCGACGATAGGTGCTGCCTCTGTACCTTCTTTGCGAACTCTTGACGATTCAGTGGCCATCACACCTGGCGATTCCTTTTGTGATGTCTTCAGATCGGTTTGTCTCCCTGGCCGGGTGGCAATCGAGGACTCCACCTTCTCTTTGGACTCTTGCAATGGTATGACGTGACTGGCCTGCCATTTACGTTCTCCTGCCGTGGTGGGTGTCGCACCAGCCCGTAATGCTTCCCTTCGATCCGTACCAGGACGCCCGTTCTTTGGAGCATTCTTTCTCTCGCTTCTGTCCAGCGAGGTTCCAATGTCCGTTCCGCGTGTTCTTGGTGAACGGCTTCGACCGTCTCGATGTTCTTGCGAGTCACCATAAGACGCAGGAGTCAGATGTTGTGGTCCATGCCGGCGATGATCATGCCCGCTGTTGAGATATCTTGGTGGACCTTCATCACGATACCACGAGCTGGACTGATGATAGTCATCTGTGGGTGGCGACCGCCTATGATAGCTATGGTAATATGACCTTCCTGGACGGGAATCCACATAGTTCGCCGGTGGTGAACGCCTTCGATAGTCATTGTGATACCTGGATGGGGGTGACCGCCTGTAAGAGTCATCGCGGACATAGGGCTCTGCGTGTCGAGGCCGTGGCTCACGAGGATCATCTTGCCGGGCATCTCCGGGCCACGTTGTTCGTGGAGTAGAGCGAGTGTGGTAGCCCAGGTCATAGCTATTACGGGGAGATTCGTCATGCCTCCCATAACGATAATTTCCATCACGGTAGCTCATATCATCGTCGTATCGCCGTGAAGACCGACTACGAGGGCGCCCATAAGAGCGCGGCATCCCGTACGCCTCACGTCTATCAGACGAGAAGGACGAGTCGTATGCATGATGATGCATAGTTGGAGATGAAAATGGTCACCGTCTCAGCGGAGCCAAATGTCCCAGAAGGGAACAGAGGGTGTGAAGATGAAATGGTCACCGTCTCAGCGGAGCCAAATGTCCCAGAAGGAACAGAGGTTGTGGAGATAAAATTGGTCACCGTCTCAGCGGTGCCTTTTCGGTTCGCCCCCAAGGGCGAAACAGCAAAGAGGAAGGGCAAGTCCTTCTAGTCGCTACCAATGCCGAAACATGGTTGCAAGAGCCTCTCTTTTGCCACGGCTGACCAAAAGAAAAGAGAAGGGCAGAGAAACAGCTCACCACGAAGAGGTGAGGTCGGCGCCCCGCCCCCGCACTTCCGGATCATACCTTCCTCACGACAACGGGAAGGAGGTACGGGCAACGACGAGCATGACATTCAAGCGGCGCGGGGTATCGAACGACCAATGGTATCTTAGTGGATCTGCGTTCCCTCAGATTTTCCATCCACAGCTGTCCAATACCACACTCCCACGAGCACCATCTGGATCTCTTCCTGGCCCATTTCCTGGCTCACTTCCTGGCTCACTTCCTGGCTCACTTCCTGGCTCACTTCCTGGCTCACTTTCTGGCTCACTCAGTATCCATACCACCTGTCGACATATACGGTGGCTTGCCAGAAATTGGACAGCACCGCCCTGGCGGAATCCATGTCCTGGTATTTGGTCTCTCCATGGTGCTTGCTGGCGGCCCTTGTCGACACAGACTCTGACTCCATCACCGCTGTGATCGATGCGTCTTTCCTACCTAGTGCCTGGGTGGTCTCCACGACAGCTTACAGGTCTTGTTGCACCTGTCATCGGATCCCAAGAGGTCGTCCCTTCGATATCCACAGTGTCTCTGCTTCCACTGCTTTTCGCGGTGGCCGGAACGACATCGTGCCTTCTTCGACTACCACCATCTGGTGGGTCGGCTCTCCTCCAGCTCCCACTTGGCCGGTGGCGCCGCGGTAGCCGCTCAAAGGAACAATCGATTGATCACATTCCACTATTCGTCGGTGGCTCGTATCGTACATCAGCAATGTCTCGTGTGGGGCTTTTCTCATCCTATATGCTCTCCAAAGGTGGACTGATCCAGAGCAGCTTGGAGCTCTCAAATGTTTCCACGTGCTGGTCTTCTTTCCACTTGCTCGACTGGTGGCGTGGCCAACCCAATGCACCGTAGCTTCAGTGGCCGTTTACAATGAAAGATTGCGCTAGCTTCAGCTATATCGGGCTCAACAAGCCAGCATGGCGACATTTTGAGGTATGTTTTGGATCGAAAAGTGGACATCTAATTTCCAGATCCAGCCAAGAGGACCACCTCGAAAGTGACGCCAACGTCTCCAAGAATACAGTGGACGGGTTTCCCGCGATAGCTGTGCAGCATGCCGTTCTATCTTCGACTTCCTCGGCCCATGGATCGGTCTTAGAGACTCAACATGGTGGCGATGTTCAGCCTTGCTTCTTGGTGACCTCACTCGGATTTCCACAACACCGACAGGCTTCGATTCAACTCTGGTAATCTGGCCTCCACCTTTAACAGTTGGCCAAGATGGTACTTTCGCCTCGCCCTGGTTGGAACCACCTGGCGATGTTCGACAATACCATGTTCATCACGCAAGCACTGGAGCCGTTCCGTATCTTGCGGATCTTCACCTTCCCATCTAACGGTCTCAAATTGCCATACATCGAGGACGATCTGGCGTTGGTCCTGGTGATTTCCATCAGACTGATACGAGCTTTGCTGACGTGCTTATATCTTCTTCATGTCCACGCCGTCGTTCCCGCACAGCTCACTCCCCGATTTCCGCCTTCTTTGGACCGACGGACCGACGCAGGACCTTCGCCCTGTACTTGGCCTGGCGGTGAGCTGAAGGTATTATGCGCACCCATAACATCTCGTCTTGTGTTTTTGTGACCTCAGCGCAGATACCTCATCAGCGTTCAACTCCAGTGCCCTGCTCCCGGCCACGGCACGGCACGTCGGCAACGGCCCGCTGCCGCTGAGTTCCGCTCATGACCCTTCTTGCGACCTCTGCGCACGATGTGTAACACAACATCATCAAGTTTCGATCACGCGCTCCTGTCCATCTTCTTTGCCTCGAGCCCGACAAAGACTCCGCGCGGCGGCGGTCTTTATCTTCTTTCTATCTTTGATCAAAAGGCTCCGCTCAGACGGTGACCTATTTCACATACAAAATGGTACCCAAGGCTACCTTCCTCAGTCTGCCTGCCGAGTTGCGCACTCGGATCTACAATTTGTCGGGCTGCTTGCAATTTTGGGAGCGGCTTCGGGACAGATCCTACACAACGGTGCCTGGAGACTACTGCGCTGTGATGCACCAACATGTGCACGGCTGCAACAAGGGCGGCGATTGCGAGTATTGGGATGACGACAACCTGCTGCAGGAGTTCGGTGCGCCAGCGAGGATCATGGTTCGACCGGCCAACCCGCCGTCCAGGACCTCGTACGATGGCGACGATCAAGACTTCGACGATGAGGATTGTTCGTCGCGTAGCTGGGAGGGCTTCTATGAGCGGGGCTCGTTTGTGTCCAGGAACCGTCCCAGATGTGATTTCACTACTACGGTGCAGCCCGAGTTGACTATGGTCTGCAGACAGGTCCGCCAAGAGACTCTCCCGATTTTCTATGGCAACCATACCTTTGTGGCCTGTTGGAGACCCGTAGAGGGTGACAGTTGCGGCCTCGAGTTATGGGTGGAGAGGATCGGCACGACTAATGCGGGATATGTGCGAGATATTCGCATAGTGTGCTTCAACAAGTCGGCCTTCCAATGCATCAACCTCCCCCGCGGTATCATCGAGCGACTGGGTCTACTGGGTGTAAAGCTTGGCGAGCCGCGCATCAAAGTGTACTGCCAACCAATTTACCCGGCTCCTAGCCCGAGCGACTGGCAGCTTCTGGACTTCGTACGACAACGAGATAGATTTCCGGTTGAGTCGTTAGAAAGCACATACTAGAGGAGATGTGCGGTCCATGATGCTCGGAGTGTACACCCTCGGGCGTCGAAACGCAAGGACTACTTGACAGTCAGCAGTGTTCAAGGGAGAAAGGGAGAGAGGGCGGCAATATCAGCAGAAGATGCTATGGTGGTGCAAAGATTTGTAGGCAGAGATGCGGGAGAAAGGAGGCTGCCGTCGATCGAGATGAGGATACGGCTTGTCCACGCCATCAAGCCATGATGTTTATACATCAACATCAACATCACTTCTGCGATCCAGAGAAAGTGCGACGAGAAAGACTTCCGGATGCGTCGAGAGAGGTCAGAAAGAAGGTGTTCGATGCGCAGAATCTCGCCGGACGACTCGTACCCTCGGGCCATCTTGGCTCGTTGACAAGCACACGCCTCGACATTGTCACCCTCGACGCCCTGACCCCGTAGAGCGCAAGCGCACCACCCTCTATCCAAAGCTGCAAGACGTCGACTCAGTGAAGGCCTACCCAGAAGTAACAGGCATGCGCCATCGATTCTTCTGGAACGACTATGACCGGCCAGAGGACAGCCAAGTCGACCAAATGCATTCAACCTCGCACACCAACACACATGAGGCCGACAGTCAAGTCGACCAAATGCATTCAACCTCGCACACCAACACACATGAGGTCGACATGGTCGCAGCTCTGGTAAATCGGCTGGTAGGACAGAGTGTGTATCGCTCCGAAGAGACTGCCGTCCCAATACCATACCTTAGCCAGTTGACGAAGCTTCGCTCGAAGTTCGGTTACGCCTCTACCACTTTGAATGAACTCGATATTGTGGATCTCGAGGTAGATGGCGAAGATGACGAGATGACGGTGACCAACAGCATGAAGGAAACCCAGGAGCCTGCTTCAGAAACCGCAAAGGGCACGCTTTTGCGTCCCCTGCGCCTCGCAACAATCGACAACTTCCAAGGAGAGGAAGCCAGAAGCCAGTCTCAGAAATCGCAAAGGGCACGCTTTCAAGGCCTTGCGCCTCGCAACAGAAGACATTTTCCAAGAAGAGGAAGCCAAGGTTGTCATCATCTCGCTAGTGCGCAGCAACGAGCATCGGCTAGTCGATTCAGACGAGAGGGAGGCCATAGATCTGCATCTGAGGTACCGATGACCTCGATCCCACAACGTCTCGCGACAACTGCTTCAAGACAAGCTGCTCCCACATATCAAGCACCTACCGAAGCTGTCGGCATGGCACCGTCAAAGGACGCTATCGTCGCCGGTTCAGACAAGATAATGTCAACAGCGCGACCTGGAGATGTTCCTACAGCGGGAAGAAGGACGTGCCTTTACGCAACGCTGTGGATCTAGTCAAATCCGAGTTGAAGCACTTTCTTAAGCAAGCCTGGCCTGCAGCGATACTACGAACGTCGAAGCGCCTCCCCGAGCAAGTCTCATCCGCAGCTAGTGTCGACGATGCCACGAAGATCGCCTCGAGCGCACTGCCACCTGCCGCCATTGCCACGAACCGGGCACTTCCTACAGACCATTACAGTCTTGGCTCCCTATTGATGCTGGAAAATCGACAAGCTGTTCGTATGCGGTGTCGGTGAGCTTGTTGGCCTTCCGGAGATTGCTCGTTGTCGGCGACCAATCTTGTGGCAAGAGCAGTGTCCTCGAAGGACCTATCAAGAACCCTTGCCATGCGACAGCGGCCCCTGCACCCGCTTCGCAACCCAGATCGTATTTCGTCGCTCAGTACGCGAAGACATCTGAGAACACTGCCAGCAGACACAACCCGGAAGCGATCACCGCTTTCTTACAAGTCGCCGACTTCTTCACCAACAACCTCTCCATCGACGAACGGACCATTTAGTTCATGAGCACGCACAGCCATGTCGTCTCGTAAATGGTGTCAGAGCTTGATGACCGCGACTCCAACATTTCCACCTGCGCAGTCGACTCCCCAGATCGTGTTTGGTCGCTAGTACGCGAAGACATCTCCGTCTCCATCATCCCGGATCGAGCCGCTCCCCTCGAGCACAGCAGCCGCTTGAAGGCATAGCGCAAGTCGGTCACTTCGCTCGTCTCGAAAGCGTTCAGCAACATCGTGCAAAGGGTCCACAGTTTTGCGGGACTTTCCAAATGGAGCAGCGATGCAAGACCGCGAAGGCCCATCTTCCCCAATGACGTTCTCCGACGAACTCTCTAGCCCAGAACAAGAGCATCTCAGCGTCATCGATGTGCCGGGTGTCTCCAACAGCAGGACAGAGGGCCTCCACACCCTCGGCGAAGTGTTCCTGGTGGCCATCAACCTAGTGGCAAAGGTCTGTATGCAGAAAGCACCCGACTCCATGGAATACCATGGATCCAGTCAAAGTCGAGTCGAAGCGACTACTCAAGCAAGTCTGGCCCGCACCCAACGTCGAAGATGCCGCAAACATCGCCTCAAGCTCAGTCGAGTTGTACGATAGCAAATGTCTCTGGGTAGAACGAACGATTCCAGATCCTGCGACAAGCTGCTCCAGGACATTAAACACCTACGCGAGGACATCTTCCATGAGTGCAGAACCAACGATTGGACACGACCAGCTGCTTCAGGACACCAGGCTCCTCCCCGAGGACATCTTGCGACAAGCTGCTTCAGGACATCA